CACTAAGCTGACCAGAGGGTGCTTTTCCTTTAGTACTTTATATAGCGAGGCTATATATAGTATAAAGAGGATTGGTGATAGTGGTGATCCTTGTGGCACTCCAGCTCGGATGTCGATTTCCGGGGCAAGTTGGCCGTCGAATAGGAGTGTGGCCTTCCGGCCCGTTAGCCACGACCGTAGCCAACCTACAAGCCACTGCGGGAGCCCGAGGTCCCGGACTGTAGCCAGTAACCGGGTATGATTTACCCGGTCGAAGGCCCCTGTGAGATCTAACTGCAATAGGGAAGCCGTAGCGCGTTGTCTCCAGGCCTCTTGGATCTGGGCTACCACAAGCCGAATGGCTAGGTCTGTTGACCTATATTCTCGGTTACCCATCTGCTCGTCGGGTAATAGGCCGTAGGCTTCGGCTGCCTCTATGATTCTTTTGGTAACCACTATTTCCACTACCTTGCCAATGGTAGGAAGGAGCGAAATAGGCCTATAGCCTCCGGGGGTAAGGTAGTCAGCTGGGGTTTTACCAGGCTTTGGGAGCACTATAGCTATAGCCTCCTTTAGCCTGGCTGGCACCCATTGTAGTTCGAGGCATCTCTGGGTGAGTAGTGCGAGGATCCTGTACAATGGCCTACCACAGGCCTTCAATAGGCCTATAGGGAGGTAGTCGTTACCTGGGGCCTTCCAGGGAGCGGCCCGGGCAATGGCATCTTGTATGTCCCTAGCACTAACCACCTGGCTTATTGGGATCTTCGGTTCCCACGGCTGGGAAAAGGTGGGATCTTGGATGTTGGAGAGGTCAGCTGGCGGGCTTGGAAAGAAACGGTTGGCCAGGGCCTGGGCCTTCTGGGTATGGGTGGTATAGCCGTTGATGGCCGGGAGCCTAGGGGGGCTAGTAGGCTGGAAGCTCTTGCAACGAGCCCACCGTTCTAGGCTCCAAAGGAGTGATTCGTTATGACTGGCTTCCTGTAGGGTAGACCTCCAGGTCCTTGTTCTAGCCTGTCGTATAGCCCTTGAAAGGTCCCGGAGTCTCTGATTTAGCTGGGCCTTGTTATAGGCTGTAGGTGCGGCTTTAGCCATACGTTCGGCCTCCCGGGCCCCCTGGACCTTTTGTTGCACCTCGTTCGTCCACCAGGGGGCTTGAAATCCATTATTAGGCTTCCTTCGGGGGGTGCTAGCGTTGGCAATCCTTGTAAGTTCTTCGACAAGCCAGTCGAATGCCTTATCTAGGCCTTCTACTGACTGGGTACGGCTCTGTAGGCCCTGCGGGCCAGGGTTATCTAGCCCGCAGAGGCCTGGTAAGAGGGCTGCTTCGGCCTTTACCCTCTTTTTATCCATCTTTTTCCAGGACCAACCAGGGGGGGGTGGGGCTATAGGGGGGTGTTCGAGGTAGACCTCTACTACTTGGGGGTAGTGGTCGGAATCTCCCCTTTCTTTAATACCGTAGTAGGAGCAGGCAAGGTCCGTAGAGGCCCAGATTAGGTCGATAGTCGATGGGCGCCCCCGTTGCCTACCCTGTGGTTCCCTAGTTATAGTGCCCTTGGGGGTTACTAGCCTAAGGTCCCAAGAGGTGGCTAACTGGAGCAGGTTGTTGGCTTCGTTATCGTAGCGTTCGTAGTAGTCCCAGGCTGGGTGTTGAAGGTTGAAGTCCCCTGTAAGTATTACTTGGCTAGAGGGTCGGGGGTATTGTTGCAAAAGAGTAGCTGGTATTGTCTTGATTGCCGGGGGGTTATAGACCGACTAGACCTCGACCCCCTGGCTACCTTCATAGCCTGCGAACCGAACCCAGCACCAATGTTCAGCTACCCCATAGTCCCATTGGCTAAGGTCAATTGTCTTCTTAACTAGTATAGCCGCCCGACCACTAGGTTGATAGACTAGGTGGTACTGGCTACGTCGAGGGCAGTAGGTAGACTTAGTTTGGTGGTTGATCCACGGGTCCTGTATAGCTAGGACGTCGAACTTGGCCTCCTCTACTAAGATTTCTAGTGGTTGCTTGATGCCTCCGGTATTCCATTGTAGTATGGTAACTACCATGTAGTACTAGAGGGTTGGCTGGCTAGGTGGTCGGCTGGCTGGCTGGCTAGGTGGTTGGTTGGCTGGCTAGTTGGGTCGTTCTGGTTTGTAGCTTGGTTTGTAGCCTGGCTTATAGCCTGGCTAGTAGGCTGGGAGATGGATAGTCGGAGCTGCTTGGGATCTTGTTGGGCCTTTGTTGGCCTGCCCCGTGGTCGTTTTCTAGAAGGGCCTATATCTTGGTCGTCGTGGCTTAGAGAGAGGGAGCCAAAGATAGGGGTTGTGGTTGCGGTTGTAGGGTAGGTTGTTCGGGTAAAGTCGAGGTCGAAGGTTGGTTGTTGTAGCTTGGAAGTAGTTGATTCGAAGGTTCTAGGCCTGTGTTGATAGGCCTCCTTAGCTATAGCCCGTACTCGGAGCCGTTCTGGGCACTGCTTGTCCCTGGCCGAGTGGCGACCCCTGCAGGCTGGGCATCTAAACTGGCCTGTAGTATAGGTAGGGCATTGCTCTTCGCCTTCCTTACCACCATGCCCATGGGTTCCAGCGCCGCAACGGGGGCAAAGGGGGTCCTTTCTGCAGTAGCGGGCTATATGGCCCCACTTCCAGCACTTAAAGCACTGCGTTGGCCGTAGCGGAGCCCAGTATGGCTCGCAGCTAAAGAGCTGAGCCCGGTATAGGACCCCTAGGTCACAGGCCTTTTTAGCCTCCTCCTGGCTAGTAAAGGCTATAACTACAGGGACCCTAGTGAAGTCTGGGTTATGGGGGTACTGGAAGATGATCTTTTCCACTGCCTGTAGCCTGGCCTCTTCTTGAAAACTAGCCTCTGTAGCCCCCCTGGAGGTCAGCCTTCCGTAGACCCTTGACTACCACTCCATAGGTCCGCCGGGCTTCCTTTGCCTGGCTTCCGAAGGCCCGTTGAATCCAGTCGTGGTTGGTAGAGTGCCATTGCTTGGTATCCGGGTTGTTGAAGGTAACTACTATATCTCCGCTAGGTAGTTTCCGGGCTGCAATAGCCCCTTGTCAGCTAGAGGCCCCGTTAACGGCTTGAATGATTTCTAGGGGGGTCCTCTTGGCTAGGTCGGGTGATAGATGGCCCCCGCGAACAAGGACCTCGCAGTTCTGCTTGGCTGGGATAACCTTGGCTGGCTGGGCTATAGTGGCTTGTGGGGGTTCCCGAACTATGTCAGCCCAGGTCCGAGTAGCCTGGGCCTGCCCTGATTTAGTTTCCCTTAGTGCCGCTCGCACCTCTTCGGCTACTACCTTTCGTAGGGTAGGTAGGTTCAACGCCGTAGCCGTAGCCTTAGCCTGGGGGGGCGGTGTGATGGCTTGCTGGTAGGCTTGTTGGTAAGCTCGTTGAATCTCTATTGCAAGTGCCCGGGCCTTGCCCCTATCCTCGGGGACCAGGGCAAGTAGGTCGTTGACAAGCCTAGTAATGTGCTCATATGTATGTAGATGGCTAGTAGACTTGGTTGTTCTGGCTGGCTTGGTTATAGTAGGTAGGGTCTTCTGGCTTGCATGTTGGCTTGCATGTAGCCCCGGGGGGGCAGGGGGGGTTTCCCCCATCTCAATGTCAGGTGCCGGATCCGGAACGTCGTTCATTTTCAGCTCTTCCTGGTAGGGTGGGGCCTGTGGGGGCCTATAGGGTGGGTAGCGTAGAGGAGTGTGGGGGATCGTTGATAGGGTGGGCCGTTCGGGAGTAACCGGGTCCGGTAGGGTAGGTGGTCCGGGAATAACCGGTTAGTCTGTGCGTAGGGAAAAATCTTGCCTGACGGTCGGGTGCCCGCAACACAACGGCTACTTCAATGGCCTGTTGCGGCCGCGCAAGGACGGCCGCGCAAGTGCAACCAGTACCGTTAGATAGAGCTCGTCGAGGCGGTTAGAATAATATATGTTTCGAAGAGTTTGCCGCCCTTGCGGGCAAGCAGCGATCAAGTGGAAAAGAAAGAAGTCTCTTCGAGAAGAATATATATTGGCAAGACGCTCATACTAAATTAGCTGTTTCAATTTTGATCGATAGTAAAGAGGAGGTAGATATACCTTCTATTCGGCTTAAGACAAAGAGGCAGGGTAAGCCAATTTCGCAGTTTCTTGACTTCTATTAAGCTTATATCCACAAGGAAGACAATAATGCTATATTTAGCGAATAGATCGAGTCTAATCATTTGGCTAAGAGCCGGAAGGCTAAGGTAATCTTATATTAGGTCCTTTAGATGAAATATACAGAGGATATTAAAGAGGTCTTAATAACTTACTTTCCTATTAAGTTTATATAGCAGTATCCTGCTCGGTTTTTAGAGACGAAGATGCGTCGGCGTCCTAGGCCTTATTCTCCTTCTTTTACTCGGCAGAGTTTCCGAGTTCTAAAGATGCTTGCCCAGTAGAAGGCAGATATACTTGCGCCTAACCGTAATAGTCAGCCTCGGGCTCTTCTTTTAGTTGGACCTCCATATACGGGGAAAACAGAGTAGGCGATGTCTTTTGGCAGGGCAGTATCGATAACAAATGGTTGGAATCTTAATGTATTGGCGTGTCCGGAGGATTATACGCATGTAGTTCTTAACGATATTGTAGTTGATCGGTTTCAGTATTGGCGAGAGTTTCTTGGTTGTCAGGAGTCTTTTAATGCGATGGGAAAGTATCGTACAGAGCAGGTGGTTCAGTTTGGGAAGCCAGTTATCTGGACTTGCAATGCCGATAAAGAGGTACGACCCCCAGCCGCCTTGCGGCCAAAGCGGTTGCGAAGGGTATAAGGACATCAATTTCGCCCAGTCCACCAAAAAGACCGGTCTTTGCCCCAAGTGCTAGCCAGGCACTGGAAAGTGCGCAGCATTGGTGAGCTGTCGGAGCGACACTGTTCGAGACGTATTTACGCTAACAAGTGTATCAAGACAGATGTCAACTAGAGCAGGGAGGGATTCTTTCTTGGTAGTAGTTGCGCTGGAGGGTTACAGTAATTCACTATCAAGCTATTGATGCTCGAGCGAGGGAGATGAAGACAATGACGATGTATGCGCCCCTAAGCTATTAGGGGTTTGAATTCAAGGCTGCTTCAGTCCAGGTTTTAAAAGCAGTTCCTATCAACCGGCACTAGCTTTTGAAGTTACATCGTTTCGCAAACTGCCCGTCCTCACAATGTTTCCCAAGGCTTTACTGGATACCCAACTGCCAACTCTGCCCCTCTAAAAGCCGATCAGATTGCGGCTAGGCGGCGTCGCTAAGTGCTCACCCTCCTCGCAGAGCCCGTAGAGCCACCTCTCGCCACAGGGTTGATCATGCTCATTTGGCAGGGCAACACACGTCTCGGGGCTTTCGCCACGTGCAATGGCGGCCTGGATAGCCTTGAGGTCGGCCACCACCTGGTCTGCTGTTGTATAAAGCTGGCGCCAGCATCGCGCCGTGACAGCAGCGCACACGTGCTCGTCGGCAGGGGGGAACTCGCCGGCGCGGAAACGCCGCTCGATCTCGGGCTCGGTTTCGTGGAACCACCGCATGATGTCGTCATCGGTCTCGGAGGAACGGACCAGGTCTGGGAAAACCTCTGCGCCGGTGATGAGGAATTGCAGGGCGCTGCCGAGTGCAAACAGATCGGTTCGCACGTTACAGCGGTCGGGAGGGTGCCGAGGCAGCCAGGCCTTAGCAGATTCGCACGAGCCTCCATCAAGGACAATAGCGCCGGTCGGAGAGAAGTGCTGACCCTGAAAGTCGGCGAGCTTAAGATCGAGGTTGGCATCAAGAAGGAAGTTGTCGTGGCGTATATCGCAGTGCACAACGCGCCGTGAATGAATGTAGGCCACAGCCTCGGCAGCCTGGACACACCAGGCCAGCCGCCGGTGCAAAGGCACGTCGGGGTGGACAGAGAGGTAATCGTATACGTTTCCATTTGGCATAAACTCGAGAAGCAAACCGTCCTCAGTAAGGCCCTTGGACTGGACAATGCGGGGATGCGGTCCTAGCACTTCAAGCATCTTAGCCTCGATCTGGACCCGCTTCATGTCTTCTTTTATGCGGGGATATTTGAGCACTGTTGTATCGTCAATCTCGCCAATGTTGCAGGAACCGCCGCTGGGGTTTATAAGTCGTTTAACGCGCGGGGGAGTATACGACTTCAGCATGATATGTGTGATGTTGGTCATTGCCGCGGTCATGATGATTGCCCAGGGGCGTGCTTAGCTAACCGTCAACGATATCGCATGCCAGGAGGAACAGCGGGGCGAAGAAAAAATGCAATAATTGTACGTGCAGGTGTAATGAATGCTCGGCGACAGCTGTGATTTTGATGCTGTCGGCAGGCGGGCGGGAGCTGTTGTAAAAATATATTGGTTGCGCACTGGCGAAATCTCCTTAATTGTCTCCTTTTCTCGGACCACGTTCCCGAGGCATCGGCCGCTTTTCAGTCGGCTGAGTGCTCTGGGGCGTTCGTTCCAAGCCAATAGGAGCTGGCTTAACATGGACCGGCCCAGCTGATCCAAAGTGGGCGGTAACAGCGATAACCGCTATACTTGTGGAATTCTAAATCTAAGTATGTCCCTATAGAAATTGCTTGAAAAGTGACTTAGAAATTACATCGCACAGGTGGCGGCTTAGCTGCTTGGCAAAATTTGGGTCAGGGAGGCAGCACCCTGGGCACCCTGAGCACCATGTAACCACCCTGGTCTGTTCGAATTCCTCGCCGACCGCCCCTGTTTTTGGCTCCCTCGTTGTTGAGAACCGCCAAGTGGACGTCGTCGTGGGCGTAACGCTTGTTCAGCAGCTAGCACATCAGCTTCATAGTGTCTTCGTCGCAAGATATCATATTGCTTGGATTAAGCTGGATCATCGCCTTTGCCTGGGTCGCGGCAAATGTGTCAAGAGGTCAGGTGAAAACCCGTCTCAACCGTGCCCAAATATTTAGCTAGCAGTTAAGGCCCGGTATTCATGGTAAGGCGAGAGCAGGGTCGCAAGCAGCCCGTGAACCTTCGGCCCGCCGAGATCAGTGTGTGTGTGCATGCAGCATGGGATACCAGATTGTTATGCGCGCCGTAAGGTCTCATCCGCGGCGCCGCAGTTCCGTCAGGCATTCATGGGAAGGCGAGAACGGGGTCGCAAACAATTGGCTCAACTCTTTTGTAAAACCGGAAACGAATGCCGAACCCACGGACCTCATCGGCCCCGTCGCGGCGGAAGTGCTGACCGCCTTCGACCAGCCCAACTCGACAGACGCAACGGCGAGCGACCTGCCGGCCTTGGCAACCTAGGAGGGCGAGCCCTTCCCTAAACATGACTGTCGTCGCCGACCGCTGCGCACAGGCGCAGGGCTGGACGTACTCGGCGCTCCAGCACGTCGATCCGGTCTTCGCGATCCCAGATGCGTCGGCTGCCTGCTTTCTCGCCGTCGTTACCCTGCCGACCACCGGTGACGACTTGACCCGCACGAACCTCAACCAGTTCACCTGTACCACTACCGGCGCGCCACGATCGTCCCTGCCGTCGCCGGGCAGCGGGCGATCGCCAAAGGCCGGATCTGCCCGCACGGTGTCAGCCGTGGTCTCCTGGTGGATTTGTAAATTTGCCAATAACTCTGGGTATGTGGAGCAGCGAGTAGGAGAGGGTTCGTAGAAGAGTTCCCTCTTTGAGTGGGCGTTGAAAGGAGCAAAGGTTTCTTACGGAGGCATTGCAGAACGCGATAACACAGACGCTTGGAGGCCTTGCTGGGTAGGGCTAACAGGCAGTCGACCGTCTACGCTATATATACGGCTAAACAGCATGTTCTTTCTCGACCACCAGTACCTGGCTTAGATCCTGCCCTTTTGGCGCATGTAGATAATGAAATCATACATCAAAGCGCCCAATTCCTTCATCACATCTCGCACCTCTTCCTTGTCTAGCCAGTGGGGATGCTTATAGAGAGTTTCCACGACGACGTCTCTTAGGCTCCTGTCATCTTCAATAGTAGATGTATACGCCACCTCCATTGCGTGAATAAAATCGTAGATATCCAAGGAACGAAAGGGAATAGTAACCTCCGCCTTGAATTTCCGAACCGCGACAGTCTTTAATCTACGGATAAGGTACTTCTCTGCTAAGGCGTAAATCCTTATATGAGTGGCGAGGGCGCCTATAGCCAGCCTATTGATATCGGCTCTATCTCTATCTATCTATATATTATAGTCAAAATAGTAAAAGTAATATACTATTATATGGACAAGCTAAGGATTATCTTCTAGGAGGTTAATTCTTCCTTTTTATACCTCCTAAATAAATAATATTAGCTTAGAGCTATTGCAGGCGTATAAACTACCACTTGCCTTAAAGCCTACCTTATAGGCTATAGCAAAGAACTCGGACTGTATATATATAATGGCTCTATATACTTGGTATTCCTTTTCCCTATAGGATATTACAAGGTCTAAGTATTCCCTGCTAGAGTAGAGCCTATATTTGTCAGTTTCTCTATAAATATAAAAAAGGGAGGAATAATAATAGCAAAGTAATTATACTTTGGTAGAGAGTTTATCAGGATATTAGAAGGCTTATCTATAATTATATCGTAGGTTGCCCGTATTTCAAGGCTAAATCCAAATGATATTGGCATATCCAAACCTAATATCTAGAGGGCTACAGTCCTAGTCGGGGTATAGTCGAAAGCATACGGGTTCGAGTTCTCGCGGTGCTATAGAAGCGCTTTTATACTTTGAAAATAACGATTGCAGGTCTTATAGTATGCTATCTAGCCCGGTCCACGGAATGCCTTATAAGTCTATATCAGGTCCCGCACCGCTATTATAGCTGTATTGTACTCGTCTCTTGCTCTTGTTACGGCATAACCCCGCACAGCTGATAGGCCACGTGGCTTGCTACAAACTAAGACCTAACCCCGCGTAGGAGTGTCAATGGGCCCTGCTTCTGCAAGGCGGCAATCAGATACGCCATCCTCAAGCCAGGCCGAGATGCAAAGCTTGACGTATCGCGAAGACAGCCGCCAGTACGCGTTTGATCCAGAACCTCAATCAACTGTTGCCCTCTCCGTAGCTCCCACAAGATGCAAAACTGCCTCTGTAAGCTCCTCAACTAGCGTGATACCGTGGATATGTGGCTGTTGGACTTCCAACAGGAGGATTGTTGGAAATTCTTTGCAACAATAATCTTCACGTTTGGAGGAGGAAACGGTAGAAGACGATGCGAAGTCTTGGATGCAGCACCAAAGTTTGGGATGCGCGTAGTCCCCAGAGGAGTTGTTGGTCCGTGCACATTGCGACCTCTCCTCGGCCTCGGCTGGAGCACAGCTGTTTGGTATTTTTAGCTGCTTGCATCATAACGTGGTGGAACTATGACATCATGTTTCTTAAAGCCCTATCCCCCGCATCGCGTGTCGGCGCCGACGCGTATGTGGGGCGCACCGAGCTTCACAGACAGCCAAAAGGTTCACAACAAAGCTATCCGCTATGTCTGCACAATAGGTGTAGGCTATTGCTTGAATTGCTTACTAAGGAGCTACCAGAGCTCCTCCTACCTGAAGCTATATACTTCTTGGGTCCTGAGGGTGATCGGTGTGCTCATCGACTGATCACTCTTGAGCAGGTTGTGCTCAAGGTGCTCAACGCCCGATCACAATGAGCATTCTGCATACTGCAGACTGCTCATCCTGTTGCCTGCCATAGCACCCTAGTCCTTATGTGACTGGCTCGTCTCTATCCTAAGCGATTGGCTCGGGGCGTCTCCCATGCCCCACCAGGTCCCTTGCATGCGGCCATCCTGTTGGCTTAATTCGTGACACGCAAGCAACCTTGTCCAACGCGGCTAACTAGTGCATTATGTGCCGCGACGGCTCATTCCTCCACCGGGGTCTAAAATCTATCACCTTCTGATTGGGCAAATAAATGGCCTGCCCCACTCGACGTTCAGGTCACTCTCCTCACTTGAATTCAGAGTCAAGTTGCTTCCAGCTTGGCTGAGTGGGTCTAATAGAATTCAAACCGCGGCGGAGGAATCAGCTGCAGCCGGTTTTGTGGCTCACTGGTCGCAGTGCAAGGTGTGTTGCCGTGCACTGTGTAAGTCACAACCAGCTAAAAACTGGTCCATGCGGACAATCTCTTAACATCGGAAATCAGTGTCCAGATTTCGCCTCTACCGTACTGTATCAATAGCTCATGCAAAATAATAATAGTGCAGTTGTCTATAGAAGATAAAGAACGATGATTTTGCTGGCCTGGTCTTGGCAGTGTAAGCCGGGCATCACGTTCATGTCGAAAAGGATTCCCCATTAATGTAAAACTACCTCCCGACAAGGTAACGTTATATATATAAGAAAAAGACCCAATTACTTCGCATCACAGCTATAGCAATAGAGATCGCTCCTACATTATCCGGGCTGGTAGTCCAACTCTTTTAGACTCACCTTTTTATGTGAACAGCGCCTCACGAGCTCCCGCAATTTGTCTCGAAGTTCGGCTGTTCCGGATGCTTCGACTGCTGTGAGCATGTGCACTGATGTTACATCGGTGACCTTACCTAACACCAAGACTCTGCCTTTGTCAGTCTGAACTTCTTCAACTTGCCGAAACAGGTCTCCATGGTCCATGCAGGCACCACCTTTCCCCATCGGTTGAATGAAATTGCCATTCTCCGCAGCCAAGATTGCCTCGAGGTCTGGGAGCCCGGCAAAGAAAGCTGCACGCCCATGTTCACCAAACTCCTTTTTTCCCAGCCTGCCTTCGTTGCCTTCGTTATATATGGAAATATGCAGGATCTATGCAAGCAGTGAGCTTAGCATTGAGGCGAGTCGGCCCTGAACATACGTAGCTATTGTCTATTGCGTCATCTTTCAGACGATAATTGAGAAGATTAAGAATCCTTGTGAACTGAGGTATGCCCTCCGTATGCCACACCAAGTGGATCCGACGAGTCCGGCTTTTGCAGTATTTGTGATCGTGTATCAACTTTTCAAGGTATGGTAGCATGGCGGCAATCCCAAATCCCGTCGCAAACATAAGGACAGTTTTAAAACCCCATACTGGGAAGCTGATCCCATGAGGCCCACTAAATAGGGCAGGATATGACAGCGACGCGTCATCGCCGTTCTTCATCCTCTTATTCGTCTGTAGTAATTTAGATGTGAATCCCTTGCGGGGCTGGATGAGCAGCTCCAAGCTACGCTGCTCAGCAGGCGACCATGAGACGACCGTAAAAGGATGGCTCTGCGTCCACGACCAGAAACTGACAGTTGGAGCCCATATCCACAGGTTTATATACTGCCCCGCCTTCAGGCGTACCGGCCGTGACAATTCCACCGTTATGCATACATCTCCTCCATCCTCTCTAATGATTAGCCGAGGGAGAGGGCTGCCCCATCTTTTATTTCGATACGCAGTGCAGCCGAGCTGAAATAGATTCAGGATACCGGATAAGCCCCCGTAAATGTAGATATATTCCCACGGAAAGCGAGGCATGGAACGGAGGTGCCACCAGATGGAGGAAGCGGCAAAGATGGCGATTGCTTGGTGGGTCCGGAGAAAGATCTCATAAAAAGCACGGCGCAGAAGAGGCATTGACAATAGAAGGAGCACGGCGAGCGATATTGCACCCTATTAGCGTTAGCTACAGCTGGGAAGACGGATGTGTCTCTTTGTACCGTGGAGACGTAGATATCTTGCGGCCCCTCCAACAGTGCCATGACACCACCATGGAAAAGCACCAAGCCGGTGGACATTGCGCCATAGGAGCAATGGACCTTATGGAATGCTCTAACCGGCATGCCAAAAACATCCGCAAGAAAACCGAGATGAGGACCTAGAAAGAGAGGGGCCATATTGATCAATGATAATCTGCCTGCCCGAGCGCCAGCGTCTGCGAGGGAAGAGACGCGAAACGCGATACAGATAAAGTTTGCAATGATGTACGAGATCTGAAGCATGAATGCTCCAACCGTCCACGGGCCCATCCATCGGTGACGACGGAGGATGAATGTATAAGCGAGGCTTCTGTAAATACGTCTAGCGATGCGGCGGAAGATAGAGCGCCTGGCGACGACAAAAAGGCTACCAAAAATGCCGCATAGTATTATGAAATATGCTTCAAAATTTTCCATGCAAAATTAGTGGGGAGAGTAATGGACACGGGCTCAAGAGGAAAGACAGGCGGAAGGGACGCATATATACTAGGTAGGAAAGGAATGGGCCGCAACGGCGCTAGGAGCCGAAATTGGAACTGTCATCAAAGACGCCCGGTTCTATCCGCGTGCCAAGTGCCTACTCGGTAGCTAACTTATAACGATACTTTCGATCGGCCTCCGTCATAGCAAGTGACACAAGACCTAACAGGGAACCCTTGTGCCATTTGCCGTCCTTGCGCCCATACAGAGTAAGGAACGGGTGCTAGCGAGAGTTAGCTCGAACGCACGTTGACAATCTAGCGGGCAAATTACTTCGAGAAGTTCCTTGGCGGATTTGGCAGTGATTGTTGCTGCGACGAAATTTATTGCTTCTGGGCACGAAAGCCACTGTTGCCTTTGCACACCGATCGGCTTTTCGTCCTTGTTCATCAACCCCCGCGTAATGCCTCCGACCCTCCTTACACCTCGAGATCTGCTATCCGTCGTTGCTGTTCGGCAGCATTCTTGGTTTCCTGCAATTATCAGAAGTAGATTTTGCCAATTACATCACGCCAGTCTTACCGATCTTAACCTCACCCGCTTGGTTAAGCAGGACAGTGTCCCAACCGAGTGAAGTATGTTCGAAGCCTTCTTGTTCAAGATACACCAAGCCGTCCAATATCTGCAAATCGTTAGCACTCGGACTAAGGTCGGATATAAACGACCTCTACCTGGCCAAGGATGGCGCCAAGTTCTTGCTTATCTGGGTATCTTGAGCACCTTATCACGTGCGAGAGGGTTATGTCCATTTCCTCCAGTACGACATAGAGAAGCTTTTCGGTGGCGAAGGCTTCTAAAGCTGCCACAAAGCTACAGTGACGGACCTGCCGAAACCAGAATAATGCTTGTTCCGCCTGATCCTCCGGAAACGCCCTTATATTTACGCGCTTTTCAGGCGACATCTTGACCGCTAGCAAAGCATCGCCCCCCAGGTCGTGCCAAGTGAATGCCTCTCGATAGTGCTCCCAAGGCGAGCCTGGCTGGGTCTCAAGGAACTCCCGAGGGCCCGCAGCGGCATGGTGGGTAGGGACGGCGGGACTAGATGCTGGGGAGAAGTGTACTCTATTGCGTAGCTTTCCCGTATTATCTTGGCTTTGAGGGGGAATTGAGGGTGTCTTCCTCAGCTTGGCCTGCTTGGCCAGCTTGGTCACGTCGTTCTGGTCTAGGGCCTTGGGGTCAAAGGAGATTTGCGTGAAGCGCCGTTCCATACTGCAGGTCGCTAAGTCTGATATTAGGCAGATATGGCGTAAGCGCTGGGGGACCAATTTTATAGGTAAATGTGGTTAGGCACATCAAAGCAGATCTGGAAAGTGAGGCAGCAACCCTTCCGTCACAGCCACTTTTGGATGCTGTACGGGATACAAAGTGAGCAGGCCTCCGTAACTGAGGTGGCTATGCAGCCTGTGACGCACGGTTCTGCGATGAGATGAGCAAAAGAAAGAAGGAGTCTACAGATAATGTGGAAATCTATTGGCAGATCCGCCAACATCATCTAAAGAACAATGTCCAATGGAAACAGTTACTACCCCAGCTTTCATCTGTCCACTCACGCAGGTGTGTCAGGACGCTCCTCCTGAAGCATAGCGTCATTGCCGACGCACTGGACCCGCTTCTCGGTGTTCCAGGGCTACGAGAAGGGTGGACCCTCAGCACCATTCACAAGATAGTGAACATGAGATGCGATAACGTAAGAGCAGCAGTCTTCCGTTCTATTCCCGACATTAACGTTCCCAAAGCTAGTCGTCGCGTATTTGCAACTAATATGGAAGGCCTGGCGTCGACTCATTCCCGGCGAGTCGATATATAAGTTGGATTCCGTCACCGTAAAAGCGGTGGAGACCAGATGCCCGAGGTAAGTCGGACCCCCCCCATTTGGACCACCCCAGATTCGGACCACTTGGCAATCCACACCGCTCTTTCAACCTAACCATTTCAACTCACTACAACTCAGTCAATTCGAGGTCAAGAACGCTCATCTTTTGCATACAGCACTGTCAATGCCCAATGGACTATACGGAACAAGACTTACAAGATGCCGTTACAAAATATCATCGCGGTGGCTCCTCAATGCGGTCTATCTCCCGGGAGTTCGGCATCCCGAAGACTACTCTCCGGAACCGACTTAACGGCCACCAGACTCATTCCATTGCAGCCGAACCGCAACAGACTCTGAGCCGGATACAGGAAGACCTCCTTACACAATGGGTCTTGACCCAGGTCGCCCTTGGTGTTCCACCAACCCATGCGCAGATCAGGGAGTTCGCCAGCCGAGTTCTACAGGCACAAGGAACCAGCCGTACGACTGTCGGAAAGGGCTGGATGACTCGGTTTCTTCGTAGGAACCCAGTCCTTCGAACCCAGCGAGCCCGTAAGATAGATTCGGTCCGCATCAATGGGGCTACTGACTCAGTCATCCGCAGTTGGTGGCCGCGACTGAGTATCCCGGCCATCAAGGATATCCTACCAGCCAACCGTTGGAACTTTGACGAATTCGGCATCATGGAAGGCCAGGGAACTAACGGCTTGGTGGTTGGGAGCTCTCGAACGCGTGCAGTTCAACGGAAAGTCCCTGGTTCGCGAGCCTGGACTTCTTTTCTTGAGTGTGTCTCAGCGACAGGGGTAGCGCTCCCACCAGCTGTCATCTTCAGGGGGAAGAGCCTTCAACAACAATGGTTCCCACTTAAAAAGGAGGAAATAAAGGAGTGGAAGTGGGCTACAACCGCTACAGGTTGGATAAACAGAGTGGTTGCATTAGAATGGCTTAAAGAGGTGTTCATCCCCCGGACCCGGCTACAGGACCCCTCCCAGAGACGGCTGTTGATACTGGACGGCCATGATAGCCATAGAACCGACGACTTCATGTGGGAATGCTACATCAACAATATCCAGTTGCTCTTTTTACCTCCCTATACTTCCTACGTTCTTCAGCCATTGGATTTGTCAGTGTTCTCCCCCCTAAAGCATATATACCGGAAACTCCTCAACAAGTTGACCTCTTGGTCCGAATCGACGGTGCTAGGCAAGTAGATGATGATCAGATGTATCGTGGAAGCTCGTAAAGAAGCTATTACAGCCCACAATATCAAAGCAGGGTGGAGGGCATCCGGGTTATGGCCGGTCAATATAGCCAAACCTCTGATGAGCCGGCTTCTATTGGAAAATTCGAACAACATAGCCGGGATTGACGAACAGATAGCTTACATATAAACCCCAGCACCTGTTCAACCCTCCCAATCTTTGACAATAGCCGCCAACGTATTCCTCAGCACACCATAGAAGAAGTCAGATTTACGTGGTCAACTGAACAGCCTGGCCATCCGGAAACAAGACCTCCCTATACGCAGGCTTTTATTTAAGAAGGTTGAGAAGGCTTTTGACAAGAAGGACTTCGAATTGGCTCGTTTACGACAGGAAAACGAAGCTCTGAAGGCACAGTTGGAAGCAGCCCGGCCGTCGAGGAGGAAGAAGGTAGTTCTTGATCCGAACAGCGTGTTCGCTTCGATTGAACAGATCCACCAGGCGCAGATTGAGTCCGGCCGTATAGATGACTCTATGGCTGAAGAGAGCGGGTCAGAAAGTGCAGAATCAGAGGTTTCCTGTATTGTGGTGGGTTAAATAGACTGCGATATACGGTGTTGAATAAGATGGGTGGGTTTGCGGGCTAAGATTTGCCAAGCGGTCCGAATCTGGGGTGGTCCAAATGGGGGGGGTCCGACTTATTCCAGGGCCGATAGGGAAGAGATCCATGCTCAGATCCAACAAGGAATCATCTTCACCGCCTTTAGCCACGAAGACCGCGAGAAGATCTGGGGTTCACTCCTTTCTATCGACCATCTGATGCCTTCCCTGTTCACCTTACTCCGTGACCTGCACTTTCTTCAGGCCTGTGCAGAGAGCATGAGGCATCTTATAAAGTCTCCATTTGAACACCCCGATGCGGACTTAAACGAGGTAATAAGTATCGACGACGCCTTAAAACAGCTTTTTCGGGCGAATCAACAAGATGGCCAGTACGTGATCGAGGTAGCGAGTGGGGTATTTCATCACGCACCGGTTCCCACGGAGCATCGCTTTGACCTCGCGCGACGACAACTATGGCTTTATGCGATGAGAAATTTCAAAAAGTTACCGCAACCGCGACGGAATGGCGGAAGAAACTTGCTCGCGAAAGCCGACTTGGAACACGCCGACGAGGCTGTCTTATACGAGTTTGCCGTCCTTGCTGGGCGCCTCGGCTTTAGTTCTACCGAGATTGAACATCTAAAGACACACCTGTCACCCCGAAAAGAAGCTAAACCGAATCGCGTTGCAACTACCGCCCAGAGACCAGCACGGAGATGCGGTCTTCCTAGTGAGGATTCGTACCAGCGGGACGGGCCACTGTTGTTCATCCAAAACATGCACCGGGAGTTCTCGGACCAGGAAATCACGTCCTTTTTCGTGCGAAGATCGGTCTACCTTGCGTTCTTTGGGCCATGTCAGTTCGACTTTATGACATCCATGGGAGTAAAACAAAACACGGCCATTGAAACAGCCCTGGTACTTTACAGAGAGACTGGGGACGGTCCAGACGGGCCCCCGCAACCGCCCCGCAAGCGTAAAAGAGAACAGGAACACAGTGCAGAGACGGAAAACGGCGCGATACAATCATACGCCACTAGCTCTCATCCGGTGACTATCGTGTTCAAGGCTTTCGAGGATGGCCGCCTCAAGACCAAGCGCCGAGTAACCGTCGATCGTACGAATCCGGCAGAGGTGGAAGAGATTGCAAGGGGATATACGTTCGATAACTGGGCCATCTTCTCTACAAACTTAAACTCAATTATTGCTAGCGACGTCTTTAATTCTGCCGTATCTTCTGGTCTGAACACTGTTATCCTGGTTCGAGCGAGCAATATAGATATCAATGATGACCTGCGACGAGCAGTAGTAGAACTATCAGCAGATAACGGTGAGCCAATATCACAGATTAGCGAATGGGATACGGAATCGCTCTGACACTATCCAGGCAATGTAGAATGATCAGAAAAAGATGTTAAAAATTGTTAGCAGGATCTAACAATTTTTTAACGTCTTTTGCGTGCAGCTCCACTAAATTTTGCTAGAGTGATCCGCTCGCTTATAATATGCGTTAGCACAATTGGAGTTGATGACGGCAGCCCTGGCCAAGATACCTTGATAGAGCAGGTATTGGATTCGTAGGGAGGATCATAATAGCAGAACGAATTGCAGATATAGATCTATAAAACTCCGCTCCCTGTGAAGCCATTGTGGTCTACGATCACCCTTCCTATTCCAAAGAGTCGCTATGCAAACTCGCGGTGTTGCTGCCCTTATACGTTTTCTCCGCTTCAACAAAGAGGAATGCAGCGCGAGTTACTCGTGTAGCCTTCTCTTGAATGGTTGTCAGCCCTCATACTACCTTCTACCGCTCTATCCAACGACCAGTACATATTCACAGTACGCTTGAGGGCTGACCTGGTCCGGCGTTGGCGTGAGATGGGTCTGACACAGCCACCACTGAACCAAGACGAACGTCCGGAAGGAGACCTCGTCTATTCACGTCCTTCCCGGAGGGCATTCACTGCCAGCAGATTTTAGATGCTGCGATCTCAAGGCGAGCATGATGCTCCTCCATATCAACATCTTCTCAGGCCTCATTGTCTTCACTTTCCTGCTCAAGGCCGGTAGCCTGCTAATTTTAGCCCAAGGTGAGCGGCAAGCTCAACTCAGTGATCGTCCTTGTTGTGGCTAAAAAAGTGTGAGCCCTTAAAGGGCGACTACTAGAGCGATTACAGTAGATTTACTACTTGGCTTTAACCTCCTCACGCGCATGCTCTAATAGAAGCCTCTGCTCAGCTCGTGTAGCATTCTGGAAGTTAGGAGTGCGCTTGAGGGTCGCATGCTTGGGATAGACTACGACGTTGACGCGGGAGAGTGGAGCTCACCGAGGGTACAATAGCTGTGATGCATTAGGTTGCTCTCCTTCGGTCGGGGATTTTGTCGCTTCGCAAGGCTAAGGAGGCACTTAACAAGCGTCAGGGAGCCAAAAGGACACGCATGCGGCTTGTAGGATTACGTACTATGCAAGATGCATAGATTCTACTAGAGCAGAAAGCTGTACGTGGAGAGGCAGTGCAAGAAACGCAGCTGTATAATAGTGCTGCAGAGGGAACTCATAGAGGATTCAATCCTGCGGCGCCTGCGGTAAGCCCGATCATAATCCGCGCAGAATCATCAGATTCAACTGTTTCTGATTATAGTTGGTTCCTCGTGTTGATTGATGCATTGTAATCGAGAATAGTTGTTTTAGGGAAGGAAGGAGTGAGCTATTCGCATATATGCGCCGCTTGCGTATAATAATGTTATATATTACCAGGAAAGTTCCAGTCGACACCACTGAAATAGGACGGAACGTACCAATGAAGGTACTGCTTGGAGGAGCTTTCCACGTGCTTTTACTTGTTATCACCATACAAGTCTCCGCCTTTGTCCATGCTTTTGTGGCGGTCTAGAAGCTCGCGCTGTCGTTTATATATAGCGTCAAACTTGGCACCCTTTAACTCGCCAGTGCTATCAACATGAAGCGTATCTCCAAATAGGTGCAGTTCGGTCTGGCTACGCGATGGTATGGCGCACGCGCCCGTCTCCCACGTATTAACGAAGTAAGCTTCCGGCACTGTTTTCTTGACGGGCCAGCCCGGAGCTAAAGTTTTGGGCACTCTCTAACCAGGCGATGTTTAGAAAGGGAGTATAGGGATGCTTTGAGTATGAGTTCTAAGCTTTATTGAGTTAGGGAACGGGGCTAGGGTAGGGAGGGAGAAATACCTACCATATGGCATCAATTTAATAGCGGTTGCATGGTAAACCGCCACCGCAGCAGCATAAAATGGGCCATAATATTGGAGTCATGAATGCTAAACAGACTCCTAATATTCCTTTCCGCCTCTCCCTCCACCCTTCCTTTCGTCGTGCCTCTTGTGGGAGGTCGCCCAAGTCCTCTCTAAATCGGGACTCTCCGGGGCCAGTGCCATTCCCGCAGCCGGCCACGTTTGGGAGAGTAGACATGGTTACGTGGACCGGAGAAACAGTGATTTAGTCTTCACTGAGAATTGTGACGATTACTTCGTGGCATATATATCTACTGGCCTACGAACTCGGGTCATTAGGAGCCGACACCGGCTGTCCCGAGGTGTTTAAACTTAAATCAGGGTTGTCAGAAACGGAACCTGTTTAAAGCAGCTACATTCGGATTGACTAACGTTATAGAACTGGCTTATAGTCTGCTTCTGCAGCTCTTATTGGTCCCCACAGCCAGGCTCCATACGGAGATCAGTTGCAGTGCTTTCTCTAACGCAAACCTACCAATGGAAAAAACGAGGATAAATCAAACGGGCAAGACCAGTTGCTTCTTTGCCTGCGTACCGTTGAACATTGGTGTAGAGAAAAGGGAAGTCCAAGCCTCCATCTTCGAAGTCCAGTCTCCTAGTCGGGCATGCCGCCTCCGCTCTCCAAGCTCCCAGACCCCGGGCCACCGCCCGATTGGATGAGCATTTGGGTTACAGAAAGACGGAAACAGCCGGTTTTGGCCTCTTTGAAAAGGAGCAAGTTGTGGTCTCCCACATAGATTTTCTTCAAGACCAGAGAACCTATGTGGCTGCAAACGACTGCCTTTGCCTCCTGCTGCCGTTCGGTATGATTGCTGTTATAAATAAGTCGCTTGTCGCACATCAGATCGGGACACGCTTCCTTAGTACGGCAGATATATCTCCCTACCTGACTGGGTTTCTTAATCCCACACAAATATTCTAGGTCAGAAATTGCGGGAGTATAATCGCTCTACTTCCTCCCCAGATGGGAGGTGTGTCCATATTGACCTCAACCGTTCGATCACGTTGATGGTACTAGTACAATACTAGTTCCACTTGTATATTCCATGAGCGCAACGGCACTACAAATCTCTAGATGTATAGGATGTCGTCTTTACCCAGAGATGTCCTCCCGAGAACGTGTGTGTCAGAACAATCACATTGTTTCTACGCCTTAACCGGCCACTCGTTCATTGCTCCAAGAAGCCAAGTTGTCATTGCCAGAAGGGATCCTGCGGACTCCGTCTTCGAGATTCTCGCTTCAATATCTTCCCACCAATAGAAACGGCGAACCACCATTACCTGGTTCCCATCTGAGCCTGCCACTTCGAGGGTGTGGAAGGCGTCGGTGAACGCCCCATACCCTCTTGTAGCAAACGCGATCTTACCAGTGTCCGTGTAGCTGGAATATATCTCCCGGTCGTTTAGGTCTTGTGTCGCCGTAGTTGGTGGGTCGGGTGCTGGCGGCCGTATAGGGGAGGTATGGGCGTTTAAGCTGTCGGTTTCGATGGTCAAATTACCCGTCGAGAAAGTGGTTGTTTTGTATGGCTTCTGCATTCCCACTCGTTGCTGTTGCTGGGCCAGAGGAGCTGTGCGGTTTCGGGCTCGCTTGAATTCAGGAATTTGATCACTCCAGAAGACGTCCATATAAGGGGACACCTGATGCACGACTGGTAATGTTTGACGCCTAGAAAAAGTCAGTCACGTTTGCTTTGGCGAGCAGGACCACGAACCATGGCTCAAGTGAGCTTTAAACTGCCAGTCCTGGACAGACCCGTGGACCTTTCCTTCCAATACAGCAGGTATTTTCCACCAAACTTGTATGATCGGTCAATGTATCGCACTAGAAAGCAGGAGTGGTATACACTTATAAACTAAGGAGTCCAACGTTAATGATAAGAAGGGCCACCAGTATAACGGCGGTGCCAGCGTTGTTCTTCTCGTCGACGAACAAATGAAGGCCCAAGCCGCTACGCTGATAATGATAAACTGCTAGCCAGAAAAAGAGCATGACCATCGACGCCGTGTCGTAATCTCCCCAGTCCCCCTGGCCAGCCAGAAATCCTTTGACAATCAGACCAGGGGGCAAGATCATCGACATCAAGATGATCAGTAGGAAAGAAAGAGAGATACAGTAGAGACCGAATTCAGTGTCCCAAATTTTGGAAGTTCAACCTTTCTCCCCACGGGCCAGTTTGCCACCGACTAAGGATGACACAGTGCGTCGGCGGCCACTTTGTACTACTACAAGTTAGCTCCAATAGCTGGAACGGCCGCCGTATAAATGCACTAGCCGCTTTAGGCGCTGACATAGCTGTGTCTGGGGCTTTATTAGTGCCTATCCTTTGCGGCGCGATCTCCAACCTACAAAGTTGCGATGCTCGCCATAGAAGTCAGCGTGATACTGCAGTTCTGAAGCTGCTCCGATATGGATTTGATGTGGCCCTGTCTAAAGACGTCTAGGGTTGCGCGGTCTCGCTACGAGAGCGTTCCGTCTGTGCTGTGCCGAGTCCAGCGTTCGAGAAATGTCTTGAATCTTTCGTAGGAAGTTTTACAGGAAATTATTGCAGCCTTCGACTGAACTGTAACGGCCTCACCTAGCGATTTCCACTGCGAGTCTGTAACGGCCTGCACCGAAGCGAAAGCAAGGCCCACGGATTGAAGATCGTTGGTAAGCGCCGTCAGGGTATCCGGTGCGTCGGCAATGTTCTGTAGGTCCTTGACCAAGTGTCGTACGCAGTGCAGCGTTGGCGCGACGATGCCTACGACACTAGCTGTAATACTAAACGGGTCTATAGCGAAGTGGTGTGAGATGTGGTCCATGCACCACATCTCCATTCGCCATACAGCCCCGCAGAGCTTCCTGCATGCCTTTCCTTCCTTCCATACCTTGGTAGTGGTTAGTTGGTCACCCACGACAACACCATACGATTCATCACCACTCGTGTTGTCTCACAAGTGGTCGAAGGCCGCGATAATTTGCGTGTCAGGGACGAAAATGCCTCATTGGAGCTAAGGTTAGGCAGCCGTCATATGCGGCTGAATTGATGCTAACAGCCGCGTAGCTAGAGGATACCCATTGCTTCGTCGCCATCGAGAATCGACGCTCTAGCAACCATCCAACGTATATGATGCAATCCACATCTTTCGAGCGTGGAAACCGGGGCCAGCAGGTGGGGCAGAACTACGGGACGATCAACAATGAATTCCACTTGCCACTAGGTAAGGTTAGGACCGTGCGAACCGAGCGATGCCCCGCTGACATTCTTAGAACGCCCGGAAACCCCACCGGCCCCCTTCGCGACCATTCCCTTCTCGCGCGACCCCGATTTCGTCAACCGCGGAGACATTCTCGAGCAAATTGGGCCAGCGATGTTCCGAACCCGCGGCTTGTGTGGCGCTCGTCGGCCTCGGTGGGGTCGGCAAATCGCAGCTAGCCATCGAATATGCACACCGGATTGCCATAGGGCAGCCTGACAGATGGGTGTTCTAGGTCCACGCTGGTACGTAGGCGCGCGTCGAAGAGGGCTTCAGGACAATTGGCGACGCCGTCAAGCTGCCCGGCCGGAACCAACCCAAAGCGGACATCGCACAGCTTGTGTATGGCTGGTTGTCCAACAAACGCAACGGCAGATGGATGATGATCCTCGATAGTGCCGACGATCTCGATATATTTATTATACAACCCGACTACCAGCGACGCATATAATAGGCGGCCGTTTGCAACGTATCTGCCTCAGAGTCGAAATGGATCGATTATCGTCACTACGCGCAGTAAGGATCTGGCTTTCAGGCTGACCGGGCGCCGCTATAATATGATCGAAATCGGACCGATGGCGCAGCCGGACGCCCTCGCGCTCCTGGAAAACAAGCTAGGGCCGCTTTCAGATACGGATGTGGCGACCGATCTCGTACAAGCACTCGATCTTGTTCCGCTGGCCATTAGCCAAGCTGCGACCTACATTCAGGCAAGGGCACCGCGGAGCTCGCCCGAGAAGTACCTAGCTGAGTTCCGCGAGAGCGGACGTAAAAGGAGCAGGCTGTTATAGTACGATGCGGGGGACCTATGGCGGGACGGAGGCGCGTCGAGTGCGATTCTCACCATATGGCAGGTATCCTTTGATCATATACGGTCTAAGCGGACTTTCGCACATGTTTAGGTTGCGCTCAGTTATCGACCTAGCGAGGATATGGCTGGAATATGGGCAAAGCTTTTGTATAACGGGGGTTGGTATACGTTGTCGCAAGGGAGATACGACGTTGCGTAGTAGATAGCAGGCAAAGCAAGAAGGGTCCGTGAGAAGAAGCTGGGAAAGGAGGATGATGTGACTCTAGCAAGCATATCACTATTTGCTCTGGTTCTTTAGGACCGAGGTCAATGGCAGGAGGCTGAGGAGCTGTTTGAGCAGGTGGTGGAGACTCGCAAGACCAAGCTCGGGGCTGCCCACCTAGACACGCTGAGGAGCATGGCGAACCTGGCATCAATATACTGGAACCAGAGCTGGTGGGAGGAGGCCAAGCAGCTAGAGGTGCAGGTGGTGGAGACTCGCAAGACCAAGCTCGGGGCCGATCACCTAGATACTCTGACGAGCATGTATAATCTCGCTTTCACTTGGGAAGATCAAGGTCGACACTCGGATGCTTTAGCACTAATGAGGGACTGTGCCTAGGCCCGACAGCGCGTGCTTCCCACGGAGCACCCCGATACGCTATCATTATTAGCCGCTGTCGCTAAATGGAGTAGCTAGAGCGTCTTGTCTAATGGATACGGCCTATTGTAATCCGGATATTCACTTTGGTTTTTGTCTCTGATACGAGGACATACACCTCCACCAGGGTCACAAACCTTACAGACCAGGGTGCTGACCAGGGTGCTGGCAAGGTGGCGAACCATGGCCCAGTTTGCCAAGCCGACCACGTATATACAAAAAATAGGGCCAAAATCAGCTATGAATCAATATTTTATTGTATCACCCCCGTTTTCTATGCACATCTGCAACCGCCTCGGCATACTGTAAGCCAACCGTAGCAGGAAGTCCTCCGGTACTGCATGCCATCCATCCACCAGGGTCTGCCGTAGCTGTAGCTCAGTAAAGTCCTGGATATCTTGGTCTGGCCGTGACTCAATCCAATCTTTCAGCCACGGCCAGACATTCTCAATAGGAGCAAGATCGGGTGACTTAGGCGGACACCGTAGTACTGCGATCCCATGTTCTCTCAGCCAAGTCTGTGTTCGTCTTGCCCTGTGGGCCGAAGCATTATCTTGCTGGAGGACGATGGGGCCGTACTGCGTGTTAAACTCCTCCACCAAAGGTAGGACATACCGGATATAGTTTGCTGCGTTAATGCCGCCGTAATCCTTCTCCCAAATCATGAACGGACCTTTCCTCCCTCCCGCAAAAGACCCCCAAAACATCCAACCTTTTGGCTTCCTCTTTTTCAGTGCGTATTTGCTTAGATCATCAGTCTTGCTCATTAACACTCGCTTCTTCCACATAGGGTCGTTGAGAGCCCAGGTTTCATCGGAGGAAAGGATAGTTATCCAGTCTTCCGGATTCGGCCGGAGCCGCAGCATCTCTTGGCACCAGCTCACACGTTCTTGCTTTTCCTCGTAGGTAAGCTTGATCTTCTTAGGCCTTATAAACGAACCCCAGTTTAGATCAGAGACCGCGCGGGCAAGAGCAGCCTCGCCGTAGAGATTTAGAGGTGGCGGGACGTGGTACGGCAATTGGTAGAGGGGAGTATAGCGGTTATAGCCGCTCTCTAGCCATTGCCGTAGCTGCTCTCTATGTGGCGTGGTGACCTTGCCTTTCCTAGGCCTTTTCTTCTAGGGTGTGACCGGGCCATTAATGGATCTTTGTACCTGTGCCCAGGTATATATGGTATTGTTGACGATCTCTCGGTAAGTGTAGCCGTGGTCGTAGAGAGCTCGGATTCGAATACGGTCATCCCGGCTTAGTTCGGTAGCTCTGATAAATCGCTTCGGCCGTGGTGTGGCTGGGTTTAAAAGATTAGCAATGGCTAGCCCTCTTGTGGTAGTAGGTGCTGACAGAACCGTAGCTGTAGACCCGGGTGTCGATACGGTTGCAAGTGCGGTTGCGGTGGTGGTGGTGGCGGTAGGTGCGGCTGTAGCCATTGCAAAAGCCCTGCAATAAGGTGCAAAGGTCTTGCAAATGGCCTACCGGTTGTGTTGGTTCGAATGCGATGGCGATGGCTGCGATGAATGGAATGCAATGTATGATGCTCTAGGTTTTTGAATGGAGGTACTGCTCCATAGAAATTACTAGAAAAGTGACCTGGAATCTGAATGCATAAGCGCCTATCCATCTCGGTCAGCACCCTGGTCTGTAAGGTTTGTGACCCTGGTGGAGGTGTACGGATCCGTAGTTATGTACGGATCCGTAGCTATCGGCCCGTCATGATATGCGGATTCCGTGTCAGCCTCAAACCTGCGTCCGGTCCTGATTGGTGTGGCGGCATATACGCCGAGCCGTATAGCCGTGTCAACGCTAAAAGCGGCTAGTGCATTTATACGGCGGGTCCAGCTGCAGCCGGTTCTGGATGTGACTTGTAGTAGTATAAAGCGGGCGCCGACGCACTGTGTCATCCGAAGTCAGCGACAAGCTGGCCCATGCAGAGAAAGGTTGAACTTAGGAAATTATGGACAACTGGATTCGGACTCTACTGTACCACTGGCTAACGTCAAAATCCAGGTTAGCCATGGCGTGACCTGAAGCGGCAACCTGCAGCATAGACGATTTCCTGGTGCCGAGGAGACTCGAAACCTGGCCAGAAGTGGCTCTGTGAGCACCCCGATGTTTTAGCCGAAGAACAGCCGCCCTCAACCCCGCACTCGAACTCCATCGCCAAATCCGTCAGACTCAACCCCGTCACGGTGTTCTGCTTCGTGTAAGAACAATCTTTTTACATACGTAGGTACATACAGTACCTTGAAATGGTCTCCAAATTTTCTATACGTGCCTAACGCTATAGTAGCTGATTTCTTACTTCGACGGGGAATACGAAGGTCACGGCATCACGATATGGCGATTACACGATTCCCTTAACTGTCCCGAACTTCTCTTCCACAACATCCGTCCCCAACCCGAAGCCTCGATTAGTAGCCGCCACGCTCTACCAGCCGCCCGACACGGCTAGCGATTCAACTGCGATTTTATGTCGCTTCGTCCGTGCCGGCGACTGGCAAAGCCACGAGATAGACATGAAGTTGTGGGCAGAGGCTGGCCCGCCGATCGTCGGAGAGTCAAGTCCGGGCCTAGAGACGCTAGCAGAAGATACTTGCATCGGCCATAGAGAATACATGTCATGTAGAAGCAACATCGATCCGTCAGCTATTTTTCCCAAATATAATGCCACTCATCGTTCCATTGAAGACTCCGATCTGCATACCTTCATTCTGGTTTCCAAAGTTGTTGACCACCCGAGCCTGGTCTTTCCGGGCATTCGCAGCTGCGGTATAGATACCTGAGAGCAGTTCGTTGAGCAATGTACGCGATTGCTTCAAGACAGTCTGCTCCGCTTCTACCTGGCGGATCGTGCTAGCTCGGTCGTCCTCCGTCTCGTCCTGCTCTTTTTTGGCGAGGCGAAGTGCTCCAAGTCTAGCATTCGCCTTAGCCAGCTGCTCCTCTGTCGCCGAAATAGACGCTGAAATCTCGGCTTCCTTGGGATATCGTTATTATCACCTCTTGGTTACTTGCATCTGTTGAAGGGAGCTATATCTATATATAGTCAGAGCCTAGCTATATTGAGTTCAGGGGGTCAGACTTACAAAGTCGCGATGCAGACAACCGAGGTGAGGGTGATGTTGCATTGCTGGAGCTGCTCTGATATGGACTTTACAGAGCCCTGTTTGAGAAAGCCAACCATTGCACGATCCCGTAAAGAGAGTTTCCCATCCTCGCTGTGCCGCGTCCAGCGACTGAGGTCGGCCCTAAACTTGTTGCATGACTCTCTGCATAAGGTAGTCGCAGCTTTCAACTGGCTGACTACAGTCTCACCAAGTGACTTCCATTGCGTGTCGGATATAGCCCGAACTGAAGCAAGGGCCTGGTCTATAGAGAGCAGATCTTTCCTGAGCGAATTGATGGTTTCGGGCGCGTCGACGATCTTCTGGATGTCATCTATGAGAAGGCGTATACAGTGCGCTGTCGGAGCAGCGATACCCACGACAGCCGCCGTAACGCTCAAAGGGTCCATCGTGAAGAGTGAAGCACTTGGTTGTCCTCCTTAGAGTGCCGATCGCTGCCAGACGAGTTCTCGAGGCTGAGCCATCAGATCACGTGCAGCTAGGCTGCAACCGATGGGCTGCCGTAAGCAAGCCTTGGGCTGCCGTCCATGGCCTTCTCTTCATGTGTCGCTCTACATCCGTACCGTCCCTGATGATAACTAGCCGTCGTTCAACAAAAGTCGCCAACGATGACACAACTACCGTCTGCGTCTTTCGGACCGTTTAACCAGGGTCTCCAGGTGGGGCAGAATTATGGGTCGATGGAGATCCACCTGCCGCCGGGTAAGGTTACCGTAGCGCCGTGCGAGTCGAGGGATGAGAGCAAACAGCACATCAACTGATTTTTTCTAGAGCATTCCACCGACAAGTCCCCAGAACGATCGCTCGAGCGCCTCGACATCCTCCCCGAAGCATCCTTCGACGCGGCGAACAAGCAGCGTGTGGCGACCTGTCTCCCCGGCACGCGCCGCGATGTCCTTGCACAGATCAGGAGCTGGGCTAATGGCGGCGGTAACAAACATATATACTGGCTCAAGGGCTGGGCAGGCACGGGCAAGTCGACGATTGCGCTGACAGTGGCCCGCGAATACAGCAAGAAGAAGCGGCTCGGCGCCAGCTTCTTCTTCTCGAGGGGTGGGGGCGATCTTGCGTCCACGCGCAGGTTCGCCGCGACGATCGCCGTCCAGCTTGCAGAGGCGTCGCCGCAGCTGCGCAGGCACATTGCCGATGCTGCGGTCGCTACTCACCGCATCCACGGGCTCGGCTTGTACGACCAGTGGGAGAGGCTCATTCTGCAGCCGCTGGCGCAGCTGAGCAAGGACGCATTCCCGTACTCGCTGGTCATTGTTATAGATGCCCTGGACGAGTGCAACAACAACGACGAGATTTTGCTCCTGATTCGATGCTTTGCGGCCGCGGTGGCTGTTGGGCACGTCGACCTAAGGATATTCGTCACAAGCAGGCCGGACCAGCCGGTCAACGTCGGCTTTAGCGATATCTCTACATACACGCACCACGACTTCATCCTCCACCATATCGAACAGTCGATTGTTGATCAAGATCTAGCTATCTATTATAAGCACCAACTCGGACGAACAGTACAGACCTCTCTTCTTGACGCGGCGTTTCTGTCTGACGACGTGATCCAGACGCTGGTCCAGAAGTCTTGTGGGTTGTTCATCTATGCTGCAACGGTATGTCGCTTTGTTCGCGCAGGAGGGCTTCTTGCCGGCGAGCGGCTTGCTCATCTAGTGTCTACCGAGTGCTTGCCTGCCAAAGCGGGGACGGCATTGGACCGGATGTATATGACGGTGCTAGAGTACTCTCTAACCGCCGAACTTGAGCCTGAGGAGATGGCTAGGGTACGAGAACTACTCCGACGTGTTATAGGCACCATTGTTATGCTCTTCGACGCTCTTTCACCTGCTAGCCTTGCTATGCTACTCGACCAGTCCAAGGAGGCAATTGCATTGCTGCTGGGCACCTTTCACTCACTCCTTGATGTCCCGGAAGAAGAGGACAGGCTGATTCGGCTTCTTCACCCCTCCTTCCGCGAATTTCTGCTGGATTCACAGAGATGTTCTAACACAACATTTTGCATCGACGCCACAGAGGCACACCAATACCTGTTCGAATGCTGTCTGAGGGTTATGTCTAGTTGCCTCCGCCAAGATATGTGTGACCTTAGACGGCCAGGAACCCGAGTTACCGACGTTCTCAGGTCGGAGGTGAATAAGAATATTCCATTTGCCGTCCAGTACGCCTGTCGGTATTGGGTCTATCATCTCGAGCGGAGCGAAGTCGACCCTCAAGAGCACCGTGGTATCGCGGAGTTTTTTGAGGCTCGCTTCCTCTTCTGGCTGGAGACTCTCGCGTTAATCGGTCGGCTGGCTGATGGGATTGCTATGCTCCAGCTTCTAGAAACAAGATTACCTGTAGGTATTCCCGACCCTTACTCTGTCCCGCAGCTGACAGGAGGAAGAGGAGCACTACAACCGGACTGCGAGGCCTTTTTAGCAAGATAAACGCTAAGTTCTTGACCAGACGTGCACAAAACCCTCCAAGTCTGGGAGCAGTAGTCTACGATGCAAAGCGATTCCTGCAAAGCCACAGCTCAATCATCGAGGAGGCTCCGCTTCAGGCATACTGTTCTGCTCTAGTGTTCAGTCCCGAAGCGAGTATTATTCGTCGGCTTCACATGCGGCATCTCCCTAAGTGGATTGTGCGCGCGCCAGCGCTCTCAGAAGCCTGGACTGTACATCTGCAAACGCTAAGCCATCCTAGTGCAGTCAAAGCCATCGCCTTCTCGCCAGACGGCCGGCTCATTGTGTCGGGCTCTGACGACAGCACGGTCCGCGTATGGGATGCGGCCACGGGGGCCGAGCGGCGTGTGCTGCAAGGCCATTCGAGCTGGGTCAATGCCGTCGCCTTCTCGTCGGACGGCCGGCTCCTTGTATCGGGCTCTGGCGATAAGACGATCCGCGTATAGGATGCGGCCACGGGGGCCGAGCGGCATATGCTGCAAGGCCATTCGAGCTCGGTCAATGCCGTTGCCTTCTCGCCGGACAGCTATCTTATCGTATCGGGCTCTGGCGATAAGACGATCCGCGTATAGGATGTAGTTATAGGGGCCGAGCGGCGTATGCTGCAAGGCCATTTACACTGGGTTAATGCCGTTGCCTTCTCGCCGGACAGCTGTCTTATTGTATCGGGCTCTGGCGATAAGACGATCCGCGTATGGGATGCGGCCACGGGGGCCGAGCGGTATATGCTGCAAGGCCATTCGAGCTCGGTCAATGCTATTGCCTTCTTGCCAGATAGCCGGCTTATCTTGTTGGGTTCTGACGATAGGACAATCTATGTATGGGATGTAGCTATAGGGGCCGAGCCGCATATACTGCAAGGTCATTCGGGCCTGGTCTATGCCGTCGCCTTCTCGCCGAATGGCCGACTTATTGTATCAGGCTCTGGCAATGAGACGGTCCGGGTATAGGATGTGGTCATAGGGGCCGAGAGGTGTATATTGCAAGGCCATTCGAGCTAGGTTAATGCCGTCGCCTTCTTGTCGGACGGCCGGCTCCTCGTGTCGGGCTCTGGCGATAAGACGATCCGCGTATAGGATGCGGCCACGGGGGCCGAGCGGCATATGCTATAAGGCCATTCGAGCTCGGTCAATGCCGTTGCCTTCTCGCCGGACAGCTATCTTATCGTGTCGGGCTCTGGCGATAAGACGATCCGTGTATAGGATGTAGTTACAGGGGCCGAGCGGCGTGTGCTACAAGGCCATTTATACTGGGTTAATGCCGTTGCCTTCTCGCCGGACAGCTGTCTTATCGTGTCGGGCTCTGGCGATAAGACGATCCGCGTATGGGATGCGGCCACGGGGGCCGAGCGGCGTATGCTGCAAGGCCATTCGAGCTCGGTCAATGCTGTTGCCTTCTCGCCAGATAGCCGGCTTATCTTGTCGGGTTCTGACGATAGGACAATCTGTGTATGGGATGTAGCTATAGGGGCCGAGCCGCATATACTGTAAGGTCATTCGGGCCTGGTCTATGCCGTCGCCTTCTCGCCGAACGGCCGACTTATCGTATCGGGCTCTGGCGATGAGACGGTCCGGGTATAGGATGTGGTCACAGGGGCCGAGAGGTGTATACTGCAAGGCCATTCGCGCTGGGTTAATGCCGTTGTCTTCTCGCCGGACAGCTGTCTTATCGTGTCGGGCTCTGGCGACGACATGGTCCGTGTATGTGATGCGGCCATGGGGGCCAAGCGGCATATACTGTAAGGCCATTCGAGCTGGGTTAACGCCGTCGCCTTCTCGCCAGATGGCCGTCTTATTGTATCGGGTTCTGACGATAAGACGGTCCGCGTATAGGATACGGCCACGGGGGCTAAGAGGCATATACTGCAAGGCCATTCGAGCTAGGTTAATGCCGTCGCCTTCTCGCCAGATGGCCGTCTTATCGTATCGGGTTCTGACGATAAGTCAGTCTGTGTATGGGATACAGCCACGGGGGCTAAGAGGCATATACTGCAAGGCCATTCGAGCTCGATCAACGCCGTCGCCTTCTCGCCGAACGGCCGGCTCATTGTATCGGGCTCTGGCGAGGACACGGTCCGCGTATGGGATGCGGCCACGGGAGCCGAGCTGTGTATACCGCAAGGCGATTCGAGCTCGATCAACGCCGTCGCCTTCTCGCCGAACGGCCGGCTCATCGTGTCGGGCTCTGGCGAGGACACGGTCCGCGTATGGGATGCGGCCACGGGGGCCGAGCTGTATGTACCGCAAGGCCAAAAAACCACTCTGTGGTTTCTCTCTTTTTCCTCTTGTGGTATACATCTCGTTACCGGCCGTGAAATTTTACGGTTGCCTGACTCCGACTGCCGATGCTCGCATCGCATTTTTGCCACGAGGTCTTGGATTACCTACAACGGCGAAGAGCTACTCTACCTCCACCCAGATTTTCAGTGTTCATTTGAGTTTGTTTCAAGCTGCGTCGTCGTCATTTACACGGGCCGAGCTTCATATGCCCTGAAGTTGGATTTATCAAGAGGGAGAGACATGCTATAGTGTATATAGGGGAGCATCTCTTACGGCGTTGGTTGACTTGACTAAAGGGTAATATAAGGCTTCGGCTCTTGGCGTCTAAATCAGTCATTTACTTCTGCTATGCTCGACCTGCTACTGTATGTACGGTACTTGCTCAGAGCTCCTTTTTCTTCTATCTTTGCCCGTTCTAGTGGTCCATGGGGCCACGTTCAATTTATACTAGGTGCTGCGCCTGAGGGAAGGTTCTCGTATCTTCTTGATGGACCTCTGTATTAATCAGCACTTGACTTACTTCTGTCACTGCCGAGGTCAGCTTGGGAGCCCGTCATCTACCTGAAACTAGCCGGTGCTGACAATATTTCAACGCAGGCAAAAGAAAGGAACACTGTGACAGAAGGTGACTTTCCTCGGGTTAGGGTTGTGACCTCACCTTCCGTAACCGGACAGTGCACCCACACGTGTATTTCCCGCACAAACGTGTGTGCCTCTATTTTCTTCCTTTTCATACCTCCCTTTAGCTTTCGATTCGCAGAATAGAGTTTCATTTCCAGAGCCTCTACGCCTGCAGTGGTTTCGCTCATCTCTTACAGACACCTTCGGGGTATGTATGTACCAGAAAGTATGAGACCAGGATCCATTTAAGGAATTGTATGTGACGGCAGTGCGGGCTGCTGTCAACAGTACATAAGCCACCTCAGAGTTTCAAGTTGTCGAACTTGAAATTCTGGCATCCTTTTAAGGAGGTTAGTGCAATGGCATGGTGGCTCCGTTGCACGCGCCGTCATATTGTACTAATAATGTATATAGTTGCCCTTTGTGACGGGAAGTGATCTTGGGTATACGATTGTATTGACATGGTTGCGCGAAGGATCGCAACTGTGGGGCAGGCAAGGCTGTCGGAAATACAGCCCTGGCTGATCATGTGGGGTGGTGCAACCCTAACCCTAGCTACATACATAACATCATGTCACAGGCTTGCCTGTGACACCCTTTTGGGTTAAACCCCTGGGCGGAATAATTGTGTCGTGTGTAACTACTAGAAAGTTCCTCTAGGCTTCTTTTGGCGGCATGGTCCCTTACATTGAGAAATGGTGGCAATACTCGGTATGGTGCCGAAAAGATTTAACACCCTTTAGGCTTAGCGTTATGAACTTAGTTCAGCCTTTTTTTGGGCTGCCCCGAGCGGTACAGAGCCAACTGGGGAGCACAGTATGCAAGCTCCCACTCATTGAAAAATGGTCTGTGCTAAGGATTGTTTCGACATCAAAATTTTGGACACTAATTTCGGTCTCTACTGTATTGGAAAACGGTTTCTTTGCGTCAGCGGACGGCTTGCTCTTTTGCAAAGCAAACGTCCTTGATAACCCGGCGAGTCAAAGATGCTCTTTCGCAGAACTGGCACCTAATTTAAACACCTATGTGTTTGGCTACCCCTTGGCAATCCAGTGGGCGTAGTCGATGGCCAGTTGCGACTTGCCAACACCCCTAAGGCCCACAAGAGCCACCCAACTGGCCGGCTCAGAGCATCGATGGTGGACTTGGTCAAGAACGTCTCTACGGTGAACGAAATCGGAATCGCGAGCGAAAGGGATGTTTGCAGATGGCGGCTGTGTACAGTAGCTAGATGTTTAACTTACATTTTTTTTCCTGTTCCTCCTCGTACCCTGTCAAGTCTGTTCGCGCCAAAAACGGCTAAGTGGGTTTTGAGTTGCGATGTCTCAGCTGTAGCTAGTTCTGCCGCTTGCTCGTCACTCTACGAAATGAGTTTGCTACGCACTGTGTGATACACAATTTACCCCTGAAGTTGGTCCGTGCGGACAATCTTTCAACACTGAAAATCCGGACACTGATTTCGGTTTCTACTCAGTAGAGACCGAAATGAGTGTCCAGGATTTTGATATTGAAAGATTGTCAGCACGGGCCAGCTTTTGGCCTGATGGTAGCTTATACAGTGTGCGGCAACCCACTTTGTATAGAGACTAATGAGCCATAAAACTGGCGACCGCCGAGACATCGTGGCACAAAGTCCACTAACCATTTCTGGCGCTTATAGACCTGGAAAGCCGCAAAACTGGCTATAGCTGATGCACGGTACAAAACCCATTGGCCGTTTTCGGCGCCACCAGATCTAGATAGATATAATGAGAGCAGAAAGGAAAAAAAACACTTTTTCTCTTCCTGAAAATACGATAGTGTTAAAAAAAAAAAGCCTAGCTGCGCTATATTAGCTACGGTGGCCGAGGACGGTCATATATCTAGATGATCTGCGAAAAGGACTGGTTATTTAAGCCTTAGCACAGTCCTCCATCAATGCTAATGTATCTGTATATGGTCCCTGTTTTTTCCTAGTAAACGCGATGGTTGTTTATATACATGAGCATGTCTGGGTGACCGACACGCGGTCGGTGTTGCCGCCCTCCCTGGCCGATAGGATCACCTTTATGGCGTCCTCCCGCCGGCCTTGATGCCAGTAAACCGACGCGACATTGCAAATACTCCTCAGCGTGTATGGTTTGTCGTCCCCCAATACAGTCCTGAAGGTCTCCATTACCAGCACAAACAGCTTCTCTGCCTCTTCCCCCCTGCCTTGCTTCAAGGATGTTAACGCCAAGTTGCTTATGCTCTACAATGTGTCTGGGTGGTTGACTCCGAGCTTGATCTTCCTCGCCTCTAGCACCTGCACCTCCAGTTTTTCGGCCTCCTCCAGCCGGCCCTGGTTCATATACACAGTCCCCAGGTTGGCCATGGTGCTTAGCGTGTCTGGGTGGTCGACCCCGAGTTTGATCCGGCTCTCGTCCAACACCCGTATAAGCAGCTTTTCAGCCTCGTCCCACCGGCTTTGCCTCAACAACATTGACGCCCAGTTGCCCATGATCTTCAGTCTATACGAGTCGTTGACACCAACTTTTGCCGCAGTCTCTAACACCAGCAGGTGCAGCTTCTCCGCCTCCTCCCACTGGCCTTGGTCCGAAAGGACTATAAAAAGCATGAGCATGCATGATAGAGTCGCCTCATTCTCCTTTCCCAATCTGTCTTCACAAGTTTTCTTCGCCTTTCGTAGCATTTTCTCTGCTATATTGTAACTTTCTTGCGACCACGCATACCAACCACCATCATGCAAAAGCTTCGCCCGTGCTTCGACGGTTTCTTCACTGGGCCGGTACCTAGAGACCACTTGGACGTGTGCGAAGAGACTTCGGCATGTCGCCCAGTTCTCGTACTCCCCTGTTGGAAATACCGCCGCCATTCGCTCAATACACTGCTGCTTAAACGTCTCCTGCCGCTCATACTCTCCCAGCCAACTTCTGGTCGACAGCTGCACGAGCGCATGCATCTCAAACTCATCCTGCGCCTCGTCCGCGACGATGAGACAGAAATCCCTCAGCATCGCCACATCATCTTCGAATCCGTCGTCGACACCGTCGTCTATATCGTCGTCTGTGCCATCATCTGCGTCCCCGTCTGTAGCACTGCTGCCATCGTCAGGAGGGTTCAGAACCCACCCAGGGATACCTTGTCGATCGAAAAAGCTCATAAGTGACAAGAGATCCGCCGCCGAAGGCCGCTCGGACTGGATGTGGTCAAAGGATATCCGCCATGTCGTGAGGATCGTGTTTGACGCCCCTGCGTCCCGTCGCAAGTCGCCGGCATCGTGCTCTAAAAGCTTGCTTCTTTTGCGCTCACTCTCCCGGAACTCGGCCAGGTACTTTTCCGGTGAGCTCCGCGGCACCCTCGCCTGTATGTACGCGGCGGCCTGGCTGATGGCCAGTGGAACAAGGTCGAGCGCCCGTACGAGATCGAGCGCCACATCTGTATCTTGGAGCGGTCCTAACTTCTTCTCCAGGAGCGTGAGGGCGTCCGCCTGCACCATCGGTCCGACCTCGATGATGTTTTGGTAGCGTCCGGTCAGCCTGAACGCCAGGTCCTTGTTGCATGTTGTGATGACAATCGATCCGTTGGGGCTTTGTGGTGAATACGTCGCAAATCGCTGCTCGTTACGCGCGTCACTATAGGTGGGTCTATAGAATATATCGCGGTCATCGGCGCTATCTAGGATCATGAGCCATCTGCCGTTCCGCTCGTTGGACAGCCAGCCGTATACAAGCTGTGGGATGTCGGCTTTAGGCTGGTTCCGGCCAGGCAGCTTGACGGCGTCGGCAATCGTCCTGAAGCCCTCTTCGACGCGCGCCTGCGTGCCAGCATGGACCCAGAACACCCATCTGTCAGGCTGCCCCTCGCGGATCCGGTGGGCATATTCGATGGCCAGTTGCGACTTGCCCATACCGCCTAGGCCCACGAGAGCCACGCGACTGGCTGGCTCGGAGCATCGCTGGTGGACTTGGTCGAGGACGTCTCCACGGTTGACGAAATCAGGGTCGCGAGCGAAGGGGATGGTTGCGAACGGCTGCGGCGGTGTTTCTGGTCGTTCTAACGACGTCAGCGGGGCCCCTGGACTCGCAAGGCGCTTCGGTAACCTTACCCGGCGGCAAGTGGATCTCCGTGTTCATCGACCCGTAATTCTGCCCCACTTCAAGACCATGGTTCAACTGTCCAAAAGAGACAGACGAGAGATGCGCCATCGTCGGCGACTGTGTTGAACGGCTGCTAGTCATCGCCATAGACAGCACAGCGACGGCTCAAAAGAAGGCCATGGATAGTTGCAGAAGTCTCGCTTACCGCGGCCCAACGGTCGCGGCTGAGCTGCACGTGATCGGATGGCTCAGCCTCGAGCAACTCTTCTGGCGGCGATCAGCATGCTCAGGAGGACACCCACTCCCCAAACTTTTGACTCTTCACGATGGACCCTTTGAGCGTTGCGGCGGGCGTCGTAGGTATTGCCGCGTCGACAGCGCATTGCGTACGTCTTCTCATCGCGGATATCCGCAAGATCGTTGACGCGCCCGAAACGCTCAATTCGCTCACGGAAGATCTGCTCTCTGTGGAGCAGGCCCTTGCTTCACTTCAGACCGTGTCCGATGCGCAATAGAAGTCACTTGGTGAGACCGTAGTCAACCAGTCAAGAGCTACGACTACTGCCTGCGGAGAGTCATGCAACCGGTTTAGGACCGACCTCGATCGCTGGACACGGCACAGTGAGGATGGGAAACTTTCTTTGCGAGATCGCGCTATGGTTGGCTTCTTCAAACAAGGCTGCGTTAAGTCCATGTCAGAGCAGCTCCAGCAATGCAAGATCACTCTTACTTCGGTTGTCTGCATCGCGACCTTGTAAGTATATCCCCCTGAACCTGTCATAGCCAGCCGTTAACTCTATTTAGCTATAGCTCCCTTCAGCAGACGCAAGTAACCGAAGAGATGAAGAAGGCGATATTATAAAAGGAGGCCGAGATTGTAGAGTCTATGAAAGCGGCAAAGAACCAGCTGGCTAAGGTGGATGCCAAGCTCGGAGCACTGCGCCTAGCCAAAACAGAACAGGACGAAACAGAAGCCGACCGCGCCAGCGCGATCAGCCAGGTAGCAGTCGAGCAGACTGTCCTAGGTGAATCCCGAAAACTACTCGAGGAACTGCTCTCTGGTATCCACACCGCAGCTGCAGATGCCCGGAAAGACCAGGCTCGAGTCGTCAACAACTTTGGAAACCTGAATGAAGGCATGCAGATCGGGGAGTTCCATGGGACGATGAGTGGCATTACATTTGGGAAGAAGTAGAGGTTGGATCGATGTTGCTTCTACATAATAATGTACACTCTATGGTTGACGCCAGTCTTCTGCTAGCGTCTCTGGGCCCGGATGACTGAAGTTCGGCAGTCCGGTGTCTACGGCCAACTCCAATATCTATCTCGTAGGTTCTGATCGTTGACAAAACGAGACAAAGTCGTAGTTAAATCGCAGGTGGCGTCTGAGGACTCGCAAAGCTTGGCAGCTTCTTTATCTGATCGAGGCATGGGGGGACGCGTGTTGTGGAAGGGAAGTTCGGAACGGTCAAGGGAATCGTATAATCGCCGTATCGTGGTGTCGTGGCCTTCGAAGTCCTGGTCGAGACGGGGAAGTAGTCACTAAAGCGTCGGGCACGTATGGTAAACTGGAGAACACTTCCAAGGCACCTACACATAAGAATTGTTCTTACAGGACGCGAACCCGAGCACCGTGATGGGGATTCAGTCTACGGATTACTGTGACGCGAGTTTGAGTGCGGGGTCAAGCACCGAGTCGAGGGCGGCTGTTCTTCGGCTAAAATATCGGGGTGCTGACAGAGCCGCATCTGGCCAAGTTGAGTCCCGTCGGCACCAGGATTCGCTTGTGGGCAGGTTGCACCTCAGCAGTTACGCCATGGCTGACCCGAATTTTGACTTTAGCCGTTTGTATACCGTTACCGAGGATGTTGTCGATCACCGGACCCCTGTTGCGGGGGTGTCTGATCTCGGTGGCACGAGCCCAGCGCACACAAGTCAGCCACAGAGAGCCAGGCCCGGACTGCCACTGCTCCAGTTGGACGACTAGGATCCCAGCCTGCCATATAACGAATCTCCGCCCACATGCATCCAGTACTCTATCGAGTGGAAGCTAATGTTGAACAAAGGGAGACTCGCAAAGCTTACCAACGACACAGAGCAAAATCTTGTGCTAGCGCCTAGCGCTTTCTGGGACAGGACCTTAAAGCCAAAGTTACCCCCGGGTGGGTTCTGAACCCTTCTAGAATCGCCAAGGACGCCACACAAGCGAAAGGTCTCGACGAAGCCGGAAAGGGGGATTCGGACGATGGCAGTAGTACCACAGACAGTGATGCAGATGATGGCGGGTTCGAGGACGATGTCGCGATGCTAAGGGACTACTGTCTCATTGTTGTAGATGAGCAGGTGACGACTTTGAGATGCATGGGCTCGTGCAGCTGTCGGCGAGGAGATGGCTGAGAGCGTCAGGGCAGCTGGAGACGTTCAAGCAGCAGTGCATCAAGCGACTGGCGGCGGCATTCCCAACAGGGGAGTACGATAACTGGGCGACGTGCCGAAGTCTCTTCGCACACGTTCAAGTGGTCTCTGGATACCAACCCAGTAAGGATATGATCGAAACATGGGCCACGCTTTTGCACAACGGGGGATGGTATGCATGCTCCCAAGGGTTATACGAGGTTGCGCAGCAGATGTTAGGCGAGGCAAGGATAGCCCGAAAAAAGAAGCTAGGAACGGAGGATGTGGCGACTCTACATAGCACGACAATGTTTGCTGCGGTCCTTTTGGATCGAGGACGGTGGGAGGAGGCCGAGGAGATGTTTATGCATGTAATAGGGACTTTAAAGACTAAGCTCGGGGTCGACCACCCATATATGCTGAGCAGCATGGGCAACCTAGCATCAACGTACCAGAAGCAGGGCCGGTGGGAGGAGGCCGAGAAGCTGGAGGTGCAGGTGATGGAGACTCGCAAGACCAAGCTCGGGGCCGACCACCTAGACACACTAACGGGTATGGACAACCTGGCGTCGATATATATAGACCAGGGCTGGTGGGAGAAGGCCGAGAAGCTGCAGGTGCAGGTGATGGAGACTCGCAAGACGAAGCTCGGGGCCGATCATCCCTCGACGCTGACTAGCATGGGCAACCTAGCGTCGACGTACTCGAACCAGGGCCGGTGGGAGGAGGCCGAGAAGCTGGAGGTGCAGGTGATGGAGACTCGCAAGACCAAGCTCGGGGCCGACCACCTGGACACACTAACGGGTATGGACAACCTGGCATCGATATATAGGGACCAGGGCCGGGGGAAGCAGGCCGAGAAGCTATCTGTACAGGTAATGGAGACTTTAAAGACCAAGCTCGGGGCCGACCACTCTCACACGCTGACGAGCATGAATAACCTGGCGTCGACATACCAAGAGCAGGGTCGGTGGGAGGAGGCCGAGAAGCTGTCTCTGCAGGAGATGGAGACTCTCAAGACTAAGCTCGGACGTTGACCACCCACGCACGCTGACGAACATGAACAATCTGGCGTCGACATATCAGAAGCAGGGCCGGTGGGAGGAGGCCGAGAAGCTCTTTTTGCAGGTGATGGAGACTTTCGAGGCCAAGCTTGGGGTTGACCACCCACACACGCTGACAATCATGAACAACCTGGCGTTTACTTGGAAAGGTCAAGGTCGACACCCGGATGCTTTAGCATTGATGGAGAAGTGTACCAAGGCACGGCAGCGAGTCCTTGGCCCAGACCACCCAACTGCACGATCGTCGTTGGCCACCGTAGCCAAGTGGCGTACATAGCTAGATCTCTTTTCTTTTCATCGTTTTCAGAAAGAGGTTTCATCCTTAGCTGCTCGCAACTGCCCAAGTATGTTGGCGCCGAAAACGGCTAGTGAATTTTGTGCCGCGATGTCTCGGCCATTTTTGCGGCTCACTGGTCGCTATAGAACGTGAATTTGCGCGCACTGTGTAGGCCACAATTAGCCTAGAAATTGGTCCGTGCGGACAATTTTTCAACATCAATATCCTGGACACTGATTTCGGTCTCTACTGTACCTCTATTGACGAAGACAACAAAAGTGAGAGGAAAGAGAGAAAGCACATACAGTAAGTCAGTCAGGCCTCATCGTGGGCTTTTCGACTCCTCTGTTTGTTAACCCTAGCCCTTCTACAGCTCCAATCGACCTCCGGATGCTCCACCAGCCCACTGCGCTATGCCGGGAGCGGTTTCAGCAATATCTCATTCGACTGGGACCATAGAGAAAGACAGGGACTTTGCCCACTCACCTATTCCAAATCAGGGGCTCCGGCAGCCATCGCGGCCCACCAAAATCGGTTTTGTTGAGGATAGGGATACCACCACGGCTACTCCTACGCAGTGCCGCGGTGGACATGTCTCTCAAGAACCATCTGTCCTCCGACGGGTTGTGTCCACGCCGGTGGACGAGTAGGACCACCTAGCTAATGGGTGTTTGGTTTTATAAGGATGAATTTGAGAAACAAAGGCAGAGCGGTCTGTGGCACGTAGCAAGGAGTGGGAAGACATGACATACAACAGCATTCTTTGTCACGAGCGCAAAACATAGCAACTCTTTGATCATCGCACTCTGCCACACCTCACAGTCCTGTCAGACGGCCGCGTCAATAAAAGGGCTACTAAACCGCTCTCCCTCGTTTCCCGTTGACACCGCTCCTTCAGCTTCCCTCGCGCGATACCCTGACTCCCGCATCGAAATCACTCGGAAACTCTCCACTCCCTCGACGGTTCAATACCTATCCAGCAAACTAAACAATTGCTCTCCTCAAAACTCCGACACTGCACCCTTCACTCTTCACACACAAGCTCCACAGAGCACGAGCAGGGCAATCAAGTTCGCTGCCAGTTCACTGGAGGATCTGTCTTCTCACCTCCTTACAGCAACTCAGATCCTCTCACATACTCGGCATCTATTCTGAAGATGACATCTCGCTCGGCCTTAGGTCTTCCCTCATCAACTTCGTTATCCGAATTGCCTTATACCGCAGAGACTAGCCCCAACCCTCAGAGAACCGCAGTCGACGCCGATTCCGCTCCTAAGACAGCTCCTAAGAAGGAAGAATCGAAGGCTAAAGAAGATTACAAAGCTTGTTGCGAGTGCCTGTTCTGTCTCTGTTGCCCGCTATGCTGGATGTACAAAGCGTTCTGCGATATCATGTCTTCTTAGTACTATATACCGGCCATCTTCTTCTTCATTGTCGGGTCCCTAGCCATTTCCAGCACGAACACCACCTACATCAGCACAATCATTCACAACAAGTATAGCAACCTCCGAACTCAAGGAGTCTCAATCTTCACGGCACACAACTTGCCCATCATTAAAGCCGAGTTTACGTGCTCTTCCGAGCTCACTCTTGAACTCGGGGAACGGCCTTCGGCGATTTGAGACACAAACGAGAGCAGCTCTGGTGGCCGCCAGCCCAGCGGGTTTTCCAGTTGACATGATGTTTTTGAATGTGGATATCAGAACCGTTCGAAGATAGACGATAATGCTATTGAGACCGGAGCTTCCTTTCCGCCAAGATTGTTGAGTACGGACAACCTGTTGCAGTCTCATGTCCTATACCTCAAATGAGGCCGTAGAAGTGACCGCAATTCCAATGGCCACAATTTTGCGTTGACAGGCTGCCTTGTGAGCTGGCCAGTCAGCCCTTTGGCACGCAACAGAGCAGTATACCACGGATTTACACCGCCCACAAAACGACTTGGCTTCTTGTTGCATTTCACGCAAAACATCCTGACAAAGTTCTGGCCTGAGTGCTTGGCGGGAGCAAGCAAGCGAGCGAGGATCAAAGGAGGAATGACTCTGAGTCCTTCGAGCACGCTGAGGTTGTATGATATAAGCAATGGAAAACCCTGTATAAAATGCAATATGCAGTCGCGAAAGCGGTCGAGGTGAATCAAAAGTGTTGTGTACTCGTTCGAATGTCATTGGCATTGGCATGTAAGATATTCCACATATGCGGGCACTGAAGTCCTTATCTACTCTACAGGTGGGACTCCCATATGTAGGGCTCCCGAAATCATGATATCCAGCTTCCCAGCTTCCTGTAACATTGTAGAAGTCGCCTCTTCCTCCCGGGTTGTAGAAATCGAACACCTAACCAGAGGGTTGGTCTGTGGCTAGAGTCTATGCTGTCAAATCCTTCGTGGTTCTTGAGGAAATCGTGGAAGTCCACTACGTACTAAGGAACAGATGTCCATTCTGAATGCAGTATGTAGAAGAGGACTTCTCCGGGGAAGGCGAAGAATTGGTAGTTTGCTGTGGACGGCCCAAGGACACCTAGGGAGCAGCGCTTCAATTTATAAGTTTGCCGTAGGATTAAGTTAAGGGGGTCCAGCAACAAGGCAGACTGGGAGGCTCAGAAGGAAGGACACTCGGGACGGAGCCATGTACCCAACGGCCCGCAATTGCCACAGCAGGTCCCGGTTCGTGCACAGCCATGCCGCTGTTCTCTAATGTGGGGTGATGGTAGGGCAAGGCGTCTGAACAAACGAGGCAACTTGAACTAAACGAACTGGCCATGCTTGAGCAAGAGACCAAGCTAAAGCTGGATAACTCGTAGGGCGCCCTAAAATCTCTCCGCAACGAATCTGCCGCGTCACTGAAAGCCCGCGAGGAGCCCGCAGTACCCCCCCGGCAACCCAGTATCACAGACCGACGGCGACAATGTTGGTGGAGCCAAAGAAGCGGCCACCGGCGCCGCGGCATCCAAGGCCGACGCAGACCAATCACTGATAGCCTCGTCGAGCCTGGCCGATTCGCACTCGCCGCCTATGTTGTCATCCCAGGAGAGCCGGAATACGCCGCTGGAAAAGCACGCGCCCACGTCACGTCGTGCAGGCGGAAAGCCCAACAGCAACGACGCTTCCTGATTGGCGGCCTGGCAAATGCATGGAAACGCGGTAGGTTCAACTTCGTTCCTGCTGTATGTGTGCTCCAAACCCGTAGATGTGGAGCATCGAGACTGATCATTAAAGGATGGAGGGCATCTGGTCCCATTTCTTCAACCAACGGGCTGCCAGGGGTAGAGAAAGTCGCCGAACCAACCCAGCCATTGAGGTCTCATCTGACATTCTATGCCCAGTCCGATCCGGAAGAAGAGAAAATGGCCACTGGTGCCAGATCCACTCGTTCGCGACGCACAAAACTGCCCCCATTACGATCGTCAACAAGGTCGACGACGCATTTCTCAGCCGAGACTTCCGCTTCATCGACTACTCGGTCATCTCCAATAGACTTGTGTTCTACGCTAGGAACACATGGACGTCACACTCTGCATCCCTCCTCATTCCTCCCACTACCTCCAGCAACTCGATGTTGGGTGCTTCCAGTTTGAGAAATGGACACTGCGTCTATTCTCAGTGTGCAGCTAAAGACGATGGCCGTCGAGGGTTGGCTGATGGAAACCTGGACGGCGAGCGAGAAGGGGAGGGTTGTAATAATGGTAAGTGCTGCCAGTATGACACTGCCCGCAGGCAAAGACAAGCCAACAGACACGACGAGCGGCGGCTTCAGTGCCATCGCGTCGGGCCGGAACACAGCTGAATCCAGATGCCGGCGCACTTCTGGCTCTTCGCATTCGAGTTCCTCTTTGGGTTAGCTTAGAATTCGTGCTCATGAGGGAAAGGAGACTGTAGTCGGCCGAGCAGTGCCCGAATGAGACGCTGTCGAAGCTACTGCTGGAGCCTCCCAAAGCCGCTAGTCCGACTACCGCCAAGGCGGCTTCGGAGGCCCGGCCGGTAGCGCAAGATCTTCAGAACTTGCGGGCTCACGCGCCCCATCCTGCTTAGCCATTTTGAACGTGTGGGTCTCGCGCGATGCGGAACTGCGGCACTTGTGAAGACGAAAGCACGAAGTTGATCCATGGCTCTGCATGTGAAGATGAGAGCGGCTTTTGGCTCTTGGAATCCACGAACAAGAGCCAATTCTGGCGCTCGTAATCCTTGCAAAACTGGCAAGGAGCGAGTGCGACCTTGCGACTTGCTTCGGGAACGGCTGCAAATGCGGGGCGACTGCGGCCTAGTTGATATCAGGCGTTGACGCCCCAAGGGAGGAGCAAAAACGGGACCTATCTTTACTGCATGCGTAGTCGAGCCTAATCTTGCCGTTCCTGCTGAAAATATGGCGGGGAATCTCACCGATCAAGAGAAAGAGAGGCGCCGGAGGGAAAAGGCTAGGAAAAGAGGAAAGAGTGCTATGAGAAAAGCTGTTGAAACAGGGCGTGATTGCAACATTTTCACTGCCTTTGTGTATTGGAATCCTACCCATAGACGGCTTGAGGGAACTGTATACCTTCCTGAGGATGTCGATCTCCCAAATGTCAACGACTTTGTAAGTATTTTGTTTGTCCAAGGACAAGATCTATTGCTAATTCATCTTAGCTCAAGAAGCTTGTCACTTCCGGAAGACGCACCGAGCGGAGAACCCGAACCCGAAAGCAGCATGGGCAGGCGAAGCAAGTCCAGGATGAGATCGTTGTTGAACCGGTCCAAAGTAGTCCCGACGAGGACGAACTAGACGAGCACCAGCCAAGCACGCCCACTTTGCAGTCGGAGGCAACAGATCGTAGCGGCTCGCGAACGGACGGCAACATCACCAAAACAACCAACGCAGATTCGGCCAGTCAGGTTACGACAAGTGAGCAATCGGTGGACGACATGGACATCGACTCACTACGGATGGATCCCGAAGAAGAACCGAGTAGGATCGCACCGATAAGTGCCTGTGCGGAAGTGAACAATGGGTTGATGAGCGCAGACCCTGATAGAGACTTGGTCGCGGACATGAGCATGGCGAATACGCTGGCGAGCGACAATCCTGATTGGTGCGCCATGACCCATTTTTCCATGGACGCAGACGCTTTGAAGGGATGCGACGCGCTGGTTGGTGGTGAGGTCACAGGTAGCATTGTTTCTTCGCAATGCATAAGGGCCGAAGACCGAGTGGCAGCAGAGAGAATGGTGCGACGTGTGCGAGAGTTCCGAGAGATTCTCCTTCAATGGAGTCCAAAGGGAACACGACTACATCAATGCAGCCATACAGCATCCAGGCTGAACCGATACTAGAATAGATGCTTCGCACGCGTCAATTTAATATGGCTCTAACCCGCAAACGTACTATGCCCTCGTTGTGAGCTGCGATTTGTATGGATCTTAGCAATCACCAACCGTGCTACAAGGATGGTAATATGATGGAATAAAGGTTGGCCAGATCGGTAGAATCGCTAGAGTTCATGGGATGCTGGGCATCGTCCTTGGCCGGCCGTCATCCAAGTCTATATCCTACCCTCTAAGGTAATCTACCACCCCGCTGTTGCCGAGTCGGACACGCCGACTTCCTAACCTCTTCTGGCTAATCTCACCGCGGTTGGGAGCTGCAAAAAGGAGACAGTGACCATCCCGCCAGGACTTATGCTAGATGATGGCTAGAAAGCCGACCGAGTGGGGCCAAGGGACACAGCCGTTTCCCAGTCGATCCAAGTAGCAGTGACGCATCTCAGTTCCCGGTCGTGTTGGGAGTAAGAAGATGGTGAATGCAATTTTGCGGCTACAGTGTACATTAAACTGAACTCTAATTACTTAGTACTCCGAGAATTTATCTCTGGGCATATATTATTGCTCCTGGCCAAACCACGCGGGGTCGGCCGCTTGCGAAGTCTGCTCTGGGAGATAAGTTTGACCCCAATGTTCTACTTCACGAGTCCATTGCTCGATCTTCTCCATGATTTTCCCGAACCTAGATAGGCGTTAGTAAAATTTATGGTAGTTGTTAAGAGAGACTCACCCCCCATGAGCGTCGTGTAAAGCGGCTTGCGCCCTGTCTTCTGATTAGCAGGTGCGCTGCGAAAGAAAAGAAATATAGCAACAAACTGGTCTCTGAGCTCGTTCATCTGGGCTTTGAGCTCGTTCATCCCGTTTTTGAGATCCTGCATATATTCCAACATGCAGGTTACCTGCCCTGACTGGTAGGCTACCTGACCCGACATTGCGGCCACTTTGATATGCAGACTAGATAAAAATAAGTTTCCATGATAGTTAAGAACGTCGGGCTCCTTACCTTGCAAAGTCTTGTTCGTCTGCCATACCAGGCTGCCCGTTCGCGGATTCTAATCCCGGGGAGCGATAGTAGGCCGCCTGGGGCAGTTGCGTGTTTCCTCCAGGCGCAGGGACGTTGGTCGCCGCGACTGCGGCGACATCATGCCCAGACATCCCGGGAGACTCCGGCATCGGCCCTGGCACCGAGATGCCGGTTTGTCCATTCGTTGCTCGTGCTGTGCGAGCATAGACGGGCCTGAGGGCACCCGCGGCCGCAACGGTCCGCGCTGCGGCTTGGGGTTTCCGCGGTTCCCGAGGGGGCCCTCTGAATACGCCGGTGTTGCCGCTCCTCCCGTTGAAGCCGCCGAACATCGTGGAAACTGTTGAGATAGGTAAAGAAACAAAACTCTGAAATCGGATGCGGGCGGATGCCAACGCATTTATGCTATGCGGTTCACCGAGATATTCCGAAATGGGTCGAGATGCAGCGAATGGCTGCGACGAGCACCCACTTTGCTGTTTTTGATATCCAATCATGGATCCCATGCGTAAAATGAGGCGGGGGCACTTGACAGGCATCCGGCTGCTTTTCTAACAGCCGGATATGGCTGAGGTTTCGTTGCCGGTCCAAGTTCGGTTGCAGGTCGACGATGACCCGAGCGCGACAGAAACTCCCGTCAATGCCGTACTAACTCCGAGGCAAGACACCATCAAGACCGCGTGGAGGTGAAGATGTGAGCTGCAAAACAGAAAATTGCGCAACAGCCAGGATCCTATGTTGGTTCCTATGTTGGTTCGCCAGGATCCTATGTTGGTTCCTATGTTGGTTCGCGAGACTGAGAATCTGCCAATAGCAAATGCGGTGCTAATTTCGGTTCCAAACCGTCGGGACGGGCCTAGCCGCTTCTGGCGCTTCCCCGGACGAGTTTTAGCTGGCGCCCGCATTAGCCACGGTCACATGTTGCTCCACCATTGGGGTGGCCTAGGCGGGCCAAATGTCGGGATCCGTCTTTTGCTGCTTGCTGACCCACCTGAGTTCCGCCGATGATACCTCCGTTGAGCTAGACAGGACGAACCGCGCTTGACCTAGGGGTTTTAAGGCCGGTAACCCCACGGACACCCTCTGATTGTGTGTGCCCTTATACACGGTGGAGTCCTTCTTTTTGTCCGGAATTTGCCGTAGCTATCACACAAAAGGAATCGCCAGTACACTTTTGGCCCTTCCCCTCGACGAGCTATGGACTTGTCTTGGCGCCTGACCAGTCGAAGGACTCGGGCAGTGTTTGTATGTCGAGCGTCTACGAAGACGTTAGATGAAGTCTGGCCGGGGGACGGAAACGCGAACCATTTGGAATGCCAACTCCGTGAGAGGGCGACCAGAGGTTTTGCAAGGATGCTCTAGAGAAGACTGCGGGTTCCTTCGACAGTAGTCAGAATTTAGATGTTATTCACGATGAAGCAGGCGACGTCCAGCCACAATGGCTAAGGCCTGCGATTTCGACTTGCGATCATGAAAAGTGAGGATTGGGGTAGAATGGAAATGCAGCCTTCGGTTGCTGCCCGAAAAGTCGACGTGGCGAAACAGCAGCGCACAACGAAATGGTCACGGGTCTCCTGCGTTTTGCGACATTAAGTTCGAATGCGGGGTTCTCCTGGGGTGAGTCGCAGCAGGATTGTTGGATTGTTAGTTTGTGGGATTTAGAACCCCCACCTTTTTTGAATTGGTGGATCACGCTAATGCTAAAGAGCAAGCATTGAACTCCCTGGTTCCGCTGTTTGTAAACTTGACTGATTGGCCAATTGCTTCTCAATCCCTGTAACAGTACCATCAGTCTCGTACAAGGCTTCAGCCTCAGAGACCCAAACAGAAACCTCACAATAGGACTGAAGACGTGAGCTTGATAGTGCCAGCTCAATGGTCGTTGTAGTTCGTTTTTGATCCCCATTGCACACCCCTAACCAGCCACCTTTCTAGTTACCCCTTGCGGTTCACGCGCATGTTCCTGCCGTAGGGGGTGAAAGCAGATCATCACGTCAAGGTGTTCATCATGCACGATGGTTCGCAGAGATCGCACCACGATAAACACACAACGATCTGTATAGTGTTGCAATCCATGTTGAGCAGAGGAGAAGCAGACTGTTATCAACTAGTAATTCAAATCATGCACTTCGCGGAGATTACTCACAACTCGGTAAGGTAACAACCATCCCGACTCGCGTATACGGCCGCAGGAGCAGGCACATGGCCCTGGCTGGTATGTTTGTGGGCCGATGCAACCCTGTCGAAAGCCGCAGGGTGTTCCGAGACAGGGGAGAGCAGACCGTCAACCAAGGCGAACAAGTCAAGGTGTGAATCATGCACGTTGGTTTGCGGAGATCGCTCCACGAAACAGACACAACGTTTATATCGACTCGCCATCCATGTCTGCAGATGCACCTAGCCAGTTTCGGTTTCCGGATAGGGCTGGCTGAAGTGCTCACGGCGTCTTAGTGGTCAATAGCTTCGATCTGGTGTATTGGTATGGTATGCATAATCGGCCACGACGTGAACGTGGGGGAAGGTGTGAAAGCAGACTCTCGGCGGCAGACACAGGGGATAGCCAAAGCATCCAACAGACGGGGTTTGGTTCGGGAATGCCTGCTCACACTCGTCAGTCGCCTAACCAGCTCTAATCCGAGCTCACCAGCCGGCGGGTATAAGAATGCCATCTTTCCCATCAAGGATCCCTCCCTCACTGCCATCGCGACAGCCATTCCTAGTGTCTATTGTCCACTTGTACTTGCCTGTCTTGATTCAAACCCATTGCTCTCACCTCTCATTATGTCGAATATAAACGAAGATGACAAGACGTCATACCACCAAGCTCCTCTAAACTCCGCGGTGAGTCCACTGTGTTAGCTGAAGTTCCCGGAGACTGGGCTGATAGAAGAACCGAATAGGCCAACCTGAATGAAGCTGTCCCGGAAGCGGCCCATCCGGCTCCGGATACCGCCAGCGCCAGCGGGACTGACTGCCCTGACCAGGGCCCCCCATCCGATACTCCGGTAAGTACCGGTAATCCAGTGCCAGACCCTTCTCTGACAAGACGCAGGTTGAGGCTACGGCAGATAACGCGACCAATAAGTCAACCAACGATAACGAACCAGACAACAGACACATCGCCGTTGATGAATTGAGTGTAGTTGTTGATGTTACGGAGGAAGTTACAGGAAAAAGTGGGGTCGACGGCACGGGCCAATGAGATTTATGTTCCCGAACGTTTCGATGTGACAGTAATTCTTCTCAGCCCTGCAGTTTTGAAAGTTACACAAAGTTGGGCTCCGCTGGGTGCCAATAGGTTCTCCACCTTTGCAATTTGTCTTCCCCATCTGAACTGAGGCGTGACTGGTTTGCATCGCCAATTTGGTCTCTACGACAAATTAAATACTGGTCCGGCTGTCTTTGTCGAACAAGGCCTTTTTTCACACTTTTTACAACACAACATACGATGGATTTATCGAAGCTGCTGCAACCACGACCACCTGGACCGAAGCCACAGGGGAGCAACCTCCGTGAACTGGTTGAAGAGGCGGGGCTGCGTGAGGAGAACTGGAAACGACGAGAAGACGTCGTGTGGGGAGAAGTTTACGAATGCCCATACCACGATCTACATGAACGCATCTTGAAAGAGTTCATTCAGGAATATGTACGTATTTACACCCACCCAGACTAGGAGACACCTCTAATATGGAGTATAGAAGCCGACCATACAAGAATGGGCGACAAGTCACAATCTTAAAATTCTTGGCACCAATGCGCGAGCTCCAAGTCTGCTCAAAAAAGGCTCAATATCAACGACAAGCGGGCAGGTCGCGGTGTTTATCCCATTCTCTTCGCAAAATTGCGCAGTTCAATACCAACCCAAGGAGCATGACGCTACAACTCGACAACCCATCGATTGGCTGAGCCCAATCTTGCTACCCGAGAACAGCGCGCTCATTCTCGTGAGCGGCGAGATCAGGTTTCTGCTGATTGTCATTTCCGTTGGAGAAGTCCGGGGTGACGATGCCAAGGGTGATGGAAAGAATATTAGTAGAGAGGAGGAAGGGCAGCCGCATTGAAATCAAAGTAGCGATCGAGTGACATCCACTCCGAAAAGTGACCGACGTTGATATGTTCCTTGCCAGAGAGTTCCTGCGAAGCCCTGCCGGTACTGACTCGGCCACTATCGTCTGGAGTCAGGCATGATAGTCCCATAGCAGGAGGGTTCACGGTACCGGTCCGGACTCCTTGCAGGCACGTACCAAACCCGCTTCCCTCCGTCCTAGCTGTGTCTCCTAGGTCGACGTCTGTGGAAGCTGGTTCCGTTAGGTCGTCCGGGAGGGCAGCCACCTGGTCCAACCTCTCAGCTTGCCCAGCTGCATCTGAGAGCAAATCTAATGGACTCGCCATCAAATTCTGGCATTCAGGGGGCATGGTTGCGAGGGCAACACCGTTGAGTGCCTCCTGGGTCTCTGTGCTGATCCCCCCTCGTGTCTCTCCGAGGTTTCTAATCGGGAAGGACGATCCGTCCGGACAGGTAACAAGGCCAGAGGCATTGAAGCAGCCGCTAACGAAGCGTCGTTCCATGGATGCAGTGTCTCTGCCATGTGACGGATCGGACTGGGGTGTCGATGCAGCACTTTCAGCATCACGTGGCGAAAGCCCACGGAAGGAGGTACTGGAGGTCTGTTCCGCGGATACAGAGATTGGGACAGCCCCCGTAAAAAGCCGCTCCGCGCGCTCCTGTCCGGCCACATCGGCAAGCAAGGCAAGGAACGGCGCCTCTTGGGCTGCTGAAACCCGGCCCGCGCCGCCGCGAGAAAGTCCATCCGCACCTCGATCCATTTTTCGTCGCTTAGTTGGAGGGGATGAAGTTGTCGGTCCGTCGCGGCCATGCGGCCCTGGGTTAATAGGTCGGAATGTTGTTGTCGAGGTAGATCCGTCGACATGCGCGTTCGGTGCTGCATACATATCTCCGAGCTGGCAGGCGACGAGCTTCTTTGAGTTGATCGTGTCCTGGAAATGTTGAAAATCCTCCTCTTGATTAAGGAGATCTACGCTAAGCGCCTTGCAAGTTGTCGAGTAACTGCGACCATATCAGCAAAGAGCGATGCAGCGGTCGATTGATCTTACCTCCATCGGCCGCTGACATTCATCTGAACAAGGAATGGGGGCCAAAATGGTAGACAGGCCTGTATCTCATCCGGGACGTCACAGCAAGGGATCTTTTGTGTGAAGATCTGGTTTTCCTTCGTCTCCTTCGGGCAGTACTTATAGAAGTGTATATCCCCGCCCTCTATAATGACATCAGTCTCAGATCAAGCGGAGAGCGATGGACGTACCGAGGAGGAACAGCTCGAAAGCGCGATGCCGAAGTCCGCGTCGAAATTGCCGTTGCATCTCTTGGAGCAGCCATCGCACCGACAACCGATCCATGTGGAGCTGCTCAGCGCCCTCCTCGCATTTCCCATTCCTCCGGCTCGCCGCCAGGAATTTTCGCTGGGCGGCGTCGACCAGGTGCACCGGATGACCTTCATGTATTGCCACACAGAGCGTTGCGATCAGAATGAGGGAAAGGAAACGGGATAGTTGGAGGTTGCGTCTTGTTGATGCTATATAGGAGCCGGCGTTTGCCGCAAAGGCCTCCAAAGCATCCTGCAGATCTGGCTTTGCGGTATGGTCCGTGAAACCACTGTCGTTGCCCAACCGGCCTGTCGTCAAGCAACCAACTGCGCTGAGAATGCCGTGCGCGTCAGATAAGCCAAGGTTCTCCCTTTTCTCACGCCACTGGTCTTCTGACCTGGGCAGGTTGTTGAAGAACGTGGCGGTCCGTTTGATCCAGACTGGCGACGAGGAGCGGCTTGATGACAAAGACTGCTCCGTCGGATCCCACATCACGATATTGAGACCCGGAGGCGGCGTCGGATGAGGTTTCCCCAAGACAGACTGGATAGAGCGTAGGTTGGGGACTCGGTCCGCTGCTTGGACACTGTCGTCGAGCTCGGCGTTTGGCGAATGGGGTGCGCGATGCTGGCGGCGTCGCAGCGTTACCAGTTGCTCCAGCTGCTGAATACATTCGAGCAGCGGGAGCCCACTAACGACTTCGCAAAGATATCCAGCATAGGCGCGGTCATCGCCGACAAAACCGTCTATGCGTGTGGCGCGCATTGTAGGACGTGAATGGACGATGGTCTTGGGCTTCACAGACTCTACGACGTCCAGCCAAGGTATTGCGAATATAGGCTAGACCGGATTTAGTCACAGAACATGTTCTATGACCGGATTAAGTAGGCACTCCACACTCACCCTCCTCGCGGAATGCCTGTTGGCGGGAAAACGCGAACAGGGTGTCCAGCTGCGCGCAGCAGCGTTAGCGCAATACACCTCTCGACCTAACTCTGGTGACCGTGAGCCTTACGCCCCTGGACGTCCATGGGCGATCCTCCCTATCACTATCACTTTCCACTTTCGGGCAGTCGGCGCTAATACTCGCGGTCATACACTCACGACGAACTCTCCCGTCCCATCGGCGCCGTATTAAGATTGACCGGCCTGGATGTAGCGAAGGGGCCTTGCTGCCCACGCTCATCGGCATCGGCCTCTCAACCGCGACATATATATTACCTGTGGCGCGACCTTTAAAACACCCCAACCACTTCTCTTCTCCACGGTGACTGTCTGCTTCTTGCCTGTCACGAATTTAGAGCCATTGCACTTCATTATTCCGATGTCCGCTCCCTTCACCTCTACGCTCGGCATTCCAACCCTCCAAATCTGGGTTACACGAGAGATCCGGGTCGCACAACAGTTTGACCACACAATCCCCGTCCAGCCGGCTGCCGCCCAAGGCGTCCCCCAGAAACCGGGTTTCGAAAGAAGCTGGGTCTGGGTGGCAAAAACCAGTAGTGTTCTTGAAAAGTATAGTTGACTCAAATATCCTCCAGCATCCGAGTACCTGAACTGATATTTTGTTACAGGCCAGGATTGGGCGCCTCAACCTCTCATTAGGAGCGTTCTCTGAACGTCGTGCTCCCGAGCGACTTCTCGACCGGCTTATCACATCGCATTGCTACTGCTGAAAATGGTGTATACAGCTGAGCCTATTAGTCTTCCGCGCCCCTTTGACACCACCCATGCTTGTACAGAAACACCACAACTCTATCCTCAGACGGCGCACCACCGCCAAGACAGCTCGAGCATGCCCTCAATCTCTCACTGCACGTTTGAGCGAGGGTTTATGGAAGGTCCGCCCGATGATCCGGCGTTATCAGCACCACTCTACGACGGACAGCACCACCTACACCAGTCGGCAACCCCTCCCTACACGATGCCGCCGCAGAATGCGGGCCGCGATGGCACCTATTCGCCGGTAATGGGAGACAACTCTTACCCGCAACAACCGTACCCCGGCGCGTCGTCGAGTATGGTGCCACAGAGCGCCACAGCGGCATCGGCTCCCCGACCGATCGATCCGGCTCCCGCCACCGCCGGCGGTCGGGCCCCACCTGTCCTGCGCCCGATGCCTGTCGGTGGAGTGATGTCACAGCTGGGGATGAAGTCTCCGTACAGCCAGCGCCCGCTAATGCCTCGGGCTTCTATGATGCCCGACAGCGATCCGCCCACACATGTGGTGGGCTCGCAGGGCCGTAGAGGCATTCTGCCCAGCACTCCAGGCCCGCCCGCGGCACTAGTTGCCGGAACGACTCAGGCGAACAACCAGATCTTCCTAAAGATGCTGACGAGAGGTTCCCTTGCCCTTACTGTACCAACACTTACGGGTATACGAAGCACTTGAAGCGCCACCTCCTCAACCGTAAGCCCTAGCCCTTTCGCTCTGAGGGGTGTGATTTGACAATTTCTCGCAGACACCGGTCACCGGCCGTACAGATGCATTTTGTGCCAGTATACCTTCACCCGCAGCGATGTCCTCAAGCGCCACTTCACCACGTGCGCTGTCAAACGCGGCAACCCGACTGGGGCCAGCCACCTGTCCCACCCCCAAGCGCGCACCAAAAAGAATGCTGCTGCCCAACAGAACCCTGCGGTAAAGGGCGATGTGAATTGCGTGCAATGGATAGCTTCCCCGAGCTGCCAAAGCAAAGACGCCGATTCATACCCCGGTTGGACAGCTTTTGACTCGGACTCGGTGAGTGGACGCTCGGGCGCCCGCTCCGTGGGGCCTTTGTGAAACGGAGGAGCGGGACAGAGTGGCGGCCGGTTGACAAATCGCCATTGCGGTTCCTTTCGGGCTTGCCCGGGCTGGCTATCTCCTGCATGCGCCAGAGCTCTTCCTTGCCTGGAAATCCGTGCCTGTCTTGTCCACTCAGGCTTTCGAGGTAATTAGGCGCACTCTCGTCCCTTCACATTACTAACAGGGCGCAGATTACCGTAACGGTGAATGCGCTGTACACCCCGGTTGTCCGTTGCTAGCCGAGGTTCAAGTATATCTTCGTGTTTGGAGCGGCGGTCCACATTCTTTGCAACTCCCTAGGTATTTGGAGTCTGAGGCAGTACAGCTTGAAGTTCATATGGACCACGCCGGTCACTCTCCTTGGCTTTGTCCTCGTTCTTGCTGTTTGGTTGCTTATCCGGTCACACCCCTGGTTACACCTCCGGGAAAGCCCCGAGAAGCGCCGCGAGTTTTGCAGATTTCTTTCACTTATGGCGGTCGATCTCATAGCGGTTATATTGTTAATTGTCAGCATTGTGTACGATTGGGAAGCCCAGTTTCTGGTTCAGTGTTTGCTTTGTATGGCTGGCAATTTAGAGAAACTCGAGCAGTTCTTTACGCCGCCACCTCCGAGTGCTCTGTTTGACTTCGACACACCTTCATCAGATTTGGCGACAGCACGCATTCAAGCTTCGTGGTGGAACGCGAAGGCCGCCATTTACATGCCGTTTATCCGTCGTTTCTGCGACAACACTCACGCTTTTGGCGACTGGCATTCCGAGGACTTGGAGAAGGTGAAACGAGGCGTTTTTGCTCTAATCGGGAGCTTGAGAGCGTTCTATGGTGTTTCCGGGGAGCTAATGATAATGCCCAATGTTGCTAGCACCGCTTACTTGTAAGACTTCCACTCCTCATGTTTCTTATAATGCTGACCTGTAGCAGACAGGTGAGAAATCTGCTGCTTATAGAGAGGTGTCGCACCAGTGCATGGTTGCGGCGGTCTCTCGAGACGGATTGGGAGGGGCTTCTGTGCCCCACTACCTTGTTCTTACGGGCGATATTAGGGGGACCAAGTCCGCTGACCATCGATACAGCCTTTCTAACATCTCTGCGGGAATTCGCGCGTGGTTGCACTCCCAGCTTAATCGACGTTGTAGCGTGGGATGCTCTTCGGTTTTCTAGCAGTACATTTGGAGACCTCGAGAATGAGGCTGGAGGTGTCTAGAAGCATTAAGTTCACGTTGCAACCTTCGTCGTATGTTTGGGTGTATCTTTGAGTATATCTGTAGCTGCTTAAGCGTAGAGAAATATCGTTGTCTCCTATCTTCAAGATCAAATAGGCCGACTGGTTCCTGGGGGGTATCCTGTTGCAGATCGACTCTGTTTAACGTATCTTATAAGCGAGTGACCCATATAAGCGAATGACCCACCCCCCTGCCAAACTTTAACAACTATCCTCGATTATACCACAATAATACTAGGAACCAACTATAATTACATCGGAAACAGCTGAATCAGATGCTTCTACAACCTCCTGGCAAGTGCGGGCATTATGGCCAGGCTTGCCGCACATACCACAGCACCGAACCTTCGTACGACCCCCCCCTGCACCACCACTATCCTGCTCCTTTTCTTGCGCCACCTCCCCAACCACGGCCTTCTGGCCCAGTTGATCCTTTGCATCATGTACTGCAAGCGATCCTCCAAGCTGCACGCGTGTTCTTTTTGCTCTCCGGCGCTTGCTTAGTGCCTCGTTGGCCTTGCGGAGCGAAGCGTTCTCTGCACGAAGGAGAGCCACATGGTATATCACCGCCGTAGTACTCTTAGCAAGCTGGTCTATAGCAGCCAACATCGAGGTTGGGGAGCTATTTTGATGGTTGGCAATGCGAGTCTTGATGAGTGTTGACTGCGAGGTCGCTTCTCGAGGGTTGTATGGTGTCTGGAAGATCCAAGGTTGTAGTATGCCAGCCCGCGAGTTCAGGGGTGTTGGTATATGAAGCCTCACATCCAGCTTGGATAGCACCCTCTCTAGATCGTACGGCATAAGGCCAGCACCTGCAAAGCCACCCTGGGTATTCTTCTCCGTTATGGAGGCGAAGAAGGCCTCACGGAAGGCATAGAGGAACTCGAGCTTGCTTACGTGGGTGATATACATCCGTATCAAGTGCTTAATCTGGCGACCATACGCCTTCTTTAGCGGCCCAAAGCAGCCGACATCAAGTGGCTGGAGGAGGTACGAGGAATGCGGAGGTATATAGAGCGTAATAATATTATTCTACTGGCAATAGAACTCGAATTCGGTGGAGTGGTGGCTCTTATGGCTATCGAGGATCAACAGCCGGTACTTGCCCTTTGCCTGGGACGCCGTATAGTAGTCAAAGTGCTTGATCTAATCCAGGCCTATAGCATTAGTAGTCCAGCTATTATCGGTGGTTGCAATGCGCCAGTTGGCCAGGAGGTTATACTCGGTGTACCAGTTAGCGAGGTAGTACTATATAGCCAAGATGATGAATAGAGGGATAGTCCAGCCGAGGGCATTGACTCCCTGGATAACCGTCGCCTATTTGCGGTTGCCAGGCTAAGCTAGCTTTGCCTTGCTCCTGCCATTAGAGGTTGTGACGACCATACCTGCACAGATGATGCCTATCATAAACCTAGTCTCGTCAAAGTTATAGATATCGTCATCTATAATGCCGTACTTGGCCTTAACGTTCTATATAAGGGCAAACCAATCGCCAATGACCTTTGGATCCTCGCACTTGGCCCTCTGGTAGTCGTATCTATACACCCAGCACATTCGGATCCCTTCCTTACATTGGACGAAGTTATATGCCCAGAGCTTGCCAACAGGGGGCGCGTCGTGTATGCATAGAAGTTGGTTGGCCATATCTTCCACACCACATAACCTGAGCGGAAAAGCTCGCTCGGAGAGCTCAATTATATATCGAACAAGCGCCTCCTCTTCGGAATCGGTAAGCCGGCGCGAGTTGGGCGTGGTATCGCATCGTGCAGGCTTTCCAGCGCGTCGACGCACTAGGGTTCTACGGTCGACCCCATAGATCTTGGCTGCAGCTCGTTCGCTTAGATTTTTATCGTTTTGAAGAACTTAGAGAGCCAAGTTTAACCTATCCTCTTTCAAAGTAGCGGGCATCCTCAATGGTAGAGAAAATGTGTTGTTGAGGGTAGAGGTGTCGCGTCGCGTAGAAAGTGGGTCATTCGCTTATATGGGTCACTCGCTTATAAGATACGTTATTGCTAATGTGAAATACTGTGCCTTCTAATATATCGCGATTATTTAAATCCCCTCGCAACCCACCTTCGACCCCTTTGAACATTTTCACATCCTTCTCCTTACGATGCCTTTTCCCACAGATACATGGCTTGAGAAGCTCCCTTTGATAGCATCAGATACCTATCGTGATACTATCGAGGGGTTTCGGCTTCTATGTAGAGTGTCCGTGGGCTTTACAAAACTCCTATTTTTCGGACTTGTCTTCATCTCTGCCTATATCTTTTCTTCACCAGGATATATGGTTATTGCCCTATACGACTTGTATCATTGGGCGCGTCGTTTGGCGACTAGTCGTCGAGGGTTACTTCCAATATACCATTATCGACCTAGACGAGAACCGTTTCACGGCAAGAGCCTATAGAGTCCGGTTTGCTTCTCACCCGAGTGTATCCTATATACTAACCTCGTTTAGTTACAAATCCCCACAATCCCGTGTCCGCCTGCTCCGCTCCCGCAATGATCTCCGACCGGGCTTTACCGGTTCTATCCGTTGGAGGCACTCTCCATCCCGACGCAGCCAGGGCTTCTCGTAAACGAGCCAAGGACGATCTGGGAGATGAGCACGAGGTATCACGACAGAGATCTACATCACGGCATAAAGAGGTCGAGGAATTTGGAGACTTGAGATCTGTCTGTCTTCAACGCAAGAACAGAGAGGTACAAATAAGAGAAGATGGCAAGCGAGTCCAGAAGCCTATCAAGCAGCGACGAAAAATGAAGTTCTGCCATGAGTGCAAGTCACTCTGGCTGCGGACCATGCGTTTCGGTTTCCCAGGTCCATCAAGCCGCCAAGCTCATGCCTCAACTGTGATCGTTTTTGGCCACCCCTGCGTCGACGGCCCCAAAATGCTATTTTTGGCTCCCTCGAGAGCCATTTTGAGCTGCCTTCAGCCTTTTGGCTGTTTCTCACCTCTAAAACCCACTTTCGGCTTCTTGAGCCGCTACTTCGAGTGGCACTGCGAGCGCCAAACATTCTCTCTTCACCTGTGGTGACGCATTTAGATTGGATGATGGAAGACGGGACGAAGCGAACGGTCAAATCGGCCGGAAAGGTAGGTTCAACATGATCTTCGAGGCCCTGAGTACATTGTCTTTCTCTGACCCCGCCGGAGAGTAAACTAAGTCGGACCCCCCCAATTCCGAACACCCCACATTCCGAACACTTTGTAAGCCTACACCGCTTTTTCGACCCCCTCAGTTCAACTTACCACAACTCAGTCAATTCTAAGTTAAATCACTTCATTTTTTGGGCAATAGTATCGTCAGTTTACGATGGTTTACTCGGAACAAGATTTACAAGATGCGGTTGCTAAGTACCGTCGCGGTGGCTATTTAGCGCGAAGCATCAGCCGGGAATTCGGCATCCCAATGACTACCTTATACGACCGCCTCCACGGCTCGCAGACCCATTCTATTGCCGCCGAACCGTAACAGACTCTTAGCCGGGTACAGGAAGATCATCTTACCCGATGGGTCTTGACCCAGGCCGCCCTCGGTGTTCCACCAACCCATACCCAGATCAGGGAGTTCGCCAGCCGAGTTCTATAGGTACAGGGAGCCACCCGTATAACCATTGGAAAGGGCTGGATAACCCGGTTTCTTTGTAGAAACCCGGTTATCCGAACCTAGAGAGGCTGTAAGATCGACTCAGCTCGTATCAACGGCGCCACTAACGCGGTCATCCGTAGCTGGTTCCCACTACTAAAGATCCCAGCCATCAAGGACATCTTACCTGCCAACCGCTGGAACTTTGACGAATTCGGCCTTATGGAAGGTCAGGGTATCAACGGCTTGGTAGTTGGAAGTGCCCATATACGCGCAGTGCAACGGAAAGTCCCTGGTTCGCGTGTATAGACCTCCTTCTTGGAGTATGTCTCTGCGATAGGGGTATCACTCCCACCAGCTGTTATTTTCAAGGGCAAGAGCGTTCAATAGCAGTGGTTCCCTATCGCCAAGGACGAACTGAAGGACTGGCTATTTACTGCAACCGATAAAGACTAGGTAAATAGGGTAATTGCGTTAGAATGGCTGTAACGGGTCTTTATCCCTCGGACCCAGCCGTAGGATCCCTCCTAGAGGCGTCTGTTAATACTGGACGGTCATGATAGCCATACAACCACTGAATTTATATAGGAGTGCTTTAACAACAATATCCAACTACTCTTTTTACCAGCCTATACCTCCCACGTTCTCCAGCTATTGGATTTATCAGTGTTCTCTCCCCTCAAGCACACCTACCGCAAGCTCCTCAACCGTTTGACTAGCTGGTCAGAATATACTACATTAGGCAAGTAGTTGATATTAAAGTGCCTTGTCCAGGCTTATAGGGAGTTAATTACAGCTCATAACATCAAAGCTAGGTGGAAGGCATCTGGGTTATGGCCTCTTAGTATGGCCAAACCACTGATAAGCTCTCTCTTGCTGGAAAATTCGAACCGGGCGCCTGACGAAGATGATCTACTACGCCTACTACAGACCCCAGCTCCTACACTACCTGGCCATCCCACTACTACGGCTAAGGAGGTCGAATTTCAGACTCCACGCAAGAAGGTAGACCTTCGGGATCACCTGACCAACCTGGCCATCCGGCGGCAAGATCTTTCTACGCGACGGCTTCTATTTAAGAAGGTTGAGAAGGCTTTTGATGAGAAGGACTTCCAATTGGCTCGCTTGCAACAGGAAAACGAGGCTCTGAAAGTCCAGTTGGAGGCAGCCCGGCCGTCGAGAAGGAGGAGGGTAGTCCCGGATCCGAATAAGCAGTTCGCTTCCATTGAACAGGTACACCGGGCTCAAATTGAGGCTGGTCGTCTTGAAGAGTCTGGCATTGAAGAGAGCGGGTCAGAAAGCTCCGACTCAGATGCTTCCTGTATTGTGGTGGGTTGATGATGTTGTAATGTAGTAGGTTGAAGAAGATGGGTGGTTCAGATGCCAAGGCTTACAAAGTGTTCGGAATGTGGGGTGTTCGGAATGGGGGGGCCCGACTTATCCGCACACATTTGCTCATCACACTTGCTTTCATCGATCGCTACGGACACAGAACCATGAATTCGCACGATCTCGTTGACTGAATCTTCTTGCTCTTCTACCGTCTCCTTTCAAGTTTGTAACTTTGTCCGCTCTTTTGCAGCTTGGCCCACTGCACTCTCTCTGGCCCGCCTCAACATGGAGGACGGTCCCTGCTACTTCGGTCTCGACCGCGTCAGCGCTGAGGATCCAGAGCATTATTACCGGGGCGGATATTGCCCTGTCGACATTGGTGATCACATTGGCCGCTTCAAAATCGTCCACAAACTGGGTCACGGCGGCTTCGCCACCGTTTGGCTCGCGCGCGAAAACAACAAACCTGGTCTTGTCGCTCTGAAAATCGTCGCTGCAGATTATTCCCAGACTTATGAGAAATTGCCCGAGATCGCATCTCTTCTCCGGAGTTTTCCAACCCTCTTCGTGGCCGAACGTGAGCGCTTTTTTGTCGACAGTCCAAACGGCCATCATCTTTGCCAGGTGCTTCCGGTCTTGGGGCCGACTCTTGAGGCCTTGATCGATTCTCATCACCGGCTCTATCCAGAGTATGTGCGGGACTTCGCGCGGCAAATTACATCTGCCGTTGAGGTTATGCATTCCTCCGGGTTGTGCCACGGAGGCAAGTTTGACTCTCCCTAAACTCGTTAAGTCCTAGTTTATTTTAGCTAATAGTGCCTATTATGGTATATCATAGACTTGACGGCCCGGAATATTGCCCTCGGACTTTCACAACCGCTGGACTCCCTCTCTGATGAAGAGATATGGGGGATGTTCCCCCCAAGAGGCAGGAGATCAAGCGACGATCTGCAAGCAAACCAAAACAACCCGGACCTAGAGCACCGAATTATGCGGTTGAAGCCATGGATCTTACCCGACTGCCGTCTAAATACCTCTCCAGCAAACTCTACATTCTGGACTTCGACCAAGCGTATTTATCTCACAGCCCGCCACGCTCCCTTCTTGGTATACCGCCAAGGTATTTGGCGCCAGAAAGCATCTTCGAAGTGAGGAACGGCCCGCCGGCAGATATTTGGGCGCTGGGATGTCTTATATTCCGGATGCGGTGCGGCGTAGAGCTGTTCGGGGATCTCTTCGAGTCACCCAGCAATACTATTGCAAAAATGTACGCCATCTTGGGTGGGCATTTCCCAACGCGCTGGAAACAGGTTCAGTTTGGTGACGACGGATGGCCGGCCCACGATGGACTGCAAGAGGGCGTGGGGCACCACAATTTTTCTGGCAACTACAGCTTCTCTGATCCGTCGCTCAGAGAGTACGTGAGCAGTGCTATTGATGTCAAAAGAAGCAAGACGGTCGGACACGACATTGGGATTGAGAAATTCTGCAGATATCTGCCTAGGGACGCCTTCTGCCGTCGCGGTCAGTTGACGCAAGCGTGGACCGCTGCGAATAGCACACAAATCAGCCAAAAGGAAGCAGATTCCTTCTACGGGTTGATGCGTGGGTTGTTTGAATATAACTATACTAAGCGGATCACGGCGTCAGGTATGTTAGGTCATACGTGGTTCAGGGGAGGCTAGTTCATACTTAGGTAACGAGGTTAGCAAAGAAGAGGGTGCACCGTACAAAATGGGCATAACTGACTGGAAACGCTAGCGTTTGTATTATCTCTGCGGAGAGCTACGTTCTCCCATATTTCCCTCTTTCTTTATTTCGGCTTCAGGATTGTGGTTTGCTTGGGTTACTGCAGCTTGGACCCGGAATAACGATGTGTTATTATAGGTCTAAAACGTATAGCGCGTTTTTGGGAAACCCCATAGAAAACCGCTAACGTTAAGCCTTTAATATTACCTCTAGGAGATGTATTTTTTGCAACCTTATGGTATTGCCCGACCACTACTTGGTAGATGCTATTGCAAAAGAGTACCAATCTATGCGCCTTGTCAAGGCGTATCGATTGGCACCTCACACAAGCGCTACATCGCCGTTGTTGTTGTAAATTCAAGTCCCACCCCGGGCTCATTTCTGCACAAGCATAGATACACTGATGAGACACGACGATACCCCAGAAATAAAGCCCACGGGCAGGATCAAAGGAGCAGAGAGTCTATTCCAGGGGCGCGTGATCACCACAGGAAGCAAAAAGCGGCCACAACTAGCAAGCGTAGTAATGTGTACTTGCGTTCTGGTACTAAAAATAGCACTGAGCTTTGCAGGATTACCCATGGAGCCGGAAATGGGCAACCCAAGGAGCTGGAAATGGCAACGGGAAGACTAGGATGACGAGCAAAAGACTGAATCAATTGCAGCGTAAGCCACATTGTGCAGATGTAATTGAGCGGCCATATTCGAAGCATGAGCTTGGACCCACCACTCCTTAGACAGGTTTACATCCAACATCAGATCACAAGTGCTCCAGTTCCAGCTCCTTTGGGTTGCCATTTCCGGCTCCTTGGGTTGCTATTTCCAGCTCCTTGGGTTGCCATTTCCAGCTCCTTAGGTCGTAATCAACGCACTCGCGGGACAGGAGGCTTCGGCCTTGTTTATTCAGGCACGGCGCTGTCTCGTTCTGCTCCAGCCGTCACTAACAGGGGTAGGTATTGATCTTTATTCGGGCGAGGAGGTCATCATAAAGCTCACATATGTTTGAGAAAACTCAGGAGCGCTCCAAAGGCGAGAACGAGTCACGAAGCGCTGGACGGCGGGGTTGTAATGGGGCCGTGCGAGGCTTGTGGGGCCCACAACAACTGACTGGAGCTGTTGGCTGGATTCCTTGGGGGCGGCATCTCACATCCATTCGAAAGGCGTGGCTTAAGAGCCTCCTTGCAGAGAAAATGGCCAGAAGGGTGACCTTCTCCGTCCCTCAACTCGAGGGGTCGGCAAATCCCAAGCATCTTCCAAAGATGACTACGACCGAGATCTTCAGAGAGTTCTCGTCCAAAGATATCACGGACGTAGAACTCAAACCCGCCTCCCGACAGCCAGGGTGGCAAGCCGGCCCGCGGCTCTGGAGAGCTTCCACCTCTTGCTTCAGCCAGTGCTCCTCGAGGAGAAGAAGGGGCTGCGATCCGGTCTACGCAACATCCGCACACGCTGGTGGCGCTGATAGTCAAGCTCGCAACGTGTGAAAGCGGGCTGATGTCAGCGACAATTCTGTCAAGGGTCTCGAGGGGCCACCCCACGCCCGCCCTAAGGCGCCTCATTCGCCACGCCGCAGACTCACAATTCTATCAGCTAATGAGGGGTGCGGTCAGGCATTCATGGCAAGGCGGGAGCGGGGTCGCAAGGCGGCAGTCATCACGCAATACATTCATTCTGGAATGGAAATCCTATCTATTTGTCCGCCAACTTCCGGCTCTCGCAAGCGGGGTAAGCGGTGCATGGTGTACGTTAAAGCCTTACATGGTGCGGGACGGGCCGCGGCGTCCGGCCTCTCCAGAGTGGAGAGTGCGGTGGAAAAGGCATGCTTGCTCCTTGGCTGGTCGCTCCACCCAATCACAAGACTCTGTCGCTGATGATCCCGATATGTCCGTGGTGCGCTGGGTTCCGAGTACCCTTGAACGACTTTGCGCCTTTCATCTCGCAAATGAAGAGGAAGTAATTTTACCGCCATTCGCCAGCAATTGTCCTGCTGCCCCGGCCTCCATGTCGTAGATTTCTCTTTGACCTCTTCGGATTTGAAGCTGCCCGAACTCGCTGTCGTCGGGCTTTCTTCGACATTTTTCCCTTGAGCGTCTCTGTGACTTGCGTGTTAGAGGACATTGGGGGATTGGCTTAGCTCTGTATCTCCTTAAACGACTTCTTAGTCCAGTCGAAGACGTGGTCATATGTGAAACCTTCCGCTCGAAACCGGCGATAGAAAAGCCGGCGAAGGTACAAGTAGTCCGGCTTATCATCAAAAGCCAGTCCCCGGGTATAGTTGATATATGTGGCAAATTCTCAGGGGAGAAAGCCATTATAGAGCGCCTCGGCCGACAGGCTCTCCTTCATCTCCTTGATCCTTGCATCCTTCTCGTCGTCTGTACTAACCTTTAGACCCTGCTATAGTAACGAGCCCCGGGTAAGATATACGAAAATATACCCAAAGGACTCCAGGTCGTCCGCCTAAGACTGTTCTTCGTGCGCGTTAGCGTCCGGACGATTAGCATCACGATAAGACACCTACCACGGCCATTATAGTTGTTGATGCTTGCGTACTGTCTGGTGCCACCTAGCGGGATACCCTCTATATTCTTACGACGCTCGGCATTGGAAAGCTCCTTGGCGAGACCAAAATCAATCATATATAGTGAGTTCCCTTGCCTGCCAACCCCTATAAGGAAGTTGTCCGGTTTAATATCGCGATAGAGGAAGCCCTTCGAATGGATATACTTAATTCGGGCGATGGCCTGGTCGGCGATAAGGAGAATAGTCTTGAGAGAGAACTTCCGGTCGCAATAGTTAAAAAGATCCTCGAGTGACGGGCCAAGGGCGTCTATGACCAGCGCGTAGAAATCGTACTCCTGCCCGAACCATCGCACTCGCGGGATTCCGACCCTACTGTCTAGCGCGTCGTATGTGTCCTTCTCGCCTCGGAGCACCTCGGGGTTGTTTCGAACAAACGTGAGCTTTATGGCGACCTCCTCGCCCAAGGAGAGGTCGGTTCCTATCCAGTTAGCGACGGCTGAAGCAGAGAAAGATAGCACCGTACCGGAATAAACGAGGCCGAAGCCTCCGGCGCCGATCTTACGCTCAACGCGATACCGGTCGGCAATGAGAATGTCCTGGAGGGTGTATAAGCAGTTTTCATAGTATGTCGGAGGAGTCGGAGATCTGTACCTTCATTGTGAAATGGAACTGAAGCTGCAAAGTGAAGTCAGGCATCGAGAAATATTTGCTCTTAGTAGATCAGGGCTGGTCGGGGTATTAGAGGCTGAGCGGTCCCAAGCCTCCGTTGCAATAGCCACGAACCATGGAAGCAGCCCCACCTCGTTGGCCAGCAACGCGGACTCCCGCACGTATCCCTCACCCAGGTTCTTTTTCGTCCTTTGAGAGATTGCAAAACCGAGCGCCCTTTGCACGTCTTCGAGGCGATAACCCCACACCCGGCGCCGTATCCCTGCCGCACAGCGGCTAATAGTTGGCTGATGCCTTTCTCGAGTGCGACACCGCGCGCCGTTTTGCAGGCGACGACGCGTTCCAGCCCAATCATTCATATGCAGCACACACCACCCGAATTCCTGCAGCGCCAGCTCAGTCATGTCCCACCGGCCCGACCTGAATATTCACACGGATTTCCCTCGATCTCAACCTTACGAAGTGACTGCTCATGGCGAGCGCGCACAATCGAAAGAGAGCCCGCGCAGACGACCCGCAAGAGCACCGTCCTAACAAGAAGATCAAGTCGAGAGGCAGACTTCACGGACCATCGAACTTCCCACCAGAATTCTGGGACAACCTGTCCAAAGTTCCGCTTACGCGTCGTGCACTGCGAGAACTCGACCGGCGGAATAGCACTCAGCCTGCCCTAGGGCCCGCGGTACCTGCAGTGTGCACCGCATATCTTGCCCGGTTCGCGAGACACGGCGGCCCAGATCTTCGCCATCTTCGAGCGGTATGCCTGCAACATACTGGGTGGGAACAGACACTGATTTCCTGTCTTAGTGCCACGAACCGAAAGGCGCTGTACATACTATGGCGTCCAGCCGGCCCACCGCGCGGCGGTCCCCCACCCTCCTCCCGCAAGCGACTCCTCCTCCTCCTCCTCCTTTTCCTCCCTCTGCTCCTACTACCACTTCTCCGAAGAAGAAAGGATGCGTATGGCGGTAGATACAGCCACGAGGAGGCCTACAACCGCGCCAAGCTCGCGGCCGTCTACCTCGCCAACAAGATTGAGCGCGAGTTCGGCGGGGCGCTGCTGCAACTGCATCTGCAATGCCACCAGCGTGCACCCGGGTGCCGTCGGCGACACCGCCATCGGGCGCCACGTGAGCCCCGAGTTCCGCGCGCGCATCATGGCGGACCCGTACGTCCGCAAGATCCTGAAGTCACCCGAGCAGGGCGCCGCGACGACCGTCTGGGCTGCTGTGGGCCGCGAGTGGACGGCTAGGGGCGGCAGGTACTTGGAGGATGTCGCGGAGGCGCGGCGGGGCGAGGATGACGGGCTGGTGTTTGGCGTTGGGTGGGTGAGGCAGACGTATAACCCTGAGGAGGAGGACCGGCTGTGGGAGGAGTCGCTGAGGATGGTGGGTCTGGCTGAGTGAGGGTGTTGTGGTTACTTTGGTGACGTGGATGCCTGGTCGGATACTACCTGCCTTACCTGCTATGGGCATTGTCGACGTGGGGGGGAATTGTTGGATTGCGACATTGCTACTGGTAGTGCTGAGGTACCTTATAAAGCTGCCCCTATACAACCGCATCATCCGATTCGTATGTAGTAGTATACTCCACCCCTTGCCAATCGCCGCTTCACTCTAACTACCTCCCCCAAACCTCATTCACGCCTCAGCGCTCTCAGGGGCATGCGCAACAACCTCGATCTCGACCCGCATTCCCGGCAGCGCGAGACCCGCCACCGCCACCCCGGTCAGGAGCGGCCGATGCTGCTCCCCGGCCCACTTCTTCATGGCCGCGGCCCACGCGGCAAAAAGCTCCTCGCTGAGCTCGGTCGTGTACAGGTTGATCCGGTACACCTGACTCCAGCCCTTGCCGCCCGCGCTGCGCAGGCAGGCGTCGACGTTGGCGAACGCTTGCTCGATCTCGGCGGCGAGGGAGGGAGGGATCGCGCCTGTCTCGGGATCCCAGCCTCCTTTTATTTTTGGATGATCAGTTTGGGTTCTAGGAGAATTGTTGCAAGGAAAGTTGCGGGGTGAGAGAGAGAGCGAGCATACCTTGTCCGGAGCACTCGATGCGGTCGGCTATGCGGACTGCTTGGCTGTAGTGTGACTGGTCGGAGAGAACGCCAGCGAAAGGGGAGTAGTTGAAATATCGGAGGGACGACATCGTAGCGGTCTGCGCACTTTGCGGCGTCTGCTAGCGTTGGCTTGGCTGGGATTGGAGATCGGGGATGCTGCAAAGTTAGATGCCGGAGCAGTTGGAGGTAACAACGTCTATAAGCGACGGTTCAGTAGCTATGGAAGATTTCTACGTGTATTAATACAAGCCACTGATCGTCGTATATCCTCTTGGCTTCTACCGGTTTCTAATAATTAGTAATCTCCTTACAGGATTCGACTTGGGCAACCGCCAAGCTTCCTTCCGTGGACCCAGTATGGAGAAGCGTACCTATGACTGGTGACCATTCTCCTCTCGCTTCTACAAGGTGACTCGCCGCATTCGGTTGCGCATATGTCACACTGTTTCATCTCTCTTACAGCTACCTAGGCACCCAATTGCAGGCTACTGTGCGTTGCGGCGTTGCCCCTGCCCGCCAAGTCCGCCCTCTCTGTATTCTGTAGACGGTACTGCATTGTATCTATATACACATGTGTGTCACCCTGTACGGCTGCACCACAAACACCACGTTATAGTGCTTCCCGGCTGTGGTCGGCGAGCTGTACACGTGCACGTTGCCCACCGACGTCGCCATGCGCGAGATTGTCTGCCGCCTGGTCGGGTCCGACATCCGGAGCCATGAGCAGAGGCAGGGGATGGACCGGGCCATGAGAAAGCACGGGGACTTTGCTATCAGGGTAATAAATTACAAGATTCAGTCCGAGACGAGCGAGGTACCGTTCAAGCGCCGCGACTCCAGCTGTTTATCGATCTTTGAGTGATCGACCAACGCCTCTGGGTACTCCACCGGCATCATGAAGAAGCCAGTGTTTGTGTTTATGTCACATCGCCAATGCTCCGCGCAACCCTTAGTCCCCCGGATCGAGGCGACGACACCTTCGGGGATGGCATCCATCCACGCGATGATGAACTTGTCGAGGTAGGAAGGGTCTCCGAACACTTCGTTGTGGTCCCCTCTGTCAAGGTTCGCCCCAGTTGTACTTTTCCCAAGTATTGTCGTCTGACTGAGTGAGGACTTAGTGCATCGCTGAGGCTCGCCCACGGGGTCCGGGTTTTCTTGATGGAGGACGATCGTGAATTGTGATATATGAAGCCAGGGATAGTTGGTTGAGAAGTGACCGACGCCCGGGTTTTGGTGCATTTGCGTACGTCGACGTCACCACGTGAGCCACGCCTGTCCACTGTAATACAGGACTGTGTCGATCAGCGGATGGATCTCGAGCATTTGCCAACGGTCTAGCACGTCTAGATACTGGCCATGGTGCGCAGTAACGACTGCACGGGCGCGCACCAGTCTTGACTGGTGATCTGGGGGTTGCTGCGAGGGCGTGGAAGGCGGCGGGTTCTCGACTGACGGCATGGCCGCGGCGGTGAATGGGAACCTCGTGTGGTGCGAGGGTGGGACGAGGTGCGAAATGTTGCTCCTCGTAGCGGCGGATAGACTAAGGGGTGGAAGAACGAGAAACTAGGAACACTGCGAAGGGATCTGGGTACACCTAAGCTCGCCAAGGGGATGTCCGGACCCCGGTTCGTCACCTGGGACAGGGGTTCTGATCTCGACCTCGACATAACACTCCTATAGGTCAACCCCTGATTGTTCGTTACAAACAACCAAACTATGTATCCGAAACCCACATACATCAGACCCCTGCGACTTCGAAACTTATAATATACCAACATGGCTTCCTCAAACAACGGATCATCGACGGTCTGCAAGCAAGAGAGAGACATCAAAGCGAGGTTGGCCCATCTCCGTGCGCAGCCAGAGATGGCTACGAGGTTTCGGGACGTCACGCCCTTGTGGCTTGAGTATAAGGACCTAAAAAAGCCACTCAGATTCCCGCTTAGGGCCAGTCGAAAGCGTTGCAGCATAGCTCGAGCTCTTCGGGTGATCGAGCCACTGAAGAGCCCGCCGACAGTCAGGGTAAACCATCAATGAGGAATCCCGGCGGGTGGTGCCAACGAGGGGTCGAAGTCAGATCGGTAATTCGAGTCCGAATTCATCTTCCTATCTCCCAATCGACAGGGTTTTATTCCTCCTGATCAGTGGGGTTGCTCTGCCGCAGAGGGGTCGCTCGCGCAAGGTCAGGCGCCAGGGGGGAACGGTATTCCGGCGGCGAGGTCCCAGGCACTCCAAACCGATTCCTCTCCTTCCGACTTTCTCTTCAGCATCATCCATCCATTCCACCATCTTGCAATCATCAAGCTTCCTACGTTTGCGACTTCGACAATTACCGTTCAAGATGTCGGACAAGGGATATACCTACAAGAGCCACGGCACCAACAGCTCGGTTAGTTCGAGTCTCATTTGGTGGTCGAGCTACCAGAAATGACTTTCATCTGCGTTAGTATGGTGGTTTCTCTCTCCGACTGATGGGAGACTGTTAGGTGTGGTGTTCTCTTCTTTGGATAAAATCCTTTTGCTCGCCGTCCGGTATCTGTCTATGGCTTACTACAATTCGGACTTATTCTTTCGGCGGGTTAGTAGGATAGTCCTTTTGCAGGTAAAACAGGTGTCTTTCTTAATCAATTGTTACTGGCCCATACAAATAGACTGTTAACAGATACTAGTTGCAAGGTATATGCTATTATAAACACGGGTATCCATTGGTCCAAACCTTTTGCTTGATGATCGGTGCTATGTAGCTTTGCAGACATTACGTGAACTATGAGAGCTATTCAGCAGAATAAGGCCATTTTCCATAACCAAAGACTTCCGGTTAGTAGAATGAACGCCTTCTCGTTAACGAGAGGTTAGGAAAAGCTTAACGGCTAGAAAGTTAAGACTCGTTTGACAAGAATCTATATGGTGCAAGCCAGAATAAGGTAGTCGCGAGGCGGTCCTCCTACTACTTAAGTCGGTTTAACTACTTGTAGAATTCGCGGCTTTCTCAGGTTCAAACAATAGAATTTCCCAGCTATTTAAAAACTACTACTATAACTCTTTGGTTGTAAGCTTAAGGTACGTAGCCGTATGACTATGACTTATCAAAACGGCCTGATACCATAAGGTAAAAGCCACAGTCAAAAAGTTGGGTCACACTCCCCAATTCCCACCAAAGCTCGCCATGTTCAACACATCACAAAAGGGGGTATAGATGACTTTTTAAAAAAGCAGGGAAATTCGTCCAAGGGGACCTTTACATGATACCTTCGCTAAGTTATTCATTTTCCAATTTCATTTGGTAGGTAGAGATGGGTTCTGGGTTTTGTTAAGTGCATCAAGCGTTCCCATACGAATTGCAATATAAACCCCGGTTTTAAAGTGTGACCCAACGTTTTGACTGTCATTTATATTATAATTGAACTGCCAGAGCGAGCCGGGATTACACCACTAGTATACCAATAGATGAGGTTCATGTCCCGCGAATTAAAGTCACAATTCACAATCGGGATTTCAATTTGGGAGTGTGACTCTTGTTCGTGTCGGGATTAAGTTGCGCTCGGCATGTCCCTATACCAACGACGACGATAACGTTAAACAACAGACGACCAGGTGACGTCATTGCGGGGTGGTCGCGCTGCCCCGAAAAGGCAAGTGACAGGGCTGCCCGGCCAATGGGTTGCCCTACTTCAGATGTGCGTTTCAAGCACCCAAACCGTTTCACGCCCGACCCCGCGACCGGGCAACATTTTGTATACCTACCTACTAGCATCTTCGGTCCATTCCACTGATGCAAAAAGTGCTGACAGGAGACGTGGCCCGCATGGGATCTTATTCGTATAGTGAGGCTGTATTACCCATCAAAACCGGCTAACCCACCCCACATGTCGGAGGCTGTCTTCAGCGCATTGCCGCCGTCTTGGTCGCCTCTCGGTAGCCATACCGCCATCACCATCGCCACATCGGTCGAAAACCCCACACCAAAGGACATAATGCCCGGATTCGACGTTCAATTCCCAGAGCAGCAGCGGGACTGGACTGGAGTATGCGTTTCAGGCCGCACGACTGTCGAAGGTCAGAAACGTTACCGTCTCGCACAATGGCCCTTTAGTGTCCGCCATGGCTGCCGACACGAACACCGAGACTGACATCATGGCGCCGTTTACGAGGGGCAGGCCTATAAACAAACGCGACTGCTACTTCATGATGCCCATGGCGATCTCGAAACGGCAGATCTTGTTTTGTTTCCGCCGCTGGATGCTCCATTTCACCGCATCTCCTTTTTTGTGTGTTATGAGTTTCGAGAAACCCCCCGCAATGGAGTTCAAGCCCAATGACAATTCCGTCACTAGCGAGTCGGCTCCACTCATCGAGCCCGTCGACATCGAAAGCGACCAGGAGTTGTTCATGGTTCCCCTAAAGAGACCGTCGCCGAGATTGCCACCGTCGCATTACAGGAATGTGAAGGCCAAATCACCTCGCGGGTCTCCAGACGCAACTCCGACACAGTGCAACCTCGACAAGTCTCCTCAGTCCAATGTCAATCCTTATCAGAGTCCTCCAATGTCCGGGCTTACCATGAAGCCCGAGAGTCCTCCCATGTTTACATCGCCTCTCATGTCTCCAGAATCTCGTGGCCTTGGAGGCTCCCCCAACCTGCAGGGTTCCGCAGCACCGACGCCCGGGTCTCTCGTCTACAACAGCCCACCCCTCTCCGGCAGAGCCACCAAGATCGGCTCGTCGCCCATCTTGTCCACCGAGACAAGCTCGGCCCGGCAGAGCCCACAGCCCGAGTCATCCGGCAAGGACTCGAAGGAGCACACCACATCGGCGTCACGATCGACAGACGACAAGCCAAACCCCTCTACCAAGGCTTCATCAGTCTACGACAACGCTCCAGCCATCACGTGCGACAAGCCGGCCGAGCCACGCACAACGGACCAAGATCAAGCCCAGGCCCCGGAAATCCCGCCCCTCTCCACCGCGCGCGCAAACCTAAAAAGCACAAAGCCTGAAACGCTGGGGTTAGCGCTACAACTCGCGCCCACCGCGCTGCCAAACCCAGACCTCCTCGCGCCTTCCTCAGCACAAAACCCGCTCACGTCGCCCTCGAGAGAAGGATGGACGGTGCCGGACTCGCCGCTGGAGCGCCTGTCCCAACTGCGCGCCACGCCGGACTCGGCATACGACCGGGCGCGGCAGATGGAGCTGCGCCGGTCCGAGTGGAAGCACGTGGTGTACCGGTTCCCCGTCAAGGGCAAGGACCACTGGGTGATCGACGCGGACCTGACCGAGTCGTCGCACGCGCGGCTGGCCGACGTGGCGCGCCGGTCGAGCGAGGGGTTCGAGTGGAACGGCGACTACGAGCTGGCGAATATCTATCGCGTCTTGGCGGCTGCGCATACGCGGGTTATGGAGGAGATGCGCGAGGAGAGGAGGGGTGTTGCTGTTGTTGCGCATCGTCAACAAGGCGTTCAGGTTGGGATTGCGAATGCCAATGCTGGTGGCGGGGTGCGGGGATGAGTATGGCTTGGGTGGCGAGACGGGATGGGGGGGCTCGGTGAACAGGGTGGTGTAGCAGCGTGTGAGGAGGATGCAAGGTAGAGAAATGGGGTTGGCTAGCACCTCGGGCAGGAAGGCTGCGAGATTGAGAGATCTAATTTGTTTGTACTATCAATTTGGTTGACATTTTATCTGGCGCGGGCGTCATGCATTTAGGCATTTGGATACCTCGGTCCATTAAACAGCGTTGGAATAATATTCCCGTCTTCCCATCTTCCCTCTTATATTCTCCATCTTCTATTTTCCATCTTAAGTTTTCGTTAGCCTATTTAAGATTGTATTGTACAGAGACATATATATCTAAGCGAAGTTTATCAACTTACCAGGTCAGCTGCCGGCCGGTCGGCACTTGTCAAGCGTCACTTGCTCCACAGTACCCTGAATCTCGAGCAGATCCAAGGCCTGGTTCTCGACTTGGATCGCTGGCTTGAGGATCGCCTTCACCTCACCAAGCTTACCGGCGTTGCCGGTTATGAAGTTGACGATGTGGCGGGCTACTGTTGGAGTCGTCATCTTGGGAGGACGTCGAGAATGTGATGTGGGTTGGTTGCCGCGCTGGCGCCGTGTGTCTGCCGATGAACTGGCCGAATGAACCTCGACCACGAACGCAAATGCTGAGACGGACGGCAACACGGGAAGAGCGGCTGGTTGATGTCCGCAGGTACGGCTTACTTTATGATTGCGATCTGCCAACTCTCACATTAGTCCTCTTTAATGTATAGCGCTCAAGCGGGGACTGCCAAATACCTTGACCATAAGCGTCTTGTCAATGGACTGCCACGCAATTACGGATGCCATGGCAGTCTTGTCGAGATTTTGTTGCTTCGCACCTCAAGCAGTAGCTAGTAGAGCGCCAACGCCCAGAGCTCTTGGGAGATCATGGACCATAGGCGAAACCCAGCAAGGGTAAAAGCGTCCAACTTCAAACCACAGTCAACTCCTCCCAAGGCCGCTTCACCAGCTGCTCCATGGACGCCACCAATTTATCCAGAATCTCAACGGCATGCTCCCGCCACGAATGGAAGGTAACAACCTCCAGCGTCAACCTCTCACTTTCCACATGGTAAAAGGCCTGAATCTTCCACTCCCGAAGCGGCTCCTCATACGGGTACAGCGTCTCCATCCTCGCCTTAGTACCACCTCCCCCGCCTTCTTTGAACACCCCGAACTCCAACTCCTCAACATGCGCCACGTCCTGATGCACAACCGAATCAAACCACCTGCCCCGCTGCCCCTCCGCATTCGTATCCGGATCCGGATCCCAGTCCGTACAACAACGCACGATCTCGTCCAGGCCCATGCAGTCGTGCGACGAGGTGGCCATATGCTGGTGCTGCAGGGCCGCGAGGAGGTCGTGGCCCGTTGTTGTTGTGACGGCGCCGCCAGCACCCTGACTTCCCAAGCGCACGCGCGTCGGCACGTACTGCCAGCAAGGGCCCGCGATTGCGTTGGCATCGGGGATACCGGGCACGTCGACGCTGCGGCCCGAGGCGACCTCGCCGAAGACGACGTCGGCGCTGCCCGTCAGCCGCGCGAGGGTTAGGGCCCAGGCGGCCGAGGGGAAGGTTGCCACTGTCACGTCGCGGGTGCGGGCGGCTATGTCGACGGTGCGGTGCACGGCGAAGTGGCGGCGGTCGGTGATGGGCGTGGAGGGGCGGAGGAGGGTGATACCCGGTGAGCCGGCGAGGAGGTTCCGCCAATAGGGAATGGCGGCGGGTATGGCCTCTCGGCTGACGTGGTTGACAAAGGCGGAGAATGAGTAAGAGGGCGGCACGTTGGGTGAGTCTTGGTATAAGCCGTGCAGTTGTTTGAGGAAGATGGGGAGACACATCTCGTCGTACTGCGCGTGGGAGATGCGGAACACCAGGCTGCATTTCGCTTGGTCGGTGATCAAGAACCACTTGACGAACGAAGAGCCGTAAGGCATCTGCGTCTTAGAGTCGAGGCGGGAAACCTCGCCGGCAAAGGACACAGCGTCATCCACCTCATATTCCACTACCGGAGCGGTGAAAGAGTCGTCAAGCACAACGCTGTAGCAGTTGCTGTCGACCCGCACAAAGACGGTTCGTAAGATCTCATTGCGCGCGACTAGCTCCTGACAAGCGCGGAGGAGACGTGTCTTGTCCACCAAACCATCGAAGTGTATGAGCTCGTAACGGATCGAGAAGCGCGGGAGTTCGACGGTTCCCCTCACGGCGATCTCCTGCAGCGGCCGCGTAGGTAGTATGTCAATAATCTTGCACGGTTCGTTCTCGAGCTCGCGTTGGATTCGTTGCGTCAGCGAGCTGTGAAGCAGCGAAAACGGTTTGTATTCAGGAGCAGCCTGAGATTCAGATGGTGCATGCCCCGACGAACCAGCCAAAATCGGCTGCATGGCATTGGCCATCTCGTAGAGCGTGCGGTTGGCGAAGACCTGGGCGACGCTGAGCTGCATGCCCTGTTGGCGAGCCTCGGCGACAAGTTTCATGGCGGTGATGGAGTCACCGCCGAGGGCGAAGAAGCTGTCGCCGAGGTAGATCGAGTTTTCGTCGGTGTTGAGGAGACGGCTCCAGATGCGGCGGAGTGTCTTCTGCTTGGTCGAGGTCGCCGTGACAGCCCGGGTATCCTTCGTGGCTGGGGTCCGCTTTGCCGCGACATTTTGTTTGGGGAGGTCGGTTATGGATTGCAGAATCTGCAGCGCGGCTTCGCAAGAGATGGTGTCAAAAGCGGCCAGCAGTTGTGTGCGGTAGAGGTGTGCCTTCCGTTCGCCGTTGCTCGCGATTTCAGTGCCTTTGAAGGCTTCATTTTCCCCACTAAGCCATTCGGGACAGTCAACAATGGCCACTGCAGGCGATGCCAACTCCTTGCGTGATGCAACCACCAGTTCGCCCACCGCTCCTCGCGGCAAGAGGCGCTGACAATCCGCCGCATCAACAACCCAAACACCTTCAATCTCGTCCTCGGTCAGCCCTGTAAGCTGGGCCACGCGAGGGCCTCCCACATCCAGCGTCGATTTGCTCAACGTGTGCAGTTCCCTCCGCTCTGCTTCCGTCAAGCACTGCACCTGCCCGACCTTGACTGTCTTCCCGTCACCCTCGCAAAGCTGATGCACCACGATTCGCAGCTGTTCCAGTACTCGCGACATGGTGTCCTTGTCCACCGTCCTCGAGTCGAAGCTCGCCATGACAAAGAAGCCATCGGCCGACAGCGAGCAGACCAGCATGAGCGCATACGTATTGAACTTGAGGGCCTCCCGTGCAGCCTCGGCGTCGCCCGCGGGCACGAGCCCATTCGCCGGCGAAGTGTTGCCGTCCACCGCCGTCGTAGCGTCATCTCCGGCAGCAGAACCAGCAGCAGCAGGGTGCAGCACAAACCCCGTCCGCAGCTCGCACGCTTGGAGCGCGTCGTCGCTCAGCCGACGGATGTGCTGCAGCCCCGCGTGCTCGTACGGGATCTGCGTCACGGCCTGCTCGGCCACGGACTGCAGATATTCCTCGACGGTGGCGTCGCGGTCGATGCGGATGTGGATCGGGACGGTGGTGATCATGGGGCCCTCAATCTCCTCGCACCCGACAATCGGCGCGTTGCGGCCCGTCAGCGTCTCGCCGAACACGATGTCCCTGTTCCCGCTGCAGTACTGCGAGGCAACCAGCGCCCAGGCCGCCCGCACCACTGTGGCTAGGGTGACGGTGGCGTTTGCGCATGTTGGCAGCCGCCGCCCCTCGAGGGAGATGTCGATTTCCAGCAGCGAGTCGGCCTGTGTTTGGTAGCCCTCGAACGGGAGGCGGGGGAACTGCTGCCCTGTAGCGCCCGCCAGCTGCTCGCGCCAGTAGGTATCGCAGGCTGCACGGTCCAGCGTCCTGTTGAGATAGTGAATGAAGTGCTTGAACTCGGCGGCGGGCCGGCGCGGCGACAGTCCCTGGTATGCTTGATTGACACGGTCGACAACCAGCGGCATCGACCAGCCGTCGTACAAAGCGTGGTGCATGGTCAGCACGAAATGGGCAACTCCGTCCTCGCGAATCATGGCATAGCGCACTAGCGGCTTGCCCAGTTCCATCGGCTCGTCGCGGTCCTGCGCAAGGTACTCGGCCAGCGAGCTTGCCGAGCGCCAGGTGACGGGCTCCTTCACCACGACCTGCACCAGCCCACGCTGCGGCACTTGGATGATGCGCGTGCGGAGGATGGTAGAATCAGCTGCAATCGTCGCAAACGCTGCTTGCAGTCTCTCTGCCTCCTCAACGCTCTCCATCTTCAGCACGCGTTGCGCAACGTACGCCTCCTTGACCTTAGCCGACAGCGCCATGAGCGCCTCCTGCAAGGGTGTGCAGGGGTAGACATCTTCCACTTCACTTGGATCGACAGCGCAATGTCTGCTAGCCTCAGCTCGCGCCTCTTCGGGGGCCCAGTCGCCTGGTAGGAGGGAGAACGGCGGTACCACGTCTGGGGTTGTGTCGCCATACTGTTGCTGGTCATCAGTCCCTGCCCTCCGCGCAACAACGGCCATGTCACGAAGCACCGGATAGCGAAACACATCGGCGACCGTCAGCAAGATACCCTCGGCCCTGGCAGCCGGCACCAGCTTCATGGCTCGGAGGGAATCCCCGCCGAGCGCAAAGAAGCTGTCGTGAACAGAGATGCTATCGACATGGTCCCCGAGCAGTGACTTCCAGACCCGCTGCAAAGCCTGCTCTGTCTCAGTTGTGGGTTGCCCCCCCGAATCTGTCCGCCTGTTGTTCCTCCGGGAGCTGAGAGTAAGTTGCTCGCGTGTCATGGCGGCGCCGATTGCTCGCAGCGTCTTCCTGTCGATCTTGGCGGACGGAAGCGAAGGCATCTCACGTAGAGGGATGTACGCGGCCGGCACCATGTACCGGGGCAGTTCCGCTCCGAGTGTCTCGTCAATGCCGCTCAGTGCCTTGGTCATTTCCTCGGAGAAACTCAAGTGCTCCTGCTGGGGCTCCTCACTTGATGGCTCATCGGGCTGAAGCCGCGCTTGGTTGGCAGCGGGCTCAGCCACAAACGCAACCAACGTAGGCTCGCCTCCATTCGGCTTGATCACCTCAGCGGCTAGCTTCACTCCCGCCGGCAGCCAGCGTCGCAGATGGTGCTCGATCTCAACAAGCTCCACACGCTGACCTCGAAGCTTGACCTGTGCATCCTTGCGCCCGACAAACACAAAGTCGCCGGACCCATCGCCGTCATACCGAACGAGGTCGCCGGTCTTATACAGTCGCCCATGCCTGCCTGGGACAGTCGCGTGTCCGGCTACCAACCAGGCCGGATCCTCGATGAACACCTCCGCCGTCTTCTCCGGCTCGCCGAGGTAGCCCAGGCCAACAACGGGGCCCTCAATCAACAACTCACCCACCGCCCCGACCGGAACAAGGCGGTCATGATCTTCAGGATCCACAATCCACCCGACCGCCCCAACTCCCCGGCCAATGTTTCCCGTGGCAAACACCTTCCTCCTCTCCTCCCCATACTTGCTGCTCGCAAACGTGTTATTCACAGTACAGCCAACCGTGCACTCCGACGGACCATACGCAACAACGACGCTCGTGTCCCCCTTACTACTCCACGCGGCGGCGTCGGCAGCCGAGACGGCCTCGCCGCCCAGACCGAGCACGTCCAAACCGGAAATCACGGCCGGGTCCAGCACGCGGGCGACGCTGGGCGTCATGTGGGCCATGTTGGCGCCGCTGGCGCGGATGGCGGCACCCAGGTCGTTCATGCGGTCGGCGTCGGAAGGGATGCAGATGGTGCCGCCCGCCGCCAGCGTGCAGAGCATGCAGTCGATGCTGACGTCGAACGCGTAGCTGGCGAACTCGAACACGCGCGAGCTGGGGGTGTAGCCGACCGCTGCGGCGCGCGGGAGGGCGCCGCTGGTGTAGTTTGCGTGCGAGACCACGACGCCTTTGGGCTTGCCTGTGCTGCCGGACGTGAATTGGATGTAGAGCGGGGAGGTGGTCGTTGGGATGACGGGGAGGGAGGAGGAGGGGGATGCTGGGGTGGTGGTGGTGTCGTCGGATGGGAGGGGCGCGAGCAGGGTTTCGGAGACGGTCACGACCTCCTTGCCGCTGCCGTCAGTGGGTAGCAACCTGCGCGCAAGATCCGACTGTGTCTCGGACGCGACGATTAGCTTGGCTCCGGTCTGTTCTACCATGGCTCGCAGCCGGCCCTCCGGCTGGCTGGTCGGGTCGGTGAGGGCAAATGCACCGCCGGCCTTCATCACGGCGAGCAGGGCAATGATGGTCCATCGGCTCTTCTCGAAGCACAGGGGCACAATGGTGCCGACCGCCACGCCGCGGCAGCATAAGTAGTGGGCGAGGCGGGTGGACAAGGACTCGACCTCGCCGTATGTCCACTGGCCGTCCCAGGACGACAGGGCGACTTTGTCTGGATGGGCGGCGGCTTGCTCCGAGATGATGTCGTGCATGGTTCGGTCGATGATTGGCGGCACGGCGGCGTTCCACGTCCAGATCTGATCGAGATCACGCGGGAGCGGGTCGAGGAAATCCTTAACTGGAGACTCGGGCCGCTGGAGGATGATGGTGAGAAGCTCGGTGAACGTGTCGAGCTTGCCGCCGGCCTCGCGTTCTGTTAGGGGACCGCTACCGTGCCGCAGGCCGCATAGCCTGAGCGCCGCCTGGTCTTCCCTAGTGACGCGCAGTTGGAATGTCCATTGCTTTTCGTCCTGTCAATTTGAGGTCCCACGGAGCGGTTTGACTGCAACTGCAACTAACGTACTCTTGGATCTGAGCCTAATGCCTCCTTCTGCGAGACGAGACTTCCAGATTCGTCATTGTAGAATAGCGATTCTAGTTGTTGCTGCGGGCAAAGAGCGCCCATTGCCTGCTCGACCTTTTCCAAGCATGTCGCAACGGTGTCAGTGGCTGTACGGCTCAAATCCAGACCAAGGGCAGACAGCGAGAACTGCTCTGAAGTGTCGGCACCGCCGACGTATTTGCATCCACACGCGAACCGGTCCAGCTTGTTATCCTCGCCCCGCTCTCGCTGTAGAACGAGCGCCCAGGCAAGAAGAAGGCGGGCTCGGTACAAGCTGTCGCTGTCACCGGCCAGAGCGGGTACTGATACCGTCCGGCTAACCACCTCCACTGGTGTGCTAGGCGGCGTGAGCTGCATCGCATCGCGGCGCAGCCCGTTGCCCAGGCCCATGAGCCCGGGCGCATGTTGCGCAAGATGCATGATGTCTGCCGCTCTGCCGCTGGGACGGTTGATTCCGTCTCTCTCTCTCTCTCACACACACACTGTCTCTGTGCCGCTGTTGTACCAAGCTGTGACGCTGTGACGCTACAGGGCGGATCAAGGGCTGCCGCTCATGTAGACCGGCAGACGAAGGCGGGAGCGGCTGTTAGGGATGGTGGGAATTCCGAAGAGGATACAATAACTGACTCGTGAGGGAGGAGCAGGACGTGACAACAAGTCATGCTGATGGAGTGTCGGAACGGAGGGCGGGGGTAAGGCACGAGCGGTACACGGTGCGCCCTATTTTCACTCTAATGTAGCAGTGAACATGGTGCCGTCCATCCCTCGCTAGCCGGCGCCGGCTTCCAGCCAACCTCGCGAGTAGGTTTACGTACAGCACCTGATCGGCCCCACGGTGCCCACCGGGGTGAACGTACAGTACCATCCTGCTTGGCGGAGATCATGATGGAGCCGGTTGTCGGGCAGCCACAGGAAACGATCTTGTCACACTCCTGTATGCATAGATGAGCCCATCCCGCAAGCGTCAGGAAGAGAATTGTCTTGCAATCAGTGCGCCCCAAGCATGCAGGATACAGAAGACTCGTCGTTACTTCGTACCATTCGTGACGTTGACACGGAAGAGGGCGGCCGAGGCTCGGTTCCCGGTTTGGGCCGAGTGGTGGGTGCCATTGAATTTGATGAAGCGGAAGAAGGGCAGCGTCAGGTGTGTGTGGGACTGTGGTCAGAAGTGGGGACAAAGTTAAACAACCGGACAGGGGCCGACGGATCAGATAACTTTAATGGGGCACTTGCCGACGCAGGACACACCCCTGTCCTGTCACCCTGGTTTTCCCCTCCCGGCCTCCCCTCTCATCACTCCGGCTTCGGGAGCGGCACATGTCGGGGTGGGAGTGTCTCTCAGGCGCGGGTCTTCGCGGCTCCGATCAGACTACCGAAATCCACTGTCGCACTGCAGATTGCATGGAAGAGGAGTTGTGAGACAGCCTGCTGTGCGGCGTTCAACGGCCCCAGTGCCCCGGGTCTCGGGTGGGATTGTTACGCAAGCCGGCCCGATCTGGCGCCTAAGAAGAAAAGAAAAAATGGTGACGAGCAAGATTGCGGCATGCGTGTTGCGCGGAATGTTGACAGGGAAAGGATCGTCGTCAAACAGTAATGCCGCGGGGATACATCATGTATGTAAGGTACAGTCCATAGACCGTTATGGCATCACCTCAACCGTACAGCTGCGGCCCATCATCACCGTCCTCCCAGCTTACCTTCACCCAACCGCATTGAGACATCCTTTTTCTACAAAACCCCAAACCTACAAAATAAAAGAATAAAAGAAGAAAAAATGCCCTTCCTCGTCCTCCCGGCCCTCATACCCGACATCCGCGCCGTCTACGACGTCTACTTCGCCGCCTTCACGACCGACCCGGACGGCCGGCGCCTGCTGGATATCCTCTTCCCCGGAGGCGTGGCGTCGGACGAGTTCCGCGATGCCCACGCCAAGGGCACGCTCGCCTGGTGGCACACGTCGGACACGCAGTACACCTTCAAGTGCCTCGACCCGGCCACGGGGGAGGTAGTGGGCATGGCGCTGTGCGATGTGTTTGTTACGACGCCCAAGGTGGAGGAGAAGAAGAAGAAGGAGAGGGTCATGCCCGAGGTGGGCTGGCTTCAGGGCAAGGAGAAGGAACGCGCCGAGCGGGTGCTGGCTCCGTTGTGGAAGGCCCGGGAGAGGATTTGGGGTGGGGGGAGGTATATTTGTAAGTGAATGAACCCCTTTGAAGTCTCTCTCTGAGCGTTCTCGCTTGGGATTTCCCGAGACGGGAAGGCATGCAAGTAGCGTGCACGGAGGCGCAACCATCGGGCCCCGATATTTGTTGGACATCCGGATACGAGGTACTGTACAACCAGTTGACGTGACGAAAGATATCCACGCCTTTGCGGTACACCCCAAGCACCAGGGCCGTGGAGCCGGGGCGGCGCTGGTGCAAGCGCTCATCGACCTCAGTGACAGCACCGGGTTGCCCATCTACTTGGAGTCGTCACCGGGATCACAGGGGCTTTACAGAAAGATGGGATTTATGCAGGTACCCGGAAACATCGCTAGAGTGGTGCATGACGCGGAGGTATTGGGCACGGAGGAGGATGTAGAGGTACCCCTCATGATTAAGCTGCCGGCGTCCGTTACAGCCTCTTCATCAGAAAAGGGCAAGAGTGTGGAAGACGTGTACGTGCAGTGGTATTGGCAGAGGGGCACAACGGATGAGAAGGTCAAGGGGCAATGATAGAACACGAAGTGGCGTCAAGAATACAGGCCCGTTACCTCCAGGATCCCAAGGCTGGGCAGCCATGCGAAAGTATCTGAATATCTGAATGACTTGGCCAAGAGCAGCGGTGACCGCGCCGAAGAATTTATGCAGCAATTGTTGACGATCTTATCAGATCATCAGATAATGCTAGACAAACGCAGACATGTTCCCACTGCCAGCCACCCTCGTTTGTACGTAATGAGACTCGTGGGACGGTAACAATGGCCAACTGTTGGGATTTAGTTACTGCACGGTGTAGGTCGGAGAGGAGATGGGGTTGGATCCTCGGCATCACGCATTCATTGCCGGGTTAGGCAGCCCGATAGCCTGCAGCTTGGTTTGGTTTGAAGCACCAGGAAGAAAATGAAGAAATTGTGCTTGCGACCCCACGCATGCGCGCGGGAAAATGGCGCGTCCCCACCGCGCAAGAAAGTCTGATCTGATAACTGTGCGCGGCAAAATGTTAAAGTCTAGCCCGCCGCGATTCCTCAAATCCAAACTCGAAGAGATGCTTCTGCTAAAAGTTGAAGTGAAACAAGAAGCAGAGAACCTAAGGACCGATGCTTAGAGTATTGTCAATGTGCTTTCAAAGCCATTCAGTGCCTAGGAACAGCTCGGTAATCCGTATGGATAACATGAGGGCTGCCACATCGGCAAAACAACCCCTGGTCATGGTGGGTCGCAGTGGGCCTCCGACAATTATCAGATCCGGCCGGCTTCATTATCTGATCCGCATCTGCCAAGCCCGGCATCGGGCCATCGCGAAATGAAGTTCCACTTTCATGGCAAAATTAGGACGAGCAGGGCAGATCGCGTCCAGCAGGGTGCATGGCGGCAGGCCGTCGCACTTGCGTGTCCCTTCCTCGGCTTCCCTCGCAGGAACTAGCGGGAACCAGGCAAAGCCGCTACCAGTCGGCACAGATTGGGAGCAGGAATCTCTCTGAACGCGGCTGCCTTCTTCCATCCAGAATAACCAACAGTGGCTGCAAAGTCAGGCACTACGATGGCGGCTGTCCCGTCATCCGAGAAGAGGCGTTCCTCGGGTGCCGAAGGCAACACAGAAGCCGAGCCAACAGTCGCCGACTCTTCTAGCACGACACCAAAGGATGAGCCGGCCGAAAAGAAGTCGGGGCTGAGTGTATGTTACTCCTATGTTGTTAACTGTTTACTTTACCCCTTGAGAAACACCACCAGAGGTGCTCGCAGACATCACCAGCAACACTCTCCTGAAGCAACCCCATCACTAACACTACCAACTAGTTCAACCTCCTCAGCTACCTCCGCATCTTCACGGCCGCCGACCCGTCATGGATCGACATCCTGCTCCTTGTAGTCGGCACACTGTCGGCCGCAGCAGCGGGCATCCCTTTCCCGCTGATGGGCATCCTCTTCGGCGAGCTAGTCGACGACATGAACGGCGCGACCTGCGCCTCCTCCTCGTCCTCCTCCTCATCCCTCAGCACTCCAACCAACCCCTTTGCCTACGAAGGCGCCATCAACGCAAAAGTGCTGCAGCTCGTCTACATCGCCATCGCCGCCTTCGTGCTCATCTACATCTACGTGCTCTCCTGGTCGCTGGTCAGCCAGCGCCTGGCCCAGCGGCTGCGCGCGAAGTACGTCTCGGCCCTGCTGCGGCAGCCGCCGGGCTTCTTCGACGCACGCAGCATGGCCGCCGCGGGCGAGGTCAGCAGCCGGCTGCACGGCGACATGACGGCGGTGCAGGCCGGCACGTCGGAGAAGGTCGGCATCCTGATTGCGAGCCTGAGCTTCTTCGTGGCCTGCTACGTCGTGGCCTTCATTAAGCAGCCGCGGCTGGCGGGCATCCTGGTGTCGCTGATTCCGGCGTTCCTGTTGATGGCGCTCGGCGGGGGGTTCTTTGTGCAGAAGTATGCTGCGCGGACGGCGGGGAGTGCGGCCGCGGCGAGCGACATTGCCAGCGAAGCGCTGCAGCACGTCGCGGTTGTGCAGGCGTTTGGGGCGGCGCCGAGGCTGGAGAGGAAGTTTGCCGAGCATGCTGCTGAAGCGAGGGCCGCCGGCATCAAGAAAGGCGTTGCCGCGGCTGTGCAGGCCGGGTTGCTCTACTTCATTGCCTATTCGGCCAATGCGTTGGCCTTCTGGCAGGGCAGCCGCATGGTGGTGGACACTATGAATGGCCACGGCAGCGAGACGGTCGGGCAAATTTACACGGTGGTGTTCCTGCTGGTAGATGGTATGTTCTGGCCCCTTAATCCCCCCCCCCGCCCCCCACAAGACTGTAAAGTTGGGTTACAGCAGGACCGGACCGCAACCTCTGCTGACCCCGACGGACCACAGCCTGCGTATGCCTGGGCAACATCGCCCCCCTGCTGCCCATCCTGGCCGGCGCCTCCTCTGCCTTCCAGCGGCTGATGAAGGACATTGAAGAGCCCTCGGCCATCGACGGCACCTCCGACCAAGGCATCGTCCTGCCCGCCAACACGCCGGGCCAAATCACCTTCCACAACGTGTCCTTCACCTACCCGTCCCGCCCAGACCAGCCAGTGCTGCGCAACGTCAACCTCACCTTCCCCGCGGGCAAGCACACGGCGATCGTCGGGCTCTCGGGCAGCGGCAAGTCGACCATCGCGTCCCTGATCGCCCGGCTGGCCGACCCGACGGAGGGCAAGATCACGCTCGACGGCCACGACCTGCGCGACCTGAACGTGCGCTCGCTGCGGTCCTTCCTGTCCCTCGTGCAGCAGGAGCCCTCCCTGCTGGACCGCTCGATCCTGGAAAACATCGCCCTGGGGCTCGTCAACTCGCCCAAGCCGGAGCACCAGCCGCTCAAGGAAGTCCTGCTGCACAGCAACAGCAGCGCCCTCTCTGACCTGGCCAACAAGCTCGGCGCACAAGCAGCCTGCATCAATACTAGTAGTAGTACCCCTCCTCCTCCTCCTCCCTCTGACGAAGGCCACATCACCACCACCACCACCACCACCACCGCCACCTCTCCTCCTGAGCTGAACCATCTCCTGCAACTAATCCAGCACTCGGCCGCGCAAGCCGACGCGCACACGTTCATAACCCACCTTCCCCAGGGTTACGCAACCCCCGCGGGGCCGAAGGGCTCGCTGGTGTCTGGCGGCCAGCGGCAGCGGGTGGCGCTCGCGCGCGCGCTGATCCGCGATCCGCGCATCCTGGTGCTCGACGAGGCAACGTCGGCGCTCGACTCGGCCAGCGAGCGGCGCATCCAAGCGGCCGTCGATCGCGTCGCGAGCGAGGGGACCAGGACGGTGGTCAGTATCGCGCACCGGCTGGCGACGGTCAGGAAGGCGGACCGGATTGTGGTGCTGGACGGCGGGCGGGTGGTGGAGGAGGGGGATTATGGGGAGTTGATGGCCCGAGAGGGCGGGGTGTTTAAGGGGATGGTGGGGTTGCAGAGTTTGAGTGGTGGCGATGAGGATAATTCTGGGAGTATGACGGTGGGTGGGGAGGAGGATGGGGAAGATAATAATACTGTTGAGGAGGAGGGTGGAGAGAAAGGAGTAGGTGAAAGGGGGGTCGTTGAGAAGGGGAGTCTCGACGCCAAGGAGACGGGCGTTGAAAAGGAGACGGTGAAGGAAAGGGAAGACGGAAAGATAGACACAACGGACGACGACGACGCCGGCTGGGCCAGTGTCTTCCGCAGCCTGGGCCGGCTGGTGCGGCCGTCGCTGGCCTGGCTCGTGCTGGCGCTCTTCGCGGCCGTCATCGTCGGCGGGACCTTCTCCGGGTCGGGCCTGATCTTCGGCTTCACCATCGGGGCGCTCAACCCGTGCAGCAACAGCGGCGACCGCATCCTCGACATGGGCATGTTCTTCGGCGGCCTGCTGTTCATGCTGGCCGTCGTCGAGCTGCTGGCCAACTTCCTCGCCTGGTCGTGCTTCGGCCTGCTCGCCGAGCGGCTGCTGTACGCCGCGCGCGTGCTGTCGTTCCGCTCGCTGATGGAGCAGGGCGTGCCGTGGCACACGGCCGCCGGCCGCTCACCCTCGTCGCTGCTCGACATCATCACCAAGGACGGCGCGGCCATCGGCGGCTTCAGCGGGTCGACCATCGGCACCGTGTTCTCGATTGTGGTCAACTTCGTCACGGCCATCATCCTGTCGCACATCATCATGTGGAAGATCGCCATCGTGTGCCTAGCCATCGTGCCCATCCTGCTGTTTGCCGGCTTCATGCAGCTGCGCATGCTGGCGCGCTACGAGGAGCGCCACGCCGCGTCCTTCTCGCGCGCGACGGCCGTGGCGGTCGAGGCGGTGCAGTCCATCAAAACAGTCGCGGCGCTGTCGCTCGAGCACGAGGTCATGGGCTCGTACGCGCGCCTGCTGAAGAACACGCGCGACGAGATGGTGCGCGCCGCGGCCTTCACCAACATCTGGCTGGCGCTGGCCAACAGCATGAGCTTTCTCATCTACGCCTTCGCCTACTGGTGGGGGTCGCAGCGCATCATGGCCGGCGACGCCAACCAGACCCAGTTCTTCATCATCCTGGTCGCCATGCTGGTCAGCGCCCAGCTGTGGGGCCAGATGTTCACTCTCGCGCCCGAGTTCTCGCGCGCCCGCACCGCCTTCTCCCGCATCCTGGCCATCATCCGCCTCGGCTCCGACAACACGCTCGACTCCAAGCACGATCCGCACCCTCCTCCCAACCCCAACCCCGACCCGGAGTCCCCCCTTCACCTTTCAGTTCCCCCTTCTTCTTCTTCTTCTTCAAGTGGCTCCCAACAACCAGGCCTGCAAATAACCTTCTCCTCCGTCTCCTTCGCCTACCCCTCGCGCCCCTCCGTGCCCATCCTCTCCTCCCTGTCCTTCACCATCCAGCCCGGACAATTCATCGGCCTCGTCGGCCCCTCCGGCGCAGGGAAATCCACCATCATGTCGCTCGTGCAGGGCCTGTACCACCCAACATCCGGGACCATAGCCCTCGACGGCGTTCCCCTCTCCCCCTCCTCTCCCCTCCCGTTCCGAGAAAGCGTCGCCATCGTGCCGCAGGACCCGGCCCTCTTCTCAGGCAGCGCCGCCTTCAACATCAGCCTGGGCGGGCCGTCCCCGGACCCGGACCGTGAGGTCTCCCGCGCCGAGATCGAGACGGCGTGCAGGCTGGCGGGCATCCACGACGTGATCGCGGCCCTGCCGCAGGGGTACGACACCGACCTGGGCAGCGGCGGGTCGCGGCTGTCGGGCGGGCAGCGGCAGCGCGTGGCGATTGCGCGGGCGCTGGTGCGGAGGCCGCGGCTACTGTTGCTGGATGAGAGTACGAGTGCCCTGGACGCGGCCAGCGAGGCGGCGCTGCAGGAGGGGCTGGATCAGATTGTGAGGCGGGGGACGACGGTGCTGGCCATTACGCACAGGCTGCATACCGTCAAGAAGGCGGACTGTATCTTTGTTGTGGAGGGGGGTAGGGTGGTGGATCAGGGCACGCATGCCGAATTGATGGCGAGGCTGGAGAGTTATCGGGTGAATGCGATGCAACAGATGTTGCAGTGAAGGGACTTTTGGGTTCATCCGAGTCGGGTACCTGAGATAGTTAGATGTGTCGGGAAAGGAGAGGTTCTAGGTGGATAGCATACCTACCTACCGGGTAATAGAGTCGTTGTGTTGTTCCCGTTCTACACTGTATGCCCAGTGACGGTAATGGCCAAGAATGTCTGTGTCCCTTGTTTGCATACCAAAAAGAATACCCTTATCTCCACTACACGCTATAGCTCCTCCTTAAAGAAGACCTCCTCCGACCCCTCTGGCTCCTCCCCCTCTTCCCGTGCGATCTCCTCTTCACCACCCGCCTTCCCCCCTTCGGCTGCTTCTCCTTCTTCCCCTCCGGCATCGTTTGCTTCCCCGGTTGCACCCCACCACGTCCTTGCCCCCCGCCTGTCTGGTCGTCGTCCTCCTCCTCGTCAAACGCACCAACATACTCATACCCCTGCCCGGCCACCAGCTCGACCTGCAGCTTCCACCCGCGGTTGCCCGCGCGCGCCTGCATCTGCTCGCGGAACTGCTCGACCGTCTGCGGGTCGAGATTCAGCTTCTCCAGCTCCTCGTCGCTCATGGTCTCGACCTTGGCTGAGTCCTTCTTGCGCGACGCAAGCACCAGAGCCGGCGTGCCCCCCGAGCGCGACAGTCCGCGCGGCAGGGGGAGCTTGTGCGCCAGCGCGTCGGATATCACCTTCTTCCCGCCGACCACGACGCCGCCTATGTTGATGCCTGTGAATTCGTTCTTGTTGTCATTGTTGTTGTTGTGGTTAGTGTTCGAGGAGGTGGCGGTGGTTGGCTTCTTCTGAGAGGAGAACAGCTTGTCGCCCGCTTCGACCCGCTTGTGGTACCGCCACGCCGACTCTTCCTCGGCCGTACCGATGATCTGCCGGCACCTGATCGGGTGGGCGCGCGTTTCCTTCGGTGGCTGGAACGCCACGTCTGCGCAGAGCCGCGGCGTGTAGACGACCATCAGGTAGGTGCAGGTTGTGACCTCCTTGACCCAGCCGATCCTGTCGATGGCAGAGCCCGGACTGCAGTGGTACTGCACCTCGATGGTGCGCGGCCGGCCGGTGAGGTCGCAGATGGTGCCGTGCTCGAGCCGCTGCGAGAGATAGCGCTGATCGCCCTTGACCTGGAGCTGCGCGTTCGGCGGGGTGAGGCTCTTGGTTTGGCCTTCTGGGCTGGCCGGGTCTTGGGCGCCGTGCAATCCGTCGATCCTACCGAGGACGTACTCCTGGCTATTCTCGTCCTTGACCGGCGGGCCGCCCTTGTTGCTGGGTATGGCGTGGAACTGGACGACGCTCTTGCCGTAGCAGAAGCTGTAGCTCCACCACCCGGACATGAAGTACATGCAGTGTCCATCGAGCCCGCTCATCAGTTCCCAGCCCTTTGCTGACGCCCTGCTGAGCTCGCGAGCCTCTTCCGCCTTGGCCAGCTCGGTCGCTGTCCGGTTCAGCACGGGCGGCGGGGCGATGACGGGGACGGCGCACAGGTATCTCCAGGGGGCGCTGTTGATCAGCTCGTATGTTTCCGAGATGGGTGTGTCATCGTCGTCGGGTAGGTTATCGCCACTACTGCTACTCCCTGGTACCGGGGGTGCGTTGGCCGCTGCGGATTCGCGCACGTTGCTGGTCAGGTCGGTTTGCGACGAGGATTCGGCCCGGTATGCTGGACTCTGGGGCCCTGATGACTCGAGGAGAGCAAGGGCATCGGTCTCTGAGATGAAGTCGTCCGAAAAGACAAGCTCGAACTGTGCGGAGTAAGATGTTAGTCGATACGCGGTTTGGCTCGCATCATGTCGGCAGTCGGCCTTCCCAACGCACCTGGGGATATGCGAGCAGGTCATCATGGATGCTGAAGCCCGGCTGCCGGGCTTGCGAAAAGCGAAGCGCGGCTAGCAGAGCCAGAGCAATGTACCGCATTTTGTCGTTGCTAGCATCTCGACCTCAATTGGACCTGTCGTGCTATCTATCGATGTCGCTGTTAAATTGGCGTTGGAATCGGGACACCTGTCGTTGCTGCGGCATCCCTATGGGATAAGGTGGCCTTATCGAGGTTCTTATCGGAGATGTATGGGGCTGTAATTACCACGTACTACTTACCTATTGTGGATGAATATCGGTATTTTTCAAGAGTCCCGGTTCTGTATTTTTCCCGTGCAATTGCCGCGAACTAAATCCAGCACTTTACGAATACACACGCATCGAACCTCCTTCTACTCCTTCCCACCGACGGATAGACAGTACATCACCACCAACAACATCAACTTAACATATGGGCTCAATTAGGTGGCAGCTAGTAAATATCTTCCAATGTCCACCATTGCCCCAACTTACAGGGGACTTCAACGTCTCTAAAATGACCGATGTAAAACATAGTTGAATGAGTAATTGGTCTAATACATAACGTTAAGACTTAAGAGCGCGGATTACTAGTATCCCGGCGTACCGCGGGGTTATTTTCATGGTTAATAGTTAATTGCAAAATTGCAAAAGAAACCAGAGTGAGTTGAGTGGCTGTAGTGACTGTACCGGCCTTACTTTATCTTTATCCCTTAATAGGATCTCAGATCAGTCCCAACCATTTGTGACACTGTGCGATATTTCTTTACAGGGACGTGGGACGATACCCTCGAATAGGTGCATTACCACGATCCGTTCGTCTCAAAACCTTGACTATGTTCAGGAATCTCTCAGCATAGATATACCTACTGGTTAGTGGTTACCACACTTCCCGCTGGCCATCATCTTGGCCGGGTACGAGGCCGACATGAACCGCCTGATGTCGGTCAACTCCCGTCTGATGTCGGTCAACTCCCGTCTGATGTCGCGGTTCCCGGAGGTGACCAATTTCTGAGGGCTGGCTCCGGGCGAGTGTGTCGCGCTTCTGCTCAAGCCTCAAGCTGCTCCCGGAGCAGAAGGCCAAGCTCTCGAGAGGAAATAGAGATCTAGATCTCTCCTGCCTTCAGGAGCCAGGAACAGAGTTCAAGCGTGACCTTCTTCAGGAATTCGTGCGTTTGGCCGCACCAAGACAACTAGGCCACCGTACGGGACGTGCAGAGCGTGGCCAGGGGTGTCTTCAATAGGGTCATCCGGGATAAGGATGGTCGGGCCAAGGGGCTGTTTCACGCTGAGCCATCACCGAGGAACTTCGCGCCATGCTCAAAGAGCGAGCTTCACGCCGCAGTACCTCCAAGGGCCCCGGGTCTCTGGGTGCCCTCCACGACCTTTTCCAGCAGCGTCAACAACAGCTTGCGGCCCCTGAGGTCCTGTCCGAGTGTTCTCACCTGCCCGGAATAACAACCCTTACCTCGCAATCTCAGTCTCAGTCTCAGTCTCATTAACCGCCTGTTAACCTCCTCTTTTAGAGGAGAAGCCACGCTGGAGCCAGTAACCATTCCCAGAACAACATCCTTTTCATCACGTTGGTCAAGCGAGCTATCAGGATTCAGCAACCCTCTTCGGCTAGGGATGCATCAGTTTGATCGCTTTTTGACCATATAATTGATCCGCCTTCGATCATCACATCTATCTTTTATTGTCCGTGAAGCACTAGGTCACTAACAGCCGTCGCCGGGCTCAGTTCGTGTCTCGTTACCTTGCAGGGCTGTCCTAATCTTTGGACAGATACCCAGAACTCAGGTCTTGCTTTTAAAAAACACGGATAACACCACCATGGCACGGGCCGCAGTGACGACTCACGCCCCCGTTGCGCCCACCCACCGCTCTGCGCGCCTTGCCGCCGCGGCCGCCAGGGCGGCCTCCCAGCATAGTAAGTGTCTTTGAATTTCGATAGAGGTTCCGTCAGTGTCCCGCGCTGCCTTGGTCTGTTTGCTAGCGAGCAGTCGACTGTGTCTGCTCATATTTTCAACTTGTGTCTCTTGATGCTATTGTTTCCGTGCTTGGGTGCATGGCTGCTCAGGCGTCCTGGACACGCCAGTCCTGTCATCTTGTGCAGCCACCATCTCTTGGCCGTCATCCCGCGGTTTTCGGCACTTTCCTCTGCCAGCAACTGCACTGCTTACCCAGCGACCTATGGAGAAGTCGGCTAACTTCGGGTCAGATAATACGAACAACAGGGACGGCCCTCCTGCGACACGCAGGTCTCCGCCGGGGGGCAGCAGCGCTACCCGTCCGGCCACTGGCGATGCCTCTGAGTGTTGTCGGGCCGCGTCCCCGTTCCCGGAGCTACTAACAAGCGGGTGTAGTTGTGATACTCAAACACGGAGTAACAATCCGGCTCCGCGGTGAATTTGTCCAATGCCTTGTCCCCTCTGGAAATGAGCGTCTTGACGATCTCTAGCTGCTCCGGCGTACAGCGTGAATAGTCGACTGCAAGATGCAGAGGAGTGCGCCCCTTGGTGTCCTGGGCGCACAGAGTGCCCTCGCTGGAAGCCTCGACGAGACTTATGATCGCCCCTGGGTGCAGCCCCTTGAGGATGGCGGCATGGATGCAGTTCTGGTCGTCCTCGAATCTCATTGCCAGCAATCTGTCAAAGTCGTCCTCGCCGACCTCATTCGTCTGCAGCATTTCCCATATTGTCTTGACCACAGCTGTCGCCTTTTTCTTGCGCGTGATGGCGATGTAGAGGGGCGTCTTCTTGTGCCCATCCCTCGCCTTCAAGAGCTGGGGCTGCTCTTTGATCAGTAGCTGCATCAACCATTTGTGGGAATCTTTGTGGATTGGAGCTGCGGCTAAAGTGTGCAACAGGTTGCGATCATCCTCTTCGACCTTGCGTCTTAGGACGCTGCTGTAGTCTTTCCGGAAGACCTTTGCCCCGGCATCGTCGAGGGAGAACTCGGACCTTTCCAGCCTCTTCAAGATCTCATCGAAGGCTCGCTTCACAAAGTCCGATTCCGTGGCGGATTCGTCGGAATCGTCGCCCCACTGCTGCGGTCGAGGCATGGTGACGGCCAAAGTCTTGAAGAAGCAGGATCAGGTTTGCCAATCGTGGAGTTGCAACTTCTGAGCCTTGCCCGGCTGCTATGAGTGTACATTGCGCTAAGCTCTATACGGTCAGAATGTCGCTCTTATTATCGCGTGCTTCGGCAAAATCAGGTGCCTCGCGTCTGCCTGAGGCGCGGCCAAGTCGCATTAATAATGAGGGGCTTACACACGGCGAAGCGCGGATGGAGCAAAAGTTCTTCAGCGAACGTAGCAGCTCGCACCCCCCCTACACATTCGGTTGTTTAGCTCACGCCCCACCATTCATTCAATGCTGATTTGTTTATACGCGGAATTAGTAACAACAGGGGGTCAAATCTGAATTTCAGATAGAAGACAGCAAAGCAGCCGTGGTTAATTTGACACAGGAAAACGAACATTTGACAATACCCCGTTAGCGGGACCCTTTTCTCAGAAGCAAAATTTGCCGTTTTGACGTTGAGATAGAAAATTTGGGGCCGACCTTGGTATTCAAGACGGGCGCTAAGTTCGCGAAAAAAGCAAATCAGGGGTGGATTACCAGGTCTCCTCCGTGTAGATATCGAGTAGCGCCTGCCCCGACGAGATTTCCCCGCTCATCGTTACTAGTATTTCGTATCTTGTGATCTTGTAGTCTTTCAAACCTCCTGTTTGGAGGAAACTTCTATCATCTCGATTGATAATGGAATCATCACAGAATGACGAAACTCCATTACCCCCAGCCGCTGCGTTCGCGCTTGACATTGGCCTGTCTCAAACGGGGGATGCAGGAAGCTCATACCATTTTCAGAACGATCCATCCGACCCTCTTCAGCGGAAGAATTGGACGGAGCGCAAAGGCGTTGTTGACATCCGCGCTACCTGTCTCGATGTTGTGCATGGAGTGCTCGGCGAGCAAACCCCGGTATTTTGTACATTGCTAGTCCTCGAGTTCTGTTTCGACCCCCGCAAACAAGGCCGACGCATCCTCTCAGCCGAGATCGAGCTGCGATTCTCCGGTAGCAAAGCTGGAGGTGGCTCCGATATCGAAGTCGCCCAGATCTCTCCCGTAGGCCGTCTGAGTCTTGTGCCGTCGAGTCAGGAGGAGACGACGACATTGGAGACGGAAGTTTCGGCAGGGTCGGCATCGTCGCTGCCCGTTGATGTGGGCGCTGGCTGGAAGTGGTCTCGGAGCGTGAGCAGAACCGTCAACGACGCCGCTACCATCGTTGGATCCATCGACATGCTTGGCCGAACCTGGGGCAAGAAGAACAGCGCGTCGTGGACGCTGATGGAAAATCGGATGACCAAGTCGGGGGTCCCTTCGATGATGAGAGCGGCCGTGCGTCTACATCGTCAGACTGAAGAGCCTTTCACATGCGAGTTCGGCATCAGAGCCAAGGCGGACTGGCAAACTTCGCTCACAAATCTCCTTGGCTCCACGCCGCCGGACGACCCAGTCTTCTTCGATCCAACACTGCCTTCGACCAACAACCTCCAAGAGTACGACGAGTTGGCATTGGGCTCGCTTGATCTAGAATCCTTGTCTGATATCACCCACCTCACCATCTTTGAGAATGCCATGAAGCGGAAATAGATTACAGGGCATGCTAACTTTGGGGGGAAATTTCTCCATCGTTTCTGTTCCGTACGTACGTAGTACATACAACTGTTTCAGCAGAATAGGAAGTTCCGATTCCCAATTTCTTCAGGTCTTTAGCATCCCGGTTCCTATCGCAACGCCTGGATGTGACTCTATGAAAGGCGGGGGAACTTCTGCAGCGAAGAAACACTAGCGCTTACTCGTGGCCCCCCCCCCCCCCAAACCGCCCCGCTTTTCTTCGGGCCAGCCAACGAACCGCCGGGCAGGTTGGTGGTCACCATCCATGCGCCCACACCAGCCAAACGCCCACTTTTTCGCCATCTTCGTTAAAACCACCACTTTTGAAGCCCACATTCGAATCCCGCGATCTATTGAAAATGGAGGATCGTATCCAAGATGCTCTCAACTATATTGCCGTAAGCCCAGGTGCTAAAGTGGCCACGGTTGCCCGGGAATTCGGTGTCCCCCGAGATCGTCTACGTCGTCGTCTTGCTGGCATTGGGCCCCAAACTAGCCGCCCACCCACCAATACCAAGCTGACAGCTTCCGAAGAGGTTGCGTTGCGCCGGTATATTGACCGGCTTGACAATATCAACCTTGCAGTTCGGCCGGCCTTCATTACCGACGCTCCAAACCATATCTTATGCTCTCGGGCTAGCCGGGCCGAGCAGGACCAGCCACCAGTTGTCGGGCAGAACTGGACCTCCCGGTTCATCAAACGCCATTGCTATCTTAAGCAGTGGCAAAGGAAGCTCAACGCCAACCGCCAGAAGGCTGAATAGCCTGCTATCGTTGCCGATTACTTCGATAAGCTTCTGAATACTCTTGCAGATAAGGGTATCGATCCCGAAGACATCTGGAATATGGATGAGACCGGCTTCTGTATTGGGATAGGAAAGGACCAACTTATCGTCACCAGATATAAACGGGTATACTACTTTGGTATCGCAGAGAACCGGGAGTCGGCTATAGCTATTGAGGCTATATCCGCCGGGGGAAGGGTTATCCCGGCCTTTATTATCTTAGCCGGGCAGGTCTATATGTCCTAGTAATACTAATAACCCGAATTAGACCCCGAGATAGCGATTATTACATCGGCAAGCGGTTACTCGAACGATAAGATAAGCCTCGAGTGGCTATAGCACTTTAAAGAGCATTTATAACAAGGGATGGTTAGGAAGTACCGGCTCTTGATCTTCGACGGTTATAGCTCGTATTTTACTTGGGAATTCGTCAAGTATTGCGAGGATCACGATATTGTCCTATTCGGCCTACTGCCAAATCTTACGTATCTAATCTAGCCGCTCGATATTATTGTCTTCTAGCCATTAAAGCACTACTACGTACAGGAGCTTGACATCCTAGTCCGCGACGGTCTATTCAATATCATAAAGATCGAGTTCCTTGTCGTCATCCAAAAAGCGCGTAAACAAGCCTTTAAAAAAGCCACTATTCAAGCCGCATTCAAGAAGACTAGGATCTGGCCATTCCAGCCCTCTATTGTTCTACATGTTGTTCAGGGGCGCCAGGCAGTTCGAACGCCCTCGCCAATAGCCGACCCAGCTCTCAATAGCTCTCCATTCGGCACCCCTATTACACTATGGCAGATGAACAAGATAGCTGACAAGCTGGCTAACATCGCGGGAGACGTTGACAACGTTCAAAGATTCATCAAAGGCTCGCTTATTATAGCTACTGAACTAGTCCAAGTCAAGCGTGATCTTTAGAGGACAAAGATGGCCGAGGACATCGCCAACCGTCGAAGGCTTCATAAGAACAGGCCACTACAGTCAGGTGGGGTCCTTATAGTTGCTCAAGCACGTCGGATGATCAAGGTCAGGGAGGATGACGAGCTTGCAAAGGCCAGGCGGGTAGTTCAAGCCGCTAAACAGAGGGCTCACAACAAGATCAAACGTATGTATGCAGATGCGGCCAAGGAAGCTAGAAAATGGAGGCTGACTGGCAGGCTGGGCCCTGCAGAGGTTGTAGAGGAAGTGGGCAAGATACGGCTATTGAAGAGAGTGTAGATAGTTGACGACGACGATGTCGTCGAAGATGGCGAAAAAGTGGACGTTTGGCTGATGTGGGCGCATGGATGGTGACCACCAACCTGCCCGGCGGTTCGTTGGCTGGCCCGAAGAAAAGCGGGGCGGGTGGGGGGGGGGGGGGCCACGAGTACTTAGCTCGACATAACTTACCGAATCGAACCGCAGCGCCTGACGAAGCGAACTATGCAATGCTACGCTGTGCCCGCGGCTGAGCACTGCGGCGACTGGGGCTCAATCAAGCGACGCTGCTCAACCCCCAATGTGCATCGGGCCTGAATCGGATCGACTTTCAAGAGGGGCATCGCTCAGTGAAGCGCACCGTCTCACGGCATCACGCAGCACATTCGTCACATAAGGACCGGCACTGGTGATGGATTCCACTGAGGATGGAAGGACTGAACCTCAAGGCTTGGCAGTCTGGAAGGAGACCGAGAGAACAGACTATGAGTGCGTAACCCCCGGCCCTTCAGCCTATGACCAGAGTCTAGCAGGCGTTCCCTCCCAATGACTAACAGAGGAGCGTAATAGAGTCGTTGCTGTCCATGGGCTGTACGGGTCCCAGGGGAGGACGTGGGTGCATGCTGGCACGGGTGGTCCCGACATATATCCTGCCTCATGGCTCGTGACGAAAGTCTTCGACAATACCTGGGCACGCATCTCTAAGTATGGGTAGCATTCAACGGGATCCGCTTCCATTTTCACTCTTGAAGGGGTTCGAGCAGAGGCCACCAGGCTTCTGCAAGAGCTGGTCGACCTCCGGAAGGGAGAGAAGAGCGAAAGACCGCTTATTTTCGTCGCTCATGACATCGGGGGAATCATCGTCAAGGAGGTGCGGTTCCTGGCTTCAAAGGCTGCTCCTAGTCCCCTGGAGTGCTAACGTGGTGTTGCATGCTAAGGCTCTTCGCCTCGCAAAATACAATCCGACCCGTTTCCCAGGCATCGACAGCTCGGCCATAAGCTTGGTATGTCCCCAGCCTCTCTTCTAAACTGGCCTTTATTTGTGTTAATCAAGGGTGGCATGGTAAACCCTGGGGCCAGATATTCTTTGGTTGTTCTCACCGGTTTGCGGAGCAGCAAATCATGGAAGAGAGCATGCTGAGATTGATCCTACATGCAAGCAAACGACAGATGCCGTCTTCCACGATCATACGACGAGCAAAAGACCTCTCAGAAGCTGTCACGGAAGTCAACAACGGGTTCCTACATGCCAGAATCCTGATACAAAGGACGGTGGTCAACATCTTCTCGGAGGTGTTGGATCAAGACGAACAGGCAAGGACTATACTCGTGTTGATTCATCTTCGTCTTCATCTTCATCCTTCATTCTAGCTAATCGCAAACGGCACAGGTCTTTGACAAATTCACGGCTACTTTTGATATCCCCCTCGAGGTGCGATTTGGGATCCCGTTCCCCCACTCAGCGCTTCCATACGCTCCCCGGCTCAACCACATATACCGGAACAAGCTTCAACGAGCCCTCATATATGAAAGTACGTGGCGCTGGCCTTTCGGGGCCCATGAACACTGCTAGTAACTTGCATAACCGTTGCTTAGACACATCTTTGAGCGCGCCATTCTTGGCTGGGCTGAATGCGATGAAGGAAAAGACGCCTCCAATCGACCTCACCTTTGCCAATCCAGTTACTTGAATGGATTGGTGAGCATCCTGCACTTGCAGATTGGGTCAATCAGCCCAAGTCGTCACTGCTCCATCTCTACGGCCATCGCAATATCACAGAGGCTGCGCAGTACGCCTTCTGCAAGCTAGACGCAACTCGCAGGAGTCCATGGGTCATGGGCGAACACGTCCTGCACTTCAAATTCGACAGTCACGATGTCCGTCGAAAATCTGTAGGAGATATGGCGAGGGTCTTCATGAATGCCATTCTCATATATCGCAACCACATGAACGGGACCATGGGAAACGACCTGAAACCGCCTCCTTTCTCGGATTACTGGCACGATGAGGATGCATGGGCGCCCTTTAACATGGTGCGGAAGGCTGCGGGGTCGTCATGGCAGGGAATCTATATTATCGATGGATTGGACGAATGCGACGAGTCGCGGAGTCTCATCCTGGCCGAGTTTCTCCGTGCGGTGAGATGCTCTGAACAGCGGTTCAAGGTCCTGGTCACCAGCACATCCGGCAGAAACCAGGACATCAAGGACGCCCTGAGTGACCAGTTCACCATCGACGCTGATCAAGCATACGATGCATCGGCAGGAAGGTTTGGTCCAGAGTTCGACTCGGAGCATCTGCACCTGGTCGAATCCCTGCTTCAATCTCGCCCCAAGTTCCCAGTGGAACAATCGCGGACTAAGATTGATGATCTTCTATCTAGTTGCCAGCCCGACATCCTACTACGTCGCCAGGTTGCTGAGTGGCTGCGGATGACCTCTCATATTTCTTCCCAGGCATGTCTTGCCCGAGAAGTTGAACGTCTTTCACCCCCCAGCCCTGAAAGACTCTACAGGAGGATTGTCGAGGAAATCCCTCCTCGGAGGCTGTCCTTTGCGCTACTGGTATTGACTTGGGCTCTGCATTCATTCCGGCCACTGCGACCGCAAGAGTTGGGGATTGCCTTGTCTCTGTCCGAGGAGACGGAAGGAGAATCGTGGATACCAGCCACAGTCGCCGAGCTAGAGAACTCGGAGCTTGCCACGCAGATTGCCGATTGTTTCGGTCCGATGGTCGGGTTTGTGAACAGCGAACTTCAATTCAATGGGTCTTGCGCGCGCCGCTTTCTTTCCGACTACTTTTACTCCTCCGCGAAGATGTCGGGTGCAGACTGCCACCGACATTTAGCCGAGGCCTGCTGCCGGTACTTCACGATTCCCGAGGTTCGGCATCGTCTGGAGGGTTTTTCTCAGAAGGAGCCTCAGGGCGAGCCTGAAGGGCTCTTCCTGGATATGGAAGACTTCTTTCCCTACGCCATGCGCTTCCTGCCGGGCCATCACGACCTTGCCTTCGCGCTCGCCGAGCAGCCTGGAGAAGAGCAGCGGATACCTGCACCCTTCTCACCAGCAGTCCCTTCGTACATCATGGCATTCTACCGAAAGAACCCGGAGTTCGGTTACTATTCATTCGGCAAACATGTGCAAGAGGATGGCCGATAGTTCCTTTCACGTTGCCTTGTTCATGAGACACACGAGCAGGCCGAGGAGAAGGTAGACAATTTCCTCACGGCGGCACGCTACGGGCAAAAGTTTCATTGTGCGCAAGGATTTGGAGCCCGAGTTCGGTAGCAACGAGTCCGCGCTCAAAGCTGCCCTGATCGCTGCCGCAGGATCCGGCAAGGCCGCCATTGTGACTGACATTGTGACGCACATGGCGAACAATGGCGTACCAGGGTCTGACTGGCCCCGTGGGCCGCTCTGTCGCCTTTCGTGGCTCGGCATGCACGATTTGGTCCAACTGCTGCTGGACGCAGGCGCATCGGCGGACGTCACGTTTGGAAGAGAGGGACTCTATGAGGGCTGGAGGCCTTTAGACTTCGCGGTGGCGCGGAACCACGTACAGCTTGTCGAGCTGCTCCTACAGCATACCGACCTGCAGTCCGAAGACGTCCTCCGGAAGAGCCATCTTGTGAAGACGGCCTCGAAAGCTGGCTATCACGAGGTTCTGGCAATTCTTATCCAGCACGGAGCGGATGTGAGTCATGTGCCTCAGGACGGTACGACAATCAGTCCGCTTCGGCCAGCCGCCTCGCGGAGACATTTTATGGTGGTCAGGGAGCTCATCGTCGCCGGGGCCGGTAAAGATCTTGCCGAAAGCAACGCTGGGCAAGGCCTTAGTCTCGCGGCACTGGCGGGTCATATGAGATGTGTCGAGGCGCTATTGGACCTCGGCGTGCCGGTCGAAACCAAACATGACAACTATGGAACCGCTCTCTCCTGTGCCGCATGCTATGGACACGCCGACACATGCCGCCTCCTCCTGGACCGCGGGGCGAGCACCGAGAACACCGAAGGGTGCTGTTCCATCATCGCACATGCCGCCAACTCGGGCAGCCTGGAGGTCGTCAAGCTGTTGCTGGAAGAGGCCGGCACAAACATTGATACGGCTGTCAACAACCAGACTGCACTCATCACAGCCACGCAAGATGAGTTTGCCACGTCCCGGGACATTGCCCGCTATCTCATTGAGAAAGGAGCGGACGTGAACACAGCCAGCGAAGGGTCTAACACCGCCCTGTCTCTGGCAGCAGAGAACGGATCTACTGAACTTGTCCGCCTGCTCATCGCGGCTGGGGCCAAGGTCAACGTCATTGTCGACGAAAGGAAGTGGTCCCCACTGCATGGTGGATTGCCCTTTGCCGACGTAACGCGGGCTCTGTTAGAGAACGGCGCTGACATAGAGGCCGTTTCCAACGATGGTACGCCACTGTACTGGGCGGCTTTCTGTAATCACATCGACACCGTGAGGGAGCTCCTCAAGATCAAGGCCAACCTTGAATATGTGTACAAGGCACCTGGAGAGGGGTTTGTCGATGACGGCTATACTGCCCTCCGAGCTGCCGTCGCGAACCACCAACCCGTGGTGACAAGACTCCTCCTCGAAGCCGGCGCAGACGTCAACGCCAAGTTAGCCTCAGACGGAAGCGGCCCGCTCCATGCCGCAGTGGCAATAGGCGATGAGGAACTTGTCGAGCTCTTGCTACAGTACAACGTGGACATGGAGATGAAGGACGACCTGGGATACACGCCCTTGCACAAACTTACCTCTAACACGCCGGTGTCGCTGGTGGCACGGCTTGTCAAACGTGGAGGAGACCTTGAGGCGCGCTCCAATAGCAAGTTCAACCCGCTCTGCAGAGCCGTTTATGAAGGGAACTTCGCTGTGGCGGAGTACTTCATCAAGAAGGGAGTGAATCTAGGAGTTCCCGTACCCAACTACGGCAGCCCACTACACATCGCATGTCGGTTCTCGACCTTGGAGATAGTCAACCTATTGCTCCGGAACGGCGCCGATGTCGACTTCATCGACCCCGAGCAGCCTGGAACCCCGCTAATGACGACATGTTTGTATCTCGGCGCAAAGCCTAACAACAAGAACTTGAAGGACATCTTGGACTACTTTCTAGGCGAAGGCAACGCCGACATCAACATCACCGGTGGCATTTACGGCACTGCGCTTCACGTCGCTTGTCTCTGGGGCGACCCGGGCATGATCCGTCTTCTTCTTGACAAGGGGGCAGATACTATCACCACTGCCGACGAGATTGGTAGACACCCCCTCCATCTTGCTGCGCTACGTACAACAGAGCACATCGATGTGTTGTTGGAGCGAGGTGGAGACGTTCTCGCCAGGGACAAGATGGGGAGGACAGTTCTTCATGCTGCCGTTAGTAGCGGCCGGGTGGAAGTCGTGGAAAAGCTGCTGCCACTCATCAGCGACGGAGTGAATGCCAAGGACAATGACGGTTGGACACCGCTCGTCTGGGCGGCAAAGCCTAATGGCGGCGCCTATGGCACCCAACGAGATGGACAGCTCGCCGTCATTGAGACTCTCTTAAAAGCCGGTGCCGATCCATCCTTGACTGGGGAGGGTATCCGGCGTACCTGGACACAACTGGAGGTGGCCGTTTACCATGACGCGGGCGATGACGTCGTGGCGCTGCTCTCTCCGGAGCCTAAGGAAGACCCGAGAAGGCAGAGATTCCATATGAAGAAAGGGATAAAGCCGAATTCTAATCCCTGGTGCGACGCATGCATGCTGGTACGTCAGATATATCCACCCAGTCCATCCCCTTGTTGTTTACTTACGTTTGACTAACACATCATACCAACTCACTTAACCCGATCACACAGCCTCTCTGGGGAGAATACTACCACTGTCAGAACTGCGAAGACTTTGACCTCTGCTTCAAATGTTATCGTTCCAAGAACACGATACATGTCGACCACACTTTTGTAGAGAGAGGCGACGAGGTTATTGTCGGGCACGATGAGGAAGAGCCAGGCGATGCACAGAACTCGGAGCCGGCGGAAGGAGAGGGTGAAGCTGGAGAGGATAATGCCGAGCACGGGAATGAGGATAGTGATAGTGACGATTCATGGTGACAATACGGCTCTCCGGGGGATTGGTGAAATATAAGGCCGCTGCAATCCGTTGCTAGAATCGAAGTACCTGTCTCACCCATGTCAGAAAAAGCCGCACTCCAAATGATGGTTTTGACAGATGAAGTCAAGCAAATTAAATCCCATCGAAAAGAACCAGAAAGGGGAAAAGAAAAACAGGGAGAAGGGATAAGAAAGGGAAGCTAAGAAGAGGAGAAAAGGAAAGAAGAAAAGAATGGCGGGAAGACAACAAAGAACGGTAGGAAAGAAAGAAAAGAAAGGTAAGAAAGAAAGAAAGGAAAGGAAAGGAAAGGAAAGGAAAGAAAGAAAAGAAAGGTAGAAAGAAAGAAAAGAAGAGCAGGAAAGAAAAACAAACAAGAAAGAGAAGAGGTTAGTTACATGTATTCGGCTGATAGGAAAGTTGATGTACGGCTTATTTTGCCTAGAGGGAGCCTGTCAAACACCGAACCTAAACTCTAATCCTGATCAACTCTACTTCTAGCCAGCCTTTGCCTTTCTTCTTCCGCCTTCCCCTATATTACTATGCCCATTTCTGATTCATAACTGCTATACTAGCTATCGTCTGTACACCACTACTATTTACTAGGAGTGCCTAGGTGCTGGCGCATCGATGACCCCGATCAACAACAAGGCAAGAGTGAGGCCACCGAGGATAATCAACACCCGGCTTCCCCGAGTCCGCCCTATGGCAGGTGCCAAGAGAACACTAATAGCGAAAGACGTAGAGAGAGTGGTCGGTAACTTCAAGTTAGGGTACGCCGGCAGAGGTAGCACTCATGAGCACGGGATAAATATCAACATGACAGCCAATGCAAGCCACCCTTTCTCTCTCTTGATCCAGCGCCATACGCCCTTTCGAAAACTGTACCTTGTGGTTAGGGGCAGCGCCCGTATCGCGACTTTACCCCCATTCAGCCGCTTCATCGATGCAGGACCTGAGCTGTCGGTTGGTTAGGCTGTTGGATTCCTCTCCAATACCCTGAAGGCTGTCATCGACCGCCGTGGCCGAGTCGAGCACCGCTCCGTACCTAGTGGGTACTTCGCTGCCGCCCTGATGTTTCAGATCGAGACGCCCTTTCAACCATATGATATACACCGCCGCTATCCAGAGTAGGACAAGGATCATTCAGACACTCAACTGAACAAACGAGAAGCCCCATTGATATAACTGTTCTAATAGTTAGTCAAGTTAAAGTTAGCTGGTTGACAGGGTCCTTTTCTTAACCTACGCCAAGCGGTTGGCAGCTGCCGTTCTGCTCCATATAAGTTATATTCTAAGTCCTATTGCCCCCAACCGTTATGAAAGCTTGGTTGTACCTATTCCTATATGGGCTCTTGTACGTTCGCGGATTTACCTAGCTACTTCTAGGGTACGACGGAGGTAGATATAAAGCAGAATGTTGAGTGCTGATTTTAGGATGGTCTGGTTCATCGATTCGGTCTCAATATCATTGAGGTTGCCATCCTTATTAAGAGCGAGGAACCTGTAATTCATAGTGTCTAGGTCAAAGTTGGTTAGTATGCTAATTAATAAGCGAGATCGGAATCATCGAATCTATCATTAGACTCTTGACCTATATACCAAGACGGTTCCTAATAGACAGCATCCTAGTGGGTCCGAAAAGCCATAGTATAACGTACATGATAAGCGAGTGACCCAGACAAGCGAATGACCCACTCTCCACTACCCTACAAACATTATCCTCAATTACAAAACAACAAAACTATCAACCAACTACAATTACATCAGAAACGGCTGAATCAGATGCTTCTGCAACCTCCTGGCAAGTGCGGGCATTATGACCAGGCTTGCCGCATACACCACAGCACCGAACCTTTGTACGACCCCCACCAGCACCACTACCATCCAGCTGTGTTTCTTGCATTGCCTCCCCACCTATACCCCCCTGGCTTACCACCTCCTGTGCCTCCTGCACAGTAAGTGATCCTCCAAGCCGCATACGTGTTTTTTTGGCTTTCCGGCGCTTGCTTAGCGCCTCGTTAGCCTTGCGGAGCGAAGATACCTCTGCCTGAAGGAGGGCCACCTGGTGTATTATAGCTATCGTATCCTTGGTAAGCTGGTCTATAGCAGCCAACATTGAAGTCGGGGAGCTATTTTGATAGTTGGCAATGCGAGTCTTGATAAGCGTTGACTGTGACTCGGCTTCTCGAGGGTTGTATGGTGTCTGGAAGACCTAAGATTATATAGTACCCGGCCGTGAGATTAGGGGTGTTGGTATACGAAGCTTGATATCTAGCTTCGAAAGCACCCTCTCTGGATCGTATGGCATAAGGCCAGCCCCTGTAAAACTACCCTGTATATTCCTCTTGGTAATAGAGGCAAAGAAGGCCGTACGAAAGGTATAAAGAAACTCGAGCTTGCTTATATGGTTGATACGCACGTGTACCAAGTCCTCGATCTGGCGACCGTACGCCTGCTTCAACGGCCCAAAGCAGCCAATATTAAATGGCTGGAGAAGGTAGGAGGAATATGGAGGTATATAGAGCATAATAATGTTGTTCTGCTAGTAGTAGAGCTCGAACTTGGTCGAGTGGTGGCTTTTATAGCCATCGAGGATTAATAACCGGTATTTGCCCTTTGTCCGAGGCATTATATAGTAGTCGAAGTGCTTGATCCAATCAAGGCCTACTATATTAGTAGTCCAGCTGTTCTCGGTGGTTGCAATACGCTAGTCGGCCAGGAGGTTGCACTTGGTATACTAGTTGACAAGGTAGTATTGCGCGGCCAAGATAATGAACGGAGGGATAGCCTAGCCGAGAGCATTGACTCCCTAGATTACTATTACCCACTTGCGATTGCCAGGCTAGGCCAGCTTAGCCTTGCTCCGGCTATCTGAGGTTGTAATAACTATACCCGTAAAGATGATACCTATTATAAACCCGGTCTCGTCAAAGTTATAGATATCGTCATCTATGATACTATATTTGGCTTTAGTGTTCTATATAAGCCTAAACCACTTGCGAATAACGTCTGGATCTTCGTATCTAGCCCTCTGGTAGTTGTATCTATATGTATATCGTGTACGGAGCTCTGGCCGGCGTTTGACCAAGTTATAAGCCCAGCGTTTGCCAACAGGGAGCGCGTCGCGTTCGCACAGTAGTTGGTTGGCTATATCTTCTATACTATATAACCTAGGCGGGAATACACGTGCAGATAGCTCATTGACATATTGAACTATCGCCTTCTCTTCTAGATCTATGAGCTTGCGCGAGTTGGCTGGAAGATCGTATCGTGCAGGCTTGCCGGCGCGTCGGCGCCCTAGGGTCCTACGGTCAACCCCATAGATTTTAGCTGCGGCTCGTTCGCTTAGATTCTTGTCGTTTTGAAGAGCTTGGAGAGCCAAGATTATCTGGCCTTCTTTTGAAGTAGAGGGCATTTTGGATGGTAGAGGAAATTTTGTTGTTGAGTGCAAAGATGTTGTGTTGTGTAGGAAGTGGGTCATTCGCTTGTCTGGGTCACTCGCTTATCATGTACGTTAACGTATCTTATAAGCGAGCGAGACATATAAGCGAGCGAGACATATAAGCGAGCGAGACACTAAGTTCTTGGCACGACGCGTCCTTCTTCAACCACCCCCAACAGCGCGTTTTTCCTATAACCAAGAATGTCTTCCGCTTTAAAGGAAGCTAGGGTAATCTTGGCCCTTCAAGCTCTTCAAAATGACACGAAACTGAGCCTCCGAGCCGCGGCCAAGCTCTATAACGTACCAGTTTCAACCCTCGGCCACCGACGTACCGGCCGAGCTGTACGATACGATCTTCTAGCTAACTTACGGAAGCTCACCGATCTAGAAGAGAAGGCTCTTATTCAGTATATAATTGAGTTATCCGAGCGAGCTTTTCCACCAAGACTCCGTGGTGTAGAAGATATGGCCAACTAACTGCTATATATATACGACGCGCCCCCTGTCGGCAAGCTCTGGGCCCATAACTTCGTCAAACGCTAGCCAGCCCTCCGTATACGTTGGTTGCGTCGATACGACTACCAGAGGGCTAAGTACGAGGATCTAGAGGTCATTGGCGAGTGGTTTGCACTTGTACGGAATACCAAGGCCAAGTACGGTATTGTAGATGACGATATCTATAACTTCGACGAGACTAGGTTTATAATAGGTATTATCTTTGCGGGCATGGTGATTATGACCTCTGATGGCCGTAGCAAGGTAAAGCTGGCCTAGCCTGGCAACCGCGAGTGGACAACGGTGATCTAGGGAGTCAATGCTCTTGGCTGGGCCATCTCTCCGTTCATCATCTTGGCCGCATAGTACCACCTTGCTAACTGGTACACCGAGTGCAACCTCCTAGCCGACTGGCGTATTGTAACTACCGACAACGGCTGGATAACTAATGCTATAGGCCTGGATTAGATTAAGCACTTCGACTACCATACAACGCTGTGACGAAACCACGGGCAGTCCTGCCTCTGAAAGGGTTCGCCGGTCGAAGGTATCTGTTGGTCGGACTGTAGGTCTCGGTGAAGCCAAAAGGTTCACAACAATGCTTGCCGCAATGTCTGCACAATAGATATGGGCTATTGCTTGTAATATTGCTCACTGAGGAAGCTAGCTATCTGAATGAGTGGCAGAATGGTAGAACTATATACAGCTTCCTCCTCTAGGTGTCCCGTACCTAGATCTTTGGAACATTTGGAACAATTGTTGTTCTCATTGTTCCATCTGGAACAACGTTCCTTGGCGTTGTTCCCCAGGAACAATCGTTCTTGGCATTGTTCCTGATTTCCTCAGTCCCCATTGGTTCTTTCTGATTCGCAATGATTGGATACGGGCACCGCCCGTCGACCGTGCAGGTCGGCCCCCACCGGCCTCTGCAGGTTAGTTCATGACAAACGCCTCGGGCAAAGGGCAAGTACCGGCTGTTGATCCTCGACGGCCATAATAGCTACTACTCGACCGAATTCGAGCTCTATTGCCAGTAGAATAATATCATTACGCTTTATATACCTCCGTATTCCTTGTACCTCCTCCAGCCACTTGATATTAGCTGCTTTGGGCTACTGAAGCAGGCGTACGGTCGCCAGGTTGAGGACTTAATACGCGTATATATCAACTATATAAGCAAGCTCGAGTTCCTCTATAGCTTCCGCGAGGCCTTCTTCGCCTCGATGATAGGGAAGAATATCTAGGGTGGCTTTGCAGGTGCTGGCCTTATACCGTACGATCAAGAGAAGGTACTATCTAAGCTGGATGTAAAGCTCCGTATACTAACGCCCCTGAACTTGCAGGCCAGCATACTACAACCTTGGGTATTCTAGACGCTATACAACCCTCGAGAAGCCAACTCGCAGTCAATGCTCATCAAGACTTGTATTGCCAACCATCAAAATAACTCCCTAACTTCGATGTTGGCTGCTATAGACTAGCTTACCAAGGGTACGATGGCTATAATATACCAGGTGGCCCTCCTTTAGGCAGAGGTATCTTCGCTCCGCAAGGCTAACGAGGCGCTAAGCAAGCGCCGGAGAGCCAAAAGAACATACGTATAGCTTAGAGGATCGCTTGCAGTACAAGATGCAAAGGATCAACTGGACTAGAAGGCCGTGGTTGGGGAGGTGGCGCAAGAAAAGGAGCAGGATAGTGGTGGTGCAGGGGGGGCTCGTACGAAGGTTCGGTGCTGTGGTGTGTGCGGCAAGCCTGGCCATAATGCCCGTACGTGCCAGGAGGTTGCAGAAGGGTCTGATTCAGCTGTCTCTGATGTAATTGTAGTTGGTTCCTAGTGTTGTTGCGTTGCAATTGAGGATAGTTATTATAGAGTGGTGGAGAGTGTCTCGCTCGCTTATATGTCTCGCTCGCTTATAAGATACGTTATATTGTCATTCATTCCGTTTCCTTCTCAAACTATTGGCTCATCTATAAATTAGTTAATAGATGAAATAAGTTACCTATAGGTTTGACTACCTTACGAGCAAAAAAGCTACTATTATTGTGTCCATTTGTAGAATAGGACGAGATAATCATCAGTAAGGTTAACACACCCCCTATCATATATGACGTACGCCACCATAGAGAAGCTGACGAGAGGTATGAGATAGTTCTCGCCATCGCGGACGTAGGTTCCAATCGCTGATGTATAGCCTGTCATGGCACTCGCGATAGTAGGCCAGGCTAGTACCAGAACCATGATTTAACTGGTACACGTCATGGCCGATCTAGAGCGGAGCTCTCATCTTGTCGCAAAGTCTTGTGATATCCGATAAGTTGACGTGACAGAAGCTTCCCTCTCAATGAAGACGGTGAAGAACGAGTTGTAGGTGATTGGGTCGGTCTGCATGCAGCTCCTGAAATAGCCGGAAACGGCTTTCCACGAGCAAAAAACCAAAAAGGCCTGTCCACCTCGTCCTATGACCTAGAGGGGTTACTCGTAGTTAGTAAGGGTACTAACCCGATACATGGTGCTTACGCGGCCCTCTTTCCGGCTCTGCCGCCGAGCAGCTTCAGTCTTGTTTCCCTTCCGGCCACGAAGTGTCGCAACTTGGCAAGGGAAATCACCGGATTTTGATCCAATTGAGCCTTGTTGGCCATGGATAAAGAGGTATACAACGAAGCAAGAAGCATGAAAAGCCGCCAGGAGGCATTGAAGGTATGGGAGGAGTGCTGGGAGAGCTTGCTGCAGGATTCCATAGCACATTGACCTAAGTATATAGTTAGAACATGAAAATGAAATACCAGGAGGGCCGAAAGGACTAAATCAATCAACGAGGTGGCGTCTTTAGTGCCTGAACAGAACTTTTGACGTTGGACCTCTATACGAGCGCACACGTCGCGTGGAAAGGATAGTGGGTGCACGCGCCAACCCAACCAAGCCCTTTTCCGTAGACTAGTTGTCGCAATGGCTCACATTGGCCTACACCTACCAGACCGCCAAAAGCAAGGTTTTCACCACTTTTAGTTTCTGCATCATGCAACATCTTCAACATTAAACACATCTTCATGATCACCACTTCCACTCGTTCCTCCCACACTAATCACAATGCAGAAGGGCACATGTAAACCCAACCCTAAATGTTCCTTCCGTCACATGCGCCCTTGTCTACCAGGAACTTGACCACCTCCAGGTGGCCATTGTTAGCAGCAGCGTTGACTGATGCCCAGCCGGCGTTGTTGGCTACCTCAAGGTTGGCGCCCTTCTCCACTAGGAACTTGACCACCTCCGGGGGGCCTTGGTTTGCAGCAGAGTTGACTAGCATCTAGCCAGCGTTGTTGGCTGCTGTAACATCAACGCCCTTCACCAGGAACTTGATCACTTCCAGGTGGCCGCAGGATGATGCAGAGTTGACTGGCGTCCAGCCGTCGTCGTTGGCCAGTGTGATATCGGCGCCCTTCTCCACCAGGAACTTGACTACGTCCAGGTAGCCATTGTCTGCAGCAGAGTTGACTGGTGTCGAGCCGTAGCTGTTGGCTACCTTGAAGTCGGCACCCTTCTTCACAAGCAGCTTGACCACCTCCGCATGACTATCGTGCGCCGCAACATTGACTGGTGTCCATCCATAACAGTTTGTTACATGGACCTTAGCACCACGCTCCAGCAGGAGCTGAACTAACCATGACCGCCCATATCGCGCCGCAGAATTGAGTGGCGTTCTGCCCATGCCGGATTTTGCTCGATATCCACACCAGTGTCCAGGATCTTCACACAAGTTCAACATTTCCTTGAGCACAACACAGGTCAAGTACGGATCTTCCAGCACAGTTCACAATCCCCCCGGGTCCCAATTTCCGGATCCAGTGGGCCGCCACCACACTTAAGCCAAGTTTGAGGGCATAGTACGAGGGGCCCGGCGGAATCTCTTCGTCTTCTGCTTCTTGCCTTTCATCGTGCATGTCAAATCACGTTCTCCGAGCAGCCCAACAGGGGTGAGCCTCGTTCATGAATCCAACAATACGTTCCAATGTGTCCGAGTCTTGTTCGAGCAGTACGCCTGACTCCACATATGCATGCCAAGATGCTGCGGAGTAGTCTCGAAGAGCTGCCTGGAACGGTGATTCGTGGGTAATGGAGCCAATTTGCCAGGTCTGGCTAGACTGAACATACTAAAGGCACGACCTGGCCAGTATGGTATATTGAATGCGTTCGCTGGATGCTCGCAGATTCTCATTCTGCTAGATGCCTCCTGCGGGCAGGTTCCTGATGAGGAATTCCCTTACAGTAAAGTGTGCCAGGTGCACTGTATGGTTTCCCGCCGCTAATACCGGGTGCGAGCCACGAACTTCGAGAAGCGGCACACAGCACTCGAGAATTTCGGTGCCGATGTACTCTTCGTCAATAGTATCGGGAAGCTCGTACGTCAGGGAGGCCTCACCGTCCCCGTCAATCAGCACAGCTTCTGTAATTTCGCCATGGTCAACGGCCGTGGAGCAAAAGCTGCCCAGCGCAGCAGCGCTACCGCACGTTCGCTGTGCTCGAGTTTGTCCCAATTTCGTTTATACACATGGTCGAGTCCCGTCGGTGTGACCTCGAGGGCACCCTAGAGCTGCCCAAGGTTCTTCCATGCCTTAAGGTTTTGTTCTTGCATTTTGAGCCAGAGAAATTGGCCCTCGCATCGATCGGTCATAGTCCTAGAAAGGCTGTTCTTATCGTGTTCGGATTTTTTTGGCAGCTTCCAATCGACGATAGACCGCTCGAACGCAGTGGCATCGGCGTAGACATCTCCGGGTGAGATTTTGGTATTCGACAAGGCAGTTCGGATCGTCGCCTCGCAATACCTGTCAAATCTCAGATTCTTCGCGGCTGACAACCAGGACACGAGTAGTTGGCTTGATTGCACTCTTGACGTCTTGGAGAAACCTCGCTACGGATTTGCTATTGTTGGTCGGTGCGGTGCATTCGTCCAGGCCATTGACGACCAGGTAGCAGTCCGGCCTGGCTTGCAGGGCCTCGTGGAGGAGCTATATGATAGTCGAACGGGCCGCAACCTGATCCTTTGTAGTTGCCCATCTCTAGTAGGCAAGTGCAAATACTTCCGGCTATGACGCGAGCTGGGAAACCCAAGATCGCATAACAATGTAGGGATCATTGCGGCTCTCATGATCGGACGAAATGAAGAAGTGGGCGACGGGTTTATCCAGAACGGCCGACAGGTGTTCGACGATGCGTGAGGCTAGATTGGTCTTGCCAAACGCAGGTCGTCCGTAGATCCACAGTATCTCGGGCGTGCCCGATGGGAGATCCGGGGCACTCCATCGGGCAAATGCCGGCCGCTTGAGGATCCAGTCGCAGGTGCCCGTTAATCTCCTGTTGCGCGAGTTATCATAACGCTCATTGGGGGAATGCAGTCCCAGGAGCCAACTGTGAATGTCCCGTCACGTGTCGGCTGCCAGCATTCATTAGCTTGAGCCACGTCACGGACGCACTGTACTCGCCTTGCGCCTCTGCCAGGGCCTAGCGAAGCTCAATCAAGGTTTGGCAAAACTCAGCCTGCAATCCACGCTCGAGTTCTGTTGCTGTTGCTGGCACATTGCTCTGTGGATCAGTACCTCGTAAAGTCTCGAAGCTCCCATTGACCGTGGTCGAGCGCGTACTCGCCGCTTGGTCAGGAGGTACTAGATCGTGGAGTTGTTGCACCACCTTTCCAAATCGCGTGACTAGGTTAGTGAGATCTTGCTTCCTCCCTAGGGCCCAAGGCCGACGATACAACGCGGACTTCATCCGGCGTTTTACGTAGCGAGAAGAGGAGAGGCGGATTGCGAAGCGACTAAAGGCTCTTACAGCCGCGCAGCGCATAGCCCACCGTGACCAGCTTAGCGATATCCAGTTCCTCCAGTCTGACTATGCCGACGATACTAAGGTCAACATTGCCTATATCGAAATCATTATGTCCCATGGGAGGCATGATGTGATGGCGCCACACCGGTTGCATATAGTCTCAGAGGCAGCGGGGGAAGCCGCAGGAGTGGATGAAGCGGCGGGGGGGCACCCTCCTCACCGCTCTGAATGAATCATTGGATCACTCTATGAAGCAGATTTTGGTGGTCGAGAATGGCTCCACGATTGATGAAATCGGAATCGGGGGAGAAGGGTATGGTTGCGAACGGCGGCGGCAGCGTTTCGGGAGGTTCTAACAACGTCCAGCGGGGCCCTCGGATGGATGGATGGATGGAATTTATTTCGCCCTGAGGCACGAGGCCTAAAGGGCCTTGGCATGCTAACTACATCCGATTCGTTGACGTTCGGTCATCAACTCGTCTAGGCCCTCTGCTCTTTTCTCCTTTTTCCACGCCACCTGTTGCCTCTTGACTTGGTATTTAGCAGATCGACTTGGAGGCTACGTTCTCCAAGGGTTCAGCGTCCTATCTCAGCAGCTAAAGCGGGATCTGACATTCATACCTGCAATCAGGCTGCAACTAACCATTAGCCACTAGGGTGCTTAGGGATATCAGAGATTTGGTACAGAGGTACGGCGGCGTGCAGGCAAAGCCCTAGGTACCTTAATGAACGCGGGAGAAACATTTATGAAACGTCTTTCTAAGTTTGTACCCGCTGTCTTAAAGAACGAGCCTCGCAATTTGGTGGTGACTATTGACTTTTACGAGCCCAAAGCCCAACTTCTAAGCCGCCTCGGACTTCATATTACTCCGAATCCGCGACTGGCTAAGCGCAATGCTTCTTATTACCTATCCAATTCCCATCTCCATCCCAAAAAGCAGTCAGCAGTGGAATCACCTCGCAAAATGTCGCCTCCATCACCAGCCGCCCCGACGGCCACAGCCTCCTCCGGAAAGATCACCCTTACCGGCGCGCAAGAGACCCTCCTCGCGACGCTCTACGGCCGGGCCCTGGACGCGACCGCCAAGCCCAAGCCCGTGCTCGGCGACCGGTGGGCCGCCGACACGGTCCGCCGCATCGACTACGACTTTGCCGGCCGGACGGGCATCGGCGCGGCCGAGGCCGCCAGCGTGGCGCTGCGCGCGCGCGCCCTCGACCGCTGGACCGCCGACTTCCTTGCGCGGCACCGCGCCGTCACCGTGGTGCACCTCGCGTGCGGGCTCGACGCGCGCTGCCTACGCGTCGGGCAGGCCGCTGCCGCTGCCGCCGGGCACGACGTTAGATGGATAGACGTTGACCTGGAGGATGTGGTGGAGCTGCGGAGGAAGCTTTTCGCGGGGGTTATTGACGAGGGCGGAGGCGGCCTGGGCGGCGGCTTGGACTATGCGCTCGCGGCGGGGTCGGCGGCGGAGCCGGACGCGTGGCTCGGCCAGATCCCTGCTGACCGGCCGACGCTGGTCGTGTTCGAGGGGCTCACCATGTATCTGCGCGAGGAGGAGGGCCGGCGGCTGTTCGAAAGTATCGTGTGGCGCTTTCGGCCGGTCGGCGGGGAGATCGCGTGCGACGCGTTCGGCAGCGTCGCGATCAGGCTGCAGGGGCTCATCAAGGCTGTCAAGGACTCGGGCTCGGTGCTGCACTGGGCCATTGACGACCCCAAGCTGCTTGAGACGTGGTGCGACGGGTTGAGGTTGGTTGAAGACCAGCTGACTATCGAGATGCCCGGCATCGAGGAGCTCCCGCTGGTCTCCCGGATGCAGGCATGGGCTGTGGCTCGGATACCGTACCTGAGGGAGGCCGGACGGCTGCTCCGGTACGAATTTTGAGACTTTAGGGGTCCAATTCTATCGCTATTAAGTCTATCCCGAGAGTGCAATATGAAGCTGGTATGTTTGACGAGTGGAATCTTGGAACTTGAGCAGTGGCATAATGCCCCTTCTAGGCCAAACTGCTGCGTCCACTCATGATACTTGCCGATCTCGTCCGTAGCGACCGACGGCTTGCATTCTTTATAACGACAAACAAATCCTCGGCCGTCAGCGCCGGTTCCTTGACCCTGTTGGGGGGCACCTTCTTCCATGTCATAGCGATGGCGCCGGGTTCGCCGCCTTCACAGGGGGTGCAGTACTCGGAGCCGGCGTGTCGGATCTGTTGCAGTGCTAGTTAGAGCTCAGGGACTAGGCTGTGGAGAAGGGGATCGCAGCGCTGGTCATTCGGGCACTCGAGATGCAGCAGCCGCCGCTCCATCAGCCACTGCACCTTAAGCCGCACGCCTTTGTCAACAAGCTGGTAAAAGTGTCGGTTCGTGTGCTTGAGGAAGAGCGCGTCCGGGTAGATGAGGTGCTGGGCGATAAGGAGGTGGAGTTCCGGGGGCAGGGTCATGAAGGTTGTCTTCGGGCAGGGCCGTTTCGGACGGCGTAGTTCTGCTGCTGGTTCTGCGGTGGCAGGGCACATGGGCGTACGAGCTCTGGCTGTACATGGCCATGGCCGTGTGGGCCTTTGACAGGCTCCTGCGACTCGGTCGCGCCTTGAAGCACGGCGTGCGGAGGGCCCAGGTGACCGATCTTGGTAACGGCTACATGCGTGTCGACATCCGCGGCGTCCGCTGGGGTTCGGCTCCTGGCCAGCACGCCTACGTCTACTTCCCACGCTGGCCCCCTGGCGCCCGTTGGAGAACCATCCCTTCTCCATCATTCCGACTCCGAGCATTCCGAAACCCGGCTTGGCCTGCAGCTCTAAGGACGAGGAGAGCCAGAAGGGCACTACACCCGTCGTGAAGGTTGAGTCGTCGCCCGAGGATCGTCCCAGCGTTGGCATCACACTCTTTATTAAACTGTCGACCGGCCTCACGAAGCGGCTGCGGGCGCACGGCGGCCTGCTCACGCTCCTGGACGGGCCTTATTCCAATAGCCATGCGGGGCCTGTCCTGCGCTGCGACAAAGTCCTGTTTATTGGCGGCGGCATCGGCATCACGGGTGTCGTGCCCTGGGCGTTTCAGCATCGGAACGTCAAGCTCGTGTGGAGCGTTGCCGAGTCGGCGCGGTGTCTGACAGATGCTATCGACCTAACCGGGGTTGCAGACAGCGAGGTCAGGGTCGGCCGTCGCTTTGATGTTGATGAGCTGGTTAACGGGGAGGCCGGTGCCGGGTGGGAGAGGGCTGGCGTGGTGGTGTCCGGGCCTGGGTCGCTGTGTGACGATGTAAGGGCTGCCGTCGCCGTAGCGGGTAGTCGAGGCAACACCGTATTTGAGTTCGAGGTGGACGCCTACTCGTGGTGAAGACGCTGATTATGGAAGCTGTTATATGTTATATTTGTGCTATTGCAGTTTTCATAAATCCTGTATCCTGGGCTTGTTTTGTGAATGGTGTTGAGTTGGATATCTGTGGCGTTTATTCCACTCAATGACGAAGCCCAGCATCTATAGTACTAAAGAGCTCCATCACCCTTCCCTTTTTCAGGCACGATCTCGCTCACATGTCCGCGAAGTCCCAAACTATCCGCTATATAGGCCAGCATTTCCAACCACGACTTGATAGGTTCGGTTATAAACACATTCAGTCTCTCTTGTTATCGACCTTCGGCAAGAACAGCCACAGCCCGAGCATCACGACCAGCAAGGCTAGGATGATCGGCTGAAGGACCATGACGCCGGCCGCTTGTGCCAACACACCCACTGCGAACGGAAGCAGCGCCGCACCGCACCCGCCAAAGGCAGTATGCAAAGCCGATAACTGTGACGTGTAGGTGCTTCGGCAAGAGCTTGCTTGCTACGATGACGACGCCGGGGAAGAGGGGTCCGAGGAAGAACCCTTGTAGCGCGACGGCAACGGCCGAAACATAGAACTGCGGGACGAACCAAAAGAGGAACTCGAGGCCGATAGTAAGGGCGAGATAGACCTGAGTAGGTAGAGAGGAGTAGTCAATAAATGGGCGTCTACCGGGAGGGTTGTGGAATGTAATTTCAAGTTGAATGGGACCCTTACCGCTATAGCCAGGTTAACTCCTACCCGTAGAGTAATAAAGCCGAGGATGATTCGTCCAAGAGTAATGCCTAACCAGAAACCCGTAGCGGTTATACCACGGGCAAATTCACCTCCATTCCGGACCTGAATTATAAAGGTGACAATCCACCCTCCTAGCGAGACTTCTACTCCGATGTATGCCAGCAAGAAGATCGTATAGATCCACGAGACTCGAGCGCCCGATGAATGCCAGAGAGCTTCCATCAGCCCGGCCTTCTGACCAGTCTCGGCGATACGGTGCTTCAGCCGGTAGGCCTTGCCGGTTGCGCTCCAGAACGACCATGTCAGAGAGACCAGCTCAATGGCCGCGGCTCCGATCTGTTGGGGAGTCAGTTGCCGAGTTTTTCTCGCAGCGGGGGGAAACGGCTGCTAACCATGAAATAGTAGAACGTATACCAACCCAAGTGATACTTCTCGACGATCAGGGTCGCCACGAGAGGACTAAGCGTGCCACCAACTCCGTAGCAGGCATGCATACAGCCCAGCAGCTCGTTCGCGTTGGCCAGGCTTCTAATCCACGCGTTCCACGCCGAGTCCCCAACGCCATTTCCAAAGCCAGCGATGATGAATGCGAGTACCAACACCACGTACGGGGGATGGGTCGCCATGATAAGGTAGGCTGCTATATGGCAGGCCGCAGAAACCATCGCGATGCCGCGTTGCCCTATCTTTTGGTGGAGGACGTTGTTGGACATCGCCGAGACAACGTACCCGGCGAACGGTGACAGGAACACCAGTGAGATGACCACGAAGTCTAGCTCGTAGTATGATTCGAGCTGTTGCGCTGTCAGGGGGTATTCATGGGGGATTTCTCGCAGTATCAACTGAACTTACGGATGGCAAAAGGGCCTACGATAATCATCGTTAGCATCCACATGATACAAAGTGACGCCGTGGGCGTGGTAGTCAACTTACTCTATAGCCAGCGTCATTGGCCCCAATCAGAAAGAAACTCCAAAATGTCGAGAAGACACGTGCAATGTTCGACGCTGTAGGTCGGGGTTGGTATTTCACCATGTTTTCACTGTTCGTCAGCGTCACCTGCGCGGCCTCAGTTTTGGTGAGTCAATGGATGGGGAGAGCCTGGCGGCAGAAGAGGTTTGCGAGACGTCCCTGAGGCGCCAGATAGCTGTCGTACAGGAACTTGATCATTCATGACATCTGGTAATAGTGATCTAAGGTGTCAATGCTCTTAGCTAGCCTATCTCTCCGTTTATTATTTTAGCTATATAGTACCATCTTGCTAACTAGTATACTGAGTATAACCTCTCGCCTAACTAGTATATTACGACTATCGATAATAGTTAGATGACTAATACTGTAGACTTTGATTGGATTAAGCACTTCGACTTTTATATAGCATCTTGTATAAAAGACAAATACTAGTTGTAGATTCTTGATAGCTATAAATGCTACTATTCGACCAAATTTGAGCTTTATTATAAGGAGTATAATATTATCACGCTCTATATATCTCCGCATTCTTTGCACCTCCTCTAGCCACTCGATATTAGCTGCTTTAGACTATTGACGTAGGCGTATAGTCGCTAGATCGAGAGTTTAAGATATATATATATATCAATTATATAAGCAAGCTCGAGTTCTTCTATACTTTCTACGAGGCTTTCTTCTCTATAATAGAGAAGAATATATAGAGTAGCTTTATAGATGTTAGCTATATACTGTATGACCTAGAGAGGGTGCTTTCTAAGCTGAATATAAAGCTTCATATACTAATACTAATATCTCTAAACTCTTGAGCTAGCACTCTATAACCTTAGTTGTTCTAAACACTATATAACTTCCGAGAAGCTAACTCGTAGTTAATACTTATTAAGACCTATATTGCTAACTATTAAAACAGCTCTCTAACTTCGATATTAGCTGCTATAGATTAGCTTACTAAGGGTGTAATAGCTATAATATACTAGGTAGCCCTCCTATAAGCAGAGGTCTCTTCGCTCTAAAAGGCAAACGAGGTACTGCGCAAGCGCTAGAGAGCTAAAAGAATATATATATAGCTTGGAGGATCACTTACTATATAAGATGTATAAGAGGTACTAGGCTAGGAGGCTATAAGTAGAGAGAGAGTATAAGAAACACAGCTAGATAGTAGTAGTATAAGAGAGAGCCGTACGAGAGTTCAGTGTGATGGTGTATATAACAAGCCTAGCTATAATGCCCGCACTTGCTAGGAGGCTATAGGACTGTAACGAGGGCGCTCTGCTCAGGTGCCCTATTCAGAGCTCGAACTTACGACCTTCTGTATCTTCCTTTCTGGTCTTTATTGTGGGGCCGGGTCACGTGACCATACGCATCCAACAAAACTCTGTAATTCCTTATGCCTGCTAGCGTGCATTTCCTTTCCTTTTCTTAAGCTTAGATCTTCGATATTAGAGGTATTAATATAGCTAATTTAACCCTATTTATATTGCTTCACTCAGTATAAGAATCATCTAATTTAGCTATTTCTAATATAATTATAACGTATCTTATAAGCGAGTCGTACATATAAGCGAGTCGTACAGTTTCCACTACTCTACAACAACTATCCTCAATTACAACACAACAACACTAGGAACCAACTATAATTACATCAGAAATACTAGAATCAGACGATTCTGCAGCCTCCTGGCAAGTGCGTACATTATAGCCAGGCTTGCCACACATACCACAGCACTGAACCTTTGTACGAGCCCCTCCTACACTACCACTATCCGGCTGCGTTTCTTGTGCCATCTCCCCAACCATGGCCTTCTGGTCCAGTAGATCCTTTGTATCTTGCACTGTAAGTGATCCTCCAAGCTGCACGCGTGTTCTTTTGGCTCTCTGGCGCTTGCTTAGTACCTCGTTGGCCTTGCGGAGTAAAGAGACCTCTGACTGTAGGAGGGCCACGTGGTGCATTATAGCCATTGTACCCTTGGTAAGTTGATCTACAGCACCTAATATTGAAGTTGGAGAGCTGTTTTGATGATTGGCAATGCGAGTCTTGATAAGGGTTGACTGCAATTTGGCTTCTTGGGGGTTGTATGATGTTTGGAAGACCCAAGACTCTATAGTGCTGAGCCGCGAATTCGGGGGTGTTGGCGTACAGAGCCTAATATCCAGCTTGGAAAGCACCCTCTCTGGATCATACGGCACTAGGCCAGACCCTATAAAACCACCCTGAACATTCCTCTCTATCATGGAGATAAAGAAGGCCTTGCGGAAGCTATAGAGGAACTCGAGCTTGCTTATGTGGTTGATATGCATCTGTATCAAGTGCTCGATCTGGCGACCGTACGCTTGCTTTAGCGGCCCAAAGCAGCCGATATCGAGTGGCTGGAGTTTGTAGGAAGAGTACAGAGGCATACAGAGTATGATGATGTTATTCTGCTAGCAGTAGAGCTCGAATTCGGTCGAGTGGTGACTCTCGTAGCCGTCGAGGATCAATAACCGGTATTTGCCCTTTATCCGGGGTGCCGTATAGTAGTCGAAGTGCTTGATCCAATCCAGACCTATGGCATTGGTAGTCCAGCCATTATCGGTAGTTGCAATACGCCAGTCGGCCGGGAGGTTGCACTCGGTATACCAGTTGGCGAGGTAGTACTGCGCAGCTAAGATGATAAAGGGAGAGATAACTCAGCCGAAGGCATTGACTCCCTAGATTACTATTGCCCATTCGCGGTTACCAGCCTGGGCGAGTTTCGCCTTGCTAAGGCCGTCAGAGGTCATAACTACTATACCCGCAGAGATAATGCCTATTATAAACCTAGTCTCGTCGAAGTTATAGATATCGTCGTCCACGATACCGTACTTGGCCTTAGTGTTCCATATAAGTGCAAACTACTCGGCAATAACCTTTGGATCTTTGTACTTAGCCCTCTGGTAGTCGTACCGACGTGTCCAACGCATCCAGAGCTCTAGCTTGCGTTTGACGAAGTTGTAGGCCGAGCTTGCTGACAGGGGGCGCGTTGCGTATACATAATAGTTGGTTGGCCATATCTTCTATACCACGTAGTCTGGGTGGAAATGCACGTGCAACTAGCTCAATGATATATTGAACAATAGCCTCCTCTTCGGAATCTGTAAGCCGGCGCGAGTTGAGTGTGATATCGCGTCGTGCAGGCCGGCCAGCGCGTCGGTTAGAGAGAGTCATAGCTAGTACGTTGTAGAGCCTAGCTGCGGCTCGGAGGCTTAATTTTTCATCGTTTTGAAGAGCTTCAATGGCTAGGAGTATCCTGGCTTCCTTTGAAGTAGGACGCATATTGGGTTGTAGAAAAGATTGGTGTTAGGTGTAAGGAGGACGCGTTGTGGTGGAGACTGTACGACTCGCTTATAAGATACGTTAGTTAGTTGATAGCCTTGTTATATTGCTATTAAGAATAGTTATTATAGAGTAGTGGAGAGTGTCCCGCTCGCTTGGATGTCCCGCTCGCTTTGATGTCCCACTCGCTTATCATATATATTATTAGAGGTATTAATATAGCTGGTCTAATCTTGTTTATATTGCTTCGCTTATTATAATCTAAGCTTTACTCTTTGCTGCCTAAAAAGGCATTCAATATCTTACCCTTTAAGGAAGATAAATCAAACCGATTATGATATCGACCTACTGAATAAATAACTGATTTAGACTGCCAAGATAGGTCTATCTAACCAAATTACAAACTATCTTCAACTAGCTCACTATAGAAATATAAGCAAGATAGCCTAGTCTATAGATATAAATCTACCTAGAGAAACCCCTATAAAATGGGGTAGAAGGAAGAGAAAATGCTCAGTGCAATTCTCTAAAGCTATGACACCCCTCTCTAAAGAAGACTATAATACCAATTTAAGCCAAAAAGCCTCGCGCTATATAAGCATCTAAGCCAATGAATCTAAAGACAAAGTATATGACTATAGGCCTAACCTAATTAGTGATATCGAGAAATCTAAGAGTTGTATCATCCTAAAGCTCTAGGGTTATTATATCTAAACGATATATCTCTTAGATTTAGATGCTGATAATAAGATCTAATGTATCAATGATAATTAGAGAAGACAAAGAGGAAGCGATAGTGCTATTAAGAACATTGGTCTAATAAAGAAAGACCTATTCCTGGAAGGTTACTAGGGTATTGAGCACTAGCGAGGCTTTATAAGCAAGCTTAGTAGAATTAATGAATTATTTAACAAGTTCTAATATATAATAATCCTCTGCTACGCTTATACTATATAGGCTGTTAAATTATATAATATTATAACAGCTCTCTCTAATAATATCGACACCTTCTATAGTTAGTTCGATTAGGTAGACTCCGCTTAGCCTACTTGTCATGAATTAAACTAATAGGCCTAGGATAGTTGCATGTAGAGGACCTAGTAGGGCAATAGAACCTAGACCAATCGGTGTAAGGGACAGTTGACAGGTGTGACGAGCGAAGCAATATGAATAGGGGTAAACCAGCTGTATTAATGCCTCTGATATCGAAGATCTAAGCTTAAGGAAAGGAAGGGAAATGCGCGCTGGCAGGCGCAAGGAATTACAGTTTTGTTGGGTGCGTAAGCTCACGTGACCCGGCCCCACAACGATGAACAGAAAGGAAAATACAGAAGGTCGTAGGTTCGAGCCCTAAACGGGGCACCTAAGCAGGGCGCCCACGTCACAACAGAGGTAAGTTGATTAGTGAGCTCAGTCGCCAAGAAGACTAAGCACACTGAGCAACCTCTGCTAAACCAACTAGGATAGAAGAAAGTAAGAAAGGTGATTAGTATGATTACTAGGCAAAAGGGACTGAGCACACTGAGCACCTAGGGAAGTAGATAGTATATAGTCATTCGTTCTGGGGGATTCAGGGAGTTCTCTAGTGAGCAACGTTTCATACAAACAGTTCCCCTACTGTTGAAACAATTGCTTGTGCATTTGTTGTGAACCTCTTGGCTTCACCAAGACCTACAGCCCGACCAGCAATACCTTCGACCGGAGAACCCTTTCAGAGGCAAGACTGCCAGGGTTTCGTCACACTGCTATTGAAAACTAGGATGTTTGTAATATAGCTCTCTATACTTATAAATTACATCTAAAGGATTCTACGATTGAGAAGCTAAAGGCTAACATTGCCCATCTAAATGAACGAATTATTAACCTAACCGACCTAGATATTATGGTCTTTATACTACTATAGTAACTAGGCCCCTAATGCTATATCTAATATAGCTTAGAGTGCTATAGAGAGTAACTCTAACCAGTATAGCGACAAGGTCCCCGACCTATCGACCTTTACTAACAATGAGTCAGAAGATAAGCTCTCCTTTGAGGACAAGTATAATCTAATAAATCGACTCTCAACCAAGCACACATCACCTCGTGCTGCGGACAGCGGGCACTGTCTCAGCCGCCGAGGATAGGGCATTGAACACCTAAAGAGTGCCCTTCATGCCACTCTACTCACAGTATGGAGATGCTTTGAATATAAGTGTTAGTTGAGCTTGATTGAGCTAAAAAGCCCAATAATTACTCATCTCACACCGCCTTCCAAAGCGGGGTTTACGGTTATTGACACTATCCCCAGTTCCCACAAACACTAAGGTTAACCTCCATCCCGCTCCGATGAAATGAAATTTGCTCGCTTCCCAGTTCCAGTGACCGCGTCACTAGGCCCTCCTCTCTTCCTCTCCCCTAACACCCTCGCCGGGATCTTAGCCCCGTCTCTCCGCCGTCATCGACGCGGCACGAGAGGAAGACTACGACCAGTTGAACAAAGAACTTGCCCAGCGCCTAAACGGGCTCCTTTATAGAATGCAACTCCGACTAACATGTACGGCGAAGCCGCCAACGAATACTCGCCCGGGTTCACCCCGGCCGAGCTAGTTGAGAAGCGCCAGAGGGAGCGGGAGGAATGGATCCGGCTAATGGATGCGCCCACTCCGTCGGATTGCTCCACCGAAGGCAGTGGCGACTACCCGGCGAGCATGATCGTCGTCAAAGATAACGTCAAATCCGTAACGCATTCTACCGCCCTTTACGAGCGAGACCGAGGGCACAAACTGCCATCACCGCCCCCTTCCACAGACGTCGCCGAGCCCAATGCCGCGCAGAATACGAGGCGGCGGCGGGTTTCTGGCCGGGGCGAAGAGGAGGGAGAAGAGAAACGGCCGACGAAGCTTCGAAATACAACCGCCGCCCTGCCAAGTCAGCAGCTTAACATAGCCGACCCGAGACGATCGGTCCGCATAGCTGCTGCCACAACTGCACGTTCAGGACTGAGGCGATCGGCCCATATCGCCGCCCGCTTGGCAAAACTAAAAGGATGAGTTTCTTGCGAGGCCTTACGTTATATTGTTGCTCCGCTTCAGCACCAAAACCAGCGAATGCGGCCTTAGAGATGGACATTAAGAGCCCACGCGCATCCCCCATCTCCAGATGCCCAAACTGCCTCGCCGCCATAGGTCGCGGTCATGGACCCCCTACGACAAACGTAGAATCGTGCCTCTTAACACGCAAGTTTACAGGCGACAAGTGCGCCCGCTACGGATAATAGCGGATGGAGTCTACAGGGCAGAGTTGGGCCTCGGCGCCTGCCTTGCGCAATCCATCGACCCGCGCGTGATTCGGGGGGAAACCAAGGGGTCGCGTCTGCCGTGGAACGGTTCCCTCAGTTCCGGCGGGGGCGTGCCCGGCACCGTTCTAACAACGACAGTCCCCGACGATGGCCGGTCCTGCAAAAGCTCGAATCTGATAGTGTTGCGGGAACAGGTATTGAATTTCTCGTCGATAAGTGGACTAGTATACTGATACACCTAAGCACGAAAGAATGTCGCCGCTGCTCCCGGATCTAGTGGCGGACAGGTACGCGCCAGAGCCTTCGTTTGCCGGTTGGGCACTACGGCTGCTCGCGGGTTGGGTCGCCGGCAAGTTCCCTGGGTGGGTTGAGCGGTGGGTTGTATAATAGGGTGTTTACAGTGGTAATATCATACACCTGGGAATCGCTAGATTAGATTCGCTATCTACCGAGTCGTTATGCTGATTCGGTATGCCCGTATATGTGTGCGCAACTTTCTTCAACGAAGATGGCTCGTCGTTGGGAAACGACAGCACATGATTTGACCCAACTAAGCTGGTCGGCGGCAGCTGGGTCGACCGTGCGTTGCTAGAACGCCGGGGGCTTATCGTTATCCTAATGATAGGCGCGTGGTCGAATGCTTTCTCTCTGGATCAATTCGAGACCGTCCGCGGATGTCTTGAGTAGTCCGTCTAAACTAAGGCTCCACGGCATCTATGTACTCCCGTACACTACTACCAGCTAGAGCACAATATCACTCATACAAGGAGGTTCCACCTGACTATATCCAGAGGTCAATCCTATCTGAACATTCCGTGCATTGCGAGTTTTTGCCCTGACAAGCGGGTAAATTACATGCCCGCCGGTGACAGGCCGCTTGCCTGTGCCACACTCGCAGAGCCTGGCTACGGCGATGACCAGGAATCCTCCAAGCTCCACGGGATCGCCCAAGCCATTGCAAACCTCCAGGAAGGAGCGGACCCGTACAAGTTCCGGGACTGCGTCGATGACGTAAGTATGTCAAGACCTTTTGTACCAGTCGGCCGATTAATGTCTGGTCAGGAAGTAGCCAGCAACTGGTTCTGCGACTCCATCGTCCGTATAGCACCGTTCCTGCATGCGGAGCATGTGGCCACCGGTCTCAAAGCAGCGGACGGCAAGCTGCCGAATGTCTGGGAACTCGGCAAGGACCAAGCCTTTGTCCAAGAGTACCACGCCAAGCTCAGCAACAAGCGCTTCATCCACGGAGCGATTGCCACGGCATGATTTCGGGAGACCACCACTACATCATGCACCACCTGTTCCTGCTCGCCTACTTTGAGTCGGACCCCGACAAGGCCGTCATCCGGCCCAGCCATTATACAAGGTGCAGGTCAAGCTGACCCAAGATCTCGATTATTGACCTCATCATTGTCCACTCTGTCCACAATGGCCCGAGATCTAGTTCAAGCCTGACGTAACACGATTGTTTGACCTCATCATTTTCCCAGTCTTTCAGCACTCTTAGCTGATGATTCGTCTGTTCTACATACCAGGCCCGCGCCGGCAGGTCGCGGAGCGCCATCTCCTCGGCCTGCCAGTCGATAGTGACGTAAGTGATTGTGACTATGAAATCACTGTCTCGTAATTACTATATTACTATCGCAATACGGAAGTGATCTACTGTGTACATTGGGATGATGGGGTCTGGACGCACCGCGACTTCGTTAAGCGTTCAGCACGCAGTTTGCCGGTCTACGGAGGGTTATGGGTATAAAGCCCGAGACAACACCAAGTTTTCACTTCCCAACTCTTCACCTGTTAATTCCTCACTTGTCAGCCACATCCTCGACCAAGAAGAGATCAGAAACGAGACGATCGAATCAATATGAGTTGCGGCACATGGGAAGCCGGACCAAGCTCATGGGGGGGTAGAATCCCGGAGATCGTATGTGTGCTCGGTGTTACTTTTGACATTGCCGCCCGGGTATTAATAATCGACTATGGTGTCCAGCTCCCGACTGCTCTGAAAGTCGACCCCAAAGCCAGCCCCATTGACCAGGTGAAGCAGGCTTACGACGACATTTACTCAAGAATCCAGCAAACCTCGCAGTTTACTAGGAACAAAGCTATCGCATTTATCGAACTCCACAAATCTCAGAGGAACGCAACCCTCGAGCAACAGCTGGGCTCCAGTAACGCCCAAAAGATAGCGGCGACAGCCGCTATACACGGGCTAGTGGTTTCCGCTAATTCCATGATCGACACGCTCAATGCAATGTACCGTACGCAGGACGATGCGCGAAAGGGCGCATAGGTTGGGGATGAGAGCGACAATCCGTTGGCTGCAGTCATGGATGTTTCTCCGGAGGACTTCGCAGCGGTGTCGAGATTCCTGCAGTATGCGGACGCTCACAGCCTGCAAGACGCAGCCGAGGCCGCCGGTTTTATTTGAAAACCTTACTCTCTCGTATTGCGGTTCTGTTCTATAATACGCCTTGTCAAACTCTATGTGATAGATGTGATCTGTCAATGTCATTCGTTGGATCTATGTAGCTAGGTATAGTTTGTATCAGGTAGATTGAAATCAAGTCTTTTGTCTGCTCAGCAAGACGGGTTTCTGCTCTGCCAGTAATCTGGGGCCTGTGAACCCAATAGTGTGTACGCGTCTGTATAAGTTTTCTCTGGGGTCTCAGGCTTGTACCTATGCGAAGCTGTCCAGGTGGCCGAGGTAGTCGCTAGTTAGAATGCATGCATGTATCCCAAATTTTGCCTTCGATAATGGCGAGCTAGAGCCATATCAGATCCCCCCTCAATTTGACTCCGCCATTTACACTCCACAGCTTCCACGTTGACTATTTCCTTGCGAAGAAGATTCAGCGCCAATGGCCCACGGAGACTTCCACCCAGAAAATTACCCTGATCGCATTGACCACCGAGACCTCTCTCTCGTCTTGCATGAAGAAGTACATAGTCTGTCCGCCAATGCGCCTGTCCCTGGAACAGGGTGGTCTTCTCCCTCCTCCGAGCCATTCTTCCTGGATGACCTCCCACCAGTCTATCACCAACTCAAGATAGGGAGTTGTACTGCCAACGCAGTCGCTGCTGCACTACGCTTCGCCTACAGGAAATTAACGGGCTCGAAGTACGAAGAATTCGAGCCCCTCTCGGCTATGGATCTATTACCAAGCTCGGATACTAGCAAATCTTCCCGGGCTCTCGGACGCAAACGAAGATCCTGACGACGCGGGCGACCTTTCTCTGTTGATACGCAAAGATACAGGCTGCTCTTCTCGCTCTGCTGTCAAGTGCCTGCTTGATCAAGGTGTGTGCATGGAAGAATTTTGGCCATATGGATCACCATCTTCAGACGCCGATTCGGGCTTGTTCCATGACGTCGATACAACGCCCAACCCATGCGCGCCCACAGATCTGGAAAAGGCGACCTTCCAGGAGAAACTCATTAGCTTGGCCAATACTACTCCCCAAACTACGAAAGGGATACTGCAGGATTCACAAGGGCCACCCAACATGCGAATAGCCTTCGCTCGCATCTTTGACGAGGCAGCGAAGGCTCGGATTGAGAATCCCACCAAAATGACTGATTCCGACTGGCAAATGATCTACGACCAGCCGGCGGTAGTGCTGCTGGAACAGAACCTCCGCGACGGCTTTCCATTTATTTTCACCACCCAGCTGGTGCTCGGGGCCCGTTTCAACAAACACGAAATAGGCCAAGACGCCGTATGGGTTAAGCCACCGATCGAGAACGTGATCACAAGAGGCAGACATACGATGCTAGCTGTCGGCTTTGACCCAGGCCGGAGACTGTTTCTTGTGCAGAATTCGTGGGGTCCCAAGTGGCCGCTAAGCTACAGCGGATCGGACGAGAGGCTGCGTGGACGGTTTTGGATGCCGTATGAGTGGTTCGAGGCAGCGGTCGATGGGAAGCCACTCACATACGATTTTTGGGTGCCTTGTACTATCCCTTCCTAATGTCCTCCTATTAACGCTCAATAGTGGACTAACTAGATTGACTTGATGAAAGACAAGGACGGGGTTATGTTCCTAGAACTGCTTCTTTGTTCATCTCAAGGTGGCCCCCACGATGCCGCGAACGGGTCATGCCGTAGGGGGATCTGCATCGTGACGGCAGATATGGCCGCAATGCTTTGGTGGGTGTGAGAGGAATCGTACTAGCGTTAATGATGTACTAGCCTGGAAGGTGCTCTTCTGATGAAAGTGGTTGGTTCATACGGGCACTAGTTTGCATACACTTCGTTGTCGTTTTGGTTTCTTCCTGACCTACTAAAACGAAGCAACTCTCTGCTAGCACGTCTCTTGCCGCCGACGAGCAACCTAGTTTCCGCGACGAAATGTATAGTCTTACTAGCGAGCTTTCTCGTCTCACCATCGACCTTAAAGCCGGGTCTCTATATAAGCGAGCTTTCGATGCGATCATATGTTATGCGGAAAAGGCTCGAGGGCGGCGAGGGGGTGCTGCCGGCCAGGGCAAGCCAGCCGACCCTGACCCCCGCCCCGGCCACGGCCCCGCCTCCGCCGGCTGTTCGTCCGCACGGCAGCGACGCCGCGCAGGTGGTATCCCCTTCCCCCTTACCTCCTTTGCTGTCGACCCCTCGCCCTCGCCTCTGACGCCCAGCCCCCCTCCGCCACCTTCCGCGGGCCCGACGGGGTTTGGTCTCCCCCAAGTCCAGGTCAATTGGGAGGGAGGCTGGGGTTAGACGCGTCGAGGCGCACCTGTGGGTTGCCGGAGCTATTTTCCGGGGGATTCGAGGTCCCTGTTGGAGTTAGTTTGGGAGGACATATCCAGGGAATATCACTGATGCATTAGATACTAGCTGGGCATGTTAGGTCCCTGACAGGTGTTTTCTCTCTTGTTTTCTCTCGTGTTTTCTCTTTGTGCTTTTTCTTGTGCTTTTTCTTGTGCTTTTTCTTGGGTTTTCTCTTGGGTTTTCTCTTGGGTTTTCTCTTGGGTTTTCTCTTGGGTTTTCTTTTGGAGTTAGGCGTTCGGCTGCTGGAAATTGGAATGGCGAGAATTGTTATACCCTAACCTCACGAGACCGTTCTGGAAATATTATGAACCGTCTGTTGACTGACCATCCTTGGGCAGTCGTTTGAAACAGACCGGATGCAGTAGCGTGCTTGCTTGAGGCTGACGATGGCAGAGAAAAGCTGGCGGTGGAGGTCAGCATGACATTGTCCCCATTCGAATGTCTGGAACTGACCGGAGGATTGCGGCATGGAATAATGCAGAGGCTCCACGAACCCAAGATCGTTTTGCTATACATCTAACCTGGTTGAAGGCACTTCCTGGCACTCGCCATGTCCCACCTCTCACAAGCACTTCGACTCGAGACGAGCTGCTGGTGCCGTTGCTGCCATCCTCAGGCCGTTTTCCCATGTTCTACATTCCGCTGTCCGGAAATTGCCATAGAAGCACCGAGATACAGATCCGCCCCAAGGCGCCGCCCATCCCCCAATTCAATCAGCTTAACCATCGTGTTTCAACAGTGGAGAACGTGAACCTAGCAGATAACAGGTCCAGATTCCGTATAAACCGGCGCCCTATTCCTTGTCCTTGTCCGATGCGCTGTAGCTCGACAGATCCTTCAGCTTGGCAACCTTGTCTCCGAAGTTCTTGTCAAACTGTGAATCCGCGAAACCAGACATGACCCCTGAGATGTGGCTCGGCATTTCGAGCTTCTCACTCTCTTCAAAATTCTCCTTGACCTCAAAAGAGCGATTTGCAGCAGTTACGAATACCTTGATCAACGCTACGACGTCGGCGCTGTGTACTAACTGGTTGATTTCAGCCACGATCTTCTTCGTCTCGGCCTTGAGTTCGCTGATCTCGAACCAGTTGATGCCGTCGATGATAACGAAAAGCGGCTGGCCCGCTGGTAGGGCAGAGACCAGCTTGCGGAATAGACGTCTCTCGTCTTGCAGACGCCATTTCGGTGCTCTGCGCTGAAGTCTTTCCACCAGTTCCTTGTCTAGGCAGGTGAGCTTTCCAAATTTCCACTGACGCACGAGCTGCGTCAGGAGGTCGTGCAGGAGTCCGCTGCTCCCCGGCCGCCGCGCCTCCGAGAGTGAGTTGTCACGGCTTGCTACACCGCAGAAATGGCTGAGAACCACGATTGAGTCGAGGGACGAGAGACTTCTGACCAGCATGGCGCAGAAGAATGAGATAGGCGTGATGCGATCAAGCTTGCTATTTCCATTGACCAGTAGTGTGGTTGAGCTCGATGAACGGAACCATTTCCCGATTGTCTCGTTGGACATCAGCCACTTGGACCTGTTCTGGTCCTCCCTGGTCATGGAGAACCCAGCTCGTAGGACTTGCTGGGTTGACTCCGAGCGGCCATCTTCTAGGGCGTCCCCTGTACCCCTCAAAAGCCGTAACAGCTCCTTCTGTGAAATGTATTCCTCCGGTTGGGGAACTTCCTCTTGCTGAGCACGCTGGTAGTTCCTAACAATTTCGGCAAGCCCTGTATCGTTCCGTGTCTCAGTTACAGTCCGGGCAACGTAATGATCAAGAGGACAAGGGCAAATTCACTACTCACAGGAGGAATTCTGGGCCTGACCCCGCAGAAAAAACAGAAACCCGTTCAGCAATCTAGACATGTCAGACTTCATGTCGACTATGCCACTGGCAATCTCGGAGAGCCTTTTGCTATCGCAGAGTTTCACTACTTCCTCTACCTTCCTCGAGGACTTTCCCACTTCGGCGATCTTTCCCTGAAGCGGGTCGTAGGAGCTTTGGCGGAACAGTGGCCTCAGCCACTCGACTAGTACCTGTTAGCAGAACACATTGGATTGGAATTGTGCGAATGGAACAGAAGGAAACGCAGGACGCGCGACGACCGACATACAGGTATGGTCTTTCATCAGCCAGAAGATGAACCCTTCAATAGCCAGCAAGATATTGGTGTACAGCTCGTTGGTCGCCAACTGGAGCTCGGGATCCGTGCTGTACAGCTCCGAGTACTGGCTGACGATCCCGATCTTCTCCGGAAGCTGCTCAACGAGGTCGAAAGCTTCTTCACGGAACTTTTTGGCGGCTACGCAAGCCTTTTATACGGTTGAGAGACGCCATGTGAGTAATGGTGTAGAGTAGCTAACTGTAGCAATCCCTACAGAGGTAGTAGTAGGATCTTACCTGGATGATGAACTTCAATCCTCCACAGACGACAGAGCCATAGTCAGTGTTAGGGATGAGTTCTAGGAAAGGCTCAACTATCTCCGCTTTGTTTGCAGCTGATCTAAACCACTTGCGCACTGTTCCGATACCCTTGGGGTTGTTGTATTCGTCAGCGGCCTTGCGCAGCTCATCGAGGACATCGTTCCAGCTGTGCGCCTGGGAAATGTTCGAACGGATCTTGGCAATCAGTGTCTCTTTACTAGACAACCGGTTTTGTCTTGTCCGGCCTGCCGATTTGGCAATTGTCTTGTCGTGCTCCGCATCCCAAACATTTAGGATGTTGACAAAGGCCTCCTTTTCGGCGGTTGCTGCTTGCTTGGCATGACTGTTTCGACATCCACCAGTCTCAGTATGCCAATGCTCATCGCATTCAGATTTCAGCGTCTCCTAAACGGCACCACTTACTCTGCCTTGATCTGCCTTCCGCTGTCGAACCGGTCGGCCACTTCGTTGTATTGTGTATCATGATTCTGAAGCTTCGGCAGGACATCCACCCACAGCTCCGGCCGGTACAGAGCTGCCAAAGCGGGGTCAGAAGAGAGGCTATGATCAGGCGGGAATCCAGAAGTAGAGTTAACAGGAGCCTCGACGTGAACTACTAAGGCAGTCTGTTGAGGCTCCATCTTGGTTCCTCCGGTGTGTGTGAAGCGATGCCCTCTTCGCAAGTAGCTAGGTCAAGTAGCGGTAGACCTCCAAGTCTTGACTAAAGCCTGACTTTGTAGAACCACACCTTAGGCGGCCAAGAAACCAGCGGACAGACGAAACACGGCTCGGCCTTCCATGACAACAAGCGCCCGAATCTCTCGAGCGGCACGCGGCAGCCCAGCACCGCTGCAAGATAACCAAGCGACCAATGCGCAACGAATATCCGCATTCGTAATCTGCTGCGAGAACAGTGAGCTGAAGCCGCTGTGGTAGCACGGCAGGCAATGCAGAGGGCCGATCCCATATTTCCATTGGGTCACTTACGAGGATAGCGGCTCAAAATTTGGGAACGATGTGCAAAAGCGGTCACCGAGAATTCCAACCCGCAGCTCCAACCGTTACACAGATGCAATATTGGGCTTTGGGTGGATAGAAGACACGAAGATTGGTTGATGTCATGCACTGGAAAGGAGGGGATGATTGGAGTACCTCCCGTCCCGAGGTACCTCGGAGCGCAACCCATACGCGGCTCCCCGGTAGCTCCTTCCTTCGACGTCAACAGGTAGGTTCAGCTAGGTACGCTCTAAGACTCCGAAATCACCGGGTTCTCGTTGCCGATTGGACGTTCCTCACATCCGAAACACCACCTGCAGTGAACGATCATGCATCCGACATATCAATATCCAAGTCCGGTAATTGTATTTCCCGACTTGCCTCCCGCTCTAGGCGCCAAAGTTCCCAACATCATTCCTTCAGTATCGCTCCCTGTCTCGCGTCATCACAGGTTGAGTTCAAGGCAATGGGGCTCTCGAGATGAACACATTTCCAACCTTGCTCTTGACAACAAAGAAATCAAAATAATTGACATCAATGATCAACAAGATGGCTTCGGTTACACTTCAAGTTCCCGTCCTGACACCCGAGGAGCCAAGCTTGCTAAACGAGCTCCTCAGCGAGACCCCGCAGCCACGCAAGCCGGCCCTTAGAGACGTGGCAGATGCGCAAGACCAAGGAAAGATGGCGTGTTCTGAAGAAACAGCTGTGCCTTCTGTTCCTGAGCCCGCAGGTTCCGCAGTGAATCTGACGGAGCAGTCCCAAACGAATGGAGATCCCAAGGCTGGCGATTCCTTGAACGACGGCGAGCCTCCGAAAGATGAATTCCATCCTGCGCAGGAACAGTCCGAGATTGACGACGAAGACAGGGTGAAACAAGTATTGGAGCGGGCCTGTTCTGACTTCGTTAATACTGGGAAGTTTAGTGACATCTATCCGGAAGACCATGAGGGGCGGTTTGCCCAATTTTATTATGAACGCAGTCGGCGTTTGGAGCACCACATACCTATACGGCAAAGGGTCAAGCGGGCGCGGGATCTCAGCTTCATATTTTATGCCTACATGCGCTTGATGGAGGATAGGTAATGTTCCTCCCCACTCCTCGCTTTGGCGGCTAGCCAACCTCATAATTTAGGATCGTTGTCCTAGAGCAACGGCAAAGGAACAATGAACCCAGTACTCGCGACCACTCAGCGGATCGCTCCACGGGGAATCCCACAGCGGAGCATGAAGACCACAAAGTGCCGGGAACCATCATCGGTCTGAACAGAACAGCCTGGTCAGGATTCAAGAGGAGGTACGATGGCAAAAGAGATGTCGCTGAGGAGCACGCCATAGACGTCCTCGTAGGCGACGCTGTCATCCCTCACGAAGTCTGGAGGGACCGCTTGGCGCGAAACCATCCGGAGCATATCCTCGACAGGTTGCGTCGTCTCCAAGCCTGGGGTCTCAGTGGTCCTTTGCAGGAGGTCCCGGAGCAGCAGCAAGACGCGGCCGACGCCAAGGCTCAGAAGGAGGTTGTGCCGGTCACGGGCGACTCTTATCCACCGGTTCCAGATCGCATCCGCATCAACGGCGAGCCACTGAGACAGCTGCTTGAAAAGGCCCTCGAGCTGGACTTCAAATCCTCCGGCAGCCCTGTCGTCCTGCTGAGGCCGTTCAAACTGCTGGTTCACAATGAAAGCCAGATTCGGACGCTGTATGAGCAGCTCGAGCAGAAGTTTACGAGTGGTGGGAACATGACCCAGACTGGAAGCGAAGCAGCCCCAAACGAACAAGGAAAAGGCCTACTCGACACTTACGGCACAGAGCAGGCATATAAGGAGCTAGGCTGTCTGATTGAGTTCATGGATGAGGGCCTCAAGGTCCTTCGACACCTCGAAAATGCGTCCGTGAATAGGATTGCCTTCTCCGAGCTCTGGCACATTTTCCAGCCCGGCGTCGAGGTGATAACAGCGCAGAAGCCAACCAGTGCCTACCGCGTGTTCCACGCCACAGGTGGGCGACCATACCTTTCGCCGCCGGAGGACAAGAATGAGGAGGAGGAGGATGGCTTCACGAAGCCGTATAGGATTCCCGACAAATCCAGTGACTTCGTCGTTTATTGCTACCAGATCGACTTCGACGGCACTAAATTTGGGCCAGTGAGCCTTTCGTTCAGCATTCAAAAGTTCGACGGGCTTCGCGACATCACGACGCTGCCCATCTACCCGCTAAAATTCGCCAAGGACTCGGTGGCGGTCCGGGAGACCCTGCTCAAGAATGGTACCACATTCCTTGAGGTCTGCGGCGGGGAGCATGTTCGCTACCGCGGCCCCAATCTACACGAGGCAGAAGAGATCGACAGCGAAATTGTGGTTGACTTCCACGCGGCGCTTTGGGACAGCCAGGACAAGGACAAAGACACCTGGAAGTACAAAATCGAGTTTGGCCTTCGCTCTCCTGCCAGCGCAAAGCAGGCTGAGGTTGTCATGGTCTCCAGCGGCGGCTGCAAAGAGACCAGTTGCTGCGAGAATGACGTTGTCTTTAGCGACCTGACGCTCGACCACCAGCGCATGGAGGACTTCCTCACGGATAGGCAATGGCTGACCACGGATGTACGCTATCTCAATGATGACCGCAGCCGGATCCCCAAGGAGGACATCATCCTGTTGCCACACCGCCTGTTCGCCTTCGTGCTCAAGGAAAGAAAGTGGGGTGAGTGAACTGGCGGTTCAATGTCTCGTAATGGCAGATTGTGCTAACTGTGTTCAACAGCTGTAGTTGACATCAACAACGTTACCAGAGTACCAGAGCCCACAGGGGAGACATGGACCTCGCTTACCCTCCCGAGAGGCCACAAGGAAATGGTCTACTCGCTTGTGCAGTCTCACTTCAGAGACCGGAAGCGCTCCACCGATGATGAAGACGACATGCAGGCGGACCTTGTCCGGGGGAAAGGTAGCTAGAAGCTCATTCTGCTCTCCGGTTCTTACCATTTCAAGACCCTATTGCTCGAATTGAAGCTAACGATGCATCTTAACCTCTAGGGAAAGGTTTAATCATTCTCCTTCACGGGGCGCCCGGAGTCGGAAAGACCTCCACTGCGGGTAAGGACATGCAAGCCAAAGTATCCCCAGCGGGTGGTCCACTACTGACTGACATCCTCCCACAGAATGCGTGGCTGAGCTGTGCAAGCGGCCACTGTACCCCATCACATGCGGAGATCTGGGCATCACCGCTGTCGAAGTGGAGTCCCGGCTCAAACGCATCTTCATCCAGGCTCAGAAATGGAAGTGTGTCTTGCTCCTGGACGAGGTAAGAGTATCGCGGCAGACATTGCCGTAACTAGATTGGCTGACGCAACGTGCAGGCGGATGTCTTCTTGAGCGAGAGAGAGCACAACGTCAAACACAACAGTCTAGTCTCAGGTAAACTAGCACCCACTCTCCCCTCCTTATAAGCTAGCAGCATAACCACTAATGCACGACACCACAGTCTTCCTACGCGTCCTAGAGTACTACCAAGGTATCCTATTCCTCACGACAAACCGCGTCGGCAAGATGGACGAGGCTTTCCGCTCTCGCGTGCACATCAGCCTGTACTACCCGCCCTTGGATGAAAAGTCCACCATCGAGATCTTTGAGACGAACCTGAAGCGCACGTCCCAGCGCAAAAAGGACAAGCTGAGGATCCGGAGCGACGAAATCCTCGAGTTCGCCAAGTATCACTATAACGACAACGAGCAGCGGGTGCGTTGGAACGGGAGGCAGATCCGAAACGCCTTCCACATCGCTGTCGCTCTTGCGGAAAACGAGGAAGCTGAGCGGGCCAAGGGTGGCCACAAACCCCGCACGCCCAGGCTACGTGTCAGGCATTTCCAGATGGTCCAGGAGGCGACGAGCAGATTTGACGAGTATCTGACGTCGGTGCTGGGCATGTCACAGGCCGAGCGGGCCCGGCAGAGAACCTTGCGCCAGGACGACTGGGAGCAGCAGCGCAACCGCAAGCGCCGGCACGAGCGCGAGAGCGAAGCCACCCGTCGCTCCACAAAGCGCTACTACGGCGATGATTACACGTCCTCGGAGGAGGAAAGCGACGATGATGATTCGGACGGCAAAGGTCGTGGTGATGGTGCTGGTGGTGGCAAAAGTAGTAAGCGGTCTGACTCTGAGACGCCGCGGCGGAGGAAGAGGAAGGGCCGAAGTGTTAGTGAGAGTAACAATAGTGACGGCTCCGAGCAGGAGCTAACGGTACAGGAGAAGAGGGACACAGACGGGAAGGACTCGAGGGACAGGGACAGAGGTGCGAAGTATAAGGAAAAGGACAGTGAGCGTGAGCGGGATCGGGATCGAAGGTCTAGCAATCGGATGAAGTAAAGGGGCGATAGCTTCCAAGCTTTGGGTATGGTAATGACGCTAATGACCACTCTCCGTCAAGTATAACATTGAATGTTGAGCTCGATAACATACAATTGATAAAATCACTGGACGCTGATTGCCCGTTGTAACCGGAGTGCGGGTAGTAGCCTTATTTTCACAAACAAAAGCAGCAGACAACGACCGCAATATCACGCTTCCAAGGTCTCCAAGTGGCATGTATAAGTCGACCACCCCCCATTCCGCCCACCCCCCATTCCGCCCACTTTGTAAGTCCACACCGCTTTTTCAACCCAACCACTTCAACTTACCACAACTCACTCAATCTCTGGCCAAACGGCCTTTTTTTTTTTGGATCAAACTGATTGCCAGTTCAAGATGGCTTACTTAGAGCAAGATATACAAGATGCAGTTGAGCAATATCGTCTTGGGCGCCAGTCATTGCGAAGCATCTGTAGTGAGTTCGGCATCCCACGCTCTACTATTTGCGACCGCCTTCGTGGTACTCAGACCCATTCAACTGCGGCCGAACCGCAACAGACACTTAGCCGAGTATAAGAAGATCATCTTACGCGATGGGTCTTAGCCCAGGTCGCTCTAGGTGTCCTACCAACCCATGCGTAGATCCGGGAGTTCGCCAGCCGGGTTCTATAGGCCCAAGGAGCACCCGAAAAGACTATCGGGAAGAGCTGGATCAACCGGTTTATCCGAAGGAACCCGGTCCTCTATACCTAGCGAGGCTATAAGATCGACTTAGCCCGTATCAATGGCGCTATTGACTTGGTTATCTATAGCTGGTTCCTACTTCTGAAAATCCTAGCCATCAAGGATATCTCACCGGCTAACCGCTGGAACTTTAACAAATTCGGCTTTATAGAAGGTCAGGGTATCAACGGCTTGGTAGTTGGAAGTGCCTATATACGCATAGTGCAACGGAAAGTCCCTAGTTCGTGTATATAGACCTCCTTCTTAGAGTACGTCTCTATAATAGGGGTATTACTCCCACTAGCTGTTATTTTCAAGGGTAAGAGTGTTCAATAGTAGTCGTTTCCTATTGCCAAGGACAAACTAAGGGACTGGCTATTCACTGTAAGTGAAAAAGGCTAGGTAAATAGGGTGGTTGCGTTAGAGTAGCTACAACGGGTCTTTATCCCCTAGACCCAGCCGCAAGATCCTACCCAGAAGCGTCTGTTGATACTAGACGGCCACGATAGCCATATAAGCACGGAGTTTATATATGAGTGCTTCAGCAACAATATCCAACTACTCTTTTTACCAGCCCCCACCTCCTACGTCCTCCAGCCGTTGGATTTATCAGTGTTCTCCCCCCTAAAGCACACCTACTACAAGCTCCTTAACCAGTTAACCAGCTGGTTAGAAACTACAGCATTAGGCAAGCAGTTGATATTATAGTACCTCGTCAAGGCTCGCAGGGAGGCAATTACAGCTCATAATATCAAAGCTGGGTGGAAGGCATCCGGGTTATAGCCTCTTAGTATAGCGAAACCACTGATAAGCCCTCTTTTGTTGGAAAATTCGAACCAGGCGCTTGGAAAAGACGATCTACTACTACTACCATAGACCCCGGCATCTAGGCTACCTAGCCATACTACAACTATAGTTCAGGAGGTCGAATTCCAGACACCACGCAAGAAAGTAGACATTCGCGGTCACCTAACCAACCTGGCTATCCGGCGGCAAGATCTTTCTACACGACGGCTTTTATCCAGGAACGTTGAGAAGGCATTTGACGAGAAGGACTTCCAATTGGCTCAATTGCAACAGGAAAACGAGGCTCTGAAGGTTCAGTTAGAGGCAGCCCGGCCGTCGAGAAGAAAGAGGGTGGTCCCGGATCCGAACAAGCAGTTCGCTTCCATTGAACAGGTCTACCGGGCTCAAATTGAGGCTGGCCGTATTGAAGAGTCTGGCATTGAAGAGAGCAGGCCAGAAAGCCCCGAATCAGATGCTTCCTGTATTGTGGTGGGTTGAACAGACTGTAATAGATGGTGTTGAAGAAGATGGGTGGTTTAGACGCCAAGACTTACAAAGTGGGCGGAATGGGGGGTGGGCGGAATGGGGGGTGGTCGACTTACGCCTACCGTATCCCACCGTACTTAGAGTCTTCGACTATACGGCACTAACCGTCGCGGACTCTGCATCACCGCCACCAGGTTTGCGACAACCCCAGCTGAGCAACATATGCGGTAGGTACGTGGATTCGAAAAAAAAAAAAAAAGGTATCGCTGTGATCTCCCATATCAATATGGTGCTATCTAGGCAACGCATCCTTTTACCCCGATACTGCTTTGAGCGTTCTGGAAGCGGGTCGTTTGTTGGTGACAACAAGGCAGGAAGTTCGACATGGTCGTGATCTCGGACAGTCAGCCCCCTTTGGCAAGACTTAGGTCAGTACCGAGTAGAAGCATGGGATTACTGGTGAAGCGTAAAGCCTGCGATGGCGAGAGCCACTTCCCGTACTCCGACACTACCTTTTCCGTTCCGCCTGAGCGGATCAGACGCTCTTGCGCTCTTTGGCTATCGCTGCGAAGGGAGCCCCAGTGGTACCTTACAGCAACACCCATACCCAACTTACTTGGCGAGATGACCCGGCTTAACTTCTGGGCTAGAAGATATGCCACACTAGAAGTTGATCTCCTAATCCGACGCCCGGAGCTGGCTCTCTGACCCCTGGCGGAATGGAACGGTCTCCCCACAGAAGGTATTCCCGTGGCTTGATCTAACTCCGATGAAACTCGATGACGGTTGTTGAGCCTATCAGTCTCGCACAGAAGGAACTTGTATCGGTCGTATCGAAGCGATTACATCTGAAAAACTTCGGATCGTTGGCCGATCAACGGTCATCATCAACTTAGCAGCATCGCATCCCTACGCCCGGTCTGGTTCCGTGAAACGCCGTGCTTCAACTTCAGGAGCCATAAATAGCGGCATAAAGGCCGAACAAACACCGAATGCGCATTGACAACTCAATGAATTCTGGAGCAGATAACATCCATCGTGTATCAGAGGACGTGGACTCCGGCGGCTTTCAGCTAGAAAGCTTCATCTTCAAAACGGTATAGCTTGGTATGTAGATCTTGGACCCATGCATGCTATGATGAGGCATCGGTCCTGCTCTGACAATGCGGCTGCTGCCGTGCTGGTGTGGTATGGTGGTGTGTTGGTGCGATGGTGCTTGTCGTCATAGTTCCACCTTCTGTTTCAAACACGATCTGAGATTCATGCTTCCAGAACCCTTCTTGTCTTGGCAGGGGTGCCTAGGGATGCTGCCGGGCACGGTGTTCATCGGTTTGGAGCCAAAACGGCCCGGAACTAAGTGGGTCCCGGTGACGCCGGTCTTCGGAGCGGCCGCCCGGCTTGTGTGGAGCATTAATTAAACTGTCAATCAGGTGTTCGCTCGGTCTGTCGCAGTAGCCAACATCAGGTAGTGTATGACACGCAGCATGTGATGGCATTCCAAACCGGTGATAAGGAGTTCTGAGTGGGTGTGGAGTGAGTTGACAATTCTGAGTCCTTGGGTTTGCCATTTGGCCCCGATCCTGCACGTAATCAGCGAGAGCCGGGCGTTTCAACGCTCACCGGCTGCGTTCCGTCCCTCGTGTAGGTAGAAAAGGAGAAGAAACAAACCAAGATAGAGAAGATCCCGGATCCCGGTGGGCAGCAACGTGTCACTGCGACAGCCAACACAGACAACTCATCAATTGGTGGTCAATGGTCATGCACCGCTGCCCCACGCGCGAGCCACCAATTGAAGCCCAACCCCGAAAGAGCCGAGTGCGCTCAGCCATTGTGACCGACGACCGTGGGCTGTGGAAGTGGGGAGACAGGGAGGTTCCAAATTCCCATCAGATCGGATTCGGGTTGCAGCGCCTGAGAAACGGAATCCTCCCAGCCGGTGATTGCTGTCCACTCGAGCGCCGTCGCCTCACTCGTAGGCCTGTCCAGCCAATCATGGCAGCCGTGGCGGTCCTGCAGCAGCAAGGGATGGATGTCCTTACACTCGACGAGGCGACACATGCATGTCCCAGAGACCGATTTCAATGACCACTCCATCGAGCCTGCAAGGAAACCAATCTGTGCAGTTGGGGTATGTTAGCGGACGATAGAGACAAGAAGCCCATAGCTTTGGGGTGCGTCAGTTGCTGATTTGGTTCTACATGAGGTGCACGGAATTGGAGGTGATCGAAATCGGCTCTCGATCTTGGACGTTAGCTTGTCACTTTAGAGGGATTACTGCCTAGATGTCCCTCATAACGTTCGGTGAGTCGTATGGATTTTGATTCACCATCGAGCCTACACAGTATTCCGTACACATGTGCCTGTTGAGGCACGCACGGAATCCGTACATACCAGTAGTACTGGACCTGAAATCAACATGGCAAGCGGAAGTTTTTAACGAGCGGAAGTTGCGAATGGGAACTGTGGGGCACACTACCTTCCCAAAATTACGTCTTGTCCACCGGCGTAAGATTGCAATTAACTGTAGCCAATGAACTCGGCGCCAGACTGGCAGGATCCTGCGTGAGCACCGCGTGAGCACGATGAGTCCGTGCGACAGGCGCAAGCTTTACTGGTTGAAGATGAGTGCCCGCTGGTCCCATCTCATTTCGCCCACTCAAGTCGCGGCTCAAAGCCCATTGACGGAGCGCGCAATTGTCCCCCGCGAGCGAGACGCCGTGAAACGCCAGGCCCTAATAAGGGGCCTGACGCTCCATGGGCGAGCGAAGCTGCAAGCCGCCGAAAAGTCCTCGGCCAATGGCCCAGTTCACTACGCAGGAGCTCTGCATATCCTCCAAAATTGGGCACAATGGCTGCCACATGCACCGCCATCGGCGGGAGCAAACAACCGACCTATGTAGAATTGCATCCGCAAAGCCCGACAACGCAGCATTGACCAAACGCTCCAAACAGTCCTTGGGCAGAATGGTGACATTTGCAGATCACACTTCGGCTTACGATTAACTAAGTGGGGGGATTCACTTACCGGATGGGGAAACCGATCTCTCTTCATCTCTTTCGAGCAGGCATCCTTACTGCTGCAGTCCATCGTCCTCAAACGTCCGCGGAATCTTCCACAAGAAGACCCAGGACCCTTTGAGAACTGCTTACCTACACATCGAGCCACTTCCAGGGGCAATGAGAGGCTCCCCGAAACACCCCTGTCCGTCACACCGATGGGATCCACTCGTGCCCACTGACAACGATCGTCACCGTCTCTCCTTCGGTGGGGGTATTGGTGTCATCAGTGTGCTTGGGCACCACATCCATGCCCATGTCTTTTCCCCAGGTCTCCCACCATCATACCTACCTTACCCACCACTCTAACCCGGCCTGCAGCTTGCATCTCGACCTAATAATCCCGACTCGCTGTTTCCTTGTGAGCAGGCCCAGGTCTAGCTTTTCTAGCTTCCATTCGACGGTACCTCTACTGTGTAGCTCTGCCGAGCATTTATTGCATGTCCGAAGGCTCGCCGACTCAACTGGATTAAATAACTATCATTTGCTCGCCGTCAGCGTGCCCAATCCCTTCCTCCTCCTTCCCTTGTTTTCGATCCCATCTTGCTCCGCATTCACATCGCTACTCGATAAAGGCCCGACGCCGAGAACCCAAGCAACCTTCGACCAGCGATCCGAGTCCAGGGTGTTCGACCCAAACCCAAATATCTCTCTACCTAACCTGCTCCTCGCCGTCACTTGCACTAGCCACCCGCCTCACTTTGTCTCCCCCACAGCATGACCCAGCTCAGCGAAGTCGATCACCTCAAAGCCCTGCTCGTTCGAAGTGAGCAAGAGAAGCTTGAGTTGATGCAGAGGCTCAACCAGACATACACAATCCCCGGGCTCGATGGCATCCCGGCAAGCCACCAAATATCGCCGCCATCACATTCTCCCCTCGGAGACAATGGCTGCTCAAGAACCAGCGCAATGCCCCGCAGCGCCACAAACGGCCCGTGGCCTCAGCTCAACCAGGTCCAGGTGATGCAACAGGTAGGTTGATAGGATCCCCCTCCGCCCGCGGCAGCCGAGGGATGCCGGCCATGTCGCTCATACTCACCCCGCCGCAGCAGGAAGAGGGTCCTCCGCCCATGAAGCGCTCAAAGACGACCCATGACGCTGTGTCGTCGACGACGGCGCCCATGATGCGGTCGAGGTCGAACAACCTCTCGCGCCCCGGTCCGAAGCCAAACCCCTTCAGTGCCAGGGGTCCCTGCCCAGCCGCGCCACCGGTCCCAATCAAGAGTGTTCCGGCCGCCAGCCCGGTCATCTTGGACGAGTTCCAGCACCTCAACCAGACCCCGTTTCAAAGCCCGATGGATGCTGGTATTACGGACAGCGCCTTCTTTCTCGGGCAGCCACAATTCGGCGGATTTGGCCGCGAGATCCCGTTTGAAGAGTTGATGTCGATGCCCGACGACCAGCTGTTCGCGCCCGGCGGCTCTCTCTCCTCTCCCATCAACATCGCTCCGCAACCGTACCCTAGCGCCACGGTCTCGTCGGCCTGCGGATCACTGACCTCTGGACCGACGTTGGACACGGCGCCGATGTCAAGATGCAACAGCTCCATGAACGACAACGCTTCGCTCTCGGGCCAGTTCAGTGAGATGGTCCGGATCCAGTCGCAACAGTCGGTGCAAAGCCCGGTCCGCCCGGATAGCCTTCGACCAAGTCCCATCGCTGCCGCCGCTTACTCCCCGTTTCCAGGGGCCGCGACCGCAATGGGAGCCGGCCCATTCGCACACGGCTATCCCTCGTCTGCTCCAGTGGATTCGACGCTTTCGCAATACCGGCACCAGCACGAGCACCAGCACCCGATGAGGCCGTCCCTGTCGCAGTCAAGCATACAGTCCACGGCGTCTTCTGCTGACGTGCCGTCACCCCGCGACCTCGGCAACTCCTTGAGCCAGCACCTCACCATGGAGCGATCCGTGTCCAAGGACAGCATCAAGTCCAACTCGTCCTTGCAACACCGTGCCAAAGAAGCGCTTGCTCGGCAGAACCATGCCGCCAAGTCTCGCCATCTCCAGCCCAAACCGGCCGCCAGTGCTATCAAGCAGGAGTCCGCCGGTGCCGCCAGCAGCTCCACGAAGGACGGAAAGGCCATCATCAGCAAGACCAAGTACGAGCGGCCCAAGCATCCCAAGGTGATGTGCGGTCTCTGCAACGACCATCCCGACGGCTTCCGCGGAGAGCACGAGCTGAGACGGCACCAGGACGCCAAGCACAAGGACATCGTGCAAAGGTGGTTCTGCTGCGATCCCAGCGTCCCGGTGGCCGATGGCGTAGCCAAATGCGCGGACGGGCCGGTTGAGGTACAGATCCTCAAGCCGCTCAAGGATTGTAAGGCATGCTCCCAGGGCAAGCACTATGGCGCGTACTACAACGCCGCCGCACATCTCCGCCGCACGCACTTCAGCGTCCACGCCCGGAAGAGCGCCAAGAACGGGGCGGCGAGTAAGGCGGACGAGGACAAAGGAAAGCGTGGCGGGAATGGCGGCGGTGACTGGCCGCCTATGGACGAGGTGAAGAAGTGGATGCGGTCCAAGTGGGTGAAGCTCCGCGGGGACGAGAGCCCAGACGACGACGCCGAGGAGGCCGAGGAACTGGAGAGCGGGCTCCCTGCCGAGCTGCAATACAGCTCCCAGCCGCCGGCGTTCCCCACGGATGGCTTCGACATGGCAACCGCCTTCGCCAACATCGGCGCGGGCTTCGCCAGCCAGGGCATCGACATCCCATTCCACGGTGCGCTCGACTCGCAGCAGGCTGCTCCGGCCGGGATGTACTCGTTCTCGGCACCGCTGGCCCTGCAAGGCACTGGTTCGCCTTCGTCCGCGTTTGACTACTCGATGCAATCAACCATCGTGCACGGGATGGGATTTGATGGCAACGCCGGCAGCAACGGCTACATGTCGCCTGTCTCCTCGAACGCCACCGTCACGGACGCGCCCGTCGGCGTGTATGGGCAGCAAAGCCTGCTGCCCCCCGCTGTTCCCATGCAGATGCAGCCGAGCTGTGGGGACGTCGCGGATGCGGATCTGCCTTTTGATCTGACCTTCACTGGAATGGGCCAGTGAGCAGTGGTCAGCGGCTTGTCTGTCTCCATCACTGCCCCATGGGCCGGCATGGGCAGTCTTATTTCCGTCGGTGGGGTTTACGTTCATGGACTCCAACCGGCATTGGATACCTCATACCTCAATCCGGTACTCATGGGTGCATTCATCGGTGTGCCTCTGGCGGAGGGCGAGGCCCTTCTTTTTCAATGCTGGTTCGTTCATCTCCTTTTTCTTCGTCTATATACATTTCATCTTCTACCTCATCAGTCATAATCAATTTCAGCGAGGCGCTGGCGGTAACGTTCTTGATTTGACAAACGGCAATGGGTTGCCTTCGGAATGGGAATTTGGATAGGTGGTTATAGTGTGGATTGTACATGGACTTTATGACTTGGGGCGTTTTGCATACTATTATTGCTGCTGAGCAGTGGAAGGCCGAGTGGTTGGTTGGATGCATTGGACGTACACCGGCTGGACTGGATAGTGCATACCTACATAATGCCCGTACGATGGGGAGAAGATGTGAGCGTATCTTGTACTATGATAAACCAGCCCAAGACCGTTGAGCTGTTGGGTTCAGGGCCCGGCAAGTGAATTTAACGATGACAATTGTCTGTCTTGAAGCCCCGAATCTGCTTTAATGAAGGTGGAGCAAGCGTACCTATCTATTGCCCTAGAGCCAGTTTGCTTATGATGACGCGGTTATTAACACCCAAAAGCGGTCCAGACAGTTGAGGGGACTTGTCTGCAACAGCATTTCAGCATGCAAGGAACTCTGGGCGTGGATGCGCTGCGAGAACCCCTTACGCCCCGTTCTTACATAAGGGACGTCTTGACCCACTATTATTATCAATTGGACGAGTAGCTCAGGGGTAGAGCAACCGGCTGCAGTCCGGTAGGTCACGCGTTCAAATCGCGTCTCGTCCTCAACTTTTTCTTGATTCGTGCGGCCTCTACTTTTTATCTTGCGTCGATGAGTCGAAAGGAAGAGAGCCTAAAGTGCATAAACATAAAAACCAGGTCATGTGTCTTCATTATTAGAGTCTACTAGTTATAGATTGTTCCCCCCTCAACACCTTTTCTTTCGACTTGCCTTCATTAACACTCTTTTGCCTCGTACTCTTGTCATGGCTCAGGTTGCTCCGTCTCTCTTTCTGGCGACGTCTCCTCTGACACCTCATCTGCCTCCACCCCCGCCTCATGCTTATGCAACTTGATGTTGATGAACAGCGCAAACAGCCCGACATCGTACGCCAGCCTCAGCCCGCCAGCCACGACGAAGGCGATCCAGAACCGGTCGCTGCCCGCCAAGACGCCCGTGATGCTCGGCCCCGTGGTTGAGGCGAGCGTGCGCAGCATGCCGGTGATGCCCATGACGGCCGTGCGCTCTTCCGGGCGCACCACGGCGGCAATCAGCGCGGCCCGCGGCGCCTGGTCCATGTTGTTGAGCCCGACGCGCAGCAGCAGCAGCGCGAAGGTGAGCGGGACGTTCCGGGCCAGCGGAAACAGCAACACGGCCGTCGACGAGGGGATGTGCGTGAAGACCATGGTGTTGACCAGCCCGATGTGTCGCGCCAGGGGCCCCGCAAAGATGCTGGAGAGCGCCGACAGGAAGTAGGCCGCCGAGACGATGTCGCCCAGCGCCGACTTCGGGAGCCGCGCGAATTTGCGGTCCATGTAGTAGGTCGTCAGCGACATGTTGGCCATGCCGTCGGCCAGCGAGTCCACCATGAGCAGGAACCAGAGCACCGCCACCACCGAGAGCGTCTCGCGGGAGATCTGCGCGACCCAGCTCGTTCGTGCCTCCTTCTTGTTCTTTCGCTCCACCCGTCCAAGCTCGTCCTCCTCCTCCTCCTGGACCTCCTCAAGAAGCGGCGCCGTCTCTCCCCCTCTGACCCTCAACTCACATCTCTCCGACAACATTGCAGCACACGCCAAATTGACCGCGCCCATAACCGCATACAGCGCAAAACAGCCATGATACGCATCTACCAGCGTCCAGCCCTCCCTCCGCCCCAACCCCTCCACAATCCTCCCGCTCATCTCGGTGCCCACGGCCGACCCCAGACTCGCGAGCGTGACATACCAGCTTAACACATCCGGCCTCGTCTCCGGCCCGGCCAGCTCGCTGAGGATGCTCTCCTCGACCGCCCGGAAGGGCCCAAAGTCGCCGCCCGTGGCACTGACGACCCCAACGACGGCCGCGCCCAGCAGCACCCAGAAGGCCTCGCTCAAGGCGAACGTCAACCCGGAGAGGATCATCAGACACGACCCGAGGAGCAGCATGCGCCGCCTGCCGACGCGGTCCGCGATCATCGCGCATAGCAGGCTCAGGACCACGTCCCCCGCCAGTGTGAGGGTCATGAACAGGCCGATGCGGGCGTCTGGGATGCCGAGCGAGGCGAAGAAGAGGGCGAGGACGAGCGAGCTGGCGCCGTAGGCGAACATGCGGCACGCGCGGGAGAGGAGAATCAGGATGGCGTCCCGGCCGGTGGCGGACACGCTGGGGAGGCCGGATTCGGCGAGGAGGGTTGAGCATAGCTGGCGGGGGTTGGGGAAGGGTGGCATATTGTGGATGGGTGGGTGGATGGATGGAGAAGGTGAAGGAGGTGGTTCTGGTTTGGTTTGGTTTGGGTTGGTTTGGTTTGGTTGAGTACCTTGGGGGTTTAAGTGCCAGGTAAGCAGAAGGAAGCTCTTACACCCGCGTCGGGTGGGGGAGTACGGTAGGTGGATGGATGATAATGCTGAGAACGGGAAGGAGGAAGAGTCGCCAACGAGAGAGACTTATATCGGCGGCTGACAGCTTAGCACTGGTCACACCCGAGTCAACCACGTGGAGGAGAACGAGAAACTTTCGGCCCCTTCCGTGCCCGAGTACTCGGATCCGCTGTCGGCTTCTCCCCCACTCTTCCTTTTGTGGGGCAGATCCCGACCCGCTCCGGTCCAGCCTCGTATCTCCGCGTACAGCCCGGTTGCCTTGACTGCTTTGTCCTCGTTGCTGTCCTTTCTGGAACGATTACTGCCTGTTCACTGGCTTGGCCGGGTGTGGTCTCGTCTTGTAGGCGGCACCGTTCCCTACACTGATCGTGTCGGTCCCGTCTGTCTCAGTACCAGTAGTAAGGACTCGGAAGGGAGAGAGGAGAAATGCCATGTGAAAACTCTAATGTGAGCAGAAACATAACCACCAGGAACACTGGCTAGAGCCGCGCTTCTTCATCATATAGAACGTAGCGACATACACAATTTATCCTCGGGTCCCTCTCAGGGGGTCCGTTCTGGTCACCCTCCGTGCGACGATCGACCAATCTGAACCAACCACGCCAATACCCCCAAGTGTTGACCCCTGAGACCCTGACTGACTTCATGCATCCTTTGGCGGAGCGGCAGTCTTCTCTGTCGTAACATGACCTGGATCCTGTAGGCTCTCTGAACCAACACAAAAACGTATTCGAGTATTTCGTCCTCCTGGATCTGCTTCAAGTCTAGCTGCAATGCTGTAACCCTGCCGTAGCTGAGATGCGCCAGAGACACAGTCGAGCGTTAAAAGATGCGCGAAAAGGAAGAGTCCGATGCTTCGCCGTGACTGTCGAGATGGGATGCGCAAACAGATGCTAAACGTTAAATGCAAGGGACGCGGATGTTTTAGACCTTGCTCTTCCCTTTATGTCTTCCCGACGGCTCACCGTCCGCCGATTCGTCATCACCGTTGACTGTGGGAGCAGTGGCCGTCCATGTGTCTGGCACGGCCGTCCCGCTGCCCTCGGAGCCGTCGGGCGGCCCGTAGGGAGGCTCGTAGGGCATGACCCATGCCTGAATCCGCCAGTCGGTCAGCACTACGAACGAAAGCAGGTTATGCAGTAAGCACGAGGTGATCGGGAACCATACCCCTTGTCTCGGAGCATCCGCCGGATTGGGAGACGGCGGCATGTATCTCTTGCTCGGCCCGGCCTGGGCGCCATAATAGTCCTCCAAGATCCCGCTGGCATAGGGCTCGTAGTAGGCGAGCTCCGGCGACGTGACTGCGTCGGAGCTGCCGGATGCGTACGTCAACCCGGGCGGGTCCTGTAGGCTCAGACCGTTGGCAAACCGAGCGTTTAGGTCCTCGCCAGCCTCGTCCTCGCTGTTGCCCGCGTAGCTTCCCGTGCTCCTGTAGTCTTCCACCTGGCCGTCGAGGATGGCAAGCTGCTTCTTTGCCGACGGCCGCTTCTTGGGTTCCCAGCTTGCCATCCCCCGTATGTTTGCGTACTGCTCCAGCTTCGAGAACTGAACAAGCCACGCGTGGAGGTCGGGGGCGTGCAGCTGCGAGCATTGCCGTCGGAACTCGGGAGTTCGCGTCCAGACGATGGTGGCGAAGAGCGACCAGATGTCCACCTTGGTGGTTTGCTTCTGCCGGTGGAAGACTTCGGGCGCCATGAAGGGCTCGGTGCCCGCCGCCGTCCTCGCTAGGCTCGGATCATTCGACAGGCCAAAGTCGCCCAGGCAGAATCGATAGTTGCCGGTCTCGTCGTACTCCCAGAGGATGTTTTCGGGCTTGACGTCGCGGTGGATGATCTTGTGCTCTGCGATGCACTGCAGGGCCAGGAGCATCTGTCGCAGGACGATATCGGACAGACGTTCGTCCGGCACGGCTGCCTTCTCGACCAGTGTCTTCAGATTACCCTGCATCAGTGGCATGAAGATCTCGCCCCAGTCGTCACCCTTCCCGCCGCCGGCGCAGTCGAGGATTTTCAGAATGTGTTCCTGGGAAAAAGGGAGACGGTGAGCAGGCTGCGTGGCGAACGAGAAGACATCAAAACATAACTCACGTGTTTTATCGAGTCGTCTCTGTTGATCTTGAACAGGTTGGTCATCTCTCTGGTCGCAAACTCGAGATTCTTCCCGGCTAGCTTATGGAACCTTTTGACCGCTATGATCTTCCCATTCGTGGCATCTAATGCCCACCACACAGTACCGTACGAGCCCGCACCCACTTGCTCTCCGAGAAGGTACTTCTTGTGTCGTGAGTTTCTCGGGCCCATGGTGTATGGATCGTGCTTCGGGAACCGATATAGCCCGTCCGAGTGCCATTGGATCTCGAACTGGTACCACTGATCTTTGCCAAAGGCGATGCGGGAGTTGATGCCTCGAGCGACAAGAACGGATTTGGCGTTGGAGCGGAACTTGACCGTGTAGTGCTGGTCGCGCGGCAGTGGCTCGACGGTGCCATTTCCCGAGTGGTCGAACAGCAAGACAGCGCCCGTCTCGAGCACTACCTGGAACGAGGCGTGGAGGTCTGAGATGCAAGGCGAGCCTTTACTGCTTGACGTCTTGTCTGGCAAGTGTATGTCGGTATCTCTTCGCCCGAGGGTGAAGATCTTATCGGGATCCGAGAGGTCTACCCACAGACCAATGGTATCGTGGGACTGGCAGCGCAGGTGGCTGTTGTTGGCATGGCCGACCACTTTCCGCGCGGCAGGGTTCAAGGGCGTGAGAGCAAAGGCGGGCGCGGTCGGCACGGTGTAGGGTTCCTCAGCATCGTCATAGTAGCCGTCCTCCATGGTCGACCGTTTTCGGTGGTTGGTAACCGTTAGAGGTTCATCCGTGGAGTGCGGGGCCGCTTCGCTAACGTCGGGTGCCAAGTCTGTTCTCTCCCATGCGGTGGCATCAACTCCGCTCTCGCTCGGGCCTGCCTTTGCCGCTTCTCGTTCGGCGGCGTCTAGTTTTCGGAGCACGATATCGGCCCGGCAAGTTCAATGGCGAGTTTTGCCGGATGGTTGTGAACAAGGCTCGAGCCCGAATCCTGGAGTCGCTGCAGATGGGGCTCATCACGATCCTCACATGCTCCGCCGCTTGTAGGTATGTACTGTGTAACGCGGGGCTAGCCGCACCCACTGCATGACCAAGGCTCCTGCACTCATGGTTGGTGCAACCGTAGAACTGCTCATTGGTCTGGGAGGTCATCGGCACGACCCACGTAACAGCCTTTCAGGCATGGAGATTGCGTGCAAATTTGGCCCTTGTAGCGCAGACTGGAGACGCGGCCCCCTTCCGTGAGATGGTCGCGATGCCCATTGCCAAAGACAGACTCGTGCCAACGTCATCCAGGCCTCAGCTCCAGTCGGTCGGGCTCCAGCGTGGCGGTATTGTGCTGGCTATGACCAAGGACTCGAGAAGGAGTCGGGAAACCCCATCGTGTCTGCTGGTGGCTGGCTCAATCCACGGCCACTGGGTCCACCACCACGTGCATGGCAATGCATGCGATGGCTAGACGGCACGGTGTGGAGTTCAACGGTCGCGGAGACTTCGTGAACATACCGAAAATCATCTCAGCGGCTTTTCAATCGCCTACTGAGTCATGAGTGGTAAGACGAAAAGAAGAGCGTACCTCTTGGAATCAAAGTGTTGTTGTTGGCACCCGACGACGACGGCATTGAAAACCAATCGAGGATCATCTTGGCTCTTGAAGAAGGCCCCACCTCCAGCTTTTGTGCCTTTGTTTACAGGGTTAGGGTCAATGACAACAGCTAAGGCCAGGGGGACTTGTTTGGACTTAGTTTCTCATTCTGGCACCTCCCTTCCATGGGTAACTTAATGCGATGGCTGGGAACCCAAACACTCCGCCATAATGAAGCCTACAGGACGCCTCCCTGAACTCTTCGGTTTCATCACTCGAGCTGATGACAGTTTATCCGAAAACTACTAGTACGTATAGACGCAGCCCTTTTCAGCTGTCATCCAAGTCCGTAGGCTTCCCCATCCGGTGCTTGTGCGAACCTTGGAGACGGCGATATTTACGGCCGGGGGGTTCCGGATCGGCCTTTATCTGCTATGGGCATCCGGCTTCATTTTACGTCAACTCGGCTCCTGGCCAAGAGTCAATGCAGTAAGAACCGCTAATAACATCCGCTGCGGAGCCTTGCCACTTGCTGAGTTCAATCCATATTATGGATGGCTCTGCCCTATCCACCGATTATCTTCTATCCTACTATCTGACTGTCGTTTTACTCTACGCGGAGTCCTACAATCTCGTTCGTGTGGAGAGGTTCGTTGGACAAGGGAACGCAGTCAGTGTGAAAGCAAGGCCAAGAATCTTCGATATAAGTGAGAAAACAGCAGTCTATACACTCCACCCGGATTCCCCTCTGGTGTTTCAAAACGTACTCTTCGCGGTGTACACGCTCTTCGGCGCATGGTTCTGGCAGGTCGGCATCAACTGCACTCTCAGGACCACTTGTCCTGAGAGAGCGGCCATTGTATTCGTTTTCCCTCTTCGTAGTCGAAGCTGGGCCACTGCGGCGGCGATTGTCTCGTCGATCGGCGGAGCCATCTTCACGCTGATTCTACTCATGCACCTGAAGAGCCTCAAAAGGGGTGTGATTTCCGGTCCGGAATTGGTCTTTGCTTGGATCTTAGCACCTGCATCGGCCCAACGACAATCATCAGTTTCTCGGCATTATTACGACCCAGACTGCCTCGCCCCACGGTTGGTATGTTTGGGACATTGTTATGTTCCTTTTGCAAGCGATTCACTTCGCCCTCGTTAACCTGGTTGGGCCGGTTGTTGCGATAGTGTCGGCCGAGAGGATGATCCAAGCCAACGACCTTCGGACTCCTAGCATTCGAGAAAGCACGGGACAGATGATTGCGCTGTTTACTGGCGCTACCAGCTTCATGGTTGCATTATGGGAGTGCTACAGGGCTACCTGGGGCAGAGGCCTGCAGGCTGCAGCCCGCAGCTGAACATCCTCGGCCTGAGTGAGTGCTCCGGTAATCAGCTTTCATTGGCGAGGTCTGGGAATGGCCACCGGGCGTCATGGTGAGCCGAACGTGGTAGGACGGACGGCCTGGTATCGACAAAGTGCACGGGTTACGTAGGAAATGTCCTGGGGGGGAAGAGGTGGAGTCGGTGGAGGAGTGTCAATACATCTCACAAGCGTCAGGTACCGGTTTTCCACAATTGTCGGTACTAATCCGACGGTACCATCGGTAAAGCTGCGCCGGTGAAGTGCACCTTCAACATCGGGCTCTACTAGGGTTCGGTATCTGCCTTCCAGTACCAGATGCGACATCAGCTTTCAGTGGAAACTCAATCGAGAGACGCGGGCGAGTGCACGAGCCTCGCACCGAGTTTGTGGATTGACATTCGGGAAATGAAGTTAAACGTGCCATCCCGTGAACAGCCGTAATGGAGGAGATGGTTCCGCAGAAGCTAAGAGGATGCAGTTGCTAGGATTCTGGATGGCATACCGAGGACTTGAGGGACGGAAGAGCAAAATATTCGTGGAGACACAGATTACTAGCTCGATAGACGACTTTCGCCTGGCTACTGGACCGTCAAGCCCCGAGACCTTTGGGAAAGCTCTCGCAAACCTATCACCAGTGCATTGAGGGTGGCAATGTAACGACAGGATCTCCCCACCACTAGCACCCTAATTCGCATAACGCCAAATCAGATGTTCGACCAGACCTTGCTTAGATCCAGGCGTCAGCGTGTGACCCAGTTTGCCGCAGCTGCCAAGGTGCCATTTAACACATTGGACATTCACTACGAAGAGCAACGGAGGTATCTCAGATTATATTTTCCCCCTAGGAATACTAGACCTTTGCCGGTTGTGTGCGCAATAGGGAGAATGACAACATCAGAGTTTACACCTTGAACATAGCAACACTGAAAACCGGTGTCTAGATCGTCGATCTTACCACAAAACATTCTGGAAGATGACTGCATTAGTGGAAAATGGATGACACTCTTGCACTGTGACCACCGGCAGCACAAGTCCGTCCTGGGTCTTGGAAGCCACCGAGACATTGGATCGATCCGAATTGAAGTAGCAGTTCAAAATTTTCAGGGATATCTGATATGGAGTCAGAAAACTCAGAACTGAGTGCCTAGTAAGTCGGGAGTGCTTGTTCCACGTTTCCTAGTATACGACACAATACATAGGTAGTTATTAGCCACGGGCGGGGTCATGTTGTCACAGGAACTCCTGCGACCTATATAGTATAAGATCTACAAAAGTGTAGCGTGACTCGGCTCCAGCGAACATAGCAGCTCCAAGAACGCTTCGCCCGCTACGCGCTCATCAGCCCCGTTGTGGAGCAGAGTATTCCAACGTAAGCTCGCGTATACTTGCACAGCGCCTGTGCCTCTCGGCATATGGACAGCCTCGACGCCCATTCGTTAGCCGACATCTTTTCAATTTAGAAATGTCATCCACCTTGAGTGCCGTTTCTCCACAACTGCATGTTGTGTCCAATGTCTGACGTAGCCGTAAGAAGAGGGGACTAGGGAAATATACAGCAGGAATCGGAAGATCGCGAGACCGCCAACCACGGTCTACGACAGCTGCAGATCACTCGGTCTTATGGCGCCTTACGTGTTTGGAGGATTGTGAACCTAGAAGAGACCTCAGATGTCTAGGCATGTAAGGATCTTTCTGATGGATGGGGTTGCTGAAGAGACCGGCTCTTACGTCTCCTCAGAACCACAAATAGGCCTCGATGCGTCCTCAGAGACAACAGACCTCAGACCTCAGACCTCAGACCTCAGACCTCAGACCTCAGACTTCTACCCTTCCCAACAGTTCTCAAAGAACAGTCAGACATCTCATATCCAATACCCACCGCCACCATGCAACTCACCAAGCTGATCGCCCTCACCTTCGCCGCCCTGGCCACTGCCAGCCCTCTTCTTGAGGAGGTATGTTTCCATGTTCCCATCTTGTCCTCCCCAGGCCATTGCTTCCGTGTAGGTGTAGTTGGACAACACGAGTTAACGCAGGATTTCAGCGCCAATGCGTCGGCAACCTCCAACAGTGCAACAAGAAAGCCAGCGCAGTCCTCGGCAGACAGTGCTGCGGCGGCCTGTACTGCTGTGGTGTGGTCGGCTCCAACAACGTCTGCCAGACCAGCAACAACTGCGGGGAGTAGGCCGACGGGGATTGTGGCTCTCACTAAATAAATCGGGTTGGGTAACTGAGGGTTCTGAATCGGCGCCTACCGGGCGTTGCTAAGACCCTAGCTAGGTGAAAGCGAAGGACTCAACTTGATGTTGGCACAAAGTTATGATTTCTTGATGGTGATGTACCTAGCAAATGCCAAAAGTCAATCAACACTCGTTTCGTCCGCGCGCGGTAACCGGCCAGTTGATGGAGATATGATCACAATCAGCGTAGAGGGCCTGATATGCACATAGTGAGCTCACGCTAATGCCCCAAAAGCTGCGGCGGCTCCTAGCAGCGGCTTTAATCTGAAGAAGCTGGAAGGCGGTCACTGGCGGGGTGAGAGTCAGAGGCACGAAAGAAGCGAAGTGATGGGGCGATTGTGGAGTGCTTTCGATCTGCATTGCTTTGCCGGACCCACATTTCCACGGGAGCGGCGGACGGGAGCGCACCACGGTCCACCTCGGACACCGTTGCATTTTCGTCCGACTTTGCTCCGGCCTTCCGCGCCACGACCAGTCAAATCACCTCGACGCCTCAAGAAGCAGCATCGCCAACTCACCACCAAACCTCGAACAAGCACAACTCCTTAATCATCTACCAAAAGACCCAACAAAATCTTTTCAAGAGAAAGGAGATCTCCGTGCCAACAGCACCAACACAAAGCCTGCCTTTCGCCATGTCCCGCCTCCTCCGCACATCCATCATCCTCACCCGCTCCTCTCCGAGGCGCATCCAGCCCCAAACAACAGCCACAATAATTACCGCCCCGCGACGACTAGCCTCCTCCTCCTCCTCCTCCTCTTCCTTCCTCCAAAACGCCCCCGCCCCACCACGCCTGCCCGCCGACCAACAGGCCGAGTTCGAGCGCCTCCAGCGCGTCGCCGAGGCCGCTCTCTCCTCACACACCGCCGCAGTCCCCGCCGCCGAGCAGGCCGAGTCTGCGCCGCTGACGACTAATGTGTCGCGGCATGTTTCTATGCCGTCATCATCATCACCATCATCGACATCAACATCAACAACCCAAGCGCAGGGACAGGGACAGGGACAGGCGGGAGGAGGAGTGAGCCCGGGAACATTCAGCGGCGGGGTGAGAAAGGGCGCGCCGCCCGAGTTCGAGGGCGACAAGAACCCGCGCACGGGTGAGGTGGGCGGGCCGAAGAATGAGCCGTTGCGCTGGGGCGGGGAGGGGGATTGGAGTTATAACGGGCGGGTTACCGACTTTTGAATCTGCTTCATCTGCCTTCCTTCCCTCTGATAGGGAGGAGGTGAGGGGGTAGTTTGTGAGTTGAGGATTTGCGGGTGGTAGGTGTGGTGATGGAAGCCGGGTCTGTTCGGTGGAACGGAACACCAGCTCCGAAGCGCTTGAGGACGTCTAGATCTGTGATATGAGATGCACAATACAGAGGCATACCCGGGGCTGTATGTCTTCGAAAGGAAGGAGGTGGGATGGGCTATGGACTGGGTGGATATGGGAACACGGGAGAGGGGAGTGGTTGATTGAGCGTCATGATCAAAGGTGGATGGGGCTTCTGCCTGGTCTGAAATGGAATGGACTACCTGGGTATGGAACGCCCCTCTCGTGTCACAGGCCACGCAGGATACAATGGCACGATTCTCCGACATGTCGCCAGCAACTAGCCGGTACTAGGGGGTGAGTTGCTCAGTGTCGTCACCTCAAAGAAACCTAGGCGCTGGGACGGGGAACTCAGGCATTGACAGAGTCCTATCCGGGTGCGGGGAGTTTGTAAGTTTGTATGTATGCGCTATACTGTTATCATCTTGTACCCTCGCAGCGCTGTGCAACCCAATCTATACCTATGACTGTTGGGCGACACATGCTTAATGCCATAAAATGAAACGCGGAACACATGCATCAACCGAGAAGATTGGGACGCCAGCACTACTCTCAAGCCTCAGTAACCTTCTCCGGCTGAGCCATCTCGTGGCCCACGCTCTCCGACCCACCCTTCGCCAGCTCTGGCTCCGTTTCGGGTTTGTCCGCGACCGCGCTATTGTTGGTCTGCGTCTCCGAAGGCCCGCTCTCTTCAGCGAGATTTTGCGCCTGAGCTCCCTCCGATTGCTTCTCGGCACTGGCGGGCTCGGTATCTTTCCGGGTCTCGACTGTATCTTCCACTTCCCCTTTCCCGTCGGCTTGCTGCCGACTGCTTTGCTCTTGGTTCTTCTCGGCCTCCACCTGCTGGTCCCGCTGGTCCTCCTGTTGGTCCTCCTGCTGGTGCTGCTGCTGGTGCTCCCCCTCCTCCGGCGACACGCGCCGACTCCTATTCTCTTTATCCCCCTCACTAGGCGGCTTGCTCACGCTCTGCTGCTTCCACCAACCTGGGGAGATCTCTCGGCTCTGCCCCTCCTCACTATTCCCAACGGAAGGCCGGCTGATCCACGCCGGCGCCATCTCAATCTCGGCTAGCGCCTTGCGTATCCTCTCCCGCCTGGCCTTGCCCCGGTACTGTCCTTGCAGCTTGGCCCCGTTCGTGACCCACCGGAGGCCAATAATCATGAAACTGATCCCGTCATGGACGACGCGTTGGCGGGGCTCGCCATTCTCCCCGCCGACGAAGCCGCCGAATTCGCGGGACTTGATACCGAACCGGGTGCTCGACGAGTATTTCTCCAGCCGCGGCAAAATTAGCAGCGTTACGTGGAGATCACGGTTTTCAGGCACCGGCATCGGCCCGGTCTTGGGCGGTTCGGTTAGGACCGCATTGGGTCCCGGTTGCTGCTGCATGCGCCCAGATTTGTTGTTGTCCTTGGCGCCGTTTCGTTGGCCGCTCAACAAGCGCGGTACGTCCGACACGCTGTACCCCTCGTCAAGGCCCAACATGCTTACATCCACGTCCTCGGGCCACTCGCCCCTGATCCAGCCTGCGTGGATGCAAGCCGCGATCACGTCCGAGTCGTCTGTGTACACATCCGTACCCCAGAGCGCACGTCTCGATGTGATTTCTTCGCGCGCATCCCGAGTCAGATGTTCCTTGCCGATCTTCATCGTCAATGTGCAGTTCTCCTTGCCCTCGATTAGGTCCCATGGCAGCGGTTTTGGACTGGATTTGTAACCGCTGCGGGGCGGGCGTCCGGTACGTGGATCTTGTAAGCGCGCTCGCTTCAGAACTGGCTCGTACACGACATCGCCGAGGTGGGTTCGCGGCCGGTCAGCCACGCTCTCGAGGACTGCCTTGGAGGTGACGATCTGTTTCGGCTTCGGCAGAATCACCGGCGACGGACTCCGGGCCGGCGGGGCAGCCCTGGCACTTGACTGGGTGGACCGAATGGGAGCGTGATGGTGATGGTGATGATGATGGTGCTGCGGAGGATGGTTCTGTGGTAGATCTTTGGCAAGGCCCGATGTTGAAGGAACTGGTGTGGAGCCCTTGAGGTTTCTGAACGGGGTCCCGCCGGCAAGTGCGGGGGATGCGACTTGCTCTAGATTATGATGATGGTGGTGATGGTGATGGCTATGTCGTGTTAGAGACCTCAACCGCGAGCTACAAGCAAGGAGCAGAACATACTGGTGATGGTGGTGCGGGTGCGGCTTTGCCTTCTTCGCTCGGCCTCCTACTGGGGTCAGCCGTCCGGTGCTGCTCTCATCGTCCTCCTCTTTCAGCTTCTTCCGCTTCCCCCGCCCGGTTGCTTTTACCACTTCTACTGGCACCTCTTGAGGGGCGTTATCTAAGTCATCGCGGCGGAGCAATCCGGCAGAACCGTATGCGAGCTGGGCGCCTGCCGGGACAGGGCTTGAGAGCGTGCCGACTCCGGTTCCTATACCGGAGAACATGCGACCAAATTCACTCTTGATGCCCGGTTCACCGGTAGGGCCGGCGAGCTGTGGCTGAGCCCCCTGCACGGCTTGCGGAAGCGGAGAGATCCGGCCTTTGCGGTTCATCTCCTGAACCGAAAGCAAGCTCCGCTGGTGACCGTGCGGTGTACCGATCTCCTCGATGCTTCGGTTCCGTGGTGGCTCGTATATCGAAGGTCCTATGCCACCGTAGGCGACGGACGGAGGGGGGACGGCGGAGTCATCTCGTGGACGCACAGTCGCCTGCTGTTGCTGGGGTCTGTCCATATGCATTACGCTCATGCGCTGCCGGTCCGGGGACTCGTACACTTGGGCGTGTGCCGGGCCCGGGGGAGGAAGGCTGTGTTGATGATGCTGGTGAAGCTGTGGATGCGCATGATGGCGGTCGCCTGGACCGGATGTATATGGATGTGGTCCGTTATACTGAGGCCCTGTATTTGGCGGATACTCTTGAGGCCTCGAAGGTTGCATAGCAGGGTCATAAGGAGCCCGTCCCGCCTCGTAGCCCGGCCTTGGCCAGTGACTTTGATCTCTGGGGTCTGGCGGGCGACCGTATTGCTGTGTCCGCTGTTCCATCTGCGCGCGCTGCTCCATAAGTCGTGCATATTCCTGTTGATGCATTTCTTGCGCCCGAGCTGGCTCAACCCCGGACATGCCCATATTACGTCGCTCTCTCTCGCGAAACTCCATTTCCCGCTCCTGGCGTTCACGTTCCTGGCGTTCACGTTCCTGGCGCTCCAGCTCCTGCCGCTCTCTGTCCGACATGTACCTTTGGTCTTCATACTTCATCACCCTGATAGGACGCTCGGGGTTGTACTCCTCCGAGGGCCGTAGCTCCTCCCGGCGCGTATACATCTCGGTCGTGGCCCTGCCTGGGTCGCCTGCGCGCGACGGGCCGACGTTCGGGTACGGTCTTGGCGGGCTCATCGGTCCAGGAGGCGCTGTGCCACCAGCCATTCGTGCCTGCCCCTGCTCTCTCGCTTGTTCCCCCGGCGGCAATGGAGGACCTCTCTGCGGATACGCCTGTGGTGTGCCATACCGTTGTAGCTCAGGGGTGGAATGGTATGCGGGAGGCGATGTGACGGTAGATGCTCTAGGGTCCCGGTTCTCGTAGATCCTGTGATGTTCCGGGGTCTGAGGTCCCCGGTATCCCGGATACTCAGCGGCTGTCGTTCGAGGGGATGCGTGGATGGGTTGGTTGTACGGAGGGCCAGGAGCAGTCGATGCCGGTGCTTGGTGGTACGAAGAAGGTGCAGCTGGCTCGCGTGCTGTTGGGGGGCCACCCAGCATGGACGATATCGACATGCTGCTACCGGAACTGCCTGCACGAGGGAGCGAGTCCAGAGAAGGTAGCTCGCGTCCCCGAGGAAATGTAGTTGGCGGTCCGACCGAGACAGGCGGCGGGCGCGGCTGCGGAATGCCATAAGGCCCACTCATCTGATGGGGATTTGGTCCTTGGCTTTGCTGGTGTTGAGGCTGGGGCGGTGAGGTAGGCGGCGGCATACCGCGAGTCATGGTGGGCCCGGATGTTACCGACGAGTTGCTCTGATGTCGGGAATGTGTTGAGGTGGGCATCGGTGCTGGGCCGTGTTCGGAACCGTACTGTCGGGAGGCAGCGTAGTAGGGATCGGACGGTTTTCGCGCGTGCGCGTCGGAGAACGGGCCGGCGGTCGTAGGTGGATACGGCGGCGCCTGAGAGTTTGATGGGCCGGAAGCCGACGGAAACGACGGCCGGCTGAAAGGTGAGGCGCCGTTCCGCGAGAACGGATGTTGTGCTGGCTGCCTCGAGTCCATCGCGCGGGTGTGGTCGTTGCCCGAAACAAAACGTGTGTGCGCCCGAACGGTTTACGCGAAGTCGGGCCGGCCTTTGGCCGATGCTTCGAGACCGCAAAGACTGCGGCTTTGCGGTCGAAGAGTAAATCGAAAGCGCGTGTTACGGTGCGTTGCAGTGCTGAGCTATACTACCCGATCTCGCAGCTCTCGATGTTTGTGGAGGAGGAGAAAGTCCGGCGTTGCAACGCGGAAAGCACGATAAATTTTGCGCCTTGTTCCTGTCTGAGCTGCGGTCTGGAAAGATGCGGTTGGATCACCCGACTTGCAGATTTGGACCCGCAACCGAGGGCCAACAGCTCCAACTTGGCCCGAGCTTGATGCAGCGAAAAGGCCGCCCCTGGCTGTTTGGGCGGATGACGGTGATTGGCTCATTGGCTTGTGCCAACTGGGGAATGTGGGGACGGGACATTGAAAAGCAAAAGCCGGCTGAAGCGGACAGGGATTGGGATTGGCGCCTGTGTGGGTCTTATGGAGCTTGCAGCAAGGTTCCTGACGCCAGCAAGCTCAGATCAGGCTGCGCAGATCTAGTATAAGCACCTCCGCCACATCAGATAAAGCTCACATGCCCACGAATTTATAAACACAAACCTCTTTCTCGACACGTTACCGTACTTCTTTTAAATGAAGGCCAGATCCTATGGAAGCCTTAGCAAATAAAACTGCGAAATGCACGGGACGTGAAATGCTGGCGAGCTGAGGTGGTGGGATGCTGCGTGGGAATGAGCCAATCTTGGCACGCGGACGACCAACAGAGCAAGGGCAAAGCTGTGCCTCCCCAGAACTTTCATATCATTTTCAACACGATCTTTCGGTACCTGGCTCCTCCATGTCAGAAAAAGGCGGACCCTAATGACGTATTAAAAGATGAAGTCTAAGTTAACTCCCTTCGAAAAAGAAACAGAAAGGGAAACAGAAAAAAGGAAGAAGAGACAAGAAAGTAAAGGTAAAGAGAAGAGAGATAGGAACGAAGAAAAGAAGGTAGGAAAGAAAGAAATAACGCAAATAAAGAGAAGAGGTTAGTTGTATCTATCAAGCTAATAGAGAAGCTTGGTGTACGGCTTATTTAGGTTGTCAGGAGCCTGGGTACCAAAAACCCGCGGCCTCGAGTACCGTCATTATCATGCAGCTTCACCGCCGGCTTCGGGTGTTACCCCCGGCCGCAGCTCGAAGCACTCGAGCAGCTTGATCTTGAGAGTACCACAAACACGTCCCGCCCTTTGCGCCAGAACCGCACTCAGCAAACCAAACCAAACACCGATAAGGTTAGGTAGGTAGGATTGTGAGACAAGCCGTGCAGGTGGTGACACCATGTCGCATACCTTGCAGTTTGCAGCGCAGAAATCATATTGGTAATCGAATCACCGCAGCATGACGCATTTCCAGTTGGCCGTTTGAGCGCGTTTGAGTTACCTTGCTGGAGCGTTTGCCCTTGTCGTCCCTCCTGCGGGGTTAAGAACATTGAGGACACAAGCGGGGTTGAAGCTCCCGTCTGGGGGTGAAAATGGCGAAAATGGAAGTCGACCACTGCAGTGAGGTGAGATTGTTCTAGGCTCTATCCATTGCCGATCATGACGGTTTTCCCGTGCTGCACCTGACAGGACCAATGCCGGTGCGGGTGCACATCACCTCTCGGCCTTTGATGACTAGGTAGCAGCACCAATATCCATCGTCTCATCGAATTGATGGAGCTCTGGGGTGATCGAGTCTTGCAGCCGGCCGACGGGAGTATGACAAACTGTCCGGGGTAGTCGAGTCAACAATGCTCGCAAACATGTCACCTCACATTCTGTCACACGACGGGCCTCCTGTCGTGGTGTACATGGCGGTTACGATGGGGATACAGCACCTGCCGTGAACAGGGGAGCTCACTAGGCTGGACACCGTGTCGATCGGGCCGTCCCCGCTGCTTGACGACCTCGGGAGCAGTCTTCATTTTCACTGATTGAGGGGCACGCGGCAGTTGATAGAGGTTGCAGTTCTTGGAAGGCCACTCGGAAGGACATCAGCAACTTCCTGTTCCGTCGAGATGCACCGTATCCCCTAGCATAAAATGGCGAAGACAACGGAAGGCGGACTGTACCGCCCCGGGAATAACTCAAGGGAGAAGGCCCTGCCGCCTTCCGAGTCGCGCTTTCCTGTAAGCAGCTGCGGGTTCCCGGATGGCAAGGGCAACGATACACAGGGTGACTGTCTCTGGTGTACACAAACGAGTTCTCCAGGTCATCCTCGTCCGGAGGCCTAAGACAGCCACTCCAGTTTTCTGAGACCGGATAGCAGGCACATCGCCATTCACCTTCGTTCGAGTAAGTCACGGCACCAAGGAAGAACTCTGTCGACCATGTTGTTCTTCTCCATGCTCCTACTCGGGACTGCGGCGTCGGCTCGGGTCATGGATCGCCTCGCCTCTGTTCCCCAGGGCTGGGAGCATCGCCGGACAGCTTCGCCAGACGAGGCTACTTTCCTCCGCGTCGCCCTCAAGCAGCAGCCGGAACGTGTCAAGGCGCTGGACCAAGCTGTGCTCGACATGTCGACGCCCGGCCATTCAAACTACGGCATGCACATGACGCGTGACGAGCTGAGATCATACACTGCTCCGTCCGACGACGCCGTCTCCGTCATTACCGAGTGGCTCCGGCGTCACGGCATCCAGCCTCGAGTAGATCACGACTGGGTCTCCTTCAGCACCACGGTCCGGACGGCCAATGAGCTGCTTGACACACGGTTTGGCTGGTATCAGCACCTCGAGGGAAAGAGCGGTCCCGTTCTTCGAGCGCTCTCCTACAGTGTGCCGGACAATGTTGCCTCCCATCTCGACCTCGTGCAGCCTACGACCCGGTTCGGCAACCTCGCCACCAGGAAGTCGAGCGTCTTCGAAATGTACCCTCTCGCGGTGCAAGACACCCCTGAGTCCAACAGAAAGCCTCTGTTCGTGCCCGATCCGCTGGCACCCGCCGAGTGCGCCGCCGGTATCAACCCGGACTGCCTCAGGAAGCTCTACAACATTCACTACAAGCCCGCTGCCCCAGAGGCCAACAGGGTGGCTTTTGCCTCGTATCTCGAGGAGTATGCCCGGTACGATGACATGGAGACGTTCCAGAAGCGTTATGTACCTGAGGCGGAGGGGATGAATTTCACCGTGGAGCTCGTGAATGGAGGAGTAAATGATCAGCAGAGCGCTTCAGACAGCAGTAAGAAGCGTTTCTGCTCGCCCCCGTCTCTTACCGCTGTCTCCTTTGCTGTTTCAGCCCTAACGTGTAACAGGCGAGGCCAACCTCGACGCCCAGTATCTCGGGGCCATCAGCCATCCGATTTCGCTGGTCGAATACAGCACCGGCGGGCGCGGTCCCCTCGTGCCCACCGCGGTGCAACCCAGCCCGCCCGGCAGCAACGAACCCTACCTCGAGTTCCTCCTCTACATGGCCTCGCTCCCGGACTCGGCCCTGCCGCAGGTGCTCTCCACGTCGTACGGCGAGGAGGAGCAATCCGTGCCCCGCGACTACGCGCTCAAGGTGTGCAGCATGTTCAAAGAGCTGGGCGCGCGCGGGGTGTCGGTGGTGTTTGCGTCGGGCGACTCCGGCCCCGGCAGCGCCTGCGTGCGCAACACGGGCGACAACGCGACCTACTTCGAGTCCAACTTCCCCGCCGGCTGTCCCTGGGTGACGGCCGTGGGCGGCACGACGGGCATGTCGCGCGAGGAGGCCGTCAGCTTCTCCAGCGGCGGGTTCAGCATGTACCACAGGACGCCCGTCTGGCAGCGCGATGCCGTGGCGGGGTATCTGAAGGGGATCGGCGACACGTACGCGCCCTACTTCAACCGCTCCGGCCGCGCGTTCCCCGACGTGGCCGCGCAGTCTAAGTGGTTCGCCGTTCGCGACAAGGGGCAGTGGATCAGCGTGGGAGGCACCAGCGCTTCGGCCCCGGTGTTCGCTGGCATTGTCGGGTTGTTGAATGCCGCACGGAGGGCGCGGAAGCTGCCGCCCATGGGCTTCTTAAACCCGTGGCTGTACAACAACTCGGCCGCGTTTACCGATATCACGGCGGGGTCCTCTTTCGGGTGCTACGGCGCGGCTGAGTTTGGCGGGTTTGGCGCGGCTTGGAACGCGACCAAGGGATGGGACCCCGTGACGGGGCTCGGTACGCCCCTGTTCGACAAGTTGTTGGAGTTGGCTGCGCCGGGGACGAAGAACGCTTAGCCGTGAGCCTGCGTGGTGAGCCATATTGTGGGGGAGGATTAGGGATGTGGAAGCTCATGTGTTGATACATCGAGTGACGTTGTGGTTCCAAGGAGCATAGTACCTACACTATTACGGCATCGGGTATGATCGGGATAGAGGTCAACCAGAGGTTATCACGGTGACAACGGCACATCGACGTTATCTAGGTATCTTACCAAGCTCAATCAAGCTCAATTTACTACACTAGGCCTGAGATGCTGAGTTGCAGTTGTCTCAGTTTACCTCCTTCGGTGATAACGGATTCTCAGCCTTGATCGGCATATGATCTTGCCGAGCGCCCGACGTACGGTGGAACACAACGCAGTCAGCAGCTGCTGTGTTACACCTTCTCCCATCCGAGTGCCAAGGTTTGCGACTGGGAGTTTGTCCATCACGTGGCATATCACAACCCCTCAACATCCACGTTTTGGCGTTTAATCTTTTTGTCCGTCTTCCGACGGCCGAAGCCGAAAAACACCGAGCTACCTCAGTCCCAATATGCTCGGCAAGATCCTCCTCACCATTGACGCTCTGGGCCTCCTTCTAGGCGCGCCCATCGCCGACTACAACCACACGCACATCTTCAACCCGCGCTGGCCGCCACACGCAAAGTTGGTTCATCCCAACATCTCCTACCTACCTTGCCGCCCCCCTCCAAGCAGACTAATAACTCACACCTCTTTTATTTCATAAAATAATTAGATTCCACGGCGCGCAAACAATCACCCTCTCCGTCGTCCTCGGCCTCGCCACGCTATACTACACCTGGCGCCCATCCTTACCCTTACCTTTTCTTCTTCCTCCCAAGCAAACCCGATCCGTGCCCGCCCAGCGCGAGCGCGACTCCCTCGGCGTGGCCGTCTTCACGGGCACCGTCTACTGGCTGGCGGGGCTCGCGGCGATCCTGTACCCGGGCACGGACGGGATCGATCCGGAGTTTGGGCCGGCGGGCTCGTTCCCGCAGCGGAATGTGTTTGGCGCGTTTGCGGGATTGGCGGTGCTTGGGTGGCTTGTTGAGATCTGGGGTTGATTTCTTACCGTGCTTACATACGGTAGATGGTAGGTCAAGGGTTCCGGTAGGGGTGGGGTGAAGACTAAGGTACGGACTACTGTACTGTGTCGAGTGCGTGAGAGCGGCTAGGGTAATGGTTTTGATTAAGTACCTATGGTTGTCGGTTGACTGTTGGCGGGGTTTCTGTAGAATGTTGGGAAGCTAATGAGGGTAGTCTCAGATGCTCGGACTAGCTATGGCGCAGCCCTGGAGGCACGCCGCTCACCACAACCAATGAAGGCTAACCAAGTTCCTCCATGTTATGAGCCAGGCTCCCCGCGCGCAAGAAAGAAACACGGTGCGGCAGAATTCAATTTCTCAGTCAGATTAGATACAGGGCACGGAGTGAAACTTTACAGGCCACGGAGTGGAACACCTTTTTTTTTTTTTTTTTTTTTCCCTTTCTTTTTCCTTTTTTTTTAGCGGGCGGGGAGCCTGGATCTCGGGTTTGTCCGCCACTCGCTCAGCTCACCCAGATCAGCCGTTATGGTTCAGATCAACCGACCCGAGGCGGCTAGTCGGATTGGGCGTTTTGGGAGCCACGACGAGTAGGTAAGCGCTGGTAAGCTGTGTGACCTAGACCCAACACGTTGGCGAAAAATGTTATCCATTTTTTTGCCACTCGCACCAGGACCTACGCCAAAAAGACTCGTTAAGCCCAGCCTCTATCCTCGCGCGTCTGCAGTCCTAGCATGACCACTCCTAATCCTACTCGGCAGCTGAATTGGAAAACCGACACCGTCGAGCTTGAAAAGTCCCTTGCGTTCATTGACTGGGAGGCCCTCGAACAGTATGCAGGCAAGGCTCGACGGGAACTTGAGGGGGCTGATTGTTCATGCCGGCTTTCTCTCGAATACAACGTGGGCGGGTTGCACGTTGTGAGGCGGGTCGTCTTCAACGACGGCTACCAATGGCTGGCCAGGCTTCAGTTCGAGCCACCGACGCCAGAGCCCTGCCAACGTCTGCGGAACGAAGTTGGTACCATGGCGGCCGTCAGATCGCGATCCAACATTCCCGTCCCACGTGTTTTTGCCTACGACGTGAGCGAGGCCAGCGGCGTCGGCGCTGCCCTCATGCTGATGGAGTTCATTCCCGGTGACACGGCTATGGATTCTTTTGTCGGTTGGTAGGTCCACAAAGGAGAGACGCCGCGCTGTTCAGGGACAAGTTCTACGCCGCCCTGGCCGATATCCAGGTCGAGATGGCGGTGGTGCCCTTCCCCAAAATCGGGACAATCGTTTGCAGTGGTGGACGGTTTGAAGTCGGGCCCATCCCTGGCATTGGGGCCCGTTCGACACTGCAGCACATACTTCGAGGCGTGGGCAAAAACGGCAAAATTTCCTTACAAGGAGGCAACTATACGGCCCCGAACCCCAGCACACCTGGCCGATAAGGTCCTTGCAGCATCCGTTCGTTTCCGTCAGCAATTCGAGATCTAGTTGAGTGGTTTCCTTTCCAGGACGGCCCTTTCCCGCTCATCCACACCGACCTCTACAGCTGCAATAATCATTATTGACGAAAAACTACTACAGAGTTCTCGGGCTCTTGGACCACAGGCACGTCCCACGGGCACAACCCGAATGACGCCCTTTCGTGCGTCAATGTGGGTTTTGCATCTTCCACGCGAATTGAACACGGCACGCGGGCGTCGGATTGTTTGACCGGCGATTGGGCCCTGTGCCTTCTGAGCCTCAAGATGCGACTCCCGAACTTCAACTTGCAGGCTGTCCACCCGTATACTCTTATTATACCTCCGATGTAGTCCTTTCTGCCCAGGCTGTTCAGGCATCAGTCTGGTCAGAGACGGTTGAACCTGCAACGCCTGCATGCCATGATCCTACACTGCACACATTCGTATATGAAGAGGGAGGATGTCGTAGCACTCCTCGCACTGATGCGAACCCCCGCGTGACCTCCAGGCCCCGTGCTCGCACTCATGATTTAGCATCAAGTTCTGACGCTCCCTCTCCAGCCGGTTCGCCCGTTCCATATCGTCAAGCCGCCCGGCATCGATATTACGATTAACGATGGTATCTGTACGAGCAAGGAGGCGCTCTTTACTCTATTGTTTATTGCCGCACGTCCTCTAGACTAATCCATAGGCATAATAGAACTAAGCTCCGTAGCGACATGCTAAATTATATATTAATATAAGAATCGTATAAGTCTAATGTCATGAATTAACCTGCAAAGGCCGGTAGGGGCCGACCTGCATGGTCCGCAGGCAACGCCCGCGTCCAATGATTACAAGCCAGAAAGGACCAATGAGGATTAAAGGTTTGGAACGTCGTTCGGCATCGACGTTCCTAGGGAACGGTGCTCGGCATCGTCGTTCCCTTGGAAGGATGTGGGGCATGTGCCCAGTGTAGAAGGTGGGGCACCGACCAGGTTGACCAATCATGCATGCATGCGCTTAAACCGGGCACATGACTAAGCAATGGCCTGTGCTATGGTACGGTGGGTTCTACGATTACTGATTCAGGCAATGATACCCGCTTATTTCTACACTAAATATACCAAACCACTAGCTAGTATTTTGTATGCATCCCGTTGGCTGCAATAACAGCTTTGCAGCGCTCTGGCATTGAGGCCAACAGCTGCTTCAAGTAGTCGTCCGGCAATGCCTCCCAAGCCTCCTTAACATATTCGCGAAGCTTGTCATACGAGGGCATTTCTTCAAGACCATACCGGTCTTCAATCCAGTCCTTCATCCAATTCCAACAGGACTCGATTGGGTTCAAGTCTGGCGAGAAAGGTGGCCACTCCATCACAACAATGCCTCTCTCCCTGAGATCCTCCTTCGTCTCTGCAGCTATATGCCCTGGAGCACTATCTTGCATCAAGATTAGATCTTCACCAAGCTATGCCTTATACATCTGTATCCAGCCATGAATGACAGGGACAGTTCGTACGCGGTACGTCTTAGCGTTGATCTTCCCCCAGTCCTTTTCCCAAAAGAGTCCAGGGCCTTTATCCAAGCCAGAGAAGCAACCCTAGAACATCCAGCCTCCTTTACGTTAATGCTTTTCCACAATACAAGTAGGATCCTACTCTTCACCTTGCCGCCGGGTAACATATTGCTTCCGATGTGGCCCGCCAGTAACCCAAGTCTTATCGGTCCAAAGGATCTTTGCCCATTGTTCAAGGGTCCAATATTCATGCTCTTACGCCCAAGCTAAACAGAGTTGCCGGGTTCGTTCGGTAATCGGTGGCTTCTTACGAGTAACTCGCCGGCGGAAGCCGAGTCGATAAAGGGCATGCTTGATCACCCAAACGCCGAAGACCCTAGCGAAGATGATAGCCGAGAGTTCGAGGAAGCCCATTCGACGAGTCTTTTTGCTGGAACAAACAAACTGAATAAGCTCTTCTTCTTGCTCCGGCGTTAATGTCCGAGGCCGGCCAGTACTCCGGTAAGCAGTTGCATCAGGAGCGCGAATCGCAGTCCGGATCTGGGCCTTAGTATAGCCAGTGATACGATAGATCTTAGCTTGGCTTTTGGCTATATCGAAGTATAAGACTCGAACGCGTTGGCGTTGTTCGGTAGTCAACTGTTTCGTACCACTTGACCCTTGTGGCCGTGCCATTGTATTGCTGAATTGCGTTGACTGCGTTGAGTGCGTTTAACGAGAACGAGATGGCTGTCGAAAAAACAGGGGGCTCGATAAGTTCAACTGATTGGTCAAAACGTGTCGAGTGTTGTGACCCACAGGTACTTGACTAGGGGGTTTTCTTTATGCACGCGACCACAGTATATGATCCCTGCGGCACTCCGGCCCGACTGTCGATTTCCAGGGCATGTTGGCCGTCGAATAGGAGTGTAGCCTTCCGGCCCGTTAGCTACGACCGTAGCCAACCTACTAGCCACTATAGGAGCCCGAGGTCCCGGATTATAGCTAGTAGCCGGGCATGACCAAGGGTCCCCCTTCGCTTGTGCCGGGTCCCCTTGCTTGCGGTTTCGGTTGTCTCACTACACTTGCAGGATCCATCCATGATAGTAGATGCTAAGCCCTGTATGACAACTCCACCTTCGAAGAAGTAAGCACCGACCACATATAGCTGAAACACCTTGCTGTGCCTTACAGTAGACCATCCACTTAGATTGAAAAACGAGTAGTGGAGAAGAAACCTATCTCGCTGGTAAGGTTGGTAGAGATGTATATTTTTCAACTTCAACTTTATACACCCCGACTCTCTAGTAGGTCTCTAGGCAAGCCTAGACCCTGTAGCAGTGTAAAATCAGCACCGTATCACTGTCTATCCTCAATTGAAATTGCCAAGTTGACGAATGATAATAATGGCAACTATGACGCACAACTAAAACAACTAACTCGATCCCTTAGCAACTCCTGGACCCAGCTTCAAGAAAGTGTCAAGATCGTGCCTGAAGAGGAATGCTGACTTTGGCACACGATAGTGGCCTGTATCCATTTTGAGAAGCCCTTGTTCTATCTTACCTTAGCATTGCGTCAATGTTGGGATATTCATACACGAACGCGACCGCGTCCCTGCTCCGGTGGGCACGTGCCCGGGTCCGGGTGACCCACCATCTGTATTTAACCTTGCAACCACTCTCTGGCTTGCACTCTCTCTTTTCACCACCCACCAAGGTACCTACCGAGGTAGCCAATATACCCGTCAATCCTCGCAACCCTCGATTGCCTGTTTGACTATGTCAGAACAATTGCTGAGTTGTTAACTGCGCTCAACTGAGATCCAGAAAGTACGCCATTGAACCGTGTCACGTGTGTTCTATATAGGGTTGCTTGCATTTTATCTAACACTACCTAGCCACAACACAGAAATTCAAGGTACAGTACCTCTAGGTACCTAGGCATGTTAGTATCGCCTTCCATTTCTCTATGTCATCTACTAAGCTGCTCTAATACTTCTACGGTGATGACAACGGATGGAGAAGGTTCCACTAGCAGAGATTCATCGCGCTGGCGTAGGGCCTGGAGAGCGGGAGGGAGCATTGGTAAGGTACCTACTAGGTACCTATGTACCACCGTAAGCGGAACGACGTCTTCCACCGCGTGGCCTCGTCCAACCTGAGCCTCGACCTCTTTCGACTTGGCATTTACAGACGTCATTCAATGCCGCGAGGACGTCTGCGAACTCGCAGCGTGAATCCTTTGACGTGCGGTCACGGGCAGACAGTAATACGGCCTTTAGATTGAAGCTCATATACAACGTCGACGGCAACGGTATTAGTAGGCGCTTCGTTAAGTTGCTCTCCTCCCACCCCACTATATTCAAGTTTAATTTCTCTACCTTCCCGTGGGCCAAGGCTTTGGCGAGCTGCCAGAGCCGGTAACGTGGTTGACCGGAACAGAAGAAGGGAGAACGAGAGCGAGGGCAGTGGGGGAACGGGAAAGAGAGTGGGCAGTGAGGTCGATGAGGGACGAAGATAGGGCGGTGTATGCGTATAGGCTTTTGTTAGAGCTTCCCAGGGCGCAGGATCCGGAAAGGGAGACCATGTGAGAGGAAGTGCTGTGTTTGATCTGGGCGTACTGACGCACGCGGCACGACTGCATCACCTTCAACAAAACAATTCCGATCGGAGTCATGCCGGAGGCCGGTCGCATCACAGTCTGTCCGGACCCGGCCTATGCTAATGGAACACGCATCAGCGGGCGCGATCTGCCACATGATCCCCCGGAGATCCACGCCTGGTACTATAGCCTCCGGTGAAAGGCAGTCAAGGGCATCTTCGTGCTGTCCTGCGTGACCGTGCGATGCCGCGCTCATGGACCGCAAATGGGATACCACTCATGTTGCCATCTTTTCGCAGCTCCGAAACCAACCTGGGCCAAGACCTTGCTTGAGCTTGATGCATCGCGCGTTTTAGTTTTAGATAAGGACCCTTTTGGAGGCTTCATTTAGTGCCGACAATTGGGCCTCACTCGTGGTGCTGGTGCGCCGTGGTCGCCGTGGTTGCCGTGGTCGGTAGGATTCATCCTGAGATCCTCAGATTCTTCACCGGTGTCAGGCAGCAGTTTCAACACAGATCTCTTCGGGGCTCGGACCAGCGTCCGACGACCTCGTCCGTGGCATCCAGGGCGCGATGGATCACAGGCCCCGGCATCGCCCAAGGCTCAGGGAGTTGGCAATGAGTTGGCCCTGCGCTCTCACGAGACATGGAAAGTGAAGCTCGTCGGTGTATAAATCAAAGCTGCTCCCCTCGTCTTCGTCAACCATCCGTGGCATCATCACAAAGCATCATAGCATTACAATCCAATCGAAAGCATCTAACTCACTCAACTTGAACCTTCCAACTCTTCTCGTCGTACGCTTATCCATATCCCCTTGCCTATGGAATAGATACTGACCATTTCTCATCGCAACAACAGAGAAGTTATCAAAAATGTGCAACAGCGAGTATACTGTCCGTTGGGCGTGCGGGTGCCAGACCACCCACCGTTCCGGCTTCTGCGAGGGTTACCCTGGTAAAGGATGCAGAGGAGTTGCGCATAGGTCGCCGCCAAGGCGCGAAGCCCAGACTTGCCCCGATTCCCGTAACGGCCTGGGCTGTCCCTTGAAGCAGAGCTCCAAGAAGAAGTGGGACCAGAGCGGCGGCACAGCGCGCTAGGCAGTTGAAGGATGGTCTGAACTCTGAAGCATCGACAACGAGCGCGAAGGAGAGGAAGACCCCTAGTGGGCTCAGAAGGGAGCATTCCGTGGCTGGTACACCTTGGTTAGATATACCTCGGTCACCTCGCAGGCGAGGCTAAATTATTATACTTGGCTACCGTATAATCCCTTTGTTTCTGGCAACAACCTTGACAATGTTCTTTGTGACGAGCCGGTGTCCGGTAGTCAACCATGCGCAAGGCTCTGGTAGATGACTAACTCTATTGCTGAACATAGTAAGGTTGCGGAAGGTGAAAGGAAACAGTCCTCGAAATGCAAAGAAGGAAGGCTAAATACAGGAAGTGCGGCACAAAGGCCGAAAGTAGAGCCCCGGATGTAGAGCACCGGGTTGGAGCCAGTGCCCCACTATTAAGGCCGAATGCCGGGACCGGTCCATTCTATCGTCACATAGGTAGGTAGATCCTAACCCCCGGATCACAACCCCACCCTCAAAGAAATACTAGGCAACGACCACATTGAGACGAAACAACTTGCTGTGCCTTATAGCAGAGGGACTGAAACCCATCATTCCACCGGTGACGTGGTTAGGGGATGTATAATTTCGAACTTTATACACACCGATTACCTGGTAGGTTGTCCAGGCACACCCGAGATCAAACAGAACTCCACACTTAAAAAAAAAAATGCACTTGGTAAGTTGATTGATGAATGGCAATGGCAACTATGACGCACTGCTGAAACAACCAACTCAATCCCTTGGCAGCTCCTAGAGTTAGTTTTTACTAAGTATAAAGATCGAGTCTGAGGGAAGCAGAGCTTGCCCACGATAGTGGCCCCTATCTACCTCTGGTTTGAGAAGACCCTGTTCCATATCGCTGCGCCGATGTTGGAACAATTGTCTACCTTAATCACATCCAAGGCGGCAGATTATAGCGCTCCTCGAACAATTGCCACCGTTTCAAACCAGCTTCACTGAGTACGGCTGCGTGTTCTATAGGGTCGTGTTTTGTTCAATCCAGTCATACTGCGGAAGCCGATATAGGGTGCCTGTGCTAGTATCGCGTTCTATCCCCCTACGTTATCAAAGGCACTGAGCTGCTCTATAATTTACCTTAGTCAATCGCCTTGTATTATGAAGTCTGGGATTCAGAATCATGCTGCCCTATCCCGCGAATGCCCCCTCGAGCCCCCTCCCTTCACATTGGCAGCGGCCCTCTTCCAGGTACCCGCGACTTCCTTCCTCGAGTGGTATCTCGGTTCCTCCCCCGCGCCTAGTCAAGTCTTCTCAGGCCGCAGCTGGCCTTACCCATCCCCTTGCGTCTCGTTCGCCCGCCGTCTGCCGACACAACGAGGACGACGACCGGCTGAGCCAGACCGTCAGAGTACGACCAAGATCGGTGAGTGGGACGGTAAATACGGAACTGTTAACCGTATAGTCGCGATTAGCTCGATGAAACGGGCACCACGAGGGGCCGAGCTTGTCTCCGACTCTCCGGACTTTCGGGGACCTAATCGTTTGGAACTACAAGAAATAGCATCCTCGACACACTATCGCCTCTGCTCGGGCTTCAATTCAATCCGTTGATGAAGCTGTTTATACAATGTGATGGGGAGCTACCTCGGCGTTGACCCGACCTACATCCTGACCTCGGTCGGCTTCGTCTGAGCGGTGAATAAGCTCTGGGGACAGCTATACGGGAGCTTCTACGCCTTGGCCTAGCAATACTTTATGGCCAACATCGAAGTGAGCGGCACCGACGATATTTACTACCATATAATGAAGTGGCTTGTATCGCACCCAAATATAGCCGATTCGCGCTCTTTTACCGCCGAGACAGCTTCCAAGGGTGTATGGGAAGAGGAAGACGAGTCCGAACTTATGACGACCCGTATATTGCCCGACAGTTCTGGCGTCTACCTTAACTTTTCCTACTAAGAGGCCAAGGGTACTCCCCGCTTTATTCCGGCTATGGGCCAGCATAGCTTCTGGTTCAGAGGGCGCTACTTTAGGCTATATAGAGAAAACAAGAGTCGCTGTTTAATCCCAAGGGTGCTTCCTAGGGCATGCCCTAGTTCAAGGACACGGAGTTCCTTGTACTCTTATGCTTTAGCCGGTCCCTTAAGCCTATTAAGCTGTTGCTATAGCATGCTAAAGAGTAGTACTACCTCAACCACCGGGCCAAGACGATTATCCGGCGCCTGTCCGGCCAGGTAATGCGCTATTACGGCAATCGGCACTTATGGTAGTAGGTCGCTAGCCGGCTAGTCCGTCCTATAACGACGGTGGTCCTCGACGATAAATAGAAGATACGTATTCTCTCCGATATAAACGAGTACCTCTACCTGGCCATATTACGTTGGTACGGGGACCGTGGTATTCTTTTTCGGCGAGGGTATCTCTTCCATGGTCCGCCGGGAACGGGTAAAACGTCGCTGTCTTTTGTGCTTGCTGGGGTGTTCGGCCTTGATATCTATATTATCTCGCTCCTGGACCTATACTAACCGAGGAAGACCTGCTGGCACTCTTTACTTCGCTGCCATGCCGCTGCGTGGTTCTGCTTAAGGATATTGATACCGCGGGGCTCAAACGTACCGAGGAATCCCCTTTTTCTGAAACTAACAAGAGCTTAGAAAACCGGGATGGGGATGGGACCAACGATAAGGACGCCAAGTCCAAGAAGAGCAGAAAGGGGCGCGATGAGGACGTGTCGGAGCTGGCCTGCAAGCTAAAGCGCCACGGCGTAGAGACTCGAACGAAAAGAAGGGCATCTCTCTATCCGGCCTTCTTAATGCAATTAACGGCGTCGCCTTGTACGAGGGGCGTGTGCTTATTATAACGACTAATAAGCCCGAGGCGCTCGACGAAGCGCTGATCTGCCCGGGCTATGTCGACCTGCAAATATCTTTCACCAACGCTATGCAAGAACAGGCGCGGGAGCTCTTCGTGCGCATGTACGAACCTGACAGCAGCAGCGCCAGCAGCAGCAGCAGCAGCAGTTCGCCGCTAAGATCCCCGCTGGCCAGTTCTCTCCCGCCGAGCTCCAAGGGTTCCTGTTGAAGCGCAAGAAGACGCCGTGGCGGGCGCTTGCCGAGGTGGAAGGGTGGGTGGCGGGTATGGTGGCGCAGAAGGCCAAGCGGGGAAGGGTGTTGGCTGTTCAGTGAGTGAGCTATTATGGGCAATCCAATAGGGGAGGGGCAAAGGCTAGTAGGGTGAGTGGGGAGAACAGAAGTTCGGGAAAGAGGGATGGTGGGTGGTAGGGGACAGATTGCATGTCGCCGTTTTCCTTTGCTCATTCTTTTTGTCTCTTCGGTTATCTCGGTGGCATAGGGACTCTTGGAGGGGAACGAACGGAAGGTGTGCTGAGCCGGTATGACAGGGTGCCTTTGGGTTTGGCTTGCAAGATACGAGGGTAGGTTGTTTTATAAGACCAGCTAGGCATCTTAGAAGTTAGAGCCCTATTAGGAATGACCGTTTAAGATTATAAAGACATTATCATACATAGTAATACTAAAACTACCAGCAAATATAAAGGTATTCAATATATTCCATAACGTTATATCTATAGTTAGATCCTATAACCAGAAAGGGCTCCCGGGGCAGGAAGAAACGTAATAAGATGTCCGCGTAAACCGTGGCAGGGTCATTACGAGAACCGACGACGGCCAGGAGGTTTAGGAATGGCGCCTCGAGGGGTTTCTAGACTATGGCAAGGCTAACAATGGTCGCTAGCAATACCTGGTTAAGTAGGAGGGTTTTAATGACTCGACCTAGCAACTAGCCACGGACCTGCGCGGCTATAATGACGCGATCTGGGCCTTTTATGACGCCTACTCTGATAAACCAGGTCCACTAGCATGGGTATCGAGACGCAATACCCCGAGAGCATCGCGAGAAGCGCTGGCGTAGGAAGAGCAACGAACGCCGGCGCCCGTCACACCGACTCAGACAAGTATAAATTCCGCAAAACGAACTAATAGATACTGTGGTTACGCAGGGGGGAATAATACAGGTAACAAGGGCATTGTGAAAACAAGGGAGGCGCATTGTATGGTCAGGAGAAACAAACCGGCCCGGCGAATCCGTTGGGCCAGAAAAAGTTGGGGGGGGGGGACTTTGTTTGGAGGACGGGGTAGTGTCACGGGCATGGCCCGTGCCATGACGCGGAGAAGGGTTAGGGTTAGTCAGTAGTGCACGAGGGCTGTGGAGCCCTGATTGGGTCCATAGGAGTGGTCTGTGCGTAGTGGGCCACACACAGGGTATTTCTCTGGACCACTGTGGCTTGCAACTTCATCTCTCTCTACAACCACACAACTCTTAGGTTACCCCCTACTTGCAGACGTGATACTGTGAAACAACAAAGAATTTGGTTCCTAGGCTTTCCTGTTGGAACTAATAGCTGGTGGGAGCAGCTTACTTCTGGTAGAGCTTACAGAATCAGCGAGCATCAAAAAGGATTCACCTCGTGACCCATGACGGACGCCTAGGTACATACTGGTTAGAGCAAAGCCCTGATTGAGGACGCTGACGGCGCCAAGAAGGCAAGGCAGCTAGATGTACAGTGTTTCGCGACAGTCCAATGTTCAGCTATGCGGTATAGAGTGGAGCAAAACGAGCGTCGATTGATATCTGGCCATGAAACTTGTCTCTTTCACATTCTTCTTTCACATTCACGGCATTATCTTTCCTTCCTACTTCATTTCTTCCGTTACGATATGGTATGTTTCTCATCTTAAGCCAAGTGTGTAGCGTTTAGCACTGTGCCACTATCACCTATCAAAGTTTTAGGCGCGGCTAACCCCGGATTTCCAACGAGTCGGCAACGGTGGGCCCGGGTTGGTGTGATTGCGTCACTGGGCGGCGGCCCCCGACCGCTATTGGCAGAGCCAAGCGGTCGCCTCTTTGATCGACTTCGGTCTTCAAGAGTTCAATTCTTGGTCTTGCCGCAGGGCCGGTCAGGCTGAGAGGCAGACACAGCCGGACATGCCGCTTTTCACGCCGGGGCAGACCCTAGTCCGAGGTTTGTTTGTCACTGGGCATCGCAATGCCTTCATCGGCCAGTGACATCATTGGGTCCCTGGTCTGGGTGGGAGAGGGGAGAGGGGGGAAGAGAGATACATTCTTCGATGGTAACCTGGAAGATATATAGATCTTGACGATCAAGCTGTGGGTTGGAATGCAAACCCACAGGCTCCCACCTACGCATGTGTCTCATTTCCACTCGAAGCGAGCGATCCTGGTTGCTTAATTATTATTAGAGATTGACCTGACACCTTTCGGGATGGTGCTGGGCAAGAAGTAAGTAAACATTACCGCCATATCACACCATTGCCAAGGCAACCAACCGTGACTAGATCCATCCGCATCAATGGTGCCGACTGCGGTGTGGAGGCACTCATACTTGGGGTCGTCACCTCCATAGGTGGCTTCCTCTTTGGCTATGACACGGGCCAGATCTCGGGGATGCTGCTCTTCCGAGACTTCAAGAACCGGTTCGGCCAGGTGGATACCCCTGACGGCAGAGAGTTCGAGGCCATCACGCAGTCATTGATCGTGTCCCTGATGAGCATCGGGACACTCATCGGAGCACTCACGGCGTCATAGTAGGTCCACCGTTGCAGAGTCCAGTCGCCTCGTAGATGCAGTTCGCTTACCGCTGAATGCTTAGCACTGCCGACTGGTGGGGGCGCAGAAAGAGTCTCAGCTTCGGCGTCATCATGTTCATCGCCGGATGCGTTATTCAGATCACGGCCATGGATTCGTGGGTGCACCTCATGATGGGCCGCTTCACGGCTGGCCTGGGCATCGGCAACCTGTCGGTCGGCGTGCCCATGTTCCAGTCCGAGTCCTCGCCGCGCGAGATCCGCGGCGCCGTCGTGGCCTCCTATCAGCTGCTCATCACCTTCGGCATCCTAGTGTCGAACTGTGTCAACTACGGCCTGCGCGAGATCCAAGACTCGTCCGCCTCGTGGCGCATCGTCATCGGCCTGGGCATCGTCTTCTCGATTCCGCTCGGCCTGGGCGTCCTCATGGTCCCCGAATCGCCGCGATGGCTCGCCTCGCGCTCCCGATGGGACGACGCGCGCACGTCGATGGCCCGGCTGCGCGGCATGAAGAACGATCGGCACCACGAGCTCGTCGAGGACGACATGCGCGAGATGCGCGAGATCCTCGAGAAGGAGCGCTCCGTGGGCGTCGGCAACTGGACCGAGTGCTTCATCCCGCGCCGCAACGGCGTGCCCAAGCAGGTCTACCGCACCATCCTCGGCATTTCGATCCACTTCCTGCAGCAGTGGACAGGCGTCAACTACTTCTTCTACTACGGCGCCACCATCTTCCAGTCGGCCGGCATCGACGACCCGATCCAGACCCAGCTGATCCTCGGCGCCGTCAACGTAGCCATGACCTTCTTCGGCCTGTACGTGGTCGAGAGGTTCGGCCGGCGCTGGCCGCTGCTGATCGGCGCCGTGTGGCAGGCCGCATGGCTGGCCGTGTTCTCGTCCATGGGCACCGCCCTGAACCCCGAGGGCAACCGCGTGTCGGGCATCATCATGATCGTGTCGGCCGCCATGTTCATCGCCTCCTTCGCCATGACCTGGGGCCCCATCTGCTGGGTCGTCATCGGCGAGACCTTCCCCTTGCGCACCCGTGCCAAGCAGGCGTCGCTCGCCACGGCGGGCAACTGGCTGGGAAACTGTGAGTCTTCTTCACCTTCCCTCCTCTTCCAGCTTTCATCAAAATTAACCACCCGTGTCCTCGTCCAAACAGTCCTCATCTCTTTCCTCACCCCGCTCGCCACCGACGGAATCCACTACAGCTATGGCTTCGTCTTCGTCGGCACCAACCTCGTAGCCTGCCTGGTCGTCTATTTCTTCTTGTACGAGTCGGTCTCGCTCTCGCTCGAGAACGTTGACGCCATGTACGGCCAGCCGCAGCTCAAGGCCTGGACCAGCCACAAGTGGATGCCCGAGGGCTACGTCACGCGCATGCAGCGCGACGACAGCTACTTCCACAGGCCGCAACATGAGCATGGTGCGGGTGCTGTGGGAGATCTGGATGACCGCAGCACGGCGGTGCCGAGCCGCGGGACGGACGCGGAGAAGAAGCGGTCTGACGATAGCATTGCGTTTCAGGGGAGAGAGGAGAGGGAAGAGCATGTGCATAGGGCTGTGTGAGCAACGTTGTGGGAAGCGGGTGAGCCTTGTAAGATACGTCGGTGGGCTTTTTTGGGAGATATCCAGGTTGGGTTTTCTTGGTACGTATCTAAGCGCATATGCTTTTGTTTTGAACAAGCTATGGGGGGGATCCTTTGCAATTACCTGGTGTTCTTGGGACATAGGTACTTTGGCGCATTTGCCTGTGTATCATCAGTTCTTGATGTATGCATGACATAGGGACTTGGGGGTTATGACTGCTATGCAACGTCGATACCTAAGGAAGTGCCTGGTGGAAGTCCTACTGATCCAATAAATGAATCGCCTAGACCGGTTCACTTGGCAGCTTGCACAGACCTACCACCATTCTGCTTGTGGAATGGAATACTTCGTCCCCCCTTACCATCAGTGAGCGTGGGTATTTAGAGGAGGTGAAACACTATAATTTGAGTTGGGACTTGTATGGTCAATATTGGGTTGGACAGATGCCCGAGATGAAGCTTCATCCAATGCCCTGTCCTTGGGGGTAAATAGCGTCATGGATTTGTGGCCTCAGGCCATGGCCGATAGGCCCTTATTACCTAGGGGCTCCACTGTCATAGGCGCCAACCAAGCCCCTTAAGGCGAAACTTTTGCCGCCCACAACTTGGAAGCTGGCCCGCGACTGATAACTACCCCGAGGTCAGCACACCTACCTCACCCATCATCACTTCAACCCCTCTCTCATATTCTCCTCGCTACTCCCGTCAACAGCTTCGATGCCTGATTGAACTCGTCTCTTTCCGTCACCGTGTCCCCTTCTCACTTTCTACTTGGCGGTTCTTCCGGTCCGCGCAATGCCTTTGTCTCCGGTGCCTGCCGAGGCAACAGGCAGCATCAAACGCTGACACGGCACTCTTCCGATAAACCCCCAACTCCCATCGAGGGGGGAACACCTACTTGGTAAGTATGTGCAAACCAGACTACCCTTTTGGAAATCTTCTATACCCTTCCTGACCACTTTTTTCTGCCCTCAGGTTTTTGCGTTCTAGCCATCCCTCCACATCGCTCCACACCGCAGGAAGACGCACCCACTGCCCATCCAGCATCCGCGGTTCGGGAGGGGCCATGCCATGCCATGCGTGCCGAGGAAGATCCCCCCGTTCCCCCCCGATCGGGGCAGCGAAAAGACCCATTCTCGACGGTCACGATAACAGAGACGACAAGGAGGATATGGCACAAACCAGCTTTTTGATGGAGACAGATCAGGGGTCATGACAACCCAACTATCTCTGCCCGGTCGTGGTGATCCTTGGTCACAATCTGCCGAGCACCGACCTGTCCGGTCCTCCCAGATCCCTCCTAGTTGGAGAAGCCATCCGGCAAGAACCGCGCTAGACGCTGCCGTGACGCCTGGGACAACTGAGCCATCATACCACGGATATCACAGTACGATGTACTCAACGCTTTCCCTCAGCAACGCCGTCCATCACGGTTTGATGAGTCAGACCATCCGTGCGGGACGGATCTGCTACCTAGTCCGCGAGTAAGCGGGACGGGCCGGAATCGGTGGGCCCTGCTTTCAGTTCCTTCAACTTCCTTGGGGGATATCGACATCGTCGGTTTACACAGCCACACATCGCATTATCACCGGGTCACATCATCAAGGCAGGCATTCCATCATTTCACAGGCGACGGCCGACCAAGGCGGAAAAGGAATACGCATAGGGAAGCAAGTGCTCCCACTCCCTGAGAATTTCCCCTTTTATTCAGGCTATCTGGGCTACTCCGCTCCGCTGGGGGTTCCTGCTCCGCTGCTAGCTTGGTTTCCTTCGGACCAACTACCTCCCCGTCAGGGGCTGCCAGCAAACACACACACACACACACGCCCTGTGTGTGAGAAAGCCCGTGCGCCGTTTGCAAGTGCAAAAGCGTTGCCAGTCGCCAACCTGAGATCTGAGACCTCTACCCGGAAGCGCTGAAAGAAAAGAAGAGCGGAGGGGGGAAAAAACGGAAGACTAAAAAGATAATAAGAAAGGAGAAACGCCATGGTCATGAATGACGAGAGCGAGGTAAACCTGGCTCAGACCCCCCTTGGCTAACTACAGATACTCGAACATCCATTCATCCCATCGCAACTCAGGGGCCGCGCGAGCTGGGCATTTTCATCGTCTCAAGGCCCTCACCCATCCGCCCTCGTTGTTGTCCGACGTATGTCCGACGTATGTCCATGCGGGCAAGTGGGTCTTCCGGTTCTGGCAAAGCAAAGCAAAGTCAGAACCCAACTTGCTAAAGTTGCAAGCATACTCGCTGTCGCCGCGGAGGCTTGATGGAGGCGGAATCGGTTTAGGAGTGCACCGACTGCAAGTGCAAAGGCAGCGCCAGAGACGCTGAAAAAGTAATTATGGATGGGGGGTGATGGGCTTATGTTTGCCCCTTCCTTTCCGTGAGCCAGGCCCTTTCTTTGGAGATCCCCGATCCATAAATTTTGTTGATCCTTTGTGTTGACGGTAAGGGAGCTTGGCACTCCGATCGTCGTGATCAACCCATCTCGCCAATGGAATGGATGGCCTTCCTTGAGGTGCCCGAAACTGAATGGACTCCTGCGGCTGGCAAGATCATTTCGGGCACCTGAATCGGAAAGCTCTGATATGATACACGCAATTATTCCTACAGATAAAGAAGAAGAGCAGGGCGAAAGTTTCGGAGTTGTTCAGTTTGCTGAACGTGTTGCGGCTGAAGGGAGGTGGCATCTCCGAGGAATCAAGCCGAGGCAGAATTGATTCCGCCTAGTCTTCCTCCGAGTCAACCTCGTCTTCGCTGTCCTGCTCAGGCTGGTTGATGGCCTCGTGGCCGTTGCCCTCAATCGACTCCAAGGGCTCCTGACTACCGGAGCCTTGTCGAGCCGCCTGAGCGCGGAGCTCGTTGAGCTGCTGGATGCGGCGCTCCTGCTCGCTCTTGCTCATTGGCTTATTCTTCTTGGACTTGGCACCTGACCTCGCTCCGGCGGCGGCGGGCTCAGGTGCCGCGGGTGCCGCCTGGTTCCCATAACGCTCTCTCTCCTTCTCGGCACGCACATTCGGGAATGCCTTGATGGCGATGTCATAGAGCTTCTGTAGGGCTTCGTCGGAAAGGACCTCGATGTCAAGTTCCAATTCGCCCGCATCGTTCTCTCCCTGGCCGGTGTCTTTCTTGATAATGTCAATAGCCCGCTCCAGCAGCTGGCCCTCCAGGTTCCCTATGGCGTCCGTAACAATATCTTTCTCGAGCTGGCCGATCTTTTTCTTGGCTGTCTTCTTGGTCCCACTCTTCTTGGGCGCCGCCCCAGCGACCGCAGCCTTTTTACCGGTGATGCCTCCCGCGCCACCGGCCTTCTTGGATTTGGATGGCTTGGGCTTGCTAGGCTTCTTCGCCGGGAGGTTGGCAAGCTTAGCGCGCTCCTGCATCATGTTCTTCTGAAGCAAGGCCACGACAGACTGTGAGATTTCAACGTCCGCAATCTGTGACGTGCCGGAATTGAGCATCTCATTAATCTTCTTCTGTTCCTGGTCCAGCCGCTTTTGGAGCGTAACCAAACGTTGCTGGACCAGCTTGCGCTCTTCGTCTTGTTCAGGATCGGCCTCGGAATCCGCTTCCTCCGAATCTGAGTCGTCATGCAGATGAGGGCTTGCGGCAGCGCGGGACGGTGCGGCCGGAGCATGTCTGGCCATCCACTCGTCCTTCTTGGACATCTCTGCGCGGTAAAGGTCTTGCAGACGGCGCGCCTGACCATAGACGATGTGGTCTTCGCCATTGAACAGCCTGCAGTTCTTGATGATTAGATCGAAGTCTTTCTCAAACTCCTTAAGGGACGTGTAGTCGCCTCCCGCCAGCTTTTCAGCCATCGTGGAGAGGTCCATCGGTTTCTTGATGACTTTGTGGTATGTGGGGATGTTCAGGGCGACGGGATCAACAGGCTGAAGGAAGGCCGCGTTGATGTCATAGTGCTTGCTCTTGCGGAGTTCGGTGAGAACCTCGTCGCAGAAGCGGAGTTCCAAGGGCAGCTTCTTCTTGCGCTTCGTGTCGTAGACCAGGTCTTTGGGGTGGGCCGGCTTCACTGGCCGCTTGGCGCGGCCGTCAACCTTGGTCGAGTCACGCCGAATCAGAGGCACGCCGTTGCTGTTGGGAGGAAGGGCGAATGCAGGTGACTCGGGGACTGGGTTCCGTGTCTGGGAAGGGCTGGCCGCACCTCCCTTAGCGGGACGGCCTACAACGGCTTCTGGGGCGACGGAAACGGCGGTGGCTGCGCGAGGCTCAACATGTCTCGTGCTGTGCGCTTTAGCGGATTCCTTCCGCTCGGGCTTCGCAGGTTCGGTGGCTGGCTGCAACGCCATCCGGCCGAGGATCGCTTCGCGGCACGCTTTCGCCTGGAGCGTCACGTCGTGGGCCTCGCCGTTGAAAGTGACCGAGTTCTGCACCATCAAGTCTAGGTCTTGCTTGAACTCACCCATGGTCTCATAGCGTGGCCCATCGCCGCGGAGACGTTTCTCCATCGAGCTGATGTCAACAGGGTTGGAAACCTTGGCTGAGTACTCGGCCCACAGCTGGGGCCAGAGCTGCGCAACTGGGAGTCGGAAAATCGCTCCTACTTTTGTCTTCTTGACCCCCGCTAGGACTTGCCGGATCTGCTTGTTTTGCCACTCCGTAATTGGGCTGTCGTTGAGCGCGTCGTCACTCAGATTCTTGGCCTGTCCACTCTCATTCGCAGCCGGCTGATCGACCGCCATGCTCTCTCCATCTGCTTCGCGCTTCTCCCGTGTTTGACCCTCCGTCGCGTGATCAACCTTGGTTCGCTTCGCGACGGGCTCATCTTCACTATCGATATCGCGTTCCCTTGAGAACTTTGTAGACGGTTCCGCGGGCTCGGATACGATTGGCTGAGCCAGTTCTGTATTGATTGCAGAAGCAGTGAGGCGAGCATCCGCCGACTCGGTGTGGTTAGGCCGAGAATCGTCAACCGCGCCCTTGGGGCTAACAGGCGAAACGTCGCGCAGTCCGTTTGCTCCTGTACCTTCTGAAGCACCCTTGACCACCGAAACTTCATTCTCTGGAGCCGCGTCCGCCATTGCGACATCCTCTTTCTCGTCGCGGGGCGCTAAATCATCAGGCGCGCCAGCCGCATCAGCAGCATTCTCGGGTTGCAATTCTTGCTCCTCACCCATGTCCGCCGCTTCGGTCTTCACCTCCGACTTCGGTGACGCTGCCTCCGACACTTTCTCTCCGGGCGCCTGATTGGCGGGCGCATCAGGCATGTCGGTGTCTGCAGGAGTTGTTTCGTTCTCCGTTTCCTGTCTAGCATCCATGTCCCTTAGTTTAGGTGCGTCTTCTTCGACGTCTTCAAGATGTTTTGCCGTTTCCTCCTCTCGGCTCTCCCCTTGAATATCTGGCCGAGCTGACGTCGCCGTTTCATCTGCGTTCTTAATCTCGTTGGTAATACTGTCGTTGGGAAGGAATGCGTCCTGGTTCTGTGGGGTGTCAAGACTGGCAGAACGCATTTCACCGTTCTGATCCTGCTTTGGAGGAGAAGAGGAAGGAGATTCGCGGCGCGGAGAGGCGTGGCTGTTGCGGGAAGAAATCAGCATGCGATTGCGACAACTCAGGCGCGACCGACTGAAGAGAAAACTTAGAACTTACCCATTTACCTCTAGGTTGCCGTTGAGGCCTTCCTTATTCATGGGGATCGTGCGCTCGAGGGGCTTCTCGTTGAGAAGTCCACCTTCCGATTGTTGGGTGGTCATGATTGCCATGCGATAGCTGTGCGGTTTCAAGTTCGACGCGCATCAAATCGGCTGCCCCGGGTATCGGTTAGCGCAATGTATGTATTATTAGAAGATCGCTCGTCAATTGCGCAATCGCGAAATTCGCGAAATCCTAAATGCGAAGTCGCCAGGAAATGATTTCGCAGGTGATGCAGCGCGATGTGGCGTTGAATGCGGTGCACGCCACCATAAAGTGGCGATCTTGACCTTGGTGATACTTTTGGAAAGAGGAGGGCGATGTTTGGCGGGGCAGTATGGAATGGAGGGACGTGCACGCGCGTTGGATCGCGACTGAAAATGCGAAAGAAGGAAAAAGAATGGGAACCACTCACAAGGTCCGCGAAATGGCTCCGGAGAGGAAGGCTGAGATTATAGACTTTCCCGCGCCAGCCTCGTGAAATTCGCGCTGCTCGCTCGGGAAGGAAAAACTCGGTCGGTACGAAGAACGAACCAAATCCGGTTCAGGCGTTGATGTCTGTGCACCGTGTTCTGGTTGGCTGCGTCGGTTTGGACTGGGGGGGTTGTTTTTGTATCGTGACGGCAGCGTCGAAAAGTCTGGGTTAAAAACACATGTTCAGTCACGGTCGGACCCTCGTGGCTATTTATCAAACGCCCTAGCTCCAGCATCTGGCCTTTGACTCCGCCTCTGAGTGGCTCACTGGGCTTATCAAAGCCGCTTTGCCGCCTCTGATTGGTTACTAACAGGCGTGGTGGCCAATGCGCAGGAACACTGGGCCACAAAGTGGCGTCCCGTCCCGTACCACGAACGGCAAGGAGAGAATCGATGCGTTTGTATCTTTACAATATCAGTTAGGATATGCTTGATGCAGAACTTCGATACTTGACAGAATTGCTACCAGGCAGGGTCTACACTAAAGCATCTTGCTGTAATGTCGATCTCCACATTCCACAAGGGAGAAGGTGACTTTAACATGCGAGACGCGCCAAGAAACCAACGGCAGTTCTACCAGGAGCGTTCGTGCAAACCTTTCCGAATTGTAGTTTACTTACATAGAGAGGCAGTTTGCATTGAAGCAAAGCGAACAGTCTGGCAAGAACTCTCAAGTTCCATTATCGGTATTTGAGTGCTCCTCGTAAACACTAAGAGCTAGGTACCGTAGTCGAGGATGTGGCAGCTGTGTCGGCATTCGCAACACAGTCGTTCGTCGCACAGTGCGGGAGACACCACGGTACGCGAGAATGACGCGCAAAGCTTCGAACTCCGCAATTCATCAGGCACATTGCATACCGATACCACAGTAAACGTCGCTACCAATAACTATCCTCTTGACTAGAATAGCATCGCTGCAATTGTCCCCCATGAAGGGTGCAAGCTCTCCAGAGACCGAGATGCAGCTTGGCTCTAACAGCATACCTTGAGGTCAACGTTTCTTGAGCGTAGCTAGGTATATCGTGTTTTCACGGAGACGATTTCCACTCGTCTTGACAAGTGTTATGTCAAGTTCCAACCTCCAAACTTTTCCCCCAATGAGCTTCCTACCTCAATCTTGCCTAGCGCATCATGTTGTCGATCAAATGACTCATCTAACTCGGAATGGTTAGGCCACAGAGTCACATGATTGAGCGGGCCGTTCTACGTATCGATATCTCTAAGCCTCAGCCTACCCACCACGGCTTGGCACGGCCCGTGTGGCTGTGGCTGATGCTGGTTAACGTTATCGTTATCGGATTTGCCAAGCCATACTGTAAAAAAGATTTGGCTGATGAGTTCCCCGAAATTTTTGCTGGAGTCGGTCCCATATGAGTTAAGGCGCATTCCCTCTCTTCTCAAGCATACGCAATCCGTTTGATCCGAAGCTGTCTGACAACCTTACCGGGCATAATCTGCTTGCAATTGACAGTCAAGCTAGAGAGTCACAGTTCTTGCTACCCAGCAGCATTCAGCTGCCCCGTCGACACAACCGCTGCTTAATCAACTCAACAATGTCAACCAAACGGAAATCTGCGACGACAATCGCCAAGCCGGTGGTGAGGCAGAGTGCAAAGGCGCCAATAAAGAGCAAGATCGACGAGACCAGGACTGCGGTGTCGACTGGATTGACGTCTAAATCGACAACAGAGCCAGCCGAGATCGCTAGTGATGCTCCCATCCCATACGGCTCCTCTGACGACGAGGAGGGACCGAGTGACGATGAGAGCAAGATGCCGAACCAAAAGCACAACTCGGCCGATTCACCCAGGCTAAAAAGAGGTCAAGGCGAAGGAGATGTGGATGCGGTGATGCAGGAGGGGGTTGACAGCGCCGATGGCGAGCCGACGCCACCGACATTCGGTGACCTTGTCCGCGGAAACTCAACCATCGATGTTCCCGCATCTCTAGCGGCGCAGGCCGCCGCGGCACAAACGTCCCGGCTTGAGGTCCAACAACGGCCGACCGCCCCGATCAGTGCGACCTCGCTTGGCACAGTGCTGAACCAGGCGCTCCGGTCCGACGACTCCGATCTTCTCGAATCCTGTCTTCAAACCACCGATGTGAAGATAATAGAGAATACCATCAACCGCATGGACTCGGCGCTCGCCGGCACTCTCCTTTCCAAGCTCTCGGCCCGCATGCACCGTCGGCCGGGCCGTGCATTTGGACTGATGAGGTGGATGCAGTGGACGCTGGTTGCTCACGGAGGGGCCCTCGTCACACAACCGGATCTTGTCGCCCGGCTGAGCGAGCTCAATCGTGTTCTAGAGGAGCGCTCGAGGGGCCTTCCGAGTCTGTTGGCGCTCAAGGGGAAGCTGGATATGTTGGATTCGCAGATGAAGTTCCGGAAGTCCATCAAGGCGGCCAATGCCAGCCGAACTCGCGGTGGCGATGAGGAGCAGTCCACTGAGGAGGACGAAGATGCGGACGAGCCGGGCGTTGTCTACGTGGAAGGCCAGGAAGGCCTTGGCAAGACGCTCACCAACGGTACCGCCGGGGGGGATGCCGAGGATGACGAAGACGACTTCCCCGCTGGGGCAACGGTCGTCTCTGATTCCGAGGAGGAGTCGGACGAGGAATACGACGAGGAATCAGATGAAGAGGTGGCAGGTGCTGAGTCAATGGACGAGGATGAGGTCGACCACAACGATGTGGAGGAGGATGAGGAGGAAGAAAGCGAGGGCGAAGACTCACGGCCGCCAGCAAAGGTCCGGAGAGTGTCGGAGAGGATCTCCAAACGAAAGTAGGCGATTGATAGATGGGGATCTCTGGGAAATCGGCAATGTATGAGCAATGGACTAGACGGCAGCAGCCGTGCAATGGTACTGCGATATGTCTAGTCGTGGATAGCAGTTCGGAGGTGGCACTTCACGGCGAGACTCGTTGCTTCTGTCGAATGCTGCGCTGCCGGGCTTATCTTACACAAGGCTAAGGGAAGCATCCCCTCAGGGTTGTATTAGAGTACATTCATCCAAGCTCGAGGCAACCACCAGGTCCCCATGAGCTCTATAGGATATGTCGGGAAGAGGATCTCACCGAGGAGGCTTATGGTGAAAATCTGGAAGACCAATCTGCCTGGCTATGCCCACGAGCACGGCATAAGCATTTTCTACTACCTGGCAACCGAACCACATAGCCAGCTGTGCTACGATATGAACAAGCTACCACATCTTGGTCAACAAAGCCACTGGTCTGGGGTTCATCCCAAAGGGCTGCCAGCTGGGACCCAAAGCGATTTCCCAACCCCCGCTCGCCGTCAATCCCAACCAATGACTTTCACGCTGCATCACCGTATTCGGAGTGAGGTTGCAATGCTCTGCTCTGTTCCTAGCCTTCCTTGATCTTGGCTTGTGAGGCGGACTTGCATAGCCCGGCACATTTCGCGAATCAGCGGGCTGCCAGTGACGAGGACCCAAACAAATGGGTGCCTCCGGCGGCGTCTGTGATGACGAAGACGAGACTATCCTGCACGGTGCCGCGCGAGAACTCTGGGAGGAGGCCAGTCTTCACGCAGCTCGGGTTGGCGGGCTCGTTGGGCGACCCATACTTCTTCACGTTCAGTGATGAGAAGAACGTATGTCAGTTCAACTTCACCTTAAATCTGACGACGGATAGAGCGGCCGCCCGTCGGTCGTGAGGCTAGGCTTGAGGAGCATCAACAGTTTGCCTGGGAGACTGAAGCTGAGGTCAAGGGCAAGGAAGGCTGTTGACATCGACTTGGAATTTACGAGGCAAGAGGTCAGGCAAACAGCGCTACTGGCATTTGACTACATTAAGGAGGAGGGAAGGCTGGACGAAACTATCCCGGCAAAGACATACGCACCTAGAGCGCGGCCTTCTCGAATAACGATCTAAGCTTACACTGTCAAATACCTCATTCCGAGCAAGCATATCCATCGCCTGTCCCTTCATCAAGCCATGAACATAACATGCGCCAACAAGCAAGTAACGCTGCTACCCAACAGAACACACACCAGAGTTGATGGCAACGTCGTCTTTCAACGGAGCACTCTGCTTTCATGGGTGCAATGGGAGTATTGAAATAGTACGGCTATCCTCCTGTGATTGATACTGGTATTGAGCCTTGCTCATCGGGTTCTGAGCTGACTTCGGGTCGAGGAGTTTGCTGCGCGACCGACGACTAGAATGAGCCGTACTGCGCTTTGACAGCTCGGTGAGGTACGTAGATTGCTCGTTACTGCCGTGGCGTTGCCCGCTTTATCACCAGTCTGGGACAATAGCCGTCTAGTATGTAGGAAATATGCGTTACTCGCTTTGGGTGTCACATATCGTGGCAAGGGCATTGCTGTATGATGTTTCATCGGAGCCGATGTGCTGCTGAATACCTACCTATCTCTTCGCTGTGTAAGGACTGTCCACAGCCACAGCCACCTACCCAGCAGGCTAGCACCCCGCATTCCGCATAGTCATAGTTCCCGCCGTGTCGAGCCTTCATCTGTAGCCATGGCGGGAGTCCATTGCACCAAGCCAGTTGCTTGTCGACAGGGTGAACTGCGGTCAAGGCGATAGAAATTCCGCACTCGATGTTGCAGGCCCTTTTCGCTGTGGCAGGCCAATCACCAGCCCACCGGCGTTCTTAAAACCCCTGAGGTTATCAAAAGCCCTGGATCACCTTTTTCCTCGAGGCTCTTCACAGTTAGCTGGATCCGGGCCAGGCGCTACCAAGGCCTCAACGCCGGTAGCTTCAACCCCGGACTCTGTCTGCATCCAAAATGACACTGTATTCCAGTATAGAAACACCGGGACGCAAAAGCTATTTAAAGCCTTCGCGGAGGCCGCCGGGCCGAAGTGCGAGGAGTTGCCGAATCGAATGAAGGTCCAGGGAGTCCTGCAGATCAGATCGAAAGAGCATGGCTCGCTGGTGACAAAGCTCAACGGCATCGCAGGAACCGCGGAAGTCATCGGATGAGACTGCTGGGGCCGATGGGAACTGCTTTTTGAGAAACCTAGTCCCCGCATTTCAGCCGGCGACCTTCTCCAGGTCACCTCGCCTTCAACCGACTCTTCCCAGTTCTGTTAATCGAGAGTTCTTGTGAGGAATAGGCTGTTCCCTTTGCCCCGAGGGTGTTTGCAGACGGCATCATGCCTTCTTCCTCCACCACACAGCATGCATATCAATGGAAGGCCATTCGCCCTCACAACAGCGTGCCTCTTTAGCATAGAGATCCGGAGTGGGTATTCTGTATACTCGACTTGATCAGCCGGTCATGTTCATGAGTCCGAAACTGAGGCTGGACAGATGGCAGGAACGCCTTCTTAGGTACAAAGAGTCGGAGTACAGCAGTCGATAAGCCGAGACGTGGCCACAAGGAACTTCGATTTGTTGTTTTGCCGGCGCGCGGATTGGGCTGATGCTGCAGGGATTCGAAGTTCGGACCGCAGGATTCCCATACGTACACTAGCGCAGTAGAGGGGGAAAGGCGTTGGTTCTGCATGTTCATTCAATGAACGGCCCCCACGTCGTACGGCAGCATGCGATGCAACGTCGTTGGTCTTCCAAGGTCTGCGCATAGGTAGTCATCTCTGCAGAAAAAGATCAGGAGGCGAGCATCCAGCCAATCACCCCTGACGAAGACTGCTTGCCGAGGACGCAGGACATAGGGGAACCATGCCTCGCTCGCTACTCCATACCAAACTCCAACAACCCTAACGTTAAAAATGTTAATGCTTGGCCCTTTTGCATTGCCACCGGGGGTGAAGGGTCCTGTCGCTGCGCGGCACAGGGTTGCAGTTACGACTCCGGACCCATCGGGGTGGTTCAGATACGGAGATCTCGGTTTCCCAAGCAAGGCGGGGATGCTTGGAAAAGCGCTTGTCGAGTGAGGGGTCCATGGCCCCTCGTTAGCAGGCTGGAAGTGGTGGATTGGTATTGTACATAAATAGGGGGGCTGGCACCTTGGTGTTTTGCATGGCACCCCGCTAGATTCTCCCCTCAGCTTATGCCCCTTGACGCCCTGGTTCCTTGTTGATATCTGGCCACTCAAGTACGGCTTACCTGAGATCACCACCATGGCCACTGTTGAGGCGCAAAATGCCGCCGCCGAGGCACCTGCTCCGGTGTTGCCAGACTACGTTCTAGATGAGGATGCCGTGCTCAAGGACACCGACGTCAGGTGGCGCTACGGCCGGGCGCCCGACTACAGCAAGACGCGTAAGATGTACTCCGAAAGTAAGCATGGCCGTCTCCTTTCCCCTTACTACTATCATAGAAGTGCGCCAAAGAAGAAGGAGGGAGAACGACCGCAAGAGAAAATGAAGAGAAAGGGAAATGGAAAGATCAAAGGGAAAAGAACTGACTAACGCTACCCACCCGGACCAGCCAAGCGCTGCTCCCACCAAGCAGGCTCCCTCCCGGACCTGGTCGAGAAGCTGGTCAAGAACTGGGAGATCGAGGCGAGCCACAAAACCGACCTGGCCGACTGGCGCACCATCGAGTCGCCCTCGTCCTACACCTTCTCAGTCAACGGAGGCCCCCCGCAGACGGCCGAGCACATGCTGACGGTCGGCACGTACAACGCCGTCATCGGGTCAGGCAACGAGTACTACTGCCCGATGCGGTCGAGCTTCGACGACTCGCACAAGACCTTCAAGCGCATGATGCCCAGCTTCGCGTGGGAGGTGCTCGAGGTGTACTCGGGCCCGCCCAAGGTGGCCTTCCGCTGGCGGCATTGGGGGGTCATGAAGGAGGATTATACGGGAGTAAACAGGTAGGTAATGTCCTCTTGCTTCATCGAAGAAAGCTACCGCCCTCAGTTCGCGATGCTGCGGGCATGATTGCTGATGGTGGCGGTTTTGCTGTTGCCAGCAAGGGCGAAAAGGTCACGATCAAGGCACACGGCGGGCCAATTGAGATCGAGGGTGTCACCGTGGGTGAAGTGAACGATCAGTTGCAGCTTCGCAAAGTCGACGTCTTCTTCGATCCGATGCAATTGTTCCGGCAGATGGTGCCGGATGGGGAGATGGGGGTAATCAAACGCACGGTTGATGCGTAGATAGGGACCATGTTTTATACTATTAATATTACCTATTAACGTACACGATAAGCGAATGACACAGACAAGCGAATGACATACAAAATCGAACCTTCGCAACCAAATCTCTATCTGTCCCACCACAATAGCTCAAAACAATTGAAACTACTTAGACTCATCTTCTTCAGATGTTTCCACAACTATCTGACAGGTGCGCACATTGTGGCCGGGCTCCCCGCAGTTGCCATAACGCCGCGCGTGCGTCTCGGTCCTTGGCTTCCGACCACTACCCGCCTGCGTTTCCTCCTTGATCTGCACCTCTACCTCTCTCTGGCCCTGCAAATCCTATGTATCCTATATACTAAGCGATCTTCCTTGTCGGAACCGTTGTTTCTTGGCCCTCCGGCGCTTGCTTAGGGCTTTATTTGCCGTCTATAAGTCCTAGATCTCCGCTTATATCAACGCCATCTTATATATAATCTTTTTGGTACCTTTCGCAAGGAGATCAACAGCTCTTAAAATCTCAGTTAGAAAGCTATTTCGATGCCGGGCAATCCGAGTTTTAATTAGATTTGTCTATAAGAAAGCTTCAGTTGTATTTTTTGGCGTCTTAGAAACCTAGGTATAGGTACTACTAGGCCGAGAGTTCGAGGGTGATAGCGTCTTAAGCCAGATGTCAAGCTAGGAGATCAACTTCTCGGGGTTAAAAGGAACAAGTCTGGCGCCTCGGAAACCTCCTTGAATGTTTTTGCATATTATCGCCGCCCGGTAAGCTATAAAGAAGGCGGGAAAGAAGTCCTCCTTAGTGATATAGATTATACCAGCCTATATTATCTCCTTAATCTGCTTGCTGTATGCCACCTTTAGTAGGCTGAAATACCTAATATTAGCTAGCTAGAGGATATAAGATAAGTAGGGAGGTATATAGGGAGTTATAATGTTATTCTCCTTATAGTAGACCTCGAAGTCGGTCGAGTAGTGGCTATTATAGCCGTTGAGGATGAGAAGGCGATAAACCCCGGCTGTTCGAGCTCTAGTATGCTTACCGAAGTATTGAATCTATTCAAGGCCTCTCTCCTTAGTCGTCTAACCATTCTCAGATATTACAATAACCTAGTCCTTTAGCAATAAGCTATTCTTGTACTAAAAGGAGAGGTAATATTTGCCCTAGATGATAATAAATGGTAGGACCACCTAGCTAGTTGTATTAATGCCCTAGATTACTATTGCCTACTCCCGATTGCTAGGCTGCTTCGACTTTGCCCTGCCATGCCGTTCAGAGCTTATAACAACTATTACGGTTGAGATAATACCCATCTGAAACCCGGTCTTGTCGAAGTTATAGATATCTGCCTCCTAGATACTATACTTCACGATTATATTCTATACAAGTGCGAACTAGCTATAAATGATTTCCGGATCTTTATATTTAGCCCTCTAGTAATCGTATTGCCAATTAAAGCGTATAGTAAGTTATAGTTGCCGTTTAATAAAGTTATAAGCCTAACGCGTCCTAATGCGTCCTATATTGCGTTCGGCAAATAGTCAGTTGGCTATAACGTATCTTATAAGCGAGCTGGCCATATAAGCGAGCCGGCCACTTTACCCGCGACGCGTCACTTCCGCGCTTAAAACCAGATTTTCTTTACAACCTAACATGTCTTCTTCTTCGTACGAGGCTAGGATAAACCTAGCCCTCGAAGCGATACAAAAAGACCAAAAACTAAGCATAAGGGCTGCAGCGAAGTACTACGACGTTCGACGAACAACCTTGCAAGACCGACTAGCGGGCCGGCCTATACGACGCGACACTACGCCCAACTTGCGCCGGCTCACCGATTCCGAAGAGAGGGCTCTTGTTCAGTATATAATTGAGCTATCTAAGCGAGCTTTTCCGCCGAGACTGCGTAGTGTAGAAGATATAGCCAACCAACTGCTACGCGTATGCGATACGCCCCCTGTCGGCAAGCTCTGGGCGTATAACTTCGTTAAACGCCAGCCAGAGCTCCGGATACGTTATACGTATAGATACGACTACTAGAGGGCCAAGTACGAGGATCCAAAGGTTATTGGCGAATGGTTTGCCCTTGTACAGAATGTTAAGGCCAAGTATGGCATTGTAGATGATGATATCTACAACTTCAATAAGACTAGGTTTATAATGGGTATTATCTTCCCGGGTATAGTAGTTACAACCTCGGATGGCCATAGTAAGGCGAAGCTAGCCCAGCCTGGCAACCGCGAATAGGCGATAGTAATCTAAGGCGTCAATGCCCTTGGCTGGGCTATCCCTCCGTTTATCATCTTAGCGGCGCAGTACTATCTCGCCAACTGGTATCAAGAGTGCAACCTCCCGGCCGACTGGCGTATTGCAACCACCGAGAATGGCTGGACTACTAATGCAGCAGGCCTTGATTAGATTAAGCACTTCGACTACCATATAGTGCTTCGGACAAAGGGTAAATACTGGTTGTTGATCCTCGATGGCCATGAAAGCCACCACTCGACCGAGTTCGAGCTCTATTGCTAGTAGAACAACATTATTACGCTCTATATGCCTCTATATTCCTCCTACCTCCTCTAGCCACTTAATGTTGGCTGCTTTAGGCCGTTAAAGCAAGCGTATGGTCGCCAGATTAAGGACTTAGTACGTGCGTATATCAACCATAAAAGCAAGCTCGAGTTCCTTTGTGCCTTTCGCACGGCCTTCTTTACCTCTATTACCAAGAGGAATATACAGGGCGGTTTTGCAGGGGCTGGCCTTATGCTATACAATCCAGAGAGGGTGCTTTCGAAGCTAGATATCAAGCTTCGTACACCAACACCCCTAACCTCACGGCCGGGCACTGTATAATCTTGGGTCTTCCAGACACCATACAACCCTCGAGAAGCCGAGTCACAGTCAACGCTTATCAAGACTCGCATTGCCAACCATCAAAATAGCTCCCCGACTTCAATGTTGGCTGCTATAGACCAGCTTACCAAGGGTACGATGGCTATAATGCACCAGGTGGCCCTCCTTCAGGCAGAGGTGTCTTCGCTCCGCAAGGCTAACGAGGCGCTAAGCAAGCGCCGGAGAGCCAAAAAAACACGTGTGCGGCTTGGAGGATCACTTACTGTGCAGGAGGCACAGGAGGTGGTAAGCTAGGGGGCTGTAGGTAGGGAGGAAATGCAAGAAATACAGCTGGATGGTAGTGGTGCTGGGGGGGGTCATACGAAGGTTCGGTGCTGTGGTGTGTGCGGCAAGCCTGGCCATAATGCCCGCACTTGCCAGGAGGGTGCAGAAGGGTCTGATTCATCTGTTTCTGATGTAATTATTGTTAGTTCCTAGTGTTGTTGTTTTGTGATTGAGGATATTGTTGGTAGTGTAGTGGAGAGTGGCCGGCTCGCTTATATGGCCGGCTCGCTTATATGGCCGGCTCGCTTATAAGATACGTTATCTTCTATACTAGACAAGCGGGGAGGAAATCCTTTTATATCTAGGTCGAGGATATATTAAATAATTGTTGATTCTTCTAAGTCAGTCAACTTCTATAAGTTAGCTGGAATATCGCGTTATAATTTTATATCGCGTTTACAATGACTTATTTTTTAGTGATCTATATTGTAGATCTTGCCAGTAGCTCGAGCGCTTAGATTCGGGTTATTTTACATTATCTGAATAGATAAGATCAACTGGCCATCGTCGTTTTTGCGATGCATGTTTATATTATAAAGAGAATCAAGGAAGAAGCTGGGAGATACGTAAGTCCGATGTCGTATGTCATTCGCTTGCCTATGTCATTCGCTTGCCTATGTCATTCGCTTGCCTATGTCATTCGCTTGCCTATGTCATTCGCTTGCCTATGTTCATTCGCTTATCGTATACGTTATCTCTTTAAGTCTAATGATAATTAAATATCACGGTCGATACGGGTATCGCCCCAGATGGGAGTCGAACCCACGACCTTCCTAGTGGAACGGACGAAGTGGGCCAGAGGTCACGTGACCCACAAATGGGGAAATATCTTCATGTAATTCTGGACCAATCGACCCAGAACCTTTCCTTTCCTTCTTCAAGCTTAGTTTAATGGAATTGAGTGTCACGAACAGCCGGCTTGACCCTGTTGAATGCACCATACCGTCATACTACCTATCCGCCGTTGCTATAAGACTCTAGCCTAGAATCCACCCTAGAAAGAGATACTAAAGTAGATAGAAACGTTATCGTAACGTTCGAGGAATGGCTCCTTAGGAACGCTGTCCTCAAATACGTTATGATATACGGTTCGTCGCCTACCTTTATAGTATAGTTCACCTAGAACCTGTATACAAGCTATGGAAGAGAGCACGGGATTATAGAGGATCGAAGCTCCGCTCCCTCTGCCTAGAAGCAGAGCCCGGCGAGATAAAGGAGCATACAGTCCCCGAAGCCCGAGAACCTACCGGCCAACTCGAAAGTCGACTTCAACTTCGGGGAGGGTAAGATATATACCAGAGGACGATACCAAGATCCGTTAGCTAAAGGAGCAAGGGCTGTCTTGACTCGCGATCGCCAAGCATCTCCCGGGGCGTACCGCCGGCGCTATTAGGACGAGGTATCACGCCAAGCTCAGGACCGTTGACGCCACTCAAAACGGAGCTCGGCAATGGCAGGAAGAGTGGGAGGCAGAGGAAATCTGCGGCCACAGGAAGCTGAATAACGGCAGCGTGAAAGTGCTTGTGAAGTGGAAAGGCGGGGAGGAGACATGGGAGCCCTACGAGAATGTGGCCGAGACGGAGGCGCTGGACAGGTATGAGCGCCTTCATGGCCAGGTTAGTGCAGATTTTGTCTGAGATTAGCGGAGATTTAACTGCGGCTGGGTATTGCCCCTGATCCCGAATTTATCTTTTATTTCTTTTCGTCTTTCACATAGTCTCCATAGCTTGGACAGGATTAGCATTCTACGGGTCATAAAGATATCTTAGCAACATTTAGTAAGTCAAAGCCCTATAGCAGATATTTCGTAATGTTCCTGTGACCATTGTCTCTTGACTCTGTTTCCTCTCCACAACCCGCCTTCAGCTGCCACTACCGACTCTTCTTGATCAACCACATTCGACAGTGACGATGAATTACAGTGATAGTATCGAGATGGTCAACAAACAAAATGCCTACGACCAGCCGAAGACCAACCTCTGGAAAGACATCCGGGACTTGCCAAGGTCCAATAACATCATGGCGCGGCGAGAGCCTGCGCCGGTCGTAGTATGCCCGATTTGCCACGACCAGCTTATCGTCTCCTGTCTCTCATGCCCGAACTTCACCGACGACAGCGACATGCCCAACCGCTGCGGCGCCAGACTCTTTGTATACGGACACCTGGTATACAACAACTGCTATCCGAGAGTCGTTGAATCTTGTTACCATAATCCACAGGAGGTACTAAAATGTCCCGTCTGCCGCTACGAGCCTTACTTTCCCGCTGAGGACAGCCGGCATATGCTGAGAGCCCTTCATATCCCCATACGACGAAGCGGACCGCGGTTACTTCCGGCATATACCTCGCACAATCGCTAAAGGCGGACGGCACCCAGAGCGATGCAACGCATGCTCTGGCGAGCGGTATATGGCCACGGTGGAGGCGGCAGCGGAGCGGCTCGGCGTTTCCCCCCTTCTATGGACCGATCTGCTGCGGGGGAGAGGGGACCAGTTGGCTCGGGGGCTGACCCCTGAGGAGTCGAGCGCCCTCGAGAGCCTGCGGTTGATGTGGAGGGGGCGGCAGGACGGCTGGTCGGATGAGTGGAGTGTGCCTGGGTTGGGGTTGGCTGGGGACGTGTGAGGAAGGGCGGGGCGGCGGACTCTTGGTGGTTTACTTTGCGGTAGCGGAGACTTTGGAGGAGAGAGCTGGGCTTCCGGCAGGTGGGCGAACCGCTTGGCGTGTTTTACAGGGCCCTCGCTTCGGGAGGGTTGGGCGAACCAAGGTCCCTTGTTTTGATTCATTTCCCTCCGGCCCCGGCGCGCCACAAACTCACCAGCTTATGCTCCAGACTGGCGCAGACGATATGTTGCGGGCAACAGCTCAACGAGAAGAATGTGGTGGTGTTATGCTTGGTTGTGTGGTCGCCTGCGAGCGTGGGAATGTGCCTGGCAAAATCGCTGGGCGGTCTGCAGGTCACGGAAAGCGAGTCATGTGGCTCATCGACGGTTGGCTGAAACGGCGGGAGACGACGATCCTTGCAGTGTATCTAACTATCTTGTTTTTATCGCCTGGATTGCCGTCGTCCAGGCTTCGTGACTGCCCCCAACATCAAAACAATCTTCAAATTCCTCTCCATTTTCATGTTCCACTCGGCACAATAAGGCAAGCCCCCCTGCAGTGCATGATTTTATGGATAACCCAAGCCTTGGGAGATGATCACGAATTAGAGCGAACAAAGACCTCAAGTGGCCAATTCCACCCGAAACTCCTACTCGGACCAAAGTAACGCTTTGGAGTGTTGCTCTGTGCCTCGAGATAAAATCTCCAAGACCCTGTACGCTACAAGATGCCTTGTAGAGCCCTAGGCATTGTAAATTCGGTATTTGAAGCCTCGGTGCGAGCTGTTTCAATCGGTCAACGCGCGGGCCGAAGTCGACCGGTCTGATGACCAGATCCAGTTGTGTCAGTTGTTGAAACATCCCGATAAATGCCGATACGTCGTCCGCCCATCGGTCCTCAGCGCGCCTCGCTGCCTCCGCGGATACATTTAGTGTGAGCTCCGTAAGGCTTGGAGGGAGGTTCTTGTAGTATTGGAGATGCGACTCCGAGGGTCTGAGAATGTCTGGCACAATCGCCTCCCTAGGGAGGCCAGCTGTGATAGCAAGGCTGCTAAGAGCGGCACCACTCGTAGCGATGGCTGTAAGGGTAATGCGGAGGACTTGGCCCAGAAACGGAACCTCGGCATAATCGTCCAGGACGTTCGTCGGCGGTAACCCTGTTTGTCGGCCATGCGCTAGTGCACCCCAGGGCCGGTGCATGTTGCTAATGACGACAGACTCGATGTTGGCAAGAGAAATCAGCGCCTGCGTGATGTAGGCTTGCGCAAGGCCGGACGTGATTATGTTTTCCTGCTCCTCCCACAGTGACGTATAAGCCGTCTTATCCAAAAACGCCCCTTCCGAGTCCTGAAACGAGAGATTCCCTTCATCGGTCTCCAGACTTTCCTCCCCAGCGCTTTGGTCCTCCTCCTCATCGGTGGATGAGTGTGCATCATCTATGCTGCCCACTGAAACTGCGGGAGGGTATCGACCTTCTTGTATGGCCAGTAATATATCGCCTTCATGCCGTGCAGTATGAAAGCTTGGAGATGGGAACTCCACAAAATGATCCGTACAGAGTTCTAGTGTTCTCACAGCAGGGCCAAAGTCCGGATGTCGCGCAATCTCCAGGAAGTTTTCGAGGCTTAGCCTTGAGAACATTATATAGCGGGTCTGGAAGTATCGCCTGATGAAAGCCGGCAACGTAGCCAATTTTGCATATTTGGACGTCAACCGCAGGGCGGAGAAGCCTTGGGCGTCTAGCCGGCCAAATATAAGAGCCAGCAACTCGTTAGGAAGCTGAAGAAGTCCCACCATTGTATCTGAGAGGATCCTTGAAGGTATGTTCGAGTAGAATGGAGCTTCCAGCAATGCAAGCTTTGAGGGCAGTATATTGTAATGGGTTGAATGGTACGGAGTATATCGGCTGAGCTTTGGGCGGGGTAAGGCAGCGTTGTCTGCCGAGTCTGCCTAACTTTTGACCGGCTCAACTTCGGATCTGCCACGGGAATTTCCGGTCCATCACGTAGGTCTTGTCTCAACGCCGCACCCATCAATATGTATGTTCGGCTGACCGACCATGGTGCCCGTCACAGGATTAAAGACTAGCCAGCCAAGTAGTAGAGGGGTTAGCATGCAAATCCTATATAGCAAACCCACTCTCGTATCAACATTTCCTAACGTAAAGTACAGCTAAGTTCCTCCAGGTTCCTTTGGCGTGCCCTTTGCCGGCACGGTCACTCCTGTTTAGGACGACTGGGTTACAAGAAATGTCAGGGTCACGGGATGGATGGATGGATTTTATTTCGCCGCGAGGCACTGAGCCTGAATGGCCTTGGCACGCTAACTACTCCGGATCATCCCTTTTTGCCTTGGTCTCGGACAAGCCCCTACGGTTCTCTTCCATCAACGCCACCCCATGCCTCTTCTCGGTTGTGAGCAGATCTACTTGAAGGCTACGTTCTCCAAGCGCAATACCACCTCGCCAACTGGTATCAAGAGTGCAACCTCCCGGCCGACTGGCGTATCGCGACCACCGAGAACGGCTAGACCACCAATGCCGTAGGCCTCGATTGGATCAAGCACTTTGACTTCTATACAGCACCCCGTACAAAGGGCAAATATCGGTTATTGATCCTCGACGGCCATAAGAGCCACCACTCGACCGAATTCGAGGTCTATTGCTAGGAGCATTATATTATTATACTCTATATGCCTCCGTATTCCTCTGTCACGAGGGCCGTCGTTCAAGGCCAGGGTCAAGCCTCTGGTGGTAAACTGACTGCATTGCAAGAATATTGAACTTGCAGGAGGAAAGGAATCCTCGAAGACTGCAAGGTGCGAAGAAGTCTAATTACAGGATGTGGAGCATGTGCCCAGATGTGGAATGTGGGGCACCAACCAGGTTGACCAATCAATGGCCTGTGCCATGGTACGGTGGGTTCCACCGTCACAACCCCCCCCGGAACAGAAGACTCGCCTCGAGTCTTCCAATACAGCCGAATCCACCAAGTACATCATCCACACATACTAATCAATCGTACAAATCGCCGTTGTCATCGCCAGAGTCCTCCTCCAGAGCCTTCTTCATCGACCGGGGCTCAGGGACCATACCATACCTCGGCATATCCATAGCTGCAATGTCCACCGTGTTCAAATCCATCGGTTCACCCTTGTTGTGATTGGCATTGAAGGGCTTGGGGTTACCGGAACCGTGGTAACGTGTGTTGAGCTTCTGGAGCATTGCGACAAAGCCGTTGTAATCGTCGGGTACGATGACCTGGGCATCGAGCCGGGAGCGGGCTGATTTGTTCAAGCCACGACGAAGCATAGCGATCTTGGTATTGTCGGGCCATGTGTTCGCCTTAGCCGCGTAAAGTAGCCGTTCGAACCGGGCCAGGAAAACCGGAAGCGAATCGTCGTCGGCTTGTTTTAAGGCTTGTAGTTTGTCTTCGGCATCGCGCACCTTATTGGGGTCATCGAACAAACGGGCTAGTTGATTGAGCAGGTTCTGGGGGTCGTACTGCTTCGTGTCTTCGGCAACGGCCAACTGCGGTGTAACGAGCGCCTGAACCTTGCTATCAAGACGACCGTACACATAGAAAAACTGGGCTTCCGGAGCTCCTATAGCTTGACCGTCGATACGGAGCTTGGCTTGAATAGCCGGAAACCAGGTATCCCAATGGTAGGTGCCAGAGAATTTGTCGGGGTTGGGGAGGCTCGGCTTGGGCTTGCGGGCCGACTTGGTCCTCAAGTCGGTAAGCTCCTTTGTCAAGGCTTGAATCTGGGCTTCGTGGTTCTGAATAACCTGCTGCATGTGCTGAAGGGGGTCCATCTTGCAGGTCGGTTGTTGTTCGTGTTCGTTGTTGAATGCAGGTGCGAGAAAAAGAGGGCTCTTGCAATTCGGGATTCAGCCGGTCGGTCCATATACTTCTAATTACCACACAACCCATATGCAGGGAAAGAAGGTCGGAAACTGCCGCGCTTGCAATGAATACCGAAGACCCTTGAAGAAATGGCACTTCCAATTACCACCGTAACCCTTTAGTGCTAGGGAAGGAAGGCCCGAAGTGATGAATAAGGTGAAAAAATTCCGGGTGCCGACGGGGGGCTCTAGGTGCAGGCTCCGTAGTTGTTCGAATACGTGGTCAGGCCTCCGCTAAGACGATGTACTACGTGCTCGGTCGACTAGGCACGGGTCGGTTCGGAAGGTCGTAGCCGTTACGATGAATTGCCTGGCTAGGTACGCAATCCAAAGGAAGTTCAATATTGTCACGAGGGCCGTCGTTCAAGGCCAGGGTCAAGCCTCTGGTGGTAAACTGACTGCATTGCAAGAATATTGAACTTGCAGGAGGAAAGGAATCCTCGAAGACTGCAAGGTGCGAAGAAGTCTAATTACAGGATGTGGAGCATGTGCCCAGATGTGGAATGTGGGGCACCAACCAGGTTGACCAATCAATGGCCTGTGCCATGGTACGGTGGGTTCCACCGTCACATCCTCCTACCTTCTCTAGCCACTCGATATTGGCTGCTTTGGGCCGCTGAAGCAGGCGTACGGTCGTCAGGTCGAGGACTTAATACGCATGCATATCAACCACATAAGCAAGCTCGAGTTCCTCTATGCCTTCCGCGAGGCCTTCTTCGCTTCTATAATAGAGAAGAATATACAGGGTGGCTTTATAGGTGCTGGCCTTATGCCGTACGATCCAGAGAGGGTACTTTCTAAGCTGGATATCAAGCTTCGTACACTAACACCCCCAACCTTACGGCCTAGCACTGCATAGTCTTAGGTCTTCCAGACACCATACAACTCCCGGGAAGCCAATGCGCAGTCTACACTCATCAAGACTCGTATTCTAGAGAGGATGATATCCAAGTTACATATAAAGCTTTATATACCAACGCCCTTGAACTCGCGAGCCGACACACTATAACCTTGGGTCTTCCAGATACCATATAACTCTCGAGAAGCAACCTCGCAGTCAACGCTTCTCAAGACTCGCATTGCCAACTATCAAAACAGCTCTCTAACTTCGATGTTAACTGCGGTGGACCAGCTTGCCAAGGGTACAATAGCTATAATACACGAGGTGGCTCTTCTTTGATTAGAGGTCTCTTCGCTCCGCAAGGCGAATGAGGCACTTAGTAAGTGCCAGAGAGCTAAAAGAACACGTGTGCAGCTTGGAGGATCACTTACAGTGCAAGATGCAAAGGATCTACTGAACCAGAAGGCCGTGGTTAGGGAGGTAGTACAAGAAACGCAGCCGGATAGTAGTGGTGCAGAGGGGGCTCGTATAAAGGTTCGGGGCTGTAGTGTGTGCGGCAAGCCTGGCCATAACGTACGTACGTGCCAGGAGGTTGCAGAAGGTTCTAATTCGTATATTTCCGATGTAATTATAGTTGGTTCCTAGTGTTGATGTGTTGCAATTAAGGATAGTTGTGGTAGGATAGTAGAAAATGATCCGCTCGCTTATCTGATCTGCTCGCTTATCTGATCCGCTCGCTTATCTGATCCGCTCGCTTATTATGCACGTTATTATAAGAGGCGGCTTATTCTATAAGTCGATCTATACTTTATAACGTATATTATCAGCGAGTGACCCATATCAGCGAGTGACCCAGCTTAACGAATTTAGCAGGGCTGCAGGCCAAACCTTGATAAGAAAATTGTTAGGAGCGATATCAATATCTTATCGTACATTTGGATGCAGCCCTGCTAAATTTGTTAAGCTGGGTCACTCGCTGATATGGGTCACTCGCTGATATGGGTCACTCGCTGATATGGGTCACTCGCTGATAATATACGTTATCTCTCTCTTGTATAGGGTAAGAGATCTCTCTGAACAAGATTATTGTTAACGGTCGTCTTAAAATCATTAAAGCCATTCTAGTCTATATACCTCCTTCGGTCTATAGCTATCCTTTTTCTACCTATCTTTAATTATAGTATTACTTAATATGACCTCAGGCCGTAAGCTATAGAAGCAAGAATCTCAGAATGCCAAGGGGGATAAGAGAAACCGATTGGGGGATTTAAAGGTGTCAGAGAGCAGTTACTAGTCTCTAGAAAAGAGTATTAGGTATAGTTATAAGGCTAAAGGTTAAACGGGTAATGGCAAAACTTAGGAGGGTAAAATAGGGGATATCAACTAAGCTTTTATCGGCCGCTCCTCGCCTTAGACTACCCGGCCTAGGTAATAAAAAATTAACGCCTTACTACCTCACGAAGAGTTTCCATCTAGATTTCCTTTGGACTCCACCGACTTATAAAGCACCGCCTTATCCTAAGCCGTTTCCGAATGCTCTCCTGAGCGGTCCTGAGCAGCCCCTGACGGGACCTGAGCAAAAGCGGCGAGGGGTGTTGGGGGCGGCCGGGGGCTGACGAGGGCAACTTTTGGGTAATGCAATAGCCAATGATCATTGTGAGAAGCGCAATGTCGCCACAGCATACCTGGTAGCTATGGCCGCAGGCTACCCTCACCAGCCCACCTGCACGTGCATCCCCGATTCCCCATCGTCAGCACAGTAGATGCGTCACGTGTAAGAGTCACGCAGGTTTGTTACCCTTGAGCACTGATCCCGAGTTACTTGGAACGCACCATCTTGACGTCAGCAGGTGCAGCATACTGGAGCAAAGCAGAGATAAGATGAGAAACATTGACCCAATGGACGAATGTCGCACGTGGCATTTACCCGGCACGATCTCGTCCCTTCGCTATTGTAAGACGCAGGTGCGGACATACAGTGGTAATTGCCATATTTGGCTGGAGGGGTTCTTTGGCCGGGTTTATCTACGGCTTCGGCCAGCCCGCCCACTCTTAGAAAAATCAACGATCTTTACTCCCATTTTTCACCATTCTGGCCCGTAGAAATCTTAACACTTAACTCCTTGCCGCCGGCCTAAAGGAGAACCATAATAGTGAATTGGAAGCCGACATCACCGCGGCATCCTCGCCGAACGGGGAATAGCGACATCATGCACTATTTCGGCTCTTGGTGTCTAGCCTGTCTTGGCGAAGAGGGTGTTTCTCAGCCCATTGGGCGCCGCAGACGCCACGTCTCGGTATTTGATCCTCTCAGAGGCCCGGAAGGTTGGATCACGGCATCTTCCAGAGTGGATGGAAAGATGAAGAGTCATGGGGCTGAGGGCCGAGACCCGTGGGCTGGGTCGGTCAGGCACTCACTGTCCTCTGATAACCGCCGTGGGCTTCCCACTACTGCTATATGTTCCCCCAAGCCCAGCTGCCCATCATCGACAGCGCGCGTCTTGCTCACCGAGGATTCTCATGGCAACTTTGTAAATGACTAGTAGTGTGGTAACCGAGGGGCCAACGACGAGGCGCGTCAACAAACCTCCCTATTCCTCTAGTTCTGGGTTCCAATATCGACAACATGATGGCTAGAAGAAGCACGCGGGCCACACTGCTGGCCCAGCTTCTTCTCTTGCCCGCCGTCCTCGCAGCAGTCTCCTTCGCCAACACGGACTACTACGTCTACCCGACCGTGCCGTTCACCATCACCTGGACCGACGCCAGGGGCCCCGTCAACATCACGCTCATGAACGGACCGGACGAGTACCTGAAGGACGTCCTTCTCATCGTCACAGCGTTTGCGGGAGCGGAGGACTACACCTGGACGCCGCCGCCAACGGTGCCGCCCGACTCATACATCCTCCGGATCGAGGATGGCGGCAGCACCGACTACTCGCCGCGGTTCGTGTATCCGGGCCCTGTACTGACTACGACTGCCACCCGCGTAAGATCCAGTAGACCTTCTCACCCTTCTTCCACCCTACCAATCCCGAATAGTACCTGACTAATACCAACACCCGCCTCCTTATTCCGGATATATAGTCCCCATCCGCCACATCCGCCTCGCCAGCAACCACATCCATAACATCAACATCAACAAACACCGCCCAACAACAACCCCAGTCACAGAACAACAACGAACTCCTCTCCACCCCGGCCAAAGCAGTCATCGCAACGCTAGGCTCTCTCCTCCTCGTCATCCTCCTGGCTAGCCTCCTGAGGTATTATTGTCTGTGCAGCAAGCGACGCCGCCGTCAGCTGCGAGAAGCGGAGCGGGCAGCAGCAGCAGCAACAGCAGCGAGTCACGAGCTGCCCCCCCTGAGTCCGCGAAGTGGTGATGATGCCGAGACGATACACTTGCATGGTAACATGATGATAAAGGCTGAGGGCCAGGAAGGGAACGTAGTGGAGCTGCCGGTTAGGGGGTGGGGGGAGATGGTGGAGCTGAGTGCGGACTCGAATCGGAAACCTGCGCGTTAATAAGGGGTAGTGAAACTATTAAGTAAGGATAGGTATTGTAGGAACGGGGGGAAGGATGACTTGTGGGTGGTAGGGAGCCGTTGGCTGGTCCATCGCTCTAGGGGTGCTGCTTCGATCCAGGTACGTTGTGAGGGTGAGAGAGAGGAGAACAGGCATTGTACAGCCGTCCGGAGATGAGCACTTAGCGTTGGGAAGCTGGGTTTCTGTGGATGTACTCTATGTAGAGTACGAGATGCGTGAACGATCATGATCCTACTAGTACTAGTATCTTCCGCTTCTGTTCAACCCAGCATTGGGCAACCCGCTGCCAGACCCGTATGCTGTTTTCTTCACCACATACTGGGTGCACACATGGTAGGTGTCGCCAACAACATCAATAGCCTTCGGGACCATTAAGAGTGTATTAGTGCGTGAAGAATAATGTCAAGAACTGAGGTGCCTAGCCAAGCCGGGAAAGTTGCTTATACGTGGGAGGGTTTGAACGGAACCGTGAGCATAAAGACCAAAAGGGCCTTCATAGTGTTCCAATACCGTTCTATGCCTCAGACGTGCTGCTTCTATGTCCAACCACCATCAAGTGACATTCAACGAAATGCTGAGGGCACACCCATCAAAGACCTTTCCCCTATCATCGATGGATTCGCGGTCGATGTAAACCCACTCCTCAAGATCGTCCTTGATCGGCGCCGGAGCCAAGTCCTCGTCAGAGGGCAACTTGACCTTGTCCGGATTCAGCTTGCCCGGTGTGTCGGACAGTGTAGTGTTGTCTCTGCGATCCTGTCAGCATGTGTACTTCGACATGCTCCATCCAGAAGGATATCATCTCACAGAGAAATATCTCCCCGTTTGGCCTCGCCCTGGACCAACTTCTTCCAAGCCTCGGCACACTCTTTAATAATCTTCTCCGTGTACCTGAAAGCAATCCATCAGTCAGTACTCGCCTTCCCCCTCCACCACCCCACCCATAAACAGGAAATAAACTCACCTAGCCCCCTTCCACTCCCCCCCAAAAGCATATTCGTTCCCCGGCTCGCCGTCAGGGATCTTATAGATCCGAAACCAGTCCCTCGTCGCGTCCAGCAGTCCCGGCAGGTACTTCTCGACATCCGCGATATCCCGCAGCTTGTCGGCCAGGGGGTCGCGCACGTCGATGACCAGCACCTTCCAGTCGGTCTCGCCGCCGTCGAGCAGGCCCAGGATGCCGAGTGCTCTCACCTGCTTCACGTCTCCCGTCCGGGCGACGGCGCGGCCGATCTCGCATGCGTCGAGCGGGTCGTTGTCCCCCCTGCGGTGCGTGTCTGGGTTTTTCGTGGTTGGGTCTTCCCAGGTCTGTTACTTGAATTGTGTTAGTACCTTTCCTTAGTTAATGCTATGTGAAGAGCTGCTTATTATGGATGTGTGGATGGTTGGTGAGGTGGTGAGGTGATGAGAAGGGAGACTGAAAATCGAGTGGGTCGTACCTGAGGGAGGGCGCCGTAGTTCCAGATGTATCCCTTGTACGGGAAACAGTTCTTGACGAAGCGCGGGTTGTCGTCCAAGATATCTTGGTGGATAGGGTTGAGACTCTCGTTTCTGATGATCTGAGGGCGGGTGTAGTTAGCATGGGTTATTCCGATTCCAGGAAACGGTTGGGTTGAATAATTGATGTTGCTCATACGGTGTACTCACCTCAAACTTCGCGTTGCTCCACCGCGGAATCTCAACCACCATGTTCAAAACGCCCTTCTCCTTGTCATGGTAGAGCGGGATGTCGTGGAAGGGAGACACGGGGACCTTGTCCTTTGCCCGCTCAAAGTAGACTCTGTAGTCCTTTGTGAACGGGCGGCCGGACCTCCTCACCGAGTATTCACTCCTGTGAGCGCTGTCGTCTAATCGTGCCGTTGCCATGTTGGCATGTTGGGAGATTGAGGAGCGGTTGCCAGGAGATCCCTGGAAAGTGGTGATTTAAACAGGTACACTTCTGACTTGGTGGAGGTTTTACACGTGTACATGTACAGGTGGGAGCGCATGTTGTGTGGGATGATAGTCAAGAGTCTGACGTCACTGCTCGTCGTGGCAGGCATCGCTACCGTGTGGTATTCAGTGTATATGTGCGACCACAATTGATGAATGCTAGGGTTATAATAACATGGATTCCTCGAGCGCTGTGCCAACATTCGATTGGACGTTGCTTGACTTTCAAACATCCAAGTCCGGCTTGCTTAGACTCAACGCTGTTGCAAAGAGTTGTGCTAGAAAGGTACCCGGACAAGCAATGCAGTCATCGGAATTCGACTTACATCTTCTATTCGCTTGAGGGTAACTGTCGGTGTGGATGGAGTCTTCGATGATCTCCGGGTGTTCGGTTCTCGCCGTGCTAATTATAGGAGACGAGTAGTAGTTGATAACAAATTAACAATGATCCTAGGCGCACAGGCTCTCGCTCTCTTGCGTCGATAGCGCAAGCAGCAACCAAGAACTCGTCAGCATTGCCCAGCCGGGCTTTCTCCAGGATGAGCAGGTGGACAGTCGGTCGCTCTGCTTAGCATTCCGCAATCGCTGCGGAGTCTGGAAGTTGCGCCATGGAAAGCACAATTTGGTTATCTTCAGCTTTGCGATCTATTTGGAGGCCAGACATCATCCGGACGGCCGCCAAGCAACCCCGCGCCGGTCCAGTGCAGCGGCTTTCACCAACTTTATGCAGGCCAAGCAAAGCGCCGCTGGGACCTGCCGTAGCAGATCTAGCGCCGGGACTCGGGAGCACGCGACAGGGTTCGACAGGAGCTGAGCACAGTTCGGCCCGGCATGGCGCTTTTACTGGAGCAGGCAGTTGGTCTTCTGGGCCGTGCAACAGCTGCCGCAATGGGGAGCTGCGCCCAGACGCGATTGAGCTGCCAAAATGGCGTTTCCAGAAGGCACGAAGGCGTCGAGATTCCGAGGTTACCACGCCAAGAGATCAGCATGCTGCGCAATGTGCGGAGGCTGGTCGCAGGTCGGATGGACAGGTCCGCGGGGCGAACGCGATAATCATATTTAATCTCGGCCGTCTCGCGCCTCCGTTTCCTCGGCACCTTAGCCATACCTGTCTACGACTACTACTTTCAAGATGAGGACCACGGCCACCTGTCTCCTCGCCCTGGCCCTCCCGGCACTGGCCACCACCGCCGCCAATGCTGGAGCAGCCAACGGACATGACGGGCCCGGTGGGCATCACGGACCCGGCAAGCCCGACTACAACAACAAGAAGCCGCTCGTGAGCTCGGCCAAGCTGCAGTCGCTGATCAAGACCAAGGACCTGCTCGCGGGCTCGCAGAAGCTGCAGGACTTCGCCGACGCACACGGCGGCAACCGGGCGTTCGGCGGCGGCGGGCACAACGCCACGGTCGACTACCTCTACAAGACGCTGAAGTCGCTCAACTACTACAACGTGGCCAAGCAGCCCTTCACCGAGATCTACTCGGAGGGCACGGGGTCGCTTAGCGTCGACGACGCCGCCATCGCGGCCGAGATCCTGACCTACACGCCGGGCGGCGAAGCCACGGCACCGCTGGTCGCCGTCGCCAACCTCGGCTGCGACGCCGCCGACTACCCCGCCACCGTGGCCGGCAACATCGCGCTCATCTCGCGCGGCACGTGCCCCTTCAGCCAGAAGTCGGTCAACGCCAAGGCCGCGGGCGCCGTCGCGGCCGTCATCTACAACAACGCGCCGGGTTCGCTGTCGGGCACGCTGGGCACGCCGTTCCTGGAGTATGCCCCCGTCGTGGGCATCAGTCAGGAGGACGGCGCGGCGCTGCTGGCCAAGCTTGCCGCCGGCGCCGTGACGGCTACGTTCAAGGTTGATGCCGTGGTGGAGGAGCGTGTTAGCTATAATGTCATTGCCGAGACTAAGGAGGGTGATCACGATAATGTGCTTGTTGTGGGCGGCCACTCGGATTCAGTGCCTGCCGGGCCGGGGGTGAAGTGAGTTTCTACTTTCCCTCTCTCTATATCTATATTAGAGTTGTATGCTAACAACTTCTCCCAGCGACGACGGCTCCGGCATCATCGGCATTCTGAACGTTGCCAAAGCACTCACCAAGTTCCGCGTCAAGAACGCCGTACGCTTCGCCTTCTGGAGCGCCGAGGAGTTCGGCCTGCTCGGGTCGTACCACTACGTGAAGTCGATCAACAGCTCCGAGGCCGAACTAAGCAAGATCCGAGCCTACCTCAACTTTGACATGGTCTGTATCCCCCCATTCCCTCCCCTCTTCATCTCCCCATCTCAGACTAACCCCCGGTAACATAACAGATCGCAAGCCCGAACTACATCTACGCCATCTACGACGGCGACGGCAGCGCCTTCAACCTGACAGGCCCCGCCGGCTCGGACGTGATCGAGGCCGACTTCGCCTCCTTCTTCACCTCGCGCAAGGTCCCCTCCGTCCCGACGGAATTCAACGGCCGGTCCGACTACGCCGCCTTCATCGAGAACGGCATCCCGTCGGGAGGCCTGTTCACGGGCGCCGAGGGCCTCAAGACGGCCGAGGAGGCCGCGCTGTTTGGCGGCGAGGCGGGAGTCGCGTACGACGTCAACTACCACAAGAAGGGCGACACCGTCGATAACCTGGCCCTGGATGCGTTCCTGTTGAATACCCAGGCCATTGCCCACTCGGTGGCTAAGTATGCGACGAGTTGGGAGAGTCTGCCGGCGGTGGATAGGAAGACGCGCCGGTGGGATGGTGACAGGGCGAGGATGATGAAGAGGGCTACGAGCAGCCATGGGCATTCGCATGCCGGGCCTTGTGGGGGGAATCGCAGTATCTAGAACGGGTGTGTTCTGGTTGATTAGAGTGTGGGGCACGGGGGTGTATTTATAAGCAGTAGTATAAGTACTAGTATGAGATAAAAGGAAGCTGGAGGGGTCTGTATTGGGAGGACGGGGTTGACCTGAATGAAAAGCATGAATCACTACTACTAGTACTACTAGTAATACCTCCAGCCGTGGACCATACACACCCCCCCAGACCCCCATCTCCCCGTCACCATAAGCAAAATTCCTGGGACCAGAACCCCAACACTCTGTCTCAAACATAAGTCTCAAGCAGCGCACTTCTCCCAGTCATAACTCACGCCCTGCTGAACACCATAGTACTCCTTCCCCTTCCCCTCCCGCTCATACGCCTCCGACGCCACAACCCCCCTAGCCCCGCTCTTCGTAGCCTTCACCGTCAGCTCGGTGCGGTACTTGATAATCCCCTCCCCACACTCCGGCAGCGGGTACTGCACCAACCCCCCCTCTACAGAAACATCGGTATACGTCCCCGCAGCACGCGGACCAGCCACGGTGATCGTATCCACAATGGGCTCCTTCTTCAGCTTCTCGGTTTCCCCATCATCCCGGTCCGTAGTAGGGTGGTAGTACGTAAAAGTCCACTTCGCCTCGACCCCAGCATCCAACTCATACGCAGCAATCATGGCCGTGCCGTTCTTGTGCAGCCGCAGCCGGTACTCGGGCACCGCAGGCGGTGCGGCGCCCGTTTTGGTCAGCTCGGTGTACCGCAGGGTTGTCTCGCACCAGATCGAAGACGATGACGACGACGACGACGACGACGACGCCTCCACGGCGAGGCGCATGTGCGGGTAGGCAAAGTGCCAGTAGTAGATCTCGGAGCCGTCGACCGTGTTGGAGCCGAAGGTCGGCCGGGTGTGGTAGTAGTCCTCGGGCGAGTTGGGGCCGGCGTCCGGGCAGCCGGGCCCTTGGAGGGCGATGATCTCGTATTTCCAGTTGTAGGGGAGGATGCGTACCGGGTTCGAGGGGAGGGGAGGGGTGGGATTGGGACGGGCAAGTGCTGTGGTGCCCAGCAGGGCGGCAAATACCTTGATGCTGGACGGCATGGTGCTGTGGTGTTCGCGTTTCAAACTGGGAGAGTGAATAGATGTAAGTTGTGATAATGGGTGGTTATGGCTGTGGAGGTGGGAACAACGGCGGAACGAAGGAAAGGGGACCACTTTATACTAGCAGACGGTAAGGTTATGCTTCATCATCGGCTGCCGATCGGAGATGCCGTAGATGCTTAATCTACATGCCGTCCAGATCCTTCCCGTCGCAGACTTCACAGCAAGGTATGTATGCGTTGCTGGTACCCGTAGCCAGATCTTTGACAGAGATGTTTCCTGCAAGCCCCGGAGACCCATCGCCCGAACCTGTATGGATTTGTCATATTTGCTCATGGGAACGGCATCTACATCCCTCAAAACACCCAAAGGGATTCAGCCATTGGTCTACCTTAACCTATGGTGTTGTGTCAATAAATGTCCCGTCATATACGGCGTCTCTCCGCAGCGTTGCATCGGCTACTGCATTGGCGGCTTCGGGGCCGAGCTGGGTGTAGGTCCGAGAGCAATGACTTGTCCTATAGGGATGATCTCCGCCATCAAAGTTGACCGACGCGACGGGCGCCGGTTAAAATGAAAGTTCCTGCAGCAAAGATCCACGAGCAACATTCACAGAGTAGTAACCAAAAGAGGCCGGATCTGGGAAGATTGAACCGACCACCTGGTACTCACGGACTAAGTACAGATCATGTGGATGTCCGTAGCAAAACGGCGTAGGAAATGCCGTGCTGTCGTGGTCCCTGCTGTGTCAGTCTAATAGAGAACCTGAGTGATGGGTAGGCGTGCCGGTCTGCGCTAGAGAGGATGATTACAAAATACTAAGGTTTGGATTAGATCTTCGACATCCTCATCTGGATTGCTCGCTCAATCATTCAAGTAGCCTAATTTTGTCTCTAAGGCATTTTGGTGGTCTGGTGTGCTTCAACGTAGACTCTCTAAACTAAGACTGTCTGATCACATAGTACTTGCTGGGGCGGCTCCATGTTCATGCTGTATGCATATTGCATTTGTCTAGTAGTACCTCTATATCCCAACGCCAATCTAACCCGAATCCAAGCATGGCAAGGCGCATTGACGTGTAAGCCTGATCGGCGGGATGTGAAAAAGTTTCTCTATACTAGTTCCGTTCGAAGCTGAGGTGGATGCTGCATCTCTATCGTGCTAGGGTAGAACAGATCAGAGAGAGAATTTATTGGGTGAGTAATGTTCCGCAGGTGCTGGCGGATATCGTCTTTGACTTTTCAGAGTATAGACTCGGCTGAACTCAGCTGAACAGCCCCAACGCTGAGACAGCAACACACTCATGATTCGCCAAGAACCGACTGCTGTGGTGAAAAGACGGCAAAAACGTCGGGAGGGTGGTATTGCACTTGATAGCCCTCGAAGATCTTGCAGCACGGTCGGAGAAGACGCAAATTAGTCGTGGATATAAGCTTATTAATCCGTGCCATTCCCACGGGACCCATCCACCACCTTGGCTGGGACCCTATGCCTGGGCCAAGCAAGAGATGCGTGGCGACCAGTGGACTGTGGAACTGCTGCAGCTGTTGCGTCGAGAGCAGAATTAGAGTTGTGTGTATAAGGAGGTCGGTTGTTGGCCAGACAGCGTAGAGATAGATACCAGACGGAGACTCTACGTGACGTGGCAGGGGAGATGGGCAGATTAGGATTAGTCGCATAAATTTAGTGTTGTGACAACATGATTGCTTGGATGACGCCCTTGCCACCGCTCTACGGTCTTGCTCTTGCCATCCACCGTCTGTCGAAATCTTAGGTACTGTACCTAGGCCCATAGTTTGATTATTACCCGCTTCGACGTTCGCGCTAACGTATCTTATAAGCGAGTGACCCATATAAGCGAATGACCCACTTTCTACGCGACGCGACACCTCTACCCTCAACAACACATTTTCTCTACCATTGAGGATGCCCGCTACTTTGAAAGAGGATAGGTTAAACTTGGCTCTCCAAGTTCTTTAAAACGATAAAAATCTAAGCGAACGAGCCGCAGCCAAGATCTATGGGGTCGACCGTAGAACCCTAGCGCGTCAACGCGCCGGAAAGCCTGCACGATGCGACACCACGCCCAACTTGCGCCGGCTTACCGATTCCGAAGAGGAGGCGCTTGTTCGATATATAATTGAGCTCTCCGAGCGAGCTTTTCCGCTCAGGTTATATAGTGTAGAAGATATGGCCAACCAACTTCTATGCATACACAACGCGCCCCCTGTTGGCAAGCTCTGGGCATATAACTTCGTCCAACGTAAGGAAGGGATCCGAACGCGCTAGGCGTATAGATACAACTACCAGAGGGCCAAGTGCAAGGACCCAAAGGTCATTGGCGATTGGTTTGCCCTCGTATAGAATATCAAGGCCAAGTATGGCATTATAGATGACGATATCTACAACTTTGACAAGACTGGGTTTATAATGGGCATCATCTATGTAGGTATGGTTGTTACAACCTCTGACGGCAGGAGCAAGGCAAAGCTAGTTCAGCCTGGCAACCGCGAATGGGCGACAGTTATCCAGGGAGTCAATGCCCTCGGCTGGACCATCCCTCCATTCATCATCTTGGCCGCACAGTACCACCTCGCTAACTGGTACACCAAGTGTGACCTCCCGGCCAACTGGCGCATTGCAACCACCGATAATGGCTGGACTACTAATGCCATGGGCCTAGATTGGATCAAGCACTTCGACTACCATACGGCGTCCCGGGCAAAGGGCAAGTACCGGCTATTGATCCTCGATGGCCATAAGAGCCACTACTCCACCGAATTCGAGTTCTATTGCCAGCAGAATAACATTATTACGCTCTATATACCTCCGCATTCCTCGTACCTCCTCCAGCCACTTGATATCGGCTGCTTTAGGCCGCTGAAGAAGGCGTATAGTCGCCAGATTAAGCACTTGATACAGATGCATATCACCCACATAAGCAAGCTCGAGTTCCTCTATGCCTTCCGTGAGGCCTTCTTCGCCTCCATGACGGAGAAGAATACCCAGGGTGGCTTTGCAGGTGCTGGCCTTATGCCGTACAATCCAGAGAGGGTGCTATCCAAGCTGGATATAAGGCTTCATACACCAACACCCCTGAACTCGCGGGCCGGCATACTACAACCTTGGATCTTCCAGACACCATATAACCCTCGAGAAGCGACCTCGCAGTCAACACTCATCAAGACTCGCATTGCCAACCATCAAAATAGTTCCCCAACCTCGATGTTGGCTGCTGTAGACCAGCTTGCTAAGAGTACAACGGCGGTAATACACCATATGGCTCTCCTTCGTGCAGAGAACGCTTCGCTCCGCAAGGCCAACGAGGCACTAAGCAAGCGCCGGAGAGCAAAAAGAACACGCATGCAGCTTGGAGGATCGCTTGCAGTACATGATGCAAAGGATCAACTAGGCCAGAAGGCCGTGGTTAGGGAGGTGGCGCAAGAAAAGGAGCAGGATAGTGGTGGTGCAGGGGGGGGTCGTACGAAGGTTCGGTGCTGTGGTGTGTGCGGCAAGCCTGGCCATAATGCCCGCACTTGCCAGGAGGTTGTAGAAGCATCTGATTCAGCTGTTTCCGATGTAATTATAGTTGGTTCCTAGTATTATTGTGGTATAATCGAGGATAGTTGTTAAAGTTTGGCAGGGGGGTGGGTCATTCGCTTATATGGGTCACTCGCTTATAAGATACGTTAGCTGTCTTCTGACTGTTACTAACAACCTGCAATGAATGTTTCTCGTGGGACTTTATTGCAGAAACGTTCCCTTCCATGCGGCATGAATGGTATGTCGTATTGTATTGTACATATAAGCTGATCGTTAGCGACCACTTTACCTCAGGCCCACGTCTTCTTGTCAGTTATTTTTCCCTATCAGACCGAAGCCCTCGATGTTCATGTTATCGGGGCGTGCGGAGGCCTTCCACGGATAGGCTGCCATGTGATTGTCCGGACCCAATGGGGCGATAGGATTTCCAGATGAAAAATCATGAAATGCTCTCTTCTCAACCAAAGTGGAGCATCGTGGAAAAGAAGGTGGGCCCATGCGGTTCATGCCCGTTGAAACCGCCACTCGAGATAAGTTAGAGGAGGTACCTCCGTATGGATATCCCCGAGATAAGCCGGCACCACGGGAAGATAGGGAAAAACTAGCGGCATATTTACCGAGTCACTTGTTACAATCTCCATCATCTCATCCCAGACGCTACATACCTAAATCAACAAATGATCGACCGCCAAGATGATACCTCCAGACGACATCGAAAAGGGCCGTGACGCGGCCGCAGACGAACAAGTCGTCGCCGACGTGTCCGACTCATCACATGACAACAACAAAAACAAAAACAACAACATCAACTACAGCAATGGCAGCGGCGGCCTCCTCTCCAAACTGCGCGCCCTGGAGTCGGCGATGGACCGCAAACTCGGCGTAGAGAGCGCCGCCATCGACCGGAAGACGGCGTCGGACAAGACGCGCGCGCCATGGCACGAGCAGCTGACCATGGCGCTGCTGTGGGCCAGCGGGACGATGAACGTCAGCTGCTTCGCGACGGGCTTCCTGGGGTGGGAGTTCGGGCTCAGCCTGCGGCAGAGCATCCTGCTGTGCGTGTTCGGGTCGCTGCTCGGCGGCGCCGTGACGGGCTTCTGCGCGACCTTTGGCGCGCCGACGGGTCTGCGCCAGATCTCGGTCGGCCGCTTCAGCTTCGGCTGGTGGCCCAACAAGCTGGTCGCGCTGCTCAACACGGTGCAGCAGATCGGCTGGAGTTCTGTTGGGTGTATTACCGGGGGGCTGGCGCTCGAGGCCGTGGCGGACGGGCGCATCAGCATTGCCGTCGGCGTGGCTGTGATTGCGGTCGTGTCGCTCCTGGTCAGCTTCGTCGGGCTGCGCGCCATCCTGGTGTATGAGCGGTACGCGTGGTTTGTGTACCTCGTTATCTTCCTCATCATCTTCGGCATGACGGGCCCGTACGCCGACAACACCACCCCCGCCGCGGGATCGGCCGCCGACGTCTCGGGCAACGTGCTCAGCCTGCTCGCCATCGTGTACGGGTCGTCGGCCAGCTGGGCGACCATTGCGTCGGACTACTACGTGCACTACCCCGTCGACACGTCGCGCGCGAAGGTGTTCGTCATGACCACGCTGGGCGTGTCGGTGCCCACGGCGATCGGGATGGTGGCCGGCTGCGTGGTATCGTCGGCACTCAACCGCCGCGCCGACTGGAAGGCGGCCTACGAGGAGGGTATCGGCTACCTGATCCAGGACATGCTGCACCCGCACGGCTTCGCCAAGTTCTTGCTGGTCCTGCTCGTCCTGTCGGGCATCAACTGCAACATCCTCAACACGTACAGCGCCGCGCTCAGCTGCCAGCAGTTTGCGCGGCCGTTTGCGCGCGTGCCGCGCTTCCTGTGGACCGTCGCCTGCTTCGCCGTCATCCTGGTGCTGGCCATGGTCGGCCGCGACCACCTCAACGCCTACCTGCAGAACTTCCTGTCGCTGCTGGGCTACTGGTGCACCAGCTACGCCGTGGTCCTGTGGATCGAGCACTACCTCTTCCGCCGCGGCAGCTTTGCGCGCTACGACCTCGACGGCTGGAACGACCCGGCGCGGCTGCCGCACGGCGTCGGCGCGGCGGTTGCTTTTGGCCTGGGCGTTGTCGCCTGGGTCATGGGCATGGTCCAGACGTGGTATGTCGGGCCGCTGGGCAGGCTCATTGGCTCGTATGGGGGCGATGTCTCGAATGAGTTTACCTTGGTGGTGACGGTGCTGGCATATATCCCGGCAAGGTTTGCCGAGTTGAAGTATTTTGGGAGGTGACGTCCTTTTCTGAGATAGAGTATAATACCCTGTGTAGCTTGAAAACTAAAGCCGGCTAAATAATAAGCAAGAACATAAGGAACCCATGAGACACCGAGGTACCTAACTTAGGTAAATTCGACCACCATAGCAACGGTTTGTGGTTGGCATCATTTGAGCCCAGTAGCGGCTACACCTGTCCCTGCAGCTTCCTACGTAAGTATGGGGTCGGGTACCTTGCTGATGATCACCCACCCCGTGTTCCCTTTCTCCGGAGCCAAGTACGGATTAGACGCGGCATGAACAGCAAGACGGCTAAGAGACAGGACCCGAGAAAAGGACAGGCTTTGCATTGTAGTTGGAGCAGTTGGAAGGCAAACATCTTACCTAAGATGTCGTCTGAACTGCCCACTTGTATTGTTGACAATCTCGGTTGCTGTTGGGACTTTGTCGGCGATGAAGCCTCAACACCTGATTACTCAACATTTGTTGACTTATCATCAATACGAGTTGTTGCCCCTCCCCACATGTGTATTCAACGTGAAATATGATACCTCTGCATGACTTCGTGAAGGTTTGGGATGGTCTCCTAGTATAACTGGTTTAGGTAGTTCGTCCTTACATTCAGTTGCCACACTGGGCAAATACGCTTCGAGGCTCCATCGTCGAGCCTTCGTCTCATCTCATGGGCCAGTCACTAGACCATGTCAGCGTGACAACAAACTCGAAAGATTCCAAGCTACCAGTCGCTTGAGTGAGTCCAGGCACGCACCGTGTTGTCCTAAACGCGAAACGTCAACCCCAACGCGCTTCAGCAGTCGAATTTCTCCAAGTATTATTCGATGACCGCGACAGCCCAACCTCTCTTTTCGTTCCAGAATTCAGATACGGACAGGAATGAGATGAACAACCCGTAACTTGCGATGCATCGGACAGGTGACCCAAAGAAGGAATTCTTCCTACCTTACCTACTAGAGAAGTAAAAGAGAAAAAAAAAAAGAAAAAAAGAAAAAAAACCCGGGAAATGGCAGACCAGGCGCAGTGGCCCCTAGTCCCTTGGCAAAGAAGCTTATCCCCACAAGCCATAGCTCCTACCCAAGACGACCACGCCACGAGGCCGGCGGTCAACACCAACCAAACTGCCGGAAACGGCTCGGGATGGGGCATCCCATCCCATCCCATCCCATCCCATCCCATCCCATCTTCCCCGGCATCCCAAGCCACCGATAACTTTCGTTCTATTGAAAAAGCTTGACTCCCGAATTAGCACCCAAAGGACTGGGTATGCTGGCGTGTCACTGTACGATGTATCGCTCCACCCGCTCTTCCGCAGAGTCTTCGAGTCTCTAGGTGTCCATCACGCCAACTACTAGTATGTATTAATCATCACTGGTGCCAGAATAGCAAGATGCCGAAAAGTATCCGCGCCAAGATAGGTAGGTAGACCCTGGAAATGCGGCTGCCTTGAGAGGGCACTGAATGTTGTAATGTTTGCAGGGCCCCCTCGTGCTGGGAATGGATCGTGCGAACCCTGATGCGGGTCCATCCTCGATTCCTCGTCTTGTTGTCAACTGGAGCCGGACTTGGCATCCATGCGTCCTCGATCCCTCCTCGCCACCATCGCCAATCAAAGCTGCGGACCTGGGTCGCCGTCGGGAGGCTGAGCGGCATCACGCCCGCCTGCTAACCCCGGTTTCCCGCCTAGGGCTGGGCTTGGCAGACGCTTTAGTGGCTTGGAGCATCTTGTTTACTTCTTTTGAGATGCACGGCCCATCGTTGCGCCTGGTGGTAGACGGGGAGATTTCCCCCCATATCCCGTCACGATAACCGTGGATTTTTTTCTTTTTCTTTTTTTCCTTTTCTTTGCCTAACCATCAGCCGTCAAGATGGGCCAGTGGCACAGCCAGCCGACGTGCTTGACGCCGGCATGCATCCATGCGGCGTCCCATATCCTCCAGAACCTGGCGCCGAACTGGGCCGAGATGGACCCGTGCACCCAGTTCGACAAGAGTGAGTACTCAGACTAGACTATCGTGAATGCTACTAGTCAGTAATAAACAGTGCCAGGACTAACTCTTGTGTGTTAGTGGTCTGCTACGGGTACCCGGAGCACAAGCACGGCGAGAACGCAGACTTCTTCTCGGCGGTCGGCGAGCGCAACCTGAACATCCTGAAGCGGATCCTCGACAGCGCCAGCGACGCTGAGGCCGACAGCGTCGTGTCCACGCTGCTCACGACGCGCAGCAGCGGCAGCAGCTACGACGAGTACAACTTCGACCTGCTGAAGACGGGCTACCAGGCGTGCATGGACACCGACACCATCGCGGCGGCCGGGGTCAAGCCGCTGCAGGGGCTGGTCAGCCGCCTGAACGAGATCTGGCCGCTGCAGCTGCCGGGCGACCTCAACACCACCATCAGCAGCGCGGGCGACTACGACGGCTTGCACGGGGCCGTGGCCTTCCTCGAGCAGTTCGGCGTCAAGACGGTCACCAGCCAGTGCTTCGAGGACACGCTGGTGATGCCGGACCTGCTGGACTCCAAGGTCAGCCGCGTGTGCTTCAACGTGCCGGATCCCGTGCCGACGAACTACTCCATCTACGCCGACGCGGGCGCGCTGAAGCGCTACATCACCGGCGTGGCCCAGGCCCTGTACCTGGCCTACGAGGAGCTGGACGAGGCCGGCGCCACGGCGCTTGCCGCGGCCGTGGTCACTTTCGAGAGCGACCTGCTGCAGCTCGAGGTTCCGTACCTGCAGGCCGTGGAGGAGGACGGCGATTATTGGGTATGTGATGCTACTACTACTACCACTACTACTACTAGTATTCTGCTTGTAAGCTTGAAAATGTGACTGACTGGCTGACTGATTGTGCGCCCAGAACTTCATCAAGACCGTCTCCGTGGCCGACGTCGCAAAGGCCGCCCCCGCCGTGGGCCTGGACAAGCTGGTCGCCGCACTCACGCCGGCCGACAGCACGCCGACCGACATCCTTCTCGTGGTGCCGGATTTCTGGGCCGAGTTCTCGACCCTGCTCGAGAGCCACTCCAAGGCGGCCGTGCAGGGCTTTTTGGTGTGGAAGGCCATCAACGAGGTGGCGCCGTACATCATGGAGGAGCACCTCGCCGCGGCAGTCGGCTACGAGGACCCGCGCGAGCGGTGGCAGACGTGCGTGGCCGCGGCCGACACGATGCTGCGGCACATCCTGGACCACTACTTCGTGCAGGCGACCTACCCGAACCTGACCCTCCAAGCCGCCGACCGCATGACGACGGACCTGCGCGCCGCCTTCAAGAAGCGGCTGGGCGAGCTGGACTGGATGAGCGCCGAGTCCCGCGCGCGCGCCATCAAGAAGGTCGAGAACATGAACCAGAACATCGGCTACCCGACCGCCGACCCGGACCTGACGTCGCCGCAGTCGCTCGCCGCCTACTACGACGGCCTCAACTTCACCGCCACCTCCTACTTCGCCAACATGCTCGCCGCGCGGCGCCACACAACCCTCAAAGCCTACGCTGAGGTGGCCCGCCCGCCCAACCGCGTCTCCTTCTCGGGCTCCGTCACCACCGTCAACGCCTGGTACCACCCGCTCACTAACTCCATGATCATCCCCGCCGGCATCAGCCAGCTGCCCCTCTTCCACTACCACCTGCCCGACTACGCCCTCTACGGCGGCCTCGGCTCCGTCATCGGCCACGAAATCACCCACGGCTTTGACAACAACGGCCGCCTGTGGAACGAAAACGCCGAGCACAGAGCCTGGTGGGATAACTCCACCATCAGCTCCTTCCAGTCCCGCGCGCAATGCTTCGTCGATCAATACTCCCAATTCTCCGTCCCCATCCCCGCCTCCGACTCCGGCAGCGGGTCATCACAGTCACAATCAGTACAAAAGGGCCAAGTCTCGGGCGAGCTCACCCTCCCCGAAAACCTGGCTGACTCGGGCGGGCTGCGAGCCGCGTACGACGCGTGGGTGGCCGACCGCAAGAACATGCCCGAGGCGTGGGACCAGGACCTACCGGGCTTAGACGAGTTCACGCACGAGCAGCTTTTCTTTATTTTCTGGGGCAACCTGTGGTGCGACTACTCGACGCCCGAGCGGAACGAGCTGGTGCTGCAGGACGTGCATGCGCCGCATAGTGCCCGGATCCTGGGTATGGCGGCCAATTCGAGGGCGTTTAGGGAGGCGTGGAACTGTCCTGTGAAGGAGCCCGTTTGTGAGCTGTTTTAGATTTTTTTTTTTCTTTCTTTTTATATACTGCAGTACCTAGATATGAAAAAGGTAATAGGGGTGGGGGTTGGGTTGGGTTTGAAGCATGGCGTTTGGGCGGTTTGTACTAGATCTGGAGCATGGATTATGCATTTGGATGGTACTATATATCCATCTGTAGATGAAGACGACATGGTAATTAGACGATACCGTTGACAAGATTCCAACAACAGTCTCGCATCGATCACAATGAGATATCGGCTATAGTGAAAGCAAAATATTGGACTACTACTACTTTAAACCTTTGAGTCAAGATGAAAGGTAGTCCATCATGCCAGTGCTCCTTACTAATAATCAATGTCCTCGACCATTTGGTGCCATAAATCCTGCCCCGGCTCTTGGTCTTCTACAGATACCGCAAATAGACCCACCAAAGTCGGTGGCATAGACCGAAGGATCAGGGATGTGAGACGTTCATACCCGTCGGTGTCTCAGCAAAGGTGCTTCAGCAAGACAGAGATTCTTGACAACCTGTACTTGACGATATCATAGTCTGTCTGCACCGAAAACGTCTCACAAGTCCGCCTCCCTACCTTCTCCTCACACATGGACCGGCATGCTTGACAGCAGCGACCCCATTCCACACCCCGATTGAGCACGGTCAGCAATGCGAGACGCGGCTTGCTGTATGTATGGCACCACCCGTCCCTCACTCCGCAGTTTTGCCACGCGCTCTGCCGAGAGCGCAAGCTCAATGCCGGTGGCAGGTCCGCAGTCCATTCCCTTTTGGGTCGTCCTTGAGTCCGTAGCACCGCCTCAGGCACCACATGGCCATGACGAACTGAGCCTTGCCCTGCAGCGTGTGCTCATCACGGGAGCTTGCGTGGTGCACCAGTCCTTCACCACCAGCCGATTGTGGTCCCTCACGACAAGCTTATCTCCAATATTCGAGAGAACCCGACTCAGCTCGCCTCGATGCGCCGGCAGTAGTCCCGCCCGTGACGCACCTGCCATCCGCACAGCCACACTTCCATGGCCATGCCCAGAAACCCGGCGATGCAGATGCCGCCGCTGTCGCTGACCGACGTCGCCCCGAGGCTGAACTCGCGGTCCTCCGCCGGCACCTTCTCCATGATCTCGGCAAACGTGTTGACATAGACCGCCCCGCCCAGCAAACCCTCCCAGAAGACGACGACAAACACCAGATAGACGGACGGGATGAAGTTCAGCAGCGCGTGCAGCGTCAGCAGCATGAGGTTGGCCACCTGCAGCAGCGACGGGAAGTACAGGTGGTGGATACGCACGAAGGGAGTCGACGAGCGCGAGATGAACACGCCCAGCTGGTAGAGGAAACCGTAGAACGGGTAGAACGCCCGGAACTCGGAGAAGGGCGACTGCTCGAGCGGGAACAGCAGCGTCGGCGCCACGCCCTGGTTGATGGTGTACTCGGCCACGTACACAAGCAGCAGCGGCAGCATGTAAGGGAAGAATAGCGCCCTCGCCCGGCGCAGATTCGCCGCGAACGAGCCCTTCCCTCCCCCACTGCCATACGCCGAGGCAGCCACCGACGGCCCCGGCGCAAGCAGGCTCGCCGACGCCGCCCCGGCCGGCACATCCTCAAACCCGTCCTCCTCCTCCTCGTCCCGCTCCCGCCTCTCCCTCCCCACCGCTGCCACAGACCCATTGACATTATCCCCCTCCCGCAAGGGCTCATACTCCCCGCGCCATCCCTCCAACCTCCGCCTCGGCAACACCCCAAAGAACGCAACCAGCATGATACCCGGCAGCACCGCACCCACCAGCAAACTCTCCTTCACCCCCAACCCAATCCACCCGGTCAGAACCACATACAGCCCAGCACCAATCAAGCCCGCGCCGCCCGTGCCACTGCCCCACGCGGCCAGGCTGAGGTGGCCATAGTAGTGCGTCAGGCCCAAGAAGCTCAGCTCGCCGCCGCCGGACGAGAGACTGGCGAGCACGACGCCGAGCATTTTGGCGCTGACCGACCCCGTAGTAGCGGGTGTGAACGCCACCAGTAGCATCCCCGCGCTCGAGAGGGTCACAAAGACACATATCCGTAAAGAGTAAGGCACGCGGTGGATGAAGTAGGGCGCGACGAGCTTGGTGAGGAAGGAGGGCATCACGTCGGCGAGGAGGACGACGCCTTTTGGGACGGAGGTGCCGACTAGGTCTTGTGCGGCGGAGAGGAGGATCACGTAGAGGACGTTGTTTATTAGGCCTGGGAGGTTTGGAGTTGTTAGTTTCCGTGGAGGGAGATAAAACGAGGGGAGAGAGGAAGGGAGGGGACGAACCGAATAGCCAGAAAGCGACCAGCACTGAGACCTCGGTGTTGCGGAACACAGCGGCTATGCGGGCGCGGTAGAGCGCCCAGGAGGAGGAGGGCGCGCCGGGGAGCGGGAGCAGCCCCGACGCCGAGGGCGAGCGGTTCATGTTGCAACTAGACGGATGAATGGAATTGAGGTTAGTGTATGGTGGGCCGCATTGAATGGATTCTATCTCAGGAAAAGAGTCGCCATCGGACTTTGCGTTGCGCCGCGGCAGGTTGTTGCCGCTACTTCTGGGTTGCGCGTGGTTGCGGTGAGGGAGCTGAAAGTTGGATGCACGCGACTGCCCGAGGCGCATCAGCTGCCACAACTTTGAACTGTGTGGGGTCAAGTCGAGTCTCACCCTAACCCTGGCTGTGATGGTCCTAACTCAGCATGCATCGCCAGAGATGAGACATATCGTGAGCACTGCAAGTTTACAAAAGAAGCATGGTAGTTCCAGGTATCAGCTAGCATAAAATACATAAGGTACTGCCGAAGAACAACAACAGGGCCCAACCACCGCCGACACTCGTGGCAAACACGCATAACAGGGAATACACGGTGCTACGGGCACGCTCATCGCCTTCTCGCGCGAAACAAAATAAGCAGCATAGAACGCAAACAGATATTACAACTCTATACCTAAACATACGCAAAGAGAATCCTCGCAGCGCTATGCTTTATACCGTATATGCCATGACAAACAACAGACACGACTCTCGACACACCAGTCAATCCTTTCCTCGTTCCCAGGCACTCATCAACACCTTCGTCAACCCAAGCTTATCACAGTAGGCCGGCAGATAAGAGTGCCTCTGCGGTATGTCTGTATGAGGGGAGGTGAGGTGTTCAAGGCATGACCCCACGCCTCCAGCGCTCAACCATATCCATATGCCCTGCCTGCCCAGCACCTCCACCGAGAGTAGCATTCCCCTGCTGTAACGGCAGCGCACTGACACTCATGCTCGCCGCCAGCCCACCGCTCGAGTACACACCAGGCACAGCGAGCAGATTCGGCGTCGACCCGCCATACGCCCCCGCTGCTCCCACCAGCCCTCCTCCTCCTCCTCCTAGGAGGGTACTCCCCCTCTGCTGCCCTCCAGACATTGGATACCCCAACCCGGACTGCAGTCCCGTGCCACCAAGCCCATCATTGAACCGTCCCCCCATGTAACCCCCGGTGGGCGCGCCGACACTCGTCCGGGAGAGGGTAGTCGGCATCTGGGCCCTCAGCAGGGCCATCTTGGCCTCCGTCTCGCGCCGGTGCCTCGCCGCTTCGGCTTCGCGGCGCAGGCGCTCCTGCTCGCGCGGGTCCATCATACTTGTCATGGTCATGGGGCGAGTAGCAGCCCCCAAAACGTCGGCCATCGGCATAGGGCCAGTACCAGTACTGGGACGTAGGGAGGTACGATTTGGGGCAATATTTTTAAGGCTGGCGTTGGGAGTGAGGCCAAGCGGCGTAGCGGCGCGGTTGAGCGTACTGAACGCCATTTCGCGTTCGCGGGCCTCGCGCTCGCGCTGGAGGCGGGCCCGGCGCTGGCCGAGCGTTTCCTCTTCCTCCGGCACGACGGGACCGGGCGGGGTATTTTCCTTGCCCAGAGCGCTGATCGTCGAGACGTTGCGGCTGTGAGCCGGGGTTTTGCCTTTGCTCTTGGCGTCTTCGTCCACGCCTAGTACGCTGAGCAGCTCGGACGAGAAGGCGGCGCTGACGGGGCGGGCGCGCGGGAGCGGGTTCTCGGCTGCCAGACGCGCCTTGCGCGCGGCGAGCGTCTCGCCCTCGTGTTCGGGCTCGCTCTCTTCTGTGTTCGGAATGTTGTTGTTGTTGTCGCCTGCGATGGAACCGGGGCGGGAACGCCCGCCGGGAGGGACGGGGAGTGTGAGACGGTTGGTGGTCGGCATGTGGCTCAGGCGTTTTTGAAGTGCGGTCAACGGGGTCGGCAGTGTCTGCGTCACCTTGCCCTGCAGCCTGTCGCGACGGCGACTCAGCGGCTCGTTCTCCTCCATCTCGCGGCGCTCCATCAGGCCCAGCGGGCGGTGCACCTCGCTCATAATCGCGCTGATGTCCATGGTCGACGGGTTCGCGGCCCCGGCGGCCTTGGCAGCGTAGAGCACGCCGAGCGGAACTTCCTCGTCGTCGTCACTTTCCGGATGCGCAGCAGCCGCCGGATCCTCCCAGGCGAGCGTAACGCGCTTGCCGAGCCGGGCCTTGCGCTCGACTTCAGCGACCGCTTCGAGCTCGAGCAGCGTGCTGCGCATACCCTCGGGATACGCCTGCTGGGGCGGCCGAGTGCGCATCTTGTTCTGCTGCTTGCGCAGCTGCAACTCAGCGAGCAAGGTAGTCGGCGGGCCTTGGTAGACCGGCTCCTCCTCTTCACTCTCCTCCTCCGTTTCTTCGTCGGCTTCTGGCGCCTCCCGATCGGGCGATACGCTCCTGCGGGATCGAGCGTCGTCACCCGCAGCGCTATGCCGGGCGCTCCTAGCGTCGTCGTCGTCGGAATCGTTCTTGTCAGCATGTTTCGAACCGAACAGCGAGAAACGACTGGCGCGCTTCTTCTCCGTGTTCGGATCGAGCAGGTTCGCGGCCGAATTCCTCTTGACAAGTGTCTTCCGCTTGGGCTTCTCCTCGGCATTGTCACCGAGCAGGTTGCCGCTAGAATTTCTCTTCACAAGGGTCTTGCGCTTGGCGGCCTTCTCTTCGGGCGCAACCTCAGGCGCAGTCGCTGACTTCTTGATCTTCTTCTTCTTACCGTAGACTTCGGCGCCCAACTTGCCCGCAAAAACGTGATCGGTGAATGCACTGACAGGGGCCTTGGTCGACGCGTCGAGGAGGCTGTCAAGTGTGTCCATGGCGGAGCCGTCCTTGACTTCGATCTTGTGCGCCTCCGGAGGCAAATCAAAGAAGGCGCTTGCCCGCAGCTGCGGCGGCATGCCATCGGCATTTATCGAGTGAGACTTGCGGTCCCCAGCCTCCGCCAGCCGCTGGGGCCCACGGGTTTCCCGCTGTGTTTCTGGAGGAGGTTGGATGGTGCGGACGGTTGCCTCGGACGTGTGCCTGGCATGCGACGGCTGGATCGGCGCTCCACCCTCCATTCCAGTTCCAGACGGCTGCGGAGCGGTGTGCAAGCTGGATCCATTTTCACTACCGAGAAATTCAGGCATAAAGGGAGCGTCGTCATGGCTCCGACGCAAACCCTCGGTAGGGTCCGGCAGCCAAACATTGGACTCGCGGGACACCCTTGGCCGCGCGCCGGCGACCAGTGAGCGACGTGGGTCCTGGGCTACAGCTTTAGGTTTCTTCGACAGCTTGGGAGGAAGGTTGAGCATCGCCGGTACAGGGGCTGGGTAGTACAGCATGTGCTGGCCTGTGGCTGGGTCGATGTAGGATGTGGCTCGCGGGGCTTGCGCCGCGTGAGGCCGTGCTGGTGAGCCATGGTCTTGGGGCTCCGGTTGAGGGCCGAAGCGGTCAGCCTCTGGATCGCAGTGCACGCCGTCAAAGTCACCGAAGGCTGCCTGTGCCTGCTCAAATGTTGTGCCAGAACCTGATGTCGTCGGCCTCTCTTCGTCGCGACGGTTTGGCTGGTAGGGCGTAACCTGGTAGGGCTGATACCCGTAGTCGACCGGCTGGTGCAGCTGCAGCCGCGGGGCCGGTTCGGCATGCGATTCAGTGGCCACGGGCTGCGTGGGCCCGACATCGTTGGCGAATTCCGCCTCAATAAACTGATAGGCACTAGCTCGAATATCATCTTCTTCGACCAGACGCTTCCCAGCTGCCGCAGCGCGGTCTGCCTCGTCGAGCACCTCCTTTGTGAGGGAGCTCGGAGGCTCAAGCTCGGCAATCTGCACAAGCGACAGCTTACTGGCGACACTCCTGGTCGATGCCTTTCCCGGCCCGTGCCGCGGGAGGAATCTGAATTCCTGAGCGTGGTCAGCATCCCCTGTGGGTCCGGCTATGTCTGCATTCTCGGGAATGTGCGACGGCATGCCGATGGAGCTCGCCTTGCTGCCCGAGCGGAGACGACCCGATGCGGCGGACGTGGAACGATTGGGACTCATCACAAAACCTCCGGGCGAGTAACCGCCAGTCCTCGCCGCGCTATTGGTTCCCAAAATGGAGTTCTGTCTGTCCACGGACAGCTGCGACTGGTTGGATGTCGATGCTGCTCTGGCACGGCTTTGCAAAACAGACGACCGCCGGCTCTCGCTACGCTTGAGTTCGTTGTGCTCCTCGCGGATGGCGTCCTCGATGCTACTTGTCATGGATAGCCTCTCGGCCGTGGCCTCAAGCGCCGCGATGTTGCCGAGAAACCCTCCGGTGAGGGACAGTCTGTTGGGGTCGGGGCGTGGATGACTGATCGTCAGGCTTGCTGTCGACGCGGTCCGCGGTCGGCTCGGATTAGAGGTCGCACGGCTCCGTTCCTGTGGTTGGCTCGCCGAGGGGACCGGTCGGATCAAGGTGGTGTCGGCGGCGACGGTCGTGGGAGCACAATCGGGAGCGGATGAGGCGGGGTGAAGCAGTTCAGGAGCATCGTTTGCTTGGGAAGCAATCGAAGTTGGCGCTGGCGGGTCAGGATTCTGCGTTGGAGCGGTCGTCTGCGGCACAGTGGTATTTTCCGTGCGGGCTGCAACGGCTGTCTCGTGCTCTGCAGCGCCAAGACCGGGCTCCGTCGTCGACTGCACGTTTTCAACCGGCGCTTTGCCGACCGGAGATGGCGACGGCGAGCGCGACAGCGTTGGCGCAGGCGACACGAGACCTGCCGGGCGCTGCGAACCCTGGCTCGCCTGGCTTTTTGTCCGGAGCAGCTCGTATCCCAGGTTAGCCGTGGCATTTTTGGCCTGCAGCGCCTCGAACGACTCGACCCTGGCGCTCACGAGCGTGGCGCCACGGCCCGCCGCGGATGCAACTGGAGCCGTGGTGCTCGTGCTGCTGCTGCGGCTGAGGTTCCCGTCGCGTCTCAGCTGTTCTATACTTTTCGCCCTGCTCAACAACTTCTGCGCTTCTTGCACACCCGGCGATTTGCTTTTCCCCGCTGCATTATTGTTATGGACATTCGACAAATCGAAATCGCCGGTGTCTAAGGACAGCGGAGTGAATGTCTGCTCGGCCAGCGTCACGAACGGAAGGGGTGAGGTCGATGAAGACGCGGGCGATGCCATGGTGCTCGACGTAATCTCGGAGTTTGGCGACAGTGGCGATACAGAATCTGGGAGAAAGGGGGTGGTGGCCTCCGCGTGGGAACCGTCGTCGGCCTGCTCGGCGGCGCTATATTTCAACGCCATGACAGCTGTGTGAGCGGCGTGCGATGCGGAAACGACATCGAGCGGTTTTCCGACATGGACAGACCGCTCCCCTTTCTATCTACCGTAGTAAGGCGTTGTGCCACTCCCTAAATCGTGGCAGGTCCAGTTGTCGACCGCCGACTTCGAAGACCCGCTTGATCAACCGTCACTTTCCCAGGTTCGAAATGCGTGTGGGTACCGGCTAACGTTATCGATGGGCGAAAATCAAGTCTAGGCCGGGGCTAGCCCCGGTTGGCTGTTGCTTGGCGGGCTGTTGGACGCGGGACGTAATCTGCAACTGAGCAACAGCACTGCAGATATCAAAGCCGAGAAGATAAAGATAAAGGCCTGCTTCTGTCTCATGGCCGAGCCCCGACTTGAGCCTGTCTATCGCATCTCACTTGGTCTTTACTATAGTTTCTTGTTTGGTAGCCATACCCTGGCTCATGACGTGTGACACTGCAGGAACTCAACGGGAGGTGGGGCCATGCAACGATTGCACCCATTTCATTTCCACTTCAGTGTTGGGTGCACCTTCCCAAGTCTGACCTGCTGAGGACGGACACCGCCAAAGCGTGGGGGCGAGCTCAGTTTCAACTGCAGTGAGCGAAAAGCATGACGGCGGTCTAAGAATCCATATCCGTACACCCGTCACTATCCTCATTCTTCAGCCTTTGATATTGTGGTCTCAGCTTGAACTGGCGTATGCAGCTCCCAATTTCAGCCTCCTATGCCAGGGTCTGGCGGCCCAAGGGCGCGCCTTGCAGGCCCCGTTTCCAGATATTCGATCCAGCGTAGCAATCGGCCATCGAACTGGGAACGACTGGGTTTGTACCCTTCAGGCCAAAAGCCCGATTTCTCAAGAGTCAAGTCGTGCACGAGCATTCGGTCGCCGATTGGTGGTAACCATTCGTGCGCCGCAAACTGGTGGATCGATCATGTCCTCGTCATACCGCCGTAAGCCTCTGATCGGCTCGTCAGCGAGAGGAGGTCGTACCTGCGGGTAATCTGCAACCCCCAACTCATTTGCTGGGCAGCTGTGCGATAGAAGGACAGTTACATAGTACTGTAGCTGAGAAACCAAGGTGAGAAACTGAGTCAGGTCTTGCGTCCATGCTCGGATCCTCTTCAACCCAAGTAACGGTCGACCCAGCTGTCTTGTGCGGCTGTTTCAGCCGGCGAGGATCTCCCTTGATGATCGCGAGATTGCCTGCCATTCGGCAATCAGCCCCCTTATAGGGCTGTACTATGAGTTAACATACTCTACCTAAAAAAAGTCCCTACCTACTTAGGTAACTAACTAGGCATAGGGTCTAGTAAGGTCACGTCACCTTCTAGAACCCCGTCAGCTTCCCTTCGTAGATTCTTGCCTTAGCACGCACGTTTTCGGCCAAGGCTTGGTCTGCTTCGTTGGATGAACTTGCAGAACACAGCGTTGCACTCATGCGGGCTGACCGGCTAGTACATTCTCCGTAAGCTGACCGCGATCTCGTCGGAAATAAACCCCGCATGTATGATGGCAAGTCGCTTCCAAGTTCTCAACTGGCGCTTGTAAGCTGCACTAATCCAACTCTCTCACCTGCTAATTGCCGCTTCTTCAGGTGCTCGGCTCAATTATTTGAACACTGCTTCTCTTCTTGGTCTGCCGTGGCACCGGGGAACAGCCCGTACGACAAGACGAAAGGCGGGGGGGATCGGGAATGGGAAGAGGCCGAGATCATCTCGGCGAGATGAGAGATGGATACATCTTCAGATGAGAGGGGCAGCGTTCGGGTACCTGCATTTCCGCCTACCACGTCTACGGCATCTGCCACTGCATGGCATATTATCGTCGTGACGGCCGAAGCTAACACCTGAGGTCCTCTACAAAGGCTCGAGCGTATAGACATAAGTGAATTAGGGATGCCTTGGTCCTGTATCTTTTGGAGTCGGATTTGGTCCAATGGAGCAGGCCGAGACGAGTCAGAGTCGAATACCCGCACGAATAACAAGTACCTCTACTGGTGTTGCATACTTCGTACAGGTAGTTTTGTCAGGACAAACTAAAACGAATCAGTTTCCATTGTTGCATGCCTGCCCTGTTCCACCCATCCAGCGACGAGAGACGGGCCACGGCATTAGTCGTAGGAACAGTCGACAGTAGGCGCTATGTAACCCTATGCGAAACTTGTAGGGTGTTGCGAGTAATTCGACGTTGAACGTTGTCATAAATTAGACTGCCCTTAATGTAACACATCTATATCATCGGACCGGCCACGCTTCGTTCGTGCAACACATAGAACGATCCGTTTGCTGTCAGATTACCATCAGTTTCCACGTCTCACTCCAACTACCCACGCCGTCTACTACAGAGCCGCCGTCTCTATGTCCTCGAGGTGTTCGAGCTCGGCTGGTAGCAGTGTGCCGAGGTGCGTGCGAGCCTCCGGTCTAGGAAACTGCAGGATCGGGTGGTTGGCCGGATCATCGTGAGCTCGATGGAGCGGATCAACAAGATGGGCCTTATCTGGTACTGTACATGATGACAGGATACCTGTAACAGGTGCTGTTCACTTACAGTCCACTACCTACCGGCCAGAGGTTGTCATGCTTCTCGGTTGGGGAGCCCGTCGCCTGTCAGGTGATGTATTGTAACGCTTACCTTCCAGGTCTTCGTCATTTCTATAGGTAGAAAAGTGACACTCCCATACTGCCGGGCAGTGAGCGCACAATCTCGTCGCCGCGTATAACCACGATGACTCGAAGATCGAGTTTCTGGTCATCAACATCAGTAATCAGTCTTACATTCCACCCCGGGCCAGCCTCAGCATGAATCCCGACTCCAATACTTTGTGAATGAGTGAGGGCTCTTATACATGTAGGTGATTCGTCAACTTCACCAAGACAAGGACAAAGCATGATCGGAAAGCCTCTGGAGTCGGCGATATGGTAACCTCAGTCCCCACTCTATCTAGAAGCCTACACAGCAGGGATTCACTTCCGTTCACGAGCTCGCCAAAGGAATGTGGGTGAAGTGCTGTGTTGATAGTTAGATGCTCAAGTGGCAGAGCCGGGCATGTTCTCGCCATTGAGCAAGCTCACTGTAGTGACTGCACCAGGTCCAGTACTGGGAGACTTGATGAAGAAAGTGGTTTGGACTCTTTGACGTCAGCAGCTCTGAGGGGTAAACCGTAGAACCCTCCGACTCCTCTGGGGTACCCAATCTGAACGTCTCCATCAACACATGCCAATCATCGATCAAGTTCATTTCAGTCATTGTACTCTTGTTGGGTGCAAGTGACATGACACCGCATTCGCATTCGCATTTCGCATTTCGCACTCGCTAATAAACATTGAGATGAGGTCTCCGGGCTCTGGCACTCCGACTAGGTACTGGTCCGATCAGGTATGCGCAGCAATTAATCTGATGAGCTCTCTCGATCAGTAATCGTTCCCAACGCCGATCGCTGATAAATCACTTTAGACTCAACTCCAGAGCCTGGGCTTAGAAATCTAAGCCTTGTAGTGCTCTTGCAACGTCTATATTACAGAGAACAATCAAAACGAACTAAACCCATGTTTCCACAAGCTGCCTCTCAAGTCAACCGACATCATAACTCGCCAGCCAAAAGAAAAAGAAAAGCCATAACCTTCAAGACGACGTCCTACAATGGCAGATCTCAAAGAGATACTTGTGATCGGCGGCACGGGCGCTCAAGGCATGCCCGTTGTCAAAGGTATGGCTTAGCGGGAGCTAACAAAAACTCTTGCTCAGAGACTTCTGCTGACTCTCAAGAACCTCAGCCCTGTCCCAGAGCGGACAGTACCGTGTCCGGGTCCTGACCCGCAACGCCGAGTCCACCCGGGCCAAGCAGCTCGCCGCGCTCCCAAACGTGAGCCTGATCCAAGGCACCCAGGACAGCCAGCAGGATCTGCACAGGGCGTTCCGCGGTGTGTACGGCGCCTGGGTCAACACGGACGGCTTCACGCTGGGAGAGAAGAACGAACTCTTCTACGGCTTCCGCGCGTACGAGATTGCTCGAGCTGAAGGGGTGCAGCACTATGTCTGGGCAAACATCGAGTATGCGTTGGAGATTGCGGGGTTTGACGAGAGTTACCACTGCGGCCATATGGATGCCAAGGGCAGGATCGGGAAGTTCATTCTTGCGCAGGGGCAGGATCAGATGATGAAGAGCTCTCTCCTGAGCACCGGTCCGTACATGGAGATGCTTCTGGACGGAATGTTCGTACCGGCCGAGCAGGAAGACGGGTCGTTTGTGTGGGCGAACCCAGCTACTAGTGAGTGAGCTTTATGATTTTATCTTCCCCACTTCCTTTCGTTATTGTCTGCTCCCATAAGTATTGCTGTGCTAATTCCCGAGCAAAAAGAGGACGCAAAACTGCCTCTGATCGCGCTCGACGACGTGGGCGTCTACAGCCTCTGGCTCTTCGACAACCCCGGCGAGTCGGCGGGTCTAGACCTCTCCGTCGTGACAGACTGGGTCAGCTTCGGCGACATCGCAAAGACCTTCACCGAAGTCACGGGTAAACGGGGCGTGCACAAGTCTATCCCCTGGGAAGCCTACGCGGCCGCTGCGGAGCCGTACCCGGGCGCCTATGTCAACTGGTCCCTCGGCCCCGATGCGGGCCGAGACGAGTCGGTCATGAAGTGGACGGACAACTTCGGGGCCTGGTGGAAGTACTGGGCCGGTGGGCTCAGCCCGCCGCGGGACCTGGCCCTCCTGGATCGCATCCATCCTCGGCGGATCAGGAGCTTGGCTGAGTGGATGAAGCGCGTCGGCTATGATGGGAAGCCGGGGAGTGTCTTGAAGATGGTCGAAGACTGGCGCAAGCAAGGAGGGAGCATCGGCAGAGAAGTGATGGGATGAGGCAGCATGATGGATGACAGCTTGTAGTGGCAAGGACCGCTTAGTTGTAGGCATCGCAGCTTTCCTTTGCACAGGGTAGGAGCTAGATTTCCTTGCGAGTGTTACTCAAGCCGTTTGTTCTTGTCGAAGGGCTTTTTCACCGGTGGTTGTATCCAAGCTAGCGTGCTTTGCTTCGTAAGTACTAGTACCTTCTTACCTTGTCAATGTCCCGTAAATAAGTGTACAAAGTACACTGTAGTATCTACTCGGGACTTGAGATGGGCTTAAATCTTCAACTTGTTCAAGGCGTAAGTTGGGGTTGGAACCACACGAAGGGGGTCGGAGAGTTCTGTTGCTATACCCATCCGCATGACTGGCTTTGCCCCTGCTGCGGAAGAACATAGGATGCCGGTGTTTGTGAGCACTTGAGAGATGGGACAGCGGTCTGGTTCTAGTTCGCCTCGAAGTGAGCCGTAGCCGTCACCGCCGTCCTCCTAGCAGAGCAGGGGTCGGAAGCGGAGACGTGGCTCGCATGTTCTAGATCCTTTTGGGTCCCGTGGTCCAGTTCATCCGGCAGGGAGGGTATCGACAAGCCGCAGGAACAGTGTATGAACTGCCAAGAGATCGAGACTTGTGAACTTTCAAACGGTGGGTTTCCCCTGTGCCGCGGTTGGGATAGGACCCTTCCCCACCAGCGGGAAGGGCCAAGAATCCGGGGTAAAGTCATCGGCAGGTGGTTGGTGATTGCGCCTCGGCCCGGTATCAACCGTAATCCGTTCACTGACTCTACCAAGTGTAAGGAAACGGTGGTGTAAGATTAGACATACCAAATGTCCCGTTCCAGAAATTGCTCAGATGACCGATTTCCGTATCTGGGGCAGCTGCAAGCGATGATGGGCAAAGGGGATTGATGATTCATCCAGTAACTAGATAATACCGCTCCCTACATAGCTGCTGGGCGGGCGGGAGCTTCTCCAACCCGCGCCCATCATTGATCGCATTCGGGCCCATTGCCGATGGTGGGTGTTGGAATGCGAGGGAGATAAGCGGTCAGCGGGCGGGAGGGGTTGTTCAAGTGTCGGACGCCGGGCGGGCGCGGAAACCTGTCCTGATATGCTGGCCTCGGTCCAATGAGGAAGACGGGCAATGCTACCACTGCGTATCACGAGGGAACCTGCCGCTGCGTGTGGCTTACAGATCGTTGCCCGATCTCACAGTTGGCGGCCAACAGGCAACGTTAGCGGTTGGCAGTGGAACACCGTAAACTCGTGTGGAAGCCGGCCGGTGGTACATGTACACTGGAGTTTGGATATGGAAAGCTGGCGACATGACCTCGGAGCAAAGCCTGTCTTCTGCTACACCATGGACGTTTTTTTTCCTGGCCACGTCAAGAGCTTCCTGCCGATAGTCAATGGTGTCATCTAGGGGGGAACGTACCTTAGCGGTGAACACGGCATGTGTGGGGTTACAATGACCCCGGCATCAGCTTCCGGAACCCCGCGCCGGTCGGGGTGCGGCGACGCTCCCATCCAATCCCTCGGAAGCGTGACATGTGTCTGCACTGTGTACTTCGTACGAATGCTGAGGCCAGGGAGCGCCACGAGGCTTAAAAATGAACGTAGAAGATGTAGCATTGCGGAGGGGAGAGTTGCGTGATTTTGAGAGCTGAGGCTGAACATGAGAAAAGTGGCCTGCCATGTTAGCGACTGATGTTTAAGCAATATTGGACCGGCGCCGGGCCTAATAATTCCCTGAACCGAAGGTTAGTGGATTGAGGCCTAACCAAGGTGGCTTGTTACGCCGAGAACGCTGCCATGTTGCAATGGCGTGTTCGTGCCCGTGTTGACATGACGAATCCCATTGAGTCGGGATGGCCAAGTATCGCATACCTTACCTGGTGCTGAGAAATTCGCTTAAACGGCCGTCCCTGTTTTCGGGCAAAGCAATGTGATTTACGAACTGAATATCCGTACATACTACACATGCTAAGGTACTCACTCATAAGTGAGCCCCTGATTGCGTCCCCACCAGACCCGGATTCCGGGACCCTGAGATTGTTGTTTCGATTTCGTAAAGACACAACGCTTTTGCACAAAGCCAGGCAAATGTCACTTGATTGGGAGATGTTCAAGATGACAGAAAGAACCGACCCGGGGTGGTTCGTGGGCCCGGCACACACTTTTAATAAAGTGAAGACCCCTAATAGGGTTGAGGTTAAGTGCACTACTGGCCAACGTCTTTGCTCTTGCCAAAACTTTGAGAAACAAAGACCCCTAAAGCAGATGACAAGCCATCAAACTTTCTAGCATACACAACCTTGACAACCCCGCAGTTGAGCAGACTGATCTTCATAGGCCTGTGATCTGGAGGTGTTACGGAGTATGTACTACTAATATCGGGGTCGGGCAACAAAACGTTGTAACACAGTGTGCACGATGATGTCAGGGCGGCAGCAGCACGCCTTGACCGGTGGCCTTGCCGTGAGTTGACAGGTCGTGTTGAAAATGGCGGGTCCGCACTAGCCAAATACGGCAGTCGAGACAGCGACACAGACACTCGGGGTGGAATGTTGCGAATGCGAGCGGAGGTCAGAGCAAAGAGAGCACCAAGCCGAAATGCCCCGGGTACGGATACTGTACAATACATACAATGTACATACTTGTACTTGTACAATCCATAAGCACCTGAGCATGAATGGGCAAGGCAACCCGGGATGAGTCAATGCTATGATGCTGTTGAGGCCCAGCTCGGATTCCGATAGAATTGCTCAGATACATACGAAGAGTCTTGGGCTTTATTACGTGCCTTTGTTTGTCCTTTGCCGGTGCCTTCCCTCGACACGAGACAAATAGATCACGCGGGACTCCAGGTCGGAGTCAGGAACACGACTCCGCACTGTCTGCACACGGTGCAGTACTTCGGCCAGAACCCCACCAACGATGCCCTTGAATCCCGGATGGCGGCGGCGGTCAAAAGTCAAGCATGGCGTTGGCACATGTTGCTGCATGTTGCGGTACTCGCCTCAGCTCTTGTGACCGAACCCTCCGGACACCCCACTCCATGAATCCATGGTTCCCGGAGAGTCGGTGAAGCTACAAAACCGCACAGAAATTCCAAGACGTGGTTGTGCAACCGGCACGTTCCGTTGGCGCCCGATAGACCGAAAGTCTGCGCCGGAAGCAGGTCGAGTGACTACGACAAAAATTCCTTCGGGCGGATTATACCAGCGACCTGCCAACACAATACTCGATCCCATCTTTGCATGGTGTAACCAGGAGACAACACATCAGAGGCTTGCGCGGGATGGCCAGCACCAAGGACCGACCGCGGGCGCGGTTTGCTCCCATACCCATCGAGACGACGTTCGAGCGATACCGCAAGACATTACCGCCAGGCGAGCCAACACCGAGCCCGTCTCCGCGTTCACCGTCCCCGCCGCCGAGAGAGAAGCGCCGGTTTGCGCCCCAGCTAGTCGAATCCTCGGTGCGCCGTTCCAGACGAGCCGGAGACGAGGGGCCCGCGACCAAGCCCACAGATAAGACCGACATCACACCGTACACAAATCACATCTATGCGCCCAAAGCACGGAAGCGGTTCGGCAATGGAGAGACGTTGCCGGCGCAAAAGGGGCATGGGCGCCGGGAGTCGTGTGACGACGAGATTGCCGGCGGTCACTTCGACCTGGTTGCCCGCGATGCGCAGCAAAGGAAGCTCCAAGAGGTGGCCATGAGTGCCTTCCCAAACAGCGGGCAGAGGATAGGCGGCGCCGAGCACTTCTATGTGCGCGAGGGATCTGAGGATGACGGTCCCCGGGGACGGCCATTGACGAGAGGGCCATGGAATCCGCTACAGTCACGGCGGAACTCGTCCGAGGAGGACATCAGCTGGGCCTTCAAAGAGATGCAGGAGCATGCTCAGATGGTCCTCAGGGCGAGGTCTAGGAGCCGCATAGACTCGATCGACCTCGATAACATGAGCATTGACGGCCCGCCGAGCGATGCCATGGGCCTTACGAGCAGACAGAGGTCCTCGATAGCCAGCTCTCCGCTATGGACATCCCGAAGACCGTCTTCGGGCTCCCTGGCCCCGATTGGGGAGTCACACATGCCACTTCTCCGTGCGGAATCACCACTTGCTACCATTGGCGAGTCCACGATGCCGTACATCCCTCCCGAGTCGCCGCCGCTCCGACGTATCGGCGAGGGCCACATGCCTTACATCCCCTCCGCTCCCACCGGCCAAGCTGGCGACATGCCGTATGCGCCGGCCTCGCGAATCCCCGCTGAGACCAGCTTCGGACACCACGCCGCCTTCCTGCCTCCCACCTATGGCCTACAAGAACGCGACATGTCCCTCGAACTTGCGCGCCAGCAACACCGCCTCCGTCTGAAATCGTCCCCGCCCATGCTCGGCACGGACCTCACCTTCCGCATGTGCCCTTCGCCGAAGCAAACCAAGCTCGAGCCAAACCATCTCTGGGACGTAGCGATGGGCACCACCAAGGACGACCACAACCGCGATCCGACCGAGCAGCACGGCCTCTGGCACGGCTACTGCTACGCCAATACCCAGAACGGGGACCTCGTACGCATTGATCGTCCCCAGATGATCATCACCCCGTTACCGTCCAGCAGCCCCAAGGACCACGACCCCTTCGCGCACGCCTTCGGCGGCATGACGCCCTCCCTCACCGATGAGCCCAGCAGCACGCTGGACGGCACCACCCGCGCCGCAAGCCTGGCCTCGCAGCCGGGAGGAGGAGGAGGAGGAGGAGGAGGAGGAGGCGGCGTGATGATGCCGGAGCATCGCACCAAGTCGCACGAGCCCAAGGGCCTGCACATGCTGCACAACCTGCACAACCTGGACGAGAAGCTGCGGCGCGAGAAGGAGGCCGCCGAGCTGGAAGAGAAGATCGCGGCCGAGTTCGACGACCACTTCGTCACGCAGGTGTACAATTACCTGTCGCTGGGCTACCCGGCCACGGCGCGGCAGTACGACGAGGAGCTGAGCAAGATCAGCCGGATCGGCGTGGAGGAGCTGGAGCGCGATGACGAGGCCATCATGGAGGGTCTCTGGGGCCAGGAGGAGCCCGGAGTTGACAGCGAAAACGGAAACGAAACAACCGGGGAGCCGAAGGATGCGGATGCGAGGAATAAGAAGGTGAAAGCTACGGGCCATATCATGCTCGACAGCGAGGCCAAGGACGGCGTGCGGGAGGAGGACCGCTGCTCCCGCTGGAAGGCGCTCAAGCTGTATATCTACGAGTGGGCGCGTCAGCATCCCGACCTCAATGCCATCAGCCCGCTGGCGTGGGGCGTGCAGGAGCGGAAGGGCAGTTGGGGCGTCTGAGCTCCGCTTTTCGTTTTCTTTCCTCTTCCTTTTCCCTCTGCTGGGCGTGGATTGCTTCTGGCGCGGCGGGGCATTGGGGCAAGATACTCGACGTGAACCTGGTCTTAAACATAACATAGCGAGGACTGATTGCTTGGTCCTTTCGACCGCCTTTTATTTTCTTTTCTTTTTTTCTTCTCCAACATCGCGAACACAGGACCTGTCATTGAGCGAGCGAGCTTGCGGTTTGGTTCAACTTTACCTCTTTTTATATTTTTCCGCATATTTCGGCGAGACATGCGTGGGCATTCATCGGACGATATCATGATCCTTTTCCTTTTCGTATTTTCTTTTCATGAATTCGAGACTCACTTATGCGGACATGTCGTCCCGTTTGGGTTTGGCGCATGGCATCAGATGGAAACTCTTTTCAGCTGCGATGGAAGCGATTATTACTTGATTTTTTGACATGGCAGAGGGGGCGAGATAGGGCGAGATAGGGCGGACGATAGGTACAGAAAAGGTGGGGTCAAAAGGAGTTTCCCTTTCAAGAAAGTTAGTTGCTGCAGAGCTTTTGCGAAAGACAGATTTGGGACGACACAGATCTAACGATTCCGGAGCTGGGGCAAGAAAGTGAGGAGTCAAATTCCTGTTTTTGTGGCGATACATATGTGTAAGGTACGTACAGCGAAGATTACCTGGTAGGTAGGTAGTTTTCGGTCTCGGATGGCGTATGGGTTTTCGGTACGGGTCCCTGCGGTTTAACTTGCCTAGTATCATGAACATGCGTGTGGTTCACAAGCGACCTGAATGCAATGGATGAACTCTTGTTACTTAATACCGGACATCCAATGAGGACCCCAAACCAGCCAGATCCGAGGGGAACGGGAACTTGGTATAATCCTTGATCATCCATCGCCTCGACTCGGGAAGAGATATATATTATTGGCTCTGTTCTCACGCCTATTAGCCTCCTGCAGTTCTCGGGGCACTTCGTCACCCGAAAGTCAAGTTCGCACGTAGATGCTCTCTACGTACAAGTTTTCAAACGACTTCAGAACACGATAGCCGAGAGTCCTGGATTACATCTCGTCTGGTGCTATGATCGAGCCACTGCCGCATTATCTTTTAAGCTGGGCTTTTTGGAAGGTTCACCTGCCGCCTCATAACCCTCATCGTCTTTGGGCTGTCGGACTTGTCCTCTCTTACCCGTTCCTTACTTGTCACCGATCCGATTTCCTTCTGGCGCAGAGGGAGAATTCTCATCCCGCCCTCTCCGCATGTCTCATACGCGGAGTTCAAAAACTTCATCAAGCACTTTCAGACGGGAATTGGGGAGGTCGTCTCTCCTCGTTAGGAATTCGGCCAGTTTCGCCTTACGCGGTAAACAAGGTACCTAGGCTGTCAGGCTCCTTCAGCCCAGGGCCACCAACAAGGCCAGACAATTTTGCGCAGACTCTATTAACAAGAACCATACCGGCATATGGGTTAGTTTCTTCAGGCGTTTGGAGCACCAGGTTGTCTTTATCTTTGCTTCAATCTCGTTGATCTTTGTCCGCTATGCAGGTGGTGCTCGCTGAGTTGCTGTGCAGCTTGGAGATTCTTGGCATGCCTTGGATGCACAAAGAGTCGTGGCTGGCATGTGACAGTCGAAGTTGGGCACTGCCTGACATGAGCAGCTAACATACACGTGTAGTGAGTGATCTGACAACTTAGGGAATTGGTTCAAGTAACCATGCATATGGTGATTTTCTTGATTACTTCCCCTAGGTACGCTTTTAGGAACATCGAGTTCACTGCACCCTCCGTCCGTGTAACTCACTGTGCCCGGTGACTGTGGAACCCCATCTGCGCACGGTGTCTTGGCGGCCGTTATCGCTATCGATGGCTCGACTCGGCCTCTCTTTCTGGACACAAGCTCCGTCGCAAACACATGTATCCCACCTCGATCTCGACAATCCGCGGCCTTCCCACATGGAGCCGTCTCCTCTCACTCACCAGCCTCGACCAGAGGTCTTTCAGCCCAAGATAGTGCGCTTGTATGAAGCATTGTTCAAGGTCTGAACTGATTTCCTTCACGTTTACGTCCATCTCCGGGAAAGCCTTGCCAGATTCCGACACCACGCGGCTTGCGCAAGGGGCTCTAGTTACAGAGTTGGTTGCTGACATGTTGGGATTGTTATCAAACAGGTTGGTGCTCCTGCCCCGCAATGCCGTACGGAAGCAGGCGCAACGCCACTGGGCGCAGCGCCGTTCAGGACGAACCGACAGCTAATAGGCGACACGACGGGAGAGTAGGACGAGTCGGAAGAGATTGAGAAATCAGAGGGCTTCTGGAAAGAATTCTTCCTCCTCCGACCTGACCGGTCATCGCTTCGCCGAATCCTCGACGACATAGGGCCAAACGACCTGCTCCAGCTTCACGAACAGACAAGACAACTGTTTGCGCAGACCATCGCCGCGCTGAAGAACCCTTATGGCGTTGCAGACCTTCATGCGCTCGATGTGAGAATATACGCTACTTTGGGCTATGGTTTCGTCTCCGCGGTTTCTGACAAGCATTGTGGGGCAGACTCTGAGCACCTTCATGGTCGCGGTGCTGGCCAAGAAGTACACGAATCCGAGTTCCGACATCATCGAGCTTCTCGCAGGCCTGGACCACGTCGATGCCGTCTTCACTGAGTTTGTTGGCGCACTCGAGTCGCTCATCCGGAATGGGAGAAGCAGTGCGCGCGAGTGCTGCCCGAACGGCGTCGGCCATGTCGGCCAGGAGGAGTCGCGGTCCGTAGGCGGCAACAGGGCAGGGTGTACGTACACGGCAGACCTGCAGCAGCGGGCGGTGGAGGTTGCGCTTGCTGTCACGTCGGGTGCCTATCAGACCAGCCTGCTCACCTACTTCATCCAGAGGGACTTGTTCCCGGCCATAATAAATGTCAGTCTGGAAGGGTTTTGCATGGTTGGTTATTCTGGTCGCCGGAGCTGACAGCCGGTAGTGCATTCAGTCCGAAATCGCGTCGACGGCACCTAGGATAACATCGCCATTCATGCTCCTCGGTCTACTGGCGAACTACAACAAATTCGAGTTCCAAAACCCCTACCAGATGCGGCTCAACGATTTCGTTAACGAGCGCGTCATCCGGGGCATCGTCAGGAGCGTCGGCCAAACGTGCCAGAGGTTACGGAATCAGTACGTGGACGTGCAGGACGACCTCCCAGAGGGGTGGACGCTTGCAGGCACACTGAACAAGATCGGGCTAGGCGCCATTGCCCCGGGGGGAAGGCCCTCGCCAAAGCCTGTCTATGATGCTGAGACAGCAAAGAGGATGTTTGCCGAGCTGTAAGTGGTGACGAGTCCTGGGCGTGAGCTCGCTCGCTGACTGAAATGTTGCAGGCCAGGGCAAGAAGCAGCAGTTCTCCTCGCCACCTACGACTTCACACACGCCAACAAGCTCTTTAGTCTCGAGCTCGTCGCTTGGACCCCGGACAAGGGCGAAGAACAGCCCTTTGCCAGCTTCATCTCCCTCGCCTCCTACCTCCTCCAACACGCCCACCTCTCGCAACGCACCACGCTCTACTGCCACCTCAACCTCATGGTTTTCCGCCTCCTTATCGAGGATCCTATCCTCTGTAAACGGATCTGCAGCGAGGACAGCAAAGTCCCCGTTCGCCTCTGCCGCCAACGGTCTCCTTACCTCCCGCTCGTCCGCGGCGACCGCATCCTCGCGACCGCCGTCCTGGACACCATGGTCGACGCCATCAACCACAACCTCCGCCGCCGCCTCGACGTCGGCCTCTACACGCTCTGCGTCGGCATCCTCCTGCGCATCATCAGCTACATGTCGCGGTCGCGCACGCGCCTGCAGTACCACTGGGCCGAGCTGTTCCGCTCGCTGCTGTCGCTGATCCGCTTCCTCACGACATACGCCGCCGACTTCAAAGCCCTGCCGCACATCGACACTCTGTTGGACCACGTCGTCAACCTGATCGCCTTGGGCCTCTCGGCGGGCGAGACCTTCCTCCCCACGCCGGCCGCGTATGACGATCTGTTCTACAAGGTTGTCGAGACCGGGGAGGTGCTGGTCAAATTCAGAGGGACATACGCCCTAGCCAATCGGCCGAGCAACTCCATTGATACCTTGGTCAATGTTAGCACGCACTACAAGGAAATGCTCGCCGAGGGCGGCGGCGGCGGCGGGAAAGGCGATGGGGGGAATGCGAAAGGGGGAGCAGGAGGTAGGAAGGCCGGGTCTCAGTTGACCAGCTTGCAGGTGGCCGAGGTCATCAAGCAGGGGTATGAGACGCTGAGTATCCAGGCGAAGGAGGGGCTGGACAGTTGGGAGAAGTACAGAGAGGCCGATGAGAGGACACTGCTGAAGAAGATGGCCAGGGCGGCGGTGGCGGATGTCAGGGCCATGGTTGCCGAATAATGTCGTAGAATGGTCGAAGCTTCAACTGGGCTCAGGTTCCCGCGAAGGATGGTCGAGCGGAGTGGTTTGTTTGTGCAAGTAACTCAAACATTAGCGGATTAATGATACCAGCATGGTTCACTTGCTGTAATTGTTGGGCAAAAAGAAAAAAACATACAACACCGAGGATTCCCCAGTGGTCACCCACCTGAGTACTGGTTCGGCCCTTGGTAGCTTGACTATGGGAGAGCGGACGGGATCCCGTATTTTCTACCAGGTATGGTCGTATGTGTTAGTCAAGTCAGAAACAAAGCATTATCTTTCACGGCGATCCGCCTCACGCGCCTCTAACGCGCCGCCTCATTTCCCCGCGGCTCTTCCTCGAGCAACTTACGCTGCTTGATGCGTTGCTCCCAATGCTGCATGTTTATCCCTGGCTTGTTCTTGATATCGCTAGCAGTGTCGGTACGGATTGAGCCTGAGGCTCAGGGTCCACTCACATAGCCGTTGGCCCGAGCGGCGATTCCTAATGCCCACATGCTGATTGGTCAGCCCTTCTTGCGGCGGAATCCGGGATACGCCGAGCCTTGGCATCATGTCATACCGTGGAATTGAGCGGCTTTCGCTGTTTGTCAACGAGGCACGACAAATCTGCAGCAAAAACATCTAAGAACCAACGACAGTGACTTTGTTCCCGACGTTAACTGCCTTGGAATCCACGACACCCCGCCACAATGAATGCGCCCAGCTTCCTTACGAAGAGGACGGTCTCCATCTGCCTCTCGTGTCGCCGAAATCTCCTGCGACAGCGCCAGTTCTCGACGACGCCAGCTTCGCTTGTCGCCGCCTTCCAAGCCTACACGCTGCCGTCTCAACCGCCGCCGGCACCGCGCAATGCCTCCGTGCCCGACACCTCCATCGCGCACCCGGTTCAGGCGCCAACCCTGCCCAGGGTACACGAGACAAGGCCACCGAAGCAGCCATCCGAGCGGGTAGACCCGACAAACCAGCCGTCGCCAGTCTCGATCCCCGAGCAGGAAGCACAGCAGTCCAAGCCAGCCTTCACCGCGACGACCTCTATCTCCAACCCGACAACGAGACCATCTCCATCAACAGAGCCACAACAACAGACCCCTCCGGCGCAGACACCCACCACAGTAGCAGCAGCAGCAGCAGCAGCCAAGCAGGCTCCTTCGCCCTCGGCGCGCCCGCGCTCCAAGCTACGCGCCCGCAAGGCCGCGATCCAGCTCACGCCCGCGGCGGTGGAGCACCTGCGCGCGCTGCTGGACCAGCCGGACCCGAAGCTGATCAAGGTGGGCGTGCGCAACCGCGGCTGCTCCGGGCTGGCCTACCACCTGGAGTATGTTGACAAGCCGGGGGCGTTCGACGAGGCGGTGGAGCAGGACGGCGTCAAGGTGCTGATCGACAGCAAGGCGCTGTTTAGCATCATTGGCAGCGAGATGGATTGGGTTGAGGATAAGCTGAGCCAGCGGTTCGTGTTTCGGAATCCGAATATTAGTGAGTTTCTTTTCCTTTGTATGCTTGATTGGATTTTGAATTGGCGGGATGATATGCTGACATTGGTGGTAACAGAGGAGCAGTGCGGGTGTGGTGAATCGTTTATGGTATGATTGGCTGGGTTGGGGGTGGTTGATTCGGAGTGGTGGGTTATGAGGCGGTTTCAACTGCGGTGCTACAACCCCCGAATCGCTGTCCCACAATTGGGGAGGGTGGTTGAATCAGCTGGTATATGGTACTCGGTGGGCTTAATGAGACGCATCTGGTCTTGCTCTGGGGCATGGCATGGTGCTTGCAGCATTAGAGCGGCGTTGTTATAGGTACTGCTTCCCGAACTGGCAATTAAGCTGGATGACACGGGGCTGGATGACACCTGTTCTTACCAGTAGACTTCTACATTCCTCTTTGGGGGAAACTGAATGATACCTTTTTGTCACCAAGTCACCCACATCTGCAGTTATAGCCAAGTACGAACAGGCACAAATGACCAAAGTATCTCAATTTACTACTCACGAGTGCGTTCTGATAGGATCCCACGGGATGGGTTGAAATAAGTCTCCGCTGCTCATACGGTCTGACTGACGAGGTACACGATATTCTACTGTGCCTGTTCCATGCTGGCTTCTGCCATTTCTGAGACATGGCAAGAGTTCAGATTCAATACTGGATACCCACCGCGGTTACGGTAGTCGAGCGGCACAGGGGAGTCGTGACACCTGACTCATGCATGGAGCGATTCATGATGCGAACATCAACAGTGTTCGGGTTCTATTCCACCACTTCAGGTAGCCAGTCATGTCTCTATGAAAGCCAATACGCCAACCCTGCATGCATCCAGATACCAAACCACCATTTTTTGCCTGTGCCAAATACCTAACCACTTAGTACAGCATGTATGTATCCTACACTTCGACCGCAATGGCCCCCTTTCATCACCTCCCAACATCCTGCGCCTCTTCCATCTCAACATCGGGATCCACCTCCAACCCCAAATCTCTATCCTCCAAAAACCTCCTGCCGAGCAATTGCTCCGGCAGATAGTCCTGCTTGACCCTCCCACCCCGATAATTCGGCGGGTACTTGTACTCTTTCCCATAGCCCATCTCCCTCATCAACCGGGTGGGCGCATTCCTCAGGTGCACGGGCACCGGCAAGGCCGCGACCCCGGGCTCCTGCAGCGCCGAGAGCGCGTTGTTGAGCCCCCTGTAGGCGCGCGTGCTCTTGGGCGCGAGGCAGAGCGCCACGGCGCAGTGGGCGAGCGGGATGCGTGCCTCGGGCATGCCGATCTGCTGCGTGGCCGTGTAGGTGGCCGTGGCGAGCGGCAGCAGCGTGTTGTCGGCCAGCCCGACGTCCTCGGACGCGATCACCACCATGCGCCGTGCGATGAAGAGCGGGTCCTCGCCCGACTGCAGCATGCGCGCGAGGTAGTAGAGCGCCGCGTCCGGGTCGGAGCCGCGCACGGACTTGTGGAAGGCCGAGATCGTGTCGTAGTGCTGGTCGCCTGCGCGGTCGTAGACGAGCGTCTTGGTCAGGGCGGCCTTGATGGCTTCTTTCGTGAGCGGCTCGGAGGAGTCGGATGATGGGCGGTTGGTGAGTGAGAGAGCGAGTTCGAGGAGGTTGAGCGCCGTGCGGGCATCGCCGTCGGCGAAGGCTGCGAGGTAGCGGAGGAGTTCTTCGTCGATTAGTGGGCTGAGTGTAAGGCCTTCATGTTCGACTTCTTGTTGGAGGGCGCGGAGAAGGATGCGCTGGATGTCTTCTTCCGTGAGCGACTGGAGAGTGAATGTCCTGCACCGGCTGAGCAACGCTGATTGGACTCTGAAGCTAGGGTTTTCCGTCGTGGCACCTATGAGCGTGATAGTCCCCGCCTCGACAGGCTTCAGAAATACATCCTGTTGCGACTTGCTGAAGCGGTGGATCTCGTCGCAGAAGATGATGGTCCTCCGCCCCGTCAGAGCCAGCTCGTTGGCCGCCTCGCCGAACAGCTTCTTGCACTCGGCCACTCCCGTGCTCGTAGCGTTCAACTCGATGAATCGGCTCCCCACCCGCCGTGCAATGCACCGTGCGATGGTCGTCTTGCCAGTGCCCGACCCTCCCCAGAGAATCATGCTCGGGAGGCGATTTGACTCTATTAGAGAGCGCAGCACCCCGTTAGGGCCCACGAGGTCTTGACCAAATACATCATCCAGTGTGTCCGGCCGCATGCGCTCGGCGAGGGGTGCATTTCTGGTGGTCTTGGATCGTTTTGCCAGCGGTCGGTCCGGGCTGTCCGCAGCGTCGTTAGGTTGCCGTGCGTCTGCCGGTGCTGGCGCCGCGCCGTCTTTGTTTTCTCCTGTACCGTTCGTGGTGGAAGGTGCGTCTACAGCCGGGCCCTTAAAACCTGGGCCGTCATCGTAGCTCCGCTTGACCCCAGCCTTGGTGCCTCCAACCCCGTTTGTCTGCGGCGGCGCCGAGGTTCTGGCAGGGGCGATTGCCTGTCGCTTCGCCGTGGGCGTCTGGAAGAATGCTGCCGCGGATCGCTTTTTCTGCGTCGAACTTGGTGGTTGGCTCTGGGTGTTGCTCTGCGTGCCGTTCGGCGGGGACGATGTCGCCTGCTCTTTGCTGTCGTCGACGATGAATGTTTGGCAGCCCGAGTCGATATGGCTGTTGATTTCAGAGGCTTTCACGCCCTTGTTGCAAATGGGACAAACGACCATGGCAAACGCTCTAAACACTTGGATGATCAAGAGCTGTCCAAAATAGTGCAAGCGACGCCCAGAGTTTGTTTAGTTGCTGTTCACTGTTGATATGGAAGATGTGGGAGACGCGTTGATGCCCAGAGGACTGCGCTCGTTAATTGATTTCGAGACGCGATTCCTTGCTCCACAGTGGAGTCGCGGCTGAACCCGCTGCCGTGGTTCAAAGAGCAGGGGTCATAACGTGTGGGGCATGCGGGGCCGTATTGACATAGGGAATGTATTACCTAGAATGTATAATCCATACAGACAGTTTCCTTACCAAAGTACATAATAAAGGTGTGGGCGGCTTGTCAATCGCTAGCAGAAGTCAGCTTATTGCTGTGGGCGAATATATCCGGGCGTGTGGTACTACGCTAAGTACCTGGCGTACTAACGTCTCCAAACAGGGATCCCGGTCATGTATGAATCCCGGCCACAAACAGCTATAACCCTAAAATGAGCTCGTAAAGTCAGGGTTATAGGTGTTTGTAGCCGGGCTCCATACACGACCGGTATCTATGAGCCAGACGTTAGTACTCCAAGAGTGAAAACGCAATGTGTTATGATGTGGGAGTCGTGGACCGCCAATATTCCTCAATCCCATTCAATCACGTCCCGTCGAAATATCTCTTATTAACAATGGCGCCACACCAATGGCCCCGAAGCGTGGAACAAAGGAATGCGTTAAAACTAATGACCTCGATCCTTTAAGAATAAACATCGAATTAAATAGATCAAGATATTGCTTAATGAGACATAGCCTGCTCATCGCTCGATGTTGTTGCTTCAGGTTATAGTCGTAACAATCTACCAGGTACTTCTTTCAAACAGTACTCCTTTCCAACAGTCCCCGGTCAGCATCACAGCCATCACCACCATCACCGAGTGACATTCTGTGTGTTGTACCGCGCAAATGCTGCATCTTTTCGATTCGACAGAACAGTCTCCCCATTCCCTTTTTAATAGCGAGTAATTAATCCGAATTAGGATCAGCCCGCCACTCCAGGCAGTTGTTGTTGACTCTGCCTCCCTATATATGTACCATGCAAAGTCAGCAAGACCATCACCACCACATTTCTAACTCCCCCCAAATCGAAATGTCATTTTCTGTCATTGCAATGGATAGGGTATGCGTATGTATGTGTGTGCAACTTGGGGGTACAAAAAAACAGCGAAAAGAAAAGAAGAAGAAAAAGAAAAGCTCACCTGCTTCCCATAATCCCATTCACCCCTCCACAATTACACGATATCAACCGCCACCTCCATATACCGATGATCACACACCACAGCAGTCACATCGCGATTCTTGCCTCCGCCGTCACAGATAATTCTTCTCCCCCTGAGACCGTTAAAATTTATTATTTACAAATTATTTTTCTACGACCTCGACGCCAACCAGACAAAACCCCGTCGCCATTGTTACCACCCTCTCTGCGCCTCCAAGATGGCGCAGCCAACCGAACCGGCCCCGCGACGAGTTCCGCAGATGGACAATGGCCAGAGGGTTCCGTGGCTGGCACCACGAGCGCAGAGTGCCCGGCCGACCTGGGGCCAGCTCGTGAACGACTGCGCGGCCTGTTACGACTGGAGGTGGCTAACATGCAGCCCACAGACGAACAGGTACACGGCCTGTTTCACCCGCAGCACTGGTCGTCGTCTGGTTGCCACGCTCTGTTATAGAGTTGCGGCCCGGACAACCCTTACGTTCTTCACAGCACCATCCCAAGAGTGTCAGGACATGGTCTGATGAGGGAGTACGGGGGACATATTCGCACGACTGTGGTGGGAAGCACCAACCGCCCCAGGGCCAGCAATAGCATGTCTGGCGCACATCGTACATAGAATCAGGACTTAAATATATTCATCTGTTTTCCCAATCCTGTCCTTTTCCATTTCGCGTATTTCTCGAGAATCTACGTAACCGCCCAGAGTTCAACAAAGGACCCGCGCCGCTTAACTCCTTACTAAGTGTCCGCATGACTTCCAATCGTCCCGTCCCTCTCCACACCTCGTCCATCCACTCCCACCATGACACCACTAATCACACCTGGCTGCTCCCGGCCGCCCTCTCCATCTCCTCCATTCCTCCTCAGGCACCACATCCAAGCTCTCCGGACCCGGCCAAACAACCATCAGCTTCGTGTCCTCCTTCAACGGAATAAGATCCTGCAAATCCCCGCCCGCCACCAAGATCTCCCCCTCCTCGTCATCCCCTTTGCTAGCAGGGTGGTGAGGGTTGAGGTGTGCATTGCAGGGGTCAGGGGATCCCGACTCTCCAGACGTACCACGTGCCCACAAGCAAATGTAAACAGACTTGGAGAGCTTAGGCATTTTGGCGCAGTGTCTGCTGCTGTCTGCAACGGTTTTGTATCAGGAAATCTAGCACTTAGGCCTTGAATAAGACTAAATCAACACGACTAAACCTAGAGCATCTTGTTACGGACTTTTAGAATGGAGTGGTTGTTTAGGTATAGTACCTAACTACCTGATATCATTTCTCTGTCCATTTGAAGTACCTGCGCCATGTCAGCCAAGATGTGACGCCCTCCAAGTAGAGATAAACGAGTCCTCAACCAACGCCATCGGATCAACCTTACCATGTGTGTTTCCCACGGCCGCTCCCCCGAGACTATCCTTAGGCACACCAACACATCCGCAATCAAGCATGGCTCCGCCAGCCAATCCGTCTCGTCCTCCGTGTACCACACACCCGTGAGATCCCTGAAAACACTACATCAACACAGCCGTAAACGTAAACGGTCCCGTTGTCGCCATGACGTACTCAAACGTGATCCCTTCCCCGGGCTGCTTCCGCCCTAATACCAGCCGCAAGTTCTGCGCCACCTGGTCCACCCAGCACCCTCAGCCGCGAGGTCCCGGGGATGGGAGCCTTGGTGGTCAGCCATGGCATTATCCTGCCAATGGCCGGGGTGCGGGTGCTGCTGGCCTTGTTGGGGTGCTGGCGGAGATGCCCGGGAAAGAACCTCAAGAGATGCAGGGCTGGTATCCTGATGGTAACCGTGCGTACGAGTACGGCTTAAATTTTGCGGCTGGGAGGAAGGTATCAAGTGGTTAGGGCTGAAACAGCTGAGTTGCCTGTCTCTCCTAAGCTGGTGATGGATGGCGAGGATATTATACGGATGACATCGGAGAATTACACCTTTCGGTACAGTAGTTACAAACTGATATCACAGAATGGTTGGCATTGTTGACAGCGTGCCCCTTGATTCGCCTTCTGTTCCTCCTGTCTACTGCGAATCGTGAGAAATCTTGAAGCCCCCTTCCACCGACATGTGCGCCTTCATACCAGAGAACCAGAAAACCAGGGTCCCAGCCATTGTATAATGCATCCATTCATCCCCGTCGTCCAGGGGCCCATCAACTCGGATCTTAACCTGATACAAAGATGCGCCAGAGTTGACAAAGGCGATAGATGACGGCCTCGTGAAGGTTTCACAGTGATCCACCATAATGCGGCATTCGCCTACTGCCCTTTGGCCGCCGTTATTGTATTCAAGTACCATGCCCTTGCAATGGATGCCGCCTTTATGGTAGAAGATGCGGATCTGACTGACGTTCTCCAACGGAGCGTAGGAGGTTCGCATCCACGATCCCAGGCCCTCGGGGGGGTAGTATGAAGGCAAGACGAACTCCCGCTATAACACGGATCATCCTACGTTGCAACGGCGGTAATGGAGGTCTTCGGCCCCAAGAATCTTTTACGATATACCAGGGTTGTCACGGGTCGATCAGGTGGACCGAGTAGGGAAGCACATCTCTCCGGGTCAAAGTTGTAGTTGTTTCGCCCAATAACAATCTCCCCAGATAGTCGTGTCCAGAACTTGCACAAATTAGATTTCAGGCTACGGAAGGTTCGGACAGTGGGTCAGTGTGAGCTTACCATGAAGGCACTCATTCCTTTCTCAATTCTGAGACTGTCTCGAGTTACCAAAGGGCCACAGCGGAGGATTGTGTCATGTGGAGGCAACGGCATGTAAATCCAGTCTGCACCATCGCGGTCGTAACGTTTATCACAACCGGGGTGAGTCCTAGAATGCGCGTATATGGCGACCAGGCCATCATATTCGACAAAGGTAAGGCCCGTGGCCGTACCGAGATCGATCGTATAGAAGCGCTGGCCGTACCAATCTCCGGGTGGCTGACGAAGCCATCTCGTAAGGGTAGGAGGTGTTGAGGTGTCCCATACCGAAAAGCCTGGCTCTTTCATATCCTCGAGTATGAATAACTGGCAGAGGCCGTTGTGTGAAAAGTTAGAATGGGATGCTATTTACCGCCAAATCAAGGTCCAGGCCTTGAAATGCAGCGGTGCGGGAGATTTATTATGCAGGAATAGCGGTTGGTTATTACTCACCTTGAAATGTGCAAGAGTGGCTCCAAAGCTGACTTCTTCCTCAATGACGAAAGACCGGTCATCAAAACGTTCCCGGCTGAACGGGGGACGCTCTTTCAACCTCTCGATGCTCTTGAGACCGTCAACATCAACAGTCAGGCGAATGAGTGAATGCCGTCGCTCGGTTGACTCCTCTGCTGCAAGCATGGGAAGCCCCCCTCGCTCCCAGGACAGGAGGTTTCGAGGCTTCTGCGCAGGTACCATTTGCCGATTACTAAATGACCGCCCACTTTGTCCCGAATTCGGAGAAAGCGTTCGATGAAGCCCACTTCAAAGGCAGTTGAGCTTGCGTTTCCGGCAAGTGTAGTTTTGTTTCCCGTCAGTGGCGAGCAAAAGGACAAGTTGCGTATTCGATGAACCCTTACATGCTACCTCCGGCTGGAACCAGGGGAGCGCCATAATCTGCTCACAAATGTTGCAAAATAGGACATCGTCGTTATGGCCGGTTCCTTCTATGCTGAAGCGATGCCAGCGAACATGGTGAGAATGTAGACCGCTTCGCTCTGCCATGGCGTAGGCGAGCGGATTCCTGGCATCTAGGGCTGTTCTCGATGCAGTCAGATCGCCTTGTGCATCCAAGGGTAAGAAGGTCAATTGCGTCAAGAAAGAGGAAACGTTAGATACCTTTTAACCACAGCTAGCCCTTGGGAAAGAGATGGGAGAAAGTCCGGGTCGTGTGGGCACAGTAGATGTCAATTGTGCTGCAGCAACGTCCGAGTCGGGCAAAGTCGGTCGCGACCAGTCACACGGTCACACACGCAGCGCTCCCAACTATGATATGCATTTTAACAAGGCATATACTTCAATCGTCGTTTTGGTACTATGTTGCGTTTAGTGCTACGTCCATTTTCTAGTTGTGATATGCCAGGGTTAGGGGAATATATGGGGCGAGTACGGAAAACGCTTTACAACGCAACGGAAATCAACGCAAAGGTGCCCGTTCCTCGTAACGTAACGTAAAGTGAAGGCCTGCCTTTGCGTTGTCCAATAAATAAATCTCAGAGCCTAGGAAATTGGCCAAAGTAAGTGGGAAAATGGCGTACTCCGTAATGGTAGGAGTATTGCAGGGGCTAACCTCTTGGCAAAGGGTTGTAAAGCCGGCTTGGCTCGTTGGCGTTGATAAATTCGGGTGTCGTCTTTACGTTGTTTGGAGCGCTGGTCACACGTGACACGACAGACCATGATCCCACCACCAGGGTGGTTCCTTCCATCAACTGGTATCCGGTAACTTAGACGTTCAGCTGCCCGTACCTTGGACTGCACATCCATATTCTCCAAGCACAATGAAAGCCGTACTAGATGAAGTATACTGAGTACTGGCCCTCGACAGTCGACAGCTCCTGCCTCTGGACCGCCCACCGACTAGCACCATAGTCGGCGGCCCTCGAAGCCCCACCCGGATTTAATCAGCTGCGGATCTGCATCCTAGATAAACAGCCTGGGATACCCGGAGCACAAGCACCAATAAGTACGTTATATGAGCCAGAGATGATTCTACACGCCCCAAGACTTTCACCGAGCCTACTTTGTATCCTCATAGGCTCATACGACCCGGGCCCGCACAAGAGCACTTCTAAATTCGACCGAACGATTTGTAAACATATAATACTCAACATACACCAGGACAGCTCTGCCGACTCACTTGTCCGCGCCTGCGCAGGGCGTCTTGGCACAAGACCGCTCGCATTTCACCCAAGTCGATCGGATAGCCACGAAGCTAAATGTTTCTCCGACTACTAGTATATACTAGTCTATTTTGGTTATCGAGGTCTTTCGAGCTTGTAAGCCTATGTCAGCTTAACACTTATGCTTCTACGTACCCTGTGCTGAAATCAGGTGCAGAAACCGCAAGCTACCTAGGGATGGTACTGGAAGTACCGATACGGCAGGAACAGGGGCATAAGACTGGGAAACAGGCTCTCCATGTAGTACTTAAGGAACCAAGGTCCCCCAGAGTCTCAGAAAATCAAGCAAGCAATACAACTTGTGTGAACCCCTAAGTTCAACACCCTGTAGCTAATAAGATGCTGTCTAGAGAGAAAAACCGAGAAAACAAAAACGAAGATTGGGCGGGGGTGCTAGTTAATAATCTAAATGAATCATAGCAACATGCGAAACGGTGTGCCCCAGCCTAGCCCACTCACTCAACAAACATATACTCATAGGAGAAGCAATGAGGTCTTCGGTTTACCGACCTGTCTTGTTCAATCCAGCAGTCAAACTTGCCCGAACTAAGGCCCCTTACAGGGGCTCAGACAAACGGGAAAACGGCATCGCTGCCACCGTTACCACAGGCGTAAGATAAAACACGTTGCTAGGTGGTTAGCCCTTTGCTAACGACGGCATAGCCATTTGCGAAATTAGGCCTTAGTCCTATACGGCTTTGTATTCTCGATATTAAAAGCCGACCTGACACTTGCGAACTGCGGGAGATGGAGAGAGGTGAACGCGAGCTGGGAAGAAGGTTGCTGAAGTTCTGGTACATCTGCAGGATGTGCTAATAAAGGAGCTGGATGGGTGGGCAACCCCTGAAGATGTGTTGTCCCACACCGAGGTGTACTCGGCGGCTGCTACACGCTCCTCGGGTCCCTTAGATATTATTTATCGTAGTCCCGACCATATATATCCCTTCTCAAGTCCGACGAGACATCCCGGACCCCGCCGCAGCACTGTGGGCACAAAGCCGCATGGATGTTCCTTCGCGCGGCTGGACTCTAATTCGATAGAATAAGATGGCCGTACTTGGCCAGGTCGATACTCTATGTCTCTTAGTGGTTCTGGCTTCCCTGCAGAGTCGGCGGGAAGTCCTCTTCGGGGCGGTCATATAGCTAATACGGGAAGCTATTCTCGGTGTACAGGATACGGGTGCCGGAGCCCCGCCCTATAGTAGATTACCATCTCGGCTCCGCACTGAGAACTTTCTCTGCCTCTTCTCGGCATTGCGCCGACGCGCAGTGGGGCCCACAGCGGCGGGGAGTGGACTCCGGCACATTATACTCCGGACCATCCCATTTCCCATACATATCCCTATGCGACGGGCGGTTGGGTCGTGATACCCCTCCAGGAGCACATCAAATAGCGCGACGAGTACTTGGTTCGACCGTCCAAGGTGAAGGGCAACTCACAACAAGGACTTGTCCAGCGCCGTCGCGGCGACGTCGTCGCCCCCGAGCACCCCTCCGCTAAGCACACAAATGTACCTCGCCGCGGCGGCCAGCGTCGTCGACTACGGAGTCATTGACCCGCCGAAGGACATTCAACATGGTTATCGGCATCCATCGATTCCTGCCTCGCAATCAGCATCATGGCCCTCAATCACCCTGCGCCACTGGTCCATCGTATGACGTCCACGCTGCCTGCGCGCCCGCTAGCAGATCCCGAAGGCAGGCCACACTTCCCGTCTAGCGACGCGCGTTGCGCGGCATTCAGTGCCGCGACCTGCCACATCGCCGCATTTATATGATTGCGCCAAGCACAGCCATCTCGGCCCGCTTTGCTGCCTCGGCGAAGCAGCGTGGAGTCCTTGAGATAAGCCGCGGTCGAGGGTGCGTTGACTGGCTTAGGCACTGGCGGCACAACATTGCTGGTCGCTGTGAATGTGCTCATGCAACGCCCCAGATCTCGACGGGGCAGCGTGGCAATACGACGATGATCGCAAATAGACTCAATACGAGGAGCTCACCAAGTTCCCTAGGGGGGGCACTGGGAGGACAACGAAGTCATCCCGTTGCGCTTCCGTAGTCAGTCAAAAGTCGGCGTTGAACAACCGCGCTATACGCCTGGTTCAAAGAGCTGTTCGCCAAACAGCGTGGCTGCAATTGAGGCGACCAAAGAGAGTCGAAAGTAATCAAATCAGATTCCTTCTACCCCTTCAGTCCAGCTAATCTCCATCCTTCGCTAGACAAAACATCCGAGCCAACTCGCATCAAGAAACCAGCTTGTCATACCACTTCACGAGAATGCTGCGTCTATAATCTTTAGAGCCTTACCATGGTCTGGATGTGGTCTCGTTGCCGGTGGCCCTCTACGTGGTGTTCGAGCTGCCCGTCGTTTTCGACGTTCCCAAAGATTCGCTGCCGAGCTCTGTCCGGAAAGAACTCGCTCGTCCCTAAGCGACCGAAAAGGCTACATCGCCGCGGTTGCCTTGTGGCGGCGGCCATCGCCAATGCTACATAGATTCGAAGGCTGCTTGGGCCAGGGCAGCCACAGCGAGGGCAACAATCCCAAGTCCGCCTTGGACGTGGTTAACCTCCCTAGCGATCCAGACGAACGGCACTAGGTTGCATGACGATTCCCGTCAACTCTGTAGAAAGACAAAAGAGGATCTTACGTTTACGTTATAGCGATGACAACCTCTCCAGCCAATTCAACCGCTCTTCTTTACCATACATAGATAGGGTGGGATATTCGAAACGTACGTAGCGGCGCGAGACAGACCATTCCACCAGCATAAGATGGAGAAGGAGGCGGGGGGGGGGATCTTGCTTTTTGCCCAACTATATGCGAAAGACATAGGAAGGGAGTGTGTCGTAAAATTGTCGAATACAGAACATCCACCTCGACAGACTCATCAACATGTCCGAAGACAAAGTGATTTATTGGAGTCTACATAACATGGCACATGGTCTGAAGGGGTGCCCACTTGATGACGCAGGATATGAAAGAGTAAGGGGACGCGGTGGGGGGGAGGGGGGGTTATTTCAGGTTTCAACGCCGCGAGCTCGAGGGTCCTTTGCCCGCGTCGAGTGAATCACCTAGGTAGAATGTGAAAGAAACTGTAAGGACCGGCACCAATCATTGATGTGGACGATATGCTTCCTGCACGGTTAGCAGCCGGAGTGCGGCGCAACAGCAAACTGGCCGCTTATAATCTCATTAGCACTATCCGTATTAGTTCAGGGGCTGTCTCTCCCCAGGCTGTGCCCCGTCACAGCTCAAACAAAAGCAGCCCTGGCCGGACCGGCGACACGTTAAAGCAAAGCCGCCGCGCATTGGTAGGCTCCTTGTCGAACGCCTCGGCCGGGAACATCCACATACCAATAGCTAGACACGGCAGCCTCTCCATCCTCTCAAACGTCTCGGCATCTAGTATATCGCCGTGCCTGGGCGTTATGGGCTTTTCGGGAAAGGAGTGCACCATGGTCTCATGTAAGAAGCTGCGATCGCGTAGCCAGTTCTCGTCTTCTTCGCGCAGGTGCCTCGCCAACTCCACTCGCCACGGCGCCCCCTCACCGTTCTCATCCTCATCCCTCTCGTACTCTGGCCAGCGGATCCGGGGGCAGACGTAGAGACGCGGCCCTGCGGGCCTGGTGACGCCAAAGGCTTCCTCCAGCTCCGTCCAGCCGCGGACGAGCAGGCGCGGGTCCTCGCCGAGGGGCAGGTCCTGGATGTCGATGTCGACGCCGGGTCGCGGGTCGACCTCGAGCCAGCGCAAGGCGCCGGCGGGGTGGTCCCGTCGGGCGAGTGGGATGGTCTGGGCGAAATGGAGGGCAAACGCTCGGCTCGGTGGGAACTCGCCCTGGCCTCGGTAGCACGACCGGAAGCGGAAGGCAAAAAGCACGGAGCGGAGTCTGCGCTGCAGGATGTCGGTCATCGACGCCGCCGCCGCCGGGTGGAGGTCTGAGGGGGTCAATTCGAAGTGCTCGGAGTATACTATCGAATCCCCGACGATCGTGTGTTCGCACGAGAAGAATCCATGGTTCAATGCGAGATGAGCAATGCTATTGTGGGTTGGGACTTAGTACTCGGTCAGGATCACGGAAGAATCTGCAAACTTACCCTTGATTCCTGGGGTCGTAGGCCTTGACGTCGTGTAGGAAGTCGGCTAGCAGGGTGGGAAGATGAGGATTAGGGGGTGTGGTGCGGCTTTCGTCCTGCCGGGGCTGGATCGAGACGATATCATAGTCTGGGTTCAGGTACAGGACCTGCTCTCTCTGCAGCCCAAAGAAGGGCAGATGCACGCGATAGAACCCTAACGTGGCCCGTCTCGATTCGTGGTTCACCCATAACAACGGGCTAAAGGATCCGGCAGGGCCTTGTTCGCGGCGGCCGCTCCAGCTCAGGACATAGCCCCGACCGCTGACGACGTTGCCGAGCTTGTTGCGGTTGGTGTAGGTGTAGTACGGGAACTGGGAGTCATGGTCTGGGTAGGTGGTATCGGTCACATCCTCCTCAGCGGCGGGCCAGATGTCGAGCTCAATCATGCGGTGCCGCCGGAGGCATGCCTGCCAAACGTACAGGCGCAGTTCCGCCGGGAGACGAGAAAACGGAGCCCATGTTGTGTCGCGCGGCGCTGGCGGTTCCCAGCGTTCGAAATGCACATCGTTGAAGAGCCTGGGCAGCGTCGACCCGGACGTCTGCGTGTCCGTCTGGGTTGCAGCAGAAGTGTTGTCCATGATCAAGTAAGATGCGGCGGTATAACAAACTTATGGGCCTGGTCCACGTCACACGTGTTTGACAATTGAGATGAGGTTAGGGCGACCGATTTGTCCTGGGGCGGGGGTCTTTTGTAGCTGTGCCGCCAACGCCGCCTGGACCCTCGCCACTGATATGGTGGGGGTTGTACTCCGTATTGCAGTACAACTAGTACTTGATACCTGATAAGATTGGTTACTGTAGTAAACAGATAATAGTGTCAGTTGAAGGATTCAGGGGTGTATAATCGGGCAAGGAAGGAAGCAGGGGGAGCCTCGCAGTGCAGTCGCCGTTTTGTGGTCTGTGCGTCACAGCGTATACAGTACCCGAACGATACTGCTTCATCTCCATTGCATGTAATCTTAGTGTGTGACTGCTAAGGACTTAGCTCGCTTATTACCGCCCGCAATTGGGACTGCGCAACCTCGGAGTGCGGAACGCATTTGATTTCCTCGAGGCAACAACGCCAAAATCAGACGACGAATTTCAACATCCTGCATCGATGTCCTTTGGGGCGGCAAATTCCGACTCCTTAAGCACCTAGTGGACATCAAACATGGAGGCGACACGGCGGTCACCTGGCATCCTACATTTGCCACATGTGCGTGCGCCATCCAGAAGACCAGAACCAGAACCTCCAGAAGTCAGTGGCCGCCCGCTATGGCGCCCGGTGTCCGGTGATGCACTTCGAGGATCCGCGACTTGAATGTTGATTATCCTACCAAGGTGCCACCCACACGACGACGCTTGTGTACCTTAGAACCGCGCCCCAAAATAACTCTGTCACCTGTGCCCTGGCGTTTGGTTACACGACCTACCTGAAGGCTGAGCCAGCTCGGATTTTGCGGACGCGTGTGGTCCCACGGCCCCCAAACGTGCTGTTGCGCATTTGCGCATCGCCACATCTGCCAGGTGCAACAAAGGATCCGCATCTGTTACAAAGACGTAAGTATGTTGTGTAAGATGGCAAAGCACGGCCGGCCCTTGGGATTAGGTCCGGCCACACCTAATGCAGGCACAGTCCCAAGAATCTGGTCCGTGATTTTCACCTTCTCACACACGATATTCCTACTGAGAAGATATCACATCCGGCATGACTTACGTGAGAGATGGGTGTCTCAAACCTGCCCGGGTAACTTTGACCTTGGTTACTTGGTATGGACTTGCAAAAATAGCTGCTGACTTCAACTTCTCTCACTCAGAACCGTACCTAGGTACAGGTATCTAGGTAGTTACCATGCCCAGGGTGCCGTAACCAGTCTAGGCCACAAGCAGCTGATCCATCCTTCTAGCGTCCTTTTCTTTTCACCTTCTTCTGCCGCTTTCTCGCTCTTCCTTTTTTATCAGGCAATAAGCACAAGCTGAAGAAGAAAAGGAAACAGAAAGATGAAGTTGGAAAGGTATTACAAACTGTTCCCATCCGCGCAGTCTCACGGCCCTTTAAACCGGCCCGCCCTCTCCCTCTGCTGACCAGCGCCCTCGGAACCTGACGGCGGCGTTGCGCGGCTGCTCCGACCTGCTCTGGATCTCTCGACCATGGCGGTTGACACCGAGACGGCCATGAAGCGTTTTGCCTTCTTGCCAAGTTCCCCGGCCAAGGGGCAGGGACCCCGCGTACAGTAGCATGAGATACCGTGACGCAGAAGCCATTGTCGAGGCTCGCTACCAAGGCTTGTGATAGATATAAATGGCGACGCCATGTCGAGTATCCAGCCCTCAGATCACAGACAACCTCGCATCAACGCCTCAAAGCACACGAAACATCGTATCTATTCCATCTTCATCCATCCCTGCCATCTTGAGTTTGCTATCTTCCTTGATACCTTCTCATCTCAGACGTTCAACATCTTCGCATCATTCTCCCCAACCGTTAGATAGACCCTTTTGCAATGGCTACTACTATCCCTGTCCCCATGAATGGGTGCGAACACGCCTACGCTAGCCAGACTCTGACGACCTCCGGGCTCGATACATGTATCGGCGTTGTCGCGTATGGGCTCCCGGCAGCCCCAGGAGGCATCAACAAGGTCATGGCACACTGTGCGACTGGCCGTGCCGCTGCGGTCATTGGTGGCAGCTTTCTCACAAAGGTGCGGAACTCGCGTATGCAGGTCGTGGGCATCTGCATGAGCGTCCCGAGCGTGGACCGCAATGACAACGGTCCCGGGAGAATCGACGACAACGTCATCAGACAAAGCCTTGCCACATCGAGGAACATTCACCCAAGTCAAGTCACGCAGCAGATGATCAACACATTCAGGACTGGGCTCCGCAATGCCTTGGCACAAGCCGAGCAGGACGCCAGGACTTACTGCATGCAACTCGGCGTCTCAATCCAGACTTTCCGTCGGAACAACGCTCACGTCCGTGACCCACCCCCGTACGGCACGATGGTGGCCACCAGGAGCCCACGCGGCGAAGTCCGCGCCGATACCAGCAAGATGGCTGACATCCCGGATCCCGTGGCGCAGCCTGCCGCTCCCGCCGCCGGCAGGGGCGCCTCGTCGTCTGGACCTGGGCGAGGCGGCTACTCTGCCTCGTCTTCCAGGCCCAGCGGCGCCAGCAGCGGTGCTATGACGTCCGGCAGCGCTGGCAAGAACCTTCGTGGTGCTACTAGGAAGCCGTGAATGTTACCTAGGGAGTATGTTACGAAGCAAGAGGGGGGGGGAGATGGGGAGAGGAAGTGAGGTTGCTTAGGTACCGTACACGGCGCTGGACTCGCTGTGGGGAGAGGGGATGAAGACTACAAGCTCCTGCCGGTCAGGGGTCGGCTTTGGTCGAGGTGTTAGGCGTTTGGCGTTTGGCGTTGGATGCTAGTATCGATGCACTAGCGGGTTCTAGAGCATCTGTCGTTGCCTTTTAGCTTTGATTAGGTCAGGTACCTATTCAAATCGCAGTTCTACCCACTGCATGTTCAAACGAAAAGAATCGTGCGAACAGGTTGATCTCCTCGTTTGGACCTTTGCCCTAACGGTGGCATCAGGGTCAACGTCGAGGTCCGCCCCTTACTGATACTCCCCAGCTGTGTTGTGTAAATTCAGAGGTCGAAGGTTTGTAATCTAGGTAGGTGACATGCCCTTACCGCCACAGACCACGACAACGCGCTTCGGACGCATGCAAGGTGACCTCCCTTCTATAGCTTCGATTTCTCCGGCAACAGGGGATATCCCCGCGGATATGACTCTGCGAAATGAATTAGCCAGGCAACCTAGGCTTTTCGCCATAGTACAACGGCATTACTAGGAGCAACTCACCCAGCGCAGTCCTGTCTATCTGGTCTACACTCTGGAAACCAGCAACATTGAGCAGGATATCGAAATCGGCGAGCAGGCTCTTCATAACATGGCGGACGCCGTGCTCGTCCATGATGGCTAGGCCCTAAATCCACAACCGACCCACGAAGACGAACTTTGCACCCAGCGCAAGGGCTTTGAAGACGTCCGAAGCGCCACGAATGCCCGAAATCGAATATGATGTATGTCTTGTCGCCGACAGCTACCACGCCAAACGTCAGCGCGAACCCAACAAAGCAGACAATCCCCAGGAGCCCAAGGACAAGTTGGTACCATACCATCCACAACTCTCTGCAGTGCGTCCAGGCTGGCACAAGCACCACCCACCTGCCAGCATGGTTGCTAACCACTATGCCATCGCATCCAATCTCCACCGCTCGCTTCGCATCCTTGACGTCTTCAGGGGCAAACGGCTTCCCGCCGGAGAGCTCCTTCATACGCCCATGACCCACTTGACCTTCTCCCACGTGTGGGCGCGGCCGTGCCAGACATTGTCGATCCACAGCGCGCCTGCCTCGTCCGGCTGCTTGACGGGATCGATGCTCTTCTCCTTGAGCCGCTTCTGGAAGACGGGGTCGCTAAGGCCGAGTTCGGCTCCGATGCCCTAGAATGATGAATAAAGAAAGAGCCATAAGCATAACATAAGAACTCCAACAACCAGCAAAGACCCAGCACAAACTCAACTCACATGATAAAAAGCATAATTGCTCGTCGCAACATCATCATGCCTCCAGCCCAACTGCCACGTATCCACCGTCAAGAAAAGCACCCCTGAAATCCGCTCGCAACGGCCCTCTTCAACAAACTAACCGTCAGCTCGTCATCATGGGGCATATACAGCTGAAAGAACCGGACGCCACCGCTGGCGCCGGCCCCATTCGCCTCCGGAACGCTCTCAATCGGCTGGCTGCCCGCTGTTGCTCAGGCAGTACGGCAAGTTTCAGCTCGGCCCGCGGCGCGCGCGCCACGGCCAGCTTGCCGTGGCGGGGTGGTAGATCTTGTTGATGGCCCACGTGCGCGAAGCCGATGGGCGCCGCCACCACCTTGTGACTGTGACTGTGACCTCTGTGTTTTTGGGTGCCGCCGAAGAAGAGGGTCGTGGTGGCGGTGGCCGTGTCGCGCGCGTTGGTGTCGACCAGCATGGCGCGGCACGATGCGGTGCCCGGTAGAAGGTCCTGCCGGTTGGCCGTGTTGCGTGTGCGACTGCCCTGCGTTGGAGCTCGGGATCTCATGTCGTCTTGCACTACCTGGTCCATGTCTTCCATATCCGGGAAGGCGCAAGGGCATTCCGTGGCCTGCCTTCAAGCGTGCGACGAACGACTGTCTCGAGGCTGCTAGTGATGCAGCATTGGAGTTTAGACGCAAGCGATGTAGAATAGTACAGCGGCTACCGGTCCATTATACCTCATCATTCCTATAATATGTTCAACGTCCATATGTCGAGCGGAACCATGAATACCTTACCTTCCTAGTCATATATCGACTTCATCTTTTCTCCTATTACGTTGAAACTACAGGACTGATCACATGCCTAGGCAGCATTCGCCTAGGAGTTACTACCATAGGATACGACATAGTATACACTATCTGAGTCAGGAGTCAGACTATACTATCCGTTATACAGTACTAATACTAGCAGTACCTGTAGTCTTGGATCTTGGCAGCGGTCGGGCTAACCTTTGCCCGTATGACACTAGTCCGACAAATATGATATATCCGCCTCCATCTCTCCGCCTTAACACAGTATTTTTCTTTGTCCCACAGGTCAGTCATCAGCAAAGCCAACATGTGGCCCATGCCGCACTCGTTTGGCGGCTTCGACCGGTGCAGGGGCTGCGACCACCCGCGGCCGCGCTACACGGGCGGCTACGCGTCGGTGCGCTCCAGCCTGGGCACCATGCTGTCTATGGCGCGGTACACGGGCTGCGAGGTGTGCGCGGTCCTGTCGGACGGCATCCTGAAGTTCCTGTCCGATGAGTCGTGTGGGATATCGCGCGCCGACGTGGACCAGCTGCAGATCGACTTCAACCTGGCCGGGTCGAGGCGGAGCCTGGAAGTCAGGGTGCTGAACACGAGTACCAAGCTGTGTTTCTTCGCTTTGGAGAGTGAGTTCCGTCGGCTGCTGACCACCCGTATCCGAGGGTAAGGGGAACAAAAGGTACGGGTGCTTACTAGCCTTGACCACAGCGACACCATGGCTCACCGAGACCATCCCGGATCTACCTCTAGGGAGGGATGTGCCCCAGACCACCTCGTCCGAGGAGAGTCTTTCCTGGGCGATGCAGCAGCTCGAGACCTGCAAGCAATCCCACAAGAACTGCAACACCAATTACTACTCCGCCTCACCCCTCCCCAGCCGAGTCCTCGACGTGTTCGCCGCGGACACGGGAGACGGCGGCGTACGGCTGCACGAGCCGGAACCCGACCAACAAGCGGCGCCGTACGTCGCGCTGAGCCACTGCTGGGGCCGGCAGCCGTTCCTGCGCACGCTGTCGGGCAGCCTGGACGCGCACCGGTCGGAGGGCATCGCGTGGGCGCGGCTGCCGCAGACCTTCCGCGACGCCGTCGAGGTCACGCGCAGCCTGGGCGTCCGCTACCTGTGGATCGACAGCCTGTGCATCGTGCAGGACGACGAGCACGACTGGCGCCGCGAGGCCGCGCGCATGGCCTCTGTCTATCAGAACGCGGTGCTTGTCATCTCCGCGGCGAAGTCGCAGGGTGCGTACGGCGGGTTGTACGCTGATCTGCCGGACAGGCATAGGGTTTACACGGTTAAGCATACGCCGAGAAGGAATACCGTCTCACGGACTCCGTCTCCTACTACCCCTTCCGATGACGATGGTACCGCCTCACCACCAGACAACAACCCAATAAACGTTCAAGAAGAGACGATCCACCTTCGCCAATCCCTAACCCACCCCTACCGCTTACTATCCCCCTACCATTCCACCTCTTCCTCCTCCACCCTCCCCGTCTTCACCCGCGGCTGGATCCTACAAGAGCGCTTTCTCTCGCGCCGCATCCTGCACTTCGGGCCCGAGGAGCTCGCCTTTGAGTGTCTCGAGTCCAGCACCTGCCAATGCAGCCCCATCACCATCACCACCACCACCACCACTACTAGTACTGATCAACTCGGGGCACCGGCGTGGTACAGAAACACGCTTGACCGCACCGCCCGCCCGAAGTACTACTACGCCTTGTCCACCTGGCAGGCCTGGTTGCGCCCAAGGAGTACCACCACCACCACCACCACCACCACTACTACTACTATCACTACTAGTACTAGTAGTGAGAGCGAGGGGGAGAGGGAGCTACGGGTGTGCTGGCGCAGGCTAGTAGAGGATTACACGCGGCTGCAGCTCACTTTCGAGAAGGATATCTTCCCCGCTATCGCCGGGATGGCGCAGCTGATGGGGAAGGTTAGGAATGGCTCAAAGTATGTGGCTGGCTTGTGGGAGGATAGCTTGGTGAAAGGGGATCTGCTGTGGCATGTGCAGTTGCCGCCGTCCTCGCCGACCGGGGACGATGATACTACTACCAGTATTAGTGAGGGCGGGTTGGAAAAAACCTGGATGGTCCGCCCGACCAAGTGGCGCGCGCCGTCGTGGTCGTGGGCGAGCGTCAAGGCGCCGGTCGAGTTTGTCCACAACGAGCACGGGTTTGAGTCCGAGTGTGAGGTCGTTGATGTACGGTGTGAGGCGGCCGGCCCGGATCCGATGGGAGAGTTGGCTGAGGGAGGAGCAAGCTATCTTGTTCTGAGGGGCCGCTTGATTCCGGCGTTGCTGCGGTTGAAGGAGCGGAACAACGAGGCGCCGCAGCCGTGGAATCTGATCGATTTGGATATTCTGGACGGGGGTTTCTGTAAGAATCTGTGGGCCGACGACGACTGCAAGAGCCTCGTGACGGCGGCCGGAGCCGAGCAGCCGAGGGTGTATTGCCTCATCGTGGCTCGCAAGCTGCCACGGAGGGAGGTCATTTGCTTGGTGCTTACGGGAGTCAACGGGGATGAGCATCTGTACCGGCGCATCGGCTTGCTAGAAATCTGGGGGGCTCCATCCAGCTATGTGAACAGCGCGGACTGGGCATGGCTGCGTGATCTCCGCGAAAAGGGAGAGGACGCCGTGGTGCGCATTGTCTAGGCGGAACTGTGTTGTCTAAGGTAGACTGTCACTGCATGGAATCGGCTGGACGAGACTGGCGACAGGCCCGCGGTCTGAGAAAGGACTCATATCGAGATAAACAATCTGGGCGCGTTCGTCCCCTGTGGTCCGGCTCTATTTCCGTGACTCGTTACTTTAGGCTTGTTTGTATTGTTGGTAAACTCCGGGGACGGGGCACCTTGTGTACAACTTTATTCGACCCCGGACGGCCGGGGACCAGATACTTGTACTACTCCTACGGATAGTACAGATCCGTACATACTAGTACAAACACACCGCTCATGCTATACCGTCTTCGAATACCTCCTTGCCATCCGCCTACTGCAGTAATGCTTCCAGCTCGACCGGATACCTGACCACGCCGACCAGGACTTCAAGAATCGATGCAGATATATATACCAGGTACCGAATGCCTTTGCAAAGCTGCTGAATACCCGCTGTGCTCGAGCAAGACAAAATAGATACTTTGCCGAGCCAATAGTGCTCCACGCACCCTATACGTATGTCGTATAGTAGTAGTAGTAACCAACCCTCTCCCAAACGCCGTTCGTCCCGCCTTGTTTTCTCTCGCCATCCATACGCTCCCACCCAAACACACTCACCGCTTTCAGCCGCTATCCTGCCGTGCGCCTATCTTGTCTTCAAAGCATCCGCTGAGTTCCGAGCCTTGTCCTTAAAACCCATAATAACTATGTTGTTCCACCACGCTGCAGGCCAGGCAAATGCCCACCTACTACCTACCTAACCAACCTATGGTAGGTAGTTATTGCCCCCCAATCAGCACCCCTCCGAGCTCCTCGTGCGGAACGTCAGCGCAGGCGCCAATGAAGCAGACCTGTCCCCGCTCCCACAACTCCCACCACCACTACCACCAGCCGCAACAATCTCCTCCGCCTCGGCCTCCTCCCCTTCCAAGACTGGCGAGCACGGACCCCAACCCATCATCTGCTGCTGTTGTTGCCCTTGACCAGGGGATGGAACCTGCGGCGGTAAGAAAAGCGAGTGCGGTCGCTGCGGAAGCGGCGACGCAACAACCCCGTGCAACGGCGTGCCGCTACCACCACCACTCCCATTCAAAACCGCACCCGCGCTCCCCGGCCGCGGGGGCATGCCGGGGAACGACATCCCCATGGTAGTACTAGTGCCCACACCAAAAGCAGCAGGAGGAGGATGCGGGAGGGAGCCCATAGCGGGACTAGCAGCACGACTCCCACCCTGCTGCGGCTGCGGCTGCTGTTCCTGCTGCTCTTCGGCCGCCTCCGAACAGCTCCACAGCGACAAGCCCGAATTGACCCTCACATGCCCCGCCAGATGCGCCGGCACCGTGCCATACGGCGAGTCCGCCCTCTCCGAGCGCGGACTGCCGCCCTCGCGCGACGAACTGACCAAACTCGCCTGTGACCCGCCCCAGGCTTTGCTGCGCAGCTTCATCAGCGCCGACAGCGTCATGTGGCTGTCCGCCGCGGCAGCGTCGTCCGACATGAGGCTGGCCAGCTGCGCCAGCCCGGGGCTTGTCATGGCGGAGGCCGAGTTGCGGCTGCCCGCCACCCCGCTCCCTTCGCTAGTTATGGCCGGCGGGAGGGTGAAGCTCATGACCGAGTTGCGGTTGGAGTACTCGGAGCGCTCGGTGATCGGCGTGAGGTTGGGTTCGCGGCAGACCACGCGGCCCGAGGCGCTGCGGCCGAAGGCGGCGCCCGTGGGGCCGAAGTAGCCGCCGTTGGCGTATTGGAAGACCGTTTCGGTGGTCTGCGCACCCCCTGATGAGGAGGCTGAGGATTGGTGATGGCTGTTGTAGTAAGAGGACGGTTGGTGCTGCGGGATCGGGGCCGAGTAGAAGCCGAATTCCTGTCCATAGAAGCCGTCTGCGTCGTTGGCGAGCGCGCTGGCGTTGGCTTCGGCTATGATGGCTTCGTCGTCAAAGTCGAAGTCGTCAAAGTCGTTCGTAAAGGCGTCATCATCGTAATCATTGATGTACGATTCCGCAGTGTCGTTCAGGGGCGTCTCGGCGAGCCCGGCAAGCACATCGGGCGAAGAGGTTCTACGGAACTTCCCGGATGCTGCTGCCTTCTGTGCAGCTTCAGCAAGCGCAGCCTGGTAGGCTAGATCCTGAGCCGGCATGTCCATCATAGTCGCCATGGCCTCGGGGTGGTCAGCCTTCGAGGAAGACTGATCCGCGTCAGGCGGTTGCTGAAGGACGGCACTCGGTGACGTATGGCCGGTGGATTGTGCGAGCCCTGACTGAGCGGACGCACTAGATGTCATGTCAGAATCGCGCTTAGCAGGCTGCTGCTGCTGCTGCTGTTGGGCAGTCTGCATGGCCTCCTTTGCTTGCGCGAAAGCCCCCGGTATTGGCCTGCCGAACTGGTCCGTGTCATTGATGTCAAAGATTGACTCATCAAAGGGTGCGCCGTCATGCTCAAAGTCCAGCTCGTCAGCCAGGCCATCATCGATAAACAGAAAATCGTCTGCCCGAGGAGGCGGTTGCGATGGACGATATATCGATTGCGGAGCTCCATTGGTACTAGCTGCCTCCAACCCCTGAATGCCAAGACCCGACATGTCGTCCTGCTTGGACAGACGTAGAGGATTGGGATGCACGGGAGAGTCTGCGGTCGGCAGCTCCGAGGTGGTCCCGTAAGTCATGGCGAAGCCGATGGGTTGCCCATTTGCATCTCGCGGCGTCGCTAGCATGGCTGGCGTATGCGGACTTACCAGCGACGATGCAGGGTTCGAGCGCTGGAATGTGAAGCCGGCAAAGTTCTCCTGGTCGTTATCCGGGTCCATGGCAGCTTCCAGGTCTTCTTCCTCGTCGTAATCAGCGTTGACACCCGGTATCCGCTCCTCCAGCCCGTCGTCGTCCATCATCGCGTCATAGTCAAAATCATCATCAAAGTCGTCAAACCTCGTATCAAGATCGGCCGGGTCGTCCGACGTTTTCTTTTCTTGTTGCCGAAGCCGGTGGCGCTCCTCCAACAGCCTCTCCTGCTTGGCAGCTCCGATCATATCGAAGCTGAACCTGGATGACGTGCTCTTCATATGTCTCGGGATGGCAGACGCGGCAGAATCCCGCCTCGAGACCTCCGACACGGATAGCTGGCGAGATGCAACGGACCTCATAGACACTGATGCGAGCGCCGGCAGGGGCCCAACCTGCGTGGCCCGGGAAGCGGCCGAGGATGAGGTGCGGAGGCTGCTGCTGGACTCGTCCTTGGGCGGGACCTGTGGCACAGGCGCAGACTGCTCCGGTGGTATGCCATGCGAAGGGAGCGCTTTGCTTTCTTGTACCCCCTGTTTCTCGTCGCTAGTCGCGTCAACATCACCGCTGAACGGTTCCGGTGAGTGGGGCGACAGCGGTACGACCGGAAGGGGAGCCGCCGCCTTCTCTCCGCCCTCTGACAAGCTACCGACAGTTGGAGCCACTTCGGGATTTGCAGCTCCTGCAATATCGTTGCTTGGTATCGCCTTCTTCGGCCGCGGCGCGCTAAAGTCATGCACCCTGGTGCCCTTGATGCGCGGGTCGTAGCTGGGTGCGGGTTGGGCGTCGGCCACAGTCTGAGCTGTCTTCCTCCTCGACAGGAGAGATGACATTGGGTTCTTCAGAAACGGCAAGCCCTTCTTCGCCTTCTGCGGTTCGGAGGCCACGCTGGCTGCCGGCGCAGTTGCCAACCGCGTGCCGCCGGGCCGCTGCTTGCCGGCGGCTCCTCCAGACGCCTGAGCCTCAATTGGCGCTGAAAACCACGAAGACCTCGTCTGCTTGTTCCCTACCAATGCTGGTCGAGCGGAATATCCCGCCCCTGTGTCGATCGGGGGTGGGGGAGGCTTCGACCTCGAGAGCTGGCTCTCTGGAAGCGGAAGCGGGGTCGCCATGGCTGCAGCAGGCTCGGGAGGCTGCAATTGCTCTACTGCCTTGCGATAGTTTTGCAGCGCCACTCCGCCGATGAAGCCAGAATTGGTCTCCTCGTCGTAGGCACGGCGAGCCGGGGGGTTGCCGGGGTTTTGCGGGGAGGGCTGGGCATCGTCGCGTAGGCCAAACGAGCGATCGGAGCCGGTCGACGCCACGCGGGCAATTGGCGGCAATATGGGCGGCATTTGCGAGGAACCGGGTGATCGGGGGCGTGCATCGGTGCGCGGTGCGACATCTCGCGCCGACGGCGGATGCTCACGTTGCGCAGCAGTGTCGCAGGCGTGGGACTGGTCTGGAAGAGGTGACGTCGGATTCGACGGGGCGCGTCGATGGAGTCGGAGGTGAGACAACATTTTTCAAGCCGGCCTACAACGCCACAAGTGTTCCCAACAGTGTTATACGATACACGGGTTTGTGTGAACGCCCCGGGCAACAAGCGAGGCGCAGGAGCAGCATCGAGTCGCAAAGCCCGCTGACGCGGTCCCCTCGGTGGGGCGCGGTACGATCTGTCGTCGCCTTAGGGATGTCAAAACAGTAGATACGTGGCGGTGAAGTTCGGGCGGAAATGACGGCAAGCTATTGACAACGCAGTCGGCATGACGTTCGTCGAAAATTAAACAGCAGCTTGCATAGATCCAAACCAGCAAAGGCTGTGCGGCCCAGGTCGTTAACATCGAAGCATATCATGGCCCGTGCGCCCCGCATCCAATTTCCATGCAAGTTCGTCCCGCTGTGGGTCCGCGCTAACGCTGACTTAGGGTACGGATTGCCGGTAACACCTGCCCGATCTCCTTGAAATGTTCTTTTCGATTCTTCTTGTATATTTTCTCTTTTTCGATCTTCTTCGACTGAGGTTTTTTTGGTTTGCCTTGGGTGCCACTGAGAGGCCTTGATCAGTCCATAGGCCCGGGACCCGCACCCGGACTGAAGCTGATCAGGCTGCAAGGTCCCGAGGCTTGCCCCACCAAGACAATTTCCGAGTCGAGACACCACCGCGAGTCTAATAATATCCGCAAAAGTTCGGGTTAGGGCGTCCCAAGTTCGATCACCATGGCCTTGCGACAGCAGGTTTTCGAATACGAAGGTTTAGGGGGCCGCCCAGAAACAGACGCCAGGTGCTTCTAGGTTCCTATCCGAACTCTGCTGCAGTCTATACCAGTTTAACCAAGGCAGCGCCCGGGTTCTGGCCAAGACCAGGCAAGGAGAATACAAGAATGTTCTTAGGTCGAGGATTAGGTGTCCTGCTCGAGATGGGGCAGGTTTCCGTTTCATCCTATACCAAGCGGTTGCCGGTCGTTGGGTGCACGACACCATTCCTAAATTGAGCCTCATATCCTGTTTACAATTTACATCTTCCGAGAGGTCAGGTAGTCTGTACACTACGCCTCGAACTCAGGGTACGTATCGTCAGACTTCAGGAAATCAAAGAAGTTTCCCTCTTGTCTCAGCTCCCCGAACGCACATGCCGACTACCATCCAGCAGCTCCGCCCAGTCCGGTTGCTAGTCCCTATAATCTCCGAATTCACAGTGTACGTCACCCACCCACAGTCTGCTAGGAGGAAGTGCTAGGGTCCGTTACAAGCCTTCTCCAACACCTCACGCAGCAGGCTTTCTACCCCCTTAACAGTCTCCTCAGTTGTCCTCTGGCCGGTCATCAGATACAGTGTGTTGCCCAGCACCCGACTGTGCACGTTCCACCGCGACTGAGATTGGTCGCTGGGGCCATAGGAGTGGACACGTCCCCGAAGCAACGCAGCGTGAACCGCCCTCGCGGCACTGCCCTTGTATCCCGTGCTGCCATCGACGCTGGTGAGCCGAATAGCTAGGACAGATCCGAGCGCCCACACGCCGCCGACGAAGCGTGTCGGTAGCGCACCGACCCACGACAGAAACTCCGGACTCCAGACAGACCAGGCAAGGCATTCTGTCGCGTGGTTTGTTGCCGATGGATCTCGATGAGAATCAGTTCGCTCGTGCGCAGCGCGAGCCCAGTCCCAGTCCCCTCGCGCCTCCATTCTCTGCATCTCCCGGAGGCTCGCAAGCGCCACCTGGCATCCGACGGGGTGCGCCGTGTAACTGTGGCCGTGCAGCAGGGCGTCGCTCTTGTCGTCGCTCGCGAAGGCTCGGAAGATGCTATCGGACGCGGCGGTCACGCTGAGCGGCACCAGCCCGCCCGTTAGCAGCTTGGCGTGCACCGAGATGTCCGGGTGGACGCCGAGGAAGGACGCGGCGCTGAAGCGGCCGAACCGGTACAGTCCCGTGAATACCTCGTCGAAGATCACGGGGAGGCCCGTCCATGTTTGGTTGTGTTCAGCCACTGGTACTGGGTTGATGGTGGTGCTAGGTGTGGTTCGGCCGAAGAGATGTGCGGACTGTCGGACGGTGCTGACGAGGGTCCGCTGGAATAGGGGGTCGCTAAAAGTCTATCCGTCAGTTTTTGCATCTCGAGTACCATCGGATGAACCGTGAGGGCTGTAAGCCAACGCTTTGAGCAACTTACACCAGCAACATGCCGCCCGCGCCGAGGACGACGGGCTCAATGATGAGAGCCCCGAACTTCCGCCCCTGGGCAGCCAGTCTCTCAAGCGTGGTGCGGATGAACCGTCCATAAAGCCGGCCTTCACCCGCTGCCTCCCGGCGTTCGACATCAAAAATGGCAGAGAGATGAGGATAGGCGGCGCCAGGCGTTGATGTCCCATCACCACCAAACTCCCGCATCCCGTCCGGCATTTTGATCCTCCACGCACCCTGACTACACTCAACAGTCGGATACTCGAACCAGAACCCCTTGCCTTCATACCACTCCACCTTCTCGTTATACACGCTCGGCTCGGAGCAGTCCATGGCCCCAATGGTGTCGCCGTGGTAACTGCCCTGGAGACCCAGCACGCCCAGCACCTCCTCATCCCCATCCCCATCCCCATCCCGGCCTGGTCCCGTTCCACTTTCCCAGCCATACCGCAGCCTCGCAGCACGAAGCGCCATCTTGACCGCGACCTCGACGCCCGTGCTCCCGTTATCCGAGAAGAACACGCGCGAGAGCCGCGGGTTGTCCAGGCCCGCCAGCAGCGTCTCGGCCAACGCGAGCGCCGGCTCGTGGATGGCCTCGGCGAACATGACGTGGCCGTAGCGCCCGGCGGCGTAGGCGGCTGCGAGGGTGAGGTGCGGGTTGCCGTGGCCCAGGCCTTGCGTCCACCACGAGGCGGAGCCGTCGAAAAATGGCTGCAATAACGCATCGGGATCATCTAGATTTGTTGGTGTGGTAGTGCTAGTGCTAGTGGTGGTGGCTTTGGACTGGAGAGTGTGGAAAAAGTCCCCCCTTGCCGAGTCGATGACGACGATCTTCTCCGGCGTGAGGTCCTTCTGCTGCGTGAAGGGATACCAGATCTTCTCGGACGCTGCGGCGCTCATGGACCCCAGACGCGAGACACGCGCGTCGTGGCGAGCGGACAGGTGGCTGAGGGTGTCTTGTACTTCACGACTCTGGCTGCAGTCGTCGTAGTAGCGGGACAACCGCGCAGCATCCGAAACCGCGTCGTCGTCCTCCAAAGGCTTGGGCGGCGGCTCCGGCACCGTCCTGACCGGGATCTCGTGCCGCTGTGCAAAGTAATGGGCCAGATACGAGTGATTGTTGTACGTGGCTTCTCGGAAGAGCAGAACTGTCTCGACATCGTAGCCGCGGATCTTGAGCGATTCAAATGCTGAGATGGTCTGCGAGATGCCCCCGAGCTTGCTGTCGCCGATCAGAATGACAGGCAGCCGTAGCGGCATGTACAGATCTGCTTGCGTGGAACCGGACGGGGACGGCGAGTGGACGCCCCCTGCTGTCTCGACGAAGAGCCATCCTGGGCCGTGATGCGCCTGCTGGGCAGCGTAGCTTGAGATTTCGGCGAGGAGGGCATCGTCTGGAGGGATGGACTTGGGGAAGTTAAGTTTTAGGATCTTCCCGTCTACTGATGAGGGACGACATAGTTCGGAGACTCACTTTGTTCGAGGAGCGAGCCGCAATGTGGGGGCTGACGGCGAGGTCGTACTGGAAGAGCGTCTTTGCAGCGATCTCTGGTGCGAACCTTCGAACGTGTCTTCGGGTGGGGTGTCAGTGGTATGGAATACTCGGCTGAGTTCTTTCATGAAAAGAGTCATCAATCATCTACATGTTTCAGAGCATCCGAAGTCTAGTTAGCCACGAGACCGTTAATGATAATCAAGAGTAAACAAAGGCGGCCCTACACCGGTCATCTGCAACCTCATCAGGACCGGTCGAAACCGGTTTGAGATAGGTGGTGCGTTGACTCGGCCATAGCCCGCGAGCAGCTTTGCAGAGGATGGTAGCGATGATGGTCTTGCCAACGTCGGTGTTGGCACCGTAGACTTGGTACACCCGGAGCGAACGCCACAGCAGCGAGCTGACTGGTGCCGGCATTCGAACCATTTTCTTTTTCTCTGCCTTTGTTTTGGAAGATGATTCCTCAATGTCACGAAGTCCTCTACGGCGGCTTAAAGAATCCGTGATTGTGACTCAGTTTGTGGACGCCCCCCGACTCGGGGCCTGCGGAGAAACGAGGGGATGCGATCCTCGGGAGCCGAAGGCTAAATTCCATTCCCAATACGGCAATCGCGAACCAATCGACCATGCATGATGCAGGCACGCTGTGCGACATTTTTACACAGCTCCCAATGATCAAGATCTGCGTACGGCGTACCGACAGTTTGATAAGCACGGCATGAGTCACGGTGTGCGCTTCGTGGATCTAGCTGAGTTTAGCAGTAGACCGACTTGTCAAGGGGGTTAGAATGGTCGTGGATGATAAAACATCTTGAACCAGACCACCAAGCCACTCTATCCCCAACATGTCCCAAAAAGGAAGTCGGCTGGGTGACGTGCTCGCCCACATCCTCGACCGTCGACGATCGCGCAACCAACTGCGAAGCCTGACGACCGTCCCTCAGGGCACAGTCGACTTCTCCTCCAACGACTACCTCTCCCTGTCCTCTCAACCCACCATACAACGAACGTTCCTGGCCCGACTGCATGCAACAGTCGACTCCAACTCCAACTCCAACTCCAACCCTAACTCTAACTCAAGAGTCAATGGCATGTCCCCGCTCTTAGGCTCGGGCGGCTCCCGCCTGCTAGACGGCAACTCCCCGCTCGCCGAGTCCCTCGAGCGCACCATCGCCGCCTTCCACCGCGCCCCGGCCGGCCTACTGTTCAACTCGGCCATGGACGCCAACGTGGGCCTGTTCGCCTGCGTCCCGCAGCCGGGGGATGTGGTTGTGTACGACGAGCTGATCCACGCCAGCGTGCATGACGGCATGCGGCTGAGCCGGGCGGGCGGGAGGATTCCGTTTGCACACAGTTGCGTTTGGGAAGAGGGTTCGGAATCGGATGGCAGAGGTGGCGCTTCGAGTGGAAACACAGGGACGTCGCTGGAGGCCGTGTTGCAGTCTCTATTGCAGGGCCCCGGGGGGGATCTGTTCCGATCCGGTGCGAGGAATGTCTTCGTGGCTGTCGAGGGCCTGTACAGCATGGACGGCGACGTGGCTCCGCTGGCGGAGATCGTCGACTGTGTTGAGAGGAGTCTACCCGGTGGCAATGGGTACATCATTGTCGACGAGGCGCATTCCACCGGGATCTTTGGCGACCGTGGTCGCGGGATCGTCTGCGAGCTGGGCCTGGAGGAGCGCGTGTGGGCGCGCGTTCTCGGTTTTGGCAAGGCCATGGGTTGTGCAGGAGGTAAGGTAGCTGGCATCCAAGCTCCCTTCCTGCTGCCTCCTTCTCAAATCCACACGTACTGCTCGAAACAATTACTACTAGTACACTAACAAACATCCAGGAATCATCCTCTGCTCACCCACCACCCGCACGTACCTTATCAACTACGCCCGCACACTCATCTACACCACCGCCATGGCCTTCCCCTCCCTTGCGGGCATCGAAACGACGTACAAGTTCCTCACGGCTGGACACGCCGAGCCCTTACAGAACCACTTACATCACTTGATCCAGGAGACACACAAGCTCCTCCGCGCACTGTGCTTCTCCCGCAATCCGCCGCCAGACCTGCTCCGCGTCGCTGCGCCGGCCGCAGTAGAGCCTCGGTCGCCCATCATCCCCGTATTCACCTCCCTCCCGCGTAGCTTAGCCCAGCACTGCCAGCAGAGCGGGTTCATGGTGCGGCCCATTGTCGCGCCGACTGTGCCGAGGGGGAGCGAGAGGATAAGGGTTTGTCTTCATGCCGGGAACACGGTGGAGCAGGTACGGGGCCTGGTTGCGGCGGTTGAGGCGTGGCTTGTTGCATGTGAGAATGGGGTTGTAAGGAGGGGGATGGAGGAGTTGGGTGACGGTGATGTGGGGCGGGGCGTTCAAATGAGAATTAAGGGGAAGCTTTAGATGCATCAAGGCGCTTATTTCGAATTGGCGGGGATATATTCGCCCAAAATGTGAGTGGCTTTGCGTTTCTGGTGCTCGGGCCGCCCCTGAAGAAGTGTACGCGGTGTACGTGAGTCCGATTTATAAGTCATTATGCAAACGCGATCCTCTAAGTCGAAACCCAGCTCGCTTCCACTCCTGAACCTAACACTTGTACACAAACATACCTTAGTTCTAGTTATCTCCATATCCTAGAGCTAAAGACCGTCGGGATCACTGGGACCACTCGAGGTACCCGGTACCTGAGGCAAGAAGGACCTAATCCCCGGTTACGACTGCCCTAACGAGTCGCCTTCCAGATTTTATTTCCTGCACCTTCCTCTCCTGACACCCATCAAAGGATATAGCAATGCCCAAGTTCAAGTCATACACCCTCACTTGTCATCCGATCGCTTGCCCTCTACATCAATACCCCTCTCTGCTATGTGAAAGCTGACAGACATTACTCCAGCCTCACGAGCATACATGGAATACATTCGATACTGCATCACCCTAGTATTAATCTGCATCAGCCATTCCCTCCGCCTTCACAGACTCCTCATCGGCGCTCCAATGGCGGCACCACCCTCCGTACAACAACGCAAGGTCATCGTGCTCTGCGACGGCACCTAGTGCGGCCGCGAGACCAAGACCAAAAGCAATATCAACTACCTCGCGCGCATGATGGGCATCGACCTAGAGCATGGCGTCACAGAGTACCACTCGCCCCAGGACGGCATCCACGCCAAATACTTCGATGGCTCCGGCCTGGGCGGCGATTTCATGCGCTACCTTTGGGACGGGGCGCTGGCGACGCACGCCAAGGAAGAATGCAGCGCGGTCTACGACTTCATCGTACAGTACTCCGACTGGGATCATGACCGGGTCAGCACGGAGGTGTGGATGTTCGGGATCAGCCGCGGGGCCTACATCGTCCGGTCCGTCGCGGGGATGATCAACAACTGTGGCATCATCCGAGACATCCCCCACAAGGCCAAGCTGATCGAGGACAAGATGATCTACGACATCTACCGCAACCCGCACCCGGTGCACCACCCTTCCTCGCCCGAGATGCGCGACTTCCGGGACAAGGCCAGCTACGCAGTGCGCACGCCGGTCAAGTTCATGGGCCTGTTCGACACGGTCGGCAGCCGGGGCGTGCCGCGGCTCAACTACGACTCCGGCACGGGTTTCGAGTGGCCCGAGTTCTACGACGCCTGCGTCTCGACGGCCGTCGAGAAGGTCTACCACGCCGTATCGATCCACGACCGCTTCTGGGGGTTCCAGCCGTGCCTGGCCTCGCGGGCCCCGCCCAGTAAGAATAACGATAACAGGGCTACTACTATTACTAGTACTAGTAATAACAACCTCAAGATCCGCCAGAAGTGGTTCCCCGGGTGCCACTACGATCTCGCGCGGCAGGAGTTCCAGTTCCTGCGGGAGGGGGCGAGCTGGAAGGAAAGGTTAGTCTTCTGGCTGTTGAACCCGCTCAGCAAGACCGTCTGGCCCAACCACAAGCTGGCCGATCTGGCGCTGCTCTGGATTCTGCAGGGCATCGAGCGCGAAGGGGGCGGCGCCTTGGTCCGGAAGGAGCTGGACGGGCGGACGGACAGCGACATCGGCGCGGCCATCGTCCAGACGCGGCAAAGGATCCTCCACCTCGCGGGGGATAGGAAACATTTGATTGGCACGGGCGACGTGTACGACGACATCCTCAGCTACCTCCCCGGCGGGCGGCTGCTGTCGGCGCCGATACGCTGGGCCAAGCGGATGAACGAGACGGCGTATGCCGTTCTGTTCAAGGGGGTGGAGAGGGTGATCCCGGACCCGGGGATTGGCACGGATGCGGAGGACGCGCCGGTCTGGAATGAGGTGTATGACTACACCGTCCCGGACACGGATGGCCTGGGAGCTCTTGGGGTTGCGGCGATCAGGGACCTTGCGGGGGTCAATGAGAAGCGGTATCCGTCGAGGACGTTTCAGAAGTATCGCGTGTATATGCAGACAGTTCAGCGGCAGCCGTAGGGGGAGTGAGGGTGGGAGGATAATGGAAAGGAAGGCCTGTGGGGGCTTTTGTTGTTGTTCTTGGTTCTGGAAAGCTGGCGGATGACGATGATAACGACGTGGGATTCGTATCCATGGGGCGGTTGGCAAGGAGGATTGGCTCAGGGCTGATCTGATAGCGGTTTGGACTCTCTTTGGGCAAGGACTGTATACTTGGGAAGTAGCTAGCGTATTCGAGTATCATTACATACCCGATAGTTACCTGGTAATTAGCGTTTGTTCTACTGCTGTCTGTCATCTGGCATCGCCTCCTTTCGTGTCTTTCTTCTAGACCACCCAAGGGCCCATGTATGATGCGTCTGGAAGAGTCTGCCTTGTATAGGCTCAGGGATGTGCACGCTGGCCGTATCTTTGTGTCCTCGGTACGGAAGTAAGCGAAGCAGTTGAAAAGAGCAGTTGTTCCCAACTCTAGAATACCGTACAACCCTCTGTGTCTCACCCTCTGTGTCTCACACGTTGGTTGAGATAGACCCACCACATGGCAAACTTTCGACCTGTGTTACTGTGTACCGTGACATGAACAACTGTAGTGTCTTGCATTTCGGGGGTTGGGGTTGAAATTGGGCTGCCGTGAGGAGGGGAAGTGCCATCAACTTTGGTTGAATCCAAGCTTAACTCAACTCTCATCAAGCACTTCACTTCCCTACTACCTGGGCACCTAGGCACTTTCCAATCGACTCCCATTTCAAACAACCCACAACCCACAACATGCCTCTCCCAACCGAACCACCCATCAACGTCCTAATCACCGGCGCCGCCGGCCTCGTCGGCCCGCTCCTCGTGACCCGCCTCCTCAATGCCCCGCAGTACCGCGTGCTGCTCACCGACCTAGCTGACCCGATCGTCCCGGACGGCGTCGCCCACCCGCACCACGCCACCACGCTGAAAGGCGACATCACCAGCCCGGACTTCGTCTCCGCCCTGCTCACACACCCGGCCGTCCAACCCCTGCACGCCGTCTGCCTCTTCCACGGGATCATGTCGGCCGCCGCCGAGCGCGACTACGACGCCTCGCTGCGCGTGAACGTCGACTCGGTCCGTCTTATAGCCGAAACCCTACGGAAACAGCACGGAGTGAGACCGCCGGTGCGGCTGATCTACGCCAGTTCGCTGGCCGTGTTCGGCCCGCCGTTTCCCAACCCCAACCACCCCAACCCAACTGACTCCTCCTCCTCTACCTCCAACCTCAAAATCCCCGAGCGATGGATCCCCACGCCGCAGAGCACGTACGGCGCGCACAAGCTGATGACCGAGACGTACCTGAACGAGGTGCACCGGCGCGGGTGGCTGGACGTGTTTGTCGCGCGCTTCCCGACCATCGCGGTGCGGCCGGGCAAGCCGACGGGCGCGGCGTCGAGCTTCTGGAGCGGCATCGTGCGCGAGCCGATGAATGGCGTGGAGTGCGTGGTACCAATTCGGGATCGCGGGTTCCGGGCGTTCCTGACGGCGCCGAGCACGGTCGCGGAGAATCTGGTCAGGGTGCTGCATTGGGAGAGTGGGATGTTACCCGGACATGTGCGGCAGGTTACGTTTCCTGGTATTGCGGTGAGTGTTCAGGAGTTGAGGGACGCGCTGGCTAAGTATGGTGGGGAGGAGAGGCTGCGGTTGATTAGGGAGGAGCCGGACGAGCGGTTGGAGAGGATCCTGCGCAGCTGGCCGCCGGATTTCGATATCACCACGCCGTTGCGGCTGGGGCTGGTCGTGGACCGGAGTGCGGATGACTTGGTGAGGGAGTATGTTGAGGGGTTGAAGAAGTAATAAGCGGGGATTTGTTGTATCCTTGGCTCTAGGTGCTGGCATGGTTAGAATGTGGCGGTGACGAGATCTTTGATACTGTCGAGATGCAGAGTCAATACTGGGCTCGGGAGATAGGGTTGTTACTACAAGAGATGGAGTATCTCCTAATATAAGGTAGGTACCTAGGTATTTACCCTAACTAGGACCTCACGTGGCTAAGCTTTCCTTCCTAGACACCCACCCGCCAACAGATGTAGCGCTAGTCCCCTATCCCGCGCCCTACCCTACATACATATTCGAACCGCTTAAGAAGACAGCCGGATGGTGCCGATGCTGCTGAGTCTGGAGATGGCATATGACTACGTAATCTCTCCTTGCAATGCCCATTTTCCTGCTCTCTATCTCCCTCCGCCCGGAACGGCAAAAGGAATGGGAAAGAAAAGAAGAGGAGGCAGGACATCAGACAGAAAAAGGATCCGGTTTTATATTACTTATTAGCGTATTGCCCTCTTCATCGCAGAGCAGACAGCGCCTTTGACCGCTCACTGGACGTCCCATGTTAGTGACATAAATACCGTACAAAGGTTAGCAATGATCTGCAATCTGGACGTGATAAGCGCGGCTGGCGATGACGCTTACTAACCTGCATAGTCCTTCGCGGGGTTAAAAGGTGCGCTCAACGAATTGCACCCAACCAAACTCAAGGTTAGGCGGGATCGTGTCAGCAATTCCAAATAAAAGATCTGCATATATATACTGTACCTCGCCAGGCAGCATTCGCGCGATTTCGCGGTCTGGCTCTCGTCTCCCTCTCATAAGACTGCTTGACAGCAAACAAGCCTTACTAGAACTTCTAAAATCTGAAGCTCACCATAATAAGCCAACACAACGAGAACCATGGATGCCGCATCGTACCTCTCGAGGCTCCTCCGCTTCGAGGTGCTGCTGACGCTGCTGGGGGTGTATCTCGCCCCGCTCATAGCCTACAAGGCCTACAAAATCTTCATCTACCCCTACTACATATCACCCCTGAGACAGCTCCCAGGGCCAAAGGTAAATAAAGTAGTGTACCTAAAAGGTACTCACTCCCATAGTAGGTACTAGTACTAACACCCTCCAACAGAACCATCATTTCCTCCTCGGCCACACGCTCCACCAACTCCGCAGCGGCCACCCCAACGAGCCCTACCTCTCCTGGATGCGCCAATGGCCGAACCCGCAGCCCGCGGGACTGATCCGGTACTTTGACGTGGGCAACGCGGACGCGGTGCTGGTCACCAGCCTGGCCGCGCTCAGGGAGATCCTGCACGACAAGTGCTACTCGTTCCAGAAGCCGGCCTTCTTCAAGCGGCTGGTCGCCGACATGGTCGGCTTCGGACTGGTGTTCACCGAGGGCGAGGAGCATAAGAGGCAGCGGAGGCTGTTGGCGGGGCTGTTCTCGCCGGGCAATCTCCGCGAGGCGCTGGTGCCCCTTTTTCGGGACAAGGCTGGGCATATGGTGGAGATGTTGGATCGGGTTGTTGAGGAGGAGGGCGGGGTTGTGGATTGTGAGTGGTGATCTCTTGTTAAATTCTTATTAATGGTTTCTTTTCTTTATATCTTTTGAACTTATTTTATTTTCTGGTTCTGACATACCATGAGCAGTGGTGTCCCTGTACTCCAAGATCATGCTGGATATCATGGGCGTCTTCGCACTGGGCGTGGAACTGGGCAATCTGCAGCAGCCGGCGAACGACGCGGCGGCGGCCGACAACTCGTTCGACCACTGCTACCACGAACTATTCGACCCCGACAGCTGGGGCCAGATTCTGATGGGGCTCAATGCCGTTTTCCCCGTGCGATGGCTGCCCTTCGAGGCCAATCGGCGCTTCAAGCAGGCGTTGCACACGGTGCGCAGCCAGTTGATGGCCATCATCCAGGACAGGATCCGGACCGTGGGCGAATGGAGGGCGGCTGGTGTGGATAGCGACGCGTATAAGGGCAAGGACCTGCTGACGTTTATGGTGGCCGAGAAGTACTACGCGGATAGCGACCGCTGGAGCCAGGAGTATATCATGGAGCAGGTATGTGGAGGTTTACTAGTGTTAGTCCTACTTCTACTTACGAGAGTGAGAGCTGACATGCCGCTTACAACTTGTCAGATCCTTACCTTTCTTGCAGCCGGTAGGCCCTATCCAATATCCATCCATGAAACCCCTTTCATATATTATTCGTATTCCCTCGCGAACCCCACACGGTAGAAAAGAAAAAGAGCAGAAAAGCTGATCTCTTCCCCCTTCTCCCAGGCCACGAAACCACAGCCGCGGGGCTCACATGGGGCACCCAGCTGCTGATCGAGCACCCGGACTCGGCCCACCGTCTCCGAAGCGAGATCGACGCTCTCCTCCGCCGCGAACCCGTGCCCGACCAGCGCAGCATCGAGAGCCTCCCTTACCTGCACAACTTCACGCGCGAGGTGCTGCGCCTCCAGCCCCCCGGCGTCAACGTGGCGCGCGAGGCGGTCGAGGACGTGGTCATACAGAACAAGGTGGTGTTGCCGCGCGGCACTACCGTGCTGGTGCAGCCGGCCGTGCTGAACCGCAACCCGACCATCTGGGGCCCCGACTGCGACGAGTTCCGCCCGGACCGCTGGGACCGGCTCGAGGGCGACGCGGCTGACCCGTGGGCCTTTGCGACCTTCCCGCTCGGTCCGAGGGTGTGCATTGGCAAGGCGATGAGCCTGCTCGAGTTCAAGATGATCTTTGTGGAGCTGGTGTCGAAGTTTGATGTTGAGGGGGTGGTGCCCGGTGCGAAGGTGGGGGATATTAGGCTTATTAACCCGAGCCCGTTGCTGAGGCCTGAGGGTGGGCTTAAGGTGCGCGTGAGGAGGAGGGCGGTGTAGTAGGAGTTTGTTTTGGGGTATGGTTTCTGTACTTTGTAGCAAGGTCTGGATACATAGGGTACGTATTAGCAGTAGTGGTTTCCTAATTCATCGCTTTGTGGCTTCGTAAGTTCCTGGACTTTCTTCGAACACAGTGCCTGCAAACTCTCCGGAGTCCGCTCTCAACTCATCTCACAAGACACCTCTCGATGCGCTCCAACTCGGCCAACACCTCTGACAGCAGCGGTCGGGTCCGCACTTGGTCAAGCAAACCCGGCATGGAATCCGGGCCATCAGGATCCCTTTCCTGCTGATGTTCCCCATGCTGCGATGTTCCCCTCTTAAACAAGAGCAGTTCCTCCATAAACTCCCTTGCGCATGCCAGCTCGCGTCTCCAGAATATCCTCGCCGCATCGCGCGTATCCTCCGCCGTCAACGCCCCCAGATCAGCTTCTGCAACCGCGGGATACAATTTCCCCTGTCTCAGCACCACTCCGGGCCGTCTTCGCGCGCGCCCTCCTTCTTCCCACTCTGGCGCGCCAGCTGTACATGCGCGGATCAACGAACGAAGCGCACCCGGCGGTGTCTGCTTGAACTCCGGAAACGCTCTCGCCTTCCCACATCTTTTCGACTTATAATCCGGATCCGCATCCCGCAGGACCTCGTGGTCGATGCCGCAGCGCACCATGGGCTGGCCCTCGAAGATGCACCACAGCAGCTTCCCCAGCATGAACACTTGCGCCCGCTCCAGCAAGTCCCTGCCCGTGCCGCCGGTTTCCCGCTCTCTCAAAAGCGCCAGCCACGGCCGGCTGAACCCGCCCTCGGCATTGTAATACCGTTGGCGACCGGAATCGCCTGGCGACCAGTCCGGGTCGTCGTCGTAGTATTTCCGCAACTGCTTAACGATTTCGCTCTTCAAACCATTCTCTAGCGGTATGGAATCGGCCGCCGCCACGATCTCCAGGTACTCGACATACGCGACCTCGGGCGGGCTCCACGTAAACCAGCCGCCGCGCTGCTCCAGATCAATCAGCACGGCATCCAGCATCCCCGTGTCCGCCGCAGCGCTCTTCCCCAGCACGATATTATCCGGCTTCAGATCCGGATAGAAGCCGACCCGCCCATCGTCATGCCCGTTCACATGTGCCAGCGCCCGCGCGACCTGCCGCGCCCATCGGATCCTCTGCGCCATCGACGTCGACACGCAATAGTCATCATCCTCCCGCAGCAACCTCTCCCGGAGCGAGCCCAGAGGATACCACGCGAGCAGGAACCCGCACACCCCCCGCCGGTTGCCGAACCGGCCCTTCTTTGTGACCACCCCGAGCGGGCGGGAGATGACATTCTCGTGGTTCCCCAGGAGGAGGAGCATCTTGAGTTCGTTGTACATATACCGCTGCTCGTGCGGGCTCAAGACTGATTTGAACACCACCAGCTTTTCGTCGTCAGTTTCCGCATCCAACCCGTCGACGGCCACCAGGGAAATGACCTCGTGTACCTGCCGCTTGAACCGCAGCCGCTCCCAGTCGACGACCGCCACGCCGTCCCACGACAGCGACTCGGCTTCCCACATCTTCTGGAGGGTCTGCAGGGGGAGCATGCCCTGCTCGACCTTGTAGTCCGGCACGAGACGCACCATCTCCGCCGCGCCGGCGTTGTGGGTGTGGTTATGGTTGTAGTTGACCAGGGTGACAGAGACGGAGATGAACGATCCAAAGGGGAGATCCCACCATTTCTTCTCGAGGCCTCTCTTCTTCTCCTTCTTCTTCTCCTCCGCTCCATCCTCCTCCTCATCCTCATCCACCAGTAACAACAACCCCCTCGCCCACGACCTCAACACCCGCCCAAGCCACCTGCCCACACACAACCCACCAACCACCACCCCTCCCACTCCCACTCCCAGTCCCTGCCTGTAAATAGCCTCCTCCGGCTTGACAACCGCCTTCAACCCGGCCGGCCAGCACTCCGCCGGCGGCAAGTACACATCGACCCTCAGAGGCGGCTTGTCGAGCGCGAAGTTGGGCGTGGCGTAGAACCGCGTTCCGGTCGGGTCGGCGCCATCGATTTGCCAGTGCGTGGCCCAGTCGTCGGATCCTTCTGGGAATGATGATGATGAGGAGGATGGGGATGAGGAGGATGGGGATGAGGAGGGCAGGGGTTCGAGGCTGTCGAGGCGGGATTGTGGGTTTGTGGGGGAGGTTTGCCACTCTGTTAGATCTTCGCATGGACGTTGGGGTGTTTTACCCGTGAAATCGGGAGGTAAAGTTGTCTGGTGGGAGTTGATATCGCTTGCGCTGTCGCTGTCGACCGTCGTGATGGTGGTGGGTGGAGATGGATCGGGGACTGTGTTTCTGTGTGGAGGGAGAAAGGCCGCGATGGGACTGAGGATGGAGGTGAAGACTTCGCTTGTGAGGTCCATTGTGGTGGTTCTTTATGCCTTGAGGGTGACTGGCTGAAATATGCTGCTCTCGGCGGGAGGGCGTGTTCTGCCTGTTTATGCCCGGCTGAAGTGGGCACCTCTTGTAAGTTCTAACAGAGGAAGACGCGGCAGAGAGGTGAAGTGGCCGTTTGAACTAAGCTGCCCCCCTTTCACCCGATAGTAGACCGATTTATGTAGGTCCGAAGTCTCTCGGTTACCACAATTTCTGATGTTCTGAAATCCCATCACAAGCGGACCTGATCCGCATATTAGTAGTCGTAGTTAGTATATCATAATCCCTCATAGCACAACCCGTCAAGACAGCCCACTGTCCTGTACTGCATATCCACCACCTAGCCACAGATTTACAGTTCTCTTACCGATCAGTACCATATTATAATTAGTTCACAGCAACCCACACCCGACATCCCCTCCGTCGGCCCCTACCCCGAGTTACTACTACTACAATAATACATACGTCCTCGGATCGATCGGCAATCCCCCCTGGACGACCCCCCATCCCATCCTGCAAGCCAAGTTTAAACACCCACCACCCACACCCACACCCACACCCACACCTACATACATACACCTCCCCTATTTACACGTCTCCGCTTCTACGCCCCCCCGAACCAGTTACGCTACGGAATACGGATAGCGGGAGTCCAGAATCTAGAGCTGGCGAGATGACTGCAACTCTTCCTTCACTTTGCAATCACCAGAACTTTTCACAAAATGCAGCTGACTGCATGCGTCCTGCATACCTAGGGTAGGGGTCGCTTCCCCGTAGGGCGAGTGATCGGCAAGCGCTAGGCTGTCTGATTCGACGCCGCTGCGGGGAGGGGGGGCCACGACGGTGGCGGCGGCGGCGAACCTGCGCAGTACTAGGTAGTAGTTTAACTAGTGTAGGGGTCCGGTTCAACAAACGCACGACAGCTTCGACAGGGTCTCACACATTGTCTCACTTTTTGCTCAAGGCATGTGCATACACTAGCTCGAGAACTAGTTTATTACTGGAGTGGGGAATGATGCGTGCTTTTGCTTTTGGCGTAGCCCTCAAGCCGAGGAGGGGGGGAGTTCGGACTCGAGATCTGTCGTTATCACCGCAGCATTTAAATGGACTATTTTGGGGTACCCGTAGGCGTCGTAAGAAATAGCAAATGCTGTCACTTTGGGTAAATGCTGAATAAGTAATCAACATAAAACTGGGAATCATCACTGCTAAGGATGCATCTAAGACATGGCAATCGAGAAAGAAATGAGAAAGGATATGGAAATGAAAAGAGAAAATCAATTCCATAGCAAGGGACCAACAGAGCAAGGTATCCGCAGAACGTGAAACCGACCTTTTTCCCCAGCCAGCCCGGAACTCCATCACCGACGTGCCAAAGGCAAAGGCGACCACCCCTTCACCCCAGAGCCTGAAAACCAAAGATCAAGAAGTAAGCCGCTCACTCAGCCGAAACACATCCCTCGGAATGTCCACGATATTCCACTGCTCCCCCAACTCCTCCGACCCACTCCGGTCATAAATCCTGCGGTTCCCATCCCGCAACGGACCCCTCGGCAGATCCCAGCACATCTCCGGGTTCTTCAGCCACATCCTGACAAGATACCTCGGCGCGGCCGCCGAGTCCTCAAACGCCTCCCGTGAGTGCAGCACGCCGTGGTTATTAATAAACAGCAGGTCCCCACGCTGCGCCTCCAGCACGATCTGGTTGCGCCGCGCAATCTCCTCCACTACGTCCAGCGAGCGCCGCTGCTCGTCCGTGAGCGACGGCAGGCTCGGGTTACGGGCGACGCCGTCTAGTCCGAGCAGGGGCTCGCGCGCAAAGTTCATAATGATGCGGCTGGCGTGGTGGTAGAGGAGTGGGCGGGTATTTGAGGGGAGGAACTTGCCGCGGCTATCGAAGGACCAGACTGGCTGGGCGAGCAGCTCTCGGAGCTGCGGGTGACTGCGTGAGATTTCGTTGTATACTGTCCAGGAAGAGGCCAGGAGATTCTTGCCGCCGCTGGAGGCGTTGTTGCGGGTTTGCAGGGCCAAAATGTCGCAGAAAGTGTCAGTGTGGAAGGTCTAGCCTACGGTTAGTGGAGCGCGCTGCGAAGGGGGGAATTCAAGGCGCCTCACCGATGCCCGGGAAGAGTATCTGGTAGGCCGATCTTTCTGCGCCGTCTTGGAGAGCTTCGCATCTCGGATGTGCACTAGAACAGTCAGCTAGTTCCCTTGGCCAGAACAGATCTGCTGGTACATACTCAACATGTTGCCCTCTTCGTCTTGCCGGCCCCGTTGCACGCCGATGTAGCTTGAGATACCGAGAAACACGAGAACATTGTCCTCGGGCGACAATTCGTCTGGCTTCAGGCCCCGGATCACGGCAAACCCCTTCCCGTGGTGGATATCGGCAGCAATCCGCTGCAGCTTTGGGCCGAGTATCGGCAGGGGAAAGGTGTCCGGTGTGACTTCGCTTCCGTACAGTCCGAGGTCTCCTCTCTGTCAGGATATAGCTCTCAAAGCACCATTTTGGGAGACCTACCGTTGAAGTGCTGCAGGCCAAATTTGACCTCGGATATCTCTTGCTCGGTGAGAGTCAGGGTGTAGTCGTCAGGCGATGCAAAGGAGGAAGGGCCCCAAGCGAGATCTCCCTGGACTTCCGCGGGCCAATGCTGGGTGACTGGGACATAACGAAGAGTGCAGCTCCCTCTCAGGGAGCGGTTGAAATCATGGCCCTGCGGCCCGAGGAGGATCGTTTCCGCGCCCATGGTGAGGTTGAAAGTTTATGGAGGGTGGTTTGAGGCTGGAAGTGATATTTGACTTTGCGGGCTTGTCAGAATTGAGCGTCGATATCTCACTCAACCTGCAGATCCGTCACTAGGCGATGAGGATAAGGAGAGAGGAGGAGAGCTGGACCACTGAATATATACTAATAGCCGCCTAGCGGGAGAGAGGTTGCAGCGGGTGAAGCATTTTCTCTGCCCGACAGCAAGAGGCCACATCCGAGTTGTGCAATGCGGCTCAAGCTTCTGCTAGCACGCAAGAAGGGTCCTTTCAGGGTCCTCCGCATTGGATCGGATCGCAGGAGGGGTCACGCAGGGTCTTCGGCACACCCGTGCTAGGATTGCCAATAAGCCTTTCCGCATTCAGAACAGCCCCCAATTCCGACGAGAGTGTGCTGCAGGGTGATAAGAGCCATCCCGCTCATTGGCGGGGGTCGCATTTCGTGTGCTAATCCGACCCAACTCCTGGGGCCGAGACCGTCGTCTCGTCAAAACTGAGGGGTTGCCGCCAGCTCGGTATGGGTGGCACATGGACGTGCTAGCGAGCAGCTTGGCGCCGACAAAGCAAAGCCAGATCAAAAATCAGGCCACTTCTAAGACATTGGCTTCAGCCGGCGGGGCATGTTCTAGCGTGTCGCGTGGCGTCCAGTCCGGGTCGAAGAGCTGGCTTGTGTACCACCACTGCTCGTGATACACATCGCTGTTGTTGATGCTGTGAAAGATGCGAGCTGGTGCGTTGTTGGTCAGATTCAATCCCCCGTGTCACGTCTCCGCGGGGAGCTTACCTTTCTTGACCACGACGTCGCGGCATTGCGCCATGAACTGAGTCTGCTCGAGGTCCAGCCGCGCCATCCTGCGAACCCTCGGGGAGTTCCAGTCAAAGCCCGGCGAGAACAGCTGCTGCCCCTTGTAGCAGTAGTGGAAGTGCGCTAGGATGGTTTTCGCTCCGGAGTTCGTCGCCCGAACAAGTGGCATGTCCAAATATTGCACCTGTGTGGTTTGTCAGAACGGCTTCCGTGTTGCTGGTAGCGGTGTCTTACTCACCCGCGCTCTTCTCCTTGCGGCAAACTGCCTCTGGAACAACATCTGCATCTCGTAGTTTTGCAGGAGAATAAAGGATGTCAGAAACGTAGCGAACCAATCCTTTGGGCTGTGGGTATTAAACGTGCTCTGGAGTTCACGGAGAACGTCCTTTCTAAGGGGGCCGAGGATACGGTGGATGATGATAGAAGCGAGCTGGTAGTCGATGTAGGGAGGCAGCGAGTCGAGATCCCGGTAGAACGGATCCTGTGGGTTCGCCTCCCGGATCTCGCTGTCGGCCCAGCCAGACTCGGCCCAGCATCGCCACTTGGACTCGATAAATCGGCACGCGACCCAAAGGCGCAGCGTCTTTTGTAGCATCTCGTTGGGAACAGGAAACACGGACGCGCGGTAGGCCGCTTCGAAGATGTTCCAGACTAGGGGATCTGTATCGTCGAGGTAGGCTGCCAGGTATGATCTTTTTGCCCGGTCGATGTACTCGGTGATCGCTTCAACGGCAGCCTCGGGATCGGCTATAGCCCAGGGAACGGCATACATGGACCGCCCCTTGAGATCAACGTCGCGGGAGTGCGCAGGTGGAACAAATCTCTTCAATTCGACTTTGAAATGCAAGGAGCCAACCTGGCCCAAGCACAGAAACTTGGACGGGACGTCTAGCCACTGCCGTTCGAGGTGGAAGTCACCGTAATGAGGCCCCACCATCGGATGGTCCCTGTAAAACGGCATGTAGTCCAGCCCCGTTCGAAACAACGTGCTGTCGGTCACCATATACCGAAGGCACGGTAGCCGGCTCATCCGAACAGTCCTCTGCTGGCAGGTCAGGCAGGGACCGCGAGGGTTTGTCGGGTCAGGGATACACTGCAAAGAAATTAGTACCCTGATGGCTCGGTGCAGAACGAAGGTGCCGGGCTAACGACGGCGGAAGAGTCCGCCCGTCAAGATCTTACCCTATTCCTCTGCATCCTACATCTCACGCAGGCGTGGAGCTGGCGTGTGAGATGGGTGTCAATCCTTTTGCTTCCTTCGTAGGGACTACGCTTCTTTTTCACACGGTGAGAACCGCTCTCCGAGGCAGATTGCGAACTGGACTTGGAGAGTCTCGGAGCAATCTTGTAAAAGCGTTTGTTCGCCGAACTGGTGGAAGCTGAGATCGGCGTTAGGCACACCGAGGACTCCGGAGAAGCCGAGACCAAAGCCCAGTCCGTCGACACATCATCCAAGAGACACCCGTCCCCCTGTTCTTGAACGGTATGATCGCTAACATGTGACCCAGAATCGATGTCCATCCGTACCGCGGAGTCGTGTGGTTCCTCCCCGTCCGCCTCGGGATCTGCCGTCGTACGGTCGAAAGCGAAGCTTCCACCAGCGGGCTGGTCGAAGCCTGATAGTGGCACATCGCAGTCATAGCGGGTTGTCTGAGGATTTAGCAGAAAGACTTCCGTTGTGCGGTCCTGGCCGACCAAGACAGGGGATGGAAGCAAAAAGTCGGGCGATTCGAGTCCGGAACCTGATGATTCAAAGTCTCCCAAGTCGACGGTGTCCGAGCCTAGGTCCCGATATGCGAGCTGCTGGCCTGTAGAGGCGCCGTTCTCCCACTGCAACGGCGAGTATCCCCGATGCAGACCTCCCAGCACGGGTTGCTGGAGAGGACTGTTCGTAGCAGTATCGTGTGATCGGGTTCGCCTTCGCTGCAGCAACTCGTCCACAGTGAGGTTCAACAGACCAGCCACGCGCTGGATGTCTTCCAGGTCCTTTCCCGAGAACTGCATGGTGGCATCTGAGGTGGTGCTGGCCATCGTGGATGCATTGAAGAAGGCGAGCCTCTGAGCGAGCGACTCCTCGATATTGATATCCTGCTGCCAGCGGTGACCGTTCCCGGTTCCGCGACCTGGAAAGGCGAGGTGTTGGGGCTCTGCAGTGGGCCAATCATGGCTGATCGGATGCGGCCAGTGAAACCGATCAATGAACGAGCCAACGGCAGTGCGGCTGGAAACCGGTGCGAGCGCACCAAACCGGGCGTGGCTTTGAACTACCACGCTTGGCAAAGGGCCAATCGGACCCCAGCATGCGCAACCAAGCGCGTTGCACATCTCAGGAGACGTAAGATCAGTCAGCTGTGATGGACTAAGACCAATATGCGAGAAAAGCTTGATGTGCTCCTCTTGTGACCTGGAAAAAGCGGGCTTTTTGAGAGTGCGACAGGGCTCCGGCCTCTAAGTGGCCGCTCTGTGGGGGCTCTATTCGGGGCTGAAGCGCTGAAAACAGGCAAGGGGTCAGACGGTCACCCTGTGCTACAGCTTCAACGGTTAGCTAGCGGCAGTGATCGCAAAACCCAGAAGACGAGAGACCTGTGATCATACCTTGGTATCTCTTTACTCGCTTGACTCATTTCAAGCCGTCCCAACCTGGAGAGCCGGAACACGAGGTGCAGGATTCGTCGGTCTATTGCCGGAAGGGAATGCCGCATGTGTCGCCTATCTCCAACGGCCGACACAGCGGGTCTTGCAGGTCATGAACTCATCGGTAGCTAGTCGGTCTTCGGAGTCAGGAGGCGAAGAAGAACGAAGGATAAGGCGAGGGAAGCAGAAAGCGAGGGCAGAGATAGGAAGAGGGCGGCACAGGGGAATGATAAACGGGAACAAAGAACTTGATTGAAATGAGGAGAAAAGGGGTAAAGTAAATAGACGGGGAGCCAAGGGTAGGAAATCCGGACGAGTAAGGGATCGTATGCGAGATCTAGCATACGAAGCTGCGGAAAGTGCCAGCACTCGTTGATTGACTGCCTTGATAGTGCGGTGGAGTCGTTGATGAGAAAATCCTTCCTATGCGTCTCAAAACTAAGCAATTTGACGATGCACCTTTTCTTCGTTCAGGAGACCCGGTGGTGTCCTGGTTGCCAGGTCGCGACGCTTCGCGAATCGTACCCAAAATCCGGGATACGGGTGGCGTCCAATTCCCGGGGACTGAACCGTGCGGGAGCTGTCGAATGTCGAGTGAGTATCGCTACAGAACTCAGTAATACTATCCAAACCGTAGCTGCTGAGTTGCTCACTCACCTGTCTATGTCGCTTCGCCCAGTCAATGAGGGCTGGGTGATGCTGAATTTGGTTCGGACGCTGGTACTTTCGGGTCCGGCCAAGAGCAGACAGGAGACATTCGGCACCGACAGCTATCGTGGGTTTGGGGGACATAAAGTGCTGTCCGCGGTTATGACAAAGCTGAGAATTCCGGTACACCGTACTACTTTGGGGGCGTAAGCCGGCGCGCCGAAGTTAAAGACACCCGCGTGACTGAGCCATACTGCAAGGCAGAGAGATTGGACGGATGCTATTCGCCCACGGATCCATTTCCCGCGAGTTTGTCCGGTGACTTGATCCGACTTCTGACTTTTCCGTGCCTCAAAATCCCATGCTTTCCAAGGCACTTGCCATGTTCGGCAACATCGGTTGATTTCATCCAATCAGCGAGTGTCACCAAATCGCCAGTGGGACCATCCCTGCTGAGAATGACGTAACCGATGCGAGCTCCCTCTACGAATCTTACAAGTTGGCAGGGACCTTCAAAAGCAAGACTAAAGGTGTATTAACGAGACGAACGAGGAGGAAAGGGGTATGGGAATGAGCAAGAAGCTGAGTGAAGAGAGCGGAAATGAACATAGTCCGTGCAAGTGGGCGGCAGATCGGGTGACAGGCTGGCAGGCCGAGGCCGAAAGAGACCGTACATTTGACAACATAATAGTATCCTTCGAGACACAGATGCCGCTTACCACAGTAGTGTACGTACACTACATACAATCATTGGGGGTTTCTGGCAAAGGGAGATCGGGAAGGAGATCCGTCCTGCTGGGGATGGGCGGTGGCCCCGGTCAGCCTTGTTCGACGGGACGATCTCCCGTTAGTGCCCCTTCTCAGTCCCCGCCGGGCTGAGGCCGAAAATACACTACCCGATGTCCCACGCGCTTCCAGGCTTACCCACTGTTTGCCAACCTAACTTATAATGTAGATCGCAGCCTTATCCTTAAAGGCCCGCGTCTCGGCTCAGCAGGCGAGGACGACTTCTAACAGAGCCCGTTTAACCTGACAGGTTGTTGTACTTCGACAATGGGTTTTGATCTCTTACCGAATCCAAACCTCATACACAAACCTTGTACACGTACCGTTACACAGGCCGGCGAAAATCGCTAAGCCTTCTTCCTCCACAAATCCCTCCAGAACTCCTTCAGCCCGTAATGCTTCTCCGGGCTCTCCACCACCCTGACACCACTTGACCCGCTAAGCAGTCCCCCCAAGCCCTTCCCGAGCTGCCCACCTGCACTCCCGCCAAAAGGGCTGTTCACGAGGGACTTCGCAGGCTTGGTCGCGCGCAGGCGGATCTCCTCTGCCAGTTGCGGCGCAACGTCTGCAAAACAGTTCTTGAGCTCGCGCTCGAGCGAAAAATAGGGCTTCTTGGCCAGCTCGGGCGCCATCAGATTGTAGGAGCGGGTGAGGTTGTTGAGATTCGAGATGGCGAGGGTCATGTAGGACTTCTCGGCTGTTTCCCATGCCGGGTCGCGGAACGGGCGGGTAATTGTTGCGTCGGGCTCGGTAGCGGTGGGCTGGTCGCCAGTGAAAGAGGAGAACGCAGAAGGAGTCGGGGTAGGCGAGGTGGTGGCGTTGAGCTGCAATATGACGGCGTCCTCGGTGGAGTTGGTCGGCACAGAGATCTGCTCGGGGTTGCGCGTGCGGCGCGGGTTGTGGACTTCTTCGGCGCGAGCGTAGGCGGTTGCGCGAGCGATCTGCTGTTCGAGGGTCCCGCCGCGGCTGGCAATCATGCGGGCTGCGTGGCGCTTCCAATCGTTCCGCAAACGGGAGCGGAAATTCTCGGCGGCCTTGATAAGCTCTTGCTGCTTTTCGATCCATGGCGGGACGATATCTTGGCGTTTGATCATCTTGTTCATGATGTATTCGGTCTGACTGCTTGTTAGACGGTGGCAGCAAGCTTGCATTGAGCCTAGACAGCTTACAGTGTCAATGAAAGGGTTATCAGCCCTCGTGTCCCTTTCAATCCCTTTCCCACGAGGGATATTCTTGAATTGCCCTCTCGCAATGGCGTCTTCTATCCTTTCATTCGCTAACGCCGCCAGCGCCGAAATAGAATTCGGCACCGCTCGCGCCACTGGCGTAAACCGCTCCCGGAACTCCCTTTTCATGGCCTCTCTCTCCTCTTCGCTCAAGCCCTTGTCATTCATCCCCATCCCCGCATATGCCTGCGCCCTGTCCCGAGCGCTCGACGCCCTCTTCCCAGGGCTTACGCTAACCTCCCTCCGGAACCGCATATCTACCGGCCCCGGCATTGGCGGTTTACTCTTTCCTCTCAGGCCCGGCGCAAGGGGCTTATGCGCATCCTCCAGCATCCTCAAGACCGCATCCTCGGTCGATTCTTCTCCCGTCCACGGCTGCGCCGAGGCTATGGTCCGTGTGCCGAGCCCGGCAGAATCGGGAATGCGCGAGGTGATGCCGGCCTGTAACAACGCGGCCGAGTTCTCCTGCTCAAACTTCGCCCCGGCGACTTTGTCTAGCAATTTGGCCTTGAGCTCCTCGCTGAAGCCTGCTTCTTCGATCGCGCGGCGGCCGGCGCGGCCCCCGGTTTGAAGTGCGTCTTCTGTCGCCTGTTGCAAGCGCCTGGCCATGGCGCCTGGTTCCGGGTCCGAGCCATGGTCAGGAACCGAATCGGGGGCATGCGGGGAGTCGTTGGAAGACGCATTGGAACCGGCGTTGTGTGCAGGGAGCGAGCGCGAGGCGGTTCTTGCGAAATGGCGACGCGTTTGTGGAAGCGTAGCGCGACCGAGGATCTCTAACCACACCGCGCGGACACAGCCGGCGCAAATGAACGGCGTCGAACGCATCATCGAGGATGACCGTGGGGATTCGTGGGAAGAAAACGTTGAAGAGGCTGAGAGAGGATGGCGAACAGGATGTCGAATTGACGAAGGCCAAATGGAGATAAGCACAGTAATCTGGACAGTATCGCCAGCGCCAACACTGTGCGTGCATGTCAGGTCACCCGCGGCATGACTTTCCGTGTTTGGTCGACTTCTTCTACTATGATTGATGTGTGCATCATCACGAAAGTGTGTTGGTATATTACAGCCAGCGAGGATATATCGTCTTCAAGTATGAGGTATATGCAAGATGCGAACACCCAAATAGCCGCCCAACCCAGGTATGTGGTCAAATCCATATCCCCTAACTCCAACCCGAGAATATAATGGACAATTCTGGACATGAAGAATGATATCCAGAAACCCCCAGACGAGAATGCAATCACGCACAGACTGACTCTAGATGGGGTACCCCGCCCCCACCAAACCACGCCGCCTCCCGCATGCCCCCCACATACCCCGGCCCCAGCGCCAGCGCTGGAATCTCGAGATATTCACGGTCCCCCTCGGGTTGCACCCTGAAGGTCCCGACCTCCCGGAAGCCCAATTTCTTGTACAGCCTGAGCCCCATGGGGCTGGCAAACACGGTGGTATGCACCCCCAACCGCCGCGCCTGCTCGATGCCCCAAGAGGTCAGCGCGGTGCCTGCACCGCGGCGCTGGTAAGACGGGTGGCAGAGGAGGATCTTGAGGAAGACGTGGCCGCCTTGCGGGCGGTAGCGCGAGTCGAAGAGGGTGGACTTGTGGTGAGCGAGAGCGGTGCGGAAGGCGGATTGTCGGGTGAGGTTGCCTATTGTCGTCGGTGAGCTTGGGAAGTTGGCCGATGTTGGGGATGTTGGCTCTGTCCCTGAAGGTTAATCACTGCTTTGTTGCAAATTTGGATGGTGAAAAATAAGGATTTTGGTGGGCTTGTTTGGATGCGAAATTGCGAGTTTGGCATATATGAACAGCAATGACGTCACATACCAACTGCGCTTGCCCGCCGGGAACGCTCCGGCTGCGCGGCCGAAGGCATATCCCATGCGCTGAAGGCCACGACCTGCGTTTCTGAGCGGTATGGGTCGACTGGCATCTCGCAGACGACAACTGTGCTGGTTTCCAGATACTCGGCGCATTTCCGCCGGCAGAGGGCGGCAAACTCGTCCGGATAGAGTTCGCGGTCCGGGAACCGATAAGGATAAACCGGATCGAGCGGAGAAGCCCAAACAAGGACCGCAGTCATGGCCTCCAGGTCGGCCTCGGTTGCTAGCCGGAGCATCATTGTGAAGGGCCGGGTTTGGTGATACACGGACACCTCTGATCTGGACGGAGAAGACTACCGCCAATATTGGGACAGACAAATGTGATAGGACGGAATGGCCTTCGTATGCATAGTACGGCTGCAATCGAGTAATGGAAGTTGCATGCCTCTTTATGGGGGAAGAAAAGGGGAAGTGTGGCCGAAATGGTGCCTTTTTTTACTTTGACCTCATATCCTCCCACCTTGCCAACAAAAACTGCCTTGGCAGCAGGTCTTGGCAACGGTTTCGGGGGCGACTGAATGACGTAGGGAGTCGGTGAGCAGCAGGACTAACTCCTAACAAGACATCCAGTACACGAGACCGTCGGCTGCTACGTTCGGGCCAACCGCAGTTTAAGCACGAACGGGACCTGTTCCTGACTCGCGCGGTCACGTTACTGCGGCATAATGCAAGGCTCGAGTCTACGCAATGTCGACGAGTCCAGTAGGGGGACCAACCCATCGACATGGATGGCTCTATTGGGCGGCTTGGGCCCATCGCATGCTCTGATGACGTATTCTGAACTTCTGAAGTGGGGAAACGATGAAGAACAAGTATAGGTAGATAGTGAACAGGAATTGAGCAATAACTTGAACGGCTTGGGCGTCGGAGCGCCTTAGCTAAAGTCCGTCGGGTGCAAGATCCGGGAGCGGGGCGCCGGCCCTGTTGTTTCGCACAGCCAGTTTGCCAGATTCCGTCAGCCCGGATCGGATTCCGGGCGTTTTTCAACCGTTGGGTCAAGTGCCTGTCTGGCTTTTCCTTCTCATCTCACATCGGTGACAGCACAGCTCGCTGGACTTGAGCCGAGGCAGAAATTATGCCAGCGCCAGTGTGTTACCAACTCGACATTCGTGCTCGGATAATTTATTTTCCCATGCACGCTATTGTCACAAATTCTAACGAACTGGATCATCTAGATGTCGTAAGCTAAACCTTTAGCTTGGCCAGGAGTTCGTCTTATTTCTACCCGCAATAAGGAGACGCACTTTCCCAATTTCCCCATGAAATCCTTATTGACTTATGGACTTGGATCTCCCGCTACCGGTCAGTATCGTCTGTTGTGATTATAGAAACAACCAGAGTCAGATTCATCAGAGTCTACGTACAGCATCATAGACTAAATGAGAGACATCGCCACCTGATAAACCCCTTACAGGTGAACCCTATCGCGGGCAGGCAGAGGCCGGAAGCACCTCGCCTCCCAACGCACCCCAAGCCGCTTGGCCTCATGATCCCACAACGGCGAAACGTCGTCACCGCAGGATTCCGGGCTGCATTCACGGTTCATCCCTGCTTCCTGCGCCTGCATATACTCGACACCGTCGCTGGTCCATTGGACCGGGAAGTCGCCCGCCCAAGTGTAGTACGTGTAGTCCGCCTTGATGATCACCCCCTTCTGCTGCTCCTCCGTCATGAGCTTGAGGGGCGTGCTCTTGTCCGCCGGAAGCTCGACCGCGGCGGAATAGCTGAAAGTGCCGGGCGAGCTCGGAAACACGATGGAAATTGTCTCGAGTGAGGTCAGCCGCACCAGGGCATACCGGAGATGGGTCGACAGAGCCATCTTGGAGTATGGGAGTGCTAGATGATGGATTCGGGTCACCCACTTCGGCCCGTTGTAGCCACACTCGTTCATCGTAAAGTTGTCGTAGGAGCCCTCGCTGATGTACAATATGTCCCTCTTGGGGTCGTACGCGCGCGTCGGCCCGCCGGACATCAGCGCGATATCGTGGGCCTCGGTATTCGTCTGCAAGAGGGCCGCGTTGCAAGGCTCATGAACGATGAGAAGCGGCTCTTCTCTGGGCTTCTTGTATGTTGCCGTGAAGAAGCAGACTCCTGGCGTGAAGGTCGGCGAGGAGGCAGCAGCGCTCCAAATCTCTTGTCGGATGTCAGGCGGGAACTGACTGAAGGGCTCAAAGCTGGCGCTTGTCTCGTTTTTCTTCGTTGAGTCTGCCATACTTTCCTCTCTTCGCTTGAATAGTGTGTTTGCGATGGAGTAGGTTGTCTGTCGCGAGGTGTCGAGTGTTGCTTCCACATTACTCCTGAGTCGAAAAAAGCACACAAGCTCCTCCTTTTAAAAGGTTTCCCGCCAGACTCCAAAAATGGCCCCCAAACGTCGTGTCTGCCAAGGCGTTTTGTAGTCCTCGCGAGTGTCCAATTGGCGTCGGCGCTCGCCCAAGCCGTCATTGGAACGAAAGCGCCAGTTCAGGCTGCGGCGGGCGGCCTTGAGAAAGCCTGTGGCTTGGGTAAAAAAGCCTGGGGCGCAGCACAAGAGGCAACACCACCTGAATTCCAACCCAGCGAAAATGCCGCAAAACTTTCGAGGATAACTTACATACCTTATCTTGACTACCGTATGCCCGCCGATTAATATCGTTCCATGTGGCAGGAAAATCGCGGTGTCTATATTACTCAAAGCGTTGACCTCCGCAGCGCAGCTCGTCCTCTGGCCTTCAATATTCGTCTTTCCTATTCTGTTCTCTTCTCTTCTTTTCATTTTCTTTCTTTCTTCATTTCCATTCTAATTTCCCTTTTTGTTTCCCTTGTCAAGGGGCGGAGTGTTCATCTATAAGGGATAGGAACCCGCAACGGAACACACAAGAGGTTGAGCTTTATAACAACTAGAGCCTTAGGGTAGGCCAAACTAAGGTATAGCAAATTCTATAGTTCTGAGGCACAGTATCTTATATTCATTGAGATAGCTCGCCGCCATGCGTTATGGGAACGCTTCCGTCCTCCAGTATGTCTCTTCCTGGTGTCTAATCCTCTAGAAAACTGACCGGGACTACCTGTCCTTTGCGGACTCTGTTAAGCTCCCTTGCTGCAAGACTGACCAGGGCTACAATATCCCTCCTCTCACTACACGGGTGGATGTCCCTCGCTGAGGCTTACGAGCACTCTCTCCACGGATCGTTGCTTACTCGCCTCCAAGTGGTTTGTAGCAAGGAGGCTTTTAGTCGTTGCGGTATAGGATCCGCTATGCGATGCCGACTTTAATACTTTCTCCAGGACCGTATCAGCGAGTTAAGACTTTCCGCTTCCGCACCTTGATAGAGGTAATCTTTCCTTCCTAGGTGCATCTGTGAGTAGAAAGGATTACCTACAAGGTGTTTCCGGACTCAAAAGTTTCAACATCTCCTCCCCTACAAGGAATATGGTACCTTCCTGAATCAGGCAGTCCCTTCCAGGTTGCCCAGGTCCTTGACTGATGTCAGCTGCACGAAATGAGCCAACTCGATCAGGCCACCTACGCACCATTTCAGCCGCTTCCACATTTCCCTTCTCCCTGGATCACCTGGCAGTGATAATAATAGAGCAACAGCTTGTCGAAGTTTGAGACTTGATTTAGGAATGACTATGTCTATGTGCCTGGCATTCTCCTTTGATACGCGCATTTGCGCCAACTCGCCCGCACTCAACAACACCCGGTGACCAACGAAGCTTCCCGGCTGTCGTGACGTTGTGCCACAGCGCCCTCCTGCACAGCAAGCCCAATTGAACCGGCAGTAAGTCGGCGTGTGGCCAATCCGACGCGAATGCACTGCTGCGATGATTTTCAAGGTGGTCCAATAGCTGACAGTCAAATCATCGCAATTGCGTTGACTCGCACTGAGGTGTCAATGATCCGGGAAGGCCGTTGCCCGACATGCCGCCAAGGTAACTCAAACGCAATGCATCCGGTTGATACAAGTATAGGTACTTCCTTGTCAGTCTCGGTGAAGTGTGCTTGCATCATTCGAGAGTTATCACGATGAAGCCGTCTGCCTACAACTTCACTCTCAGCCCCAGCCTTCTTCCTTCCTCGTCACCAGTCACCGAACCGTGAATACCAGCTACCATGATGCAATCAACTTCGGAAGGTGTGGAAACCGGGGAGACGGCGCCTCATGACTGGCGCCGACCCTACCACAAGTTGGGCTCGCCCAAGAGCATTGCCAGCACACGGTCACCAAGCCCCGTGACATCGTCACAGAGCTCGCACTGCTACGCCGATTCTACCAGCAGTTGGGCAATATCGGATGTTGTTGCTGACAGTCAACTCCCGAACGATCGAGACAGAGACCGGCGGGGAATAGTGGGATGGGATAAAAGGTAAGCCGCCCTCTACCGGTGATCTGTGTCTCAGTTGTTTTGTTAGAGTATAACACCGGAACGTAGACCAAGATTACCTGCGCAGTATCCCTCAAAACCAGTCGGCCGCATTCCACGACACCTGGACGATATCCCTTCAAGACTGCCTGGTCGGCCGAGCTCACTATGCAACGAAATGTTTGTCATGGATGCAGATGGTGATACGCCGGCTGACGTCGAGGACCAAGAGTCGGAGGCGGACGAAAGCGGGTGCGAGAGCACATATAAAACGGAAACTGCTGGTCAGAGCGACGAGGAGGAGGACGACAGCTGGAGCGGCGAGAACAGCAACCTTGAGGAATTGGTGGTGTCTGCGGTTGGAACAGACTACTCTCTTGCTGCCTTCTTGATTCCACTTCTCCACCGAGATTTCAACCTGGCTCTGAAGAGCAAGGTTGAGAGCTGGCGATGTGCTACGTCAGCCAGAGGAGGGCCGGACAACTCAGTTGGCCCATCCGACACCCAACCCTCATCGACGGAGAACTCGCCGAAGGAAGACAGAGGGTCGTCGTCCCGCAAGCGTCGACGAACCGACTCCGGTGCTGGGAATGGGGGAAACGGCTGGGATGAAGACGAAGAGGAGGATGACCGGGGCAGGAGTGGGAAAGCAGGGCCTCCCACCGAGCCACCAGCGGATCGAAGCCTGCTGCTCGCCTGCCCGTTCCACAAACACAGCCCCATTCGATACGGGGTCAGCGGTATGTCTTCGCCAGCAAAGAAACCGAAGTACCGGGCCTGTGCCGGACCTGGATTCAAGTCCATCCAGCGGTTGAAGTGAGCATGATGTTTCGCCTCTCCTTTTGTAAAGAATACTGACCGTTCCCTGCAGGGAACACTTAAAGCGGGTGCATTCGCCAGTTCAATGCGAGCGATGCAAGATGACTTTCAACGTTACGAAAGACCGCGCTCAAGCGCTGACCGATCTGGCTGAGCATCGGAAGAGAGAGGAGCCATGTGAGTTGCGTGATGCCTCGTTGAAGGAGGGCATCGACGAGGCGCAATGGGCGAAGCTCGAGAAGCAAAACCGCAAGAGGAACCAAGAAGTCCACAGAGTGGAAAAGTGGTTCGAGATGTGGGATGTTTTGTTTCCTGGAAGCGCGCGTCCGGACAATCCCTGTGAGTACCAAACTTCGATTTGACCTCCGACCAATACCTAACACCACGCGCCACTGGCGAATCAAGGGCACGAGGCTCCCGCTCGCTTCGGTGGCATTCCCAAGGACGGCGAGGACTACTTCGTCACTCTGTTTCTCCACATTTTCGACCACAAAGTTCAACAGGGCGACATCACCCTGCCTCAGCCGAACGTCTTTGACCGAGGCGAGTTTCGGGAGAGCCTCAAGGGGGTTGTCGAAAGGACGTTCAGGACATACGTGAGCATTCGAGAGAACATCTCCCTCGAGTCATCATCATCAGGCGCGAGCAACATCCGCCCTTCACAGCTGGGCGTTCCCTCGACAACGCAACAGTCTTCGCTGGGAACCACGGCGTCGCACCAGGCCACCACAGTGACAGCAGCGACATCAATGAGCAGCCCGCCGCATCAACAGACCCGGCCTTCTGCTGCGCCTTCAAACGCCTATACATTAGACCCTTCCTCCTACAGCCTCGGCGTGCCGCCCTTGCCCGGACAGGCTATGCCCCCGCCGATGCCCCCGATCAGCGGCGCAGCCGGCCTTCACCCATTTGGATCCCCAATCGGCGCCGAGGACATCCATGCCACCGGCGCGTTTGCACCTCTTTATTACTCCATGTTCCCTGCCCAAGGACCTTGCCAGTGGATTCCAAGCAATGTCCAGACAGTCCCAGAGTCTGTTTACCGGTTCCACCATCACACTCATCTCGCCCCGAACGCCGGAGTGCCGGCAGCTCAACAGTGGGTCTTTGATGAGGCTCCAGATTACGATCCCCCTTCAGGGGAGGGCAGCAATCCATCCTGTTGAAGGTTGGGTTTTATGTTAGACAATCCGATCTGTTGCTTTTACGTCTCACGCCTGCATGGATGCTGGGTTCTCTGCCGACAATTCGCGGTCCAAATACCTTGTTTGAGTTACTACCCTCAGCTAGTCGAGTACTTGTACCGCTACCTTTTAGCCCGAAGTGACTGAGCTTGGATTGGGTGAAGCGCATCAACGAGGTGCACCCGGCGGAGCGTGTATAACGATGTCACTTGCTACACAATCCTTCCGTGTGACGTAAAGCCGTGCATTCAGGTATGGCTGGTACTCTACAATACCAGATTCGAGGGGTGACGGCCAGGTTGTGTGTGTCACCGACACGGGATTTGACCAAGGCTCTCGAAATCCCTCTCGAGTGCACACAGCATTTAAAACAAGAGTCCCGATGCATTATTAAGCAGTTGTACGCCCTCGGCCGCTTAGGCAACTCCGTCAGATCCCGAGTCCCGACGGCCATGGCATCTGCAAGGGGCCCCACGTCTGCGGCTCGATCGCGGGCGACGGAAATCACGTTGACCGTGCTGGCACTTCAACGCACATGCAGGTCACCGCGCCCAGGGAGGATTAGTGCGCAGTCACTGCTCGACTCCGATGGTACAAGAACTTGATGGACAAGGTCCGGATTCACACCAACAGCTAGGGAAGTTATACCCAACCCCTTCCGACAAATCCACGTCCCTCCCTTTCCTGGACCGCCCACCCCTACTTCTTCCGCTGGTCTCCTGTCATTTTCTTCTTCGTCCCACGGATTTGCGTTTCCTTATTCCCGCTGTGCTTGGGCCCTTGAAACATCCCTTTCGGGCTCCCGCTCCTCCTTCCGGACCTCTCTCGCTGGTGTTGCTGTCGTTAAACTTGCTCTGCGCGTAGGGCTTGGTCGATGGGCAACAGAAGTAAGAGGAGGGAGAGAGGCCCTACGGGTGTGAGGTTTAGGTCGAACAGGCAGACTTTGCGCCGATGACGCTGCTGATCCGGCATTGGAAGGTTCCGCCTGGCTTGTTCCCTTCAGCAACGGGTGCGTCAGAATTTGTCTTGTCGTGATGCGCGTCTGGGGGTTGTAGTTGAACACCTTGGAGAGGAGATCGGTGAAGAGCGCCGCGTCCTCCTTGCCAAGAGGCTTCAAGTACCGAGCATAGAATTCCTCCCGCTTGGCGGGATCCCAGAAGGCCGGAACATGCAGACAAAGCCACTCCCTCCCACTGGCTGTCTTGCTGACGCTCGCCGGCCTCCGCGGCTCGCGAATTCGACCCACCTCGGTATCAAGCGTGAACCCATGGCGTTCAGTCCAGTCGCCAACGGTTCTGTATTCGATGCCGGGTTGCAGAGGCTCATGAACGGGATATCCATGCTCGAATGGTAACGCCATCCACTCTTGGGGTAGGCTTCCCAGTACCTCACACATCCTTGATTCTGTAGACAGCGGAGAGCTGCCGAAGAAGCCATCAAAGAGGGTTATTGAATCTCTCAGCTCGAACAAGATGCAACCCAGGGCCCAGACGTCGGCGGGCGGCCCATTGGCCAGGGTGAAGATGTTTTCAGGGGCGAGGTAATGGTAGGGGATGTGAGAGAGCTGTTTGGGCGCGTTTTCGGCTGAGAAGGCATGGTCAAAGTCGATGATGCAGAGCCGAGTTGAGAGGTAGTTCGAAGGGAGATCTCCGAAGTCCACCGGTATAACTACGTATTCGGGCGCAGGTGATGGGCTCTCCGGGAAGAAGAACTCCACGGTTTGTATCTGCGGCGGACCAAATAGTTCGTCGAGTTGCTCCTCTTCCCATCGCTCCTCTAATCGTAGCGGACGTCCAAATGTGATTGGGACTGGGCAGCAGATGACGGTTGTGCCGGACATGCCGCATATCACTGTGGTGATGACGTCGGACTGATTTTGGAGCGCCAATACCACAGTGCATATCAGCACTTCGGTGAACGACCCTAACGTCTGGAACCCAGAAGACGGAGACGACACGCTCAACCAGATGTTGTATCCAGATGAATTTCCATATCACGTATTGACAGGAAGGTTGAGTACCTTCTTTACCGAAAAGTTCACCCCGAAGCAGCTATACAAGAAGCTTCACGAAAAGGAGATGGAGAAGGCTCAGAGAAAGGCCAAGAAACTGCTCCAAAAGTCTGGCAACAACTTCGACTCGGATGACGAGGCTGGTGGCAACGGGGCGGCTGGTAAGCATGTATATTTTTTATCTATCTTCCTTCCTCATCTTCTCTGAATTATTCTTTTGTCTCGTTCTCTTTTATTCCATCCCTTTCATTCATTTCTTCTATTACTTTCTTCTTCTTACTTCTCCTCTTCTTTCTCATTAACAGTTTCCCCCTTTCCCCCGGCCTCTTCCTCCTCCTCTACGTTCTATTCCCTCTTATAACTACCAGTAGTATCTGTGTTTGCTGACTCTGCCGCCTCCGCAACCGCAGGCATGGGTGGCAGCTCGGGTAATCCACCTGGCGTCTTTTTCTGTTGGCACTTCGGCGACAAGCAGACCAGCTGCTTCACAATACCGCCGGACGTGTCAGAGAAGGACCCGAGACAGGCTCGAGCCGCGAGACTTTACGACCTTGCCGTGAAGCTTTACAAAGGCAAGCTTGCCCCGCTGGTCCCTCAGGAACAGTACGAATTACCCATCCGCGGTGCAGCTAGCGACAGCAACTACACGTAGGCTAGACCTGACAGCAGGGATGGCGCCGACAGTTGTGGCGCCTATGCCCCTCGACCTCACAGTAGGGGGGATCCGCACCCCGGCAACGCAACGCCTCCACCCAGCAGCAAGCCCGTACCGCCGCCGCCGCCGCGCAATGTCCGACCCGAGAAGTCGCGGGACAAGTACACTGTGCACGGGATTGACAAGGGCACGCCATACATCAAGGGCATTGACAAGAAGGACCCCGGCCGTCACGTCGATGTGCAGTACTCGCAGACGGAGAAGCAGTACTATGTGAAGCCCGGCAGCGAGAGGATCTGGCTTAAGGAGCTCAGATAGTTACGTGTGGTTTGTGCCCAGCAAAGGTAACGGAAGTCATTTCATTGGAGGAGAGTAGCGGGCAGAGGGAACCGAATGTTGTATATCTTCTTGGGTCATCCATGTTGTTGTTGTTTTGCGTCGCGGTAATGAAGGTGGCTTGGTCGATTCATCGACTCGGGCCTCCCAATTTCTGGTTTGCACTCTGTAGTCTTGCATGTCCAGCGGGCTGGATCACGTTTTGCTTTCTTCTTTTTTGTGGTTGTCAATGATCGTAGGTACGACACATCTTCGGTGGTCAGAGGGTGAAGAACCGTAGCCACAGTGATTATGGCTGGATTCATGCAATTTCTAAGGTACCTAGTATTCCCATATTCAACTTCATAAAGGATCCAAGTGTCCATCCTATTCCACCTGACAGTAACATTTAGAAGCGTCCAATAACTTTCCAATCCCTCTCGAAAACGGGATGAGCAAGGTCTTGCTGGTCCCGGTCGGTGAGATTCCGAAATCGACTGCCGTCTGCGGCCTCGTACTCAAACCATGACCGGCTAAGTTCCACGACCCCTGACGCGGAAACTCGGCAATTTATACAGTGCTGGGATCGTCATAAGACGCGTGGCTATGATCAAGTCAATCCCTTACCCCCAATTACAGGCTACTCTTTGGCAATCAAATAGCGTCTTTGTGAATGGAGGTGCGGAATCGGGGTCATGTACCCCAGACCGATCGGCAGAGATGCCGATCGAGGCAGATGCCACAGCATAGTGAAGGCCACGGTGAGAAGGGTGTCTTGAATGTTCCCGAGTGTTCATACCGATTTCGAACGGGAGATAGGACGGAACATGGCATCGCAAAAGCAGGCAGAGTTGAAGCCCCGCGACTGGAAAGGGGAGCTGTTTAGGAGCTTATAACCCCCAGATACCGCCATCACATCATCCGAGCCTTCTCTGATGCCATTCCCCAGCGCTCTGGATCTGAGCTGGCACGAAGCACTCTAACAGAACCGCCAAGCAGAATAGTAGTACGCAACCCGCAATGGCCACTCCCAAGACTAACACCACCACCACCACAACCCCCCTCCTCAAACGCACCCTAACCCTCCTCCTAAGCCCACTCACCGACCTCCACCTATCGCTGCACAACCCCCTCTGGACCTTCCTCGAAACGACGCTCTACGCCCTGCCCCACCCCCCGCCGCGGCGCAAGCGCACCGCCCCGATGCGCGTCATCTGCGTCGGCCTGCCACGGACGGGGACCGAGTCGCTGCAGCAGGCGCTCCTCGCGCTGGGGTACAGCCATACCTACCACGGGTGGGACATCGTGTACGACGAGTCCGGCGGGGCAGGGTACGCGCCTGGCTGGGTGCGGTTGGCGCGGAAGAAATGGTATAACCATAACCATAACCATAACCACCGTACTGCTACTACTACTACTAGTAGTAGTAGTAGTAGGTGTAATGATATCTCCGGAAAGGGGGAAGGGGAGGTGGAGGGGGTGATTACGGCGGCAGAGTTCGACGAGCTTCTAGGGCACAGCGTGGCGGTCACGGACGCGGCCGCGAGCGTGTTTGCCGCCGAGATGGTGGCCGCGTACCCCGAGGCGAAAGTGGTGTTGAACATGCGGCGGGATGTGGATGCGTGGGAGAGGAGTCTGCGCAAGACGCTCGTGCACGCGAACCAGAGCTGGGGGTTCTGGATTGCGAGCTGGTTGGATAAGGAGTGTTTCTGGGCGTGGCATGTGTATGAGCGCTTCCTGTGGCCGCTGCTGTTCCGTGCGCCCGATGGGGACATGGCGCGGGCGATTGAAGGGAATGCGCGGTGGGTGCAGAGAGGTGAGTTCTTCTTCAAACTACTACTACGACCTACTACCTTACTTAGGTCATCTACTATACAAAGGATGTGGTTTGGGGCTGAGTACCTTACCTATGCTGACCCCCCTGCCAGAACACTGCAACATGATCCGGGGCCTGGTTCCCAAGGAGCGCCTGCTGGAGTGGTACATTGAGGACGGATGGGAGCCGCTCTGCAAGTTTCTCGGCAAGCCCGTGCCCAACGTTGAGTTTCCGCACGTCAATACGGCCACTGGCGGGTGGAAGGCGCGGGAAGAGCAGTGCAATAAGCGGTGGGTCGAGAGGGCGTTTTTGAACTTGATCCTTCTTTTCACTGGCCTAATTATCAGTATCATCGTGGCCAGGAGATACCTGTTCTGAGTCGTGTTAGTCCTGCGGACGGTGGTTTTTAGAGCTGATAGTACTACTCGTAGTAAGCATCAAGATCGGATCGTGTGTGCTAAACAGGGAGAAGGGGCTTGAAGGCCATGCTGAGAATAAAGCCCACAGAGATCTTAGGTCTTCAGTTGAACACATATCGAAGAATCGAACTCGAAATCTCACAAACAGCCTCCTTAGGTACCTGGGTATCATCCGTCCGGACTTCTAACAATGGCGAAAGCCCCAACGCCGACAGAGTTGAATCTGACACACTTTTTCTATCCAAAACCGCCCACACCGCCTCCATCCCCCCAACTCCACACTACGAACTCCTCCTCCCATACGGCTCAAACGGAAACACAGCCGCCACCAGGCCCATAGCCACCAACAGCGCCCCGCAGATGTAGATGGGCGCCGTGGTCGACGTGTCCGCGACGGTCGCAGTGACCGCCGACAGGATGCCCATAATCCTATTACACGCGACGGCCACGCCGTTCCCCGTCGCCCGGTGCGCGCTGGGGAGCACCTCGGGCGTGTACGCGTACAGCGTTCCGTAATACACATTCAGACTGAACCCGATAGCACACGAGAACCCGACGTTCTGCGCGGCCGTGCGCACGCTGGTGTAGGCGAAGAAGAACACGGCCGTTGCCAGCGCGCCGATCAGCATCGTGTACCGCCTCCCTAGAAGGGGGATGTTGCACATCCACCCGGCGAGGACGGGGCCGAAGATGGCGCTGATGTTGGTCAGCGCGTAGTTGCGCCACGAGTCGAAGGTTGAGACGTCCAGGCTGGCGCCGCGCGATGCGAGGTACGTGGGGAGGAAGACGTAGAACAGTGGGTAGGCTAGCCCGACCATCGCCCAGGAGACCCAGATCATCAGCGTCGAGAGGGCAATTTTGCGCGTGGAGAAGAGCCCGCGGAGGTGGATGGTCGTCTCGGCCAGCGAGAAGCGGTTGTGGCTGTGTGCCGTGGTCACTACGCCGCATTCCTCGAGCTTTGAGACCGTTAGGGTGCAGGGGCGGTTGTATTTTGCTGCGAGCAGTTTGAAGGTCTCGACCACCTTGGCGTCGTCGCCCGTGCCGAGGAGGTATTTGGGCGTTTCGTGGAGGCGGATTACCGTCAGGCGGAGGATGGACATGACGAAGACCAGGGCGCCGCTCGTAAACATGACGTATCGCCAGCCCATGTTGTTGTCCCGCGTGCAGGTGTCGACCGAGGCACAGTTCCATTTCTCAGGGACTGTTGGACGATTAGAAGGTTAGCAACAACCAAATCCAGCCCTCATTTCAATACAAGTACTCACCCAGAAACCCCCAGGCGATGAACCCCGTGATGGCCTGGCCAAACCCCCACCACGCCGCCATCAACGTCACCATCCACTGCTTGTCGCCGGGCACGAACTCGAGGAAGACAGTCGTGTCGAGGACCAGATTCCCGCCCCCGCCGAAGCCGATCAGCGCGATAAACGTGCCCAGGGAAGCCCAGTTCGGCATGGCCCCGGCCAAGATGCCCGAGATGGAGCAGATGAACAGCGAGATGTTGAAGGCGTAGCGGCGGCCGATGATGTCCGCTCCGAGGCCCCAGAACAGCGCGCCCGTGAGCATCCCCGTGTAGACGGCGATGGTCAGGGCTTTATCGTACCCGGCTTGGCCGAATTCGAGGAAGGCCGGGCCGGCGATCACGGATTGCAGGAGGAGGATTAGGGAGTCGACGGCGTAGCTGCTATCGTTAGAGGATAAATGCTAGCTGGGAAATAGGACGAGTGCGCTCACCCAAAGCCGTTGAGGAAGAATAGCTTGGTGTGGTACGGCGTCCAACCGAGCTCGTCAATAGCCTAGAATTGAATCAACGTAAAATTTCCCATTTTTACTAGAGAGCTCCTAAACTCACGTTGTTCACCAGGTGCATCTTCCGATTGAGCGCCGGATCCAGGTCGTGCAGGGACAGCACGTCCAGCCCCTTGAGCGACTCCTCGTCGACATTGCTGCGCTCGGAGACATCTCCGCCAGCATCCTTGGGTCCCCTGCCGGGAACCTCGAGCCTAGATTTAGAATTTCCATCCGTGGTCATGGTGCTGAACCGCTGGGAGAGCGTGGTGCTGCCAGTGCCGGCTGGCTGCTGTGACCGAATTGGGCTCGAGGATCGCGTGCAGACGCGGTGTCAAGTTGTCAAGTCGAGTAGCGGCTAATAGTAGTCGTCGAACTCAAAACGAAAGAAAAGTGAAGTAAGTGAAGAGCCAGAGAAGAAAACGACAGGTGCTACATTAGGCTGCGTTTTGCATTCAGAATGGTAGGTAGGGAAGACCAGCTACCGGTGCCGAGCAGATGTTCCGACCAACAACAATGTGTGATGAAATCCGCCGAGTCTTGGTGCGGTTGTCCGCGGTAAATAAACTTCTTGATCTCTACCTGTACCATGACGTCTCCAGGGATAGCCCCTCCATCCTCCTGTTGGCGGTGAGGGGTTAAACGCAGGAACTGCCTTTTCAGGCAGGCATTGGCGCCCCTGATTGGCTTAAAGTGGCTGCTGTAGCCGGCCTCTGTAAAGCAAGCACGCGCCCTCGTGGCTCAGCGATTGGAATCTCGCAACTGACCAGCGCGAGGTGGGAGGCTGGAGCACGAGGCCAAGTTCCCGAGTCGGTACTAGTGTCGTCCCACACGTGTGACCAAGGGATTCTGATCCCTTACCGTACTGCCTTAGCTATGTGAGGCTTTTCTCAACTTTTGCTGAGGAAGACATGTGCCCGGGATTGTGAGTCTGGGCACGTGTACTGGTTTGCGCGACACAGAAAGATAGGTACCTACACAACTGTCGCCCCCGGAATGTACGTCTGAAGGTTATCACACATTCCACTGATTGCCTCACTCCAGAAAGCCGGATTACGTTATCACATCAAAAGCTATCCGAGGATAGTGCGGTGTACGGTGCTGGTTTGCGCTGGGAGGACACCACCAAACCGGCAAAGATGCATCAACTATCGACAAGAAGCGAAGGATATATACACAGACATCTGCTTACGCCCAGGATGCCTGCCCCTTATACGCACTGCGAGTACCAGTCGTTGACAAACTTGCAGGTGTAGGGGGCAGCGCAGGTCTTGCAGCCGCTGAAGTTGTTGCCGCCGCACTGCGACCACTGCGACGCAGTGCAGCCGCTCGGCGTGGTCGAGGTGGCTGGAGCAGCGCTCGTCTTGGTAGTGGAGGTGACAAGAGTTGTCGAAGAAGAGACCGGTGCCTTGGTGCTGCTGCTAACGGGAGCACTGCTGCTGCTGCTGCCACCTCCCGGAGCTGAGCCTGTTTTAAAATGCCACGTCAGCTAATCTGTGCCAGGAGACACAACATAAATACTACCAGCAGACTTACCAGAGCCGATGGCGGTCGTCAGGCTGCCGCTCTCGATGTACACGCCGGACCAGTAGTAGTCCTCGGTGGTGTCGGCGTAGCCCGAGCGGGGCAGCTCCAGCACGCCAACGTGCCAGTCGGCGCCGTTGCTGCTGGTGCTGGCGCTGACGGGCGCAATCACCTGCGTCAGCGGATCGCTGCCGGTCGAGTGCCAGAAGCCAACCGTGTTGGCGTCGAAGTCGATCTCGTAGGCCACGTTGTGCCACACGCCGGCCACCCACTCGGTGCTCCACTTGGTCTGCCCGCCGACGCACCACCGCAGCGATGTGTCCGACTCGCCCGCGGCGCCCGAGAGCAGGCCAGACTTGAGCTCGGTGAAGTGGCTCTCGAAGAAGGCGATCTGGTGCTCGCGGGTCGTCGCGGGCGCGTTGGTGTCCTTGCGCATCAGCGAGAAGTGGTAGTACACCTTGCCCTTGTTAATGGGAGCGCTGGTCTGGGGGATCAGCTCGGTGCGCCGCATGTTCTGGCCATTCCAGTATGCCGTGCTGTCCAGCGTGATCTTGGCGCCCTGCTTGGAGTTCGTATCGGCCGGGTTCTTGTAGTCGGGGGACAGGTTGACGTAAGCCGTCACCTCGGAGGATCCATGGATGTAGTACTGGTAGGGGCCGACCTGGTTGCCCCATGACCACTTGTTGAGGTCGGTTGAGGAAGAGAGGTCGTTGAAGCGGCCATCCCAGAGAACGGTGCCTGCCGAGACAGATAGCGCGTTGGCGACGAGACTGGACAAAACCGCGAACTTCATCTTGGCGCAGAGCTACGCAAGAAACTGCTAGACAAGCAACCTAGCCGTTGAAACGGAGCGGGTGATCGTCGCCTCTATAAGGGGTTGACGATGCCACCCCCACGTCCGCCCTTCTGATCCCGGTTCTCGGGTCGTCATCTTCCAGGCCCTTGCAAAGGCTCAGAGAGGGCTTCGCTTGGGTGCCGGCCAGATATTCAGGCACCGAACTCCGCGATGACGGCCCGCTTCAGACACGAGTTCGGAGGGAGATTGGCGTCTAGGGTTGCAATTTCGCGGAACGAATGTGAGAAGTGTCCCTTTTCGGCTGTCGTTTGAGGTTTCAGCGAGGGCCTATGTGGAGCTCATGCCGGCCTTAATTCCGAGAATCACACATGTTGCACCAATCAAACGAGAAGCCAGGAAGCTTCGGGAGCTTGTTTTCGCTCATGGAACAAGAAGTCGACAACCCGCAAGCCACCAAGCGTCGAGCGGAAGAGCTCCGTGAATTTCAAGGTTCCGTCTTGTTGCGGCTCGAATACTATATCAAGGCCCACACGCCCGTGCATTGGAGTCTTGGACTTCTATCTGTTCAACTTCAGTCCGGCACAACGGCACCCTTGCCGGGAAGAGATGCATGCGAGTGTGTGGATTGTCGAGGGCGTATTTTACCCGGTTGCCAACTTGCCGGTGATTCCCATTCCTGGCGGATCAGTCCAAGAGGAAAGCCATCGATGATCGGGCGTTTCTACCAAGCACTCTAGACAAAGGCGGGCAAACCCATCGTTGGAAGGTGTGGTAGACTTGGGCCAGGAACGGACACCTGGTCTTCCGTGAAGCAGCCGTGGAACGTACGGCATGCATCCGACCCGATTCGGCGTGGTATGTTCTTCCTCTAGCCCAACTATTCCGAAAGACTTCAGTGAACGTAGAGGCTGACGGCCGGATCATCCTCCTATACTCGCTGGGCCTCGCGGGGGGCTGGATCTCCGTTTTAGGAGGCCCAGCGAGTAGGTGGTATTCCATCACTCCATTGGTCTTGATGAGTATAATGCCATTGCCGCCTACTATCAAGTGGTTTCTTTACAATTATTCTTCGCGACATACGCCCAAATATACGTTCTAAGTTCAAGGATTCCGGGCGCTCTCACGCACCTACCCGTCCAATTCCGCGCGTCCTTGACAAAAGGGGTTGACAAGCTCGGAGGCTATGCAATGCGGTGCTGGTATCTACCTTAGTCAAAATGAAGCCGACTGCGTCGCGATATCAGCATATCAATGAGGTACCGGCTTCTATAGGCGTAGTACATGTCTGCCAATAGCACCCCTCTCGCTCTAAATGTCAACCCAATAAGATGGCTGACACAGATCAGCAAGACACGTCCGCTCTAAGGATCACCATTACTAGTGTATCAGCCGCTTCACCTTATCCGTTACCCTTCCGAGGAATTACCCAACGTCCTATCCCTAGGTAAACAACCAACCAACTCCCTTACCACGGCTTGACCTTCTGCATACTGCCCTCCTCGTTCAGCGCGCGATGCATGTCGAACGCGTTCCACAACAGGTGCGGCTCGTGGCCCATGCCCTTGCGCAGGCACTCGAACTCGGCCTTGTCAAAGTAGGCCTTGAGGATCGGCTTGTAGACGTCGTGGGCACAGTTCTCGATGATGACGCGGGCCCGCTCGCGCGGGCTCATGCCGCGCACGTCCGCCAGGCCGTTCTCGGTCACGATGATGTCCAGGTCGTGCTCGGTCTGGTCGACGTGCGTGCACATGGGCACGATGCAGCTGACGCCGTGCGGGTCCGTCTTGGACGGCCGCGTCGAGGGCGTGTGCATGATGCTGTACTTGGCCGACCGCAGGAAGTCGGCCGAGCCGCCCAGCCCGTTGAGCATGCGGCTGCCCATGACGCAGGTCGAGTTGGCGTGCGCGTAGATGTCCACCTCGACGGGCGTGTTCATGCCGATGACGCCCAGCCGGCGGATGATCTCGGGCGAGTTGGACACCTGCTGCGAGCGGAGGAGGAGCTTGTTGTGGTAGTGCTCCCAGTTCTGGTAGAAGCGCTCGAACCCTGCCGGGGAGAAGCGGACCGAGGTCGCCGTGGCGAAGTCCAGACGGCCCGAGTCGAACAGGTCGAGGAAGGTGTCCTGGATGACTTCGGTCCAAACCTTGAGGTTGCGGAAGTTGGAGTTATCCAGGCCGCCGATGACGGCGTTGGCGATGTTGCCGATGCCGGATTGCAGCGGAAGCAGGTTGGCCGGGAGGCGGCCGTGCTTGACCTCGTGCTCGAAGAACTCGATCAGGTGGCCGGCGATCTTTTGTGAGGTCTCGTCGGACGGGGCGTTGGGGAGGGTCTGGTCTTGGTAGTCGGATTCTAGAATACCCACGACCTTCTCGGGGTCGATGGGAATCGAGTTGGTACCGATTCGGTCCTCAACCTGGGTAATCAGATACGGCTTCCGACGCGGGGGCAGATCAGTCATGGTGATGTCGTGGAGGCCGTCGAAGTCGGGCAACGAAGTGTTGACTTCGATCACGATCTAGAGCGAGTCAATCGCCATGTCTCAGTCTTTGGCCACTACGTGAAAGTCTTCGCTGGGCTCACCTTGTCTGCGAGCTGGAGAAGCTCCGGTGTTGCGCCGACGGACGCGCCCGGAACAATGCTGCCGTCCTCCTTGATCTTGGTCGCCTCCACCACGGCAACGTCAATCTTGTTGCTTGGCCTGTCTTTGGTGTAAAACCCCTGTTTACGGTTATTATCCACGGATACTTTTGCGGTGTGTCTGGGCATGCCCATACGTATACGAGGTCCACGGGGAACATGGACAGGTGCTTGTCGAAGAACTTGATGCGCCCCTCGTTTATCCCCTTGGCAATGTTCTTGCCGACCTGATGAGGAGCTCTCCTCTCGATCATATCCAGCGCCGCCCAGCGGTTCTCGGTCTCGGCGCCTGACGAGGCACCAACGAATAGGCTGTATCGCAGCTTGCCCTGCAGGTTGTTCTTCTCGACGTGGTCTGCGAGGAATGTGGGCATCTTTCTACAAGCAAACCGTCAGAATCCGCCAAAGACACCCTCCATGTCCAACAGTCTTCGCCTCGAGGCAGTCTTACTTAGGATAACCGACGCCGGTGAACCCGGACCAGCCGATGTAGGCGCCGTTGGGGAAGTGTGGCAGCAGATCTTCAGGATGGCACAGCTTCTTCAGCATTGAGGGCCGGTGAATGCGCGCCTTGAGCGCCGCAGAGGCAATTGGTGACGCCATGCTGGGACCGGAGGTTTAGGCAGACAAGAAGCGTCAAAGGTGTGTACGACGAGCTGGGACGGTCTCAAGAGGGGAGATGGGGCCTAGGGCGACAGCACAACGGGAGGCTGATGATCCGTCCGACGTCGAAGGACATCAGGAACAGAGCAAAACAAGAAGTATGTGGAGGCCGGGCCAGTTATATTTGTTTTTTGAATTGAGCGACATCATTTCCGCAGGCCATCCCCGGCCCGGGTTCTCCATCCGGTCATGCCACGTTCGAAGCTGCGCTCCCCACCACCCCGCAAGAACAGCCGTGGAATGGCATTCGACCCGAGCAATGCGCTCGGAGGAAGGCAGAATAACTTTGACGTAAAGTTCCAAATCTATTGAATGCTGCTGGTTCCATATACGCCTATCCGAACTTTAAATCTCAACTTCTGGTGCTCCGAAAAACACGCGTCGTGCGATATTCGAGAGCGAAGGGATGCAAAAGCTGTGATGTCATCCACACTTTGCCGGCCCTTCCGTCCAATGAGAGCAATTAGTGTGGGGCCACGGGTCGAAGACCCCTGAGCGGAATTCGAATCTCGGCCTTCACACGGACCTTCCGTTCGGCCGCATCGAGGGTTTTAAGCTCGGTTATTGCTGTCGGAGCAGTGGAGCCTTCCCCGTCCACCTGCCGCATCGACCACGAGGCTTTGTTAGCTAACGGCCCGCGACTGCCTTCGGCGCCGCACGTGTATGATCGGAGTTGGCGCGATGAAGCTGATCGCACAACTCAGATTGCAGCATCGCGGCGACGAGATGCGGTGTTCCAGCTGGACAGTGCCACGACCATACAGACTCGCCGACAAAGACAATGCAGTCGCTTCGCCAGACGCCGACAACGAGTCGACACAACGAGTCGACGCGAATGCCGATCGCATCGTGGAGCTGGCCACACAGCCGGGATGGTGCTCCACATCCCCGGATCACAACCGGACGAAGCCCGGGGAAGCCGGGGAAGCCGGGGGCGATAAGGCGAGATCGGCACAGCCTCCGGCCCCGGGACAGGGATTATACCGGAGGCTAATGCAAGCGGGCAAGTTGTCGCGTGCCCGGCCGTCCCCACCCGATTCGGTTGTCGCGCAGGACCCGCGAAGCGAAGCAAATGCACCTCACCCAACAGATCCTTGACGAGGAACGTTGCGTGGCGTGCCAGGTGCCGAGCTACATTCCAGCCACAACGGTTCCGTAAGACGGCTGCAGATGGGCGACGTTCTAACGTAGCCGGTCTCACCGGCTAGGACATGGTGTTCCCCGTTCCTCCTCTACTGAAGGCATGGATCGACCTGGAGAGTCGTCCTGGTCTCCTGGTACAGTACGATACACCACCTTCCACAACCCACTGTCTGTCAGCTTGCCCTACCCCCCGACAAGATCTCAAGAATAGAAAGTGCCAGGGGAAAAAAAACCTAACGACTTGGATGGAACCAGGCGAGGGCGGTCCTATCCCGGCACGTTCAGGGTCTTGTAGCGACAATACGGAACCGACAGTCTGGTTGATGGACAGCAAGCGAAGTGATGGCATCAAACCTACCCCACGTTTGCAGCGGGTGAGCGGACTGGACATGTAAGCTCGGTGGTTGGTTGGCTCGCTGTAACAACCAAGAGCGGCATGCGGTTCGACCCCAGATGTAACCTGGCAAGCCTGCTGCGCCTGGCCCGTGCAGCCCGTTTTCCTTGTGATAGGGAATACGAATAGGTGGCCAAAACTGGCATGTCCAACCTAGATATCTGACAGAAGTGAGTTTATCAGTATAGATGCAACAGTAGAGCAAGTGTAGGCCCGGTTCCTGTGATAGCTATCTCGGACTTGCCAGCTCGCACTTCACATGCATCACCCCCAGCGCCTAAATGATAGGGAGGTAGTGTCACCGCCGTGTGGGACACCAACTGCAATCGACCGGCCGTGTAACATAACATGACAGAGATCTGGCCAGTTGATCCCCGCATCCCCGCGTTGTGTACGCGCCAAGTCAGTCAAGCCCGCAAGCAGACAAGGGCCGACCGAGCGGTCCGGGGATCTGGGGAACTTGGAGCATTCTCTGAGCGTTTGGGTGGTCTCCAACAGCCGCAACCGCTCTTGTCAACTGTCAAGTGCCAAAGTTCCTCAAACCGGACGGCCACATGACTGCCTTCAGTTTGCGGCTGAGACCGTTGGTTGCAAGAAACTGCAGTTTAATCTACGAAACGTTACATGATGGCGGTGAGGGGCCGTGCCGATATGGGTGGGGATGAACTCCGCACTCTTGGCTTGGTCAGGTGGGGAGTGTGGCCCGAGCTTTCATCCCATCCCGACCCACTCCCTGTGAGCTCCTGCCAAACTCGATCCTCCACGAAGCTCTTGTCCAATCAGTGATCTGATAGCCCAGTCGGTCGTTCATGACCACGGCGCGGCCTGGGGATGATGACCGGGCCAGGCCAATCAACCCACTTCGAAATGCATTCGGGCCGGTGCCACAGTTTATCGCAGCAAATCTCTGTCCCAAACGCCGGCCTGGATTCCCCTTCCAGTCGTCAATTGGCCTCCAGATTTACGAGCTGAATTCGGGAAAACCCCAGACATTTGAAAGTCAGGAATGGCAGTCCCAAACCGCTGGCAATCCAGAAGGAATGAGGAAAGCCGTTCGCGGTCATCACCAGCAACCCATAACCACCCACCTCAACCTGAAGCCTTGAAATGCAAGTCCCTCTTCGCGGTGTTGCCCGGATTTAGCGTTACCAAATTGTCACATTAACTTCGTGCAGTTCCAGATCGGTCGTGGTGTTGACAAGCGCTCAGTTTCGGCGCAAGATAGGCAACCAGCATAGGGCACTCTCACAGAAGTTCCCGTCCGTATCCCACTGCTACGTTTGTCGGGGCTACCACACGAGGACACGAGCCCGTGAGCTGCAGCGTTGCATCCGCATTGCAGCGTTCCCCGGGGGTTCCCCAGCAATCAACCAATCTTCAGCCAGGAACGGGTCCCCTATCGTCCCAGCACCCCAAGACGCTACTTTTAGAGTCCCGCAACCATCCCTTGCGCCAAGCTTCCGGCTCCGGTCTTATATCTGCCGCTATCACCTCCCTGGTAATATTTCTCTGTCCTCTCCTGCACACGTTCTCTTGCACGCAATTCGCGGTCGCCGGCAAACAACGGCTGCTCCGATCCGTTCCTGAATCACTCACACTCGGCACACCGACGCAGCAATGGCCGACGAAAAGATCGCCTCGTCGACGGAGGCGCCCGAGGTTAGGGCCGACGTGGGCGAGCCGATCCAGCGGCCGCCGGGATGGATGTACAAGGGCTTTAGGATTTTTGGGAAGGAGGTGTGGTATGCGTCGCCACTTGTGCAGCTCCTCATCGTCGCCTTCGTCTGCTTCATGTGCCCGGGTATGTACAACGCCCTCGGCGGTCTGGGCGGCGGTGGACAGGTGGACGCGACGGCCCAGAACGATGCCAGCACCGCCTTGTACTCGACCTTCGCCGTGGTCGGCTTCTTCTCCGGCACGATCGCCAACATGCTCGGCGTCAAGACGACACTGGCCTTTGGCGGTCTCGGCTACTGCATCTACTCCGGCAGCTTCCTGTCGTACAACCACAACCAGAACTACGGCTTCGTCGTATTTGCCGGTGCTTTCCTCGGTATCTGTGCCGGTCTGCTGTGGACGGCTCAGGGGACCATCATGGTGAGCTACCCGCCTGAGGACAAGAAGGGCCGCTACATTTCGTATTTCTGGATCATCTTCAACCTGGGTGCGGTTATTGGCGCGCTCGTGCCGCTGGGCCAGAATATCAATGCCGAGGGGGCCACCAACGTCACGGACGGCACCTACATCGGCTTCATCGTTCTGATGGTCGTCGGCGCCATTCTGGCCCTCACCCTCTGCAACGCAGACCAGATCCGCCGCGAGGACGGCAGCAAGGTCATCTTGATGAAGAACCCCAGCTGGAAGACCGAGTTCAAGGGCCTGTTCGAGACCATCACGGGCTCGCCGTGGGTCGTGCTGCTGTTCCCCATGTTCTTCGCCTCCAACATCTTCTACACCTACCAGATGAACGACATGAACGGGGCCCACTTCAACACGCGCACCCGCGCCCTCAACAACCTGCTCTATTGGGTCGCACAGATCTTTGGCGCCGTCATCTCCGGATACTGCCTGGACATCGCCAGTGTCCGCCGCTCCGTCCGCGCCAAGGCCAGCCTGGTGATGCTCTTCAGCCTGACCATGGTCATCTGGGGCGGCGGCTGGGCCTGGCAGAAGATGCAGGCCCCTCGTGAGCTGGTCGAGGCCAAGGACTCAACCACCCCGAGGTACGACTGGACCGACGGCGGCAAGCTCTTCATTGGGCCCATGTTCCTGTACATGTTTTACGGCGCCTTTGATGCCGCCTGGCAGACTTGCATCTACTGGTATGGACACCTGATCACTGGGGGCTGTAAGGAAAGCTAACACACTGTGACTTCTTCAGGTACATGGGTGCGCTCAGCAACTCGGGCCGCAAGGCCGCCAACCTGACCGGCTTCTACAAGGGCATTCAGTCCGCCGGCGCCGCTATCTTCTGGCGGTTGGACAGTCTCAAGACGCCCTACAACACCATGTTTGGTGCTACAGTATGTTCATTCTTCTCACCCCGCATACATGGCCCCTGGTTGCGTTAGCTAACCCTTGTCTTCGCAGTGGGGCGTCGTGGCTGCTGCACTGCTCATTGCCGCACCCGTCATCTTCATGCGCATCAAGGACACCGTCAGCGTCGAGGAGGATCTCAAATTCAGCGACGAGACCATCGAGGACGTGGCGCCTGCGAAGGATGTCACTGTCATGAGCAAGGAGGAGACGGTCTAAGCGGGGGCGACAACACAATACCCTGGGGTTTGTTACGGGGCTGGTTCTTAGGACGTGACTAGTAGTAATATGCATTTGCGGGATCTGGGCCGGGACGGTTCAGAGATACTTTGCTGGCGTACCGATTAGCGTCTGAGTAATACGATTTACTCTCACAAGGCATAGCCATGCCTTTCATTCATCTGCATTGAACGCCACATGATGCTCATTGAATACCTTACTTACCAATGCCCCGATTGACATCTTTGGGAGGCGTCTTATCCACTGCCCCTGCCCCTCTCTGTCATACGGACCTTACCCGTTGCCGCGCATTTTCAATCGCGCGGGTTGCAACATCCCATATACAAAATGCTCGGAAGCGAACGTGAATTTGATCATGTAGCTCCGATATAACCCTGCTAAGTCTATCTACGCTGTTATTCTGCTGCTATACAAAACATCCCCATACGGAAAAGGTTGAACTCAATCTCTAGTACCAATTCCCTCCCTCCCTCGTCAGACCTCCAACGTCTCCAAAAGCTCCATTAATAGACCTCCATTTTTCTTCTGCACGGCCCCCATCTGCTCCGCCAGACCTCTCAACTCGACCTGCAGTGCGTCCAGGGCGCGGCGCGTGTAGGCAAGCCCCCCTGCTGCTCGAGATATTCGAGGAACAGCTTCTTCTGGTCCAGGCCCATCCTTCCAGAGACGTGTCGTTGGGAGAGGAGGTTGCGGAGGAGGAGAGCCGTCGGTTTCGGGGTCGCTGTGGTCGCGGCCGATCCGGGCTCATCGGATTTGCACCCTCCTAGTGCATAGACCAGGGGGAGGGAGTATTTCCCTTCGTCGAGGTCTTCGCAGAAGCCTTTTTGTTGGGTGTACTGAGACGTGGGTTAGTGTTAGCTATACTGTGTTACACACTACCGTATCCTTGCTGGTTAAGCTGGTGGGCTCCCCTGCCAAAAACAAAAAGAAAAAAAAGAAAAAAGGACTTACATCGGCAGAGGTCAAGTTCATGTAATCGTCCCGGATCTGGAACAGCCGGCCGAGGAGGGTCGTGAAACGGGTCAACAGTGCCGTGTCCGGCTTGGTCGGGGAATCCGACTGTGCGTCCAGCATCCTCGCCAGCATCCGAAACAGGCCAGCCGTTTCTGCGCGCGCTTTGGGTTAGCACAAGACATAATAACCACCCCAACCCGGAGCAAATCAAGGGGGCATCATTTACTCACTGCTATCCACCATGGCGAGATACTCCTCCTCTGTCGGACAGTCCAGGTTGCAGGTCCAGGACAAGTCGTAGCTCTGGCCAACGTACAGATCTCGCAGTTCATCTGGATCATTTCCCCACCCAGTCAGTCAGTCAGTCAGTCAGTCAGTCTGAACGGGGTTTTAGCTTTTCCGACCATCCATCTACCAGTATATCTCTCTCTTTTATCTTTCCGCAGGGCCCAGCGCACGCCAAAAAAAAAGGAAAAAAAAAAGAAAAGAAAAGGAAAGAAAAGAAAAGAAAAGAAAAGAAAAGAAAAGAAAAGAAAAGAAAATACCTACCGCAAAAGATATCCATACACCTCGGATCCAGCTTCCTCACCTCGGTCAGGGCAGCCAGGAAGCGGTAGCCGGCCGAGTTGATGGTCTGCATGGGGCCGAAGACGACGTGGGCGGCTGGCTTGCCGCGGCGGAGCTGCGAAGCGTCCTGGATGTCGTCCAGCATGAGGGAGGCGCCGTGCAGGAGGTCAATGATCCGTAGGATGATGGCTGTCTGGTGCGGTGGAACGTGGTACCACATGCTGTTCAGCGCGTCGAGCGCCTTGGTGCGCATGCCCTTGCCGGGGAGGGCGTCGATGTAGTGGGATGGGGCTTCGAGGATCTGTTTTTTGGGGTTGGGTAAACCGTGGTTAGCAGGTTCTCTCTTCTCTCGCAGCAGAGGAGTCCGCTGTTGGGTGGGTGTAACTAAGGTAAGGTAGGTAGGTACGTGCCTCAGTGCCTAGGGCGGGGACGTCTCGTATTACAGCTGCCATGCTTTTGGGTGGGGAGGAACTGTTGGTAAGAGCACCGTTGATGCGGGGGCCATTGGTGTTAGTAGTAATGGCACCGTCGGTGAGAGAACTGTGGTTAGTGAGGCTATTGCCGTTAGCGACGGTGGCACTAGTAGTACTGAGAAGTGCCCCGTTGGCTTTGACCTCGGAGTGCTGCTCGGTAGCGGCAACGTCGTTCACACTCTCCGGCCGCTCGGCACAATCCCAGCTATCGCTCTCGTCCGCCCAAATAGCCGCGGCCATCTCGAGCTGCGCCGCGTTCAGCTTCCGATCGGCATGATAGCGAGGGCACTGGAGCGCCCAGGCAATGTTCCCGCTAACTAGAAACTTGGCTTGTTCGAGAAGGCGCTTGGCATCCGGGCAGAGATCGTCTCTCGCCCGGGCTGCCTCGACCACACGCTCGCACTCGGCGGCATACTGCCTCGCCTTTTCGCGGCATACCGCCTTCGCCTCGTCGCAGGTCATCGAGTGCTTGTTCATCAAGACCCAGATAGCATTCGTCATCGACGCCTGGCGGCCATCGACAGCGGCTTTGGACTCGCGCTCCCAGGAGTGGTAATCGTTTGCGAGCGCGAGCTGCAGCCAGAAGGGCTGGGAGAGCTCGAGGCACGTCTGCTGTTGGTCTTCGGGGATGCTGAGGCCCATGCCGAAGATCATCAACCCAAACAGGGGCCTGTATCGGTTTTGTTAGATCGATCGGTAATAAATAGAGAAACAAATGAGGGGGGGTGGCGGCGTGGCGCTCAGAGTGGTAGTACTCCGTGTTAACGTACTGTGAACCGACATTGATACGTCTATACTCGAGGTACTCATCAAAGTCCCGAATCTCCCGACCGTCCCTCTCGCGGCTTAACAAACCCGTCATCATCTTCCTCAGCCACCCGAACACATCCTCAGCGCGTTCATAGTCGACATCATACATGGCCTTGCCAAACCCAACCATCAACCTCAAAGCCGGCGAGCACGACGACGAGGAGGAGGAAACATCCCCATCCTCATCCCCCTCCCCACCCGCACCCTTCGTCCTCCTCCTCCTGATCACATCCTGCGCCGCCAGCAAATCCATAAGATAAGGCGCGGCAACCGCAGCAAGGGGCGCCTCGGCCGCGGCGTCAATCATGTCGTCGATGATAAAGGTAAACTCGACCGCGTACGCCACAAGCTCGAGACGCTCCGGCAGGAGGTCGGGCATGCACGTCGACACGAAGTTGTGCTCGGGCCCCATGGCGCCCGAATATCCGGGGGGGAGGGGCCCGATGGACCGTTGCCAGTCCCGCTGGGCGCGCAGGGCGCCGCGGTCTGCGAGGGAGGCGTTGCGGTGCACGCGGAGCGGCATAGTAGTAGTAGTAGTAGTGGTGGTGGTGGTGGTAGAGAGGAGGCCGTCCATGGTGGTGTCGTAGGTGGAGGGTTCAACGAGGAGGGAATTGGGATGCGCCATGCTAGTTAGTAGTAGTAAGTAGTGGTGGTGGCGGGAGGAATAGTGGTGGGTGAAGTTGTGCAAACGCCCAACAAGAGGGGGAAGGGAGTGAGAGTTTTGGTGCTGTCGATTTCTGGGAAGAAGGGGCCGGGTGGGAGAAAGTCAGTGTCAGAGTTACTAGTAGGTAGCGAAATGTGGCGTTTGACCGGGCTTTACTTGAAATGAAGCCACGAGCCTAGTATACTGTGTACTACGACAAGGCGACCTACCTCTGCTTTTTTCGAGGACGATCTTGCAGATCCCGGTTCATCATTATCCCCGTTCACGCGAACCGTAGATCCGGCCCAATGTACATATGTCGATCATCTACACTTAATAAACGTGCCCTGCATGCACGGCGGCGAGGCGGGTGCTCCGCGCTTCGCGCGTTTCCCGCTTGGGGTCTGGTCTGGTCTTCCCCTGGCCAGCTGAAGACTGGCTTCGTGAAACGTGGGCCAGCCAAGACGCACTAGTTAGTTACTACCGCGACCGCGTTCAGCCCGCGTTGCTGACCACCAACGCTTCCTATAGGCAGCTCTGGCGATATTCGCTTCTCACCGCAACCACCGCTCGCCGGCTAACCGCTAAAAAGTTTTGTTGGGGCGGGAGATCTCTTAAACCTGGCGCCGACCTGCCCGCTTTGGTGGATCGACTGGGGTGTGAAGAAAGCTTTTGTCTAGCCCGGGCTCCGCCGCTGAAATGAATGCAGGTGTAGATCGACGCAGGACATGGCAGGAAGGGCTCGGTCCGCCTGGTGAAAGCGATAGAGAGCTTGTTGTCGACGGACCGACAGCGGAACGTGTGACCGTGGTAGAAATGGCGCTCTAACTATATTCTAAGAGCGATTTACAACGCTAATTTCTTTGTCCAACGATCTCGCGAACGATTAACCCTTACGGGACCATGCCGTGCCTTCAGCTACCCTAGAATCACGGCGATCGAAAAGAAATAGCCCCATGGCGACATTGACGATCAGCCCAACCCTTTAGCGCTAGCGGCGGGTATGCTGAGCTCATGGCATTCGTCGTAGGTGACCGGGCCGCACCGTCCGTCTACAAAAGGGAGTCTCGTCCTCCGTCAAGTTGAGCATTTCATCTATCATTTTCACAGCTCACCTTCAGTCTTCACTCCTCACTCGAACTACTACCTACCTACCTACTCAAGACTTGCTTTTACTCAACCCGCACAGAAAAATGGTTTCCCTCCGCTCCCTCGTCACTGGCGCCGCCCTCATCGCGGCGCCCGTCATGGCCACGCTCTCGCCTGCCGAGCTCGTGGACCGCATCAACGAACTGACCAAGAAGTCCGAAGCTCTACACGCCCCTGTCCAGAGCATCACCCTCACCAGCGCGCCTTTGATTGCCCTCGGCCAGGGCCCGCTCCCGGTATGATGTCCCCCAGAGCTTCGTAACCCTCCCTTGAATACTGACCTCGCGCAGGCACTCTTAACCGGCGGCGCCGACATCCTCTCGAGCGCCACGGTGTTGATCTCCAACCTGGACGGAATACCGCAGGGTGCGAGCGAGGATGATCTCACCAAGATCCTCGATGCTTTCCGCGATGTATGTAGTACAACGCATTGCACATTACATATTGCCCGCATTTTTTCCATCCTCGCTCTTTATACTGACCACAACGTCTATCAGTGCGTCCACGTCAACCAGGAACTCCTCAAGGTCGTAGTCTCCAAGGCCGACCTCCTCAAGTCAATCCCCGTCTTCGGTGGCCCGGCGACCGTACTCCTCGGCCCATTCGAGGGTTTCGCCAACGTAAGTACTACCGACCTACCTACCTTACCTATTTTATCTTTCGGCGTTATCCCACATTTTGCGTTGCGGACGCCCTGCCCTTCCCCGTTTTTCAGTCCCTACCCCCGGTGGCTCTTTTCTTTTTTGCGCAGGGCACTGATTTTTTTTTGGGCCACAGGCCATTGCCGGCTTGGCCATCAACATGTCCGAGTCCTGGGTCGAGCAATTCAAGGTGTCTCATCAGGACAACTGTCTGAACACCACTCGCACCGATGGTGTCAGCGTGAAGCGGGCTGAAGTCTTCGTCGCCTAATAATAGTTAAGGCGTTTGACCCGCGGCAAACCTCATCTGGCTTGGCTGCTTGGTACGGGAGGTATGGATAAGGTACCTTATCGTTAATCATGGTGATGATGAGTATGAGGTGCCCTGTACGGTATCGGAAGATCTAATGAGGAGGATGAGAGCCACTTTGGAACCGTGAACGGTCGAGTTGGGGACTTCCCAGCCTATTTAACTCATAGGAAGATTATTTTAAGTGGATGTAGATACATGTTTCTTGATATATAATCTGAAACATGAATGCCTCACCAAGGAGACAACGGAGATGAGTACACCGCCAACAAACAAGTTCACCTAGGAATGCTTGATCAAAACAATCCCTAGACAGTCATAGGTCTCGACGCTCGTCTTGTTGCATTCAAGACGGTCAGGGAAGGGTGGGTACCTTGACTGGTACTCAAAAGTTCCAAGGGGGGAAGCAGAAATTGCACGTCGACAGAAAAGGGGGGAAGCAGCAGGCAAAGAGAATATATAGTATTGTGCTTTACTATTGTGCAGTCAATCCTGCCAAGATCAACAAGTCCACGAACACATGGATGGGACGGGCAGCGGGCTCGGATCCATAGGGTTGAGTGGCGATGAAGCCGCATGCACCTCCACTTCCAGCGCGTCCAGTGATTACGTACTGCGTAGGTAGTATTCAAGTAAGCGCTAGCAACATTCCAGACCTTCCTACAGAGGAATGTTCCTTCAATTATCCCTGGGTACGGTACTTAGTAAGCCCATGCCCCATCGTGGTAATCCGTGATCGTGCAATTCCCGGCGGCGGGAGCAAGGTGGCATTTGGGATTACGAGTAGTTTACTGATCTGGATTTCACCTAGCATTATATTTCTGTACTGACTTGGACACGAGGTCTGCAATACATCATCCACTCGATGGTCCCTGGACTAGCATAAACGCGAGCCTATCGCTGCCTCCGGGACAGACTCACCGACACACTACACACCTCCTGTCCAACAACCAATCGACATGGTGCGCAGCTGGCAACTCTGGCTGTCGCCACGGCCGCTGCGGCGCACGGAAACCCCCGTCGAGCCGCGGATGCTCTCTGCACACGATGCCTCACTCTACGAGTTCATATACGAGGCCGACGGCCGTCTCGTCGTCCAGGAGACGCATTACGCGAGCAGCAAGCATGTCCGGCAAGGCGCTTCGGGTCCGCCGCTGTGAGCGAATTTTGAAACCCCGACAGAAAATCTTGGATGCTCGTCTGTCTCTGACCTCGTCGCCTCTTGAGCATACCTCTAGGCATATCCACCCGCGGCAATCTGAGTACTTCCAGGTGCTCCAGGGAACGTTAGCCGCGGTCAAGAACGAGAAACAAGTTAGACTTACCAAGGACGACGGCATCCTGGCCATTGAGCCCGGCGCCCGGTGAGTCTACCTACCTACCTTAAGTAACCATCTACCAGCGGCTCTCATGTTCCATTCTGTTCTTACTAGTAGTAATTACTACTTATTACAGTACTTACCTTACTTATGGAGCTAACTGAATGGTAAAAACAGGCACAGATTCTGGGCGGACTCGTCCATCAACTCCACCCACGAAGACCTGATCTTCCAAGTCCGGGCCGAGCCGCAAGACGTCGAGCGCGGCTTCGACGAGAACTTCCTGCGCAATATCACAGGCTATATGCGCGATTGCGCGCAGCAGGGCGTTCCGCCCTCCCTCTTCCAGATCGCCCTGTTCGGCTGGGCCGGCGACACCCTCCTCATCTGCCCGCCCTTCTACGTGCCGCTGTGGATCCTGGAGGCGGCTCAGTATGTGGCGGGTCATGTCGTGGGATATCACTTGCTGGGGTGAGCATTACTTTGAAAACATTATATTATATAAGGGTGTGGGTCTGTCTGTGTGGATGGTTCGGGCTGACAATCTTTCTTTTTCCCTGAGGGCAGATATAGAGCCACATACCCCGAGTACAACACCAAGCCGCGAGAGCGGTTTCCTGGGAACGGTACCAAGAAGACGGTGTAGACCAGTCAAGCATAACGCTAGGGATATATGGCGGCGTGACCGGGAGCGATCTCATCCTAGCGGAAGATTTCATATATACCTTAGGTACCATGTCTCACTACACCAACACCTCACATATAGATCCAATTAAGCTCCATAAGACATCGCTGCGTTTCGGTACCCGGTAGAAGCGGCTAGAGTGTTTTGTCCAGCCGGCGTCGTTAACTTTGTCGCCACGATTCATGGAGAGAGGGGGGTAGCAATACTACATGTCTTCAGAACGATCAAGTAACGTAAGGTATAAAGAGCTGTCCGTTCTCCAATATTACTTTGGGTCCCTCCCCTGGAGTTGACCTCACAACAACACAACTCACTTGTTCTTCAACCTTCCGCTTCCATCTCTTGTCCATCAGCTGCTGCGCGGCCAGCATCATCTGCTGCATGTACATCATCTGCGTGATGTTGGGGTTCACCGCGGCCAGCTGCTCCGTCATAGCCGCAGTCCGATTGCACTCCTTGACACCCTGGCTAGCGATGCCTGGTATCTGCGTGGCCCCCCCCCCCCCCCCCCCCCCCCCCGACGCGACGGACCGCGGCAAGCACAGAGGCAAGGCCGGCAGTACATCAACCCATACCACCAAGCATGCTCCCTGCCTACCAGAAGGCATATGGCCCACTCGGCCCGTAGACCATTGATGCAGACGGAGGAGAACATTGACGACGAGGGCGACGGCGGCTCCTATGCTAGGAAACCCCAAGAGACAGTGGCAGTTCTGCAGGGAGCGAGACAAAAGACAGCTCATGCTCCTCGAAGAACATCCCGGATACCCTTGCTTTTGGGAGCCTCTTCTCGTCATCCTGGAATAAGTTGGCCCGAGATCCTTCCCGCAAGGATAGTTTTCGTTGCTCAACTCGACGATGGACAATGCCAACAGTGGGCCAAATAAAGACATCTCCATGCCCGTCACCACCAGCATCGCTAGCAGGCTCAATGCCTCGGCCCAAATAATTCAGCTCGCTTGCCGAGCTCAGCAAAGCTTGGTTTCGTTCGTTCGTCTGCAACAGGCCAAAAAACGACTGACTGGTGTGTGCCAGTCCATCGTCCATTATTTTGGTTGCGGATGTCCTTCAAAGTTGGGCCTTCTAATGCGGTTTAGGCTGCGCCAAGCATGTAGGCCATAAGGTGTATGGTGCGAGTCCATGCGACCGCCTCGTAGGCAGGGACACGATCATCCGGGCTTGTGTGGGCATCGTCCGGTACGCGGCAGTGTAGTGTGCCCTTCGTCGACACAGTCTTCATCAATGTGATGGTCAGTGTCTTGGCACCGTGGGTCAGAGGGGAAGCCGTGCATGCACGATGATACCGTCTCCTCGTCGCCGAATCGTCACCGAGGGGTTTCCCTTTGGTGCATCTGAAGGTAGCTCGGCCTGGAAGTATTGGACCAGTCTGTAAGCTTCCCGTCTTGGGGGTGATGCCTCGCGGAAATGGACCGGCAGGTCTGGAAGCAATGTGTATGTGTTCTCCGTGTTCTTCTGGAAGTCCTCAGCCAAAGCGTGCACAACGTTGACCTTGCCGGCCCGGCTTACTTTTCAGTAGAATATTAGCCGTAGTATTGGGCCTTAGCATGTACGACACCGCCGCGGGTTGACAGGCGCCACGACGACTGACCCGCCGCAGTGACGTTGTTTTCTGGGATCCACGATGCCCCAGTCAGCGTGTGCGGCGACAGCTGGGTTCGAGGAGAGAAGCAAGGCCCAGGCGAATATCATCTCATCATCCTCGCACTGAAGCAGCGTCGTCGGCGTCATTTGCCCTCGACGCCCTCATCGCCACGGGGCCGAGGACCGCCCCTCCGCCTCGTCGCCCACACACCCCTACTAAGCCCAGCGCAATAGAAAGCTCTCAGCAACGCGCCTTTGGCTTTGGGAAGGACCCAGATGAAGGTCTAGTTAGGCACTACCTCTTGATCAAACCCTGCCTGGACGCCCACGGTCGACTCTCCACGGCCCGACGACCTCTCAAGCAGCGAATATCAGACTACCCGACGGGAGTCCGGTTTGCGGTGTCCTTCCGCACCCGCGAAATTAATTGAACCCTCCGACCAACTTCCAGCCGGACTGGCCGATCGACAGACACAGAGCGACATACTGCGTTACATTGATGCGTCTGTTATGGGCGATGTGGAAGTGATCAAGCAGATAAAGCGGCGGTTTGGTGCCGAACCTTGCGTCGCAGAATGTACGGGGCGAGACAAATGGTGTGGGCTCCTGGCCGTCTACGACACGACGGTATGGCTCCCGGCCATCCACCAAACAGGTATCACTACGGTAGTCAGCGAGAGTCGCTGCGCTGTCTTCGCCACCGCAAGCTTCTCGACTGGCTAGGCCGCCGCGGCCCCCTGGAGATGGCGCCCGACTGCGAAGCAGGCTGGCGGGGTCAATTGCTGCCGGTCCAGCGTCTCCCACATTCGATGTTGTTTGCGTGGCAGCGAGTATTACTTGGGCTGCAGTGTCGAGAGGATCGACGAGCTCTCCGTTTTGTCGGAAAAACTGTCCGAGCGTCGCTTCCCTCGGCCGAATTGGCATCGACGGGATCAGGCAATCGCTGGTCATCCGCGGCGGAACAGGTGTTTCCACTTTTTGCTCCCCGGGGGGAGAGGTTTGGGGGGGAAAGAGAGGGCGCTGTCTGGGCATAGGACTCTACAACGACAGAGCATCATGGAATAAGAGAGAACCCAGAGCTCTATCTCATAACGCATTGTTCGACCCCAAAGCCATCAAATACATGCCTGTGGCTGCCCTGCCGCTACGCCCGGATCTTTCCAAGGTCTCTTTCCTACAAAGAGTACGTTTACCAGATCCTACTCTCACCCAAGAGCAATCACTGCCGAATCGCCAGCATGTCCACCAAGACATGATTCTCTGCGGGCCGTGGAGGGCAGGGTAGGGTACCTAGCTTCGTGCCTGAACAGAGGATCCATGATCTGCTTGAAATCGGCGAGGATTATCTAACACTTTGTGTGTAAATGAAGGTAGTCAAAGTGCAACTCGGCCCATATCCAGCGCATTCAGTCCCCAGTGGTTGCCGGCTTTCTGAATACCTGGAATCAAACTTTGCTATATCTAGGTAAAGTAAAGGGATATACACCAAAGGGATAAGAAAGGTCGCCTTAACGCTGCTTAGGTACCCTCCTCCCGTAGCTTCTGGAAGATATCCCGGAAACATAAAAAAAGGGACGGTTATGGCGCGACCCACGGATCAGACACGTGTCTCTCAGGACGGCGATGCATTAAGAGCCTTTACAACCAATTCCCAGATTAATTGGACTAATAGGCGACGCCCTCCGCTCATCCCGAGAGAAGACGCAGGCGGTCTGATCCCATCCGGCCAACGACACAAGCCAAGGTTCAAGGGACATGGAGAGGATGCCGTACTCCCAGGCTATTTTTTTGCGGGACGCTCAACACGGGTTCCAACTGCTATATGGAATATATACGTCCTTTTCTATCTACCTTCTCTTGTTTGTAGTAGTCCGGAGCATGTACTGGCTACAAGCATGGGACAAGACGCAGATAGACGATGAGCTTACTTGGGTCGGGAAACACTAGAATTCTAGAACTGTCAGAGTCTTCAAGATACGGTATTCTGCTTGTCGGTTGTTAGCGATATCCCAAACTGCCTCTATGCCGCTGCCAGTCTCGGGAGATTTGGGAATTCGTGGATACCGTAGGTTCAAGCGAGCCGTAGACAAAGGAGGTGAACAGCGAGTTCGAGGAATAGGAATGTCATGCTTGAACTCTGCCATCTTGCCGAAGATATCTCTTGAAGGACGCTGAATGGTGCTAGATATTCGCGCATGTATATATCTGTCATATGAAAGAGGTGTAACAGAGAGAGTTAAGAGCTTCTGAGATAAGAAAGCCCCATCATCTACCCTACGCCCTTCCCTCGACTTCCCCCGAGTCGATCCTGGCGGTTCAGACCCGGAAGGTGGACATCCGGATGAGTACATTTCGAGGAGCTCATTTCACTTGCAAACATGCAACGCATACTGCCACGGCTACCGGCATGATTCTGGCTTTGAGTTTCGGAACCAGTCGGCCGTTCGTCCGTGGTTTCTCGACGTTGTTGAGGATTATCCCGAGCGAAGAATCAACGGGTAATGCCAATTCAAAATCGAGCCTTTGCTCGTTGGAGAAATGCAAGTTCTTTCCTATGTCAAAGTACTATCCTTTGTGTCGTATAGTGAAAAATAGCTGTTCCCTGGCGTTGCTGACGGCTCAAGAACTCCCGTGGAATAAACTTGGCACCATCCCCTGAGCGGATCATGATTTGGGATAACGGGTTACAGTTCCTGTATTTGGTCATCGCCCGGTTATGGCATCCGAGACATTATGCACGGACGGGCAGGAAGGTGTGTGATGAGGGGCTGATCTGTCTCAGGGTGGTTGCGTGTCGTCACAGAAGCGAGGATCCGAGCTATGGCTGTTTTTGGGGCTACAGACTTTGTACAGTACATACAAGCATGCCGAATCGACATGCGACGGTCTTTTGGCATAGCAGCAAGGTGGCAAGCCCAACCTGAACAGTAGTTCTGACTTCTGTTGTTGGACCTATTGAGACAGTTGCCTCAACATTTTGACAGGCACCGGATACCCACATCCCTCCTGCCAAACTCCCATCTGAGCCAGAAACCTGCCAAGCTCAACCAAACCGGGCTCCGAGACCTGAGCACAATCCGGTTCCGGAAATCACACAAATCACACGATTAGCAAGCTCGTTGTTGTATCACGGTCCGATGTTTCTGTTGGGCCCACCACGGAACCCGGGCACCGGACCCAGCATAACTGGAAGACGTCATCACTGGGAAAACAGTCGCTCATCATCCAAGCAGGCTTCCCAGTGCTGGAGTCCTCTAAACCTTCCCCCAGTTGTAATCCGAGACCCCGAGTCGTGAAGGCCCCCGCAGTCTCAAATACCTAGCAAGGCATGGAACCGCAAACAAACATGGATTACAGTGTCCTGGCTGGGCCTACTACACACTTGTTTGCGCCTTGTGGTATGGATTAGTGCCGCTTAACGTATCCCACCTACTATCATTGCCGAATGAATAAAGAAGCAACGACAACAGCGGACGACGGCACACGCTAGCCATGGGTCCGGGACGTGCTGAAATAGCTAAACAGATGCGAGATATGCCCGCAGTACGCCAGCCTTTTCCATCCTTATCACCAGCCGCGCAGAAGTTGTTTGGATGATCCATGCTTTCGCCGATCGAGCCTTGGACCAAGATTCCGGATCGTTGCGATCCCGGTTTAACTATCCTGGGGGCTAGCCGTTGCGAGCAGGGCTGGGCCGAGCTTGATACATACTAGGTACCTACACTTCCGAGCCGAGCAGATCCCTTTTCTTTTTCCCTGGTCGCATCAGCGGTTGGTTTCATCAACCTCCTCCAGATGGGGACGGACATTTAGTTATTTACCCCACTGCGCAAACAAAAAAAGTGCCGGTCTCGGTCTCGGTAGGGTAGGGGCATGAAACAAACAGCCATCGCCCATGCCCGGGTGAACCCTGGTGCTCGGAATACCAGCTTCTGGTGATCCCCGCGTTCTCACCTACAGCAGTTCCTCCGCGGGACTGGGATGTTCCAGGCTTCCTGCTGTTGAGCTGCCAGATGCGGAAAGAGTATCGAGGGGTGGGATTGTTCTGGCCTCGAGGTTTCTGGCCGTTGGATGGGATATGCGGAATCCTCTGTGCTGAGTCTGTGTGCCTCTCATTTTGAAGGAAGAGGTATATGAGATCAGTAGAGGGCAAAAGGGTTTGGATGGAATAAATGATTAATCCACCGGAGCATGGTGACGACGGAGTAGGACAGAAGTGGCAGCACCAAGTAAGTAACATGTTAAGAGTGCATGTGAGTAGTGTCACTACGTGTGTGGTTGGAGACAAGACGCCCAGTTGTTTGCGGTAGCCCTCTCGACATCGCCGTCGTCATCACCGCCACTGATGAGCAAGGCTCACAACCACATGCTGAGAGTGCCTGGCCAGGAGCGTACTGTAGTAATGTACAATACGTGGAGCGACCAGCCTCCCCCGCAGTGCCTGTGGGGTTTGTTTGGCTCGCTGCAACACCCGCGGGAGAGTCAAGATGCTGCCAACGGTGCTGGATGACAGTGGCCTGGCAAAAGAGAATCGTGCGATGAGACGTAGACTCGAAGATCAGAGGCACATCTGCTGCCATTGAGTCACAATGCTTGTCCGCGCGTCAACTCCGCAGTGGTAGGAGGGTCATGTTCGGAGTGGAGAGAATGTTTCCTATTCAGCTTTAGCCGTCAACGCGACGTCCATCGGCTCGGACTCTGCCTGAACCCTAGAGGTCTAATTGGGACAAAGGTTCTCGGACGCATCCGAGCTTGACTACTATTCCGTACTTGGCTCTTACACTAGGGGGCTTCGCATTGACCGCACATTTGCCGCTTCCGGGATAACCGCCGGCGCCGCCGGTGTATATGTGAGCTTCTATATCCTCCACACGGATGCCCGGGTCGAGCGCGGTGACCATCCGGCCCGGTCGCACAGCATGATGAGGCGGGCGGGGGCATATTCTACTGGAGTTACGGCGAGGAGGTGGTGGTATGCCGCAACTCGGATAAGCTGGATGCACACACCATTCTCTGTGACAGCTAGCGGTTCCTGCATATCGGCCGGGACGGCTCACAAATCACAACTGCCAGTGTTCTTGGGGTGGTTGCGCCGGACATACGTAGGTCTTCCGGCTCCCCTGGCAGGATTTGGGGCGTTGCTTGCGCTCAGGTCTTGGAGGCTTTGGAGGTCTTGGTAAACTGGAGGGTGTGTGCCTGCGTGTTGTTGAGAATAGCTGAAATGTTGAGATTCGGGTGATACAGCACCGGTCCTTCCCGGAACGGCTGGCGAAGCAACGCCGACCGGTACATGGCGGCTTGCGCCACGACACATAACAGCGAGATAACTGTAGGCAGGTCGGCCTTGATTCGTGCAATGTGCAGCAATTGACGGGCTGTATTGGGTGGTACACTACATACCGTGTAGGTGTGCAAAGTTTAGCGCTGTCGATCTCGCAGAATTCATTGCTTTTTGTTAATGGATATGACTTTCAAGTGGGCAAACAGTGGGGGAGCTCGAGCGACGAGGGGAGCCACTGACTGGCGCCGAGATTCGGCCACAGCAAGTGCCCACGTGCTAACGGAACGCAGGACGGGACCCTGAATGATCTCTCGCAGCGCGCACCACCAAAGTCGCTCAATCGCCTCGGCATGGTGTTGATCCCTCCGCGCTGAGGCGATTCCGATCGCGGTAGTGATCAGCGTCGGCATGATGGCGCGATGCCGAACCTGTGGTTCGTGGTGGAACAGACAGGTCACCTCGCAATACCAGCATGCAAGCCACTGCGCCAACGTGGAGTGCCCTGGTTCGGGATTTGGAATTGATAACACGGGCCTGCCGCCTTACGCCTTCTGGGTGCCGTCGCCGTCGCTGCTGCACCTGCCCGATCGTCTCGTGAGGCGCTCTTGACTTGAACACCCGGGGCCGCGTCGTCAATCCCGGAAAGGAAAATTGCTGATTGGGTGCCTTTGTAACCGAGCATTGAACGATGGAGTGGCGACTGGCGAGGCCCTTCCACAACAGCTCGTAACTGCAGAAGACCAAGAATCCCGTCAATTCAGCGGGAGTGGATGCTTAAAAGTGCAGTTCAGGTCCGATCCGATAGGGCAGCCACTTCCCGCTCTGCCAAAGTCATATCGGTTGTATGTTCTCTCGGCCCGCTGGCAGCGGTCATCGTTCACCAATGCTCGAGACCATCGGGTGGTATTCCGGGCCGTCGCTGGGTAGCAGTTGAAACGCTTGATGACTATATGCGGAATGACCACAGAGAAGCTGAAGTGTTGCCCTTGTCAGTCGAGGTAGGCCCGATTTTGCGCTCGTCCCAAATTGAGCCCACATCAGGCTGATTTTGGCGTGAACGATGCCGTGTTAAGCGACGGACATCTCGACAACCCAAAACGTTACTACACACCGGCAGGCGGGATTGAAACGCCGTGCGGGGTGAGACATGTTTCTGTTGACAGCGTCGCAGAATAATCCCCAATAAACTGCTTGAGTACCCGTACAGGAGGCGGAAAGCGCGTACCTGCCACAGGTAACCTTCAAGTTTCAACCCCAGCCTGAGCTACATGCGTTAGGTAGCCCGCATCAGCCACCTTCGCTCTTCCGATCAGATGCATGGAACCAAGCATGGTAGAACGCCATCGTCTGAGTTGTGAAGCGATGGCTTGGACATAGGAAACACAGGACAGATTAGGTACACGGATCACCCCAACTCCCGTGAAAAGACATCATGGAATCTGGAAGCCGTCAAGGTGCATTTTGATTCGGTTCCTAACCCCACTTTAGTAGCCTCAACGTGCCCCACTTGAAACCATGACTCTACGGGAGGCTGGAGCTCAGCAAGCTTCTGGTGGTAGTGTACGGACACTCAGACTCCCCTTACTACACAGTAGACATGAGAATCCATTCTTGTCAGGACTCAAAAGAGGACATGAAGGCCGACCGCTGGGTCCTATCGAACGCGACTCACAGAGCTGAATCCGAGGGTCGGAGCATCGAAGATGTGCGTCTGCACGCTAAAAAAGGGAAAAAAAACGTCGCGGTGTCCGTGCCACACTCCTACGTCCTGTTCCAATGGCGCGTCGTCCCGCCCCTCCCGTTCGTGCCTCCCCCTCGTGCCTCCCCCACGAGGGAGTATGTACTAGTATGGGCAGATGTAATCATGCACAGGTCCTACACTACTGTGTGCGATGGCATACACTCGCACCAGAAAGCAGCTGGACTGGAATCGAGTTGATGAGAGCGAAATGGGCCCGTGGGGAGTTGGTCCTTTCCGGGTCTGGCCCAGGAATTTCTCCCCGGGCGACCTCCGGCTGGGACGAGCCAGGGTCCTGGTCTGGTGGAGACGCTACTTGCATCTGTAGGATTGTGATTCCTCGCTCCGTCCGGCTTGCTAAAAGCTCGCGAAAAGCAGGCCTGAGTCGACAATGTATGGACACTGCACATCACACTACTGACACGGCTGACTTGCTTATTCGCACCTCTTGAACGACAGGTCATCAAATTAAGCGCCAACCCGAGCACCCCGCAAATCATCAGCGAGAGCGGGCCGGGGGATCTTGAAGATGGTGTTACCGGTATCGTCAACCGTTCTCTCACTCTCGCTAGTGCAACTGTCCCCGATTTGGTATTGGAACGGATGTTCATAATGTCGGTAGATAACGATTCCGCACACGATACCACGTTGTCCTGGCATCAAAAATCTGTCAAGTTGACCTCGGCGCAGCACCGGCGCTGCCAAGCTGCCGGAGCTTGGGGCGTTTTTTTAGCTCCTCGAGTATGTGTGGCGGGTGGGGTCTCCGTAGCAGAACAGTAAGAATACCTGAGTGGCTACTTACACTAACAGTATAAGGTACCTTACTCAAGTCGGAGTCTGTGCTGAACGTGCGACACTTGTGGCGTGGGTTAGTTACTGCATACAAATATGTACCTTACTTGCCAGCTTGACATCCGCTCGGTCTTTGAACACGACCATTTCCTGAAAGCTTGCGCGGGCATCCGAGCGCAGATTCTGTCCCCAAGTGCCAAGGCGGGAACGGTTCCTTGGTGCTGTCGGCTCATCCGGTATCTCGAGCGAGAAGAGTCTCCTAGTCCTACTACGGCAAGTGAAGGATGTGATGTGACATTCATGCAAGCTAACCTTGTTGCACATTTGGATGCTTTGGCAACCAAGTCTGAGCGAGCTTGTGAGACCATTATCAGGGACGCATACTATGGAGCCGTAAGAGACCGGGGGTGACAAGCAACCTAGGACATCGAACGGAATATTCTCATCAACTCGCGGAAACCTGGACAGCTTATTAAGTCCCTGCAAGTCATCGTATGGATGCGCCTAGCCTGCTTGTGTATGGAGCGCAATCAGAGGGCCGCGGCCATGATGTACGTAGACTCGAGCCCCTGGCATCGGAACCCGAGGGGAAGGGAGGTTGTTTTTCAGAGCTTTTTCAGGATGACTATCGTCCAGCCTCGCTCGCCTCGTTACCGAAACGGTGGTCCTTCCCTATCCATCTATAAGCCACCCGATTCTCGAGGTTTCTATCCTACAAGTCGTTTCTTTGTGAAGAGATAGATAGGGACCTACGCCATTCCAGAGTAGTACCTGGGAAACGGAGCTCAGACGACGGTACCTTAGTGAAGCCGCAACATGGAATTGCATCGAGGGCCAATCGCCAGTACTGCGTCAAGACCGCGAGACAATGGAAACCGGCGACGAGAGCAAAGGGAGGTCCAAAATCGAGTGGCATGAAGCTGTCGATTTGCTCTCTCACTGCACGCCTGCGGCATCTGCGTATCAGTAAGGGAACCTGAAGGTTTCCATATCCCCCCACCATTTAGACGTAACCGAGCGATGCCTGTCCCTGCATGCTCTGCCTGCTCCACTAGCCGCCCCATATTTGCTACCTCCCGAATCGGTAACGGTAAAAACACTGCACTCAACCCCTGTCCTGCACGGAGTGGTGGAGATGCCAATTCCCAGTTGGGCCAGGGGAGGCAGGTGCCATCAACGAGGGTCCCACTGGCATGGCGAGTCCAGAGCAACACAACAATGACCCAAGATGAACTCGCACCACCTCGAGCAACTGCAGTGGTCTCTCTTTCTCTTTGCTTCCTCTCAGAAACACGACCTCATTTCGGCTCCAATCGCTTCAAAGTTCTCGACTTGGAGTGTAGAGCACCATCAGGCCAGCATTGCCGAGATCCGCACTCGAAACTCGGAAAGCAATTGTGCATCCCGCTGCGGACTTTTGTCGCACAGGCACGGACGGCACATGCGTACCTGATGCATCTGGCCCCGGATACCATCACAACCACCACGACTGGCCGGGTGCGTAGTATGGCAGCTTGAAGACGACGGTAATTCGACGATCGATCCTTGCTCCCGTGAGCAGGTGTCCAATTCGATTACTGTTCGGATTGACTCGGGTCGTCTGATCTATCTCTTCAGCACATCGCCACTTGCCACCCGAGTTGCTCAACACAGACATTTTCCCCTCCAAACGGCTGCCACCCTTTCTCTCCTCCTAACTGGAACAAAAGTCCCCGCGCGCTGATATTTCCAGCTTGCTAAGCTCCCTGGACAGCAAGGTATGATGCAATTGTTTGCTTTCTGCAGCAACGTTTCCATCCTTTCCTTTTGAGACCGAATTTCGTCACTCAACCGCACGGTTTCACCAGGACAACCCCTGGTATGCCATCCTTCCTGTCCTGGGTCTTACCTGTCTGCGACATTCCTCGCATCGAAGATAACCCGCAGAACACATCCCTACATTCTTCAGACACGCACCTCAAAACATTCTGGTGTTTCTTGTCCTCGCCAAGAAGCGTCCTTTGCCATACTGACCTTTTCCGCTGCTTAGCTTGACCACTGATGCACATCGACGATCCGCACAACGACGCTTAATCCACCTCTGTATTTCATACACAACGGCATATCCCATCTGCCAGACACCGACGTCACGCAAAACGCAACGCCAAGTTCTCACCTTGAGCCATCAGAAGAGGAGCCGGTCCTGGTATTCCGCAGGTCGTTTGGCCCCAGTGTTGGCCTCAACCACGCTGCGTCAGAGGCCATCGGCACTTTTGAGCCATGCTAAAGCAACAGGGCATGCGGGCGAGCCTGCAGGTGGCTCCGTTGGCAATCCAGAAGACACGCACCGGGACTCGGGGAGGGTCCTCTGAGAGGGCAGAGTCCACGAGTCACTGTTCGGACACGCAGCTGACTCCGCCAGCAACACCGAATGGCCTGCAAGATGATCGCAATACGCCACTCAAGCATACGCCCGTCTTCCACAACTTTCTGCGAGCGATTTACCCCTTTCAACTCGACCATGGCGCGAACGACGCTTCTGTCACATTACCGCTTGATGAGGGAGATGTCGTCTTGGTGCATTCCATCCACACAAACGGCTGGGCCGACGGTACCTTGCTCGCCAATGCGGCAAGAGGGTGGCTCCCAACTAACTATTGTGAACCATACAACCCCGAAGAAATGAGAAGTCTGCTAAAAGCGCTTCTCAACTTCTGGGACTTAATGCGTAGTCCCTTGATTAACGATAGCGAGATGTTCGGGAACCAGGAGTTCATGAAGGGTATCATTGCGGGCGTTCGGTATTTATTGGTAGGTGCTGTGTCGTTGAATCGTGCGGAAGGATGGTCTGACCGTTTGTGCAGGAGCGGACACAATGTTTGGCAAAGGATGCGCTCCCCCTTCAGAGGCACGAGGGACTCAGAAGAAGCCGGAGGGCTTTGCTGGCAGAGCTATCCTCGTTGGTCAGGACAGCTAAGCGGTTGCAGAACGCGCAGAAAATGATCGGTACCGAGGAAGTCAATGACATTGTGGACGAAATGATACTCAGGGCCTTCGACATCATCACAAAAGGCGTGAGATTCCTGGATGTTTGGGAGGATGATCACAAGTCAAGGGTGGCACCAGCAGTGACCGCCATGAACACGCTGCTGGAAGAGGCCTACATCCTTCTAACGCCGCCAGCCGACTCAGCTGCCTTCGACGCCACTCAAACCCATCCTGTCGATGTAGGGGCCCGTGCGAATGCGAACGGCAACGCTTCCGACCGGACGCCATCGGTAGCAGGCGAGGTGACACCAGGCTTGATTCGGCACAGCAACCGTTTGTCTGCTGTCTGCCAACAGAGTACAAATGTGCATCGATTGTCACAGAACAGCCTGGTACAAGCGAACCGCTTCTCCTCCAGCATTTCTCATCGCGTCAGCTTGGCCGGTCCGTCATGCACCTCGCAGTCCGGCAATCTGGTTTCGGAGCGCCTCAACACATGCCACGATACCTTCCTTTCTCATCTGGGGTCGTTTATCGGGCGCCTGCAGCTCCAGTCCCAGTCACGACCCAGCCTCGCCGTTGCGATCAGACAATCCGCTACCTCGGGCGGGGAGTTGTTGTTGGTGGTGGACGTGGTCTGCGCCCATACCTCGATAAGCGTCGATGCGCTGGAGCAGGCTCGTGATACCATGTACAACCGGATACAGGACCTGGTTCACACTGCACGCGATATCCTGACCAATCCCGAGCCAGAGATGGAGGAGGATGTCATTGTCCCCCACGACAATGGCAGGCTGTTGTGGGCGGCGACGGGATGTGTGAAGGCCACCGGCGAGTGCGTTGCAAAGACCAGATGGGTGATTGAGCGCATCGGCGACTTTGAGTTTGAGTTCGAGAACGGCAGCCTTGGTATCGACTTTGGCCTATCCAGGTTCAGCATTCCAGATGACCAGGGGGAGCCCTCTACCGCCGTGGTGTCAAATGTTGCCGAGTACCCAGTCTCCGAAGCACCGACGGATTCAACAGCGGTCTCCGTAACGAGCTCCGTCGATACACACGCGCGGTCCCTATCGATCGACAAACCGCTGCCGGATATCCCTCGAGCCGACTTGCCTGTCTCAGAGCAGCCGGCCTCACACACTTCGCACCGGTCACCACATTCACAACCATGTCCTATTGACAACAGTGCTTCCAGCGCCGTGTCCTCAGTCTCCTCTCTCCGCCCGGACCTGCCGCCGCTCCCGAAAATTTCCACCTCATCCTTACCGGCGGAGAATTACAGCCCAACGGACCAGTCTGCTATGCAGGAGACGGAGTTCCGCTCCGTCCGATCGGAGAGTATGACTGCATCAAGCTCAGGCTCTGCCAGCACCTACCTCAGCCGGGGATCGGAATCAAGCCTTATCTCCCGCACGTCAACTCGCGCAACCACCCCAGATATGACCCAGGCACCCAAGAACCAACCGTCGCTGACGAGCCTGAGCGTGACAGATAGTTTAGCGCCAACGGAAGACGATGAGGTCGAGTCGAAGCTCTTGGCGAAGACTTACGCCCACGAGTTGATGTTCAACTCGGAAGGCCAGGTCATAGGAGGGTCGCTGCCCGCCTTGGTCGAGCGCCTCACCACACACGAATCCACCCCGGATGCCATGTTCGTGTCGACCTTCTATCTCACCTTCCGCCTCTTTTGCACTCCAGTCACACTCACCGAGGCCCTCATCGAGCGGTTCGAATACGTCGGTGAAGCCCCGCATATCGCCGCTCCTGTCCGATTGAGGACATACAATGTGTTCAAGGGCTGGCTCGAGTCGCACTGGCGGGAGGAGACAGATCGCGAGGCACTTGCTCTGATCAAGGAATTTGCCGAGTTCAAGCTGACTGCTGTGCTCCCGACAGCCGGGAGCCGACTTCTTGATCTAGCCAACAAGGTGTCTTCGACCGACGGCACCTTAGTCCCACGCCTTGTCTCGTCTATAGGAAAGACCAGCACCTCGACCTTCGTGCCAGCCGAAACCTCACTTCCAGCACCCGCCATCTCGAGGAGCCAGGCTAACTCTTTGGCTAACTGGAAGCTCGGCGGTAGCTCCCCTTCCATCCTCGACTTTGATCCCCTCGAAATCGCTCGCCAGTTGACGATCAAGCAAATGGCTCTTTTTTGCGCAGTCACGCCGGAGGAGCTCCTCGGTTCGAAGTGGACCAAGCTTGGGGGGGTTGGCGCGCCGAATGTGAAGGCCATGTCGACCTTCACCACTGGGCTGACGAATCTGGTTGTCGACACCATCCTGCAGTTTGAGGACGTCAAGAAGCGAGCGACAGCCATCAAGTACTGGATCAAAGTTGCCAACCAGTGCTCTCAGCTTCATAACTACGATGCGCTCATGGCGGTTACCTGCGCACTCAGTAACACAAGTATCCAGCGCCTGAAAATGACATGGGATGTTGTTCCCGTCAAGCGCAAGGAGATGCTGAGGTCACTACAGGAAGCTGTCGATATTCGGCAGAACTTCAAGACTCTGCGGGCTAGGCTTCAGAACCAAGTTACGCCATGCCTACCGTTCCTCGGCATGTATCTGACGGATCTTACGTTCGTAGACGTGGGAAACCCGGCGACCAAGACCAGCGAGACAGGCTTGACAGTGGTGAACTTCGACAAACACACCCGCACAGCGAGGATCATCGGAGAGCTGCAGCGCTTCCAGATCCCCTACCGCCTGTCGGAGTTGCCGGACCTCCAAGCCTGGCTCATGGCGCAAATCGAACGGGTTCGAGAAAAAGAGAATGCAGGCTGCAACGCCCAGGCGACACACTATCGGAAGAGTCTGCTCCTCGAACCTCGAGAAGCACAGCAGTTGAGGACGCCTATCGAGGGTCCCAGCTCTGCCGCGAGTAGTAGCATGTTCAGCTGGATCAGGAGCAACAACGGAGTGTCCGCCCAAGTCTGATGGCTTGACCCTCCCCCCCAACATCTCTCTCACGGTCAGCAGGACCATCCTCATTACATCAGGCGCGCACCTTCGTCGACATCCCCCGAGATTTGTTTTAAGTTCTAGTGGCTTCTTGTGATACCCATTATTTTGCGCATTTATCTTTCAGCATTCTAAGACGTCATGACGAGGGCGCGCCTGTATTCAATGCCCATGGCCGGCCCCCCTACCACACCATGATTTCGCCTGTCATTTTTATCCAGATCGTGGCCATCTTTGCCGCGGCGCAAGTCTCGTTTCGAAAAGGTTTTTTTGTATCATCGCACCATAGCAAAGCTCGACCTTCTCAGTTCACTGTCAAATTCCTATTTCACCAACTGTCAGGAAACGCCTGTTATCTTGCATCAAAGTCTTTAAAGTACGCCTTGGTGGAGTGGGAAAATGTCTGGGTTGGCCGAAAACGCGGGAAATGGAGTATTTCTTAGGTGGTGTTTTTGCTGCTCTCTTATACCTGAGCTCCAAGTTCCTGTGTCTTCCATTTTTGGGTTTTTTTTTTCGCATTTAACTCTTCGCTTCTCGCTGGTCGTTCAGTTCTTGGTCGGGTTGGGTCAGGTTGGTCGAGGCTGGATTTGGTTTACGGGACAAGAGGCAGTGATGGTCTTGGATGAATGCATGTGCCATGACCGACACGGAACCTCCAGGCCCGATTTGGCTTGTTTACGGAAGTACATATGCTGGTGTCTATTGCTTTGGGCGGCAAAGACCGTATATTCTGGATTTTTGTGTATACCTTAATTTGTATGCGAAGGTTTTTTTTTGTCTTCCCCGGACTGGCAGAATGTTGGCGTTGGGCTTTTTGCAAACACAAAAGGGATATGCTTGATTTGAATGTCAGTAGCAGAATACCGGAGTTGAGGAGGAGGCTCTTGGATTGAGCTAGGAGGCCATTTAGGTGAACGTTGCTGCCTTAGTTAATCTCTCCTTCAGTAGCTTCCGCTCTCTGTTATCCCGGCGTGTAAGTGTGTGTATATGTCGTGGCAAGTGTTGGGCGGTCACATTTAGAGGAGAGGAAAGAGAGGTGGGATGTTGTTCTCACATCCGCTGAACATAGGGTGTGAGCAGAAACTGCTTCATCACAGTCGGGTGCATGGTCTAGTGGTATGATTTTCGCTTCGCATTGACCTCGATGCGCAACTGTGAAAGGGTCCCCGGTTCCTGAGGTTTCTGAACATGAAAAAGTTCGGGACTTTTTAGGTGGGTTTCTGTTCGAAACCTTTTTTCTCTGGCCCCAAAACATAAACTGTCGTGACTGTGTAGGTAGCTGGATTGTTGGAATTGGTAGCTGTTGAATATTGGACTTCGGTAGGGTGTACGTAAGACGACTGGGAGAACTGCAGGACCATCGCAGCAGTGACCGCGCTTATTAGCCTGCTCTGCTCTTTCCACATCTGAGTTCGATAGCTAGAATAGACAAGAGCAACTTGGTGGCGTGATATCCATGGTGTTCGGCTGTTCTTGTGTAACGTAGTTGGAGGAAAGGGGAATCGGTGCGCTTCGTAGTAGTGCACCTGCTTAACACTGTAACCTCCGTCTCGCCCTTCCCAACAGGACCAAGGTCTGGAAACTACTGACGGGAGTTTAACTTGCCAATCGCCTTCCGCTGGGCCAAAAATTTAGATCCTTCTTACAATCAAAATACCTTGCATTTCTGGCTCTACTTGAACTTCTCTGAATTCTAATGATACGAACTTTTCGTTCGTTTCCTTTTCATCCAATACGAGACCAACATGGCACTTATATAGGGTTATGGGTGTGCGCTCTGTGGATGTGAGGTCGTTGCCACAGATGAGCTCGTTGCCACAGATGGGGATCATGAGGTCGTTGCCCCCCCCTGGATGACACAATTCCGCGGAGGTAAGCCGCCATGCAAACACATTGTTCTATTCCCTGGGTTTCTGTCAGGAGGCGACATTGACCGTGATTGACGCATACCTTAGTCATTTCCGGCCCGGAAGGCATATTGCTTACCGGAGTTGGTCGCTACGATCCATCACGGTTGGAACACTTCATCGCACCTCTTGACAGAAACAAGCGCTGGAGTGATGACGGGTACAGCTACCCGCCAACAGATCGATTCGGAGTCGCGTCCCAACCATTATTCAACGGCAGGCACGGCTTTATCTTTCACGAAGCCTGTTGGGATTTGCTGGAGCAAGCTGTGAGTCCAGCTGCGGTACCACTCCAGAGACTGCATCACGTGTGCAAGTCCCTTCCCATCCCACCCTCGTTAGAGTGTCCCAGCTGGGGTCACGACTATGGAGGAGCGCAAACTCTCATCATTGATAACGACTTATTTCCCTGGAAAGAAGGTCGGTTCATGTACGCCTATACGGAATTGAACGAAGTTCTCCTTAGCAATCCCTATCGGGTTCCCGACGCCGACCGTCTGCTGGCCGACCACGTCCTGGGCGAGGACAAGGTCGCGGAACAACCACCTGCCCTGAGAGACACCGATCGGTCGGTGACCACAGCACCAAAAAGAGATCATGATTGCTTTGCATCACTTCCGGCGGAATTGCCTCTGGAGATCGCCAAGCTTCTCCCTACGGCAGATGTCCTCAATGCCCGTCTGGCATCGAGAGGTTTTGAGGCCGTCTTCCACGATCAGACATTCTGGAAATCCAGGTTCGAAGCATCCGCTGAGCGGGCTTGGGTTTTTGAAGCTCAACGCGTTAGCGGAGAAAGGGACTGGCGGGGCCTGTATCGGCGGACGCAAGGGGCCCGGATACCGCCTGGTCTCCGGAACAGGCGGGGGATCTGGGGCTTGATTAAAGGCGTTCTGGATGTCTTGGACCTGGTGTGGAAGGACCCTCCTCTCAATGCGGTGCTACATCCGTACGCGGGTCTGACACGTCCGCGTGCCGAGGTGACCGTACCGTGGTCTTGCGAGTTGTCACTCCGAGAACATGGTCTCCGGGTCGTCCGGGGTCAATGCATAGCCATTCCCAGCAACCTTATCCGGCTTTGCGTCTACACGACGGCTCTCGGAGACGAGACATACATCGCGGGATTCTCTTTCATCACCTCTGCCGGTGTCTCGATTCAACTAGGCTATCGCTCCTCGTCCCAGCATTCTATCGAGCTACGCCAAGCTTTTGGGTTCCGCCTAGCTGTAGGATTACACGGCATCCGGGCTATACAATGCATCACAGGACCAGATGGCTCAGCTTCAACGTGGTTCGGTTGTCCCGATGATGTATTCCAAACTGAGCGTCTGGTCGAGGCCAATCCTATCATAGGACTAGGGGCTTCATTCGATGTGCGTGCCTCCCAGGTCCCCTAAGCTGTCTCTACCGAGGAGGATATTCATCTCGCTAAGTCGCTAGTCTTATCTTATTTAGGGTTGTAAAATGCTCAGCCTCGCCGTTTATGCACCATCGGAGCCTCCATCGAATGTCAACTTGAGGAACTCGGCGCTGTGGTATCCTTCTGTGCCACCATCGACTCTCTGCCTTCACGACGAGGCATTCGTCCCCATCAACTTCTATACTACTGGATAGAACCCACTGGTTTGGTGCAACGTCGGGGGCAATGGAGGCGAGAATCTTCGGCACCTGACGCGAATCGTTGCCCGCCAGGACCGTCCAGATTTTTTTGGTATCGACTTCATCTTTGACAAGGACGTGCCCCTCGAACGCCCATCCCTTGGACGCCCGCCTTTACAAGGTCGGGATATCGCGCAAGTTTTCGAGATCGATGGCCCCGGAGAAGAACAGATCGACGACATCGTCGTTGAGTACTGGTACGCCAGCGACGCAGCCCATCCATGGATTGATTATCATGGGATCTTGGGCACGTTGTGGGTATGTACCACTTACACCACATAATGTCCACGTCTTCCTATCTCCATACAACACACAACCCAACCTTCCTCCTATCGTCCCCATTCCTTCAGCTTCGTATTGACTGATCACGACCTATCGCTCTAGCTATGGACAACCAAAGATAAATATATGGCGGTTGAGTTGATCGAGGATGAGGAGCATTTCCCTACTGTTATAAGGAAGAGAATCCGGGTTGGCCCGTCATAGGGGTCTGGCTTCATTGGTTTCTATGCCGCTCTGGTGGGGAGCCCCTACTCTGAGGCGTACAATACCTACCTATCTATTACTAACGAGGTGCTCGATCATAGAATAATTCCGGATTTATCAAGGCGCTGGGTGTGGTTTCGACGAAGCCGGATGAAGTTATGGATACCGAGGCATGATTATTGCGCTTGCGGAGGAGGGGGTTGGAGCCGCGCTGTTGGGAGTTGCTGGTGGCTCAAAAGTCAAAACAATTTTGTAAGGTAGCGTTAGCCACGGTATCGCTACCGCGATGGGTCGCAGGAAATGTTATCGCTTAGAGGAGTAGTACAGACCGAGGACAGGGTAATAATATCAATAACAGTTAACGTCTCTCGAGTCTCCGATCCGTTGTCTGGCTTTGTAATCAAGCACGCTCTGCTGGCACCTGGCAGCTGCTTGCATGTGCCAAGTTGGTTGGCGAACACCAGCAACGCAACAAGACCTAGTGTGACGTGATTTCTGGCATGTATGGTAACGCCGACAGTTATCACACGGTAGCAGCTGAAGATTGGCGCGATTCCTGGGGGGTCATGGCAACATGCATGGACCCCCGTGTCGAACCGGGCGGACGCCATTGAGCTCATAAATACCAGGTACTAGTACGAGGAAATCAGCTTCGAGGTCTCCAGTGTGTCTCACCGATAACCTGGAAGTTGCAGCTCTACCCAAGGTGACCTCTCCCGGTACCACTTGGTGCTAGGTACAATACAGCCAATATCCCTGCTCTGTCCAGGCAAGACAGGACGACATGGGACGCATCGACGACGAGGAGGGCGCACGGCCCGGGACACCACCAACATTTCTCGATAATTCGATACAAAGCATACAAAGCATGGACCCCGAGTCAGCAAGCGGTCGCGGTTCCCAGGACCAGGTTGCCGCGCAGCCCGTGGCGACATGGAAGGGCTACTTATGGGACACGTGGGAGCTCCCCCGTGACCAGCGGATGCTGCTGTTCAAGGTCGACGCCTTTGTGCTCACCTTCTCGTCGATCGGATACTTCCTCAAGAACCTCGATCAGACCAACGTGAACAATGCCTTCCTGAGCGGAATGAAAGAGGACCTGGGCATGTTTGGCAACGAACTCGTTACAAGTGCGTCTCTCACAAAGAATGCTCTGGATGCTGAATGCTGAATGCTGACTACGAACTGCGGCTTTGTGTCATTGACGTAGGCACCTCCATCTGGACGGTGGGCTACGTGATCGGACAGATCCCGTCCAATCTGCTGCTCACCCGCATCTCGCCGCGTTATGTCATTCCGTCGCTGGAAGTGGGCTGGGGCATCGCGACCATCTGCACCGCGTCGGTGCAGTCGTACAAGGCCCTGTACGCCCTGCGCTTCCTCGTGGGCTTCTTCGAGTAAGTCCTCTCTCTTTTCCCCAGCACCAAACCGCTACGCCGCTTGTTACTAGTTACTAGTACCCGCCACTTCTCAGTGCTTCCCTGACCAGGCTGCAGATCCGGCTTCTACCCGGGCATCCACTATATGCTCGGCTCATGGTATACGCCGCGTGAAATCGGCAAACGCGCCATGATCTTCTGGCTCGCCGGCACCATCGGACAGCTGTTCAGTGGCTTCCTGCAAGCCGCCGCGTACACAAACCTGCATGGGGTGCATGGCTACACGGGCTGTACGTGTTTCGCATACCTACCTTACTTTATCACCCATCCCGCGGACGTGCCGGGCAGAGAGAAAGAGGTGAAAACGCTAACCTACGTGCTGTACTGGGCTGGCAGGGCGCTGGCTCTTCCTCATCGACGGCATTATCACACTCCCGCTCGCCGTAGCCGGATACTTCTTCTTTCCCAACCTGCCCCAGGGCGGCAAGAAGACGTGGTGGCTGACCGAGGAGGAGCACCGTCTCTCAGTTCAGAGAATGCGGGCGGTTGGGCGAGCCGGCAAGCAGCCGTGGACGCGGGAGAAGATACGGAGCATCTTCCTGAGCTGGCACACCTATATTTTGCGTAATCATCTTTTCCCTATATCCCCCTCCTCCTTCCCTGTCCCATTCTTGCTGTTAATTAGTACGGAGGACTGACGGGCACACATACCTGGCACAGCTATGATATACGTCATCTGGAACAACGGTAGCCCGCAGGCGGCCATGGGGTACTGGCTGAAGAGCTTCAACTCGAACCCCCCGCCTGTTCCTGGAAAGCATTTCACTATTCCGGAGATCAACAACTGTAAGCAAGCAAGCAAGAAAGACGAGTGGCTAGACCCTGTTTGATTCCGGGCGCAGGACCACACACTGACATACTCCCCCCTCCCTCCAGTGCCCCTGCCAACAACGGGTATCTTCGTCGGCATGGCGCTCGTATGGGGCTGGCTCTCCGACGGACCCTGCCGTGGCGCTCGATGGCCATTCATATACGCCGGCGCCATCATAACGGTATGTGTAACATACCTTACCTTACTTTACCCACTCACCCAGGCGACACTCGCGGGGGGCAACAAAGCAATTCTCAGTTATTAACACAGGCAACAACGCACACTTCTCTCTCGCGTTTAGCTCGTCTTCAGCATGCTCATGTTGAAGATGCCGCTCTACACCAACATACGCGGCCGTATGATTGTGTACTGGTTGAGCCAGCTTGGTGTAAGTCTTCCTTTTTTCCTTTTTTTTCCTCTCTTTTTTTTCCTGCTTGTTTTTCTTTATCAGTAGATCCCCCCAAAACCAGATATCACCGCTGAGCCCGACAACCCGACCTGTCATAGAATGGCGCTGGCCCCCTGATCCTGAGCTGGATCAACGAGATCTGCTCCAACGACACTGAGAAGCGGGCGCTGCTTGTCGCCGCCGGGAATGACTTTGCTTATGTTGTGCAGGCTGTGGTAGGTGGTTACCTCGCCCCCCCAGCCCCCCCCCCCCCTTTTTTTTTTTTTTTTTGCGTCGTTCTGGTGCGCAGTGAATTCAGATCTGACTGAGGTGGTGTGTGTGTCCCCAGGCCCCGAACTTTGTGTGGAAGACCACGGAGTTTCCAGCGGCTCAGAAGGGCTACAAGTGGGATATCGTTCTGCAGGTGTTGCTCAGTAAGTTTGCTTTTTCTCTTTCTTTCTATTTTTGAGATACTAGCCATGGGGAAGAGTGAATGCCGGGTCCGACTCCTCCTCGTGGAGAATTACTCAGTAATAATGGATACCTAGTAAGCAGGTACTGACAGCGTTTGTCTCTAGTCCTCATAACTGCCACCACACAACTGCTCCTCTGGCGAGACAAGAGGAAGGGTAGCAAGCAGGTTTCGGGTTCCAGGTCTGCACCGGAGTCAGATGAGATTCTGACAGGCCGACGGGGGGGCCAAAGTCAGGGGTCTATTGACGCTGCTGAGCAAGGGAAGGCTGTGTAGTCCTATGGGATCTTCAGAGCATACCTATGATCTACATAAGAGGGGTGCAGAATTTGGTGCTGGATGGAGAGGAGGCGAGGGAGAGACTAGACTCACTAGAGTTGGCTACGGACGTGGAGTCGACAGATGGGATGATTCGGTTTTGTGCACGCTTCCCTTTCGGTTGGATAGGTTCAAGGTTGTGATTTGTGAAAGCCAGCGGCGGATTGCCACAAAAACGGCTGCAGACCGTGGGAGCAAACGGAGTGTGGCCGCACGACCTGAGTCAATTGGGAGGTGTCACTGCAGTTGGCCTCATTGCAGACGCGACCAACCGGCCCAAAGTCGGGTATGAATGTTGCTTAGGATAACCTTTTGAAACCACGTCCACCCACCTTTTCTGCGCTAATTTGTTGGTGGGTAAACTTGAACAGTTTAACTTTCGCTCGTCCTAAGCAACATTCTTGGACTGGGAGTCTTCGCTCACAACGAACACCATGCTGACTCCGGCGATTGCCAACCTTCTGGCGCATTTCTATCCCATCGGCAACACGCCCGCTGTATGCTTGACACAAAATCTGCCCCCCGAAAAACAGGCCGACATTCTCTTACTTGGTTGCGGAGATGTCCGCAGCATCCTGTTCACCGCGCACTCTGATGGTAGGCCAAGGGTACTCCCTCTACACATGAAGTACATTCACTGATTGGATATCTACAGGCCGCCCAATGGACATCACATGCTGTGATGCCGAGAGAGCAATTCTAGGTCTGTTCTTCTCCTCTCTCCTGCAACTATATATAAAGCAGACCGCATTGACAGACAAAAGCTCGAAACATCCTTCTCCTGTCTCTGATCATCGATGACCCAGCCGGCCAGAAAGACGATGACAACTGGGACATCTACTACCACTTGCACCTCTGCCCAGCTTCCTTCGAGCGGCTCCAAGCGCAGGCGAAGAAGCTACATGGCCTGGCCTCTTCCATGGAAACCTGGCGTCGTGGCGAGTACGGGAAGCATATCAAGTTCTGCGACCGCGGAACACTGACCAGAGTCGCCGAGATTTGGCGCTCATACTTCTTCAACAGTGGCGAGACGGCACGGCGCAGGCTGGAGGAGTCTTTCAAGGCCGCGATCGAGAAAAGCAGGAAGATGAAAGACGATGTGGGCGCGAAATTCAGTCTCAGTTGTCTCCGATCTGCGGCTCCCACGCTAGGCGACGCTGCCGAGTTGAACGACCTACACCAATTCTTCTGGAAGAATGGCATCACCGACATGGATGCGACGGCCGTCTCGCGGACTACCCATCCGAATCCCATGTTCGTCTCCCCAGATGCCGCCGTTACGCTCCACTACGGCACCGACCCATTGCTCGGCTTCCATATCTCGATCGCCTACGCTCCGCTGTCGGCCAAATCGCCTTTATTTCAGCCGGCGAGCGGGACATCCAGCGTCAAAAATCCGGTGAAGGCTGCCCGCGCTGAGTGGAGCATGTGGTCGAAGTCCTTTAGAGCCGCACTGAGCGGTTTGACAATCCGTTTCTTTGCCGGAGACGCGATTGCGCTTTCCCACACCTTGCAATGCCGGCGGGCCACGGGGGACGCCAAGTCTGCGTGCTGGTATCGCCATCGGCAGGACATGGATCCGTTGATTCTGGACGAAGACGACTACGGCCCAGAGGGTTCAGCGCCGCTCTTGTTCACCGTCATCGATACATCCAACCTTTCCGACCATCTGGGCGCTCTCAACGTCCTGACTGCCACTTCGCCGCTACTGAGTGGTGGACCTGCAGCCACTCTCTACACGGAAGTTCTTGTAAAACAAGGAAAGTCGCTTCAGGACCTTGTCGACGATATGCTCTGTGGCCACCTTTCGACCATGGCTCTTCTTCTGGGCTTGTTTCCGTTGGATTACTGGACCAACGCTTCGCCAGCATCGGCTGGACAGGAAGCGCTCTTGGACTTCGTCGCCCGTGGGGGCAAACCGGATTTCGGGATCGGGCAGTCGTTTGTCAGAATCGCATGGAAACGTCCCTTCGCCCAAGGCGGGACAACATCATCATCGCCCCTGCTGCTCCAGGCTTTACGCCTCGATGAAGGGACCCTGGCTGAGGTCCTGTATCGTGTTTATCAGCGGATGTTCAGCGGGGAGGACCTCTCGCACTTGTTCTCCATCGCTGGCAACATCGCGACATTGCGTAAGTTCTCGCTGCCGCAATACACCAGAGTGGGCTTCGTTTCGTTCCTTCGTCTTGTCAAGAGCCGTGTTCTCGTTGATTGGGGCAAGACAATGAACGTTCTCCTGGCCAGCATCGAGAACGACAGAAGTCTCCTCATGGGAATGAACTACATCCAAGAACTCTACCTTTACATGCATCTGCTCGACGTCCATACGGTGGATATTCTAAAGAGACGCTACAACACCGGCGGATCCTCTTCTTTGCACGTCGGAAACTTGCTCGACTGGGCGGACATACCCCCTGTGGTATCCGTCACGCTGAAAGTGCCGCGAGCAAAGCTAGCACTGTTCACAGATGGCAAAATAAAAAGCACCAGCACGCCACCGCTCCATTGCCTAGTGCAAAGCCCACCTGCATCCAAGTCAGGGGCGTGGCAAAACATCTTTGCGGCGGTTCAAATCGGCTTCGGGCAGTTATCCACGAGCGGCTCGAGACAAGGCGGCGACTTCAAATTGCACCTGACTGACGACCCGCTTGGCTGGCAGGGCGAGTCGCCGCTCTTCGCGTCGTTCAAATGTCCAACCTGGGTGCTTCTGCTGGAGCCGCAAACCGCCATGGTAGCCTTCGGAATCCAGAGTACGCCTGCCACAGCCTCCCAATTCCTCGGCCGCCTGGGGGTTGATATGAACGTCTTCGGGACGACTCTGGGCGATGCTGAACACGTGTACTTCAGCAAAGATCTTCCAAATCAAACGGGAAGAATGTCAGTCTGCGGATTTGCTGAAGCTGATATGGTCAGTCCGGGACTCTCAAAGACCGGAGCTGAGACCTCTATCGTCGCCAGCATCTGCTCGGCGACGGGGAAAGTCTCCTCCCTGACGGGCCGTATCGACTTCATCTCTGGTGACCTGAAGTCAGCGCTACAAGGTGGCTGCCAAGTCCAAACGACCCCCTCATCACCCTGCGAGTTTGCAATCTCAGTCGGCAAAGCCCCTCCCCTCAAACTGCGCTTCCCGGTCCCCTTGATGCCGTCGAAATGCAAGACGCGAGTAGCACGCAAGTCATCCTACATCGAAGTCGTCGTGCCAGCGGTGACATCCCCGTCTCAAACCCCCTCTGAGGCTCTCACATACCCCGTCCTCCTCGACAGCGACGGCCTCCCAACAGCCTGCAACATGCCCTACCTCAACCTCGAACGCCTTCCCATCATCGACACCACCCAGCACCCCAACCTGCGGCGATGGATGACCCCTCACGTGTCCGGGATGCTCTCAGCTCGCGAGCGCCGTCTGCGCGACGACCCATCCTTACCCCGGTCAGCAGCGGAACAGACGCGCCTCGACTTCAAGGACTCGCTCTTCTCGCTCCTCATGCACTATACGGGCCTGCAGGGCGGCCGCAAGGCGCACATCTTCGGCCTGAGCAACCCGTCCAACGGCGGCGTGCACATCCTGCTTTTTGTGTCGGCCCTGCGCCTAGACCTGGCCAACCGCACCGTGGTGCTGGACGTGGCGGCCCTGCCGCTCTATGACGCGCTGATGCCGCGCATCGCCGGGGCCCTGGGTGCCCTGAGAAAGCAGGGGGTTGTGGTTGTGCAGGTCAAAGTCGATGATGCGGAGCTGAGGCTGTGGAAATACGTCCTCCCGGCGTGTGTCGAGCGCTGTCGGACTACTTGGGCGCACCGCGGCGGCGGTGGAGGGTGTGAGTATTATGCCGGGGTCGGAGGCCCGCGGGCTCCGCCGCTGGAGGTTGAGAATGGTCGGCCGCTGCTTTGTACGTGTGGAAATGGGGTCTTTCCGGATGGGTTTCTTGGGGAAGGAGGACCCAATGGTGTTCCGCAGTGGCGGAGCGTGGCGAAATATGCAGTGCGCGCGGCGCTTTCGCCGGCGTTTTTCTGTCCGCTTGTTGATGAGCTCGATTCGTTTCTTGATGAGATGCGCGATAAAATTGATCCTTTCAAAAAAGAGGAGCAGGAGGAGGAGGAGGAGGAGGAGGGCAGTGGCTCGCAGACTCAAAAGGGGGGTTGTCGCGTCTGCGGCGCGGATAAGGCCAAGGACGGTGGTGGTGGTGTTAGTGGTGGTGCCTTGCGCGCGTGTGCGCGGTGTCGGAAGGTTAAGTATTGCTCGAGGGAGTGTCAGCGGGCGGACTGGAAGGCGCATAAGGGGCAGTGTGTTGAGGAGACCTGAGTGAGGTATGGATGGATGCCAGGAATACCGAAGAGTGTGTATCAATCAGGGGTCGACAAGAGTCACCAGCCTCATCAGCCGGAATCAATACGTTCACCCGCACCAAATGCACAAGCTGCGCAACGAAGTTGGATTGTAGGCTCATTGCCAGTAGGCATCCTGCTAGAACCATCTCTCCTGAATATCCTTATTCCAGCTTCCCCCAAGTGACATTCGCGATTTCAGCAACCCAGGTATACCCAGGATCGGCCGTCGCACACCGCGACCGGCCATCGACCGTCTCGCAGGTCAGCGAGCTGTTGATGATAGTGGTCGTCGCGCCGCTAAATTTGACCCTATATTAACACATGGTCAGTATAAAACTCATCCCAGCCAGAAAGTAAAGAGAAATAGAAGAAGAGACTTCAGAAGAAAGACTCACGGATTCGCCCCATCCAAATCCAAACAAGCCCACTCGGCCTCCAGCACCAGCTCCTTCCTCTCCGGCGCATACCTAAACCTGCACTGGTACGGCCACAGCGGCAGGTCATTGCCACCATCCGCGCCAATGTCGCACTGGAAGAACCCGCCATCATCATCATCATTATCGTCTCCTCCTCCTAGGGCTTGGCCCTGGTAGATGGGGATCGGGTACTGGAAGCCGCGGTTCTCGGCGGCCAGGATCACCTCGAAGCTGGTGACGACGGAGGAGGAGTTGGTGTGGTCGTCGGCGATGGTGGTGACCTCGAAGTTGCTGAACTGCCAGGCCGGGTGGAAGATGGACGTCAGCGTGCAGCCGTCGCCGCGCGACTGTGGGGTCGGGTCCTCGAGCGAGTATGGCGCGAGCGTCACGACTGTGCCGAGCTTGCCGGGGAGTGTCACGTCGCCGTCGACGGTGCAGTATTTGTTGGTTCGGTTGTTGTTGACTTCTTGGGTGGTGCATTGTAGCGGTAGGGTGGTGCTGCCCGCGGCGTTGATCTGGAGACTGGATGATTGTGATGTCAGGTCAGCTTCAGCTTGGACCACATCCGTGGTGGGTAGGTCTGGATGTTGGGGGGGAGGAAGGGGTTGCTGTCTTACGGTTTGGCGGCATCGGTGTCATCACAGAACCACGTCTGATTCAGCGTGAACGATGAAGTCACCGGATCGAACGATGCCTGCGTCGTGATGGGGTGCAGGCCAACCCTGGACGACTGGAACTCGTCGCCGGCACATACGAGGGGAGACAGATTCGGGGTGTCGCCAAAGGAGCCACCGGGCATGCAGCTGGCCTGGTACCCCGTGGCCGGGTTGGTGACGATCAGGTTGAAGTTCTGGAACGGCGCGGTAGAGGCGTCGCCCGGTTCGTCGGTGAAGTGGATGAGCGACAGCACCCAGGATGGCTTCTCCGATTTGGCTGTGCATCCGGGCGAGTCGTGGCCCTTGGGCCCGTCGGCATACGCGGGCGTGATGGCCACGGGCGAATAGAGGGACCCCTTGACGAGGATTGGTGAGGTGTAGTTCAGTGCAGCAGAGTTGTTCCCTGCTGCGTTGAATGTCAAGCTGCAGATGGTTAGCCCGTGTGGTCACCTCAGCATTGGAGTTATCAGTACTGGAAGAGACGGGCGTGACGTACGATTTCCCACGGTCGCTGCAGGTCCAAGTCTCCTTCACCAGGAACGTTGCCGAGGTCTCGCCTACTTGTACCGCCGCGCCCAGCGTGAGGTTGGATGACGGCGGCCCTTGGATGGAGCATGGGTTATAGCCGCTTTCCTTCCTCGGGCAGCCCAAGCTCGCAGTGCTGTTGGTGGCCCGGTTTTGGAGATCGAACGTGACATTGTCGTCGGTGTACTTCACGTTCTGGATAAGCCAGCTCGGAATGGAAAACGAACTCTCGGTACAACCAGCATGAGGGCTGGGCGCTGGAATCTGCCCAAACTGTCCCGATACCAGCACGACCGCCGAAGCCACGAGCAGGAAATGAGAGATAGAGACGGCCATGTTGATTGTGCGAGCTTAAGGAGAGGTATCGGTATCCGCATCACATGAATATCTGAACGGAGGCGTAGGGCCCTGTTAAGTATTAACAAGAAGGTAGCTCTATGGTCTGCCCTCTAGGAATCGTCTCCGATTCAGTACAACCTTCGTGAGGAGAAAGCGTGAGGAGAAGCTCTTACCCCTGAAAGCTGGCCCTCTTCCGACCATGATGAACGGGTCGACAACGTGGTCGATGTGAATACCCAGATTAAGTGAGATTAGGGGGGATATTACTGCCCCTCTATGTGAACATATAAGGTCCCTACGAGACAACTGCCGAACTATCAATATTGCTGTATGGTAACGGTGCATGCTGATCAGGGTTGCTCCGGGTGAAATGGTGCGGCAGATTCCAGCCGATTGAGTTTCTCTCGGCCCGTTCCCGGGACCCGGTTAGTCTGTTGATCTATCCCGCAGCTCTTGACGAAGAACCGTGAGATTGAGTAAGTCTCCTCATTGGAATCTGTTTGCTGCAAGCTTCTAGAAGGATTGAATTCCTGCTCCGGCTTAGGGGATGTCACTTGCGATATTTGGCTTCTTATAGAGAAGGGTATAGCACTATATGGTTCCACGCTTCTATTGGGCGATATGGATGTGTGCCAGTGTGGCCGTGCTTAATCAAGAGTTCCAACAAACCACGCTCAATCGCCCCGTGTTAGCCATTCCCAGATGTGTGAGGTGTATCTCTATGAAGTATATAAGGGTCAGGATCTCTATGCATCCGATTGCCGCCAATCATTCCGTTTTCTTCTCTCGCTCTGCCTCCTCCCGCACCTCTCTCACGACCTGCATGAACATGCTGGCCCCAATGGCCGTCAGGATGTGCCACCAGCCGTGCAGCTCGAGGATCCAAGCCCAGGGCAGCGGGATGTGCTGCCTGAGCGCCCTGAGCTCGGCACAGTACTCAAGATCGACATTCCAGATGAGATATCCAAGGATACATACCCCGACCGACTGCCATATGCGTACCTTCCACGCGCCGGTCTTGGCCTCCGGCAGCGCAGGCTGAAGGCCGTAAAAGAGATACGTGGTCCTCAGGGAGATCGATGCGAGGGCCGTCCAAAAGGCGTAGACCTGGTGAATGATCTGCGCGGACCTGATGTAGAAGGCCGCGAACGCTATGTGGACGACGGCCAGACCGACGGAAATCAAGCGCGCCCGGAAAGGGGGCTGCCGCGTCGTGAGCAAGGCCTGCAGCATCGACCATGTCAGGAGCACCATCGAGAGCTCGTCGACGAACTCCAGCGTCAGACGGAGACTGGCGTGGAAGAGAAACGAGCCGATGCCGAGCACCAGCAGCGAGACGGACATGAAATCCCATCTCGGCGCGAAGACGCCACGGCTTCCACGGCCGTACATGGACCGCAGAGCGGGGTACACTAGGTATAGGCTGGCGTTAACCACTTTACCATGGCAGTAATAGAAATCCGGCTGCATTGCCTTGTCGGCTAGGCACTGCGGTTGACATACCATACGCGACATTTGTCAATGCGTTGACGAACTCGGCCAGATAAAAGCTGATGGCATAGTCCTCCTCACAGAAGCTGATCGTGTCAGATCCGGGCGGTCAGCGCGGCCCAGTGGCTGGAGCATTTTGAAAGTTGGGACTTAGTAGGTAGGGAATTCGCGACTTGAATCGCGGGTGTTTGCTCACTTTGCCCTGCTTGTCGGCGGACTCCAGGCTCCGCTGTTTGAGTGAGGGTCGCCTGAAAAGTGGATGTTATGGTGACCCATGGTGGGGAGTATATGCCCTTGGACCTTGAGGACTCGCAGCCTCTTCTGGATGTGGCGGGCGGCGGCCTAGTTATGTAGACCTCGAGTGTCTCGCGATGTCGCGCAAATATGTGGTTGCTAGGGAGTCACTACCAAATAAAATGGAATGTTGCATCTGCTCATGAGCGGATCTAGACTGTCTTAGTCAGCAAGACCAACATCGCTACAAAAAGCCCGGATGATCTCCGGTTTGGCTGAATTACATATACATGACCTTACGCTATTCTGGTCAAGTGGTACTCACCGTTAGAATGCAGAAATTGAATAGGCATTCACAGGATGGATCCGGTGTAATAAACAGTGGTGTGCTCTAAACTTCCCGCCCACGGACCCTAACCCCCAACTCAAACTGCGCCATCATCCATGCACGTGCTAGTAGTAGTTACACCAAATTTCTAATCCATCCGCATTTTTCGATCATCGCAATCAAGAAAGTTAACGGCAACCTTCCGATCACGTGATCCCTGCGACCGCAATTGCAACAAGTCCTCCCGTTGGCACAACATTTGGTGTCAACAGACGTGAAGCCCCGGCGGCCCGCACCCCGCATCTCAGCGAGCGTCGCCCCATCTCTCGAAGCACTGGGCGAGTGCGGCTCGGGCTGCTAGTTGCGTGTTTCGCGCGCTGAGGCCGACGCGCAGGGCTCCGGTCGCTGATGGGAACTCGCAGTCACGGATCGTGGCGCCGATTCAACTTCTCCAGAGCCGCGGCGGTTCCCTCGGTTCCCCCGAGGTGGAGTCTGGGGCATGACTTCTCCGGCCACACCGCATACGCCGCTCGAGACACTGCTGCTGTTTCGGGGAATCGCCCACTTCGGCCTCGACGACGACTCTGTCTTTTCGCGCGTCTCCGAAGTCCTCCAAGACAACAAACTCATCAAACATGGACCCACGTTCGACGCGCGACGATTGAGCGCCGACACCCTGCGAGATCACTTTCTGCAACTTCTGAGGGAGGAGCTGAAGAATGAGACCGAACTCGGATCAGATGGGGCCCTGTCGCCGGCCTCGCGCAAGTGCAGGCTACAGTCGCCCCCGCTGCTGACGCTGAACGACGCGATCCAGCATGTGGAGCAGATCGAGTCGGCCTATGCCAAGGTGCACGACGCCTACCTACGACATGCGATCGAGGAGATACGGCACTGGGAACAGCGGTATGAGGCATTGCTGGGCGAAATAGCCGAGCTGGAGAAGGCCAGCCCGCGGGAACCCGACGGCATGCCGAAGTCAGAGAGCCCGGCTATCGTGGAAGACATCGGGAGGAAGCACGAGGTGGGACCGGTTAACGGCGTTGGGCCATCCTCGGGCACCTCGCCCAGACCACCGCAGATACCGTTGCCCCCGTCAGTGCCGCAACACCCCCAGCGGACCTTACAACCATTGCTACCGCACCCAGCATCGCGGCAAGACGTCAGGAATAGACCTTCACCTCCACAGGGAGGAGCCCCAGAAAACGCGGCTCCGGTGCCCCAGGCGCCTGCACCGGCTCTTCCGCAAGTTGTGCGCTCCCCGCAGCTTAGCCAGCAAGATGCCTCCAAGACACCTCCCCCGCGACCTGCCGCAACCCCAAAGCCGCCGCATAGCGTCCCTCAAGTCCTACAACCACCACAAGGCGTACCTGCTTTCCCCCCTCCGTCTCAGTCACCTGCACCACCCCCTTTACCTCCTGCGGGTACCGAGGGTTCTCAGTGTCCAGGAGCTGCTGAACTACCGAAAGAGTCCCCTGGGACTCCGCTGGCCAACACCCAGCTACCATCACAGGGACAGCTGAAATGGGAGCCGCCGTACCAACCAAATGCAGCTCCTCCGCGACAGGCCACGAGCGCTGCGAGTATACAACATCGTCCTACTCACCCATACCCACCCCGGCTGCCATCACCTTCGCAGCGACTTCCGCAGCAGCCGTTGCCCATTCCTAGCCCTGTTCTGGGGCAGGGACAGACCAGCAGACCGTTGGCTCCGCAGCAGGTCCTGATCCCTCCACACTCACCCAGCCATTTTACGCCACCTCTCCAATCCCCGCCTGTCAGGCCCGCGGCGGACACAGGCAGCGGCACGGGGCCAAACCGACAGCATCCGCTGCTTCCCAACCCGGCGCCGAACACTATACCCCGGCCACAATCTCCATATCATCCGCCTCCATATCAGGGTTATCATGTGCCAAATCCCGGACAACCCGCTCCCGTTCACCATGTTCACGCTGGCCAAGCACATCCGGCACCGGGACAGGTCGGCTCGGGACGGAGCCTGGCCATGCCAGCTGGCTCTCCGCCACTTGCCCCGACCCCGCCGTGGCCCGGCCAAGGACATGCGGCTCCTCCTTCTTCTCCTCGCGTGCAGCATCCGAATCTGCAGGCTCCATACACTCCCCAGTGCAACATACCTCCGGGTGTTCCTCCTGCAGGTTCCATCCATCCAGATGCTGCCCAACGATACAGCTCTCCGTATCAGCCTCCGCGGCCGGCAGCTGTTGAGCGCATCCATCCACGATTGCCCGCGACCGTAACGCCCACACCAGCTGCTAGGTTCAGCCCGGTCCCTTCGGCCCCTCAGACGCCTGTGATGACGCTTCCCCCGAGAGTCTCGCACGGCAGCGGTACCAAGTGGCTATCGACTTCGACCCCCTCAACACCCAGACCGGGAATCGAGTTCCGACTCGGACACGACGATGTGCCTAGTCCCGCTTATGAGCCGGTGAGCCCTGTTTTGAAAGCGTCAGCTCCTCCGCCGACGTCAGCTCCGGGAGGGACGAAGGATACAGCCGAGAAACAGGAAGTGCCAGGAGAAGCAAAGCACAAGCCAGGCCGACTGCCTGTGCCGCAGCGAGTCCAGGCTGGTGGCCCCACTCCTCAACCCCGACAACCACCCCGTTCATCAGCAATGCCGCAAGCAGCTGATGCTCAAGCCAAGGTGGCGCCGCAGGCAGAGGTCGAGCCTAGAGTTAAGGACGAGGCGACGACTCCGCGTCCATCAACCGAAACGGGCGACACCACGGCCGACGAGAGTGTCACGGGCCAGCCCCAGCCTTTGCGCGCCACCAAGCGGAAGCGGGACGACCTTACGCCTACCCCAGCGCGGACACCAGCAGCCAGCCACATGCGCGAAGCTTCTCCCGAAGGATCGCCATCTCCCGGTGGACCGAAGCTTGTTCTGTGGACGCGCTCTTTTAACAAGGTCTGCGGCTCCGCCATGGAACAGATCATCCACCACCGGTCGGCCAACATGTTTGCCGCTCCGATCCGCGAGAAGGACGCGCCGGGCTACAACAAGGTCATCAAGCAGCCGCAGGACCTCAAATCCATCCGCGCGGCCATCAACCACGGCAACCGCGCCGCCGCGCAGGCCGCGGCCGCCCTCCCGGACGGCGGCGACCCAGGCACTAGCAGCGTCTGGCTCCCGCGCACCGAGGACCTCGTGCCGCCCCGGAGCATCATCAACAGCTCCCAGCTCGACCGCGAGCTGGCCCACATGTTCGCTAACGCCATCATGTACAACCCGGATCCGCACCACGGCCCGGGGCCGGCCTTCCTGCGGCGCGACGACGGCGCCGATGAGGAGGCCGAGGGCGCCGGCCACCACCACCACCACCAGGACAACAACAACAACAACAACAACAACAGCAGCAGCAGCAGCTCGCTCGGCTACAAGGTCGACGAGTTCGGCGTCGTCAACGACGCCCGCGCCATGTTTGTCGAGGTCGAGAAGCTGCTTAGCGAGCTGCGCTCGGCCGAGGTCCGCCGCAACGTCCCGCCCGCTGGCGCTGCCACGGGCACGAGCACGCGCCAGGCGAGTGTCGTGGGCGGGGTCACCGCGGCCGGGTCGGAGAGTGTCAGGGATGATGGTGATGTCGCCGCGGCGGCGGAGGAGGAGGGGGCGGCGGCGGATGATGAGCAGCAGCAGCATGAGGACGGTGTTGGTGGGGGTGGGGCGGTGAAGAGGCGGAGGGTTGCTAGGGGGTAAGAGAGAAAAGAAGTTGGAAGTTGGAGTTGGGCCCTCACAGGTTTGCGGCTTGATCTCAAACTTGGGGGGGGTTGGGACGCCGCGGCGGTTTAAGTCAGCAAAGCAACAGAACGAAGCAGCAGCATCCTCCTCGATTCAGAGCGCTGTGTTAGATAGAGGTGTGGTGTTTTAGTGATGTAGGCATGGATATCGGAACCCGCGACTGGGTGGCGCTTGCTTGCTTTCATCGAGTGGAAAATGCGCGACGCAAATTGAAGTACCTTAATTGTTCTGCCTGTCTATTCCGTGCCCGCCTATGTAATGTACTAGTATACGTTAGAGAGAATACGCCATTTCATTCTGCCCGACTTTGTGGCAAAATTGCGTGTTGGTCTGGCGTCGTCTCCGAAGTCAGGATCACTTTTGACGGACAAGGTCGTTGGTCCTAGCAAAGGGGAGACCGAGAAATGGAGCCTGTCCCTAACATCTCAAGTCTCAAGGGCTGATGGAGGAGAAGGTTCCATGGACCATCTAAACCCTCGGTGGTGGGTGAAATAAGGGGAAAGGGAGTGGAAGGGGGGTGGGGGTTGACCATGTCTATCCCTAACCCAGCTGCGCCAGGGTCAACTGGAACGGGCTTCTTGAGCTGCACCGCCAAAAGGCCATACCTTAACTAAGATGCAACATTGGATTGTCCGTTAAAGTACCAGTAATCTTTTTTTGTCTACAACTCTAGGTAATAACTCAAAAAACGGAATACAAGGCCTTGTTCCTCCCTCCCCTGGAGGAAACCAGCGATGCCGCGCTCCGACGAAGCACAAGCCTTCTTCAACGCCGTCTACCGCGCCGTGCAGGAGATCCCCCACGGCAAGGTGACCACCTACGGACACATCGCCAAGCTCGTCGGCACCCGTATGTGAACTGTACCGCACATTTTTTTGTTGCTCTCTCTCTTTCTCTCTCGTCTTCTTCACAACTCAGTGGCTCATCGGTAACAATAAAACGTTTCATGATTCTCTCTAGCCCAACGCGCCCGCCAAGTTGGCATCTGCCTCAAACAGCTCCGCTCCTCCCAGGACAGTAATAATGCGCGGTTCAATAGCGAAAATGTCCCCTGGCAGAGGGTGATCAATTCCAAAGGGGTGATATCTCCTCGGTATGTGTATATCCTTTTTAATTTAGCAAATCTTCCTTCTACCTTACGTACCTTGCATTCGCTTACCAACGACAGCTCGGAGCCGTCGGGGGCGGCCAACCAAGCGGTGGCGCTAGGACGTGAGGGCGTCACAGTCACTATCGGGGCGCTGGGAGAGAGGATGGTCGACTTCGCTGAGTACGGGTGGTTTCCACGGATGTTACCTTCCGAGGAGGCGCAGGGGTTGGTCCCTTCTGACGAAGAGGACGAGGGAGAGGATGAGGAGCGGGCATAACGGATGAACATGTGATATTCACGATCTCTAGACCAGCCATGACGCATGAAGAAACGGCGGCTTGGGATGCTGAAGATCTACGTTATCGATGCCAATGCTACCACACACAAGCAGATTGCAGCATTGCTTATAAGAGCCTCTACGCTTCTTCTCTATCCATCACAGGTATCCACGTGTAGTTTAAGGAGCGCAATCCAGTTTAGGCCTCTCATAGGCACATTGCCCACACCCTCCATCATTAGGTTTGCCCCAGGGGGCCCGTGGATCAGCGGAATGTAGCCTAGGTTTTCCAGAGGTCAGCAACTGGAAGCCAAAACTGAACGCATGACGTGAGAGGGACAGAATTATCTCAGATAGCGGTTGGACAAGTTTTTCCACATAGTACTTCGGTACAGGTCTGTGAACATTGTTTCTATCATCATGATAGGGGCGGCGAAACGAAACTGAGATCAAGGCTTACCATAACAGCTGAAGGGCATCAGGATCGGTTTTTGAGGCGGACGTTAACGGATATCCCGTTAAGCCCTCAAGACGTCATTCGGCTCTCGGCTTCTTTGCCGCTGGCCCGAAAAACGAATCCATTGTCCTCTGCCGTTTGTCGAACTGGGCGCTGCCGATGCCGCCTCGAGTCTTCTTCAAGCCGTCGAGGTGTTTCAGCACGTTGATTCCCGCAAGGGCCAGCTTAATCCGCTGTTCCTGGTGTCTCGGGAGTGGCGTGGGCACCCTATCACCAGGCACCACATCCACCGACGACGACCCTGGAATCTCTGGGCCATCAGCCCCCGAGGCGCAGGGAGCGCTAACGGTGACAACGAGCTCAGCATAGCCGGTATTGCTCCAAACCGCCGCCCGCGGGTTCCCCAGCGGAGTCAGATCAGACGGGCCGAACCTGGCCAGAAGCACGCGCAAGAGAGAGTCGAGAATCATCCCGTGAGCGACCACCACGACGGACCCGTCCTCCTTACCGTGCTTCTCCAGTAGCGGCAGAAAGCGCTCCTGCACGAATCTCTCAGCGCGCGCACGCATCTGCTCGCGCGTCTCAGCATCCGTCAGGGACACCACGCCGTATTTCGCGCCCTCGGCGGAGCCGAAATCGCGCTCTCTCAGCTCGGGGAGCGAGACCAGCGCCAGCCTCGCCGCGGCGTCGGAGTCTGCAGTTCCGCCCTCGTCCTGGCTCGCTTCCGAGCTGAGGCTGGCTTGGATGCGGGAGTTATTGAACGCATCGACCACGGCCTGGGCCGTCTCCACAGCACGCCTCAGGTCGGAAGAAAACACGTGCCGAACGGGACCCATGCGGGCGGATAGCGCGGCAAGGTGTGCACCGAGCCGGCGCGCCTGCAGCACGCCGTGGGAGGTGAGCGGCGAGTCGCGGGTTCCTGCGCTGCGCTGGGATGGTCAGCACGGTTTGTTCACTTCGTAACATGATTTGAAAAAATAAATGCAGAGTTAGCGGGTACGGAGGCGGAGGAACGTACTAAATGCCAGCGACGTTGTCGACCGTTTCCCCGTGGCGGACGAGGAAGAGCCGCATTGTGGCGAACTGCTCCTCTAATGCTCTAGCATTTCTTAGGAAATGCTCATTGCGTTGGTGCGCTGCATGCGAGGGCGAGGGAGCGTTAAGGGTGTTGTGACGCGGTGGTTGGAGAAAAGGCGTAGGTGACCAGTGAAAATCAGAATCTTGTGGACTGGAGGTTAAAGTGGGGCTGATGTTGGTGCGGTCACTGTGGTGACGGCGACCCCTAACGTTAGCTGCAGCAAAACAATGGTTCAGGGGTAGTACATCCTGTACTGTCTCTATCTCTAGCATCTACGCTCACGAATCTGCGATTGAGGCATTTGGAGTGACGTCTCCATTTTCGAGGTTTAGAAGGAACTTGAAGGCAGGAGGTGCTAAGGTTTGCTAGATTAGGTACCTAGTCCGTATGGCCCTCGTACTGTAAGTCGCTGATTGTAAAGTTCGACCACCCCTCGAGCACAGAGACCATATCAAACGGATAGCTATACACATTCTCCAATCTTTTCTGCTTTGAGCTACTGAACAAGTAATCCCAGTTTTAACCAAGCAATGTGCACCGGATGCCCGTGGTAGAGAGATGGCTTTCTAGGACTATGGTGCTCGGCCGCCCGACGGGAGATTACCTATATAACATGACCGTCAATATGTAACCCCAACCAAGCGGCCTTGCATCCCTTTCTCCTTTTCTGCAGTGTCCTTTCCTTTCAATTTCCCTTTTTTTTCTCTTCTACCTTTTTCCTCCTCTCTCCCCACCACCTCCTTCTTCTCTTCTTCTTCATGTTTCTTTTCTTCTTTCCTGCTTTTGTTTACTTTGTTTCCGGCCTGGGAGGGTAAGCCAGCTATTCGTGACTACCTTACATAGCATATGCGCCCTGCGGACATGTGGTCAACCAAAAGATCAAGATTCGGAATGAACCTCAGTTGTGCCTAACCACCCGTCATTCCCTTTTCAACCACTACGACTCCCCTACTTCCTCGATCGCCCAAACACGAATGCATGAGGATATGGCTACTCTGCGGTTCATCACCGCGCTTTGCCCTTGAGCCTAGTTGCATGTTTGGTTGGTCGTATAGTTACAGCTCATTCAGTTTCAGCTGACCACCCACCATTAGGAAAAGATCACAATTCCGAAGCGTTACCAGACTATAAGCAATTACACCGACCACAGCAGCAATGGAGAACTTGTCAGAAATGAGGAACTTGTTATCCACCGCCAATACTCTGGGGTATTTACATCAGCGGCCCAGCCTGTCGTTTCTTCACACACCGCATTGATCACGATTGCAGTGTTTCGCACCCTACCCCCTTCTATAGCAGCTACGAGATTGGTCCCAGCCGTGACCAAAGCCCAGCATCCTTTGCATCAGGCACCAGAAAATGATCTCTCTTGGGCATTACATCCGAAGGAATTCGCCCGTGAGTACCACCGAGATACTCTACGCTGCGGAACTCCTTGGTGGCCCGCCTATCTCGTCGTCCAGAAGGATACAACGAACGTTTCGCGACAACCCCAACGACCCAAGCAAGTGGCCGTAGGAAAACGGGAACGAGTATCTCGATTACCTGGCCAAGAAGGACAACTCAGGACTGTGAGCTGCACTGTGAGCTTGAGCAGTTCGTGAGCTTCGCCTCACTTGGCATGGAGTGTTCTTGTATAAGCAGACTAGCTGTAACCAACGCTGTCCAGATCTCTCCGCTTCGACATTGTACAATACAATAAATGGTCAGCGATGTAGCTCAGTCACGGCCCAGTATGTCTAGTGCGGGCCTGTCATGGATGCAAATGATTCTGAGGTGTGTGGTTGGGAGTATCGGCATGCGTTACGCGGAACATCGGAAGAATGAACGGCCATCGGATGTTATATTGTGTTACTCCAACGTATTGTGATCTATCCTTGTGTCATTTGAGACACTGGCTGGCAACGCTTCTCCTTTATACCAACACGAGTGGGTATCGCTTACGTTCCTGGAAGATCCAGACCAACTGACTGGAAGGCTATATTGACGACAACAATACAGAAGAGGTTGAGTCAGGTGGTTGATATCTTCACAACCTTCTCGTAACCGCCGGCCCCGCCCGTCAGGTCGCACCGCAGTTCCTGAGAACATTTCAGAGTCATGGACCCCAGAAACAGCGGATTTCCGGTGGCGTTCTGAATCAGTTGGACCTGTCTCGGTCAACGGTCACCAAACATGGGGCCGACCATCCCCGTTGTGGGAGTCAACACGCACGTCATGCCCTGCCCTTCTTGAGAGTTGAGACACGGCGACATGGCCTCCTTAGCATACCCCTCAGCCCTACGCGGATCTCGCCGAGCTAGTACTGACGTAGTCTTCTGACAAGGTCATACTTATTACCCGTAGGCAATCCATTCGACCACTCCAGGGGACTAGGCCTTGGGATTTAATCCTAGCTTGCAAGGCCTCGTTGAGGTGCATCTGCGATACGGCCAAGGAAGCTCGCGAAGGGTGCAAGGGTTAGGGGGTTTCTGACTGAAAACTGAAGTCCAAGCTTCTCGGGTTCCGTCGCGTCATTTGTGTTCGAACATGGAAAGGAGTGCATAAGGTAGCAGCAAATGGAAAATGAGGTCCGTTATGCACTCGGCCGTGATTTCGGCGAGGCTCTGTGCAGATTTGGATCGTCTCAGGGATCGTACCACAAAAGCAACAAGACTGTCCCGCCTTCTCAACCGATGCCGTCATACTAGGGAAGTTCAATTCAATCATTGATGGCTGGATCTTGGTTATCCTCAAGAGGGCAAGGGTTATGCTTGTGATTTCCAGTCACCTGCGGATATGGAAGCCCGGGTCGGGTCAGCAGGCTGGGACGGCTGGGTCAGAAAGTGCTCTCGTGCACCTAAGGGAGAGCAGGTGCCTCCGACAGCCCTGCGCAGACTGAGTCGGCGTCAGAATCGGGTTTCGTAAGGAGTAAGACCCCTCCAAATTTCTCCTCTCCAGACCCCTGGCAGTCACCTCTCATTGTCGTCGACCGTGCCGAAGGCCCGTCAGAAGTCGGATTCGGGTCCACTGAGATCTCGGGGGAGTTGCATTGGACATTGCCTTGCCATGCCGTGCATACCCCCTGACCAGACACTCCGCTTTACCCGAACAGGCCATGTCATTCAACCCACCCAGGTTGCTCAGGAGCACCCGTGGACACCTACACAGTAGTGTGCCCTGGCGCTAACGAATTCTTGCCCTCCAGCCGGGACCCTTTTGATTGCAGAGCAACATTGAATTTGACCCGAACCTAATCCAAGACTTCCTCCCAACTCCCACACTTCACTGTCCCTACAGTCTCAACATCGCCGCATCGCATCTAATTATCACTTCTGTTTTCCCAAGCGTACATATTATTTTTCCTGCTCGCCCTTTAGACCAAGCCGTGACCATGACGATGACGGATGAGGAACTCGACCGCGACTGGCAGCCCAATGGCCGCCGCCCGCAATCGTGGGTCGCAACCCCTTGCCCCTATCTCCTCTCGCAACTGCGCGGTCGCGCAGTTGGGGCGCGCCGCGCGCAAATGTTGCGAATGACGCTGACGCTTACAACCAATACAGCACCATTGCGCAGATGTTCTCGCAAGAATTGATGGACATCTTCCGCATTGAAAACAGCGTCACAGACCTGGACGAGCAGGTCGACAAGCGGTCAGTTGCCCGCAGTTTGCCTCGCCGAGCCCCACCAAACGCCATGCCGCCAACCGCGACGCCACCGAGCAAAAGCTGGCAAACAAAGAAAAGGTTACTGATCCGTCGTCGCAATGCAGGAAACAACAAATTGACGCGCAGACATCCGAACTCGAGGCTCTCGAGGCCCGTATCCGCGAGATGGAGAGAAGACTGAAGATGCAAACCAACCCTGACAACCCCGGCGGCAGCGGCGCGCAGAGCGGCACGCCAGGAGGCCAATCCCAGGCCCCTCCCGAGAAGGGCTATTCCGCCGCCGACTTGAGCCGCGCATGGGAGCAGCGGGACCATCTGCAGCAGCAGATCAAGAACGCCAGCAGGCCCGGCACAGCCCAGCAGAACCAGCCTGCCGTCCGGGGAGGACTCCCGCCGACACCTGCAGGAAGCGAAGGTGAATTCGAGTCTCCCGTCTCCCATCCCTCCCAACTCGTGCTCCGGCCGCGACGAGCGCGAGCGCAACCGGACCCCGGTGCCGCCGTCCCCTCATCCTCCCCGTTGAAGGAGGGCGGCGATTCGGACTCGATCAAGGCCATGTCCGAGAGCGCAAGTTGTGCTGACTATGTGATTGTCCCCAAGCCAGACGGTGATCGCGAGCGGGGTGCCTAAGCCTCTCAAACGGCGGACTTTCTCTCTTTCTCTCCCGGTGGGCCGGACTACAGCACAGGAGGCTTACGGTCAAACTCCATTACAGCGGAAACGGCGGACACGACTACGACACGATGATTCTATACCCCACGTTACCTTAAGAAAACTTTTTAATTCAACACGGTTGCAACCATCCCTCATCGACTCCCCATTGCAGACTTCGAGCGTTTCGGCCATCGACGGAAGCGCTCTCGTCCCCTTCGGGAGAGCAAGACCCCCCTGCCCGGGCGTCTTACCCTGGCCCTCATAGCCTCAGCAACGGCGCCATCATTCTCGGCAGCAACTGTCCCTATCACGCAGCACCCTCTCCTACTGTGCTTCCAAGGGCTTTTTCTTCTGTGGCACCACGGGGTTCCATTTGCATGCAGCGTTTGATTTTGCACTCGAGAGCAAGCGGTAATGATAGGAGGATGGGACGATGGGAGGAAAGGGTGGCATCTGTGATTGATTGCAATCATCCCGAGGCAAGAGGCTGTTATCCGATTTCGGAATGCAGGCTCTGTGGCCGGGTTAGTTTGCATTTGCCAAATGGAATGTTTGGATATCACTTGCTATAAATGTCAGCGTACGTTTATACCTACGGAACTTACCAAGGTGATAGTGAAACACCCATGCTTGTTTATTGAGATGAAGTACACTTCTGTCATCCAGCTGAGCCGGGTGATGCAACCCTGTGGTCTTGTCACATTTGGAAAGGAGGGTGCGAATTGGGACGACCAATACTACCTATCCAACCTAAGCTGCTGCACTTCAGAGCACCATCATCACATATGCTAGATTATGTCCGCTTCGATTAGCCGGCACAACGACACGTGAAATCGACTCCCTTAAAACGACACAGCAACGAGCACATAACAACGAGCAGCAGGATCTGATCGTGTCCACTCAGCTCCGATTCCATTAAGAAAGTGTGCTAATGTAACCACCTCTTTATAGCCGAATATGGCCTCCACGAAGCATAAGAGCAGATATCAAATCCATATGGGATAATGGACGCTCACCCACCTGGTACTCATCACAAATCCTCCACTCCAAGACGCAAACCCTCTCTCTCCAAGTCTCTCAACTCAGTCCAGCGCCTTCTTAGCAAACCCAATCTGTGCCTGACCGGCATCAAACACGGCATAGACCGACTTCAAGAAGACGGCACCGAGGATCTGCTCGTCCTCGTCGGGCATCACCTGCAGGCCGCCCACGCACATCCCCTCGGCGAACGGGAACACCGAGTAGTTCAGGTACCGACCCGGCACGGTGGCGGCAAAGCCGCTGGCGAAGCTGATCTCGAAGTCGGGCAGCGCCGGCAGCGTCTGGCACGGGTAGGTCCAGAGGCCGCCGCCGCCGCTGCTCGTGGTGACGTTGTACTGGGCGCCGGGCACGGCGTCGTAGTACAGCTTGGCCAGGTCGCTGTGGAGCAGCATCAGCGACGTGCCCGTGTCGGCGATGGCGCTCCAGCTGCTGTTGAACACCGAGCTGGTGCCGCCGACGTACAGGCCGGTGAAGTCGAACTGCCAGAACTGGGAGTTGGCCGTCAGCGGGGTGAAGAACACGTGCTCGCCGGCGTCGGAGAGGAATCGGCTGCCGTCGATGTAGCCGAAGGTGTAGGCGCCATTGGAGGAGTTGTGGCGTAGGTCGGCGGTGAAGAGAGGCTTGGACAGCTGGGGCAACATCGCCGACATCACCGTGGGTTGCTCGGGTGACGCCCGGTTGGGGAGGTTGTAGGCAAGGCCGAAGAGCCCGTCGATGGCGTCATCCAAGATGAACTCGTCCGAGACGGAAACAGCGGCTTCAATAGTTGCCTTGTCGATGGTCAAGTCGCCCAGGGTGATAGAGTCGGTGAAGACCTGACCGTAGGCGGCGCTGCCGTCGGCTGGAAATTCCCGGGATCTGTTAGTTGGTGTGTAACTTTCAGTGTTTGCAATGGTGACGGGATGTATGTTCTTTGCTGATGGAGCAGGTTAAGGGAAGAGAAGTGCTTGTTTGACAACTTACAGTACTGGACTGTCCAAGTGCCATTCTCAACCGGAGTCGCCGTCGTGGACTGTTGAATCACCCAAGTAGAATGATTACCAACTTGCTCGGGCTTTGTCAGGGACGAGTAGACCCAACTAACATTTCACGTCAGTACCTATCACCTTCTTGTCAAGCATTTCTGATCTCAACCGTGACTTACACATCCGCAGAGCCGGTGTCCACATAGACATCCAGGTACTGGGCCGGCGTGCCAAAGCCGACAAGGCTAAGGAACTCGCGATCGCCTCTGGCGCTAGTGGCCCCGGCATCGCCAACTATTCAACCAGCCAGTCAGTCATTCATAGATTAAACAGAAGGATTGTGCTGCACTTACTTCCACCCATGGCCGCAAGGCTCTGAGCCAGCTCACCAGGGCCCTTGGAGCTCCATTTCTTGAGCGCATGGGCATACGCAGCCACGCCATTAGGCATGAACTTGGGGTTTGTCTTCACGTCGACCTTGAGGGAGTGAGAAGCGATGTTGGCACCGTGGGTGCCATGGCCGATGGTGGCCGGCAAAGCCTGGGCCAAGGGACCACACAGAAGAAAAGCCAGAAAGGAAATGGCCGCCATCTTTGACAGCAACGTCTATGTCCGTGATACTCGAAGCGAGACGAGTCAGTGATGGCAAGGGAGAAGCCTTGACGAGCGACTTGAACCTTGTGGTGAGGCAAAGAGCGAAGAGGGAAACGATGGAAATGCGTGATGGAGTAGAGAAAGGAAGAGGGAGAAAGCAATCCCAGGTGGCAGTTGAAGTATTGAAAAGTCGATAGAGCCAGGGAAAACTTCGGTGCACTGCGCTACCTTGATAGGCTGACTTTCTTCACAACTTCAGACTAGCTAACACTCGAAGGAAACCGGTGAAGGGAACAACGAGATGCTCTACTTCAGGTGCGCGGGGTACTTGATGTTTTCTCGGAGGTTCTAGCAGCACCATCCACAACACAGCAGGGAAAGTCTATAAATCGTCTTGAGCCCGGTCAACACGTAATTAGGATGCGGTGGTTCCGTAAAGGACTGAATCACTAAAAGCGTAGCTGAGCCAGTGACTCAAGATGTGCTGAGAGAACGAGGAATCTGCCTGGAAAGACAAAGATGCTTCGCAGACCCCTTCAACAGGAAGGAACAGCTCAGTATGAACGGCCTGAATTGGCTGAAGCGGGTCATGAAAGATTATTACGATTACTTGTCTGCTCCTTCCGAGTTCAACGGGCATCCTATGAATCACCTCAACGGTGGCTGGCACGACAGCCGCTGAGGTAACCCTTCTGCTGCCCTGGCAACACAACCTGACGGTTTTGTATCTACTCACAGTATTGTACAACGATTCATCGAGATGGGTTCACTTGCCCTAACCAAGCAGGAGCAGGACACCATGTCGTTCGGCGGCGAGAAATGCATGCCAAAACTCATATTTTCCAGGAGCCTTTTCTACACAGAAATCGTATCTACATGTGCCCCTAACTCCATACCAATGCATCAAACCCCTTTCTATAAGGTATCTTGTATCTTATAGCTCGTCATGGCCCTTCTCCTCTCCATCCTTCGGTGCTTGTTGCTGCTGCTCCTGCTGTTTCGCCTCCTCCGCCTCCCTGACGAACTCCTTCAACATCTCGTCAATCTCCTCCTGCGACGGCATCTTGCCGTCCTCGCCGGGCTTCAACTTGATGGTCTGCGCCGGCTTGGCGGACGATTCTGTCCCCGATGCGTTCTTCGCCTTCTTCGCATTCCCTTTCTTCTTGTCCTTGTCACCGGAGGTTTTCCGCTTCTCAAAGTTCCGCACCCCCTTCATGGCAAGATCCATGCCCGCCTTGTCCAGCTTCTCGCGCTTCTCGGTCAGGTCCTTGACCAGCAGCACCGGGTCATCCGTCGCGCCCAGCTTTTCTTGGGCGGCCAGCTTCTCCTCGAGCCAGGCTGAGATGGAGGCGTGGAGATCCTCGCTTTCTTTGAGGTCCTCGAGCGTGTAAAGGGGCGGGACGGGGCCGCGTTCCTTGGCAAGTTCTTCCATGGGGTCCGCTACCGTGGCGGTCGTTGTGCTGGCGTTGGCGTCGTCCTCCAAGCCGTCGAAGTCTCCCGAGGTGGAAGAGGGAGTGGCGGTAGTGGTAGAAATTTCTGTGCTTGTAGTAGATGTGGATAAGGCGGACTGGAACGCCTCATAGTCGGCGATCTTCTTCTTGATGTCGACGACGAACTCATTGGTGTTCTTCAGCGCCTCCTGCAGGCCTTTGACGAGCTCGGGCCGCTTGGACGCTTCCTCAATCCGCTCCTGGACCGGACCGACAATGGCTTGTAGATCCTTCAGCTTGCCCTTGAGCTCCTCCTTGGTGGCGTCGGCGCCGTCGCCGTACAGCCAGTCGCCGATCTCGCTGTTCTTCTTCTCCAAAACCGCCCGCTCCTCGGCGGTTGAATGCTTGACGAAATTCTCATTTTCAAGGAGATCCCGGACCTTGTAAGTGAATCCTTCGAGCTGGTTGAGTGCCTCTTCCCGCTGTTTCCGGGCACGATCCGAAGCCTCAAAAGCCTTCAGACGGTCCTTGGGAGCGGTGAGGTCCGCCTTGGACAGCTGGGGAACACCAGCCTTCTCCAGCGTAAACTGGACGGGGATAACCACAAGCTCTCTCTTCTTCGTGGCGGTCTTAACCTCCGCGGACTCGGTTGTCTCGGCAGCGGAAGCAGAGATCGAGGTCGAGCTAGACTCCGAGGCGCTGGTAACAGAGCTCTCGGCGGCAGAGGACGAAGAGGACGTCTCGGCTCCGGCCTCCTCGGAGGACTCCTCGCCCTTCAAGGGCTGCTGTTCCTTCTTGCCGAAACCAAACAGATTCTTGACACCGTCGACGAAGCCCTCCTTCTCAGCCGTCTCAGCCTCGCACTCAACTGTGACCTTGGTCACCTCGACCTCTCCATTGTCGCTCGCCAAGCGCGCGCCCATCTTGAGGCGGATATCGCTCTTCTCGCACTTGTGCTTCTCCACCAGCTCCGCCACCGAAGCAGTCAAGTTCTTGGTCGTAAGCACCTTGGTCTCGGCATCGACCGAACCAGCATCGGAGGCCGAGGCGGGGACTGTCTGGTAGAAGGTAACCGTGAAGTCCTCACGATTTGTGAAGGTGACCTCCTTGGCAGCCGCACCGAGATGAGACGTCGCAGTCCATAAACGTTGGTGCTTCTCCTTGCCTTCATCCGTCTTCCACTTCATGCCAGCGGGATACGTGGCGCCTTCAGCGACCCGGATCTCCTTGACGCGGAAGCTGGGGCTGAGCTCGGCCGCCCTGAAGCCAGCGCCAAAGACGGCGGCTTCATCCGAGTTGACGTTAGTGCGGATCTTATCGGCGCCGCCAACCACCTTCTCAAGCTCCTTCTGGACGAAAGGCGTGCGTGAGGCGCCGCCGTGGAGGATGACCGAGTCAAGGTCCTTCAGCTCGATGCCGGCGGCGGTCAAGGCGTTCTGGACAGCCATGCCCACTCTCTCGGCGTGACGGGCCGCCATCTCCTCGAACTCGCTGCGGCTGATCTTATACTTGAAGTCGACGTCATCGTAGAGTCCCTCAAAGCTGGCCTGGGTGTTCTGGTTGGCGCTGAGGACATGCCTCACCCGTTCCGCCTCCTTGGTGAGCTTCGCGATGGTGCGGCCGTGGGCTTTGACGCTCTCGGCATCAACAGCCGCCTGTTTCGCCTTGGGCGAGCCAACAAACTGCGCAATCATGTCGTCCACGATGAGATAGTTGAGCGAGTCCCCACCTAGCGTCCGATCCCATCCACTGCCCATCACCTGAACTTCTTGCACAGTTTTGTTCAACTTGCCCACGTCCTTGACCGTCCTGCTCTGGAACTTCAGCACCGTCGCCTTGGTCGAGCCGGCGCCCATATCGAAAACCATATGGTACTCGGGCTTCCCGCCCTGGTTCACGTTCGGGAACTGTCTGCTGGTCGCATAGTGCAGCCCCACGGCCAGCCCATCGCTGATCAGAGACAACACCTTGAATCCCGCCAACTCAGCCGCCAACTCCACCGCCCTCTTTTCCTCGGTGGTATAGAACGGCGGCACGGTCAGCACGGCCGACCGCACGGGACTCCCATGCCCAGCCAACGCCTCCGCATTGGCCCGGATACTCCGTAGCTCCATGGCGAGGAGCTCCTCCACCATGAACGCCTCCTCCTCGGCGGTGAACGCCCCCGCGCTCTTGAACGCCGCCGTGCCCCTGAGCTTGTGCCCCACCACCTGCAACGCAGGATGGCGCCTAGCATACTCCTTCACCTCGGCGCTCTCCACCGGCAAGCCCAAAAGCGTCTTCAGATTCGGGTAGACATCGCCGGGGAAGCGCGCGGCGAGGGCCATGGCGTCCGAGCCATAGGCCCGTTCCGGGTAGGCACCCTTCTTGGGGCCATGGGGCGCGGGCTTGAAGGTGACGGCGGAAATCTCTTTGCGGCGCGAGTCCTTGGTCAGCACAATCTCGAGCGGGATGCCGGGCTTGACCAGCGCGGCTTTAATGTACTCAGTGCCGAGGTCGATGCCGACGACGGCGGAGACGGCTAGGACGTGCGCGGAGAAGAGGAAGATGGTGGAGAGGAAGAGCGCCAGTGGCGAGCGTAGTATTCGCGCCATGGCTGGCGGTCCCAGACGGCGCCCTGTGTGTATGTGTGAGTGTGTACGTGCGTTGGGGGGAATGTCGTTGTCGGGTGTCGAGGCAAGGGTCTTCTGGTACTGCGGTGTGGCAAGTTCCCCCGCCAGTGACAGCGCCTGGCAGATTGAACACCAATTATCTAAGAATTGGCAGGCAGAAAGGGACAGAGGTTGACGTGGCAATAAAGACCGTCAGCCCAGCTAGTGCAGGACAAATTCTGGCCTTAATTGCTGACCTTGTCGCGGGTGAGCGGTGTTTGCGCCACGGACACTGCTTCAACCACTTCGTCCAAGCTGCAAGCTGTTCTCTGCCAAAAGGACAACTGGTGAGATGGATTGGACCTTTGTTCCGTTTATGTAACGGCCAAGCCGGGACAAAGCTTTGGCCAATGATATGATCAAGTCTGCTTGGAATCGGCAAACGTTGCTCCGTTTCCGTGACCGGATTGGCTTGGCTGGGACCAGATTGACTAATGGCCAAGACGTTCTGCTTGGCACCTGTGTGAAGACACAGCAACCATCGAATAATGGAAAGTAAAAGAGTGTTTTAGAAATGACACGTTCAGATCAATGTATTTACACTATGTGTTCGGCTAGAACTCCGCAAATAGGTACAGGTCCAAATCACAAGGTAGCTAGCCTAATCTGGAGTTCGACCGGGGCGGCTGGCAGTCCGGGCCAGCAACACCGAAGTGGGGCCGCATAAGAGCCGGAGACATCTCCCGTTTCCTCGTCCCTCGGACATCGATCTAACCATGCGAGACCCGGCCCTTCCAGAGGGCTGGCAAGATCGAGCCCCTAATAAACGCATCTCAATCCCTGATCCAAATTCTCTTAACCCAACTTATATGCTACACGCAGCCCGACGCTGCCGCTGTGAGCTCCAAGACTTGCTGAATGATGGCCTCAAACCACCCCTCAGTTTCTTTCCTTCGTCGCCTCTCCGCTCCCGCCCGCAGCCTCCCTCGCGAGCCTCGCCAAAGCCGCCTCATACTGCTTGATCCTCTCCTCCGCAAACTCCCCATCCTCATTGTCACCGCCAATCCTCACCCTCTCCACCTTGCCCGCCCTCACAATGTTCGTAACAGCCCCTTTCCCTTCCCCAGCGAAATCCCTCCAGAATCGCCTCGCCTCGGCATGTTCCAGGAGCGTCCACGCACACCCGCTCTTGCCCGCCCGTGCCGTCCGCCCCACACGCTGGACATACGACGTCTCACTGATAGGCAGGTCATAGTTGATGACGTGTTCCAGGTTGAGGAGGTCGATACCGCGCGACACGAGGTCGGACGCCACGAGGATGCGCAGCTTACCCTGCGAAAAGGCGCGCAGAGTGCGGGTTCGGCGGGATGTCTTAGTTGATGAGGTCAGGGTGCCGATCAGGGGCGCTAAATCCGGGTCGATAAGGGCCAGGAGGCGGGAGAGGCGCAGGGCGGCTTCGTTAGATTTGGTGAATACTAGAACTGTTGTTGACAGAGCTGGTTGCTTCCCAATGGCTGACGACGGTTTGGTCGTGGTCCGTTGGGGATAGTGGTCCTCTGATGAGGATGAATCAGAATCGGAGCCAGAGTCAGAGACAGAGTCCGAATCGGAATCGGAATCGGAATCTGCCGAGGACGACTCCGAGTCCCTGGTTTCGGACCCCACGGAGGCACTATCTGCGGCGTCTTCATGGTTGACGGCAGTCATGTGCTCGCTTCGCAAGAGATCGACGAGGTACAGTGGCTTCAGACTCGGCTCGCGGACTTTGATGGCGAACTCCTTGAGGAGGCCTGGCAGACTCTGCTCGCCTGCCTTTGTGCCCTCGACGACTATCAGTTTCGGCCGGAATAGCTTCAGTCCGTTCAGCAAACTGAGATCTCGGGTCATTGTCGCGCTCAGAATGACTTTGCGGACACCGGACTTGTTTGATCCAGTGAAATCGCGGGCGCCGGGCTTCCCAATGCTCAGTTTTTCCGTCACAATATCGAGCCATTGCTGAAAGTCTTGCGCCAACAATTTGTCGGCCTCATCAACAATCAGCCAACGGACGTAATCGAGGGTGAACCCGGGCGTTTTGATGATATGCTCCACAAGCCGTCCAGGTGTGCAGATGAGAATATCAACTTTGGAAGTATAGGTAATAACATGATAAGGGAGCGGTTCAGAGCGCCTGAGGTCAAGGCCTTCATCTTCCTCATCCGAGTCCTCCAGGTTGACAAAGCTATTCTGCTTCTGCAGATAACGCTCGTACCCCGGGGGATCATATCTCTGCTCCTCCGCCATTATCGCGGATTGCTCCTCCCTGAAGACTCTGTTGCCCATTGCCGTTCCAATTTTGACCCTCTTGCCTCCATTGACCGTAAAGGCGGCTGCACACGCTTCGCAGGCTAGCTGCACCTGTTGCACGAGGTCTCTTGTTGGCAATACGATGAGCGCCCGTAACCTAGTAACACGACCTTTGCTAATATCGTGAACCATGGGAAGCACATACGACAGTGTCTTTCCAGACCCTGTCGGTGCTGCGACGACTACGTCGCCTTGCCTGTCGGGAGAAGGCAAGAGGAGGGGAAGCACCGCAGTTTGTACTGCAAACGCATCCTTGAACCCTCTTGATGCGAGGACTTCCGAAGATTCCGGAGCAATGCCTAATTCTGTAAATGGCTGTGTCCTGTCGGGGGCGACTCGTATTGGAGAGGCAAGCCATGGTGGCAGGGTTTCGTACGTCAACTTCGACTCATCAACGACAACTGGGTCCGGTTGCGGCAACGGCTCAAGTCCATGTTCGACTTCTGCCTCAGCCGCCTCCTCATCAAGCCCATCCTCATTGAGTTCGCCATCAACGTCTTTCGTGCGGTTCTTGGCTTGCAGAGCCTTTTGAACCTTCTCAAAGACAGACCTATGCCTCTTATGGACTTCGTCGGCTTCGGCATCTGTCCCATCGGGGTTCATATGGTCATCTGCTTTACGTTTCTTCTTCTTCTCCCGCTTTGGCTTCCGTTCGTCCTTGGTGGCAGTGGACGGCTCGGTGTTGGTAGCAGACGGCTCCGGTTCCCGTTCTTCGATGTCCGAGGTCTCCACAACATGTTGTTGAGCAGGGCGAGTCTGATCCGCTCCACTCCTCTTCCGTCTGCGGGACTTTGACTCCTTCAACTCGCTTTCCCCTCCATCTCCGCCGGCCTCCTCCTTGGCCTTTTTGGACTTTGACTTCTTCGGCTTCTTCGCCTCTGTCGTATCCGTAAGCTCATCGTCTATTTCTCGCTTCTTCGCACTGTGATCGACAGGACTAAGGTCGGTATCGTTGAATACGATCCGTTGGGGTTGTGCAGGTACTGGCGGCTCTGGCACCTTGGGGACCTGGCCGGGGATGTAGCGTGTATACGGTTTTGAGGAGGAGACTCCTGCGGGAGTGGATGCTTGGTGAATTGTTTGTGAATTGTTTGATGCTCTGTGCTCCTTCGGAGGAGGGATGTACCGGTTGTACATTCTCGAGGATTATCACGAAAGTCCGCTCGAGGTTTTGCCCACTACCGGATCTGGGTTCTTGAGACAGGATCTCGAGCAGAAAAATTCTGGGTCCGTCAGATACTTGGCGATTGAAGTGGGGCCTGCAGCAAGGGGGCTTCTGCGGGGTGGCAGGCTAGCAGCGGCCTAAACCTGAAGAGGGAGGCGGTGTAAGATCATCTCATTACCCCTGTCCAGGGACACGCACTTGCATCCATGCCCTGGATCTGCAGAACTCTCCAAGTTCCTCCTCATCCCAACGACCTAAACCACTGTTGACTTCAGAAAAATGAGCGCTCAACGAGTCAGCAGCAATGGCGCCCACATACAACATTGCCATGGTGAGCGACTTCTTCTTCCCGCAACCGGGTGGTGTTGAGAGTCACATCTACCAGCTCTCGTCCAAGCTGCGGGACCGGGGCCACAAGGTCATTGTCATCACACACGCTTACAAAGGCCGCACTGGTGTGCGGTACCTCACGAATGGCCTCAAAGTCTACCACGTTCCCTTTTTCGTGCTGTACCGGTCGGCTAGCTTTCCCACGGTCTTCTCATTCTTCCCTATCTTCCGCAACATTGTCCTGCGCGAGCGCATCGACATTGTGCATGGCCATGCCAGTTTGAGCAGCTTATGCCATGAGGCCATCCTTCACGCCAGGACCATGGGTCTGAGGACCGTCTACACGGATCACTCTCTTTTTGGCTTTGCGGATGCTGCAAGCATATTTGCCAACAAAATCCTGAAATTCAGTCTCAGCGATGTGGATCACGTCATCTGCGTGAGCCACACATGGTAAGTGTCAACGAGCTTTCTGTAGCCGGACTCTCACCAATACCTTGGCCAGTAAAGAAAACACCGTATTACGCGCGTCTCTGGACCCGCTGATGGTCTCAGTAATACCCAACGCCGTCGTCGCAGAGAACTTCAAACCCCTGGACTATGCGGCCGAAGTTTCATCCGGCTCGTTCCGCGGCCATCCGCCGCCTGCCCGACCCCTAGGGCCCCACGACATGATCACCATCGTGGTGATCTCACGCCTATTCTACAACAAGGGTACCGACCTCCTAACCGCTGCAATTCCCCGCATCCTCGAGAACCACCCGCAGACACGCTTTATCATCGCCGGGGACGGCCCCAAAGCTATCGACCTGGAGCAAATGATCGAGCAGAACGTGCTGCAGGACCGCGTCGAGATGCTCGGCCCCATCCGCCACGAAGAGGTCCGCGATGTCATGGTCCGCGGGCACATCTATCTGCACCCGTCGCTCACCGAGGCCTTCGGCACGGTGATCGTAGAGGCCGCCAGCTGCGGGCTGTACGTGGTGTGCACCCAGGTCGGCGGCATCCCCGAGGTCCTGCCGTCGCACATGACGGTCTTCGCCAAGCCCGAGGAAGACGACCTGGTAGCGGCAACCGGGAAAGCCATCGCGGCCCTGCGCGCGAACAAAGTGCGCACGGAACTGTTCCATGAGCAGGTCAAGAGCATGTACTCGTGGACGAACGTCGCGATGCGCACCGAAAGGGTGTATAACGGCATCTCGGGCGCCATTAGCGAGGCGGAGTTCTATGGGTACGATGCGGCTAATGGGGCGGGGAGCTGGAGCGCTAGGAGAGGGCGGTCCGGAGTGCAGAGCTTCGCGCTGATCGACCGCCTGAAGCGATATTATGGCTGTGGCATCTGGGCTGGTAAGCTGTTTTGTATGTGTGTGATCGTGGACTACTTGATCTTCTTGGCGCTGGAGCTGTTATTCCCGAGGGAGAAGATTGATATCTGCCCGGACTGGCCAAGGAAGGAACGCAAGGTGGATGGGAGGGATGCCGGGTGAAAGCCGGCTTTTGGGGAGGTGACAGTGAAAGGCAGGCATCGGATTCCTAGAGTGGGCATGAGGCTTTCCTAATATTGGCTAGGTTAAAAGGGCATGTTTGCAGTAGGAGTATGTTAGATACCCAAAGTCTTGTTTGTGATGCAAGGAAGAGGCGGCGATAGTGGACTTGGCGACTTTTGGGAGGATATGAATGAATATTACGGCGACATTAATCAGGGGGGGTAGCAAGTCATCGCAGCTGCAATGCTGCCTTTGGACGGCAGGTTTGTCATCCAAGAAGATAGGTAATGTTGTAGATATCTTAGCTACCCTCGGGTTCGGGACATATCATATGACTCAAGGCTACCTGAGATAGATAATGCCTCTCAGAGACTACCTGGCAGGGGATGTCCAAGAATACACACTTGTTATAGTTGACAGCGAGAGCAATTCAGCCAACTGTTAAGGTGCGCGAAAAGAGACGACACCGTCTCTTCAACCACGTCTCGGTCGTTTGGGTGTCGTTGTTGAACCTCGGAAACCACCGAAGTGATCGCTTGCCGCTTTGGGTTGAATATGTAGCAATCAACCAATAGGAAAACGGCTGTTTGCAGGGGCCACGAGAAGTACATCCCCCCGGGGGTCGGACGGATCAAGGCTTGTCATGGCGGCTTCGCCCACATGGGTTGGTATATGGAGAACTCGGAGACGCATCCGAGAGGCCAGTTCTTCTCGTATGGAAACGCAGCGAATATGTGATGGCTACGGCTGTACTTTGACGTAGGGCACACCTCTGGGCTTCTACACCAGCAAAGAACATTGTGGCCCCTACGTCTGAGTCTAGAAGGTTGCGGACGTCCGCGAGTCAGGTCGGGCAAACACTCCCTACCCGTGACTACCCGCAGCGCTCGGTTGCCGTTGTGTGGTTTATGCGCAGCTGTGCTTGGCCTCCTCCGAGGAAGAACGTATGCACTCCTGGCCCGATCAGAGGGATTAAAGGTAGTGCGGTTAACAGCCATACGCGGAGGACCGTGAGTATACCACATCACGTCTCTATTACAGTTCTTGCTTCTGCGTCATGAGGATGGGAGCATAGGGTTGAAGGGGTATAGAAAGGAGTGAGCGGCAAGACCTCGCAACCACTGGGATATGGAGGACGTCTCTAGCGTTTATCGTCCGGTGAGACTAGCGAGTCCATACCGGCAGCATGGCCTCTATCAAGCCATCCTCGCTAAATGTCTAGTGACCGTTGGGTATCAGCTTCGTGCCCGAACGTCCACCAACTTCAAATTCACTTAAGCCCACCGCTCAGAAGCACGCTCTGACCCGTCAGGTAACCCGTTTGACAGAACATCAACACCACATTGGCAACCTCTCGCGGCGTGCCCAGTCTCCCAACAGGAATATTTCTCACATCACCGGGCGTGCCCTCGACGAACTTCTCATCCGGTATCATGCCTGTCTCACCAATCATAGCCGGGGCAACATCGTTCACCGTGATGCCATCCTTGGCGTGCTTCGTAGCGAGACTCTTCATCAGACCGTGCAGCCCGGCCTTGCTCGCGGCATAGTGGCACCCATTGATGCCGCCACCATGCGCTGCCAGTGACGACACGAAGATGATGCGCCCCCATCGCTGGGCAGTCATGTGTGGAATGCTCAGCTTGCACAAGATAAACGAGGCGCGCAGGTTGATACTGATGGTGTAGTCGAACTCTTCGATAGAGATGTCAGCAATATCCGGGATCCTCTTGCCGTAGCCGGCATTTGACACCAGTATTTCCGGGCCGTCTTTGCCATGCAGCTCCCTGATGCTCTTGAACAGTCGTTGTATGTCGTCAGCTGAGCCCACATCGACCTTGTGGGTGGAAACGACCGGGTTGGTGGCACTGGGGTCTTGGTTATTACGCAGGACCCAGAGCTCTTCCTCGAGAGCCAGTATCTTCTCCTTGTTGCTGGAGTAGGTCAGGGCGAGGTTTACACCCTGCAGGTACAGTGCTCTAGCACAAGCTGCTCCAATCCTATTCAGAGTTAGCAGTGAGTGAGGCCCGTCCGCTTCCACTTATGGATACCCTCCTGAGGCCCCGGTGATTAAGGCAAGCTTGCCTTCTATGGCGTTGTCGACGGCCGGCATCTCGAAAGAATGGAATGTTCCCTGCCAGGGTTCGAGCTCTGCTGAATGAGGAAAAGATGCAGTCAACCTGAGCCCTGAAGGTCAGTGAAGGACGCAGGTCGACGCTTTCTCAGTTTCAGGAAGGGATGAAGAGGAATCCGGGTACCTACCCCGCTGGAAGTGGCTGCATGATACCCCGCAGTCTCCCAATGCCCGAAGACGCGCGCAATTTTGACAGTTGCCCGAACCATGACCAAATAAACACGGAAGTAACGGTCTGCCCGAGAAGCGGCGTGGGAATCTGTCGTTGCCCATCCATATTTCACCCCGTGCATCCTCTGATTCAGCCCGCTGTCCGCCGCCGCAATCCCACTTTCTCAATGGAAAGCACCCTATGAGAACATTGTCAAACTCTACCAATCAGTTCGCCCTTACAAATTACAACCCCTGATATCCGTGTTGATTGGGTTTTTCAAGTCCCCGGATTTAGATGCTACCTGAACGGCAGCCTTCCCAACAATCGAGAGCGAGCCAAACGGCAATTAGCCACCAGGAGCACCGCCGCAATGGGCACTCCCTTCATCTCTCTCCTTGAACCCACCCCTCTGCAATGGGAGCGCGGAGTGCCGCCGGACGAGCAACCGGCCCGGTCATCTATCCCGCGCACCTTCCTCGACGCCATGACCGTCCGTACCCAGGTCTTCGTCGAGGAACAAAAAGTCCCCGCCGAGAACGAATATGACTCGGACGACCCGCGGTCTGCACATTGGGTGATCTACGCCTCCGTCAACCAGACCATTTCTCCCGCCCTCACCGACCCAGAGACGGGCGAGGTGATCCAGCCACGGCGCAGCGAGACCCGATCGGTCCCGATCGGCACCGTCCGGCTCGTCCCGTTCCCCCACCCGCCTCACCCGCTCAACGGGGGAGTGTACGTAGACGGAGAGTTAGTCGGCGACAACACCGAGCCGGAAGAGAAAGGAGCCCACGGTGAGGGGGGGGCGCCTCTCGCGCAGCAGGCCTCGAGCCCAGACCAACAGAAACAACAACAACAACAAGACCACCGGCGGGCCTCCTCCGTCCCCTCCTTCACTACCGACCGCCCGACAGATTTCCACGACGGTCAGGAGCCGTACGTCAAACTCGGGCGGCTAGCCGTGCTCAAGGACTTCCGCGGCCGGGGCATCGCGCGGCAGCTGGTGCTCACGGCAGTAGACTGGATGCGGAAGAATCCAACCCACTTCGACCCGAGTCCGGCAGAGCGCGGGTTCGAGCAATTGGGGATGGAGCAGGGCGGGGAGCTGCCGCGGTGGAGGGGCCTGTTTTGCTGCCATGCGCAGGAGGACGCGGTCAACGTCTGGGAGAGGTGCGGCTTCCAGGTAGATAAGGCGATGGGGAAGTGGATGGAGGAAGGGATCCCGCACATGGGCATGTTCCTAAGGGTTGATATCGATCGGAGATAGATATGGCAGGCTTCTTGAGGGGAAACTGGGAGATCGATGGCTTGTGCAAGGGAGGCATGTTCGACTGCTTGATTTATCGAGGCGTTGGGGTACGCGATACCCATGGGTTCCCGTCACTTCGTACAATGAAGAAAAAGGTGGATAGAGAAAACCCGAAACTCCATGTTGGGAGCAAAGCACATTACCGCAGCCATAAGACGCCGTTCTTGTCAGGTATTCACCATTTGCTCCCTTTTTTGGCGAGAGCCCTAATCGTGCCTGTTTGACAAGAATGCCATGCATCCACCAGACCGTAACGCGCAAAAAGCAGCCCTGCAAAACAAGCCGTAAAATCCGTCCCGTCCCGGTCCAAAATGCCTTCCAACCCGAGCAACCGTTTACCGGTTGCTCTTGGCCACACGCTCCAACTCGTCCTTCTTCTTGATCGCATACGAGTTGCTGCTGCCCTTGGCAGCGTTGATCAGCTCCTCAGCAAGGCACTCGGCAATCGACTTGACGTTGCGGAAAGAGGCCTCGCGGGCGCCGGTTGTGAGGAGGGCGATGGCCTGGTTGACGCGGCGGAGAGGCGAAACATCGACGGCCTGTCTCCGGACGGTACCGGCAGAGCCGATACGGGTGCTGTCTTCGCGGGGACCGCAGTTGACAATGGCGTCAACGGCAATCTGGATGGGGTTCTGGTCGGTCATCAGGTGGATCTGGGAGCCCGGTTAGAATGGATATCCACCGCACAGAAACTTTGGTCCCAAGTCTCACAATCTCGAAGGCGTGCGCAACGATGCGGACGGCCATCAGCTTCTTGCCGTTGTTGCGGCCGTGCATCATCAGAGAGTTGGTGAGGCGCTCAATGATGGGGCAGTTGGCCTTGCGGAACCGCTTGGCAGCATAGCGACCAGCGGAGTGAGGGAGGTAGACGGGAGACCGGATCTGGATGTAGTCGCTGTCAGGCAGTAGACCGTTAGTCCCCATTCAAGCAAAGCAGCCGCCCAGCGTCGGTTCCAAGCGGAAAGCGGCCGATCGTCGCAATTCGAGGTGCTGTCTTACGTCAAGGAGATGTCCCGAATCTCAACATCCTCGTAGCTCCAGCGGTCTGTAATTGACAGAAAATCAGCATACGGCTTCGGGAGTCGCGTTTGTCGCATCGCATCGATTGCCTCGATTTACGGTTCGAATTCCAAGACGGGGCGGGTCAGACGTACTGAAGAGCTTGACGCTGCCAACCTCGGCGAGGACCTCCTTGGGGAGGACCTCGTAGCTGGAAGAGGCCACTTCGACTTCGCCTTCAGACATGTTTGCGGTTGCCGACTGACTGCGAAACTTCCGAGGTGGTGGTGGATTGAATTGCAGCGTGGAGGACGAGGGCTTGTGAGCTTGAATGGTCGTGAATTTTTTGGTGGCCCCGCAAATGATGGCCTGGGCGGCGAACCAGCCACTCACAGCGCCCCATTTTCTTAGGGCTCAGTTAACCTAAGCTCTTGCAGCGACGGGCTCTGTCAGAAAAATCCCCGCCCTATGCGAGCTGACCATTGCCTCCAACCTTCAACAAACCACCAGCACAGACATCCAAAATGGCTCCCGCGGCATCTGGTGCGAAGAAGCAGAAGAAGAAGTGGTCGAAGGGAAAGGGTAAGCGCATTTTTGCGCAGGCGAATTCCTGCCTCCTGGGACCCGGCAACAACCGCTAATTGCTCAATCTGCAAACAGTCAAGGACAAGGCCCAGCACGCCGTCATCCTCGACAAGACCACTTCCGACAAGCTCTACAAAGATGTCCAGTCCTACCGTCTCGTGACGGTTGCCACCCTCGTCGACAGGCTCAAGATCAACGGTTCCCTCGCCCGGAAATGCCTGAAGGACTTGGAGGAGAAGGGGCAGATTAAGCAGGTGGTGGGACACAGCAAGATGAAGATCTACAGTACGTTGCGGCTGCTCGGGTGTATCTTGAGAGTGCGGGTGAAGTTCTGACCGAATACAAACAGCTCGTGCCGTTGGCGCTGCCGAGTAAACGTTCCCCATGGATCATATCGACGGACCTAGCAGGAAGCAACACGAGTTTGTTGACGGCGGTTGGCTTGGGTTAACGGTTATTCGAGCGCGGCTACGGCTCTGGGAACGGGAATCATTTTGCAGCTTGGCCGGTGTAGCAAAGGGATCGGAAGTGCTCCAGATCCTTTAGACTGGAATTGCATCAAGATACGGACAACGCCGCGGCTCCGCCCTGCCAGGGCCGGAGTGTGATCCAAACACTACATACCCATTCTGATGACGTGAGAGCCATTGGATGCTGGCCGGGTCTACCCTTCGAAAGGAAAGGCGGGACACGTCAACGAACTGAGGTAGCAGAATCGATACCCGTCAAACCAGTTGGACTGTCCCATGAATCGATGCCGCTGCTGCTCTGACCTCACCCAAAGATGATATAACGTGCACCGCAGTCTTTCGGCCGGGCTAATTGTGCGAACTCGGCAATCTGAGGAAATGCTGGCGCCTGAACCCGCTGATTAGAGCCGAAACCCAGAGGAAGCCATCCCAGTCGTGGTCCAATAGGTAGTTTCTAGGCAAGTGTATGTACGAAGTAATGGAAGTGAATCAAGTTCCACCATGATACTATCAAGTCTAGAAGTACGACGCATATATGACTCTTCCTCCTCGCCAGTTTGGCTGTCTTGATATATCATGGAACATGGTGCATTGCCGCTGCCATACGCCACCCTAGAAACCATGGAATCCGAAGAGGAATCAAGCCTCAGTACGGAATACTGTGCGTACTTCATACATAATAAGGGTTCAGGTTGTCGGCGTGGATAAGACCGAGTGGGCCATGTTTGAGGTTGGGCTTCGCTGGCTGGAAACTCCAATAACCCTCCAAAAAGTTTTCCAGCTGGGTCCAATTGGCGCAGGCTCATTGGTTCTGTACGCTCCTCGGAGTTTTTCTTAGCCTTGTTACTCGTGGAGCCTTTCAGCCGAGAATCACTTGGCCGCAACGGCGCAAACCGCGGGTTTTGTCTCGACATCAATCTCCATTGCCTGTGATAATAAGGAAGACTCAGTGACAGTCACTCAGACAACCTTAGCCCCCAAATAGAGAGAATGATAATTGAATTGGAAAAACTGCGATATGAGGTCTCTGTCAATAGATACGGAGAAATCATGGATATGTTGATGCCCATCTCGCCCATTCACCTCGTCAGTGCCGAGAAATCCAAGTTTTGCGGTTGCAACAATGCAGAAGATGAGCATGGAACGTCGGGCTTTACCGGGAATCGCAGATTCTTAGCGCCACCGGCAAGGCTGCAATTGCGGCAATGCTGGGCCAGTTGGTTGCTGACTTGCTGTGCACTGTTGGAATGGTCCGTGCACTTAGCGCGGCAAGGGCCCGGAAAGACTCGCACCTCAAAAGCTGGCCGGTTCCGAACTTGCTGCGAATTTTTTTCCCTCTTCCCCCAAACCCGAAGGCTCGCAGAATTTATTTTCTCGCGACTACCCGCACCCTTCATCTCCTCGACTCTCCCAGCAGAGCTTGGATTTACCTCTCCACTCCCTTCTTTTCTTTTCAGAGTCGCCTTTGATTAGACAGTCAAGATGTCGAAGGAAACCCGCCAAAATGTCATGGGCATGCCGGTAAGTCGTCACAATCTCCCGTGGGAAAATCGCTCGCTGCATCACGAACCTATGGGTGTGTTGCCCCTTGCACTGTTGGCCATGATAGTCGCATTTGCCAATTGACCTCATGAAAGGGGATCAATGGCTCATTTGACGCCTGGCGAGATGTGCAGTCGGTGACGCCCATCTGCTTACGGATGCGATAAGGCGCCCCTGGCTAGGAATTGGCATTATGGACAGACTGCTAACTTATTCGAATACAGCCCTTCATGGTGGACTTTTTGAGTACGTCATTTCACATGGACTAGGCCTTGTATCGGTGTCGAACGCACTGCGTGCCCGCCGATCCATGGCTGGTGCGCCATGGTTTGGTTCCAGCACAGGCAAGGTTACTGACACGGCGCAACAGTGGGTGGTGTGTCTGCCGCTGTCTCGAAGACCGCCGCTGCTCCCATCGAGCGTATCAAGCTCCTTGTCCAGAACCAGGTATGCATCGCTACGTCCATTTAGACTTTGCCTAAGACCCCATGGGGTAGCAAAAAAGGTGGAGCTGCACGGTGACGAACCTGCCCAACCTGGCGGGTGATATCACGTGCAGTCGGGCCCATAGTGACCGCCTTGGGGTCTAAGGCATGATATGGAGGTCAATTAGACAGGATGCTGACGGCCGTGCAGGATGAGATGATCAAGGCTGGCCGTCTCGACCGCCGCTACAACGGCATTGTCGACTGCTTCCGCCGTACCACCGCCGATGAGGGTGTCATGGCCCTGTGGCGCGGCAACACTGCCAACGTCATCCGTTACTTCCCGACCCAGGCGCTGAACTTCGCTTTCCGTGACAAGTTCAAGAAGATGTTCGGCTACAAGAAGGACAAGGATGGCTACTGGAAGTGGATGGCCGGTAACCTGGCCTCGGGTGGTGTAAGTTTTTGGCCAATCCTATGAGTTGGATGCTTGTAGTTGCTAACCAGGAATCCAGGCTGCCGGTGCCACCTCGCTCCTCTTCGTCTACTCCCTCGACTACGCCCGTACCCGTCTTGCCAACGACGCCAAGTCCGCCAAGAAGGGTGGCGAGCGCCAGTTCAACGGCCTGATCGACGTCTACCGCAAGACCATGGCCACCGACGGTATCGCCGGTCTGTACCGTGGCTTCGGTCCTTCCGTCGCCGGTATCGTCGTCTACCGTGGTCTCTACTTCGGCATGTACGACTCGATCAAGCCTGTCGTCCTTGTCGGCTCTCTCCAGAACAACTTCCTCGCCTCGTTCCTGCTCGGCTGGTGCGTCACCACTGGTGCCGGTATCGCCTCGTACCCTCTCGACACCGTCCGTCGTCGCATGATGATGACCTCTGGTGAGGCCGTCAAGTACAAGAGCTCGTTTGATGCCTTCCAGCAGATCGTTGCCAAGGAGGGTGTCAAGTCCCTCTTCAAGGGTGCTGGTGCCAACATCCTGCGTGGTGTTGCTGGTGCTGGTGTGCTCTCGATCTATGACCAGCTCCAGGTCCTCCTCTTCGGCAAGGCCTTCAAGGGCGGCTCCGGCTAAATTGCCTGAACACCTGTACAGCATCCTCGATGGTGAAGGCAGTTAGGGATTAATCACGGTTGAAGCAGCTGGCTTGGCCGAGGTTCGGGTTTGGGGGCGTTAAGCTGGGAGACGGGGTGGATCCATCGTGACAGGGGCAGATGCTCCTGCACGTTGGGTATCGCGGGACACAAAAACGGGCATGTCTGGCGTTACTGGGACGCGGATGAGCCGGTCACCCGCTGTAATTTATACTCTTGAGCCATTCCCGGTGTATTCCTTGCTACGGTCTCGCGTGGGGTCGCCGTTGCTTCGCATGGGTGTTTCCTTTTGTCGCATGTGATTGATAGATCCCATAGTTCTGGCCAATTCACAGGTGCTTTTCTTAGAGACGACTGTGATGTCACGCTCGAGCCATGACAGTTTACCTATCGATTTCAGCCGGCTTTCTCGTGTGCTTGTGGTTATTCTGGATGGTCATGAACCCACTTACGTAAGGTACCAAGTAATTTCAAGTCGTTTGACGCGTCGCCCACTTCCACTTCACATGCATCCATTGGATGGTCCCGGTCATTTCTAAATATCGAGCTTGAACTTCAGCCTCACAACCTCAGGCAACCCTTGCATTTTTTTTGCAATCAACTGCTTATACCTAGCAACCTTGGAGATACACTTCATCCTGTCTCTCACAATGCCACCAAAACAGTCAACGTCTGGTCCAGCAACTCGCGGCGGCCGCGGCAGGCCTTCCGGCTCCCGAGGCGGTGCAGCTGCAGCCTCCTCCAAAAACAAAACTACTTCCACTAGTACTGCTTCAGCAAGTGCCACGGCACGCGCTAAAGGTGCTGTCTCTCAACGCAGGGAAGCTCGGCGGGAAGTGGAGGATGGAGATGAGATGGAGATAGACGTCGACGCCCGGGCCGAGCGTGAGGTACAAGTACAGGAGATTGGCGACGACGATGAGGAAGAGGGGGAGGATGATCGGGAACGGATCCCGCCTGAGCTGTTGACAAGGATTCTGTATGAGTTCTTTGAGCGGGAGGGCACGAGGATCACCAAGGATGCGAATTCCGCTGTGGCGAGGTATGTGGATGTGTTTGTCAGGGAGGCGATTGCTAGGGCTGCGGTCGAGAGGGAGGGAGGGTTCCTTGAGGTGAGTTTTATCTGCAAATGCAGTCGCGGCCAAGCCTTCTTTTTGTTTGGGCGGGGCTAATGGTGATGTGGACAGGTTGAGGATCTGGAGAAGATTGCGCCGCAGTTGTTGATGGACTTGTGAAGCGGTACAATACATCCAGCAGGTCTGTCCCGGGGCGTGATTCGCTCATGCTTTAAGATGTCGTCGCTTGTGTGACGGGAGGGGACTATGGCTACCGGTTACCATGGGCTCTGCGGCCATTCTCGACCCGGACTGGCAGTGTGCCCCCTCTTACCTTTTTGGTCGTCGACATGGAAGCAACCACGCGTTTACACATGAAGGAATGGTCATTCAGGGCCCAATATCCAGGACTCTCCTGGGCTGTCATGCGAATACGGAAGGGGATGCCACTGTCACTGTCACTAACCATGATACTCTAAACACTGCCAAATCGGCGGATACGCGAGCAAATTATTCGTCATATGGCGAGGCATTGTCGTCGTGACGAACAGAGGCTCACTCCCCAACCTGGGAAACTCGACCAACGATATTCACTCTACGCTTTATGATACCTCACGAAAGATATAGGTGTTGGTCCCTTTCGCTCAACAACAAGAAATGGAAGTGGTCCCTTAGCTCGACCTCATGATAATGAGATTGTAATCTCAGACGACTCACGGAGCGCCTGGTCATGATTGACAACGATTGTGTCCCTGAATGGCCTTCACCTTACCATGCCTGAGCAGTCATCTACCAGAGAGACTGTTTCAATGTGACTTTGGTGGTAACTATTTCATCTGCTCCTATTTATCCCTGCGTGTGCCGGTGATAACAAAAGACCTGGCCTCGCGTGGCTCTCTGCATCCTCTACAGATAGGATGCGCTTGGTATTTTCTCGCAGGATTCCTTTGCCCATGTCCTTGGTATCTGACTTCTACTTCAGAAATCCTCCCCAAAAATAGGTCAAAGCAAGCCACGCCTTTAAATGCTCTGTGATGCTGCTGTTCAGTGACCTCTATCTTCTCTCAGAACGCCGACAACAATCTATACTCTTGACGGTAACAGTGGAGGCTCGACATGGAGCGGTCACGGCAACAGCAGGAGCTTCTACAAGTACCGATGCACGTACTGGGATAATTTCGGCGTCAGCTGCATTGACCTTGATCTACTGCAACGTCTACTCCTGTGCTAGGTATGTGTTTGGCCGACGACCGGGAGTGACCGTCAAGCGGTGGAGGAAGGGTTGTCTAGAGGTAGCCATGCTTCCTCACAAATAGACGCACGAGTCACGTTAGGAGATGATGGATAAATGGAAAGGACTGTAGGCAGTCGGGTTGCTGTACCTGCAGCCCCCAGTTTGTAGGATCTAAAGTAGTTGGACTACCTTGATACGAGACCCATATTGCTTTTATTCAATTCCTCAACTTCCCCTTCATCAGGACCTCCCGGATCAGTGACAAGGCGTAAAGGTCGTTTTCCCGGTTTGCATGGGTGATGCCTTCTTTTGCCCAGCCAGCTGTGCCTCCCATGAAACCCAGCCCTTCCCCTTCTCTTTTGCATGAACCGAGGTGGGTGATCACGGGATTCGCACCATGCCTGTCCACTTCAATGTTCCAGGGGTTCAGATCGTTGTGGACGAGACCCAGCCGGTGGAGGTGGTTGAGTCCGTTTTTGATGCCTTGAAGGCAGGCCTCCGTGTCAAACGCAACGCCAGCGTCGACCTTTTCCCAGAGCGTCATGTCGTGCTTTTTCAAGCACAGTCCCACGATCCTACCCCCGTCGACAACGCAACCCAGATAATGTACGACGTTTGGGTGCGGGTTTTTGGCGAGTAGCTCGCATATCTCTACCTCTCTCAGCAGCTGGTTGCTGCATTCCTGTGGCGTCTGGGTCGGGTCGTAATGGAGAATCTTTGGTCGCTTGACGTAAGCACCCTCAGGGAGTAGCTGGGGGCCTTGGGTAAACGTGGAATTGAAAGCGGGAAAGATATCCTCCGCGGGGATCTCGATTAGCTCGAGCCCCTTGATGTTGCCAGGGGTAACAGTATGCATCCGCGCCGGACTCCGAGCAAAGAAGTATTTCCCATCATGCTTCTGGCGAAAGATGATTTTGGTATGGTCGAAGACGAAGTCATTGTCCTTTTCGACAAAGCACTCGCCCCTCTCGACGATCTCCATGGTGTTGAGAAGTGAGCTGCTGGGATATTCGACTGGGAGATTGAATCCTGCTCGCTGGTGGGAAGGACGTGGGTGACTGTAAGCTATCGATGACTCTAAATACTTGCCTGACTATCTGGTGCTACATACGCCACGTTGCTAGTCTCGCTTTCTGTGACTCAGATATGTGCCATGACTATGCCACACGGCAATTCCATATAGTCCGAGCCAATCTCTCTTTGTTTGTGTATCGGTCATTATGACCATGTGAGAGCTCCCTTCATCACTAATCCGAACTCATTCAGAGGCGGTGGGACATAAGCTAATTCTTTGAATTTCACATCTGTGCTTCCATGGTACTCGACCTACCTACCTACCTACCTACCTACCTTACCTACCTACGTACCACTAGTAAGTACGGTAGCCGCTGCTTGACTCACCGATGATCAGGACCTGATTCTCCACCTGGCAAATTCACCGAGGTCTCCATTGTGCCACAAGCAAGCTGCTTCCTATACAGTAAGAATGTCCACTGTCTTGACTCCTATACCGGATGTACGATACCGCAGTAAGATAGGCTGTGACCTTATTATATGGTTTCTCGCACTCGGGGTTAGACCATAGAGTGTGTCTGCCGTCTCAAATTCAACTTTGCGGTCGTCCATATACTCCATATGGAGCCCGCTCGAAAATGAAAGTGGAGGTCCATGACAAAGAATCTTTGGGGTTGGAAAACTGTAGGTGACTAATAAGACCCTAATCCAAGACATCGTCTTATTTACCTGCCATTGCGCGGGACATCCCGAGGCGCCGACCAATTCCGTAGCCGAAGCGCTCGGTGGCGGTCCTGAAACTCCCAGACGTTTGACCCGTGTCAGAGGCTGCCGCAGGGGCCAGAGACTTGGCCCCTGTCGCCTCTGTGGAGTGTGGACCCTTACCCAACTCGACGGCCGGACCCGCAACGGCGCAGCCTCCAGCAACCTTATTTCGGCTCCAGGCTCGTCCGGTCACATGCACCAATCCTTCAACCAAATGCTTCCCTTGGCGACCATACTCAGGCCTGACGCCGTCACGGCTTGAGGTGGCTTGCGAACCGGCTGCACTTATTTGTCGCCATGAGGTTAGGAGCGGTCGACCGTCAATCGCCGCCCCAAGCGCCAACGCAGTCTATTTTCGCTGAGATGCTTACCTGGCCTCAGGTCACGGAAGTCACTGATTCAACAGCGCCACCCGGATTGCAGGATATCCGGGCGGTAAGGTACCGTGAGGGTCTTCGCCTGACCAGCGAGAAAGTGTCGGCGCAGCGCGCGCTCAAACCTGGCTGTTCTGCGGGTATTTGCTGGTCGAAGGGTTCCTGTACTACCAGCAAGGCCACTGGGGCGCCCGGGCGCTTCGTCAGCTCTTGTTTCTTATTGCAATCTACCTAGTACTTCTTTTCCACAGTGCTATGCTGTACTTTGGGGGTTTTAGACGCCCAGAACAGCGGTGGTGCAAAACCATTGTGATGTTTCAAACTCCTCGAATCTGACCCTGGTCCCTGCAACCCAACCCCTTACCCTTCACACCCTTGGACACGGCCATGCGGTGCCCAGGGCGATCCTGGAGGCCCTCGGAAACTGATATAAGTCATGTCGTCTCGGGATCTTCAATGTTCTCATTCTCGTTCCGTTCGCATATCCAGTCCACACTCTTCAGTTCGGGTCCCCTCTTTCCTAATTTACCTTTCACTTCCGTTGTACCAGTAATCTTCGGCCCAGGCTAGCCCTGCCTTCGCTATACAGCGCGAGTCGCTTTCGTATATCTCAGTCACTCTCTCCATCGGCGAGCCGGGCTATCGCTTTATCAGTAAACACTTCCAACGTCGTCAAGATGCAGCTTACAACACTCGTCCTCGCCACTCTTACGAGCCTGGCTTCCGGTATGTGACCCCGTATGGTCCGAGCAGGACTAAACGGCTGATGCATCCCAGCCCAGAAGACCTGGGTCGTTGCTGTTGCCAAGAACGGCAGCTTGACCTACTCGCCCGACAAGCTCACGGCTCAACCGGGCGAGCAAATCCAGTTCCAGTTCCACGCCGGCAACCACACCGTCACACAGTCTACCTTTGACCAGCCATGCCAGCCCGTCGGGATGCACAGCAACATTACCGGCTTCCACTCCGGCTTCCTTCCCGCCGCCGCCAGCGCCTCGACGGGCATGATGCCCACATTTACCATCACAATCAACGACACCAAGCCGCTGTGGTTGTATTGTGCCCAGGGCAAGCACTGTGAGAATGGCATGGTGATGGTTATCAACGAGCCGTGAGTTGCCAACCCTTCCTCCTTTGCGATTCACCTAGTTCGGAGACTAACATTCGGCTACAGCACTACAAACGCCAGCCGCACGCTCGAGAAGTACAAGGAGCTCGCTGCGAAGGGGACGACTGTCGTCCCCGGCGCTGAGGGTGCTGGATCAGGCGGCACGACTGGCAGCACTGACGGCTCGACCACGACCGGCGATGCCTCGTCCGCTACCCCAACTACCGCCGGTGCCGGCATGCTCTCTGCTCCGGGCACCATTGCACTCGTCGCTGCTGCTGCTGCTGCCTTCTTCCTCTAACGGAGCAAGGAATGATAGGGTATTCGGCGGTTCGGGTTGGTTTATTCTAGCGGGATATTAATACTGGCGGGTGACGACTGGTTCGGATATACCCTGTGCGGAGATGTCCGGGCGTTCTGTCTTCAAAATCATCACGATTACTGTATATGTGTTATGGCCCCCGGCGTGCGTTACATACTGCATCTGAAAATGAGCGAACGTGTTTTATCTGGCAGCTGCCATCCTTGACCTCCTTTAGCTTGGACGTCATTGATCCAACACAGAATGGAAGCATTGCGCAAAAGACAGGCATCCCGAGACCAACGACCGCAACAAAACACGAAATCTATTCGTTTCCTATCCAAGAAAAACCGGATCTACTTCAATGCCCTTCTTGTCCCGGTACAACCCTCCGCTTCCGCCCCTTAGCCGCAGCCTCGCATAGCGGCCTCCTCGGTTCCGTCCCCGGCCATCCCTCCGGCTTCTTCACATACCCCACAAAATCATACTTGGGATTGTTCCTGAAGAAGTCGACCCAGTGCGCCAGGCCCTCGTGCACCTTCTTCTCCGCCTCGGCCCGCTCCTTCGCCCGCAGCTGCGCCAGCTCCGCGCCGCTCCAGTGCCGGTCCACGGCCGGGTCGTCCAGCGGCAGAAACATCTCCTCGACCCCGCGCATGTCGGGCGTGCGGTCCTCGGCAAAGCAGCCAGTCACGTACGCCCGCGCCGCGTCGCACCCGGCGAAGTAGTGGTAGCTGCCGCCGGGCCCGTAGGTGCGTCGGTTGGCCGAGACGTCGTAGATCGTCCAGTTGATGGCGAGGTAGATCGGTTTGGTCGGGTCCGTGCCGTCGTAGGCGGCTAGTTCGGCCGGGGTAAGGTAGATTGGTCCTCGCTGTGTGGTACACGGCGTTGTCAGTATCAGGGGGGAAGGAGATGAAGCGGAGGGTAAAGAGGGGTGTGTTCCTTACGAATTGCTTCTTCCACCAGTCGGCTTGGAGGTATTTGGGCGGGTTCGACATGCCCCAGAATAAGGTCTCCCCGCCCGAGATGAGGTAGCTTAGTCCGCACGAGGCAAGGAAGAGGAAAGTGAGCACACGGAAGATGTCGAGATAGAGGCTGGTGTAGGCATTGTCGTCGTCGAGGCGGTCTTGAACCGTTCTTTTCCGCGGATTCTTGTGGGCTTTCTCTGTTTCGACATCGCGGTCGATTTCCTCCAGCTTGGCCTTGACCGCATCAGGGTCCAGCTTGCGCCGCCGGGCGGAGGTGTCTGAATCGGCCATCGGGAGCGTCCTGTGGACAGTTCCAAGGTTCGGCAATCCGAACAGCCTTTCAATGTGTTCGAGGGGAATCCAAACAGGCGGGAAAAGGCGAAAATCAGATTACTACTAAGTAAAGGTTACATTTTTCAATGTTGCCAGATCGTTTCGGGCGGCTGAACCGGATATGCGAGGCTGAGTGGGACGAGAATGGCATGTCTTGGACCCTTGTCTTCCGCTGCAGCCACTCCGTCACCGATTGGGTCGCGCGTTCCTGGTTGGGACGCGAGGCTGCTGCCCCACGTGTGGTTCATGGTCGCCCATGGCAACGGCTGCTGGACCCACCAATATCTACCATCACTGATTGGCCGTACGGGATAAACTGGGGCAGTAAATACGCCCACTCCTCAAATTAAACGGCCGCTTGTTGCGGGACAAGATTCATGTTGTCGCACACGATCGCAAACAGGACACGAACACTGCCTGAAGAATTGAGCCAGAAACCGCCACTTCCCTTCTTCGAGCATTGCGCACAAAATAGCATACTTCTCTATTGCTTTATCTCCTCGCAAGCTTGATTTACACATCTTTGCCTTGCACTGCTTCGGCAGCATCCAATTACGCGGATCGCAGCTCGTGATTGCGCGCAAATTTCCCTACGCGATCAGACCAGCTGACAGACAACGAGAAAACACATCGCCGACTCAGCAATTGGATAACGCATGAACTCCCAATAGCTCGTAGAGCTCTATCTGCTCGACCATGTCGCTACCGTCGAGCCCCGCGGGCGGCACTGGCCAGCCCCTCCAACCAGTATCACACAATGCTCAGCGTGAATCTCTACTATTCTCGGCATCACAGCAACTCCGCGAGCACATCAATTTCGGCGAGAGCGGATCGTTGCGCGACAGCTCGGTCCACGAGAAGATCAATCAGTTCAACACCCTCGCTTTGCAGTCTAAGCAGCTCGAACGTAAGACGGCCGATGCCGCTCTTAAGCGTGCCATGCTTGGACGAGAGGAGGCTGAAGCCGAGATGCGCCGATATCGCGACGAAGCGAGGATGCTCAGGAAACAAGTAGAAGACGGGAGAGACAGGGAGAGGAGGGTGGCAGAGAGGTTGGAGGAAGTTCAGGTATGTTGATCTGCCGTTCTTTGTCATGGCACGAGCTGACAATGAACAGGAGAAATACAGGAATGACAGGGAGCAGTTTGAACAAGCGAAGGAAACCCTTAACCACCACAAGCAGGTCTGGGACAAGGAGATCCGCAGGGCCCGTAAAGCGGCATTCAAAGCCGAAAGAGAAGTCGTCAAGAAACAGGAGGAGCTCAAGTCCTGCCAGCTGGCTCAGAAGGTCGCCGAGCAGGAGCTTAGGGCTGAGCAAGAACGGGCCGAGGCACTACAACAGGAGGCTTCCGAGGCGCGACACAGTCTGGTCAGACTGCAGGAGCAGTTAAACCAGGCCCAGGAACGTATCAAGATGCTGGAGAAAGAGCTAGACGCCACCAAGACGTTGGCCAGGAACCAAGAAGAGACCAGGCAATCTGCTTCCATTCCCAATCCCGAAGGCGACGTGGACGACCTGACGACGTCAAGAAAACGTCGGCGGGTATCGTCGATCAGCGAGATATCCATCACCGATCCCGACGTCGAGGAACTCATGATGCTCTTGCAATGGGAGAAGGCGCGCGCCGACCGAGCACTGGAACAGGTCCACTTTCTCGAGACAGAATGCCACCTGAAAGTCTGCCCTGCTGCTAAGGCGCTGCGGAGCAGCCGCTCGAGCAGACGATCTAGCTTACGAAAGCGAGCCAGTCTGTTGGATGCCGGTGACCCGATGATTCTTAGCGAAGATCGCCGGGACTCTGCAGAGCCCGCACAGCCCATGCCCGGGCGGTCCAAGACCAACCGCTTGAGGGTCGAGAAAGAGCCGAGACGCAGCACCATTTTCCTGCCTGCCGAGGGCATCTTCCGGACGGTGTCGCAGGCCGAGGCTGAAGCCATGGGACATCAGTCGGTTGAATCATCGGTCGATACACACACCGGGTCGGGGCCAAGCCTACCGATCACTCCCACTGACGGTGACCCGATGTACCGCCGCACACCGTCCGTCGATCCTCCAGACTTTGCTGTGCTGTCAAAAGAGCGGACATCGTTGCTGTCCTTGCTCAATGCGCCGCACCGGCAAGACCCGGAGCCAGTCTTCAATGTCCCCACAACTTCTGGCCCGGAACCCGAGGTACATCACCTCGAGCACGAGGGGAAGGACGAGCTACCACCAACAGCCCACCACTATGACCTTCTCGCTCCTGAACCGGCCTCCCCGCTCACAGCGCCGCTCAGCGAGCCTTTGCCATCCACTCACACAGATACGACGGTGTCTACCGTGCCCTACGCCCGTCCACACACTACCGCATCCTACTACCAACCAACAACAACCACAGTCACGACCACGAAAGTGCCCCTCCGCGAGGAACCCCACGACGGTCCCACCCTGGCACAGCGCTTGCTCAAGATGCAGCGCACCCCCTCGCGGCAGGCCGGTGACGTCGTCGACCCCGACAAGCCCAGCTTCGACGTAACCGACCCCGCGTTGACGCCAACCATGACGCGGGAGCAAGCCTTGGCGCAGATAAGGGAGCGAAGGGGCCGGGCTCGTAGCGTCGGGCGCGTACAGCTACAGGGCAATACTAGTACTGGTAGTAGCACTGGAAGTGGAGCGGAGGTCCGGAGAAAGGTCAGTGGTACAGGTAGTGCTAGTGGCAGTGCTAATGGCGAGGCACCGCCGCCGAGGAGAAAGGCCAGCGGCGAGCTGGTGGGTGGGCGGAGGATATACGGTGGTAGTGCCGGTGAGGACAAAGATAGAGGCAGGGAGAGGGATCGGCAGGAGGTCAGTGCGCCTAGCACTGGCGGGGCGGCGAAGCGTGCCGTGTCGAACGTCAGGCGCGTGAAGTCTTAGGTGGGATTAATGTTAGGCGGTTTGGACGAGGACTTGGCGGTCGGTGTGGAAGTTGTGTTGGGTTGATGTTGATTCTTGTCTTGGGGAGACTGACTGTCAGGATTAGACATGGTTTTACTGGTTTGCCTTTTCTTTTGTTTATTGCTTATTAGGAGTTTAGAGCCAGGCGGCTATTCTGTCGGGGTACTTTCAGGGTATGGGATTGGTGTACTGGGCCAGAGCATTCATTCATTGGCGTTGGTCCGCATCATCATAAGGCTGGGTTAGCTGCTGGTTTGTTGGGTCGGAAATGGTTGGGGGCTTACGTCTTTTTTGTGTTGAATACCATTAGCACCATGCACTCCCATCACGCCTGGTATTAACTATGGTTAGTTCAAACTCCCGAAACTCACATTGGTTTCGGTTCATGACTAATGTGCCCGGTCTTTTCCGCGGACTCTCTAAAGGGGCTCTTTAAAGTGAGGACTAGGTCGTTAAAACTGTATCTATCATTCAAAAGAATGCAAGTTGAGCAGTCTTTTGAGCAACATTTTCCTTCAGTATCATTGGGCTTGGAGCGAGGAGTCAGGGGAAGCACTCACTCGCGAGGCATTGAGATTCATGCATCTCTACCATAGGCAAGTGAGCAGAAACAGTCGGAACGGTATGGACAGCAGATGCAGGCCTCAAAAGGGATGAGAATAGTGTGCTCATTCATACTACAATCATGACCCCTCTAATAGGTGAGAGCCGTAAAAAAACGCCAAGTACCTTCATATCTTCCAAGTTATGTACTATACCTTAGGACGAAGCTGATCAATCATGAAGAGAAGTGACCAATATGAATCGTTTGGAGTTATACAGCGTTCCAGCCTGAGTGTTATACTTCCCCAGCTACCCAGTACTCTCTGATTGCCTATAGAATGCAATTCTTCGTGACGTTAACCAACTAAATCGATCAACAGCTCGTATTATCAGACCCAAGCGGTATTGCTAATCCTCACAAGTCTTCCCCCCAGTCCTTACAGGTCTCAATCTGTGATTTTCTCCTCGCGTACAAGTCCATTCCAGTTTCCTTCCTCTTCATCATTTGTTCCTGGAACCACTTCCCGACCCGTTGGATAAAAAAGAGCCTTTTACCTTCCCTTGATCTGACTGTCCATTCGCAAAAGCTACGGATTGCCGCCTCCGCTTCGTGCCCATGTTCCTCTCCTCCACTCTCTGCTCCCGGTGCGTCCGGGGAGAGGAAGATCCCGGCGTCGGGATGGCCGTCTGCTCTTCTTCCTCCGCCGCCGCTTTCGTCAGGGATAGCGGCAGACAAAACCCTGCGGCTAGGGTCTCACCGCCGTATGAGAGATTGAGGAACGCCGGCCAGACGGCAGGGCCGTCAGTGATGTCGGCAGCTGTGTCGAAGCGGGGTTGTGCCACTGCAGCCGGCGAGTTATTCGCTTGTCCCGGCGCCGATGCAGCGCCTTTTGTCTGGGACGATGAGGTAGTACCATTCGTCCGCTGGCTTGGCGCCGACGCCGAGGATGAAGAAGGTGGATCGTCGAAAGGTAGCGAGTTCCACCTATATGTCCGTTTGGACTGCCTATTGAACCCGAGTTCGGGCACGACCAAATCCTCGAGGGTCTGGATCGACTCCCACTCCTTGCGTGCCATTGTGCAGAGACGGTGTAAGCCCGTTTGAAACTCCTTTCTCTTGTCTTCGGGCACCAAGGGGGCGAGCAAGTCAAAAACATTCTGGGAGGCGGCCTCGCTGACGGAACCGTCCGGAATCCCGATTTTGTTGCTCGTCTTGAGCAAGACCGCTCTCAGGTGAGATTCCAAATCTGGCTCTTTATTGGCGAGCACCTTCAGAATGTTGTCGATGCCAGGAGAGTCTCTGAGATACGTGGGTTGGAATATGTGCTTGCACAGCACCTGTCCCATGACGGAAAGCACGAGTGCCACCCGCATTCTTTTGGCGAGTTGGGAGTTCGACCGAGGCAGCGGGATGTTTGAATTGTATGCGCTGATCTCGTTCCAGTGAGTCTGGTCTGCGAGGATGTCGCCTGGTAGGTTGACTCCGAAGTACGTGTCTGCCAGGCTACGGGCCGCATTGAATATGGCATTGAGTGCATTCCTTCTTTCCACAGAGCTTTGTCAGTCTTCAGTTCTGAGACGAAAATGGACGTTACTACTACTAAGGGGGATGCCCGCAAAGGTAAAAGGACGGCAACTCACATATCGTGCTCGTTCCCTTCCACGGACTTCAGCGCAACGGTGAAGTCACCAAGTCTCTGCAGCTCCTCTTCCTTCTCCCTCACTTCCGCCTCAATGCCTTGTCGCTCCTCCTCGAATTTGGACTTTAGTATCCCCTGCTCTTTCTCACTCGCCGCTAGCTTGTCTTTCGCGGTCGTCAGCTGCGTGGCCAGTGTTTCCCTCTCCTTGAGAACAGCGTTCAGCCGGTTGCTGGTTTCATTCAGCCGGGTTCGTGCCTCATCGACACATCCCTGAAGGCTGGATATCTGGTTGGCTAAACTGGAAGAGAGGTTCGCATTCTCTTTTCTGAGCTTGGCATTCTGGTCGGCGATGTCGATGAATGATTTGACGGAGGGATTGGCTGATAGATTCCGGAGCAGCGCCTCGACAGTAGCTGCATGTGTGTTAATGTCCTTGGAAGACATGTTTGGTTTAGGGATCAAATAGAGCGATTGAATGCGTGCCTGAGAGTTCCGGCGTTTGGGGTGAAAGCCTGCTTAAACTTTGACCTGGGAAGGACAAGCTGCTGGCCCCCTTTTACAGTTCACTTCTCTCCGTCTGCCCCCTCCCCCCATCATGGAAGCCAGCCTATCCGCCTCTCGCGATATCATATCCAACAACGGCTTTGTGTTTCAGCGGCCGAGGCAGAAGCCCGGCGGACCGTTGCCGTCAACCAGTCATCGACGGGTATTACCTGCACTCGGCCTCAATGCAGTGATTGGATGGGGGGACCATGATATCATTGGAGTCGGGGACTGCAATTAATCACTTGCAGCCCTCGAGGCTCTCAGCCCAGACGGTCTACCGATTTCTGTGACTTGCCAGTAGCATGCGCGGGCCATCCTCCATCTCAATGCAACAACAGCTTCAACATGGTGCTCCTGCCAATCAGACCATGCAACGTTTGCACCGACGGCCGGTCCCGCGCAGCGGGGGTCAAACAGCAGTATCGCATATGGGCAAGCTGCGGCCTTCCGTTGACAACCTAGTAGACTAATATACAGCGTACTAGGCTGCAGCATCTAGGCGTATCAACAAGAGCTGCCATATCCTGGTGCCACTGAGAAATGAAATCTGGTGGACGTTCCGTACCCATGTAGTAGACCGAGCCCGGTCGCCTGCTGTGCGACTGCAGTAACGATGGCTATCTGCTCCCGTCTTTGCTGTCATCGCTGATGGTGCCATGGACCATGGTGGTGTAGGACTGTAGGTTCGAATTTCGGCCGTCGTGATCGAACCTCTAATTGTAGGCTTGCGATATTGATCAAAGCAAACACTTCAAGCGCGGTTAGTTCAGTGGTTAGAATTCTCGCTTCCCATCTCATCTTGGAATAGCGAGGGACCCGAGTTCGAATCTCGGATCGCGCAAATTCATGTCCTGATTTTTGCTGTTTTGGCGCTTCTAAGTTCAGATGACGAAGCGGGCTCTTCTGCATCGACTGCCGGTGGCTGAAGACGGAACCGGGCAAGTGAATGCAGGCAGGTTTGGTGGAGGAGCCCTGGGCAGTCAAATACCTTATCTAGGAATATGATCACTGAGGCTAACCTGTAGCGAAGCCCCGCCCCATGATCCCCCATTTTGTTAGCAGCGGACTCTTCACAGTGCCTCTTGTTGTGTGGAGGGAAGTGAAGATGTGGTCCGAGCGCCCCGTATGACACCTCAACGACCGAGATGCTGTGGAGCCACTGGTCGCGACTCCCCTGCACAGTTGCGGCAGCTGCTTCTGGTGCTTCACTCCCCTGGTTGAACTTCCATGACAAAGTGCATTTTCACAGGATTGACTTGAACTGTGACCCAAAGCATACGGAATATACTTGGTCCAGCTCATTCTGTGATCTTTGGCGTTGAGGCTGCTCACACAACATGGACAACTCGGACAACAATCTTAGGGAGCGCTCAGCAACCAGTACTAGCCTTGACACCGTCGATCTAGACTCAACGAAGTCTTCCCACCACATTCCAAAGATCCTTCCGCATGAACGCGTCTTCCCAATCCAGATCGGCTCAGAGTTATTCAAGCTGTCTGGCGCATCGATATCATCTGATGGTGTGTTGTTTTCTCAGTTGCCCGTTTGCGCGCTTGCTGTCTTAGAACCTCCAATGATCAATGCTCGTCACAGGGATAGATACCTAGTACTAGACTGACTCGCATAGCACCCTCATACTTCTCCCAATACTTCAGGTGTCAGATCAAACGGGCGGAGGAAGCCGGCCAGGACCTCGGCTCGGCCATCCGCACCCTTTATATTGACCGTGACCCAGTCACCTTTAGAGACATCTCGCTGCATCTCCAGGGGTACCATGTCCAACCGCGCGACTCAACGCACTTTGTGCGCCTATTTGCTGATGCCCAGTTTTACCACCGTAAGACTTAACTGGCCTATTTCTCACCTACTTGAGCAGATGCTTTCCCTTCCCATGCTAATACCCTAACTCACCATGTTTTTTCTCGACTTGCCCTCGTGTCTAACTGTGCCGCCTCACTGCAGTCCCCAAGTTGATCTCCCAACTCTACGAAGACTCCATCTTCACCACCGTCGGGGGCCGCCAGTTCTACGTGCCACGCAACCTGTTCACCGACCCGGGTAATTCGCCGAACTTCTTCACCCTCGGCTTCGCCATCCTCTTCTCCAACCCAGACGATCTCTTCCCGGGGCTCGACCGTGAAGGGCTCCTCCGCCCCCCGTCCATCCAGCCCCCCTCTATTCCGGGCCGCAGTGCCGAGATCTTTGCCGAGCTGCTGCATCTGCTGAAAGGCTATCCAGTCAATATCCGGAGTGAGGCACACCGTGCCGAGCTCCTCCGTGACTGTCGCTATTTCAACTTCAAGGGCCTCGAGCAGAAGCTCATCCCCCACGCAATATCGTTCAACCTCGCTCGGGGCAAGGACGAGATCGTGTTGAGGCTGAAGGATGTCCTTAAGAGCGGCATCAGTGTGGCCAGCGAGCCTACGTCTGCGGATCCCTTCGCCAGCTGGGTGCGTTACGCGAGGCCATATGTGGATGAGAGGTCGTATGAGCTTGTGTTGGAGATTGGAGAAGAGACCACACGACTGCGTTTTCCGTCTAGCCCTGACGTGGCTGCAAATGCGCGGACGGTGAACGCCAGAGCAGAGTTCCTCGGGGAGACGCGCTCGCGCATGGCCAAGCTGTTGGAAATCGTTGCGACCAGGCTCAACCTGCCGCCTACGACACAGCCGATCTCGGGGTTTGCCCTGACGCACGGCGAGGTGACCAATGCCCCGCCTACCATTGGGAATACGCCCGTCAGCGAAGATTGGGTCAAGGTGGTCCTGGATCCGGATGCGAGTGTCGTACTAGACGGGAAGCTCTGGAACCCGGCGTCCGAGGAAGCCGATTTGCCATTTGGGGCCACTGCCTCCATGGAAGGCATGGAGCTGGCGCCGAGGAAGAGAAAGAGGGTGGATGAACAGGGCGGTGAGCCGGAAGAGTGGGTTGTCAGGACCGGGCAGTGGCGTGTGAGGATTCAGGGGGCGAAGAACGGCAAAGCGGCGGTGGAGTGTTGTATGGTGGCTGTCAAACTGGATGCCTTCACTTCGGAGCGGGCGAGAAATGCACAGAGGCCGTTCCTGGGGTAGTTGAGGAACTCATTTGCCACGGCATTGGGCCTAACAATCTGTACGTGAGTATTATTGATGGAAATCCTGGTCGATGGCTGGTTTGGTCGACAAGTTTCAATTAACATGGTTTGGTCGACGAGAGGAAGAAATCGTGCCAGAGGGTACCAAAGGTACGTAACTATCTCGTCAATGTCAGGAACATACGGTATCTTGCCTTGACACATTCGTCCACGCACCTTCGTCACTACCTGGGTATGCTAGTTTATATCAACAGTACTAAAAAGGCATCTTCATTACAGTCCGTGGCTGCTCGTCGTTGACATTTTGTGGCGTCTACCTAGTTATGCAGGAGAGCAGGCCATCCCACTCAGTAACTGATGGGGTTCAAAATTAAGATTGACAAATCATCCGCGGCCAAGTCGGGAGCCCCTTTTGCTTTTCCTCATCCGGTTAACTTACTGGCCATTGTCCCTGAGCACGGTTCTGTGGCGCAGATAATTTCTTTCTGAAAATCCAGTCCTCACGACGTCTAAGCTCAAGAGCGGGAACGTTATTCCTGCCAATTCTCACATGACAAGGCACGACGAGGTGTGGTTGAGCTCTCGTGAACAGGGAAACAGGGGAGAGTATTTGCGCACGGACCAGACCCTTGATGCCGGCGCGACGGCTGATAAAGCGCGGTGGAGCACTTGCCCGAATCGGCAGCACTACTGTCAACAATCAAATTTCCCCACCACCTGCACCCAAGCGAACCTTCAGGCTTCCCGTTACCACAGGAAACCTCAATTTTCCACTCTCCGCAAGTTGTCTTTGGGCCTCCAGTCGCCTTCTTGATCTGTTCGCACCGTCGTTTAGCAACTTGCACGCATATTTGATACTCTCACCAAGATGCGCGAAATCATCAGCTTGAACGGTACGTTGAGAGCAAACACAGCCAAAATTTCCTCCCGCATGACGCGTCCCTGGCCTCACCGCATCCTGCCGAGGCCGGGCATCATAACGCAGACATGCAACTCGGCACCCGGCTTCGTTGCTCTTTGATAACCTGCTGACACTCAGTCGTTTACAGTTGGGCAGGCCGGTTGCCAAATTGCCAACTCGTGCTGGGAGGTATGCTTGTATCCTATGGCGTCCAGACGTGGCTGCCGTGCGCTCGCGACTCGACACAGTCGCTGCTGGTGTCGGTGATACTGACCTACTCTAGCTTTACTGCCTCGAGCATGGCATTCAGGTACGGTCTATACCCGCTCCATTGCCCTCACTTGCCTTCTTTTCAAGCACTGTTTACTAACCGCTGCTTCAGCCCGATGGCTTCCTCACTGAGGAGCGCAAGCAAGCCGACCCTGACCACGGCTTCAGCACTTTCTTCTCCGAGACAGGTATGGTGAAGCAGGCGGCTTATTGGATTTGAATGCCAGTTACTGATGCTCTCCACAGGCAACGGCAAGTACGTGCCGCGGACCATCTACTGCGATCTCGAGCCCAATGTCGTCGACGAGGTCCGCACCGGCGCCTACCGCGGCCTTTTCCACCCCGAACACATGATTACCGGCAAGGAGGATGCGTCCAACAACTATGCCCGTGGCCACTACACGGTCGGCAAGGAGCTGATCGACCAGGTCCTTGACAAGGTTCGCCGCGTCGCCGACAACTGCAGCGGTCTTCAGGGTTTCCTCGTGTTCCACTCCTTTGGCGGCGGTACTGGTTCCGGCTTTGGCGCTCTGCTCATGGAACGCCTCTCGGTTGACTACGGCAAGAAGAGCAAGCTCGAGTTCTGTGTCTACCCGGCTCCCCAGACCGCCACCTCGGTCGTCGAGCCGTACAACTCGATCCTGACGACTCACACCACCCTTGAGCACGCCGACTGCTCCTTCATGGTCGACAACGAGGCTATCTACGACATCTGCCGCCGCAACCTTGGCCTTGAGCGCCCCAACTACGAGAACCTTAACCGCCTGATTGCTCAGGGTAAGGCTTTGACGAGATTGCTCATGTGTCGTGGTATGACGCTGACGCGCTTTTAGTCGTTTCCTCCATTACCGCTTCTCTCCGCTTCGACGGCTCGCTCAATGTCGATCTTAATGAGTTCCAGACCAACCTGGTCCCGTATCCGCGTATCCACTTCCCGCTCGTTGCTTACGCCCCGGTCATCTCGGCCGCCAAGGCCGCCCATGAGGCGAACTCGGTTCAGGAAATGACCATGTCCTGCTTCGAGCCCAACAACCAGATGGTCAAGTGCGACCCCCGTCACGGCAAGTACATGGCCACCTGCCTGCTGTACCGCGGTGATGTCGTTCCCAACGATGCCCACGCCGCTGTGGCCACCCTCAAGACGAAGCGGACCATTCAGTTCGTCGACTGGTGCCCGACTGGCTTCAAGCTCGGTATCTGCTACCAGCCTCCCCACCAGGTGCCCAACGGCGACCTGGCCAAGGTCAACCGCGCTGTGTAAGTTTCCGTCCTCCTGTCTGAACCTGGTTCGTCGCTAATGCCATGGTTAGCTGCATGCTCTCCAACACCACCGCAATCGCTGAGGCTTGGTCGGCGCTGTCATCCAAGTTCGATCTCATGTACTCGAAGCGCGCCTTCGTACACTGGTATGTTGGTGAGGGTATGGAGGAAGGCGAGTTCTCCGAGGCACGTGAGGATCTTGCCGCTCTGGAGCGTGATTATGAGGAGGTTGCGGCCGACTCTATGGAGGGCGAGGAGGTCGAAGCCGAGTATTAGGCTGGCTGTGTCATAACTTGGTGACACCTTTAATGGGCTGGTTCATTGGGGGACGTTCGGACCACACCAAGCCTTTCACTTGGCCTTTGGACCTTGCGATATCTGTTGGCAATGGCCCTCTACGATATGGGTATTCTTGGCAAGCGTGGGCCCATGTTGAGCTTCTCTGTTAGACGGAAAGTGTAGTCATTTTAATCAACAGCAAGCAGCCAAAGAATGTTGCTGCCTTTTTCATCATCCATTACTACTGCTAGTAGTTACTAGTACCCCACGGTCCACGTTTCGCCGATCAAGCTGTTGCTGTGTTCGAGACCCGAGGTGCCGAGCTTGTGAGCCGCTCTAGAACCTATCGGCTGAGGAGCTTATACAATTCGTGAAAGCGAATATCGGGAGGTGCCAATTACCTAGCTTTCTATGGTGTTGCCTCGCCCATCTCTGCAGTCTCTCTGCACTCGCAGTTGGCTGCATGCCTGCAGCTCTCGTGCGACTGTCTTGGTTGGGCCTTAGCCATCCAATCAGAGCACTCCGCCGCGCCAAGTGACCTCCGCGAACCCACATGCGGCCTCTCCCGAGAGCTGTTTGGTTCTTCCGTCGTCGCCCAAGGGAGCTAGGAGTCGCAATCCCAGCCTCAGGACTGTTCGCCAGACGAGCGCCGTTCGATTCCCACAACCCCCACCCCGTCCTCGACTTGGATGCGCAGGCGTTCGCTCGCTCGCATAACTGTTTTCTCTTTGAGGGTCCGCATCCGGTATCGATAGCACCGTCCTCGCCAAAGTTGGGAAATCAACTTCTACGACTTTTCAGGCTGTGTACGCTACGTCAACGGCGGTTGATGGTCCAGGGGTCTCCGAGGCGATCCATTATCGAGCTACTGTTTAGCTGAGCAGAGTGTGCAACGTGCGCTCGCAATGGCTTCTGAAGCGTCGGCCGATGCGGGTAAGCTTCTATCATCTTTTTTCTTGTCTGGTGTTCTGGGCTCCCATTGCTCGGCCTTTGCGACAGAGACTCTTGGGCGGCAGCTAACGCGGATGATATACTTCAGGGGCGCCCAACCTCAATCTCACCCCCGAGGAGAAGCGAGTATACGGACAGTTGTTTCGCTTAGCCGATTCCGAAAATGTCGGTGTCGTGACGGGCGAGGTGGCTGTCAAGTTCTTCGAGAAGACGAGATTAGACTCGAGGGTTCTCGGAGAGGTCAGTTTAGCGAACCCACCCGGAGGACAGACATCGGCTTGACACCAGCTCCGGAGCGAATAATGCTGACGAAGGATGATTGGGCATACAGATATGGCAGATTGCGGACAAGGAGAACCGTGGCTTCCTCACGCCTGCCGGCTTCGGTATCGTCCTGCGACTTATTGGGCATGCGCAGGCCGGCCGCGAGCCGACGCCCGAACTGGCTCTCCAACAAGGCCCGCTTCCCAGGTTCGACGGTTTCACACCAGCTCCCGCGCCGCCTCCTCCGCCTCCCGCGCTGCAGGCCCAAGGAACCGGTGCTCCCGGCCCGATCCGGATTCCCCCCCTAACGCCGGAAAAGGTGGCACAGTACGTTAGTCTTTTCGAGCGGCAACCTCTTCAGAATGGCAATATGCTGGCAGGAGAGGCTGCCAAGCAGATATTTGAAAAGTCAGGTCTTCCGAACGAGGTCCTGGGCCGGATCTGGATGCTTGCCGATACGGAGCAGCGCGGAGCGCTGGTGCAGACTGAATTCGTCATTGCCATGCACCTACTCACTTCTATGAAGACTGGGGCGTTGCGTGGCCTGCCCAACATTCTCCCTGCTGCTCTCTACGAGGCTGCGACGCGCCGCGCCCCCGCTCCGGCCAGCATTCCCAGACAGCAGTCTCCGACAGCAGTTACGCCGCCCATCTCGGCTGTGCCGAGACAGCTTACTGGAGGGCCACTGCCGCAAATGCGGACGGGTAGCCCATTGGGTCGTCCCCCTACAGTGGCACAGACAACCGGAGAGTGGCTGATCACTCCGGCAGACAAGGCGAGATTCGACCAGCTGTATGACGAACTGGACAAGACCAAAAAGGGCTTTATTACCGGAGAGGAGGCGGTGCCCTTTTTCAGCCAATCCAACCTGTCGGAAGATGTCCTTGCCCAAATCTGGGACCTCGCAGACATAAGGTCGGAGGGCCGCCTCACAAGGGATGAATTCGCTGTTGCCATGTACCTTATAAGACAACAGAGGACCAAAACTGGGCCAGCCGTGCTTCCTGCCACGCTGCCCCCTAATCTTGTCCCTCCAAGCATGCGGGCCCAGCCGGTTCGCCCCCAGACGGCCACTGCGGCGTTCGAGCCTCCACCGCGTCCGCAACCACAACCGAGGCCTTCTGCCCTCGATGACCTGTTCGGTTTGGATGACCCTCACCCGCCAGCACAGACTCAGGTCCCTATTGCTACAGGTGGGTCCGCTGGCGGTGACCCTTTCGCCAGCAGTATCAGCCCCCCTGCTCCATCTTCGCCTGCTCGACCTTCTCCTTCCGCCTCGACCTTCAAGCCTTTCGTTCCCTCTTCATCCTTTGGGCGCGGCCTTACCGCGCAAGCCACCGGAGGTTCGAATACCTCGGCCACAGCCAAGCCTGCTGCAGTGGACGATGACCTTCTGGGTGATACTGAGCCGGAAGTGAGCAAGAACCTGAATAGCGAGACTACTGAGCTTGCCAACCTGTCAAACCAGATCGGGTCCCTCACCAAGCAGGTGCAGGACGTGCAGGCGCAGCGCACAGCCACTCAAAATGAGTTGACTCAGTCCACTATCCAGAAGAAGAACTTTGAGCAGCGTCTTACCCAGCTTCGTGCTATGTACGAGAAGGAAGCACAGGACGTCCGTTCCCTAGAGACTCAGCTCACTACTTCAAAGAACGAGACGAAGAAGCTGCAGGCCGAGTTTGCCATGATCGATGCTAGCTACCAAGAGCTGCAGAACCAGCATCGTCAGATCGTGACTGCGCTGCAGGCGGACCAGCAGGAGAATGTCAACCTTAAGGAGAAGATTCGCGTGGTGAACGCTGAGATTGCCCAGCTAAAGCCTCAGATTGAGAAGCTGAAATCTGAGGCGCGGCAGCAGAAGGGGCTCGTTGCAATCAACAAGAAGCAGCTTGCGACTAACGAGGCCGAACGGGACAAGCTGAGGAGCGAAGCCGAGGATCTCGCTAAGAGCAACGAGGAGTTGAGCCGTCAGATTAGCTCCAGCGGCTCGTCGGCGCCAGGACAAGTCGCGAGTCCCGCACCTTCGACCGCGAGTGCCAATAATCCCTTCTTTAGGCGGACGGGAAGCACTGACATCGGCAACGCGTTTTCGCCTCCAATGAGAGCGTTTAGCGACAAGGCGTTCGACGACGTGTTTGGACCCGGCCCTGGCAGCCAGGCTGGCACGCCACCTCCTGCGGCGGCCGCTGTTTTCAAGCACAACACTGGCGCCTCGACCGGCAGCGTCGGCTCCTTCGCTACGCCTGTCTCGACTAGCCCCAACGCCAGCCGCCAGCCCACTGTTGCATCCGAGCCGACGGCACTCGCGGAGGCGGGGCGCGCCAACTCAGGCTTCCCGCCCTTTGTTGACGCTGCAGAGTCCTTGACGCCGTCTCGTCAGGTCTCGCCCGCGCTGAGCCGGACCGAAACGAACCAGGATGCGCATTCATCCGTGGCTTCTCCTATGGAGCCGGCGCAGACTGGACAGAGTCTTGCTTCAGGCTCCGGGTCTGAGGCGGCAAGGGCTGCCTCTCCCGTCTCGGAGGCTAAAACTGCCAACAATACCTTCGGCTCGATCTCGGAAGAGTCAAACAAGGGTGTCGCGGTGAGCAACGGATCGGATCCGTTTGCGGTCGACCAGGAGAAGGCCAAGGAGGACTTCGAGTCGGCGTTTGCCAGCTTCAAGCAGGCCCGGGCTGCGACAGGCTCAAGCGCCGATACGGCCAAAGCCTTCTCGAGCTTCAACACGGAATTTCCCCCCATCTCCGAGCTGGAGCGCGACGATGACTCTGAAACGGAGAGTGACCGGGGTGGCTTTGACGATGACTTTGCTCCTGCCTCGCCTCCTCCAAGGCCGGCGGACAAGGCTGAGTCAAGGTCCGCGTCCCCTACGGTGTCAAAGACCAAGCCCGACATGGATGTCTCTGCGGCTTCAACTGCAACCCCTGAGCCTGCCACGAGGTATGAGTGATATTTTTTTGTTGTTGTCATGTATATGCTAGGAACTAACCCCAGCGCAGCGATAAGCCCGTTCCAACTGCCTCCTCCTCTACCAACCTTAACAACCTCAGCAGCTCCAACGTAGACGACATCTTCGGCTCGGCTGCTGGTGGCCAACAGCAGCCTGCTGCCGCAGCTAGCTCAGCTAGCCGGCCGGCGACCGCGGCCACTGCTTCCAAAGGCGCCTTTGACGACCTCGACGACGACTTCGAAGGACTCGAAGACGCCAAGGAAGGCTCTGCAGACGACGACTTTGCAAACATCTCCCGGTCCGGCCTGGACGACTTCAACCCCGTTTTCGACAGCAGCCCGCCGCCGAGCCAGCCGAAGAGCGACTCGGCCCATACTGGCGTTGCCTTCGGCATCGAGAGCAGCTTTGACTTTGCGTCCTTGTCGACCACCTCCGCAGCGGGCAGCACCGCCGGACCGGCTTCTACTTCCACTGCCGGTGCTAGTGCTGGACAGCAACCAGGCAACGCGAAGTCTTCCTCATCGCAGGCGGCGGAGTCGCATGACTGGGACGCGCTATTTGCGGGACTGGACTCCGCTACCCCGACGGCATCGTCTCACACATTGGCTAGTGGCGTCGAGACCGGTGATGGCAATGGCAATGGCAGTGCCCAGGAACAACAAGCCGCCAGACCGGGTGCGCCTGGCAGGGCGCTCACCGAGGAGGGGGAGCACGACGACCCGATTCTGAAGAATCTGACTGGCATGGGCTACCCGAGGAAGGACGCATTGGCGGCGCTGGAGAAATACGACTACAACTTGGAGAGGGTAAGCATTACTGAACTCGCCAACCGTGGGATGCGGAAGTAGAGGATGGGGGTTTAGGCCTTTTTTCCCCCTCAATCCTATGTTGGACGAAATGGCTGACTTATGGTTTCTTCCCTTTCTCTGCAGGCGGCGAATTATCTGGCAAGTCAGTCTTAGGCGGCGTGATCAAGGCAGGCACGGGGGTGCCACCCTGATTACTCTCTCGGAGTTAGCCATGCAACGATGGTTGGACGGGGCTCGGCGAGCACTGCTCGCTGAGCAGCGGTGGAGAGGATGAGTGAGTGGTTGTGGTGATGATTGATACCTGTGTTTTTCTTCTTCTCCTTTCCCCCCTTTTACTCCCAGCCTATCTCTTTCGTACTCTCTCCTTTTCCTTTGTCTGTTTCTAGCTCTGGACTATTTTCGGTTCCCTTCTGTACGTTCTGTTGCATTCCGGGATGGGGTTTGGGAGTATGTTATGTTGTTGATCCCTTTCTCCTGCCCAGCCGCTCATTCGCTAAATCTTAATCCCCTCTTCTAAATTTCCCACCACCTTCTTCTAGAGGCGAGAAGGCACGTCAAACTGTGTCTAACGACAGCGATCTGTATTGTACATACATACATACATACACCACAGTTGTAGGAGGTGTTAGTAGTACTCCATAAATCTCCGGCAGCGTTATAAACTCCTCAAGTAACCCCGACAAAGATCTTCATATCTAATCCACAATCCGGATCATCAAATAGCAACTGAGAACCACTATGATCAAACCGTCAAAGCAGTCCGCCCAGTAGCGCCGTATAATTTGCGAAAATCCGTCGAGCTGCTAGCCCCTGACCATAAGAAACCTTTCAAACTTGCCTCCCTGACATTTTTTCCTCCTCATCTGCCTCCATTTCTAACCCTTTCAATGGTATGAACCCCAACATGGCACCGGCAATGCTCCATTCATTGTCTGTTGACGACGTAGCTACAGTTACAGGTCACTTTTACAGGTCCAAGCGAATTCATGGGCATACAGGAATTGTCTTGTATTCGGTCCGGGACGGTTGAGCTTTCAAGTCATTACGCAGCCGCTTATGTACTTAACACGTACTGTACAATACCATACAATGCATTTACGTGTACAATACCGTCCAGTATATAACCGTACGTATTAAACTTGTATCATGACCTTTGTAGCCCCGCGCTGAGGCGGAATTTTTAGGGGATTTGCCCCTCCATATCCCAGATCATCTTATCGTTCTCCCGCCCATCAACAACAGCCCTTTGTCAGACGTTTTTTATTTGGCGGCAGAGCCTATCCGCATTTGTGATTTTTTCGACTGGCAGTTCTGACGAAGAAGACCCAAGAGAATCTGACGAGCATGGCCGACGACGAGGAGATTTCCATCTACGACGAGGTCGAGATCGAGGACATGACCTACGACGAGACGCTGCAGATCTACCACTACCCGTGCCCGTGCGGCGACCGTTTCGAGATCGCGCTGTGTGACCTGCAGGACGGCCAGGATATCGGTGTCTGCCCGAGTTGCAGTCTGATGATCAGGGTCATTTTTGATGCGGTAGGTCTAGTGATGTGATGGGGGAAGAGGACCGACCTATGGCCACGCTGGAGAAGAAGAATGTTTTGGGGAGGTATGGATTGCTGACAGGTGCCTGTGCTATATAGGATAACCTCCCGAAGCCACCGGTGCAGGAGACGGAGAGCGCGCAGGTTGTCGTTGCTGCTTAAAGGGGCAGATGGGGACGAAAAGGAGCACCTCGACCGCGCCGGGTCACAATGACCAAGCATCGAGAGAGAGTGCCGTCTCCCAGTCAACGCGACCCATCAAATCTTCGATCGACCGACCTTTCGTGCGACGGAACAGCTCACGGGGAATAGCCGATGCGGCAAGCCGTCTCTCACCCTCCAACTTCACGACCTCAAGCAGTCCATCGGAACTGGTCCGATGATTTGGCAAGAGTCAGGGGGCGCAGCTTATGCTCTCAATTCCGTCAGGTGACGGAGGGATCCCACACTTGCTTTGCATGCACCGCGATCAACAACCTAAATACAGTCCATAAAACATTACGGCATCCTTCACTTGAGTCCACCCTACAAGCGCCATCTGTCCACAGACAACGCCTCGACTCAAAAGTACTAGTACAGACCCCTGAACCTCCACCAACTTCATTTGGAGGACGATACTCCTCACAGCAGCGCAGCGCAGAGCGCGCCAACGACCACCAAGCCCGCAACCGGACCGTGCACGATGGCGGCCCCAGTCGGGATGGCAGTTTCGGTGGCAGTGCCGCCGGCGACCGTGGTGGTTGCTATGTGTTTTGCGTTGATCATCGTCAACCTTCGATCTTTCTTTTTCCCATTTCCTCCTAGCATGGGATTTTGGGGGAGGAACGAGGAGCAATCACAAAAAACAACGTGGATGGGAGGATAGCCAGCAGCTTAGAAAGGATCCCAAGAAAAACGGCATATCAAGAAGTGGCAAAGAGTGGAGACATACCCGGCGAAGGACTAGTCGACGATGGGGTTACGGTGGTGGTTGTGGTTGGCGACGTCGTAGGCACGCCCTCTGTAATGGTCCTGGTGGTCTGCGCCGTTGCCAGGCCGGCCAGGGCAAGGACGAGCACCGGGCGCATCTTGTTGCTGTGGTTTAATAAGGGGTGTTAGTGTGTGGGGGAGAGAGGATCGGTTAGGTAGTCTCAGAATTGCTGCGCTTGCAAATTGAGGAATCGTTGGACGGTGCAGGAGGAGAGACGGAGATTCTGGGGGAGGAAAAGATCGAAATGCTCTGGGTAGGCGACTGACTGCCTTAAGGCCTCTACCACAAAGAGCTTATCCCCCTTTCGGATTTCTCTCGGCCTGAAAAGCATCGTATCATCATGGGGATCTGTCTTCCCCGCAGCTGAGCTGTGGCAGGCAGATCGTGTGAGCTCATCGTGGTGTAATACGCGTAAGCCTCTCACTGATCGATCGCGGTCTAGTGCTGGTCTGACTCGTGCTTCCACAGCTCTGCCAAGTTTTCTAGACCCGGTCGAAACATCACTAACAAATCATGCTTTGGCTTCTGAAGCAAGTCTATTGCATTCGGCGCTCTGCTTCCCTTGTCTCGCTAGGAGTCTAGAATCACAAGCCGGGACACGGCAAATCCTCCAACCTAAACGTTCTCGAAGAAGAAGCTCGGCTGCCCGGGTAGCGCAGACTCGGCAACGGGTGTCTTGACGTCAACCTCCTCGCCGTTACCCGTCAGATCTTTGCCTGTCTTGCTGCCCTCCAAAACGGCGAGGATCTGAACGCTCTCCAGGCCGGCGGTGCGCTTCAGGCCGGGGACCATTGCCTGTATAACAAGTTAGTGCCTTGGTCTAGAGGAATGAATCTAAACGAATACATACCAAAAGCGTCTTCTTCTCGTCAAATGCCAATTTCCGCTCGAGCACCACCTCAGCGGGTTCACCGTCCCTCAGCCGCTTCTTGAGGGCCTGGACAAACGGCATCGCCTTCTTCATCTCGCCCATCTTGCCGATCCTTCCATTGAGCTCCTTGTCATCGATCTTCTGGCTGTTGGTAGCCGGATCCCAGACTTCCTTAAGCAGCTCAATGTACTTTGCTTGCCATGAAGGGAAGGACTCGGTCATGAAGATAGTCAGCTTCTTGGGCTTCTTCGGGTCAAAGTCGCTCTGCCGGCCCTTGGCCATCTTCTTGAGCTGCGCACCCTCGGCAGAGTGGATATTGGACGACGTCTGCTTGACGTATTCGCGGGCCGCGCTGAGGGCTGGGTTGGCAGGCGGGACTTCGGGCCAGGTTGCGAACTGAATCGACTTCTTCTCGCCCAGGACCTCGAGCCAGATGTACTCGGGCCAGTGAGGGGCGATTGGAGTGAGGACGAGTGCCTGGATATTGTTAGGATGATGAGGTGGTCAGGTGGAAAGGGGCGTGAGCAACATACCTGAAGTCTAATGTACTTGAAGACAAGATCCTTGTGGAGCGGGATTCCGGCAGCACTGCATGCTTCTCTGTACGTATCCCGGGCGTTCAAGAAATCGTAGTGAGCCGCCTTGAGGGCGAGCTTGTATGACGTCTCCTCGTATTGCTTCCTGGCTTCGTGCACCAGGGCGTTCATCTCGTTGTCGAATAGAGCGTCCTGGAAGTCGTTGAGAGGGCCGGTTCTAAGCTTGTCGTCCTTGACGATCTCCTCAATCCACTCCTTATTCGTGTAGAACCGCAGAATGGTGTTATCCGCCACATCTTCGACGAAGTTGGAATCCGCGATTCCATCACCGGCATCGGCGAGGGCCACACGAGCGGCATCGGCACCGTATTTCCTCACAATATCGTCTAGGGTCATGAAGTTGCCGGTGGATTTACTCATCTTCTCGCCGTTCAGCTGAAGATGGCCGTTGGCACGGACGGAGCGAGGCCAGTATTCGCGTGGGAAGAGAGCGATATGATTGTACAACCAGAAGGTAAGGTGGTTCGGAATCAGATCCTTGCCGCTGACTCGGATATCAAGCGGGTAGAAATACTCGAAGTCCCTTCTCATTCCCTGCAGGGTCTCCTTGGGGATCCCGGACTTGGAGACGAGCTCGTCCGACCACTGTGTCCGGCAGAAGATATAGTCCCAGACTTCGTCGATCATCTGTTCAGGAGCAACATCGCCCTTGCCCTTCTGGCGACCAAAGAGATCCGTGTGCAGCCACGGAACGATGGTATAATACGCCATGTAGATGGTCGAATCGCTCAGACTCTCCACAAGGGAGCTGTGATCCCAAGGAAGCTTGGAGCCTAGGCCGTATGTTCGTGCGCAGGCCCATTGTCTGAGCCAGTTGAGAACACCCTTGAACTGGTGTTGGGTGTCAGGAGAGTAGGTCTCGAGGCCCTTGCCATCCTTGTTCTCGACGTAGTCATAGGCGATGTGGCGCCAATTGTCCTCGCCGTAATCCAAGTACCATTGATCAAGAAGAGCGACAATGCTGGAGAATGGGGTTAGCTTGGACCGAGGCGACGGGAAGCTTGATGTGATCTCACCATTCATCACCAGACCTCGACACCACCTTGTTTTCAGGCTCGGCGTAGGCAAACGCCTCGCCACTCTTGATGAGCTGCTCCCTGACCTTGGGCTTCGCAACCTCGACCTTTTCACCTTTGAGGTCCCCAACCAACATGACACCCTGGTAGAACCCTTCCTTGTAGGCAAGCTCCTTCGCCTCCTGTAGCTTCTGGGTATCCTTGGGCGATTGGATCTTCAGCTTCTTGACCAGGTGGGGAGCCAGCCGGTCCGATGTGGGCGTCTGGATAATGGGGAAGATCTCCAATTTGGCCCACTCTTCCTTGATACGGTCCCTAGGCTCCCCATCGCTCCCCATCCTTTTGTAGAAATCGGCGGCGAGGTCATTCAGCAACTTGTTGTAGTAACCGGTCTTCCTGCCGAGGTCGTCCATCATAATGTAATCGTCTAATCCGGTGGTTAGCGCACTGAACATTGTTAGGTTGCAATTTGCGATCACTGACCTGGAGAGTCTGAGGGAACGGATGTCACAACGCCAGTGCCCTTGGTAGCTAGAATTGTCTCCATGGGCAGAACGCGGACCTGCTTATGGAAGCTAAGAGGCGCGTTAACGAGCGTACCGATGAGCTGCCAGCCCAGGATCTGGGGGACAGCCTTGTCAGTCTTATCCTCGTTTAGGACATCCTCCTGCTTGAGGATCCCCTGGTAGGCCATATTCCGGGCAGCCCTCTTGGTAATAACGAAATACTCCTTCTCAGACGCCTTGAATACGCCATAGGTCAAGTTGGGACCGACAAAGCAGCACACCTGCCCGTACATCGTCTCGGGCCTGAGGGTCGCAGGGCAGAGGTAGACTGTAGCGTCCTCGGGGACCTTGCCCTTGATGGCCTCGGTGGCCTCAGGAGCCCATTCCAGGACTTTGAGCTTCAGAGCAGTGTATTCCTGAGGGAGCACGCCCTCTCCTTCGCCCCGGTCGTGGTCCATGCATGGTTGGTTATCTTTGATAGAGTAGATGGTGTAGCGCTTGCCGAACTTGATCTTGTCCAACTCCCTGAGCCGGATGATCTGCCACCGCACGAAGGCATCGTAGTAGGGGTTCGCATCGGTCGTCACAAACTGGCGGCGCCAGTCTATCCGCGCACCGAAGTTGGTCAGGTCCTTCTTGCACTCCGGAGGGAAATATTGCAGCCAGTGTTGCGCGTCTGCAAAGTGATGGATTTCCTCCAGCGGAATACCAATAGAGTTCAGAATCTGCCACTGGTATTTCGCCTTGCCCTTCTTCGCCGCAGCCTTGCCTTTCTTGGCGTTGAACTTGCTCAGGTCCTCCTTCGGCCCCTTCTGCGCAGCTGGTGCAGGTTCGTCGTCCTCCTCCTCTTCTTTGTAGCGCTCGAAGTTTTGGCCGAACTTCTTGACCTCATCCACCAGCTTGTCGGCAGAAGCCTTGATGGGCAGGCCCGTGCAGTGATAGCCCAGCGGGAAAAGGCAGCGCTTGCCCCGCATTCTCTCGAAGCCAGTGTGGAACTCGATCTTGCTGAAGCTGAAGGCATGCCCGGCATGGAGACGGCCGTTCATGTAAGGGTAGGCGACGGTGCCGAAAAACTTGGGGAACTTCTCGCGCAGCTCGTCGGGACTGATGGAGCCGAGAGGATACTCTTCGAGGGACGGCGCGTCAGCGTGGAAAACGCCCTCCTGCTCCCACTTCTTCTGATACTTCTTCTCGATCTCGACCAGGCTGTCCCTCTTTTCCGTGCCCTTCAACTCCTTCGTCTTGGAGACGGCCATCTCGGCCATGGCCTTCGGCAGCGTCGTATCGGCCATGCTGGAGTCGGAGTCCGACCGTAATCTGGTGAACTTTCGCAATTTCTGTTTTACCAGCGTCAAGCCGGTAGAATTGAATTGTCGTCCAGTCCAGGAACTGCCAGGAACCTTTAATTTGGGCCTGTTCTCGCGTGGCTCCGATTTGTGTCAGAACTGACCGGGAATTTTTGAGTCACCCCGCTACCAGCCCAGCGAGCACCGCTATGGAGGGGCAACGCGGGGTTGTTTCGGCTGCAGATCTAGTAAAATGTGGGGCCTGCAACAACCTGGCTGTGGCGCTGGTTGAACAGTCACCAGCCACAGCGCCTCAAGCCCCCTAACGGGTACTTTCGACAGGGGTCAAGAGTGAGGTCAACTTTTCCCACTCACCTCCGCTGCAATACAGAGTTGGGGCACTCACGAGAGATCTCTCAAAACTCACCTTTGAGCTCACACACGCCATGCTTCCTACATTAGTACGACGTCTGGCTCAGGCCGCTAGACCGCAGCTGAACGCGGCCGTATCAAATTCAACTTACAAACTCAAGAAAGTGTGGCCTCCTGACATGAAGACGATGACGGCGCAGCAGCAACTTCGCTTCGAGAAGAAGTACAAGCGGAGGTTGAAACTCGCAACGGCACGCCCGCGGTGGGATAAGATGGTCCGGCTGGCGCAACTTTTCACCATGACATGTGCGCATGGCCGCCATTTTCGCGAGAACACGACCAATTGCTGACCCAAGCCTCTAGTTGTTGTTTCCTACATGGTCTTGTTCATGGACTGGAAGGATGTGCCAACACCATTTGACCCGGTAGGACCGCTCAAACCCCGGCTCTCTTGCGTTTTGAACCCCGAATCTCATCCTTGAACCAGGTTCGCGAGAAGTTCTGGACGTTCTTCGGCGTGTTTACGGAGGAGAAGAGAACGATTGCGCCGAGCAACAAGCCCCCTTCTCAGTCGATGTCCAGGCAATGACTGAGACGTAACGGCTCTGGGACCTTGATCTCTCTGTCCCGTATTGTATACTGTGTTCCACCACTCGGGAGTTTGGCGTTGGATACCCGGCAACTTTCAGCGTGGCTCTTTGGCCATGATGGTAACTTGAATGCGAGATGCCGGTGCTTTCGGCCTCACAAAACTTCAGCCCCACGTCTGTGATCGTCCACGCCCGTTTTGACGGACTATGACCCCTGTAGGCTGGTTGCAATCTGCAGCTTTCCAAGACTGCAGACTTCAAGCCCCCATCTTCTTCCATGTCACCTCCCATGCCAAACCATGCCCCCCATGCCCAGTCCCGCCCCAAGCCCCGACCCTATCCCCCCTCCCGTCCGCCCCTCGTTCACGGGCCGCTTAGCAACTGTGCCCTGCGCCTTCACCCCGGCTACGATCCTCTCCAGATTCGTCTCAATCACAACCCCGCCGACAATCATCTCCCCGAGCGTGGCATGGAGCGTCTCGAAGTTGAAGATGAGGTCCAGCTCGCACACGTTCTCGAACAGCCGGTCCAGCGCCTCGACGTACACTTGTATCAGGTCGATCAGCGCGAGCGGTGACTCGGTCGACGTCGAGATGATGATGAAGTAGAGGGTCGCATAGTTGCGGTAGGTGACGAGCGAGGGCACGTCGTTCTGCTCCTGCGCCGAGGAGGACGTGTTGCTTGTGGACGAGGCGGCGAGGAGCGGCGGGAGCGGCAGGAAGTTGCACGAGCCTGGCGGGCGGTTGGAGACGAGGGTGAAGATTTCGGAGATGAGGCGTTGCTGGATTGAGGTGTCCTGTTCGTTGTACAACCGGAGTCAGTTAGGAGGTCGGGGCGGGTAGGAGAGGGAAGGAGGGCGGGGCACGGACGAGCTGGGTGTAGAACTTGGTGAGGCGCGGTTGGCCTTGGCCATTGAAGACTAGGAAGGCGTTGATCATGGTTCAGGATTCGGAGTCCGAATATGGGGGTTGCTATGGGCGTAATCTCATGTCTGTCGTGGTGGCCGATCTCAAGTCGGGGCGCCGGTAGTGGGAAGGGACCTTGAAGTGCTACGGATAGTTCCTCCTGATAGCTGAAAGTGACGGTGGGGGAGATGACGTGCGGACGACAGGTCGCTAATGCTAACGTTCCTGGGAGCAATGTGGCCCGTGCACAACGCATCCCGTCTCTCGAACATGATTGGTTGAACCAACTAAAGTTACACTTGCCTGCCGGCAGTTGATCGACGTTCGGTGGGTCGATTTCGAGCTCAATCGGACCTGGGACCTGCTTTCCTGGTCTACTAGCATTGTGAATCCCTTCAAGAAGCACTTCCATCTGAGGTTTTGGAGTTCGCCAGTCCTAGTCATCCCATTGAGCAACCCTAATAGCAGCTTACCAAACCTCCTCTAAATTATCCACAATTTTGTTTTCTTGATCTCCTAAGTATGGCGCGCTCGAGTGCTTCCAAGCTCGCCCGGGTCGCCTACCGCAGCTTGCAGAGCAACCGGATCGCTCGCACCAGCCTCCCAGGCATCTCCTCTGTACCGACGTACCTGCGCCCCGCCTCCAGGTTTCCGGTTGCACCGTCAGATCGCCGTCAGATCTCGAACAGTACCGCCCGAAACGTGATCACTCCGGATGGCCAAAACCCGGAGAATGTCGAGCCTACCAAGGTCACCATGACGGCGGCCGAGCTCACCGATGCCGAGTATCACGCACTCGCGGATACATACATGGACAACCTCCTCAACCGTCTGGAGGAGTTACAGGATCAGCGGGAGGACGTTGACGTGGAGTACTCGGTATTCGGAGACCCTTGTGACTTCTTCGACTTTGTCCGCCTCTTTTACTAACAGTTAAAACCCCTCCCCCCCGAAAAAACAGTCCGGTGTCCTGACCCTTTCCCTCGGGCCCGAAGTCGGCACATACGTCATCAACAAACAGCCGCCCAACAAGCAGATCTGGCTGTCGTCGCCAAAGACGGGTCCAAAGCGCTACGACTATGTCGTCGTAGGCGAGGGCCAACATGAGAAGCAGGACACAGCGACAGGTAAATGGGTATACCTTAGGGACGGGACGAGCTTGAACGACCTGCTCGCGGAAGAGATCGGGGTCGACCTCGACGTCTCCGAGACCGAGCTTAGCTAGAGGCCGAAGGAGAAGTTTTGGGCCCGGTCTTCAGGAGAATTCATTCACCCAGAAGCCTCTCACTGAAGTGTGTGCCTGTATGTATTTCTAGGTCGGTTTATGTTCAGCGAACGACAGCGTTCGACTACGATGGGATGAGGCTAATTTGCTGGCTGGGCGGAGTACCTACCTAAGGTAGGCTTTGGGCGGTCTAGGAGTCTGGTGTCGCAACGTGTATGGTAGTGTGGTTCAGCACTCATGCTTCAGGGACGGTGTTGCCACAATGGGTTTGGGGCAACTCGCTATTCGGCGTTCAATGGTACCTCCGTCTGCTTCAAAGAAAGTCAATACATGTTGTTGTCATTGCTAAACCGTACGAGACACGCTTCGAGGGATTGGCCCGTAGCACGTAACCCGGACGACCCCTCGGTTGCTGAGGAGACGGCGTAGTTGATCACGCTAAGATCACAGGGTCAAGTCTAGGTAGGAGAGCTTTCGAGCCGGGTGTGCTGTTCTCGCGGGTGCGAACAAGACCAACTCTAGGAACAGTATCACTACCAACATCATCGACCCTGACGCAGGCATTTGATAGATTCGTGAATTCCTTGTAGTGATTTGCAGAGGGCCTAGCATTGATAGACTTCTCGTTATTGGCCTTGCCCAAGGTACCTACCGCAGCTCGGCCCAGAGCTGCAGGTATCCGCATGCTTGGAGTGCCAATTGTTACTAGACTTAGCAGCTGAGTTTGGGAAATAGAAGAGTTGGTAACATGAACAGGTAAGAATGTCAGTCAGTCAGCTAGGTATTCGGGGGATCATACCGGAAGTACACTGACTCGTTCTTCTGGCCGAGAAGAGCCGTGGCAGAGGGAAAGGACAGAGAAAAGACCACGAAGGAGATAGAGAGAAGCTTAAAGAGACAAAGAAGAAAAGATATAGACAGAAGCTTAAAGAGGTATGAAAAGAAAAATATAAAAATAAGGAAGTCAGTGAGAAAAGGGTGAAGGAGATGAAGAAGAACAAGTATGACTAGCAGCTAATTATCTTCTTCCATCTCCTACGGTGTGTCTGCTGATATCGACGCTGGTGTACGGCGACTTGGGTCAGAGGGAGACTGTCTTCTTCACCCCTCGGCCTGACGTAGGGGTCGAAGGGAACTTCCCGCATCGAAGCTTCAGCCCGTCTAGTCTTCAGCGTCTGGATCAGCTGCATTGCACTATGTAGGCTGCATGAAGGGAGCACGGTACGTAGCAGAATGTAGGTATAAACCCGCACGTGGAGGCAAGAAGCTTAACCCCGGGTGCAAAACGGAGAACTGTAAGTGTAAATGGCTGTTAACCCCGCAAAGTCCGACAGCACACTGATGAAGTCACGACTCGAGGCGCCTTTTCGATTAACGCACTCAGGATGCTGAACAAGGTGACAAGGAGACCTGGTCAAGCTGCAGGACTTATTGCTGTTGGCTTTGAGCCTGTGGGGTGTTGGCGGCCTGGCTGTCTAGCATCTACTACTCTGAATCATGCATGATGTGACGATGTCGGGTAATAGTACCCCTTCCCGATTACCAAGCTGCTCCCGGCATCTTTGTGATGCTTTCCAATTAAAGGAAGCCACTCTCCCATTGGCCGTTGCAGGTTGTGGATTGATTCTGGAGATGTCGGCGCCGGCGCCAAAAGAGCCGATCGAGTGTGCTTGCGGGCTTAGTGGTTTGAAACCGGCGGTCTCCGAGTCAGGGCATAGTTGAAGGATGGGCGGCTCTAACATCATCAGGTTGATGGAGGACTTGGTGATATCAAGCCGTTGTGAAGTATAAAGATGTGGCCCTTCCGCTCTCGACTTTCCGAACACGGCTCACAACCATCCAAACTTCCCTTTCCACCCTCTGCAGGTTACACACAAAGTTTCACTCATAAGAGATATAGCCTCCCCCCCTTTCTCAATACCATCCAACCCAGCAACAACTACCAGTCTACCACCACCATGTCGGCCCTCCTCCCTACGCAGAAGCGCAACCTCCCACTCCTCGCGACGCGCGAGACCTGCGCAGGAAAGACATACATCGTCACAGGCGCCAACACAGGCCTGGGCTTCGAAGCAGCCAAGCACCTGGCCAGCCTCGGAGCGGCCAAGGTGATCCTGGCGGTGCGCAATCCCGTCGCCGGCGAAGCTGCCAAGCGGCAGATCGACGAGGCCGCGAAGACGACGGCCAGTGTCTGTGTGGTCGAGGTCTGGCCGCTGGACCTCTCGAGCTACGACAGCGTGCGGGCCTTCGCCAGGCGCGCCGCCGCCGAGCTGGACCGCATCGACGCGCTGATCGAGAACGCGAGCATCGCGCTGGAGCAGCGCGAGACGGCCGAGGGCCACCTCAAGACCGTCACGGTCAACGTGCTGGGCACCTACCTGCTGGCGAGCCTGCTGCTGCCCGAGATGAGCAGGCAGGCCAAGTCCGGGAGGCTCGACAGGTTCCAACCGCGCGTGGTGATTATCGGGAGCACGGTCGGGTTTGATTCCAAGGAGGGCTGGGAGAAGATCAAGGAGGATCCCATCAAGGGGATGGACGAGTTCGAGCCGGTATATGTGACGTTCGTAATATCCCGATCCCTCCCTCTCTCTCTCCCTCTCTTAAACCGCTTCCTCAGCTCAGCTCAGCTCAGCTCAGCTCATTTATCGTGCATGACCCCTTGTTACTGGTACTGACAGATCCACACAGCTACCCGCTCACCAAGCTCACCGAGTCGTTCGCCACGCGCCATCTTGCCCGCGAGCTGCTGCCCGTGGAGAAGACAGGCGTCATCATCAACCTCGTCTGCCCCGGCCTCTGCGTCACGCAGCTGGGCAGGAATCTGTCCGAGGAACGCATGGCGCACCTCCGTGAGGTGCAGGCCAAGTTCGGTCGTACGGCCGAGGATGGAAGCCGCACGCTGCTACACGGCGCCGTAGCCGGCGTCGAAAGCCACGGCAAATTCCTTCGTTCCTGCGAAGATGGCGAGTAAGTTTGGTCACCTTCCATTCATCCATCCCATGACTGGAGTTTCAGACGATATATACATCATACACATGTATGGACCGGCGCGGAGTGGCTGACAACGATGATTACCTAGGTCCGCTGTTCCCGAGTGGGTGAAGGAAGACTTGGCGTTGCAGAAGAATACCTGGGATGTCATTGCTAAGGAGCTAGAGGCTATCGAGCCTGGATGTGTGACCAAGATGCTGGCATGTGCCGGAAACTGAGACTGGTAGGCAAGACGGGCTACGCGATGAATACTGCTGATGTAATGTGACTGTAGCTAGCATCATGTTATATACATGAGTCTCTCTTGATTGACGACTCGGAAGTCAGCAGGACCCAAGATCCGGATATGAGATGATATATCTCGCCGGTGTAAGATAGAAAAAAGCTCACTAACGTACATTATCAGCGAGCGGGACATATCAGCGAGCGGGACACTAAGTTCTTGGCACAACGCGTCCTTCCTCATCTACCTCTAACAACGCGTTTTTCCTACAACTAAAGATGTCTTCCACTTCAAAGGAAGCTAGGGTAACCTTGGCCCTCAAAGCTCTTGAAAATGATATAGAACTAAGCCTTCGAGCCGCGGCCAAGCTCTATAACGTGCCAGTTTCAACCCTCGGCTACCGACGTACCGGCCGGCCTATACGACGCGATCTTCCAGCCAATTCGAAGAAGCTTACCCAATCTAAAGAGGAGGCTATTGTTCAATATATTATTGAGCTATCTGTGCGAGCTTTTCCGCCGAGACTACGTGGTGTAGAAGATATGGCCAACCAACTGCTACGCGTACGCGACGCGCCCCCTGTCGGCAAGCTCTGGGCGTATCGGTTTGTCAAACGCCAGCCAGAGCTCCGTACGCGTTATTTGCGAAGATACGATTACCAGAGGGTAAAGTGCGAGGATCCGAAGGTCATTGGCGAGTGGTTTGCCCTTGTACGGAATGTTAAGGCCAAGTACGGTATCGTAGATGACGATATCTATAACTTCGATGAGACTGGGTTTATAATAGGCATTATCTTCCCGGGCATGGTGGTTATAACCTCGGATGGCCGTGGCAAGGCGAAGCTAGCCTAGCCTGGCAACGGTGAATGGGCGACGGTGATCCAAGGCGTCAATGCCCTTGGCTGGGCTATCCCTCCGTTCATTATCTTAGTAGCGTAGTTCTACCTCGCTAACTGGTATATTGAGTGCAACCTCCTAGCCGACTGGCGTATTGCAACTACCGAGAATGGCTGGACTACCAATGCGGTAGGCCTTGATTGGATCAAGCACTTCGACTACCATACAGCGCCTCGGACAAAGGGCAAATACCGGTTGTTGATCCTCGATGGCCATAAAAGCCACCACTCAACCGAGTTCGAGCTCTACTGCCAGCAGAACAACATTATCACGCTCTGTATGCCTCCACATTCCTCCTACCTCCTCCAGCCACTTGATGTTGGCTGCTTTGGGCCGTTGAAGCAGGCGTACGGTCGCCAGATCGAGGACTTGATGCGCGTATATATCAACTATATAAGCAAGCTCGAGTTCCTTTGTACCTTTCGCGCGGCCTTCTTTGCCTCTATTACCAAGAGGAATATCCAGGGCGGTTTTGCAGGGGCTGGCCTTGTGCCGTACGATCCAGAGAGGGTACTTTCGAAGCTAGATATCAAGCTTCGTACACCAATATCCCCAACCTCACGGCCAAGCACTATACAATCTTAGGTCTTCCAGATACCATGTAACCCCCGAGAAGCCAACTCACAGTCAACGCTCATCAAGACTCGCATTGCCAACCATCAAAATAGCTCCCCGACTTCGATATTGGCTGCTATAGACCAGCTTACCAAAGGTACAATGGCTGTAATGCACTAGGTGGCCCTCCTTCAGGCAGAGGTGTCTTCGCTCCGCAAGGCCAACGAGGCGCTAAGCAAGCGCCGGAGAGCCAAAAAAACACGTATACGGCTTGGAGGATCACTTACTGTGCAGGAGGCACAGGAGGTGGTAGGCCAGGGGGCTATAGGTGGGGAGGCAATGCAAGAAACACAGCTGGATGGTAGTGGTGCTGGGGGGGGTCGTACGAAGGTTCGGTGCTGTGGTGTATGCTGCAAGCCTGGTCATAATGCCCGCACTTGCCAGGAGGGTGCAGAAGGGTCTGATTCATCTGTTTCTGATGTAATTGTAGTTGGTTCTTAGTGTTGTTGCATTGCAATTGAGAGTAGTTGTTATAGAGTAGTGGAGAGTGTCCCGCTCGCTGATAATGTACGTTATACCGCTTTGGGCATTTACCATTATGATGTAAGTGAAATTCCGGAGATGATGTGACAATCTCGCACCGCTCTGGCGTCTAGCCAACTGAAATGATGTTTGAATCTACTGGCAACACTTGCTTCAGTAGCACCTTTTTCAAGACATATCCGAGGGCGGAGGCGTCATCTGGATTTGAGCGGAAACTTAGCCTCGCATGACACCCTCATCTTGTCAGGTATTTTCCATCGCTCACCTCCCGCTCCTCAAAACGTCTTCTCCAACCTCTTCCTCGCGCCCTTCTCCCCATCCCACCCGGGCACTGCAATGAGAATAGCACACCAACTGTACTGCGCCACCGTGTTGGCCTCGTTGCCATACACCGTATACGCCAGCTGCATCTCCCGATGGCGCCCCCCACTCTCATTCAGCCACTCGACCTCCTCAAACTTGACCCTCTCCTCTACCGCATAGCAGAAGTCCTCGTCCCGAAAGACCCACTGCATCATGTCCGCCGCGCACTCCACCCGCCCCTCGGCGGTGCACATGGGCAGGTGCTTGCCGATCACGCGCGGGATGGTGTCTTCGTCTTCTTCGGTGCCGCTGCCGCTCCAGAAGAAACAGTCCGGGTCCAGGACCGGCCGGAGACAGACGCCGCAGCCGAGGGCCTGGAAGCCGCGGAAGATGACCGTGTCGATTCCCTTGAGCGCCGAGACCGAGAAGGTCAGGGACGTGTGCGGGTAGGCGTGCGTGGTGTAGAAGCCGAGGTGCCCACCCGCGGGCATGAAGGACGGGTTGGAGAGGAGGGAGGACATGTAGGTGACCAGGGGGAGGGAGAGGTCGCTGGGTAGGGGGGAGGTCGGGGAGGGGAGGTGGGAAGGGTTCGGGAGGGCATAGAGGTTGTAGGTCAGGGTGACGCGGTGGCCGGAAGAGACGGGCAGGACGGCGTGGGTCACGTCGGAGTAGAAGGCAGCCCAGTGTATAATTTGGCTTTCTGAAGAGGAAGAAGACCAGTCGAATGTCATTGTCCGGCCGTTGTGCTTTACCTGGAGCTGGCCGCCAGTGTGGGGAGCAGGAAGGCAGACAACGAGGGAGCCGAACTGGGCCGGAGATCGTGGGGTGTCGACGTGCGCCTTGAAGAAACCTGACGGGCCCTCGTAGACATTGAGCTTGTATAGCTCGGCCCGCGCGATGCGGCCCCCATCATCGAGGCTCAGGCCGGGGACCAGAATGCTGCTGATGGTGTCCATGATGCCGACATCGTAGGGGCAGAAGCTGGTCGAGAATCGCGAGGTGTCGAGCTTGACGGCGCGACGGTACGACTCGTCGAAGACATCCTCCCCACCGAGGCCAAAGGTGGCCTTGTCCATGTCGCCCAGGAGGCTGACGAGGCCTCGGTGCGGCTGCTTCGACCGCTGTTCCTCAGGGGAGGCAGTGTCCAGGGGAAAGGTGAGCTTGCACTGCGATGCGGGGGTTGAAGGGTCATGCGGGTCCCAGCGCAGGGAGACCGGCGGCGAGTGGGTGGTGCCAGAATGCCCCGGCTCAAAGGAAGCAGTGGTAGTCTCAGTAGCGAAGGGGATGGAACCGCCGCAGGCAAAGACAAAGTCCTTTTGGCTGGTTTCCATGGTGTTCCGGAGTTCGTCGAGCAGATTGGCTGTCTCTTCGTTGTATTTGTCCACCGTCCTCTTGTGAACTTGGGCGGGAGAATCATCCGACGTGGAGTTAGAGCTGGCTAGGACTGAGCCACCAGGGGTAAACTCGGCCGACTCTTCATCACCTCTGGGCCGCCCTGCTATGTCATTAGCATGACCATGCAAAGGCACATGTAGCTTGGTGCGTCTGTCTCTCTTACTCTCTGGCAACACAAGGCTTGCGCCAGCAGTCGTGGGTCGGTCCTGGCCTTCCATTGTCAACGGCTGTTTGGAGAAGAAGATGGAGATGTAGCGTGATCAGCGAATGTAGGACTCAGAATATGAGACGACAGTAGAATGTTATACTGTCGACGCTGAACTCTGCTTCTCGACCAGATAAGGTACCTCGGGAATTTATGTTGCAGGTAGCGGTGTGAAATGATATGCAGTGCACCAGGCAGCAGCTAGGCAGCAGACTGCCAACTCCCGTGAGCAGGCCATTGATGTAGGCAAGCGAAGTAAGGTACCTCATGCTTGATGTGGTGAAACGCTTCTTCAGTTGGACGGTGAAACAGACATCACGGCTCGGAAGCTGAACGTTCCATGTCGTCTATCCGTACATCGTTCACGCTGAAGACGCAGCCCAAACCCGATACTCCGAGGACGCAGGCACAGCTCTGGCAGCCATCGGCTTGACTGGATACCTTACCTGTTAACTCCAACCTTAGTACATCAGTATAACTCACCATTTCTGCCGTTTATCTTCAATGAGTCTATACAGTTACAATCTATTTTAATACATCTGACTACTAGTAGTACCAAGTATCTCTTCCTTGCAGCCCCAATCCTGTATGTCGTTCGTATCACCATGACGTGGTCCACCGTAATAGATCGATCGATCTATATCCAACGGGCCGTGTCTAGATACCATGCTCCTACCCGGGAAGCGCTGGTGCCGGGCCAAACGGGACGGCCGCTGCCATCGGACTGAGCGCAATGCACAGCCAAGCGGGGTACATGAGTCGGAGAAGTTCGGACGATAGAACCGCCACTAGCGTTGATATGCTAGGTAATCAACGCATCGGAGAACCTCATCGAGATTCAGCCCGGGATATTGATGGTATAGGGATACCTCCCCCTATACTTCTCCCACCACCCGGTCCGATGGAACGCCGCCGGCGCCTGCATCGTGTCCAGGCATATTCCCCGGTTGTTCCGCCGCCTCTGATCGGGACACCGACACCGGCAGCCGACGGCCCCTTCGCTTTCGGCCGACCACTCGCCGTTCCCCAGCGCCTCATTGCCCGGCAGCTGCCCGCCCGGAGCATTCCCGGGACACTGGAAGAAGGGCTCGTGGTGGTAGCCGAAGTCGGAAAAGTGGTGCAGCTTGCCCGGCGGCAGGAGCAGGTGCACCGCTAGGCTGTGGACGGGCGCGTCGCCCCATCGCTCGTGGTAGAAGCCGCCCTGGCGATCGAGGTGGCCGAAGAGGGACTGGTAGGCCTTGCCGCGGAAGAAGTCGAGGTCGGCGATCTCAAAGTTGCTCCAGTAGTGGCACAGGTTCCAACGGTCGCCGGAGCGGGCGTGGTGCGCGCGGCCGAGCAGGCCCAGCAGCTTGCGGACTGGCCAGGCTTGCTGGGACCACGAGGCCGTGTCGAGCATGGCGTTCCAGGTGGGAGATGAGGGTAGGCCGTGTTGAGTACGGAAGTCATCTACGGCGCGGAAGAGGCTCGGACAGGTGTTGGGCTCTTCCCAGAGGGCGATGGTGAAGCCGTAGGACTTGCCGTGGCGGGCCATCTCGACGAAGGGATCGTAGGTGATCGCGCAGGTGTAGCGCACGCCGGGCTCGAGGCGCCAGTACCATTTGAACGGGGCCAGGGCGGGTTGGGTGTAGAAGGTGCCGGAGTAGAAGCGGCACATGTGATGGTAGGATTCTTTGCCGCCGTTCCAGACGCCGGACTTGTCCTGTTGGGCCATGGACTGGCGGGCTTTGGCCGGATCGACCCAGGACGGGTATGACCAGTCTTCCTTGGGAATAACGTCGAAGATAGCTTTACCACTCACCGAGGCGTTCAGATCGCGGACGAACTCGGGATCCCATTCTTCATTGTTGAGGAACACCACGGGATAGTGAAACCATTGGTTGAACTGGGCCTCGATATTCTGGATCGTCTGCCGCGCTTCGTCTATTTCGGAGTTCCGAGCAAGCATGACGAACGCCGCCTTCTCCCGTGGCTGCGCTGCCGCAATCCGGGGGTCTTGACATTGTCTCGCGAACGGCCCGTCAAGGTCCTGCGGCGGGCGAGGGATGCTGTGCAGATACCTGTGCAGGAACGCTTCGATGATACACAGGAGAAAGACGACGGCGGCACCCTTCAATAGGATGCTTACACGACGCACCGGGCGTCGCACTCGCCGGACGAAGGCGACGGCCAGCGCGTGCAGCAGTTTCATTTTGGCTGCATTGTGGAGGTTGATGAAAGAGACGAATGGAGTCAGGTCATTGGCCGAAGAGGTACGTCCGCAACGCTCGGCCACCATGACGCGCCGATGCAACGCTAATAAATCTTGGCATAATCCATTATCGCCATTATGATTTCGACTTCCTCCGCTCCACGCCTCAAGCCGCAGCTCTTGGTCACAACCTGCAATGGGCGATGTAAGAACCATCAGGACAGATGAGATACCGGGGCAACTTTTTTGCACCGGTCACATTGGTAACATGTTGCTGAGACGAGATACCGACTTTGGATCCATGTCAGGACATTGACTGGAGGAACTTGTTGAGTAGAGCTATTGTCGACCGTGCGAGAAGTTGAGCGGCGTCAACGGACGAGGGTTCGGTTTGTATTTTTAACTTATATTTACCCTGACAACTCTTATTAGCACCTAATGCTCCATACAATTCTCTTCCCCATCCCACCTCCAAGCTAACGCGGCGCCCAATTGGCCTCATGTAGCCGGAAGTACCTAATGGGCTCATTGGGGGGTTAACTTTACATGTAAGGTTACGTGAAGTGTCACTTGCATGCAAAGATAACACGGGGAGGGGCAAAATAATCAATCCAATGCATGCAAAGCCAAGCAAATACGGATAAGCCTCACTCTCAAGCTACTACCGTACAATTACATGCCTACTTCAGTCTCCAGCTCCCGCTCTTAACCTCATTAGCACGGCCAACTCATTCTTCAGCTCCCAAGGTTCCGGAAGCGGAGAACCAACTGACAGATATGAATCCGCTATCTGTAACCTTCCTAACTCTCGCTACTATTATCATTCCCTTCGCTCACACAAAAGATCTCATCATCGACACAGATCTCTTCAGTGATGTAGAGTAAGGGTTACGCATATCCTTCAAGTCATTTTGACGCTGCCTCATTGATTACTAGTGATGCCGGCGCCCTCCTTCTCGCAGCGACATCGCCCGACGTGAACCTTCTAGCCGTCAACGTCAACTATCCATCAAGCTACTCCGCCCTCGCCGCATCTGCCATCCTAGCTCACTACGGCCACCCCAACATCCCCATCGGCATCCCCCGCCCTCTAACCAACGCCACCTTCTTTGACGGCTGGTTCTACGAACTAGGCGAGTATGCGAGCAAGATCGCCTTCCACTTCTCCGGCGGCAGTCTTCCCTGGGGCCACGCTGAAGATGCCTGGCATCCGGTGGCGCTCTATCGCAAGTCGCTTGCCGAGGCGGAGGACGGCAGCGTGACGATTGTCTCCATCGGCTTTCTAGATAACGTCTGTGTGTCCCTTTACCACTATGCGTGAAAGTCTTACTATCTGACATGAGAGAGAGGGGAGAGGGATAATACAGCTCTCCGCCCTCCTCAACTCGACAGCAGACACCTACTCCCCGCTCACCGGCCGCCAGCTCGTCTCCCGCAAGGTCTCGGAGCTCGTGGTCATGGGTGGCGGCTACCCGTCCGGACGCAGCTGGAACTTCTGGGGCTCTAGTAATAACGCCAGCCTCGCCGCGGCGCACGCCCTCAACTCCTGGGACGGCCGGGTAACCTTCGTCGGGGACGACGTCGGCAAGAACGTGTTATCTGGGGCGCCACTGATGAGGCAAGGTCCTGAGAGCGATCCGGTGAGGAAGGCGTACATCTACTACTCGTACTACCACCCACGCCCCTCCTGGGATCCGTTGACTGTGCTGTACGCCATCTACGGTCTGGGGGATCTGTTCGAGTTTGGGAACGAGTACGGGTATAATCATGTCGAGCCGGATGGGACGAATCGGTGGGTCTGGGATGAGGAGGTCAGGAACCAGCAATTTCTGAGGCTCAGAGTGGATAACGAGACTGCTGCTGCCGAGGTAGATAGGCTGTTCTTGCGCGGTGCGCTTTCAGCAATGACGGGACAACAGGGGCCTCGGACAGGGGGTTTGCTTTGCAGCTCATGCGGGCATGAGGAACTGTGATTTGAGGGTGGTTGGAGGATCGGGAAGACCGGATTGGCTTGTAGATGAAGCTGTGTGTTATCAGAGACTAGGTTGTATTATAGAGACTACCTTCGTCCCGCCAACTTCGTCCTCTTTTAATTAGCATTATAGTTCTGGCGGCATTGCCTAGTAGCCCTAGGTGTCCGCGTCACTGAACCTCCTGACCACCTCCACCAACTTCCCCCTAGTTCTCTTACTATCGAATACTTGTGCATGGTCCAACTCTTCAAATCATAACACCTCTAGCCCACCACTTTGCCATATCCCATCTTTCCAGTCCCTCGTCCGCAGAATCCAACCATCCGCGCCCGTCAGATACGCCCCAATGGCTGTCGTGTCGACGATGAGATCCTTCTCGGCCAGCGATACAGCTACGCGATGGTTTTGTAAATCCTCCTTCCACAGAATGTTATCGGCCCAGTAGAAGCGCCGAGACAGCGTGTGCGCGACTCCCATATCCTTGGAGGCGAAATAGGAGAGCTGATGCTCGTTGGCCCGAGTCGGCTTACGATAGATCTAAGTGTGGAAAAGAGATTAGCCATTGCTATTACCAGTAGTATCGTTTTGAAGGAGATATAGGAAGAACTGTACAAAGTTGTACGCTACATCCGGGAGGTGTAGCAGAAAGGTCACCGGGTCGACGAACAGCATCGGTCCGATCTTTGGTACAGTCCGGGGTGAATGAAGGAGATGCGTAGAGATCACGCTCCCGTAGCTTCATGATACACAATAATCATTAGCAGTCGGATGACCACGGCAGAGGAAGGAAGCTCAGACGCCAAAAATAAGGGAGAACTCACGAATGCGAAACGAGAACCACCTTGTCCCAGCCATGAGCCTCTAATATGTCATGGATCTCCTCACACATCCTATCTTCAGCAGTGCCTCACTTGTAATCCTGAAGCTCACAGGCATGATCTCCACTGCGAAAATGCCTCGCTGGCCGTCGTCCAACCCGTCGTCGCCATTTTCAGCATTCAGTTCAACCAAGAAGTTGACGTACGGGTAGAGCCCGATTCCGATGCCGTGAATGAACAGGACGGGGAGCCTTGTCTTGGACGTGTGTGGGCGGTGCCAGTAGGTGAGTGTCTTTGCCGGGGAGCGGTGTCTCGTGAAGAGAGATAGGGGCCGGAAGGGGAAGACAATCAGGGATTGGCGAAGCGAAGTCCCGTGCAAATCGAAGCCTTGATAGCGCAAATAGGCGGACGTGAGGGTGTCGACAACGGACACACACTTATGGGACAGAGTGATATGAGTAAGTACAACTACCTCCTCATCAAAGTGACAAGCTGACGTGGGCTTGTTCGAGGCAACTCACCAGATACCACGCCAAGCTCCGATGCGACATCGCGACCTTGTCGTATGTCAATCGCAGGCACTTAGCCTTGCCGCGGCCCGGTTCCATCTTCCTCCCCAACAACTTCTCCACCTCTCCGACATACTCCTCCACTCCTCGTCATGCGCTGGATCGCGGTCTCTAGTATTCAGAAATGCCCACCGGAAGAAGTCCTTGACGTTCTCCCGCCTGATCTCCTCTGCGGGAGCATCGAGGAACCATTTCGAGAGATACCGCTCCGGGTCTGGGATATTGTCATGACAGCGCCGGAATAGCAAACGGCGATCCTCGCAGCAGAGCGTCGTAGGGGGCACCGCTACTCTCTGGAGGTAGGCTCTGCGCGGAAGGTAGACGAGGAGGTAGAAAGTCGCCTCCGGGGCGAGCCATACCTCCAGGAGGTGGGGGACACGGTGCAAGGGATGGACGAGCGACCTGGCCAGCGAATAGAGTGTGCTGAAGGGCGCGATCAGGTGCAGGAAGAAGATGCAGGTCCGGATGAAAATGTATTCCCAGATAACGTACATGATAAGCGAGCGACGCAGATAAGCGAGCGACGCACTTTCAGTGCGACGCGCCTCCTCTAAACTTTTCCACCAAATACCACCGCAACAAGCCATGCGTAGCCCCTCAAAAGAAGCCAGGCTTCTTTTAGCCCTCGAAGCTATCAAACAGAGCGAGAATCTCAGTATCCGGGCGGTAGCCAAGCTATACAACGTTCCAGAAGCAACGATTCGCCACCGGCGCAAGGGACGTGCTGCAAGACGCAATATTCTAGCCAACTCGCGTAAGCTCACGGATCTAGAAGAGAAGTCAATAGTTCAGTATATAACTGAGCTATCTACACGCGCATTCCCACCTAGATTAAGTGGTGTGGAAGATATGGCCAACCACCTACTATGCGAACGCGACGCGCCCCCTATCGGCAAACGCTGGGCTCACAACTTTGTCAAACGCCAGCCAGAGCTCCGTACGCGGTATACACGCAAGTACAACTACCAGAGGGCTAAATGCGAGGATCCACAGGTCATCAGCGAGTGGTTTGCACTTATATGGAATACTAGGGCTAAATATAGGATTGTCGATGACGATGTCTACAACTTTGATGAGACTAGGTTTATGATAGGTGTTATCTTCGCGGGTATAGTGGTTACAACCTCGGATGGGCGTGGCAAGGCAAAACTAGCTCAGCCTAGTAATCGGGAGTGGGCGACTGTGATCCAGGGAGTCAACGCCCTTGGCTGGGTTATCCCTCCGTTCATCATCCTAGCCGCACAGTACCACTAGAGTAACTGGTACTGGGAGTGCAACCTACCACTTACCTGGCGCATTGCAACCACCGATAATGGCTGGACTACCAATGCAGTAGGTCTGGATTGGATCAAGCACTTCGATTACCATACGGCACCTCGAACAAAAGGCATATACCGGTTGTTGATCCTCGACGGCCACGAGAGCCACCACTCAACCGAATTCAAGCTCTACTGCAAGGAGAACAACATCGTCACACTCTGCATACCTCCACACTCTTCCTATAGGCTCCAGCCTCTCGATGTTGGCTGCTTTGGGCCACTTAAGCAGGCATACGGTCGCCAGATCGAGGGCTTAATGCGCATGCATATCAACCACATCAGCAAGCTTGAGTTCCTCTGTGCCTTCCGAGAAGCCTTCTTTGCTTCTATAACAGAGAAGAACGTACAGGGTAGCTTTGCAGGGACTGGCCTTATGCCATACGACCCAGAGCGGGTGCTTTCTAAGCTAGATATAAAGCTTCGTACGCCAACACCCCCAACCTCACGGCCCAGCACTGCATAACCCTGGGTCTTCCAGACACCACATAACCCACGAGAAGCCGACGCACAGTCAACGCTCATCAAGACTCGCATTGCGAACCATCAAAATAGCTCCCCAACTTCAATGTTGGATGCTATAGACTAGCTTGCCAAGGGTACGATGGCTGTAATGCACCAGGTGGCCCTCCTTCGGTCAGAGGTCTCTTCGCTTCGCAAGGCCAATAAGGCACTAAGCAAGCGCCGGCGTGCCAAGAAAACACATATGCAGCTTGGAGGTTCACTTACTGTGCAAGATGCAAAGGATCTACTAGATCAGAACGCCGTAGGTGGGGAGGCAGTGCAGGAAACGCAGCCGGATGGTAGCGGTTCAGGGGGGGCTCGTACGAAGGTTCGATGCTGTAGGGTATGCGGCAGGCCTGGCCATAATGCTCGCACTTGCCAGGAGGCTGTAGAATCATCTGATTCATCTATTTCTGATGTAATTGTAGTTGGTTGCTAGCGTTGTTGTATTATAATTGAGGATAGTTGCTGTAGGGTGGTAGAAAGTGCGTCGCTCGCTTATCTGCGTCGCTCGCTTATCATGTACGTTAGAGGTCCCTATCATGGTTAAATGGAATATAATGTATGGTAGCTTGAGATAAATCGGTTTGTGACTGAATAACTCAGGTACCACCGTACAGTTAAAGCTGGCGCCAAGATACGGAATTGTGAAAGAGCTATAGAGCTCATACCGCGCGTGGCAATATGACGTTATTATAAGCTAGGGTACTGTACATTTTTGCACTTAAATCTTCCCTGTCTGCTCAAAAGGGTCCAGAACTGGTCATTCTAAGGACAAGAAACCGCCCCTTTGAACAACAATGAAGACAAGAAGATATCGCTATTGTAGGGAGGCCGAAGACGTGAATCTGAACCAAGTAATTCACTTTCAATTTGGGTCAAATTGCTGACTTAGCAAAGCCTAGGTTACGTACCGGGACGGTTGAAACGGTTGGGAATACGTTCGTGCTTAGTTTTCACCACTCCGTTTCTCAATACCGTTTCCCATCTATACTCTGGTATAAACCTACCATCGCCTTTTTATGACCGAGTTCCCCCGACGCATTGCGAATCCTGCTTTTAGCCAACTAAATGCATTTGCGACCCTCTTACTCGTTCTAGCTCTTAGCCGCTTTCGTATACATGCGAAGGTTGCTAACCCCATAACGTATCTTATCAGCGAGCCGATCATATCAGCGAGCCGATCAATTTCCACCACACCAAAACATCTATCCTCAATTACAATACACTAACACTAGGAACCAACTATAATTACATCAGAAACAGCTGAATCAGACCCTTCTGCAACCTCCTGGCACATACATACATTATGGCCAGGCTTGCCGCACACACCACAGCACCGAACCTTCGTACGACCCCCCCCTATACCACCACCGTCCGGCTGCGTTTCTTGTACCACCTCCCCAACCACGGCCTTCTGGTCTAGTAGATCCTTTGCATCCTATACTACAAGTGATCCTCCAAGCTGCATGCGTGTTCTTTTGGCTCTCCGGCGCTTGCTTAGTGCCTCGTTGGCCTTACAGAGCAAAGAGACCTCTGACCGAAGGAGGGCCACCTGGTGCATTATAGCCATCGTACCCTTAGTAAGTTGATCCACAGCACCTAGTATTAAAGTTGGAGAGCTGTTTTGATAGTTGGCAATGCAAGTCTTGATAAGTATTGACTGCGATTCGGCTTCTCGGGGGTTGTATGGTGTCTGGAAGACCCAAGATTGTACAGTGCTAGGTCGTGAGATTGGAGGTGTCGGTGTACGAAGCTTTACGTCTAGCGTAGAAAGGACCCTCTCTGGATCGTATAGTACTAGGCCAGCCCCTACAAAGCCACCCTATATGTTCTTCTCCGTTATGGAAGTAAAGAAGGCCTTGCGAAAGCCGCAGAGGAACTCGAGCTTGCTAATATGGTTGATATACGTGCGTATTAAGTCCTTAATCTGGCGACCGTATGACTGTTTTAACGGCCTAAAGCAGCCAATATCGAGTGGCTAGAGCTTGTAGGAGGAATGCAGAGGTATATAGAGCGTAATAATGTTATTCTCCTGGCAGTAGAGCTCGAATTCGGTAGAGTAGTGGCTTTTATGGCCGTTGAGGATCAACAACTGCTTTTTGCCCTTTGTACGAGGTGCTATATAGAAGTCGAAGTGCTTGATCTAATCTAGGCCTGCCATATTGGTAGTCCAGCCGTTGTCGGTAGTTACAATGCGCCAGTTTGCTGGGAGGTTGTACTTGGTATACCAGTTGGCGAGGTGGTATTGCGCGGCCAAGATGATAAAGGGCGGGATAGCCCAGCCAAGTGCATTGACTCCCTGGATCACCGTTGCCCATTCGCGGTTACTAGGCTGGGCTAGTTTTGCCCTACTACAGCTATCCGAGGTTGTAACTACTATGCCCGGGCAGATCATACCTATTATAAACTCGGTCTTGTCAAAGTTGTAGATATCATCATCTATAATGCTATACTTGGCCTTAGTGTTTTATACGAGCGCAAACCACTCCCCAATAATCCTTGGATCCTCGTACTTAGCCCTCTAGTAATTGTATCGACAGGCATAACGCGTATAGAGCTCTGGCTGGCGTTTAACAAACCGATGTGCCTAGAGCTTGCCAACAGGGGGCGCGCTACGTTCGCGTAGCAGATGGTTGGCTATATCTTCCACCTTACTTAGTCTAGGTGGGAATACGCATGCAGATAGCTCAATCACATACTGAACTATCGCCTTCTCTTCTAGATTGGTGAGCTTACGCGAGTTGGCTGGAAGATCGCGTCGTATAAGCCGGCCAGTAGATCGGTCATGGAGGGTTATATAGGGTACGTCGTAGAGCTTAGCTGCGGCTCGGAGGCTTAGTTTTTTGTTGTTTTGACAAGCTTCAAGTGCCAGGATTACCCTGGCTTCTTTTGAAGGAGAAGGCATGTTAGGTTGTAGAGAAAATTGATGTTGGGTGTGAAAATGACGCGTTGCGGCAAAAAGTGATCGGCTCGCTGATAAGATACGTTACCCTCGCCTTTAATTCCGACTTTTACTCCCTAATCTCATTCTCGACGCCGGCGTTGGAGAGGCTAGAGCAAGTCTCGTAGACTTGTCAAGTCAAGCCACGTCCCCCTTGCAAGCATCTACCGCGATTATACCTCATTTATTTAAATAATAGAGACATTTCATCACTTTATAATTCAAAAACCAAAACGCGAGTGTTGTATAGCTGGCGGCATAGAGGGTCGGCCATAGACAACCTGCCGTTCTCGTCACAAGGTAGAACGCGGTGTAATCGCCTGTTTTGGGGGGCGTAGACCGCTTGATGGCTGATTTCGCGTCGATGTTGGTGTGCAACTGCTCCTACATGTGCATTACGAGTTCGGCACAAGGATTATACGTCTATGGAGAAATCTTATGGCTAGGATACGGTGAGGTATAACATGTGCGCGCCAGCAATGATAGCGCTCCACCCAAGCTTGAGCATGTCGCCCGGAGAAAGGGAGGCTTCTGTTGGAGGAAGAAACAAGGGGTGGAAGGGCTAGGGTGGGGAGAGAAAGGGTATAGTGGTATTATAGAGGTGCCATAGAGGGGGCAATCAGGGAAGGGTGATAAGGGAGGATGGACGGTGAAGGTGAAGGTGACAAGGGAGGGTGACGAGGGGTGTGGTAAGGATGGAAAGCGAGTGAGGGGGAGGGAGCAGAAGAGAGGGAGCGGGAGAGAGGGAGAGGAGAGGGAGAAGAAGGGAGAGGGAAGGAGAGGGAGGGAGGGAGAGACGATAAAGGAGGGTAACAAAGCGAGGCAAGCGCGAAGGCGAAGCAGAGCTGGCGGGCGGGCCAATTCGAGTAACTTCTGCATACCAGTACGAGCGAGATCCGGCAAAGCAAGGGTGTGGCAAACAGGCAAGCGAACGACGGGGACGAGATGGCGTGACCTCTCCGGCTTGCGGGTGGCTCGTGACTTATGCTACAGGATGCTACGCATCAGTAATAGCGAGGCAGACATTGCCTGAGACGACGGCACGTATCAGGCTACCCGGCGAGATGCCGCCTTGCTATTGGTAGTGCCAGGAATAGGACGACAAGGACGAGGAGCCAGCTTATGCAGGAGGTCACTAGATGGGAAGGGCCGAATCGTGCACTGCATGATTTAGGCCGCCCTGCCGGGCCACTGCAAGGACGCCAGTACGTCACACGATATTGCACCAGAATCGCGATCCGTAGCGGCGATGTGTCCCGTGCGAATGGTGCCTTTCCGGCTGTTTCTACTGGCAAGTCGAGGGAGAAGGAGGCATGGAATATCTCGCTTGTGCGAGGGCGTACGCTCTTCAGCGTACTGCTAGTTAGTGAACACCCAACTCTCAGAGTGAATGAAGCTGACTCCTATAAAGAGCGTGTCCTGAAAAGTTTGTCTCCAGCAACCTCGGATCTCGACGAGCCCTTTTACGCCATCGCCGTTGCCCAGGAAAATATTGATCGGTGTTTTAATTTAGCAAGCGTTCAAGGTTAGCTACGTTCTCGCCACGTCTGTTGTTGCGTCTCTTCGCACCCTTGGGACTTTGGTAATGTAGACAACGCAGCTAACCTCGAGAGATATAAAGAGCTTAAGAGTATCCTCGCAGACTTTTAGGCTCTACTGAACCGCTGGAGCGAGCAGTTAACGAAAATCATGGACGATCTTAACGGTGAGTTGCGGCTTCCAGCTTCGAGTCGCTCGGCTAACGGCTCCTAGCAAAGAAGAGAACCGAGGTCCTGTACTGGCTATTTGCCGAGCTATACCTCTAATACTACGAACAAGTAAAGGAAGGTGTACTCGAGGGAACCGGCCAATAGCTTCTCTCGGAACCCGTCTTTCTAAAATAGAAGGAAGATAGTGCCTCCTCTATACTCTTGCTTTACGGCATCCCGGGGTCTAATACTTGGCCGAGTCCTGCTTCTTGGCCGGGTCGTGCTTCTTGCGTGGCCGGGAATTCGACGGGGGACTGTTAGAAGCTCTGTTCCGCTTCGAACTGGTTTGGCTCTGTGCGGTAAAGCTCGACGTAAAGCTCGTAGCGAAGCTTATAGTCGGCTCACCAAGGGTTGTAGACTCCTGGCTAGGCTCTTCGTCCTCTGCATAAAGGTACTGGGGACGAGCCGGCACCTCCTCGACGTCCTTGGCTATAGCGTAGTTCTCGGTGCCGATGGCTTGTGATCCGGCATATTCCTCACAATCCACAAAGTTGTCACTAGCCAACTCTTTAGATTGCTCGGCAACCGTGATTTCTGCTTCGGGCGGCGGCTCGGCATTGGACTGGCGCGCCCTTGTATTCGCCGTCTGGATGAGGCTGTTGCGGTGCCTTTGGGCCAAATCCCTCGCATTCCGGAAGGCAGTGACTCCTCGCCGAAAAGTGTCGATGTTTCCCGTCAAATCCCAGCCATCAACTTGAGTCATGTGGTACTCGGGCCGCCCGCCCGGCGCGATCGGCGGCGTGGCGTGGTGCGCGTACAGCTTGAGCGTGCCCGTGCCGGCGTGGTAGGTCGAGCTGTAGGTGTACGCATTGCCGTCGAAGGCGGGCTCCTCCGCGCCGTAGTTCTGCAGCGCGTGCATCGCGCGGGCGCCGATCGCGCCGTCGTGCAATGCCTGTCGCAGCGCAACGGCGCCGCCCCCGTGAGCCTTACTCTCAAGGAAGAAGTTCGGTGCCACTGGAGCACTCGCGTGCTTTGTAGGGATGATCAGCTTGTTCAGGTTGCCCTTCTCGTCAGCATTTCTGATCTTGTTATGGATGTCTCCCGCCCGAGCTCCGTCGAAGAAATCGGGCATAGCTTTGACAATGGGTCCTCCGGTCATCGGCTCGATATTGATAAAATAGAGGTCTCCCTTATTCGGAATGTCGGAGTTGCCGGTAATAATCGGGATTACATTGCGCTTTACGGTGCTTTCAGACGCAGTCCTGTTCTTCCGTTGGAAGTCCTCAAATGCGGTCTCCGTAAAGTGCGACGGGGAAAGGGACGGTCTGCTTGTTGAAAGGACTCGACGATCCTCGCTAAGATTGTTCGGTTTCAGAGTCGGACGGTTGTCGGGAAAGTCGTAAAACGGAGGATAAATGGAGTTGTCGATCATATGCTGTTCGAAGGCGTCATCGTACGCTGACGTCGGCTTGGTATTAGAAGAGACATCCGTCGCCTTCGCCGATTTTGTCGACTTGGTCCGTCGGCTTGAAGTGGAGCGGCTAGAAGCCATGGTACATACGGCGCCTTTCGGTTGGGGGCACTGAGACAGGAGGTCAGCATCTGTTCCTAGTCAGTAAATCGCAGGCATACCCCTCTAAGATGGCGAAGATCTGGGCCGCCGTGTCTCGCGAACCGGGCAAGATGTGCGGTGTACACTGCAGGTGCGGCGGGCCCTGGCGCAGGCCGAGCGCTGTTCCGCCGGTCGAGTTCACGCAGTGCGCGACGCGTGAGCGGAACCTTGGACAGGTTGTCCCAGAATTCGGGTGGGAAGTTCGACGGCTCGTAATGTTTACCTTCCGACTTAATCCTCTTGTTCGGACGGTGCTCTTCGGGGACCACGTCGTCTGCGCGGGCTCTCTTCCGAGTCTCCGCGTTCGCCATGAGCAGCGACTTCAGAGGGCTTTAACTGAGGGGAGTCCATGTGTGATATTCCAATCCCGCCCGAGCGCCAGGACTGAGCCGGCCTGCGGGAGCTGAGGTGGTGGGTGTGTGGCTTTGATTGACTGGGCTAGAACGCGTCGCTGCCTGCACGTAACGCCCATTGTTTAGGGTCCGTGCCTTGTGTAGCAAACCTCCAAAGGACAAAGGGCACGATCCGCTGGTCCCTTTCAGAATGAAACGGACGGTGACGTGTGAGATGCGATGGTAGCTGTGTAACAAGGTGGGGCTGCTTCCTGTTTCGAGCATACCGTGGCGGCGTCAGCTGGTGGCCCCGGCAAGCCCTTTTCCGCTTGTTGTGAGCGAGGCTACGGATACCTTCACGCGCTTTCTGATTGCCTTGTTTCACTCCGTAGCATCATCCGCCGTCTCACAATGAAGGTTCAGATCTCCGACCCTTCTGACAGGCAGGCAACCGCTCACATCGTCGCAGGACATCCTTATCGCCGGCAAATATCGCGTTGACCGGAAGATTGGCGTTGGAGGCTTTGGCGTCGTTTATTCTGGTATGGCGCTAGCTCTCTCCGCTCTAGCCGTCGCTGACCGGGCAGGGACCGACCTCACATCGGACGAGGAGGTCGCCATAAAGCTCACGTTCGTTCGAGACAACCCCGAGGTGCTCCGATGCGAGAAGGAGACATACGAGGCGCTGGCCGGCGGGGTCGGAATCCCGCGGGTGCGATGGTTCGGGCAGGAGTGTGATTTCTACGTGCTGGTCATGGACGCGCTCGGCCCGTCGCTCGAGGATCTTCTCAACTACTGCGACCGAAAGTTCTCGCTCAAGACCATCCTCTATATTGCCGACCAGGCCATCGTACGAATTGAGTATATCCATTCGGAGGGCTTCCTCCATCGCGACATCAAACCGGACAACTTCCTGATGGGGGTCGGCAGGCAGGGGAACATATTATATACGATTGATTTTGGCCTCGCTAAGGAGTTTTTCGATGCCGAGCGTTGCAAGGATGTGGAAGGTCTCGCGCTGGGCGGCACCAGACGGTACGCAAGCATCAACAACCACAACGGCCGTGGTAGGTGTTCCGCCGTAATGCTGATCGTTCACTCCCTAACGCGCACAAAGAACAGTCTTGGGGGGATGACCTCGAGTCCCTTGGGTACGTCTTCGTATATCTTACCCGGGGCTCGTTGCCATGGCAGGGTCTTAAGGCTGGTACAGACGCCGAGAAGGATGCAAGGATTAAGAAGATGAAGGAGAGCCTGTCGGCCGAGGCGCTCTGCGATGGCTTTCTCCCCGGAGAATTTGTCACGTACATCAACTACACCCGGGGCCTGGCTTTCGATGACAAGCCGGACTACTTGTACCTTCAACGGCTTTTCCGTCGCCGGTTTCGAGCGGAGGGCTTCAAATACGACCATGTCTTCGACTGGACCGAGAAATTGTTCAAGGAGCGGCAAAGCCAGGTCAGTTCCGCAGTGCCATTGACCCGGAGGCTGCAGAGACGAGCTCCAGAGGAATCTTCAACCAATGTCGGGACTGCGCGGCAACCGCGGAGCAGTGAGAAGATTCTTGAACAGACCTGCAGCTAGTACTAGACACGGTAGGGGCTGTTAAGTCGCAAAATACAGACTGCATTGCTAGACAGGAGAAGAATACTTCTGATTCCCATCCTTATCTACGCCTCGTGCAGATAGCAGGGCTGTACGTAGGTGACCAGCGCTCCTCGTTTTTGCCCGTCCCAACCTGTCCTTAGTCCTCCCCGTCTTGAATTCTCAGCGAGGTGCTCACCCACCTCATGACTTGTCGGCGGGCGCTAAGAAGATGGACAAGGTTATCGTGAGCGTGGAATTCTTCATAGGCTAACTCAGGGTCGGAGTGGATCTGCCGGTTGATGGCTGAGATCTCCGCGTTGCGGGCCTCGAGCTCGCTGTTGATGATGCCTGGTATGTCTAGTGGCATGGCGAACGAAGGCGAGACGAGATGCGGGACGTGTTTGTGTTTCTCCTGGCTTAAAAGCAGGAATAATGCAATCCTTGGGTTTACGGAAATTGAGACTCCCACAGATTCACCAACCGAGCACGATAAGCGAACTTGATTCGGGCCTGCGCATCGTTCGCGTCAGTCACTGGCTGCTGTCCTGGATTCGTTCCTTCATCCGCTACCCGTCCCCGGGCACCCTCCGATTGAGACCGACATCATGGCTGGACGGCGTGCGGGGCGTCGCCGCCGTAGCCGTGTATCTCTCCCACGCCATGGGCTGTTGGGCGCCTCTGGTGCCCGCCTGGCGCGCCGATGATGCGCAAACCAGCATCTTGCAGCTTCCGCTTATCCGCACCACCTTCGTCGCCCGTGGTGGGGCCGTGTCGGTTTTCTTCGTCCTCTCCGGCTACGTCCTCACACAGCGGTGCCTGCGCCTCATACGTGCGGGAACGGGGCGCGCCGTGTACCCGGCCGTCGCCTCTTCCGCATTCCGCCGCGGCAAGCGCTCATCACAATTCAATCATGTCAATCAAGTTAACCAAGCAATCAAGCATTTATGGGCCTCTCTCGGACTCAATCAAGCAGGTTCGAAAGAGAGGAAAGCTGACTCCCTGATTGATTGACCTGTGGTCACGTGATATGTTACATGACTTTCCACCAATAAGATCAGAGATTTTAGCGGCCGTGTCGATTTGCCTCGGGACACGGTACGCGACCTTGGCGACTTCCGACGCGACGACAGCCCCATCTCCTACGCAGTCCCCAGGTTGGTTCTACGGTCGGAAACCCCCAATCTATCCGATTCAATTTCCCGGATCTCTATGGCCCTCACTGTATTTGGAGGGCGTCCTCCGGCCTCCATTATCGCGCAGCTGTCAGAGTCATGGTCCTCAAGCGATTCTGACCGCTTCGACGGTTTCCCGATTAACCCTAACTCTCTGAAGGCGAGGGATACGGGATTTTTGCCGAAGACTTCCTTACTGCCGAGGACTGGCGACTGCTTGCTGAGCTGAAGGCGGTAGTCGAGCCTCTTTACTTCCAGACCATGAGATCCCAGGGCTGGGGCGAGAAGGGCTCTTTCGGCTATCTCTGGGAGGTCCTTTCTGGCATGGAGTTTCTCCTGGATAAGCTAGAGGACTGGAAGCTCTTCTTCGATGAGCCAGGAGACGAAGCTATTACCCAGAGCCAGGATCATCTACCTTGTCGAGCTGTACGCAATGAACGTATACGAGGAAATCGGTCCGCTCGAGTACGATCTCCCGAGTTGAGTACGCAGGCCTTGCCTCCCCACGTTCAAGGAGACTTCTCCCTCGACCCTCCGAGCGTAGCGGCGCGCCTCAACGTTCTCTCTGGCGATTCGCGAGGCTACCTTCGTCTCTCCATCACAAACGCGTGGCAGAAGCTCAACGAGTACTACACGAAGCTTGGAGAGTCTCCCTCTTTGCAGCAGCAGTCATTTTGCATCCAGGGCGCAGTCTGCGTTGGCTTGAGACTCGCTGGAATACGGGCGATCAGCTTACGTGGCTTCGAGATGCCAAGGAAGGTCTCGAGGGATACTGGACAGCGTGGTATCGCGATCAAGCTAACAACCAGTCTCCTCCTCGTCCGGAGAGCCGCCCACAAAAGCTATGGGCTGAGCGGGAAGATGGCGAATATAGCCAGTGGCTCGGCACCGATCTTATACGCCTGCGAAATGGAGCCTCGGATACGACAGAACTAGAGCGGTATCTACGCCTCGAGCTGCCTATCGAAATCGATAATCCCATCACGTAGTGGATGGATCGCCGGCAGCAGTTCCCGACTTTGAGCACGCTGGCACTAGACCTGTTCTCGATCCCGGCAATGGCGGCAGACTGCGAGAGAGCCTTCAGCCTGGCGAAGCTTACTCTTACTACCCAGAGACTCGCAATGGATCCAAAGACCCTCGAGATGGTTCAATGTTTGAAGAACTGGCTTCGCCGTGATGCAATTACCCTTGGAGGCGTTTATTTCACGCCAGCAACGTCTGCCGATGACGGCGCCGATCTCTAACGGCTGTCAGCGCGAGTGACATAACAGGCGCCTGTTACAGAGAGACTACAAGCGGTAGAGCTGCTAGCAGGCCTCGAAATCGTCTCAAGTATGTCAATGAAGTCAATTAATTCAATTAATTCAATCATGGTCTTCAGTATATTCAAATAACTCAAGTTTCGCTGTGAAAATTGACTTGATTGAATTGTGATGAGCGCTGGCCGCGGCTTCAGGTTGTACCTCCTGCCGATCCTGCTAACTTTTTGCGAGATGTTGATGACGCGGCTCGGCTTCCCGCCGCCCCTGAACTTCTCCTTTGTCGCCGAGCCTACCTTCCTCGGTCAATTCTGGGACTGGCTGGTCGAGACGAACCGGCTGGTCAATCCGCTCTACAACTTCCGTCGCGCGATCTACGGTTTCGTCTCGCATCCGAAGTACGACGCTGTGATCTGGACGATTCCGGTTGAATTTTATGGCTCGATGGTATGCTACGTTCTGCTATTTGCACTGGCTCGCGTGTCGAGTAGCGGCCCAAGAATAGGGGTTGTTACGGTATTTTGCATCTTGAGTATGGCGTTTGGCTACTGGAACCTCTTGCTTTGCTGCCGGCATGCTCGTGGCCGACATCAACCTTGGCGAGGAGGAGGAGGACAACACTGTCGTCAGAACCGGCCTGCCACAGCCTAAGCGGACGCTGCTCTGGACCCTGGGCGTTGCGATCTCATTCTACCTCGCCGGTTTCCCGACCCTGGTTTACGAGGAATTCAGGGCGAAACCGATGCCCGGCTTTGAGACGCTACGCGCACTCATCCCGGCAGACCTGGGCATGGAATACCCCGCCCGCTTCTGGTGGTTCGTTGCGGGCGCCGTGCTTCTGCTGTCCGTCTCACAGGTGCCACGGGTCAAAGCCGTCTTCGACACATACCTCTGCCAGTATCTCGCCAAGGTCTCGTTCTCGCTGTATCTAGTGCACGAGTTCTGCATCGTGCTCTTCGGCCTGAGGCTTCAGGGTTTTCTGTTGCGCGTAGCAGGTGTAGAGTCGCAGAACAAGGGTCTTGGGTATTGGACCATCTACATTGTTTGGTTCGTCTTGTTTACGGTGCCGGTGTTTGCGCTGGCAGCCCAGGTAGAGCGGTGGGTTGACGTTCCGAGCGTGAAGTTTGCGAAGTGCCTGGGAATGTACAAAAGGCTGCGATAATGGTAAATGCATCAGCGGTGGTGACTCTGATAGATGACTCGTATATGGAATAGAGTACCTCGGTTCATAGCCAAACTGTCTTCAACAGTATCCGAGGCCGGGATTGCTACCATGCAGGCCCCATTGCCACCATGCACAGCCAGCACAGCAGCGAGGGTGGAGATGTCGGATTGATCCGCTTCTCCATGTTGGGGTCATCACTGATCAGGATCCGGATTTTTCACATCTCTCGGGCGTACGCTACAAGCTTCCGCCATGGACACACAGTGAAACCTCTCCTCTTCTGCGCCAAAACGGCAGGGAACACAGCTGGTACCGGGCGCCAGTCAGGCTGACTTTGCGCACTGCCTTGTCAGCGGCAATCTTTGGTGGGGCGTTGATCCGACGGGGACGGCGGGAAGGGGCTTGAGGCCGAGGGTCAGGATAAGCACCTCAGAGTACAGCTGTGCACCGACTCTCCCTACCAATTAGCGGCACCCGATCCGATCCGACCGTGTACTGCATCTCTCCTGTTCGGGGCCGCTGCGTACGATCTGACAAATCATCGACGGCTGGAACGCGCCGGGCGGACTCGGAGGAATCGACCTGCAGATGTGGCGGTAGCTCCGCAAGAAAGGACTCGCAGCCTGACCAGCCATTCCTAAAGGCAGAAGGAGACCTATCTGGAGACGCTCAGTCAGGCGGGAAGCGTTTGCCTCTGGTGAAATATAGGGGTCACACAGGTTGAACCACTTGCTTGAAGGCTCTGAGTCCCTGGGATCTTAGGTCCTTTATGTATGTGTTGTATGGAGAGAACTTGGTTCCAGTTCCCATCCATGGTTCTTGTGTACCACTACCTGCTGTTCCGGCTGGCTCAAAGCCTCCGTGGTTGAATCAGCAGGCTCCCGCGCCAGGCAATTTTGGATGCACGTCAGCGGCGAAGGAACCAGTATCAGCTTTGGCTAACCGCTGTGGCTTGCTTTTCAGCCCAGATAGCTAATAAATATTACGCCCCTTCGTGGCAGGTGCCGTGGCAAGCTTCTTCGTTGATCCTCCCAGAATTAACCTCATCAAGATCAGAACCAACTTAAGCCGGAGCGGTAACCGACAGCCATGGCTAGCATGTTGGCTACCGCGACCCGGACTCTTTCAATTCTCTTATGCCTAGGAAAGGTCTTTGCCCGGTCCGAGTTGGGTGTAATTTTCGGTCACACCGAAGGCTATAACCAGCTCAACTCGAATCAAAGGAGCTGCGGGGTCAGTAGTGTTTACTCGCCGTGCTATGGGTCGCCGTGTAGGGACAAGAGCTGTTTCTGCGCCAACCCGCAATTCATATCCGACGAAACCGACAAGTGCATGATACACTACGACTTCATGTACGACGGCATGTATAGTGTTGACACATACAATGGCATCATGGCCTTCTTTGGAAAGGAGTGTGGGACATTCGAGGTCCAGTTTAAGGTATCAACACCGGCCCCTGATGAGTGATATTACAGGAACTGCGGCTAAGCAGCGGCATTTTCCAGCAAGTTGCGAGTGAGAGCATCACATACACCACAGGGTTCACCCATCCTTTGCCCTCAACCGCAGGCAACGTTGTAACAACCTCAGCCACAGGACGACCAAGTACTAGTCTGTAATTCCTGGCCCCAGCTTCTCCTTGTCTGTCTGCCGGAAGTGCGACACGGATTCGGCTGACTGTCTTATCCTTCTACAGACTCCGGACTTCCCGAGCTGCCAAATCCGTCGCCTCCGACCAACGCCGACAGCGGGGAGAACAATGGGAGAAACGGCGGGAGGTTAAGTCTGGAGGCAATCATTGGAATCGTTGCTGGGTGTGCGACAGTTATTGCAACAATCATTACGGCGTACATGTGCTATTACCGGTAAGGACGAACAAATAATGGAACGACCATTATGAGAGATTGATAGAGACGGACTGGTCGTGCGTGGGACATTTTAGGGGGTATCCCCTACCAGCATTCCTTGCGTTGTCATTTCTTCCGGCAGTGACGCTTAAACGATCCTGAAGTGTATCTCATCAAATCCGTATCTCATGGCCTCTCCGTCCATCGCTCCGTGAACGTAGCAAGCACCCGGGAACCTATATCCACCCTCCTCTTTTCGCAGCGCGTATGGCGTCTGGCCTCCATACAAGATGCATATGAAATCTCCTCGCGAATTGTACTCGGAGATGTACCAATATATCCCTTCTCTGTTCGAAACATCTTCCGGTCCAGCGAGGCATCCTCCACCCAGTTCTTCGCAAATGTGGTCACGGGCTTGTCCCCCGAGATATCCGAGTACTCTCTATCCCACTCGTGCATCCATTGTTTACTCGGTATGCTGCCATCGTGGTCGGACAGAAGTCGCGACCAAGGCCTGATGTACCTTTCCGCGAATTCTGTGCCCGGCTGGGTCGTAGTCGTCTGGCCCGGCGAGGTGCAATATGTCGAGAGTTCTCTGCCGGATGATGTGCTGGACAGCACTGTTGAGCTCAGTACAGTATGTACGGCGCTATAGAGTAGTCGAAGAGACTAGTGATGATCTGTCGCTCTTGCTCCTGCGTGACTAGCCCGAGGAGACCGTAAACACGATCGAGGGGGTCTGTGGATTGAAAGCTGGAGGTTGTGTGCAGGGGTTCCAACAGCTCCGTCTCTGTTCCCTCCTTTGCCCGCTGTATGAAGCCTTCCACAGGCGCAACGCATTGCCCACCTCAGACTCTTTAGTAACCTTGACTCCAACGACGGGCAATAAAGGGGGATCAGACTTTGACACGTCCATTACTTACATTTGGTCTCAACATAGCCTGCCATTGCCCCGTCAGTCAGCCCATCGTATCATTACTAGCAATCATCATGCATCGATCCAAGTTGTATCTCCTCTACTCCCTCCCCTTTGCACTAGCACAGACTGTTCTGGGCGTCACCTTGGACACGTATCCCACCGGTCCCCCTGGCCCGAGTTACTCAATGCCAGGATGGGACTTGTCGAATTACCTACAAAGACGGCAACGCCGTGGCTACGGCGCGAATAAACTTCGACCTTGTGGGTGGCTTCAGCAACCACCCGGTGCATTGTGAAGCAGTTGGGCCCGAGTTCCTGGCAACTTACACTGCACCCACGAGCGTTGTTGTGGAGGACCTGTATCCCAAGGGGTAGAAACCTTACCTCGGGATATACCACGATGTTCCGGTATCGTCCGAGTGATCCATGGGATAAGCTCACTCTTCGGGAGACCGCGACATGCGGTACAGATCCGAAGCAGGTGTATGGACATCGCTCTCTTTGTCCTGAGGCAACGATATCCTCCTGACTCAGACTAGCGGAACTCTAGAAGCGGAGTATTGTTCAAGGGAGAAGTGACTGCCAACTACCTTACTTTGTCACGAACCGGGGTTATCGACCGGACCCACGTCACCCACCCCCGGGAGGCAGCAACATCGAGGAATGGACAAGGACGTACTTCTTACTACGATGATGGCCATATTGAGGGAAGCTTTATACTGGTTGACCCAGCGCCATTCACAAACTGCAACTTGGGCGCGCCTACTTGGGAAGTACACGGCTTCTCGGTCACCGACGTATGCTACACCCCGCCGCCTCTCTTCGGCCAGCCCGATCAAATGGGCTGGGACACTCAGTTCCGGCTGGCCAGTCTTGCCAACAACTACACGGTCGGATGCAGCGGTCATAGCAATCTGAGCGATGCACCATCCAACAACGAGTGGCATATATGCGGCGTGGATCCAGAGGATGCGCCGTGGTTGCCATTTACTATGTTTCGCATGGATAGGCAGAGCCAACTCCTGAAGGTCCACCAGACTTGGGTGTGCAATAGCCCAGATCATAACATGTAAGTTGCGAGCGTTACCGAATTTCTCAGCCTCAGGGGTTTGGTTGTGTGTAATGGAAGTCTCTGGGCTAACTGCAGGGGCAGGTTCATATACCGTGGACATAGAAGCGTCGACGTGCCGCTCTCATGTGATCCGACGAACTTCACTCAATCGCCTTGTTCTGCAAGTTTTCAAGACGACGACGGTTACCCCTATACTTGACCTCCCATTCGGCAGCGCAAACACACAACGACGGATTGCCACACTCTAGCATGTCTCCAACAAAGCGCTCCTTGCTGCTGCCCGTCCGGTTCACTGAACCGTCACTGTTTTCCTCCCCATGCCCCCGTCCTTGGTCTCCATATACCCGTCTATGCAGACTCCCACAATTCTGTCTTTATCCAACGGATGGCTTCTGCGGATCAGCAAATTGCCGGAGCCGCCTGTCTCCACGTAACCATAGTCTCTCATCATGTCGGTGGCGTCGTGACGGAAGTCCGCCCTCACCAGGGCTCTCCCCTTGAGCCACAAGTCTCGGTTGTGGTACACCGGCAGATCGACCGCTGTGCTCCTGCAGTCCGGGGCGTGCGACTTATACGCGCGAACGTCGCCCCTGAACGCTACGAGGTGGAAGGCCTCCCCGACATCTCCGACTTGGATCAACCAAAGCCCATCTCGCAGGACAATCCGCTTGTCCGAATCCACGCCGGCGAAGGTGTCCCCAAGGGAGCTTCCGTGGACTGCGGTTATAGCTGCTATTAGGAACGGCAACGGAGTGATGATGGTGCAGCCGCACACTGCGCGGACCTCGCACGAGATGATCTTCGTGATTTCGTTCTCCAGGCTGAGTGGCGGGCGACCCTGTCTCCCATGCTGTAGTTCATCGAGTGGTTCTGCGCTCTGATATACGCCGGGTACGGGTTTTCCCAAGGCGTGCCGCTCACGCATCTGTCGTACTAAGCTGCGGGCTTCGCGCCTGGGTCCGTCACATGCCACATGGGCTGGAGCTTGCGAAGCAGCCTCCTCCTGTACTCGACAAGGTTGTCGCCGGGTCCATGATACTTCCTAGGATGGTCGTACATTGCACCAGTATTCTGCCTGTCCCGTCTCCGACCACGTCCCTTGGGCCGGTCATTGAGCGGTATCTTCTCCTTCTTGAAAGTTCCGGTCTTGACCGTTTTGTCGCAGTTGCAGCCCCTGAAGACGAAATGGAAACCTCTGTCCTCCTGGCGGAGCTGCATCTTCATACATTGTCGCGGAGCACCTCGAAGGCCGGTCACGCCAGGGTCTTGACAAGCCCGTTCTTTTGATCCACGGGCCCCAGCTTGACCACGCCAGCGAAGCAGTCAGTCGTCATGAGCCTGCTGTTGCTGGCTGCTACCGGTATCCAGTCCCACTTGCCTCTCTCCCGGCTGCTGATCGCGAGCCTGGTCCAACCCTGTCCCGTCTTGATGGACAGCTGCTTGAAGAAGGCGAACGAGACGGTCTCCATGTCGTCCCCTTTCATGTACGTCTGGATCTCTTCCTGCGTGAACAGGCCGCAGAAGACGCCCAGGAGCCCCCTGAAGATGTCAACCCACTCCGTACACTCGCGCGGCTGGATGGAGATGGCCGAGAAGACGTTGCAAACCCCCTTGTAGTTTTCGTACCACCAGTAATGGCCTCCGTTGAGGATGTCGGTCCTTGCTGCGCTGATGCCGTCGACCTGCGCCTGGAGCGCGCGCAGGGCCAGGTTGTCCTCTTCGATGATGCTCAGAATTGCCGTTACAGACGAGGTCCTGAAGAACCTGGGATTACCGATCCACTGCTGTAGCTTGTACCCCTTGTCTTTGGCTTCGGTGGCGAGGTCTATCCACGCGTCGAGTGCTCCGATGGAGGATATGCCCCTTGTGTTGATTCCCCATATGGTGACGTTCTTCCCCAGCAACATTTCCTGGAATGTCCACACCCTAGTGAAGTACAGGTTTTCGAACAGGGACCGAACGTGGAGGATGCATGTCGCGTAGCAATTCAATACTCCCAGATCGACAGCGGCCGACTTAACCGCCAACTTATGCATTGGGAAGTTCCACTTGCTATTGGCCCACCTGGACAGGTTGTTGGTGATGTTGTCCGTCAGCATAGACTCGGACGCCATCGCCGCTCCGTCAATCTGGGATACGACGTGGTTGATGAAGTGGGGGTTGTCGACGATGAGCTGCGGCTCCCAGGTCTCCTCCATGTCGAGCAAGATGTGGCAGCGCTTGGCGCTGCTGTAGTACTCGTACATCCTGGCCACCTCGTCGGACTTCTCTGTCTGGTGCTCCTGATTGATACAAACGCAGTCCGCCCACATGTACTGTATAGGGGTTTCGATCATCAGCCTCTTGATGTCTTCCAGCTTTTCCTGGCTGATTGTCACACCCCAGGTCACGCCTCGGATTCCACAGTCGTGTCTCGGTGCCTTCTCACCCTAGCGGTATGAGATGATATCGAAGTGGTCGACCTGGCGCGAGCGGGGGTCGAAAACGAAGAACTCGCCGTTGTCGTGGCCAAGGAGCCTCAATGGAAGGATCGGCGCCATGGCAGGAGTGTGGATAGGAAGCGCAAGGATCCAAAGAGTGATACTAGAATTGCGGTAAACCGGCGAGGCAAGGAGAGTAAAAGCACATAGCTGAGGCTTGTTATGGTTTCGTCCGACTTTCATACCGCGAAGGCCAGTCTGCGCCTGACTCTCATTATCCGCGCGGCTCGCTTCGCCGCCGCCACACTTCATCCAAATATAGGTAACAACCGTCTGACGCAAGACGATCCTCAGCTTGATCCTGTGAATGTGTGGTCCGCGTGGAGCACCTCCCGTATGTTCCCACTGAATGGGGTACTGCGCTATTTGACTGGAGAGAAAGATGTCAAGGTTGTAAGAACAATTGCTAGAAGCGTTCGGCGTGCAAGGTAGCCATCCGTTCATCATCACCACTGTTGTTGTTGTGTGCGTTCATCCCACAATATATGTATATACGGAGAAGGGCGAACTCGACCTCGGAAACAGCAACCTCGACCCGAAAATCCCCTTCCCCTCTATTCCACCAATCCAAATAGGCTTGTAAGAAACGTACTCGGCCATGAAATGTACTCGTCGTATACAATTCCAAGGGGGAACGAGGGGGGGGGAAGGGGGGCACGAGGTATCGATCTGTTACCAGGCGCGCTACACCTTTGTATGCTGAAGAGGTCATTTGGGAGTGCCATTCCGAAAGGTGCAGCGAAAGCGCACAGAGCGATCAGGATTTGGGAACCAACAGCAGGATGTACGACCACCAGATGTACAGCGCTGTGCCATACTGGCGGCTGGAAGGCATCCTAAGTTGCTCTGGTATCGGACAGTCTAGGAATATTCGCTACTACTCCACCTCATCTTTGAGAGTGGCAAGCTGCCGGCTTTGGCTGCCTTGACGTAGAGGATGTAGCAGCTGAGAGTTGATGACAAGTTTATCCTAGGACTCTGGGAGAAGACTCTGCGTTTTGACCTGCTCTGGTTTGTTTGGCCCAGTCCAACAAGGCACCCACCAAGCTCAGATAACTCTCCGAGGATCCGTCTTAGTCATGGGCATCGATACCGAGTCCAGTGATGTGGAATACTGCGACTGCGGAGACCCTAGATTCGGCTCAGATACAAGGGTTACAACTCAATACTTCCCAGCCAAGCCATATCGGCATGGCGTCTGAAACCAACATCACTTTACGTGTCCAGATGATCGAGTATCGTCAACCTTTCCGCGGCCAACGGATGTATAGGGACTCGGAAGGTTCGTGGAACCGTGGTTCCTCCTCAGCGGTTGACGAAATCAGAGACCGTGTTCACCGGCTGCCAAATCTCGGCAATACCGGGCAAGAAGTGCTCTTACAAGAGCTAACTTCATATGACATAAGAGTGATCGCTTGGTGGCGGTTGGACACTTAAAGCCCGAGCTCAATGCACACTTCTTACCCATCGGCCGCAGTCGATATCGCCGGAATGACATCATGGGTCTGTATGTCCACAAGAAGGAAGGGACGGATAAGTTGGAGCGGATTGGCTATGGTGAAATAAGGCATGTGATGGGTCGACAATTGAAGGAATTCGAGCGTGGTAGTCGGAGAGGGGGTGGGGGCAGGATTGATCCAGCAGTTACTAGAGAGTTGGAAGACATCCTCTCAACTCGGATGGATTTCATTCTGGCTGGTGTCCCTTCAAGGATGATCACAGTGGTTTAAAGCTTAACCTAATCAGCCAGTCGTGCAGCAGCATCTCCGCGTGGACCATAGGATCGAACAGTCTCTTCCACAGCTCAGCTGCGTGCTGCTTGCATACCTCGGCCTGGGGGCCGGGTGCGTGTTTCGTGTGTATAAATGTAAGACCGACGGTCCCACTTGAGAATACACTAACACTAGTGGGGACTAACTAACAACCACAACAGAGGCGTGCTTTATGACCACCTAGGCTTACCACACGCGCCACAATACCGGGTACTCGTATACAGCCCCTGTGATGACTGAACAATCACATCACTGTGCAACATAGGAGCCGCCTACGAGACTTGGAAATCTCTCCGGCCGACTCGTGATAGCTGACGGTGTGAAGTGTTTGCGGAACGGGTTCTTGGGACTCCTCCTCGTCAAAATGACTGTTACCATTGTGTGGGAAAATAGGCGGCCCTGCCTGAGATAAGGTGCCGTCAGCAAGAACGGGTCGCGGTGGGACGATTTGTTGACTTGAGTTCGCGCTGGGTGCGGCTTGAGCAGAGAGTGTATCGATCGCCGCCTGGCTATAGCCGGGGCTAGACCCGCTAGGGCTGGCCAAGACCCCCTGTGAGGGAGTGCCCTCTGAAGTGTAGTCGGTCAAGCTCCAGCCGCATCTACCGACGGGACAGGAGAAGAAGTGCGACTCGCCGTCGTTCCTCCTGGTCCGGCGACTGAAGTACCCGCACAGGCAGGGCGGGTTGGCGTGCGATACGCCGATGGCGTCGTCGAAACAGCCAAAGACGCTCTCCGTGTGGCGATCGTAGTCTCTGCAGCTGTAGAAAGGTCGGCCTGCGTTGCCGTAGCTGTTCCAGTCCCCGGTGGGAAAGCGTGTGCATGGATTTCCGCACCTACGGCAGGTCGGCGGGACCAGGAGCGGAAATCTGGGTTCCATATCTGAAGGGGAAAGCCGTATTAATCGAAAATTCTAAAATTCATTGATTTGATAGATCTGTTTCGAGCCCCTATGATCGGGTCAGTGCTGATCGTTCGTGACTTGTAGGGTCGCAATGGGTTGACTCACAGTTGCCACAGTTGTTGGCTGTCTTTACCTCCGGGTGGTGGAGTGAAGTCATGGACCCAAAGACGATGCCTAAAATTGCTTTTGAGTTTTGGGTTTAGGGCATTAGGCTACGTTGAAGGCTATATAACGTCGCGATGGAGTGTGCATCGCGAGGCCGCCTGAGCCCCTGCATGCTCACGCCCAAGTATATACATAGAAAATGAGGTTCCACACGCTCACTATAGCCCCTAACTCCAATAAGAAATCGCCTCGAGAGCTTCCTGCAAGGTGACCACTGTGGCGTCTGGCAGGGAACGGGAGTCTGTGAAACGGCGAAAGCTATTATTGCATGCAGCCACGGCGCCTGCATGCACATCTTCCCATATATCGGCTACCCCGATTGGACCAGGTGAGTTGGGGGCAAGCTGAGTCGGCATCATACCTCCCCTTGCATTCCAGGGGCAGTTCAAGGAGCCAGACTTTGTGCCACCGTCCGAGAGCCAGCTGGTAAGACGCTGATTTTGGCTCGTTGCGGACTGAGCCCTCGGTTCCTGTTTGGATAGGAACTTTCGGCTTTCCTGCCGCTGTGGCGGTCTTGTACCAGCCAGCCTTGTCAGACTCCTCTACGTCGCAGGGAAACTTCGTACTAACTACTAATTTGAAGATCATCGATAAGCAATGTGTAGTCTGCGTCACTTTATACGAACGTCAGACCGCAGCTGGGGCGGCATTAGCTAAATCTCTATAAGGCTAGGTCGGGAGGCCGTAGATGAGGAGGCAGTGCAAGGATCGCAGTCGGTTCTCAAAGGAAGTGGAAAAGAAAGGGAGGATCGTCCTATGCTATCCTGGCTGCCTGCGCCAGCCAGCTACCCAGCCACTGCAACTGTGCCACAGCCGAAGTAGTCAGCAATTCTTTTGGATCGGCTATCGGAAAATCAGCTGGCCCGCATTTAAATTACAAGGTTGTATTTGGGATTTTAGACCACTTGTTGATAACTTGATTCAGGCTTCTATAGGTAATGATCCTTAGGATCTAACGTACATGATAAGCGAGTGACCCAGACAAGCGAATGACCCACTCTCCACTACCCTACAAACATTATCCTCAATTACAAAACAACAAAACTATCAACCAACTACAATTACATCAGAAACGGGTGAATCAGATGCTTCTGCAACCTCCTGGCAAGTGCGGGCATTATGACCAGGCTTGCCGCATACACCACAGCACCGAACCTTCGTACGACCCCCACCAGCACCACTACCATCCAGCTGTGTTTCTTGCATTGCCTCCCCACCTATAGCCCCCTGGCTTACCACCTCCTGTGCCTCCTGCACAGTAAGTGATCCTCCAAGCCGCACACGTGTTTTTTTGGCTCTCCGGCGCTTGCTTAGCGCCTCGTTAGCCTTGCGGAGCGAAGACACCTCTGCCTGAAGGAGGGCCACCTGGTGCATTATAGCCATCGTACCCTTGGTAAGCTGGTCCACAGCAGCCAACATTGAAGTCGGGGAGCTATTTTGATGGTTGGCAATGCGAGTCTTGATAAGCGTTGACTGTGACTCGGCTTCTCGAGGGTTGTGTGGTGTCTGGAAGACCCAAGATTGTGCAGTGCCCGGCCGTGAGGTTGGGGGTGTTGGTGTACGAAGCTTGATATCTAGCTTCGAAAGCACCCTCTCTGGATCGTATGGCACAAGGCCAGCCCCTGCAAAACCGCCCTGTATATTCCTCTTGGTGATAGAGGCAAAGAAGGCCGTGCGAAAGGCATAAAGAAACTCGAGCTTGCTTATATGGTTGATATGCGCGCGCACCAAGTCCTCGATCTGGCGACCGTACGCCTGCTTCAACGGCCCAAAGCAGCCAACATCAAGTGGCTGGAGGAGGTGGGAGGAATGTGGAGGCATGCAGAGCGTGATAATGTTGTTCTGCTGGCAGTAGAGCTCGAACTCGGTCGAGTGGTGGCTTTCGTGGCCATCGAGGATCAACAACCGGTATTTGCCCTTTGTCCGAGGCGCTGTATGGTAGTCGAAGTGCTTGATCCAATCAAGGCCTACTGCGTTGGTAGTCCAGCCGTTCTCGGTGGTTGCGATGCGCCAGTCGGCCGGGAGGTTGCACTCGGTATACCAGTTGACGAGGTGGTATTGCGCGGCCAAGATGATGAACGGAGGGATAGCCCAGCCGAGAGCATTGACTCCCTGGATCACTGTTGCCCACTCGCGATTGCCAGGCTGGGCCAGCTTAGCCTTGCTCCGGCCATCTGAGGTCGTAACAACCATACCCGTAAAGATAATGCCCATCATAAACCCGGTCTCGTCAAAGTTATAGACATCGTCATCCACAATACCATACTTGGCCTTAGTGTTCTGCACAAGCCTAAACCACTCGCGAATAACGTCTGGATCTTCGCATCTAGCCCTCTGGTAGTCGTATCTACGTGTATATCGCGTACGGAGCTCTGGCCGGCGTTTGACGAAGTTATAAGCCCAGCGTTTGCCAACAGGGGGCGCGTCGCGTTCGCGCAGTAGTTGGTTGGCCATATCTTCCACACCACACAACCTGGGCGGGAATGCACGTGCAGATAGCTCATTGACATATTGAACTATCGCCTTCTCTTCTAGATCTGTGAGCTTGCGCGAGTTGGCTGGAAGATCGTATCGTGCAGGCTTGCCGGCGCGTCGGCGCCCCAGGGTCCTACGGTCAACCCCATAGATCTTAGCTGCGGCTCGTTCGCTTAGATTCTTGTCGTTTTGAAGAGCTTGGAGAGCCAAGATTATCTGGCCTTCTTTTGAAGTAGAGGGCATTTTGGATGGTAGAGGAAATTTTGTTGTTGAGTGCAAAGATGTCGCGTCGTGTAGGAAGTGGGTCATTCGCTTGTCTGGGTCACTCGCTTATCATGTACGTTATACTATTCAAGGACTTTTCCTTTGTACTTCGTATATGACGTGTATGATAAGCGAGTGATCATGATAAGCGAGTGAACAATTTTTGCGCGATGCGCCACCCCTCTCCTCAACACCAATTTCTTTCTACCATTTAACATGCCTGCTACTTTAGATGAAGGCAGGGTAATCTTAGCCCTCCAGGCTCTCCAAAACGACAACAACCCAAGCGTTTCAACCGCAGCTAAGATCTACAATGCTAACCGTATAAACTTAACCCGACGACGCGCGGGCCGGCCTGCACGACGCGATATTACGCCTAATTCGAGAAAGCTCACACAATCAGAAGAGGAGGCTATTGTTCAATATGCAATTGAGCTAATCACGCGAGGTTTTCCATCAAGGTTGCGTGGTGTGGAACACTATAGCCAAGTACGGCATTGTGGTTGACGATATCTACAAATTCGACGAGACTGGTTTTATAATGGGGATTATCTTCGCGGGCATGGTAGTCACGACATCGGACGGCCTAAGCAAGGCAAAGCTAACCCAGCCTGGTAACGGCGAATGGGCAACAGTTATCCAAGGAGTCAATGCCCTCGGTTGGGCCATCCCCCCTTTCATCATCTTGGTCGCGAAGTACCACCTCGCCAACTGGTACACCGAGTGCATCTTTGCCTCCATAACGGAGAAGAATGTACAGGGTGGCTTTGCAGGGGCCGGCCTTGCGCCGTACGATCCAGAGAGGGTGCTTTCTAAGTTGGATGTCAAGCTTCGTACGCCAACACCCCTGGCCTCACGGGATGCCACCCCACAACCTTGGGTGTTCCAGACACCACACAACCCCCGCGAAACTGAGTCGCAGTCAACGCTTATCAAGACTCGCATTGTCAACCATCAAAACAGCTCTCCGACTTCGATGCTGGCTGCTGTGGACCAGCTTGCGAAGAGTACAACGGCTATGATGCACCAGGTGGCTCTTCTTCGATCAGAGGTCTCTTCGCTCCGCAAGGCTAATGAGGCACTAAGCAAGCGCCGTAGAGCCAAGAAAACACGCGTGCAGCTTGGAGGGTCACTTGCTGTACAGGATGCACAGGATATACTAGGCCAGGGGGCGGTGGGTGGAGAGGGAGTACAAGAAATGCAGCCTGAGGGTAGTGGTGCAGGGGAGGCGCGTACCAAGGTTCGGCGCTGTGGCGTGTGCGGCAAGCCCGGACATAATGCTCGCACCTGCCAGGAGTCTACGGAAGCATCTGATTTAGATGTTTCTGATGTAATCGTCGTTGGTTCTTAGTGTTGTTATATCGCAATTAAAGATAGTTAGTTGTTGTAGTCTGGAAGAAAGTTGTTCATTCGCTTATCATGATCATTCGCTTATCATACACGTTAACGAGTGATCTCTCACTTCTATCTATTCTTTAGATCTTTCGTCTGATCAGTTACTTCAGTTACTTCAATACATCTTACTTTCATTATATACTCCCAGTGATGTTTTACCCCTGGCTATTCTGCAGTGTGACACTTACCCGATAGACTTGTAGACAGAGTCAGTATTTCAAAACTGAGTCAAAATACCAAAATTATGACGGCAAGTGCAACGCTAACCCACTCGGCTACACATCCTTCCGAAGAGGATGTCAGAATCGCAGATCCCTCGGATCTCCGACTCGGTGGATTATATCTTCCCTGATGACAGCACCCCGCAGGCCGCACTGCCGTCACAAAAATTCTATCCACATTTGATTTGTTTTCTTCATTGTCTAAGCCTTGAAACGCCATTAACCAGCCCTGCACTATAGCACTAATTACCTCATAGTGCCAGGCAGCTACTTCTGTCTCTTTTTCCTAGAAACGACAACCTGGAAATACTTTTGGCGCTATCCTCCATGATCTTAATGTCTACAGAAGACAACCAGCGGATTCGTTACCCCTAACGTTATGCGTAATGCGGTGCCTTTGGGCCAAGCTACACTTCCGGTCTATACAGCAACCGGCGTACTTCTCCATGGGCGGCGGAGGAGGTCACTTTTCAATATCGCAACGAAGTGCCAGAATGCAATTAGTAGACAACCTCGCGTTCTAGCCTGTACTCCAACTCATTTACGTGTCCTCCGTTGTCGCCCTGTAAAGTCGTCATTGCCGGTACAAGGCTGCGGGGACATTGAGAGGCGGCCATCGGTTGAAAAACGCTCGGACCCCCAAGCAT